TATAAAATCTATTTAACCTAAAAAGCACTGCAGCACTAAGACAAGAACTTAATAAACTCTAGCTACTATTTATAGAGCAATTCGCATTAGTAGAAGAAGTAGTTTTAGCTAGTTTTTATTAACTAGCATTAAAAGCATATAAAAACTTATAGCGTAAGCAAGTTAAATAGTACAAGCTCTAATCTAATTAATACTAAATAACTTACACGCGCTATGTAGCAAAGCAGCGTAGTATTAAAGAAATTGTTAATTACCTAAAATTAACTCTACTTATACATATTTTTAGAAGCTGTTATCTTCTTAAACATAACTACTATACATAGATTAAGTCTATTAGAAATAAAATAGGCGTTAATAGTAAAGAGTTAAACATTAGAGTAAGATAAAAATACCTATAAGTAATAAACTTAGTTAAGAAGTTTACATACTAAAATAACTAGCTTATAGCTTATAACAAGGCTGCATTCTTAGCAAAATACTATAAATATCTAGAACTTCTAAACTCTACTATTGTGTTAGACAATATAGCTAGGGCAATAAAAGTTATTAATAAAACATTTGTAAACTAATTTAAGCAACTTATTTACTACTAGAAAAAACTTAATAAATAGAAAGTAATAAAAATCTTCTAACAATATATAAACTGCATAAAGCTTATAAAAATAAATAAAGCAGCCTTTACTATAAAAGATGCTGCATAAACTAAAAAGATATAATATAAAGGAAACGCCTTTTATGTACACTTAGGTTCTAGCAATAAGTTACCTATAGGCTATAAAAATAATAATACTTAGGCAACTCTATAAAGAGAAAGATTGCTAACTATAAGTTATAGAAGAAACTTTTATTTAAATAAGCAACTTATAAGTGTAAAAGATAGAGAAAGGCAATGCCTAGTATGCATAAATAAGAAATACTTTACTAAATTATATTACTACCTGCTAAACAACACACTAGAATAGTTTTAACTTAAAAACTAGGTAGAGGCAAGCGTTAAAAGACAACGTAAAAAGTACTCTAAACTCCTTTAAATAGCTTAAAATAAAAAAAAACTATACTTATCTAAACAGCGGCAAACGCGTTTAAAGTTATATACTCTAAAGCTAAAACAATCTTACACTCTAACACTTAAAGTAACTAAAAATTAACTAGTAGATAGACAGATTACTATAATTTATAATAACTATGTAATAAAGAGCACTGCTCTTAACGTAAGCACTAACGTATACTTGCTTAAAAACAAATTTTTTTTAAACTTAGGGGCGACAACCTATATTATAAATTAACTTAGACAACTCTAGAACATTTAGAAACTATTACTAAAAGACTATATTTAAGCTAGCAGTAATAAACTTTAAATTAAAGTATATAGTACAGTTACCTTAAAGCTATAAAGAAAAGACTAACCTATCTAGCTGCAGCTTTAAGACGTAGCCTAGTGCCTAGATATTATTACAAACCTAGTGTCTTTTAATATACTTAAGTAATAAGAGATATATTAAGATACGCAAAGCAACTCTACTATACTAAAGCATAGTAACTTATTATGTCTTGTAGTGCTTTAGGAAGAACACAGGCAATTTATTACATTTACTATTAAGAAACACTTTGTATTTATTACTATAAAATAACGCTATAGCTATTAAACAAGCACTGCTTATAGTAACACGTAGCATTGTAAACTTAGTTACCTAGAACTTAAGGCTCTTAAGTAACTTATACACTAAGCTAAAGAGGTGTAAGTTACTTAAAGTATTTATACTATTAATTATAACGCATGCAGATAGTTAAAAGCTAAAAGAAAAATCTATAGATTTTCTAAAGCAATTACTAAAGGCCTAGAAGAAAGACTAGTAATTAACTTCTACAACTTTAAAAATAACTTAATAACAGGTAACAGAGGTATTGTGCTAATTACTAATTAATACTTAGGCTTCTATTAGAGCTATAATTTAAAAGACTAAACTTAACTAACACTACTTTAACTGTCTAAACAAATAATTACCTTCTTTAAACAGCAATTTAATGTTAATATAAAAGTTATTAAAAGTAATAATAAGATATTTTTGCACTATAGTAAGACTACTACATATAGTAAGTTCTTTAACTTACTAAGCATTATTAAAAAGCTATGTGCACTAAACACTTAAGCTTAAAATAAAAGCGCTAAATAATTAAAAGTAGTAATAAAAGAGAAAGCTTGCGCTATGCAACTTAGAGCTAAACTACTAAAAGATTAGTAGCTAGAGATTATTTCTGCTACTATGTACCTACACAATTAAACGCTAAACTATTAAAATAGCTAGAGATTATTATATAAAGTGTTCTTTACTTAAATTGTAAGCTAGAATAGCACCCTTATAAAGCCTTGCAAGCTAAATTTTACTTATTTTAAAGTATATAGCTGTAAAGCGTTTACTATAACTAACAATACTTAGCTTAGACGCTTTAAGATATAAAGGCTTAATCTAAAAGCTTAAATTAGCTACCTAGTAAAGTATTAGTTTTTAAACATCTATCGCATCTAAATACTATTACTAGAGAAAGTTATTAGCACCTAAAACGTAGTATTTAACAAAAAGAAAATCTATAATAGTAGAAAAAAAGATATTAAAAATAGTCTTCTCTACTACACTACTAAAAAAACTACTAAATAGGTAGAAAAAGCAGCACTTAAAAAGCTTACTTATTAACTACCTAAAACTTAGTTATTTTACAAAGACAAGCTAAGTGTAAACTTTAGTAATTAACTAAATTATAGTAGTAGCACTATAAATTATAGTAGTAGCACTATAAATTATAGTAACTTACTATAATAGCTAAATAAGGCAGCTACTAGAATACTAGCAGAAGTATATCTAACACCTTTAAACTTACTACTTCTACTAGCAGTATTACTAACACAGCTTTTTAATAATTTAAAGCTAGATAAGAAGGCAAGCAATTAGCCTTTATTAAAAATAATACTATAGAAAGCTGCGTTTATTGCAGGCACCTAGGTTAAAGCATTAACTATTAAAGATAAACTAGCTAGTAGAGAAAAGATCTATGCTAGTAAGCTTTTAAACTTACTAATAAGCTTCTTTAAACTTAAAAATTACCTACTATATAAGTAATTTAAAAAGGCTAAGTAAAAGCACTTGCAGAGCTATTATAACATAAAATTATAAGTAAAAGTTAATACCTTACTAATTTAATAAGTAGAACACTAAGTTCTTAACTGTATGTAGGTCTACACATATAAACTTAATAAAAATTACTAGCTACTTTAGTGCAAGGCCTAATTAGTAGTCTATAGTAATTAATAATAAAATATAACAACTTAAGACACCTACGCAGCTACACTTGCTAGCAGGTTTTTTTATATGTTAATAATAATAGCAGCTAAGTATAACCTTAATCTTAAATAATAAAATATTACTAACGCTTTTATCTACGTATTAATAGATAGAAAGATCTATATAAGAATGCCTTATAGCTATTAAAAGCTAGAAAAAACATTAAAAGTTAAAAAGGCACTATATAGCTTTTGCATCTTACTACTACTCTAGCAGGAGAAATTTACTGCTACTTTACTATAATTAAGGTTTAAAACTATACTATACAAGCTGTGTTGTATAATAAAAAATAAAGTAATTATTTTCTTTTATATAAATAACATTATTTTTGCCTATAATTGTTATAGTAAAGATTACTATAAAGCTACTATAAAGGCACTCTAAAAACAGTATACTATAACTAGTAGAGATAACCTCTAGTAGTTTCTTAGCGTGGAAGTTACCCGCAACTAAAAAAAGCAATTTATTTATCTGTTGCAGTTAGCATACTTAGAGAAGATTAGTAAGCTAATAAATAACTAAAGCGTCTGCTATAATACTTTTATAAAGACTATTAAGCTAAGACTCTATAATAGGCTTGCTACTTTATTAGCTATTAACAAGTATTAGCGCAAGGTTAGCTTATTACTCTTTACTGCTACAACAACGCGCCTAGACACTGCATTTGCAGTGTCTTAACTAGCACGCTTTCTAGTTAATCTATTGCTAAAACATTACTAGTTAGCTAATAGAATTTTTCTATTTCTTTAATTAACTAAGGATCTTGCTCTATAACTAGGTAGAAGTAAAGGCCTTAAGGTATTAAGCAACGCATTATTTGCAAATAATATAATTAATTATAAAAGCTTACAGAGCTATATAATTAAGCTTTTTAAAGAGCTTATTGCATAGAGAGCAAACAAGCAGGATATAGTTACTATATTAACTACTAAGGCTAAACTGTTGTTGCTCTCTTAGGTAGCTAAAGAGGCAATATACTTCTTGCGCCTAATTTAAGAGCTAGAGATAATCTTACTTAGTATGCCGTGCTATGGCTCTTTTCCAACTCGTAAGCTATCAACAGGTTCAATCACTCACTCACCTCAAATACCCTCTGAGAACTGTCTCCTTACAGGTCCGTAGCGATAAATAGGCTGAGCAAGCTGACAACTCTTGTCACCGTGCTACGCAGATAGGAAGCAAAGACCACAACTAGTGTCACAATAGATCTCAAACGTAGGATGGTTTTTCACACTCTGTATATTCGACATCTCTCTATGTTAGGTGCTTCTCCTCCTTATATACCACATAAGAAGCAGCTATCCTAGGTTGCCCTGCACTCCTGTTGCTTCAGCTCATCAAACTGAGACCGGAGAGAGCTCTTCCTTTGTCTCAATACCTAGCTTCTTCCTTGTACATAGGAAAAGCAATGGCGACAGCCAGGTAGGTGCCTGTGGGCACGTACAACTATCATTCAGTACACCTAAACAATCAGTCTATCTAATGGCAACTGAGTGCCCGCAGAGTAACAAAAGAAAATTTTGTAATGGGTGTCCTGCCACGGCACAAATCCCTCCCTTCCTTAAGAATCCGCCTCCTGGATTTAGGCATCGCGGCATCTTTCCAGTTGCGCAGTCGCCCAGCTAGGTATCTAGCTAGTGCACTTGGTTGGCGTTGCCCTTTTCAGAGCCCCTCGGGCTCCACAGTGTAACTGCGAAGCAGTGCGTCGACAGCACTCTGCGGAGAGATGTCCTGGTCATGCTCATACTGGTCACCTTCTCCATCAAACGTACCCCCAGTCATGAAGTAGCTGCGCTCGGGGATCTCCTCCTCATCGTCACTGCCATAGGCCTCCATTTCTTGCAACTTGGCAGCTTCCCAGGATTTGCGAACATAGCTTTCGTGTGACTCACGGACCTCTCGTATCCAGTCTAGGAGTTCTTCCCTAGTACGCGATCGGTCATTTAACCAAGCGATCTCTTGACGGATGAGTGGTGAGTCCCAAGTAACTTGGCATGTAAGCGCTCGCGAGATTTCGCATCCATACTGCATTGGCGCAGCGCCTGGGAACGCCCATCCTATACCACCATACATGTTCGGATGACCAGATGGCGTCCTGGGTGGTGCCGTGAGCGAGCGATACGACTCAGCAATCTCCGAGTAGGTGCCCATGCGAGGATTCTCCATAGTCTTGCCATCTTTCTGGAATCCAACAAACCATGGAAGCATCGTTCGTCGGACAACAGTTGCAGGTCCTGTGGACCCATGGGCTAGCAGCGGGCTGCTAATGCGCACATCCCCTGGGCGACAGACCACGTTCACCCATTTGACCTGAGGCCATCGGGTACGGAGCTCAGGTGGCCAGTCGCGGTTATCATCCCATTTCTCCACATGGCCCTGGGGTACGGTGGTCCCCTTGCTCTTGCGCCACTCAGCATATTCGTCAAACACTGCGTTCATGCTCTCCAAGACCTGAGTGCAGTTTGTTGAGTTTTCCTTCGACCAGGAAACGCTCCCTTGGGCCATATCGCGCCCAAGCCCCGTAGCATGTGTCTCACTGATGTTGAGGTCGATGTGTTTGAAATATGTTCGGTCGCCTGGCTGCGCGTCTTTGGTGTAGTAAGGGTAGCTGATCAGGCGCGTGCGGTGACGAATGCAGGCGTACCATAGCCAATACTCAGGGTCTCCTCGGATCAGTTGCTGGATGGGCGAATGGTACATGGTGCGGCCCCATCCCAGGTTCTCCTTTCCATGGATGCGCCGAGTATGGTAACGATACATGTTGTAGGACTCGTTAAGGATAGTGCTCAAGTTCTCATTTTCTGCCACCCATCTGAACATAGGAATCACAATGTTGCCCTTGGTCCGATAGTCCCTTATCTGTGATTCCCATCCCATTAATCGGGCGATATGCTCATAGTCCAGTGAAAGTTCCCGCTCCAGAGGAAAGAATCGATAGCTCTTCAGGGTGTCGAAAGCGTGGGGTGCTTGGGCTGCCTTAAGAAACAGGTTCCGAGTAGCACTATTGTTGCGAATCTCCACCAGTTCGTGGGGATTCATTGCCATCGTCCGTAGTGTAGTTCGTAGCTGGTCTCCAGTCAGGTTCCCGGAGCGCAGGCCGACGCAAGTTCCTGTCTTCTTCAGGTGGGTATGGCACAGCGTATCCTTGTGTCGGTCATATTTGCGCAAGAACTCGGCGCTGGCATCTGGTCCTAAAACTTTTCCTTTGCAAGCCCCGATTGCTTGATGGAGCACGCTACGCACGTTCTTGCAACCGCATGACCTGCCTGTCTTGAGGATGCGTTGATCTGCCAGATCGAACTGACCGAGCGCCTCCACATTTATCTCCTCGTCCGGCTCATTGTCGATTTCATTCTGGATATTAGGCACTGCCTTGCTAGCTTCCCTCAGGGTGCGACTGCGCGTGTTGGCTGCCGGCCCAGTTTGCAGTCTCAAGGAGTTGTCATGGTTCTGAGAGTAGTTCGCCTGCAATGCCCGAAGAGCGACATTGGCAGCGTTCGCGTCTAGGGTAGTGGTTGCGAGCATCTCCACAATGGAACCTGTGGGGGACGAAAGTGGGGACACAGTAGGCGATTGAGCGCGGGAGGCAGACTCCACGCGTTCCCAGTCATCCCATTGTTCCTGCGACATGGAACCACGCCGGACGCGGAGATTCTGCTCCTCCACCGCTGTAAGGGTGGGCTTCTTGGGGATGAGCCAGTGTGACGGCTCGTGAATCTGCAGATTGCGCTCATTCATCCATGCTGTGGCGGGCGTCCAAATCTGGCCTTCTGGCAGCGGGATCAATTCTTGGATCCGAGCTTTCGCTGTCTCAGTCCATTTGTCCTTATACTGGGTACTCGTTACCCTGAAATTTGCAGGAGCATTGATGCGGCCTGATTTCCGAGCCTCTTGGTAACGATTGTCAAGGCCTCGGACCACCTCCCATGCCTTATCGATGTCCACGGCCAGGATCATGGTGGTTTTCTCAGTTATGTTCTTCCCTTTACTAATGCGAGCGTACAGGATGGCGTTGATAAGCTGCGCTAGCATGCGCGGATCTTCCAGCCGGCGGGCGATGTAGGATAGATGCTCCATTGCCGTGATCTGGAACCAAAGGTCTGGGTGGAATGGGAGGATGACATCCTCATAGATCTTGCGTTCCTTCCACTTTCCTTCCAGTATGACGTCCTGGTTGCGCTTCAAGGCTTGAACTCGGGTGGTTTTCCAATCTTTCGCTAAGGCCAGACCAGGATACAATTTGTTGAATCGGTCCTTCCCTCCATAAGCCTGAATTGCGGCTTCGTCTTGTTCAATGTATTTCTTGACTGCCACCATCATGTAGCTCACTTTGTCCATGACCATCAATCCACTGTTGATGAGCCGGTGGTATTCCATGACGCGTTTCTCGGGAGTAAGGGTGCGCACCAGCTCGATGTATCCTGCGAGGTTCTCGGGTGCACCAGGAATGGGCGTACGCTCGTTCTGGTAATTGCGCAGGTCGTCGCCTCGATCGGTAACTTCATACATCTGGAAATGTTCGCTGATCGTCGATTCCCGTCGTCGGTGCTGCTGGACAGGTCCCGACATGCGTCGCGCCATCGCGGCCGCACTCAGAGGTGTCGTACCCTCAAGCGGGGGGAATTGAGACATGCTTCCTGACGGGGTGGGTCCGCGGGACTGAGAAGGGGATATCTGCATTGGAGAGCCATGGCTTTCCTGGTGAGAATGGCTTCCTTCTGCCATTGCTTTGGTCGCCGTCTCTCGCCTGATCGACGTACCAAATCTATCTCTTTCTTATAGGCTTGAGGGCGGCAGGTTCACAGTTTTTTTTTTTTTTTTTTCTTTCATTTGTTGGGAGCTTGTCAGTAGTTGCTCTAGTGGTTGGAAGTTCGGTGGCAGGATGGAAAAGAAGACAGCAGCTGTATTATTTCTCTTATATCCTTTTCATATTGCGGCGGTGAAATGCGGTTCTGAGTTCGTCCATATCGGGCGTCGCGTTGGTCGAGACCTGGTCCGGGGCGCGCTAAGCGAGCCAATCAGAAACAGTTGGGCACACCCAACTGTTTTTGATTGGTCCGCTTACTTTTGACATTTCCTCTTTTGGCTGACCGTCCTGAGCTGGCGGTCTGGTAATTGAATGTCGCATTTAATTCAATTGTCGCGGCCGCCCTTGGTTTCACATACTTGCGTCGTCCCTTGCCCGCCTCGCTGACCGCCACACTGCCCCTCCCTTCCTTACACAACTGCCCCCTAGTTGGGTTGTGTGGTCTCGCTCTGTCCGGGGGCGGCGCGCTCAACGAATTGACTTAGGCGGACGACCTCCTAATTCTTTCTTCTTCTTCTCTATTTGCAAGATCGGGCGCCGCTATGACACCCAATGGAGGCCATAGCGACGTCCTTTCTTTTGCAGATTTTTGATCTTCTGGAGATAAGGAGAAAAGATACAGGACCGCCATGAGGGGGATACTTATACTCCTGGCGGGTAGGGATTTCACGGTACTCGTCACCCTTTTTTTTTTTTTTTTTTTTTTTTTTTTTTTTTTTTTTTTTGTGTGCCTCCCTTCCTTTTACGAGTTATCCTCGCGGATGGAAGTAAGAAGGCAGGAAGCCCAACCGGGGTTCTGTAGTAGCGACGAGTATGGCGTGCGCGACCTGGGCGCGGCGGTCAGGTATCATAACCCTCACAGTCGTGCGATGGACGTAGCCGGGGTCAACTTCCCGGTATTGCAGCCCCTCGCTCGTCTCCCGCAATTGCTGAGCCTGGATATCTTCGGGCAGCTCCTCGTCCTCAAAAAGTGGGCCATCAGCGTCTTCGTCAGATGACGCCGCGGCATCCCCCTCCTTATTCAGCAGCGTTCGCGCTAGGTCTTCTCTGGCGACATTCTCTGGGTCTCTTTGCACGAAGCGCTTAATCCTGTATCCGGGCGTTGGATTACGGAAGGGTACCCCATCCAATTCAGCCAGGCGATAGTAGTTCCGGTCTGGGTTGACATCATGGATCTTGTAGGGGCCGAGCCACTTCTTGCTCAGTTTCTTGTTCGTGGATCGGTCGAAGTCATTCTGTTGGGAGTTCCATAGCAGGACCAGGTCCCCCTTTTTGTAATTGTCGTGTTCAATTTCTTGGGTGGCGTCCCAGTATTCCTTCTTTCTTGCTCGAAGCCGCATTGTCCTTGCGGTTGCGAGCTTCATATGCCTGTCTCGCAGATCCAACTGAGCAGCGCGTATCGCCAGTAAGTCAGCGCGCGTCCGTACTCGACCAAATGGTAAAGTTTGCCAGGTTGGAATCTCCATTTCCACAGGGAGAATAGGATTCTGGCCCGTCACTAACTGCAGTGGGGCATATCCGGTCGGTTCGTGGACTGAGCATCGGTCTGCCATCAGAACAGTTGGCAGATTGTCCGTCCATTTCCCACTTAGCGACGCCAGGGCTTTCTTTATCGGCTTGTGACCGGACTCAATCATTCCCATCGCCTGCGGGTTGTATGCGGATGACTGAAGGCGGCGTATTTTGTATACCTCCAGAAGCATTCTCGCTACGTCCCCAAATTCAGGTCCGCCATCAACACTTATTTGCCGCACCATGCTCCATCTGCAAATGATGTCCTCATACAGGAACTTCGCAATGGCGTGGGCATTATTTCTTTTCAGTGCGCGGGCCTCAGGCCATCCAGATAGCGCCTCCCGAGCAACCACCAGGTATCGGAATGCTCCTTCTCTTGGCATGTGCACTACGTCCACATACACATGTTCCCACAACGCGAAGGTTCGGCTGTTGATCATCATGTCCTTAGTTCGTTTGGTGTCCAACATCTGACAACTCTCACATTGCCTGAGGGTTCTCTTTGTATCCTCCCAGATGTTTCTCCAATGGTATCGCTGTGCGATTACTGTTGCTACTGCATTAATCCCGCGGTGGCCAATTTGCCTATGGATTTCCCAGATCAACAGGACGCGCAGGCTGGGATGATCGACAACCCGGCGAATAGCCATGTTCCGGCTGCTTTTCTTGAACAGGTGTCCATCCTTCGCGAAGAATGTTAGGGCATTTTTCCGCCAGGCTCGCGCCTTCCTAGGGTCCATTCCTCTTGGGGTGCGAAGGGTCGTCAGATATTGTGCAATTTGTTCTGATTCCTCTGAGTACCACTCATCGAGGTACCGCCCGGCGGCTTCGGTTCGTTCACCTGCGGCAGCTAGGAAAGCTCCATTGATTTCCACAGCAACATGTTCAGACAGGGTGTGGTCAAGGAAGGCTTCCAAGTCATCGTCCGGTTCCATAGGTGGTTCGAAATCGTCGTCTTGTGGCATCCGGGACAGCGCGTCGGGAATCACATTCTTCTTCCCTTTAACATGACGGATGTCGAAATCCCACATCATAATCGCCGCCAACCATCTATTCATCAGCGACCCAGGGGTCTCTGATGATGTTCGATTCAGCTGCGCAATAAGCGTTTGCGCGTCCGTCTCCACCACAAAGTGGACCCCGTATAGGTAGTAGCGGCATTTCTTAAGGGCCCAAAGCAATGCGCGGCATTCTAGCTTGGTAGAATGCCATTTCCGTTCGTCCGCTGACCATAGGCAGCTCTCATATCGCACAGGATGCCTAAGGCCGTCCCGTCCAACTTGCTCCAGCAAGCAACCAGCTCCGTCACCACTTCCATCTGTCCCTAGGATGATTTCTCCATGGCCCTCTGAGTAATCGAGAGTAACCAGTGCCGGCGCAGTTGTTATCGCCGTCTTGAGTTTGTCCATTGCTTCTTGGTGCTCATGTGTCCAGGCAAACTCAATATCCTTTCTCATCAGCTGGAATAATGGCTTTGCAACCAGTGCAAAGCAGAAGATCCAGATGCGATAATACACCACAATGCCTACAAACATGCGGACTTCCTTTGGGTTTCGGGGGGCTGGCCAGTTGACTATCTTCTCAATCTTCTTAAGTTGCGGATGTCTTCCTTCCGCATCCACTTCATATCCTACTACTTCTATGCGATCCCAGCCGAAGTAGCATTTCTTCCCTGACACCGCTGAGCCTGCTCGCTCGATGTCCGCAAGCACTCGGTCCACTTGCTGTGCATGTTCAAGCACGAACTGTCGGATGCCAGGAAGGGCCTCCTTTCCTCCGTAGTCGTCTTTTGATCCTCCGCAACACACATCGTCAATAAATGGTCGGCAGTCGTGAGGATATCTCTCAGATAGCATAAGGAGAATTACTCGAAGGAACGCAGCCGGCGCATTCGTTGCTCCCATAGGCAGGGTGCAACATCTTAACAATCCGAGCATGGTCTGGAACGCTGTCATATCTCGGCTTTCTTTCGCCAACAGCATCTGATCATATCCTGAGAAGAAGTCCACGAGGGTAAGGATCTTGCATCCCGCGTAGTATTCAGAGAAGTCGTCGGCGCACGGAGGCAAGGCGGCGTCTCGAATAGTCACCGCGTTGTATTTGATTGCATTCATAATGAGACGATGCCCTCCGTCCTTCTTTGCAACCAAAAACCAGGAGTTGCGATACTGGCTATCGCACTGTTCTAGAACCAGCTTATCAATCCTTTCTTTCAGCATCTTTAGGACTTCCTGCTCGGCGGACTTTGGCGGTTTGAATGAATTTGCCTGCCACGCAGTGTGTGGTTTGGTGTGGATTTTGTAAGGCGGGGATACTTCTGGGTGTATCCTGCCTGATTCTCTGAAAGTGAAAGCAATCGCTGCTTCTCGATTAAGTAGCATCTGCTTGAACATGTCCACCTCCTGTGGTGATAACTGATTTCCAAAGTGAATGGATCTCATCCTCTCAGGATCGAGGCGTTGCCCTCGGGGGAACGACGCATGCCGGCTCTCAAATAAATGGTCCATAGGCCCGATGTCTGGTCCTCGTAGACTCTCGCGGAGCATCTGTCGTTCTATGGCGGCTGCCCGCCATTGAGGGTTTCCCAGTTCCTGTTCTGTGCTGACCCTAGGCTCGTCCACGGGCCGAATCTTGTCAGCGACCTTCTTGTGCATTGTTGCCACTTCGAATCCTTCAGTTGTTCTGTTCGGCTTCCGGAAGTGCGTCTTCCTAATGGCCTGTCGCTGATTTTGCCGGACAAGCTCTCGTAGTTCCATGGGTCCCAGCCCCATGGCGTTCATTCGCTCCTCCTCTTGTAACAAATATTCTTGGACGGCAGCAAATGCTTTCTCACTTTCTATCGAGTTGGTAAAGTAAGACATCCACTGCTCAGCTTCCCCAATCTCAGCAGCTTTGTCCATAATCTGCTGAAGTTCCTTGCGCGTCATCCTCACATCTCGCCCACTACTCTTCTCTAGTTCTTTCATGTTGCTTCTGCCCCATGGTCCCCGGCTTAGGGAAGGACACGCAGCCTCTGGCGCCGCTGCCTTCCTCTCCTTCCTCCTGCTATACGCGGAGCCGGTGCGCTCAGCAGGAGTCTTATCGTTGTTATTCATCGTACTCCTCCGTTCCCTGGTTGGGCGGGGAGTCTTCGTAGTCCCTCTTGTTCCAAGTGGGAGGGTCGGCTGCCAGAAACATGGCATTTTGTTTTCCAGTCAGGGCCAGGATTCGGCACGTCACTCTTCCGAGTGCAGTATATTGCAGAGCTAATCGGACCGACGCGCACCAGGGCGCCCCCAGTATAACTGATCGGGAACAATGTGTTACAACTCGGAACGTCGTTGGCACAGTGACCGCCCCTATTCGGACCGGGACATGCCATGCGGTGCCGATGAAGGCTTCCATTGCCCCCGTCGCTCCCCGCATCTGCCCGATAGTTCCGTCCATGTCTTCTTCAATGGCGATTCGCAGCGCTCGTGCAGCGCTCAGTCTTATCAGATTGATTTGTGAACCTGTATCAATAAGGCATTCGGCGGAATGTCTTCCAATATTGGCCCATGCGATCGGTAATTCTCCAGCGACCCGCACTACTCCATCTGTTCGATGTCGTTGGTTCACTGCTTTTCCGGGGATGTGGTCCAGAGGTTCTTGATAGGTATCCTCTTCTCCGCCCACATGATGGCGCATCCCCGCATTCACCTGAACTTCCACATTGTTCACCTCGTATCCATCCCATCTACCATATTGCTCTTGGTAGTCGGCCCCACTAGTGGGGTGGTCTCGACCAATCAGATTTAGTTGGTTGTGCCCAACTGTTTTTGATTGGTCCTGGATTCGGCTAGCGCGCGGCGCTAGCGTCGTTTCGTCAGGGTCCGGTCCCAACTCATTCCGAACACAATTCTGATGTCGCGGCGTCTCGACATGCGACGTTTCTACTGTTGGAGTAGGTGAGGACTCGGGGGTTTTCTTTTCCTCCCGCTGTTTTAACTCTTTCAGCAAGGGGCTCAGGATAGTAGGATGATCCAGCAAGTCTCGTAAACGGAGCCCCTTAATTTCTTGCCCTAGGATCCGAGATAGGGCAGGATCTCCCTCTTCCTCCTCCTCGGGTTCTTTCCTAGGTCTAGTCGCTCGAGGGGGCTTGACCACCGCATATGGGTTATTGTGAGGCTGCGCTTCATATGGGATCGACAGTTCATCCAATTCATCCTGGTCGTCCATGACAAGGTCCCCAGGCAGTCGGCTGTTGCGGATCTGCTCCTGTACCCGCTCGTACGTTCGGTCTCGGGCAGGAACCCTAGTCTTCTTTACTCGGGCGTCGCGCACCCGATCGAGCGACTCCTCAGTTGAGTCCCCCTGGTTCTGAGATCGGGTAGCCGCGTTGCTCTCGGTGATGTCTGGGTTGAGAATAATATGTCTCTTATCAATCTCATCTAGTAGGAACACTTCATTGTCGTTATCTATCATTGCAACTCCGCGGTTAAACATTACTCGCTTTTGATTGGCAGAGGGTCCGTTCTTCTGAGATGCTTCTTCTGTGATAATGTTTGCTTCTGCGGCCTTGGCTATATCGGGACAGACTTCCGGCATAGGTCGAGCGAGCGATTCCGTAGTAACCTGGTATCGATTCGCGCAGCACTGTTGCAGCCATGTCAGGATCCCTCGCTGAGGTGGTCTTCCGTCCGAGCCTACTAGCCCTAAGCTCCTGTTCACACTCCCAAACTTCCATTTCCACTCTCCATCTCTTCGATCCTTGAACTTGCTAACCCAGCCGCGGTTTTGCAGGTCCTGGAGGTGATCACAACCAGACACCCCATGTCCCTTCTCTCCGCAGCCCCAGCATTCCAAGGTAGACTTTTGTTCCCAAGAACCCTCGTCTCTTTTTGGCTGGTCCATAGCGCGGGCTTGATACGTGGCCATAGGTGGGTTGCCCGACCTAGGCCTTGCGGCGGTAACAGCCACAATGAATCGTGCCATGTCAGTCGAGTGCTTGAAACATTCACGCTGAATTCGTTCCTGGCTCGCAACCATCACCGCGTCCGCCATACTCAAGGTCATCCCTTTAAACTTCGATATTAGGTCGTCAACTGGATCCGTTTCGTTAGTGGATCCGGTGGCGGTTTCATGTCGTTCTCGTGCTGCAGTAGGCTGAGTTGCTTTTGCCAATGGCTTCGCCTCCTGCTCAGCCATGTACTGAGCCTTGCGCCGGAGAGAAGAACTGGTTTCATCTTCCAAATAGCGGAGCTCCTTCTCCGCTCGTACTCGTCTCTTAAGAAAGGCGTATATCTTGTTCAGATCGTATGGCGATGTGCCGTCGTCAGTGGTTCGTTCCGACTCAGGCATATCGAACATCACCTGGTGTCGGTGCTCTGGCTTGAGGCCCTTCATGAACCATCGCCCTCGGGAGTTCATGGTGATTTGCCCTTTATCGATGCATGCATTTGAATAAATGCAAAACCGGGTGTAGTAAAGTTCAAATGACAACTTGCCATGAGAGCTTTCCTCCACAAACGCACGCAGAAACGCCTCAGTCCCCATTTGCTGCTCTGGGTCCAGGTCCTCCCAGTGCTCCTTCATTACCTTCTGCAGGTCCTTCCATGACCCACTCTTAAACGCGGGGAGTTGCTTAATCAGCAGCTCCGGCTCTCGGTCACACCACTCAGGAAGCGTACGCAGCTTCGCCAAGTCAGTATACCCAGCATTGTTGCAGATCCGATTATAATCATCCAGAAATGCAGTCACATTTTCCCCAGAAAAGGACAGTTCCTTCCCTCGGGGCAATCGCAATTGAGGAAAGCTCCTTCGGTGCTCTTCCTCCTCAAGATAGTCCTCTGCGCGGTGCGCGTCAGACTGGTGTTGGTGTTGGTGTTGGGTAGACATAATGCTCAGTGGTCGATGGTTGTCTTCGTCTGGCACTATGTCGGGATTGTTGTTAAATGGCAAGTTTTGAAGGAACTCGTTCAAACTGTTGCCTCTCTCGGTAGTCATCTATTGTGTTGTAGTTGGGGATAGCAAGGACGGGGGTCCCACTCTCATCACCAAAATCTATGCCGTGCTATGGCTCTTTTCCAACTCGTAAGCTATCAACAGGTTCAATCACTCACTCACCTCAAATACCCTCTGAGAACTGTCTCCTTACAGGTCCGTAGCGATAAATAGGCTGAGCAAGCTGACAACTCTTGTCACCGTGCTACGCAGATAGGAAGCAAAGACCACAACTAGTGTCACAATAGATCTCAAACGTAGGATGGTTTTTCACACTCTGTATATTCGACATCTCTCTATGTTAGGTGCTTCTCCTCCTTATATACCACATAAGAAGCAGCTATCCTAGGTTGCCCTGCACTCCTGTTGCTTCAGCTCATCAAACTGAGACCGGAGAGAGCTCTTCCTTTGTCTCAATACCTAGCTTCTTCCTTGTACATAGGAAAAGCAATGGCGACAGCCAGGTAGGTGCCTGTGGGCACGTACAACTATCATTCAGTACACCTAAACAATCAGTCTATCTAATGGCAACTGAGTGCCCGCAGAGTAACAAAAGAAAATTTTGTAATGGGTGTCCTGCCACGGCACATTAGTAAATTAATCTCTATCTACTGCAACAATATCTAGACAATTTAATTAGTTAATAAAGATATTGCAAAGCTTTAGACAAAGCTTTAATATATAAATATTTATAACTACTAGTTATAGCAAAAACGCACTAAGAGAGTAATAACTATTAAGTATTAACCTACTGCAGAAATAATTATAGATAGACTTATAAAGGCGCTGCCTGCTAATAAGTAGCACTAGTTCTAATTGCAGCTAGAACTAATATAAAAGGTATTTCTAGCTTGTAATAAGGTTTTAAGCTAAGAGAGTGTATTAAATATAGCACTATAAATTACTATAAGCTACTATAAGGTCTTAAAGTAATACCTAGTTAGACTAGCTACTAGAAAAAACTTAGTGCTTAGCATAAGGATTAGCTACACTAAATAATATCCCTCTCTTCTAGGGGGTGGGCGACAACACACATAATTATTAGAACACATTATAAGAAATACAATTATTAACTTCATCATTACTACGTATTACTGTGATATCTGACAAGTTATATATACTTCTTTTTAGCTTTTTTTAGCTTAACTATTATACTTTTAAAAGCTTTTTTAATGTTTTTTTTTTACTTTAAATTTACTTTTTAAAAAGTAATTACTTTTTTACAACTTTTTTTAAAGTTATTTTCTTAGTACTTTAACTTAATAATTTATATAGCTATATATTTTAAATAAAGCTTTTATTAAAAATAATATAAAAAATTACTTATTTTTATTATTTTTATAATTTAAAGAAGTAGTAAAAATTATTTTTTTAACTTTACTTTTAAGTTATTATTAAATTTTTAAAGCTTAGTATTAAGTATATTAGTATTAATTTTAAAAAATTTATTATATAGTATAAGTATTAAAGTAAGTACTATAGTAAAGTATAGTAAATACTACTGTTTTTACTAAGCTATAAAAAATTTAACTAAGTTAAATAAAGTTAATATAAATAAATTCTTTTTAAAAACTTTACTATAGCTTTTATAGTAAAAAGTAATAAATATACTATAGTTTATTTTTTAACTTTAACTTTAACTTTATAAATATTTATATCTTTACTAAATTATTAGGATATTATATACGTTACTACGTTAAATGCGCTCATATACTTTATTATTTATACAGGCTCAGGCTTCCATTGTGACACTGATTACGTTGGTAGTACGCGGCCGGCGTGAGCGTAATCTATGTGCGCTTGAGTTACTAAGTGCTACTGCACGCAGCGCTGAGCCTGGCATAAACGGCAGCGTATGCAAGATAGGGATATCTTGCATCTTTAAAGGACCAAATTACTCTAGAACCTTGCCATTAAATAGTGTTTTTTGAAGATAGAACAAGCTACACCGTTTTGCTGAAGCACAATGCAAGACCTAGGTGGTAAGCCTTGCATACTTCGATTCAAATTACTCTCCGCTAGTTCCTTATGATGCCTGGCTCAGCATCTAGTGCGAGATGCGTTCTTTTTGAGGTAGCAGCAAGCCTAGAGTGGGGCTGAATCTAGGTATCCTCCTGGAAACATGTGAGTACATGGAGAGCAAAGTGGACATTTTCTAATAGGTTCTATTTCAATCTTGCGTATAACATGTCTCAAATTGATTCGGTCTATAAAAAACAGCGTTGATTCTGTTGAGCAAACAAGTTTACTAGAATTGTGGCAAATCCAGGCAAAGATTTTGAACAACCTTAGTAATGTTAGGGCGGACTTGACCACCCGCTCACGTGGGCTGCGTAAAGTTTCCCGCCCACAAGCCAGAATGGCAATTTAGTTTGCGTGTTCCTTCGGCACGTCCACCCTTGATTCCACAATAGAACTGTTCCTCGGGTGCAGGTTCGCAAATTCCCATTGGTTTATCATCCGTGTCTACGATGACTCCACCGCGATTGGCATAGTACGCTGCAAGGTGTATTAGTACAAACAACAATGAATTGAGTAGGAGTCGGATGAAATAAAAAAGGTGGCATCATTCGAGAAGAGAACCAGAAACTTACTGAAGTGTAAACGATTGCTGTCCCCCTTATACTGCCTGGCGTTGATTTCTAGTTCCTTGATTTTATCGCCAGACCCAGAACGATTGCAAGAATCGCCATCTCCAGAACAGCGAACGCCATATTTTAGTCCGCTGACATCATCTGAATCGCGCCAGATCCAATCTAATGCATCGTCGCAGGCAGGGACTCCATCTTTCAATTCATAAATTTGCCAGCCGTCAACATTTTCTGAGATTCCATCTCCTCCAATGCCTGAATTGTAGATGGCAAAGTTACCAAGGACCGTTGGGGTGATCAGAGCTAGAATGACTGTTGATACGGTGTTGGATATCATGGTTGCGAAGATCTTGGGTCTGGGAAAATAGATTGGAGAATAGGTATTGGATATTGCTGATAGAAAAAAGTTGTCTGGCTGTTGAGAGTGAATGATGTGTAGATAGATAGAAAATCATGGAAGACAGTTGGGTATTTATATTCCTTCCAGACTACCTGAGCTCTTTTTGTGATTGCATGACCCTCTCGAACTCTTGAAGATAGCAGTGGGTTAGGCCCGTTGATTTTGTCAGCTTACTTGACACATGTCTTGATAGTTGTGTTATTGTTTTACCTACTGTAGTAAACAGTTGTCATAGGCTCAGGCAGGCAATGCAGGATAACCAGAACATGACAGCAGGAATAAGTAGGCAAAATAATCAAGCAGAGGAAAAAAGGCAAGTTTTGGCACAAGATCAGGCACAGTTGCTAATTATGTCTCGTATTCTCCCGTGCGGTGAGTGTAGGCCGCTTCTCTAGTGCACACACAGCTCTTGTCCGCAGCAGCCTCGCCTCCCGAAACTGCACACAACCACACCTCATAACCTTTCATCGGTGTTGATGTTGCCTCGTTCAGGTGGGGGCCATTATACGCTATATGATGCGTTCGCACGCTGCGCCAGCCTGATAATTACCTGTTATGGAGCAGGCAAATATCGGACGCCTTATGTTAGATCGAACTCCACCGAAACCTCATAGCTGCGTCAAGTTACACCCTGCTTGAATCACTTGTACGGCAACACGGCACAGAAAAACTAGGCATACTCGTTACGTCGCCTTATTCATATCTCTTAGCCTAAAAATATATTCTTCAATCCACGCGTCCTTTACGACCTCGCTACTGTTAGCACAGTTATTACGCCTTTCACTACAGATACAATCGTATACAGCCCCCATCCTAGACTACTCCAGCTAAAAAAAAAACTAGAACTCCTTTGTCGTGCTCGGAACTCGGAAAACCTAGTAACTAAATTAGAGACCACCGTACGTCTTTTTTCTTTGTGTTGGGTACGTAGTATAAGCACTGCTAGTTATATATATATAGGAGGTTTAAGATGTTCCGCTAACAAGCACCTTTATGAACACGACACTAATCTCTGATGTATTATTACCTGTATTTATTATACACTATAGTTGAACACCCAAGCAAGGGATTCATTCAAGTTTGATTTGAGAATTTTGATTATTGGTGGGGGTGCGATGAAATGTATAATCTTCACGCCAAAAGACAATGATAAGAGATAGAAGCCTCGAGAACAAGCCATAGCGAAGAAAATTAAGAAAAGGAGGTTGAAGAAAGAGTAGGTAATCTAGCATTGGTGCGGTAGTACCAGGAAAAGTACGAGGCAGCCGAGGCGATAGACCGGGGAGCGTTGGAGGGATATGAGAAGGCGCTGGGGGAAAGAGCTAGTTACTAAAATTAGGGAGGGGCATCGACCCGGAAGACTTAACTATCAAAACTATGAAGGAAAGAAGGCCTCATTACACAAGTAGTACCATAAGATTAGAGAAAAACCTCCCAAATGATCCCGCACCCGGAAGAGTGAAAAAGAAAAAGAGAGAGAAAAAAAAGAAGTGGGCTTGATCCACAGCCATCAAGGGCGATAAGGCGGAGGCGGCTCATCATCATCGTACCGTTCCCCCAGCGCCGTAGAAACAGAAGGCGCATACCCCGGTGTAGAATACGTCTCCCAATTATCGTCGACAGCGGTATGCCTACCGACGTGCGGGGACGTCGGGGACAAGCCTCCAGGTTGATGCAGCGCAGGCGAGGAGACTGAGAAGCCGCCTGTTGAGTAGGGAGATTGCATGATTGGGGAGAGGGAAGAAGGGTTGTGGGGTGCGGGGGTAGCTGTTTGCATCGCGGTAGGGCGATAGCCGTTTGCGATGGGCATTCTGGAGATGGTTGCGCAGGAGTCTGCGCGCTGGAGGGGTTGGATGATTTGAGGGGGTGGGGCTTGGTAGGACTGTGGTGGGCGTGGAGGGAGGACAGGGCGGCGGGGGATGTTGAAGGATTGGGTGTGCGTGATGGGTTGGGGGTTGTAGTGTGGGTGTGCTTGTCCTTGTTGTTGTTGTTGTTGTTGGGGTTGCGCTTGCGGCCGGGACGATGCTTGATAGACGTACTTGTGGCATTGCGCGTGTTGGGGTACTGGACCGGGATGATGGTGTTGCTGCGAGGCGTTGTGATGATGGTACAGCGGTGTTGCCTGAGGTTTTGGAGTAGTGGCGCCGGGAAAAGTGTGGTTGCGGCGTTGGTGTGTCTCGGCTTCTATTCTCTTCTTTTCGTTCTTATGCTTATAGTGCTTGTGCACGAGGATACCGCCCACGATGAACTCGAGGCCTCCGAAGATGACCATGATGTCGACGCGTGATTGTGAGGGTTCCTTGTCGAGATGGCGTTGAAAAGTGGAACACGCGGTGGATCTTGACTGGGAGAGGGGAAACGGGGAAAGCAAACGTGGATTGTGAAGTGGGAATAGAGTAGGATGTCGTGGATTGAAGAGCTGATCTCATGGCGGTGGCTTAGGCTGTTCAGCGATGAGGAGGTGGTGGCTGATTGGACGCCGGGTCATCCGGGAACATTGGAAGGTGGCGGAGTCGAGCAAACCTGATGACGGTTGCTTTAGCGAACAGCAGCTCCTTCCCGCTTTAGGCACTGCTATCATCCACATGGCACGTGCAACTGCGCTTTGGAATGCTCAAATGTTGTTAGTATCGCCATGTTTTTATGGCGTTGACTACTATGTATGCACTATATACAGTTCTCATCAACGGCAATGCAGGTTTGGGAGAACACGTGGGTGGGTGGGCCGGGGATAACCCATCGGGCTTAGCGGGTTGATCGAATTACTTCTTTCGTCATTAGCGTCGTGGTCTCCCATTGGTGGGTCGGTCGGTGACATATTTCATCTCATAGACGAAGGGGGAGCCCCTCATATATTGCTGTTCCCCAAACTATAGATATAACATCTTCCAGGACGTCTCATCGTTTACACAGCATTGCGGATAGTTTTTGCAGTTTCAGTGGTCACTGAACACACTGGCGTTTGTGGTGTTTCGCTGTGCCGCCCCCTCAGGTGTCGCTCATAACTTCATTCAGCATTGCCTTGCAAATACATATGCACCTACTCACCGCTCGTCAACTCAAACGTTGAATTACGTGCTTACCTGTCCCCTCACTCGTTCCATTCATTCCGAAATCTCTTTCCAGTATGTCAACCGTCACAGCTGTACAGACTCTGCCCGTTCAAGAGGGTGATATCGAGCTTGTCCCTCTAGAACAGCATGCAACTCTAGCCGCTACCCCTCCAAATGACGAGCCAGGGTTAAGTAAAGCCATCATCACCAAGATCGTTGTGGCAGGCGTATCATTTTTCTTCGCTGGAACAAATGACGGCAGCCTGGGAGCTCTGACGCCATACATCCTCCGAACATATCACGTTGGCACCGAATATGTCGCCCTCATGTAAGCCATCACGTGACATCAACATTCATCATCTCAGGAGACTTACCCGTACAGATATGCGTCTACTTTTCTCGGCTGGGTTCTCGTGGCTGCAACAAACAGCTATCTTGTCCGATATCTACAGCTGGGTTCCATCATGACCGTGGGGTCCGTACTTCAGATCATCGCCCATGTTCTTCGGTTCTGGACTCCGCCTTTCGGTCTTTACGTCTTCACCTTCTTTCTGCAGGCCGCAGGCATGTCCTACAATGACACGCATGCAAATACCTACGTGGCTTCTGTAAAAGGTGCGCACAGATGGCTGGGCTTCATTCATGCCATGTACGCGCTGGGTTGTCTCGTCTCGCCGTTCATCGCGACGGCAATCGCTGGCAGGTACGCTCGGTGGCCCATGTTCTACCTCTTTCTCGTGGGCATTGGAGTCATCAACACCGTGGCTGTCGTTGTTGCGTTCCGCGACAGCTTGTCAACAATTCCTCGTTCGCAACCCACCGAAGGCTCCCAGTCGGCAAGTCGCAGCAAGAATGCGTCGCGCGAGATTGTCAAGATCCTCAAATCTCCGTCGGTCTGGCTCTTGGCTCTCTTCTACTTCTTCATGCTCGGCACCGCTATCACGGCTGGTGGCTGGGTTGTCGAGTATTTGGTTTCCGCGCGCAACGGCAAACTCCCAGAGGTTGGTTACGTCAGTGCTGGCTTGTGGGGAGGCATCTTCCTCGGTCGCGTACTTCTTGCCGAGCCAACACATCAGTTCGGGGAAAGAAGAATGAGCATGTTATACTGCGTCTTGATTCTGGGCTTGCAGTTGGTGTTTTGGCTCGTTCCCAACATCATCAGCAGTGCCGTTGCTATATGTCTTCTGGGGTTCTTTTACGGACCACTCTTCGCTACCGTAAGTAACAGAGCCATGCGCAAATATTATTCCGCAATTTTTGACGTCTGTACGGACCTTTCTGTACTGACCTTTCTCGTGTAACAGGGCATGTCAATCGCGTCTAAACTGTTCGAAAGAGATATACAAGCCACAGCCATCGGCTTCGTCTTCATGCTCGCACAAGCGGGCGGCGCCCTATTCCCCGCTTTGACAGGGATCATCGCGAGCAAAGCCGGTCTGAAAGTCATGCAACCGATTGTGGTCGGATTGATTGTGGCTATGGGCGTTGCTTGGGCTCTTGTTCCCAAGGTCCCAAAACGCGACGTCTGATTGGCTGCTGTCGCACGAGACAGCGAGACAACGACATCCCGAGACAGCGAGATCACGAGATGTCGAGATACCGAACACCGTCCAATTCACGATATGATAAATTATCATGGGCCCTTCACGTCTCGCAATTCCCCGTAGGATTTTGTGGTGGTCACGGATACGCTAACTGGGTATCGTAACTCATCTGTGGGCGAATGACAGAGGAAGAATTCTATTTGAAAAATCCCACAGCTCTGGTCATTGATAGTGTCTGTATACGTTAAGTGTTCCTTGCCCTTGTTCTTAGAGATCAATTGCATCAATCATGTGTGTGTGCTAAATTTCTAGTGGGTTTCAACCTTAATCATGTAGCGCGCTGTTCCCAATACCGATCACGTCCGCAACCCAAGGTCTACTCAAGAATATCGAAAAATATAAAATTCCCCAAATTTTCCATCATAAAAACGCGCCCGTGTCGGAACATTGCCCCAGAGCAAGCTTCCTAGAAAGGTCTAGTCTTTGTTACAGTAGAGAGACGTCGTGTTCGAAACCGTTGACATGTTGCTCCAGCCATATTCCTAATCGGGCACTCCCGCCCGTTCATCCCCGCTGTTCTGTTTACTAATCCTACCCATCACGCCGAGCATAAAACGGCCCTTTGACCTCGCCTTGAACACTATCCACTCTCCTGCATTTCTTTCATCTTACCCTATCACCAAACCACCGGTCCCTCCAAAATGGCGACTCCCCAGTCCAAAACTTTCATGGTCAAAGCAGGCCACACGTATAGCTACACCCACGTCACCCCTCAAGACTCCTCGAAACCTACTTTCCTCTTGGTTCACGGGTTTCCTAATTGCGCCGATGATTGGAAATTTCAGATCAGGGATTTGGCGGCTGCGGGGTACGGTGTGCTAGCTCCCGACCTGCTAGGCTACGCAGGCACCGACAAACCTCTGGCGATCGAGGAATACAAAATGTCCAATATGACTGCGCAGGTTGTGGAAATCCTGGAGCATGAGGGATTGAAGAAAGTGGTTGGTGTGGGACATGATTGGTAAGCTCTCCTCATCTTTCCACTTTCGTTGGTATGGAGGAGGTTGTGTGTATGACATAAGATTCAGGGGTTGGAGTGTGCTAGACCCCGCACAACACGATGGGGTCGCTCTTGACCGACTCAAATGTTCCCGTGCTCTTATTGTTTGGTTGATAGTGCTGACCTTCTGTGCGTTTTTTTGTTTTCCAGGGGTGCTGGTCTTCTAAGCAAACTCGCCAATTTCTACCCAGACTACTTCTCGGCGTTGGCCTTCCTCTCTGTACCATATTCGCCGGGACTCTCGGATGTAGATGGCATCAACGCCCGCACCGAAGCTGCCTTCGGCTACCCTACCTTCGGCTACCAGAAATTCTTCAACGAAGATGACGCCGCAGAGATAATCGAGCGCAACGTAGGTTCTCCTCCGACCTTCTCGATCCACATCCAAGCTAATCCACATAGATCGAATCTTTCACGTCGGCAGTCTTCCCCGGCGACCCTGAGGTCTGGCGCACCGACCTCTGCCCCTACGGCAAAGCAAAAGCATGGATCGAAGCCGGGAAAATGGATTCAAAGCTACCCAGCTACGAGACCCCTGAAACGCGCGAGGCGCGCGTCGCGAAGTTCAAATCTGGCGGTCTCGCTGCGCCCTTGAACTGGTACAAGGTGTCGATGCGCAATATCGACGCCGAGGCAATCAATGCGATCCCCAAGCAAAACCTCGTGCTCAACGTTCCGACCGTGTTTATGGGCGGAGACAAAGACTACGCTACGAGGGTTGAGATGATGCAGATGGCGGCGGCGAAGCTGAAGGAGGCGGGACTGTTGAAGCCGGATGTAGAGGTAAAGATTGTGAAGGGTGCTAGTCATTGGATTACTCTGGAGAGGCCGGACGAAGTTTTCACGGTGTTGCAGGAACTCGTCAAGAAAGTAGAGTAGTAGACGTGCATTGATCTTACATCGAATGGAGAACAAACAGCCAAGATCTTAGCGTTAGTCGTCCACATTTGTATACATGTCCTCTTATATCGAGCGTCTTTGAAACATTGTAGACAATTCCCTGCTAATGCCTTTTCAACACTACTTCGCATGCAGATCGCAATCTACTACTTATAACCCTCAAAGTCATGATAATCCCCCAATAATCAAAAGTCCCACATAGATATATAACCCAACCTCACCACCATCCCCCAATCACAACCCCAACCCCATCGCACAACTCTCCCTCCCCACAACATCCCCTCCACCAACAAAAAACACCAAACATACCAAACAAAGCTAGTCAATCGTAGTCCCACATATCCTCCCCAACCGTCACACATCATCCTACCCCTATCTATCCGCTCTCCTCACCCGCCAAACACAGGGCAAGTGGATTCCTCCCGCCCTGCGCCACTACCCCTCATGATCAGCCCAGGATGTAGAAAGCAGGAAAATCATCATGCCACTTCTCGCTTCCCTACCCCACAGTTTCCGTTCTTTCTGGTTAGTCTCTACGAGATGGAGCACTAGTTTGGAAGTAGGATTTGTAGCGGTGTAATAGGTTTCAGTTAGCTTTGCTGCGGATAGTGTAGGGTTCGTTAGTAGTAATCTTATATAGATGGGTTTTTGCTGGGGTGTTTTTTTTAGGGACAGGTTTAGGGACTAAGATTAGGGATGGTATATATGTTGTAGGAAAAGCGTCGGATAGCGGAAAAGTGATGTGGGGGTGTAGGGGTTTTGTGGACTAGGGAGGGGGCTGATAGTGGATTTGCACGGCTGATAGCGTGGTTTTATCTTGTGTAGAAGGGGAATGGGAGGGTTATTAGACATAATTAAATTATATAAGTGGAGTGTTTGTGCGAAAGAGGTGCTAGATAAGATGATGCATGTTCTATTCTCCTACTTTTATGATTAGGACACTGCGCAAATACTATCAATGATGTTAGATATACTATCTAGCATCAAGCTTAGTCCTCGATCCTTCGAATCCTTCGCAGAATATAGTATGAAGGAGGCTATCCATCCATCAATCAATATGGATTTCCTAGCGCCGCATAAACGACTTCGAAGGAATAAAGTGGAAACTCTCCAACAAAGACAATAAAAACATTGTAACAATGACGACCGCCTTCTCCTCTCCACGCGAAAGTAGGTATCCGCAGCACAAAACAAAAACGATTCTAACCCCACCATCTCCAGCATCGCCTCCGCGTATATAAGAGACCCTCTCTCCCCTCCTAAAAACCACAAACATCTTCTTCCACTCTTCATCAACGCACACAGACGTTTGCAAATCATCTCTAGTCTAGTACAGACTTCGTTGCCATCATGCGTTTCTTCGCCACCGCCATCATCTCCCTCGCGGCACTCTCATCCCGCGTTGCGGCAGCTAGCTGCGACACGCCCGGCGAATACATCTGCGGGCAGGCGCTCGAAGATATCTGGATCTGCAGCCCGGATAAGGAGTTGGTTCAGAGCGCTATCTGTGGGGGGAATGGGTGCTGCACTTATGTCAATGGGGTGCATTGCAAGTGCTAGACCAAGGTACTGGGGCTGTTGGGACGGGGTAGTTGAGGTGAGTTTATTGATGTTTGTTATGCTGGGTAAAGGTGAGGTTTGTGAGGTTTTTTGTTGACTTTTGAAGAGATTTAGAGGTGGATTGTGGATGGATGGTGAGAGAGTTTGGGAGGTCGTTTGGGGAAGTCGAATGAAGGGTTAGTGGGGGGGGATGGTGAAGGTACTACGACGATATGCAGTCATACTTCAACCTATCGGCGAACAGATGACAGTTTTTTCTGGCTACAGGGTTTTTAGTGCTTGATTGTTTTGATCACTGTGGTCTCGAATTCATAAAATGAATGGTACGAGTCGCTACGATGTCGATATCCAAAGCACTAATCAATCGACGCACAAGAAGATTTATCTCCTAGACCAAAACATATTATTGCGTATATTATGTTTGCGTTACCTTGATGTAGTCATGTAGCTACAAATGAGGTACTTTGAAGTATCATTGCAATTCAGGTTTCCAAGTGGTTTTGTCGCCTGTAATTTGCTGAACTCGTCAAATTTACTAACGATTCTAGCCCCACGCCATGATCCCGGGAGATCAGTAACAGGACGCCCCTACTTGTCACCAGACAATAATATTCCCACTGCTATACTGGCACAAAAATTCTTGATTAATGAGTAGAGACTGTCGTGATTGTAGCTAATAGGATGCCAGCGAATACAGACTGAGGCGAGGGGGTGATACCATCTACTAGTCTTTATTAATACAAAAACAAGGGAAATAATCTGCACCCGCGCGTCGCGTAATGTATGCGGCACAAGCAAGTACCAGTCAGCGGCCTCACCTTGATTGGTTGAATTAATCAGCCGATGCGCGGATAGGAATACGCTTGGAAGACTTCACAGTCGGGCGTCCAGAAACGAAACAAACGCCCATACGCTAACCGCAACTCTATTTAGACTGACATCTGCATAGTTCTTCTTTCTAGAAATTAAAGCATTGTAATTTGGACTGACAGTGAATTCCTCGAGTGGCTATCCTGCTATGTAAAGAAGTGAACGGAAATTCATCGAAACGCGCAGTCCGGTTTATGCAGCCAGGACTTACTTATAGGAAGCAGAATTAACTTATAGGCTGTGGGTGAAGCTTAGTATTGGCGCGATTGGAAGGCGATGTAAGCTTGGGGCGGTGTATTGAGTAACCAAACGGCCTACAGGACGACCCAGTAACAATATGAAATATGTGCTTCAATACTTCGCAGTGATAAAAGAGCGGCAGTATAGAAAAATCTGATTGTCACTTGCATCCATTCTCCTCGTTCTATTCTACTCGGGTAACGCGTTATTCATACAAATCGAACAGTGATCATCATGTATACTACTGCCATCTCATAATTTAGGGTCACAGAAGTCTACCTAGATGTTTCACCCGCTGTTTTTAAATCTAAACCATTGTTTTGCATGTGCTTTTCATCTTCGCCCTGTTTCTAAAACAGTTCCAATTATTTTGGTACGGTATCCTCTTTTTTGAATATTTGTTAGCAGGCCTGGTACTTTCACCACGGAATAGATTTCAGATACCGATTTGCGAGAGGCTGTAGCCGCAGAGGTTGAGTCCTTGTTTGCAAGCTCGATTAATGGTGCTGGCAGGTAGAAGTGCTGGTATGGCGGAAGTAGTGCTGGAGTCATGCACATTGGTTGGTTCTTCGATTGGATGCTGCTGCTGGCCTAGACTCTGAGTTATATTGCCGGCGGGGGGTGAGCTGCTGTGTTGCTTGAATCGTCGCCGTATTTTACAGATCCTCATACATTGGGGTTATCTCGTAGTTGGTCACTCACTTCCAAATATCTCGGAGTAGCGCATCAGAAGGGCCGTTATTTGACACCCATGAGCTTCTTCCAGCCAGCTATCATATCTTCCAGCACACATATGACATCTGTGTAGACCGCTCGTCGCAACGGCTCTTCATTCAAGTCTTCGCCACAGGCAAAATCGCAGTCGATGCATTGTTGAGCGATTTTTATGTACTGGTTGCCCAGCCTTGACAAAAGAGGGTGCTTCTCATGCAGGATCTTACGCGCAGTGACAACGCGTTCCGAGGTCAACAATGAATCCGGATTGCAAGTAGCGAGGTCTTGCTTTGTGCCGATCTCAAGGAGCGAGACGCCGAGCTTGGCTAAGACAAGATTTCGGATTCCATACATGTACCTCAGTTGCTCAGGGTCGTTTGCGAGACCGGGGTGTGAGGCTGATGTTTTCTCGGGAAATTCGGTGCTTAGATGTAGAGTCTGTAATGCTTGGGTAATACTATCTTCGGACGTTGCAGGTGTGTCGGGCTTGTTCGGTATGTCTGCAGGGAAATAGGCGATGTCACTAAGTCCCCAGTCATCAGGAAGCCACGAGGTGGAATGGTACTGCAAAACAGCCATCGCAAGCTTGTGGGCAAGCGTAAGTTGATGCAGAGTCTGAAGATGATCAAGCTTGGCAAGAACCGAGGAAGAATTTCGACCTGGTATGTTTCGTGCGAGGTTGGCTTCGGTGTTGCGACCTGCGTCATAGAAGATGAAAGTGAATGACTGCGGTGCTTCAACAGATTCTAGATAACCTAGTTCTTTGCATTGGGCTGATTTGCAAGCTTTGCTCAAATGGCAACAGACGCTTGGTGTGGTTTTGAGATCCAACAAAGCAAAATTAGCGGCCATTGGCTGCCTAGATGTTCTAGGTAAGGATACTTTGGCAGGCGGATCGGGCGCAGGCTCTGTGCTACCGTCTGATGCTTCGAAGCGTACTTGTCTTTTGAGCTTCTTCTGATTTTTTGAATCCGTGGACTTTGCTGTCGATGGAGCGTTGAGCGATTTAGATGGGATTGCATGCATTGTCGAAGTGTGAGGTGAGGCTGACATGGCCTCCGGAAGTCCCGATAGCATGGTACCAACTTTTGTCGCAGGCTTATAGGCAGTAATGGATCTGACCTGTAACCAGATTGGGGCCTCTGGGGGAGGTTTTTGTGCGTCGTTCAATGTTTGGGGAGAAGGCCTCCGTAGACAGGTTATGACCATATCAAGTTGTATGCTGTCGTATTCAGCCTGGGCATCTAGCGAGAGCTTGGCCTGGTGATCCACGTGTGATATGTTCGTACAAGAAAAGGAATTCTTCAGAGAATCGTGTAACTTCTGGGAAGCTGTACAGATATCTTTGTAGCGATTCGGGACGTTTTTCCGAACAATGCAATCCGAGACGCAGCGCTGACGTTTTCGAAGCTTACATAGTTGAGCGCGCAGGCCGGTTAGCCTAGTGTTCCACCTTTCCAACTCATCCAGCCATTTCAAGTGCTCGTTCTCCTGGATAGCAAAATCAAAGGCTCTCCACAGGCGACGAATTGGTGCTGTCTTGGTGTGCCCCTCGGTCTCTTCTGCCAGCGAGCCTCGATCGAGTTTGGAAAGCCGTGTGTCGGTTTCCTGTAGTACCTCTCGAATTTTCACAACAACGTCCTCCAATACTTGTGAGTTACGGCCAAGAAACCTTTGAAGCCGCTCTTCAAGGGCGGGGTCCTGCCAATTTGCGTGTTTTGGGTCGTCTATCATCTGCGAAAGCTCGTGGGCATTGTCGACCACCGCCTTTAACAAGAGCTGACAGTCAACACTGAAATTCGTTGCAGCAACTTTATGTCGCAACTGAACAGCACGAACAGCTTCAACGTAGCGGGTGAAGGTCCTAAGCCGGGTTTGGAGGGCTCTGTTTGATTTCAGAATAGCAACAACGATGGGCACAATGCCGATAACAATACCAGCAACCTCTATACCAGACATGACGAATTGATGTTACAAAGAGAAAGAAGGAAAGAAGAAAAAAAACATGAGAGGGTTATCTGGAAAGGGTGTAAATTTGAAAAGCAAGGTGGGGTAGCGCGGGGCAGCTCTCAAGGCTGATTTCTCGTATTTGGCAGCCATTTTCCGGTGAACCACCACCTCCGCCTCCACCAATTCCACTACCACCTCCTTGCTACCTTCACCTCAGCCAACTTAAGGTGCAAGAACACGACTCTATCCTCTATAATACATGGCCTGAACGATCTCAGGAGCTGTATCGATAGAGCACTTCCTTCATAGCAAGCGTCGAGCAAATTTCTCCGAACACCCTTTGCAGCCTGATGGATCAGGCTGGAAATACGATAGACCGCGCGGTTTCGGATCGTAGCGGGAACATACGAGCATGGCAGATGACAGCGCAACATGGCAATGAATCAGCTGTCTCCACAGCCATCATAGCAGCACTGTTTGACAGCTTGATCGCTTTTCTCCAAACCATCCTGCACCAGGCGAAGAAGGAAGATGCAGTTCCATCGTACTTGGCTCCACTTCTAGATAACATGGCGGCTTTGCACTTTTGGGGCCTCGATTTTGGTGTGTCACAGGGCGACCTCGACATGGCCCTACAGTACTCGCACCGTCTGCGCGACACAGTATTGATAATACTCGTTTCCGTAGGAGATCTTCTTAGCAGAGGTGGGTAGCCGCAAATCTTCTAACTCGCACGTATAGCTGATGACTTCTGAAGGTATTGTGAACGTTCTACCATCTCAAGAACGTGAAAATTTGTTGCAGCGTTCGAAGATAAGACCGCTGACCGAAGACGCGAGAGGTTTGCTGGATGAACAGTCGGATGCGCCCCAGTATTCCGGAGAGGATACCCTCGGCCTCTTCCAAACTCTTGGCAATATGATCGATAGCCTCAGACTGCTAAGATCCAGTCTCGAGTCGGTAATAGATGAAGATATAGACGATGGACAGGCGCAATCCTATATGTCTGTGCAGGATCGATCTGCATATGAGTACTACGTGGATCTCATCAGTCAACGATTTCCTTCAGTCAGCAGTAAGCTCGCTCAGGAGCTGGGGAAAGCCAATTGGGATCGATACAAATATGTATCGAGGTTAGGCGAAAATGTCCAAAGGGAAATTGAAGTCGCCGAAACAAAGAAGCCTCAATCGGAATTCTACGATTCTGGCATTGGAAGCTCAGCCCCACCAGAAACTGTTGTAGACAACGACGATTTACCCGTAATACATAACCATCAGCCCGACTGCGCTGCTACGATAATATCTAGCAGAGCCGATGCAAGCCATAAACGCCTACCACCACTTTCAGATGAAGCTCGATCGGGAATCCCATTCGAGTGTGAAATCTGTCACAGGACATTACAAATACGGCGAACTAAAGATTGGAAGTGAGTCGCATGGCTACCCCTCACCTTCAATCATAAGTCCCGTCTAACGATCTAATTAGAATACATGTTTTCGACGATATTCGCGCTTACACGTGCATCTTACCTGGATGTACAGCCACAAGGATCTCTCTCACAGACCGAGAAGCTCTGAAAAATCACTTGACATCGCACCACAGCATTACTGAAGACTCAGGACCCCAAGACTGCCCACTGTGTCTCGATGAGATAAATGGAGGGCGCGATATCATATCGCTCCATTTTGCTCGTCACATGGAAGAGATCGCTCTCAGCGTTTTGCCGCAGTCTGCAGAGTCTGAAGACGGCTCTGAAGCGTCCGAAGAAAGTGATGAGAAAGCCAGCCTAGACTTCGTAGCGGAGCAGAACTCGCAAAGTGCCGAGGAAACACACAAGCTGCCAAAAGTGCAAGATATTCCGGAGAATTTTGAAAATGCGAGACCGGAATCACCAAATAAATCCTCCTCTTCGGTCAATATTCGTGGTCTGAACCACAGTCTTGACCAAGAGATTCTTCCAAAAGAACCACTGATGGCTCTTTCTGATTCGCACACGAAGGAACCCCAAGCATATTCATCGTTCGATCCTGAACTGCAATCTTATTTGACTAATTTGACTAATGGACCGACGAAAGATTCATTCGCGTATGCATCTATGACCCACTCGATCGTTTGCATATGCGGATCTACATCTAGTGGGATAGACGACATCATGTGTAGCGTATGTCAATCTCTGCAGCATCGAATATGTTATTATGGGAATAGCGCTGCTGCAGGAATACATATCTGCAATAATTGCAAATACAGCCCTGGCGTTAACTCGGCGCAAGCCTCGGTGCCGCTCTCGGGTGATCGATACCTCCGCGGCTTGCACGACCACGCATTGTCCGCTCCAACTCCTACGATAAGAAACGCGAGCGAAACACCATTCGATGAACAAAATCCACCAGTCTTTATGACGCGGGCGTCGGATCCTTGGCCGAACTCCATCAGGAAAGCACCGTACATGCGCCCTCAACGCCCCAAGATCATGTGTCCGCAATGTAACGAAAGACCTGATGGCTTCCGTGGTGAGTATCTCCCCAGAAACGCCATAAGTTTTCCCAGCTGATTCCCATGCTTCTGCGATTAGGTCCACATGAGCTCGAACGCCACGTCAAACGTGCGCATTCAGCCACCAGGTCGGGCTATATCTGTATCGACGCATCTTCTGATAAGAAGTTTCTCGCAAATTGTAAACACTGTAGAGATAAGAAGGTGTACGACGCATGCTACTACGCGGCCGCCCATCTAAGGAGCGCACATTTTCATCCACGAGAACGTGGCAGAAAGTCGGCAAAAGAGCGAGGAGGTATTGGAGGAGCTGATGATCCGCCAATGGATTATCTGAAACGACATTGGATGCGGGAGGTTCAGGTCGATAGACTCGGAGCTCTTCGGGATGTGCAAAACCTCGAAACAGAGCCTGAAGCTCTGCATGAAGATCACAACCTCGAGGCCGAGCCTGACATCATTTCGGATAAGCAGTTTCCTTGCGTTCGTTGCGGTGCCCCTGATCCAGCCTTCTGCAATTGTTCGTTGGAATTTCCAAAAGCATACCAAGAATTATCCCTCGGGCCAGAATACGTGTTTGATCCAACATATACAGGTGCTGAGTCTACGTATATGCCCGAGAGTGCTTCGATGATTGCTTTGCCTGGATCTGCATCACATTCGCTGCGATCGAATCTGCCCAACGTGGACGATATCCTAGCACATTCCCCGTATAGCAAAGATGTCTGCATGAGTCGTCCGCCTTTCTCGGCCATCTACCAACCCGATGATTTCAACACTGTCGCTCAGGAGATTAGCCAGGGAGACCAGAAAATACTGGAGCAGCGCCAAACAGAACACCAGCCTCCGGTGAATACGATTGACCAAGTACCACCCGAATCAGATCGTTCATTCAATTCGTCCCACGCCTTTGATACCAGTCCTGCCGGCTTTGGGTCCAGCTTGGGCAACCTCGGCGCTAGTCAGTCCCCCTGGGTAAGCTATTTTCCAGCACACTCCGAGGGGCAGAAAGATACCGAAAAAATCCCAATACCGTCTCTGATACAGAATCCGGGTTCGCAGAATGCAAAATCAAGTACGCGTCCACAACTCGGAAGTTTGAGTAACAATTCCAGTAAGATCCCACGGTGAATCTGTTGCATCCAGTGCACTGCTAACGGTCCATCAAAGGCCCACCATTTGGTATCGTTCTTCCCAACAAAACTTTCACGTGTACGTCAGTCTCGTGTTCAAACCTCAAGTTTGGCCGACTGGCAGATCTCCGGAGACATCATAGAACAATTCACGCCCCCACACTCTACGCACAGTATTATTGCAGGGTCGAGGGCTGTAACAGATCAAACTTGGACGAAAGAATGGAGAAACTAGACGAAAAGGGGAAACTTAGCGGGATTGAGAAGTTTACCATTGTGCGGAGAGGTGTAGGTTTCGGTATGCGGAAGGATAAGAGGGATGAACATGAACGAGTGGTACACGCACTGGAAGATGACACGTCCGACCCAGAGCCCGTGCCTTTGTCTCTGACGACAGTGGCTCAAGATCGCCTGGCATCGGAAAACAGCATTGGCTTTCTGCATATGGATAAAACGCTCGCGTGCGGCGATGTCTCGTGTCGAGGTTCCAGATTTGGCCGCCTAGCAGATCTTCAACGCCATTACGATCAACAGCACAAAAAGAGTGTCAAGGAGTATTTCTGCAGGTTTGATGGATGCTCCAGAGCCGAGGGATCGTCGCCAAGTAAGGGGTTTGGTACGCGGAAAGACAAAAGAGACGAGCATGAACGAAGACAACACGAGGTGGCAGATGCTGATATTTCTGATCAAGCGGTCGATTGGAGCAAGGAGACTTCGGTTCATTAATCAGGGGTGTAAATTTACAGTGAGATGTTTGATATGTATAAGGGACACGAGATACACTTTTCTAGTTGTTGCATCAGGTAAATATACAGCAAAGATCTATGATAGATGGTTTTACTTTACACTACCTCTTTTTACAATCTTGTAAATTGCTTTTCTCTTTATAATCTTAGATACACTAAGGTTTAATTTATTTTCTATCTAAAGATTCCTTTACTATAGTACTAAATCTTGAAACGGCTGGGAATCTTAGTAGTTACTACTACTCTTTCTATGCCTCTATTCTTTTTGCAAAGATTTATTTATAAACTAGCTATCTTATTTTCTTGCTACTTTACTAATTATATAATAGTTTTAAAGAGTAGTAGCAATCAAAAATAAATATAAAACGTAAATTATACTATCTACTCCTTCTTCTTCTTCTTTTTTTTTTAATACATCACTTTGTTCTATGATATAGTCAATAAAACTCAGCCCCCTTTTAACTTCCTAAGAGTTGATTAAAAATTGATAACTAAAAAATAAGAATAAAAAAGTTGAAGTACTGATTTCTGAGAAACCTCAGCTAGGCAAGCGCTACAAAATCAATATAACGAAAGTCACCCTAGTCTCAACGTACCTGACGTTTACATCATGCGTATTTTATTCCGTACAAGCGATTCGACGCAGAAATCCCGACCAAGGACTCTATCAAAAGAGTTCTGTCCTGGGCGAAAGTAGATAAAGTAGCATTCCAAGAACAACTAACTACTCGCAAGAGTCCCACACATAGCGACCTCCCTCACTCACACTCAGTCTGCCCCTTCTTAATCCTAGAATACCCATCCAGTGAGCAAGCGCATAAACGCACACTAACAGCCCGCATAACGCAACCCTCCCCACCAAAGACCTCGTGTCACTTCATGTAAGGCTTCCCACTTACTACGGAACCTTCCTCGGCGGAAACACTTACATCCGCGGCGTGTGTGCCACCTGGCTCGCTACCAAGTCCACGGCCTTAGGTCACGCATGCACGAGATCCTGGGGACGAGCTAAGGCAAGATACTGCGATGTACCCGATCGATAGAGCTGCATGTGACGCCAGTTAACGAGATGCGGGGAGGTTGGGGCTAGTGAAGGCGCGTATGCATGGAAGGGTCTCGGGGGTACTGTGACGAAGTCGGATGTAACGGGAGCGTGTGTGGGTGTAGGGGTCCGGAGTCGGGGTTGAGATGTGGGTGGGATATTATATAAGTAGTGCTTGTTCACATGCATAGAGCACATTAGATTGTGTAAAGTGTTGATATGGTGATGACTGAGGGGGTGTAGAAAAAGGTTACGCTTGTTCCGTCAAGATTGGAGATACATCCGTGTACTTGAGGTTCAATATCATGCATTCTTTGCGGAATAGGGGTTGGTTGAATCTTGTTTAAGCAGTCAGAGCACTGTTTTGTGAGCTGATCGAGCAGTATCGCCCAATATATGCACCGCAAACTTAGAACAAGGAGTCACAAACATCGTAGCTACGTGCAATGATATGTGACAAGAAGTACCAGGAATTTTCAAACTTCAAACGGATACTCTATCCAGTGATACACATTCAAGAGATGTATCAAAAAATGTCGGAATAGTCTCTGAAGTCATGATGAACTCAGACGGAGTCGATTCAGGGACAGGGCAATGAAAAGAAGGAGTACAGCTGATTGAATGGAGTCTGCATCTAAGGCGTACCAACCTCCGCTCCATGCATCCAAGCAGGCGAGAGTGGGTAAGAGTGGAGTCAAGTACAGGTACATACATGTACATATGCAACCCACTTTGATCCAACCCTACAGCCCATAGCTCTGGGATTCGGATATCATGCATGCAGGCCGGAATACCCGTTGTGTCAGAATACTCGGATGATTGCGAGAAGAGGGTGTGATGGAGTTCGGAAGACACGTGGAAGAAGAGGCTCTGGCAGGATGGCCAAGTCATGCAAAGACCAGTAGGGAAGTTTTCCGATGTCTGGATGAGGTAGGAGGTAGAGGTACATTGTATAGAATGTTCGGACGACACGTCATAGGTAACATAGGGCTGGAAACGTGGTAAAGCTGTGATCGGGAGTGAAAGATTGGGTTGGGAGGATCGATATTTTCCTGTGATCTGGGATTTTTGTCTGGTACACTAAGAAGCAGGCCTTCTGTGGTATGCATACCCGGCCATCGATTTTGAGTCTATGCATAATTTAGTCTTTCCTGCATCTTGAGTCGAATGGAAAGTACGTCGGAGGGTCCTTGGTCCGAACCCGAGCTTTCTTACAAGGTCAATACCGAACCCTTTACTGGATCAAGAAAGCTGGTAAACGTTAAGTGAGCTGGGATGGCCCTTGTTAGTCACATGGAGGATATCTCAACGATACCAGTTAGTGGGCGTGTTGAAAAGAGCTTGATGGGCAATACGGGGTCGGATGGGGCAAGCCGCAAGATGAAGACAAAGTCGGCACCAAAGTGTAAAGTTTCGGCTGGCTATTAGCATGGGAAGACATTTCTTGGCCCAAGACAATTCTCGTAGGTCAAATATAGGTCCATTCTGCTTTGATTCTATAGCTTAGGTAATGTTCAGAGTACACTCCCAGCGTCGAACTCAAAGGTTACGTGTGCTGCCTCCAGGTCGGACCCGGACCCTTCACCTGGACACTTCCCACAACGCTTCATGTCTCCCCGATTCATCCTCATTCCGGCCGATTGAGTGCATGAAATGTACTGGAAATGTTCTCGGCACGCTACCGATTTACATTACGAGTGCAGTGACATGTGTCTACACGTTGGGGCTATTCAACTCTAACGGCAACCAAACATCACGCCCGAAAAAACGATAGTGTGAATCCGGAAGTAAGACAAGCCATGCAAGCTTGACTAAGAGCATCGTGTTGATATTGAAAGATCATTCAAATTTGTTCTACATAGTCGTTTACGGAATCAACATGACCAAGTTTGCATCATCAACAACCTGTCCAGTGCCTTGTTCTTCAACGCACGTTACTCCAACGGCTACCACTATACGAATTTCAAAGTTACCAAAAGCCTAAATTCGACTAACCGACAAGTTCAAGCCCGGATATGTGCGAGAAACGCACGACATGACCCACAACCATAGTTACCATCAGGGAAGCGAAGAAGCAGAAAGTCAAAAAGGAAAAAAAGGGACCCACTCTCCCTGCTTTCCGTTCCCAGAGAAAGCGTTGTCCCGAATACCCAAAAAGCAGGGTCCGAATATCGGCGTGGTCTCATCTTCCGATTTCGCATGCTCTCTCTATATCAAGCAACTGCTGCGCCGATCCTACTCAGGAAAATCGACCACCGCAAATGTTTCACGGCATTCCCATTTAGCAAGCATCAATCGCATCCATCGCATCGATCCGTCAGATTCCCATGCAAGCCCCGACGGCGGCATCCTCCGCCCCTGGAAAAAACTCCAAAAGCGCAAGATCATCGAAGAACATCAATCTGCATGTATGAAGTCTGGGATATCCGACCCTTGTCATCCCCCTGCACCGCTAGTCCGCACGGAACCCTCCGTACCCGAAAACCCCTCTCCACAATGTCAGCACCCATGTCCATACAGGAAAATCACGATCGACATAACAAAATCAAGGAAACCAGCATTGCACCGACCATGCTACTCTGAGTCCTCTCAGCCAGCCGCTGAACCCACCCAAGACGGCTTTCATGCATGTACGCAATCATCCATGGGGGGAATCTGAAATCCAGAGATGTGCTGCCAAGTTCAGGCCCACCGCGAACGAGAACAACACCAACACGACCCAGATCTCTGAATCCCTCGGAGCACATCACATCCTCGGAGCGGACCACCTGCCTACCACGTCCATAATTACCGAGCACGATGTGCGAATCTATCAGTGGAAGAGGTCGGCGATGTCGATGAAGCATTTCTTGGTCCTAGCTGGCCATGTAGGTCCCACGGCCCGACCGGTGAGATCGTCCTGGGCAGGCGAAGAAAAAAACACGAACACATTCATGTACGCAAATGTATACAAACAGCGCATAGCAAACTAATGCGCCTTGTAATTGCGCGGTAATCCTCATTGACAATTGTCTCGCCATCCCCCGTCAACGGTCCCTGTCAAACCAACGCAAGGCAACGCTCTGTCGTAATAGCAAGATCGACATAACACCTCTGTGTGCATCGATTTGGCAGCAGGAGACTTACCCTTGCTGATGCGCTCTTCCGCAATCCCCGCAGGAATCATCCATCCATCACCCCGCACATCTCATTTTTACTGTGCCTCTCTTTTACCCAGACGCTGGCTGGCCACTCACCCATCCTTGGCTCTTCGCGCAGCATAACAAATAACGCACAGAGCACATATAGTTTTCGCGTTGTGGAGGATATTGGAATCCTGCAGAGGCTTGTGTCTGACATACAGAAGCGCTAGAATTCAGGCAAAGCTTCCACATCGCAGAAGAATGTAACACGCGCATTTTTCGATGAGACATGGATGACGAACTCCACCCCCCTTCGCTCCTCGGCATCTTACCCAGCAGAAGAGAGAGAAAAAGAGACACCATACCCATATCTCTCACATATAACCCCACCTTCTCACATATACGAGGCTTACCTACAGCAGTAGTACGTCGTTTCAATTTCTCATATTCTTTCAGAAAACGCCCAGAAAAATTGCCCAGTACGTATAGAGGTACCCAAGTACATCTCCGGATCCGGAATTTCTCTTACATACTCGAAATTCCGAATCCGTACACAACCACGTCGTTCAACTCCGCGTCCAAGAAAGCAATACCAACGAGAAAAAGAAAGTATGGAAGAAAAGAAAAGATCCTGTGTCAATCCAGCTGGATAACTTAGGCAATCTATAGCGAGTACGAGAGCGGAGTTAGACTGTTTAGGTGAAGGTGCGGGAATTCCATAAATGCGACGCCCTTTTTTCAGTCTGTTGATTTTTAATCAATTTTTTTTTTTCAAACAAACACCAATTTTTTCGTTTTCTAGCCTGTCCTCCAGGGGTAGATACACTATCACAATCCAAACTGTCGATGCGGCACAGTGGCGGAGCTAACTAACTCACCCAACGCCTGTCAATGAGCTGTCAGACGGGCCGTGGCGTTTCCCCCATTGCTTTTTTTCCCTCTTCGCTGCTTTGTGCGCATTACTGCTTAAATGGGCGCGTAGGCGGTGTCAAAGAATGCGGAGCTGAGCGGTTCTACCCGCCTCCCTCGCTACCTTGCCAGTGCCACCGCGTCCTCGAGCTGCCCACTCCGCAAAAGCCGTGCATATGTCCATGTACCTGTGTACTTGATCAGAAAAGTTGTGTTGCGCAGCATCCAGCAGTGCTACGTACATGCCTTTGGATACGAAGCACACACACACACGAAAACGATCTTCACCGACCAGATAGAACATCGAAGGATATACCCGCAAACACGCACACAATCCCAATTTTTTTTTTCTTATTCCCGTTATCCTAACTCTTCTCTCCCTCCTATCCCATTCTTCCCCCTGGCAAAACACTCGAAATAATGCAATGTAACCTCCGCACTAAACCTCAAACACCCGCCCTCAAACCAGAACAAATATCAAAGACGTATGTGGCTGTCGCCGTACCACCCGATCCCCCCTTCCCTATTCCTTCGTATCCTCCACACACATAAAAATACGCTAAATCCAATAAGTTTTCCGTTGTTGATGTGTTGGTGGTTAGTCCAGGGACTAAAGAATCTCGTATTCTAGGGGGTTAGCGTTGCGTTTGTTGCTTGCTTACCGTGCGCCGGGCCGTGAAGCCGTTTTCTATGGTTGTTTAGGATCGTTGTTGGCGGAGATGGATTAGGGGAGGGAAGGAAGGGAGGAGTGAGGTGGTGAAGTAGGGGGGGGTAGAGAGAAAGACTTTTTTTTTGGTCTGTGGAGGTGGTTTGGGTTCTTGGCGTTTGGGGAAGTACGAGATTGTGAGTTGGGAGAGGTAGGAGGGATGTGTTTTGCGCAAGAGGTAGGTTGTGCTGCGATTTGTTTTGTTGTGGTAAATGGTGACGTTAAGTAAGGATCGTTAGAGACATGGAGGGAGGAGCAGGTAGGGTTCTTTCTTTTTTTCAAGACATGTTTAGGTGCATTTTTGAAATTGAAAGATGATATGTACGTATGCTAAATAGCGAGCAACTGGGAGCTACAATGATGCCCGAATACAAAATAAAAATCAATCTGCCAATCCCCAAAAAAGCAACAGTGGAACAATTAACTCATAAACCAAAGCGCCGAAACTCTCACAAAAGAGTTGTTGTTCCCCAAAGAAATGCAAACCCCAGGACCGCCAAACTCATGTATGTAAATACCACACACACATACAAAAGATACTTTTATGTACAATTTCCACTGTTTTTTTTATGCTTCCCCGCAGCTGCGCTAGTTTACTGGGTGATGGCCATAATATCATCATCCCCAGCATCCAGGCCGCCAACACTTCTGAGTCCCTCATCCCCGCGCCCATCCCAATAAAGGCTTCTGAACCAACTCCCCTCGCGTTCCAGCAGTTTGAACGGCTCGCCATACTCGACCATCTGGCCCTGGTTCATGACGATGACTTTATCAAAGTCGAGGATCGTGTCTAATTTATGCGCGACGGCGATAATGGTGTGGGAGGCGAAGTTTGAGCGGAGGAGTTTTTGGACGTGCGAATCCGATGTTGCGTCGAGGCTGTAGGGTGATTGTTAGTTACTGCTTCAAGGGAGGGATTGGTATGAGGAATAGTGGGGGAAGGGGGAACGTACTTGCTAGTAGCCTCGTCCAGCACAACAACACTCGACCTCCCGGCGCTCAACACGGCTCTCGCCAGACAAAACAACTGCCGCTGTCCGTGCGAAAGATGTAGGTCTTCGACATCGACGTCAAGTGGGTGCGCATATTTATTCTCGTCACCCTTCGAGACCACAACATCCCAGAGCAGGACATCACGCAGCGCCTGCATGATGGCTTTGTCGGTGCTCTGCTTCGTCGGGTCCGCGTTCAGTCGCACCGAGCCAGGGAGGAGATACGCATCTTGCGGGAGTCCAATTAATCTAGATCGGATAGTCTGGCGGGGGAGGACGGAAAGGGGGATGGAGTCGATGGTGATATTTCCTGCTGAGAGGTCGATCATGCGGAAGAGCGATGCGACTAGGGAGGATTTCCCGCTACCTGTGCGACCCACGACTGCGACTTTCTCGCCCGGTGCGATGGACAGCGAGAACCCTGAAATAACGGGTTCGTGACGTCGGTAGCACGCCGTGATGTTCTTGAACTCAATTTGGCCTTGGGAAGGCCAGTTTGGTGGCGGGGTTTGGTCTTCGCCTTCGAGATCCTCAGAGACCGCGTCGGTGGTGAAGGTTTTGATACGGGCTACGCTGCCGATGTGGGTTTCGAGTTGGGTCCAGAAGTTGATGAGGAGCTTGATGCTTTGGGAGAAGAGGATGACGTTCACTAGGGCTACGCCGACGTACCCGGGGCTGAGTTTTCCTTTGAGGGCTACAACTAGAACAATTAGAACAGTGGCGATGGCTGCTACGATGAGATCGAGAACTAGTGTGAGCCAGCGCTGGACCGCGAAGAGCAGGTAGAATGGGCGTTGGCTGCGATCGAGCAATGCCTTCGCTTTCTCTTCCAGGAAGCTCTGCCATCCGAATGCACGGATAGTTGCAACACCCTCCAACATCTCGTTGAATTGTGAATACAGGGGTGATTTCGCTTCAAGATCCAGGAATCGGAGCTGGCGGGAGGTGCGCAAGTAGAATCGCTGGACGAAGTAAACTGCAGCCCCAACTATCGGGAAAGAAATAGCCGCAAAAGGTGCAGCAACCGCAATCAGAACCATTTGCATAATACAAAGAACAAACGTCGCAAACGTATTTAGAGCCGAGAGTGGCAGCTCCATGTCAATCAATTGAAGATCCTGGCTGAAGCGGTTGAGAGTGACACCCGTGTCCGTGGTGGCGAAGAACGACATAGGGGAGCGGAGGACCGTATCCAGTAGTCTTCTGTGGAAGTTGACACCAGAACGAGGAACCATGGTGACGATCAGCTGCCAGCAACTGATGACCAGGAAAATCAGCGCAGAGCCTCCGAGAAGCGAGTAGATACCGAGGTAGTATCCCAAACGCTGATTAGGGAACTCCTGGTTGTATTCAGCCCACATCTTAACCCAGATGGTGGGGAATGACTGTCCAAAGATGAAGATGGTGATGGAGACGATGAAAATGAGGGTGGGGATCCACCCAACTGACTGAACGTAGTACAGGTAGATGGCCGCATCACCTGTCCGCCGATTCGTCTCTGCTTGGATGTCGTCTTCGGTGATCTTCTCTGTGGCTGGGCGCTCTGTGTATTTGGGTGGTGCTTCGTACACGTGTTTTTCGGGCATAAAGTCCCAGTCTGGCTCGGGCAGATCGAAACTGGAGACATAACCGCCAGAACGGTTGAGCTTTTCAAATGTGCCCTGCTCCACAATCTTGCCTTCCTTGCCAAGTGCGACAATGTGGTCGCAGTAAGAGAGTCGTTTGGCTATGGGTGAAAAACGATGGTTAGAATCGTATGACCTATGAAGTTGAGTGGGAAAGTGAAAGTACCGACTTACCTGATGATGAGGCTATCAATACCGTCGACCTACATCGACGAAGAAGTCCCTCTCGACCAAAGAGGCTATGCCACACACGGTTCTCAGTCTGACCGTCGAGGCCACTGAGGCAGTCATCTAGGATGACGAGATCCTTCTGAGCATAGATAGCTCTGGCGAGAGACTGTGGTAATGACCGTTAGCCAGGTTTTCGCACACATATTGATCGGGGCTTCAGAGAAACGGTGAAGTGTTTCGAAGATAGCACGGGGAGATAGTCGTATGCAGATAAGGAGGGAGGAGGGTGGGAGCGGGGTTTTATCAATTACGGGGAGTCTTACTATGCGCTGACTCTGCCCCCCACTCAAAGCGATACCTTTGCTCCCAATCTGGGTCTGATCGCCCTGGGGCAGCAAACGAAGATCCTCGTCTAAGGCACAGCTACGAATCACTGCTGCATACCACTTTTGATCAAAGTCCGAGATGCCGACAATACTCTGCTGCACCGTCCCATTCACGTGCCACGGCGTTTGATCGCACAGGGCGATACGCAGTGTCGAAAGATGGACAGTTCCATCCATGACTGGCAGTTCACCCAAGATAGCCTTGAGTAAGGTTGATTTACCGCACCCCACGGGCCCCACAATCATCGTGATCTTGGCTCGTGGGACGACCATGTTAATATCACTTAGCAAGCCAGAAGGCTGCTTCTCTTTGTCCCAGCCAAAGCTGCCGTTTTCGACAACAACTGTTTGAGTACCCGAGAATCCCAACGTTGACAGTCTGGCCTTCGGGGAGGAATCCCGACTTTTCCGAGAATCTTTTGATTCGTTGTCAGTATCGTAGCCAACATCTGATGACGAATCGATGCTCTGCCGCAGGTGAGGGAACTTGCGACGCTCAGCCAGTGGCTCCTTCCCGAGGAACTCCTGGATTCTCTGGAACGAGCCAACGCCTCCCATCAAAGAAGCAAGAGCCATGATCAAGGAGCCGAGCGGCTCCGAGAGCAAAGTGAAAAGCGAGAGAGAAGTGAAGACTTTTGCGGTGTCCAGTGTGGTCGTGCCATCACTCTTCTGGGCCAAAACAGAGAAGACCGCGAAGGTGACAATGGGGGAAACAAGGGGCGAGATGTAAGAGAAACCCATGGTCCAAATCAAGAGTTTTCGAAATTTCTTCGAAATATCGAGTTCGTCGATTCTGAGCTGATGCAAGTCATCTCTCAGGATATCGGTAATGCCACCCATTTTCACGCCTAAGCGAATCAGCTGACTTGCGCGCAAACATACAAAAATGCGAAGGAAAAGAACAACATACCCTTCATGGAATTAAGCATGGATGTCGTAGCTGCAATACGCCGCTCTATTGCCTGCAGCCATAGCGCCTGACGCTGCATCACCAAGCTCGTCGCGAAAATGGACCCAACAAGCGAAACAACGGCAACACCCACGGGAATGGCGCAAGCGACGCCCAACTGGCGGGACAGCAGGAAGATTGCAACGGCGACCTCTACCGAGTTGGACCAGATCTCATGCCCGGTTTGCATGCCAGTGACGATGCGCTCGATGTCAGCGCTCATGAGCGTAATAGACGAGGCAACATCTACATCTTTTAAGCTGATATCGGTCACCTTGTTATAGAGCATGGAAATAAGACCACCGCGCATCATGGTGATGAACCGATACGTCTTGTGTTGGTATTGCCCTGTTGAGATCTACAAGCAACATGGGCTTGTTAGCGAGTGGCCCAGGGATGACACGAGTCGTGGGAACGTACCGCGATACCGATGTACACGATCACGTACGCGCCGATCAGCCCATATCCGATATTCATGTTTTGAGCCAGGAATGTTTCATCGCTGTACTTCACCGCGCGTTCAATCAAGAACGGCTGGCAAAAATTGAAGCCGATCAGACATAGTCGTGGTGGAACGACTGCCAAGACGGGCCACTTCAGCTTGTTCAAGGTTGCCGTGAAAAGGGAGTTGGAGCCCACATTTTTGACTTGAAGGCATAAAATTAGGTCAGTGATGGGACACTCCCAAGTCAGCGAGCAGATTGAATTACTGACCTTTGCTCCACGCTAGGCGAAGTTGATGATGCAAGTAGTCGGCGCGCAGGTGCTTGTCAAGTTGGAAAAGGTCATCGACTGAGATAACATTGGCGGACCCCTTCTTCAGTAGCGCGTTCTGCCACCAGAACAGAGCGCCGCTGTAGATACCACTGGTAGCCTCTGGCGGTTCATGCGAAAATTCGGGAAGCAACAGACTACTTTTGCCCCTGGCCTCGAAAATAGCAAGGAAAACCTTGACCCCGATCCGCGTTGTGAAGAGAGTTGATATCGTCTCGAGATCGCTGGTCAAAGAATAGCTGCGCGAGCGTGCGGTATCGAGAAGAGTGGTGAAGAACAGATAAAAGTTGAGGATGAATGAAGTCCGAATAGTGCGTTTATGTTCGAAATAAGAGAGCAAACACAGGCAGACTGCACCGATGAGGCTCAGGATAGCCGAAGGAACGGCGGCGACATTCTTCGTAGGCTTCTGTACCCAGAGAACGACAGCAGCGAGGTCGAAAGCGATGAGGAATGTCCATGCTATCTGTGTAATCGTGAGTTAGCGTCACCTGTAAATCTGAGATTGCCGTGATCTTCGTTCTCGCTGATCGTCGTCTAGGTACCGAGTGATGAAAGAAAGCAAGTTTGCATGTGAAGCAAATGACAGTCAAGTTCAGAAAATAACTCATCTTACCAATTTGACGGGTAGAATCAAGGAACTGGATACTTTGTTTTGCTTCTTCCAGAGATATCGAAGGCGGATCGGCGCGATGATTAGAACAAGAGATATTGGAATAAGTGAAAAAATGGCCTCTTCAAACAATAGAGTGAAGTCGAAACCTCCTCGACAGTGCTCTCCAGCGTACGGCCCGAAGGTCCTGTCCACTGCGGCACAGTTTGTGTATGATTTCGACGCCATTGTAGGTGTGAGAAAATCAATTGCCTTTCCGGAGGCAAAGATTCAAGGCATTAGGTGGAGCAGTGTTGGGGTTGACGTGTGTTCATATCCTGGAACCGAAGATGTGTACATGAAGTAAGTAAGTAATCGGCACCCTTAAACTAGCCCTGCTGGCTCCTGATGTTAAAAGCCGACGAGACGGGGCAGGCAATTTTCCACCTACCTCACTGGCGGTGGCAAGCGTCGGAGACCGCAGCCCTCGATTCCAGAATGGGAGATACCCAGACGATCTTTGGTAGGCATACAGGCAAGCATTCTTTGGAATGACCAAGACACAAGGTAGGTCAGTGCAACTAGCGTGGTCACTGCGAAAATTGGTACACAGGGCCTGGAAGTGATTGCAGTCTTAGCTGCAAGTGTTAGGCGCTGTGTAAGTCAAATTCACACCAGCATTGGAGAAACCTACAAGGAAGAGCTGCGTCCATGACGATGAGCCGCATGATGGCATGATAGACTGCTGACTCGAATTTGCTCGTGTCTTGCTACAACTAGCTCACCACAGCCAGCAGAGGTCAGCTGCATACGAAAGGCCCCCTGGAGAATGAGAGCAACGAGTACAAACGCATTCGCCTCGCCCCATAGCGAAATAAATTGTACGCGTTTGGTTCTCCCGCTTTTGCGGCAAAGATCAACGTCATACCCAGCGTCGTGCAGCGGGTCGGTATTGGCTGACAGCACGCTTGGACACGCGCCCCGCGCAACCTTAATCGCGCGACCAGAATCCAGCACACCACTCAGCCAACGGATTTTCCCCATCCTGGCCCTTTCGGCTCAACACCAGGCCCGGTGAAGAGGAATAGGTGGAATGATTGACTCGACCCTTGAACCTCTGCATCCAAGAAGCGACACGATGAATGTGTGTCATCAGAAAGACTTTTCTAGAGGATTGCCAGGATGACTTGGGCTTTTTCTGCTCCGCTTGTACATGGACTCAGTTGCATTAGTCTTGGTAAAGCCGCTGGAACCCGCTCAACAGATTCCAGACACGTCGTACCATGCGGTATGCCTGGTTTCTAAGGCTTCCCTCACATGTTGCTAAGCAATGCCGATTCAGCATTGCAGCAATGGCAGTGGGATTTTGGAAATCGGACTAACGGGTTTACTGCAGATTGACGTTGCATTTCTGGCATGACGATCAACGACAGGACTTCCTTTTTGACCGGATCGCAATGGGAGAAAGGCAGTTGTCAGCAAAGCAGCGCGGGTCCGGGTTAGTACTGCGAAGATAGCCGTGAGAATGAGCAGCGACTAGGTATAGATGATGCAAGCCAGGTGGGTCCTGTCATTACCACCGTGTGGGCATACAATAATCTGAGGAACAGGGTATAGGCCTTTGAACGCACTTCGGGAAGCTTGGATGCTTCCACTACATTTTGCTGCATGAAAACATGGCCCATCTGGTGATCCATGATCCATCCTCGTGTTGAGTGGAGACCTAGCAGCAGGAATACGTTGGCACAGGACAATCGCCGAAGACGGATACCCAAAGGAGGCAGATGGTGGACGCATATGCCACTGTTTAGGCCCAGTGGCTGAGCACTAAGCACTAGAGTAGGTAAATCATTAGATTCATGTTCAATAGCAGCAATAGGCTTGGGGATTCCAAGTCGAAAGTAAATCGCGGAGGCGAGCCGACCAAGAACCTATCATATTGTGCAAACGGTGGTAGTGGGGATACAAGAGTGGCGGATGCTATATTTATATGAGTGTTTGTTCGAACCGTTTTTCGGCCAAGCCTTCGAATGTTTCTTGTCTTTATATCTAATATGTTGTTGAAAGTTTTGATGAAGCCTTTTCTTCACAGCGGAGGACATATCCCAGGGGGCCGCAAACAGCGCTGACTAGGTGACAGCACAACAAGTGATTAGCAAGAAACGAGACTGAGCACGATCTACGCACCCATAGAAGATTCGGGAATAGCCGGTGGACCTGCAGGGTGCATGGACAAAAGAGCGACATTAATCAGGGGGGGCGAGAGGTGTCTGAAACTTGGTTCCGAAAATCGCACAATCTCCCTCCTCGGAGGGCAACGATCTTCGCCTCATATTGCCAGCGACTGAGGATCGATTGACAGAATTGGCTGGGAACAGCTTAAGCAGAAGCACGCAAGCAAACGGTGTGCGTACATGGCTTCGTGCGACCGTGGCATACGCTCCCACAGTAGCAAGCGCCTGACCGCAACTCGAAAGCAACATTGGACAGCCATGATGGTACCCGTGCATGTATACTTACATACAGGGCTTCAGACCCTAGCTAGTCAAAGGTGGATCCCAACGAACAGCGAAACGCCATCTTATTTCAACTGGAGCTGAGTATATCCATTGGAGGACGCAACTTTTGTGAATGTGCTGAGAGTAGCAGCGTTCCGAGTTCCCAAAGGGTCCCATCCGCCATGTCTATAAGACTGGTCGACTAAGTGCGTGTTCCGCGATGGGAAGCTGTTGTCGTGAGACGCATGGCGAACGAGCCGAAATGCGGTACTCCGTCAGATTCATTTGGGTAAAGTCCACAGAGCCCTCGTACCTGGGTTGGAAGTACCATGGCAGGGATCCTTTGAAGCACCCCACATTGAATGGGTATAGAGATGGACATGGGCATGGCAAAGTGTTACGGCAGAAGATCTGGGCAGATCGAGCCGGTAGTGGGATTTGCCGGGCGTCCCTGTCGCTGTTCAGGCTGAAAGGCGTCTGAATGAGGCTAGAAGCAACATAGCCCGACGAAGAAGTCTCAGAAAGCGAGTATGTACAGGTACATGGTGATGATCAAGCCAGCCACTCAAACCCAGGCGTACACAGTACAGCAGAGATAGACATCGGGATGAGCGGCGGAGTGGAGCTGGTAGGCAGGTGAGTTGTGATGATTGACAACGGAGAGAGCGTAGGTGATTGGAGTAGAGACATTTTAGCAAGTGACAGTGCAGATTTTTCTCCAGCCATCCAATGCAGACAAGGACTGGGGTGCCTAGCGGGCCCGACACCATGGAAACACGAACTTGACGGCCGACACATGGGGAATGGCGCGACCAGGGCGTTTTGGGAGGGGTAGCAGCCGGAAATAGATCAGTACATGGCTGCCGGTCGACAAGTGGGAAGCGTGAAACACAGGAGAGCAGACCCCGGAGACTACGCAACGGGTGCGGGCGGACAAAGCCGTGAGTTAGCGGTAATTCTGACAGTTGGTGGCTCACGGCCAGTGTGCTAGTGTATTGAGAACGGCAGCGCGTAGAGCCCAGGCCTTGAACAACGTGGTGTTGAAGCGAAGAAAAAGATGCAGCAAAATGTGTTGGCAAGCCGATTGTAGCTAGCTGTGTGTATTGCCGATGTAAAAACACGTTCTGGATGTCGAGGCGAGTGAGTACCGTCACCCTGAACCCAGTCCCATAGTGGGCCTCGCACACATGCCGAATGTTAAGCAAAGCTACCGAAGGCTATGGTTTTGTTGGTGCTGGATTCTTGGCCCATCCGTCCGAGTGGGTACGGGGTGCGTGCAGGAGGAGCAGCAGCATGTCATTCACTGCCCAAAGCGAACGCGAGCAAGAAACAGCAGACGAAGCAGAGAAAATGAGGAAAAGAAATGACCCAAAAGGTACGAGGCACAGGCGGGTACAGTCGAAAACAGGTAAGTTGGTGAATACGGGCCAAGCAGCAAGCGAGTGACACGAGAAAGTCAGTAAGTCAGCGGTGAGGGTCCTTGGACATGACGCTCTGTGGCGTGGAAATTTAACCCGTAGGCTGTGAGTGAAGTGAACGGAGATGGGAGGCGAAGACACGAAAGAGGCTAGAGAAGATGGATACGAAGCTGAAGATGTAAGGTTTCATGGAAGGATTCCTGGATGAATGAAGATGTCAAATAGACGACGATGACGATGGCGATGACGACGATGATGATGGTGATGACAGCGATGGATGGTGAATGTGTTTGAAGGAATCGAGCAGAGGGGGATGGGGGGAATGAAGGTGGAGGATTGCGAGGGAGGGAGAGGTGTAGTCGCGGAACGCACGTTTCCGTGACCCAAACAGGCTTAGCGCGCCGGGGGGAAAACTGGGGCTGGTTGATTGCCCTTGGCTGGCTTGGCGAAACGCCGGGGCGGCTAATCGATCGGCCGGCCGTTCCTCTCCTCCCGTTCCCTCACCCACCACCACACACACAGCATCCAAATCCTTCCATCTCATCCATCTCCCCTTTCTCTCTTTCGTCTCGTCCCATCTCCTAACCGAGTGCCACTAAACAGCCTCTAGCTCTCCAATCTCTCAATTTTTCTTCCCAGCAGCGGTGGACCAGTCCTCGGCAGAAACCTGTATTGGGTGGTCCGACTGACTGACGACGTTGTTATGTACGTGTCATGTCTGTCATGTCATGTCGCTCCATACTTGCATACATGGGTGGTACAATACAGTGCTGTATACTGTACATCAACGCCAAATTACCGTATTCACTCACAGTCATCCCCTTGCTGCACCGTCGTGGTGTCCCTCGGGGATCCCTAGCAACTGATTCGACTCCCCCAATTCCTAGTTTCCTTGAGTCTGCACGGCATGACCTTCATCAGCCCCGCCAAGCTGCTCTTCAGACCTTCCATCCAAACCTTCCATGGACGAGCTGACTTGCTGGAAGCATACAGCTTGCTTGCATCGGCACCTTTCCTAGTTTCTCTCGCCACGACCACCTCATACTCACCTTCCACACATGATGTGTTACCGTCGCTAGCTACTCAATGACTGAGCGCCTCATGACCCACCCACCCATCTGCTTGCTAGCCCGCAGAACACTGTCCAGTACCTTGTCAAACCAGTTTTCGGCTGTGTCCGTGTCGACCTGAACTTCTCGTATTCCGCCAGACTAGCTCCGCGCATGCAACCCCCCCAATCTATCTGCACTTTGAGCCGCTAGCCATCTATTTCATGTCCGCCTCCAGAAGTGTTTCCTGTACAGCTTGCCATGCAATTGCGCCGCCACTGCGTGGCCGGGCTGGATTTCGCTTCCTTGGTTCTCTAATACGAAACTACTGCTCGCTTCGCCATTTTCGGGCTCGTCTTGCTCAGCTCTCCAGAAGCCAGCATCACGTCCTTGGCTGACCATCAAATCCCGTAGCTCGCAGCCACTTTGTTCGTTTGGCCATGGCTTCCCGTCGGCCTGTACGGGCGCGTATTGGGGTATAATATCTGAGAATAGACTTGCCAACTTTAACCGCAGCATGCCGGCTATGTTGCAGGTAACGTGATACCCCCTGTGCGTTCGCCTCCTCCAAAGAAGGGCCGTGGATGAGTGGTTATGACCTCATTGCCTGCTCGTGGCAATGAATGGCGCTGGTAGGTTCGATATTCCTGGGGAAGCTCCAAATGAAGAATCGCGAGATCATGATCCTCCATCGCATGGCTGGTTGGCTGGCAGTCGGGCCCCCTGCGGGCGCCATGCCCCTGTCGGATTTTCACTCTGGCTTCCTCCAGAATCGTGTCCCATCCATTCCCGATGCGATGTGATAGCTTTGCTCATCATCTGTGGTTGTGTAGCTTGATTGCACCCCAGAAGGTCCTCTTAGCAGTGTTCTGTGCGTTTGCTACCCCTGTAGCATTCCCGATAATTTTTCTTTTGCTCTTCCACCAGCTCGAGCTCCATCCCAAATTATTCCCCAAGCTTCATGAAGCTCTTTTCGTTCCTCGACATTGTACAGCTTCTTGTCTCGTTGATATTGCTTGGTCACTGACCATTGATCACCTCCCATTCAGCAATTGCGTCCAGTACCCTCTCTTCGCCTTCTCTGTTCACTATTTGTACATTACTTGGCGAAGCAGTCGATAATCTTGCGCTAAAAACAAGTCGTGGTAAGTAGTTCCCGCAGCACATCTTTGCTAATAGCCAGTGTCTCCAAACATTCCATCATGGCTTCGACAGAAGAGCAGCAGACATCATGTCTCTTCCCTGGGGGATCTGGCCTGGCGAGTGGTATCCAGCAGCGGCCACTATCCGTTCGAGTAGATTTGAGCCACGCCGAGCTGGTGCAACGGCTTTTGTCGAACGTGGATGGTACAAAGTCTTTGGTTGCTGCCATACAGGCGGCATGGGCATTGCTGTTGCGCACATATACTGGTTTGAATAGCGTATGCTACGGTATCCAAGAAATTGGAGGTCCTAGCAGTGTGTCAGGGACTAGTGATGATGCCATATTTGTGACGGACGTCCCCGATGGGTCGACGGTGGAGGAGCTCCTCTCCCATATTGGCTCTGGTAGTTGCGCGGTGTCTGCAACAAGCAACGGAAACCCAGTGTACAACACAGCCATGCTTTTCCGGTTCGCTGGCGCCAACGCTACACAGTCAACAAAGTCCGCGGCTATGCCCGATGCTGTACGTTTCCTCCCCCCGTTTTTGAGAACAAGTTAGAGGGCTAAGTCAGAACAGTGTAACCTTCGCCTTCTTATCAAGTTCCTGAAGTCGGGTGTTAGCATCTTTTTAGAATACCGCAACAAAGCCATCCCCACCGAACAAGCTCGGAACATCGCGGGCACAGTCGACAAACTATTGTCTTGCGTGCTGTCTTCACCAGCTCAGGTCGTCGGCGAAATTGACCCGCTCAGCGAGCGCAACAAACTCTTGATAGAAAAGTGGAATGATATCCCAGTGGTCGAGGTCAGCGGCACGGTGCATGATACCATCATCGCAAAGGCCAGTACGTGTCCTGAAGAACAGGCTATCTGTGCTTGGGATGGTGATGTTAGGTACGACGAACTCATCCGTGACGCTTCGCGGCTTGCGGTTCGTCTCGTTGAAGTTGGTGTTGGTGCTGAAGTGATCGTGCCACTGTGCTTCGACAAATCCAAGTGGAACGTGGTCGCCATCCTTGGCGTGCTGATCGCGGGGGGCTGCTGTAAGTGGACATCCCACGTTTTTATTGCTTCTTTCTGCCTGACGTCGGTCAATTTCCCCTTTCCACAATATCAGCATGTGTTTGTTCGACCGTATATGCCGAAATATGGTTTTTGAGTCGCGCGATGCTTTTCCATAACATCAACACCCTGCACATCCATGTCTATTGATGTCTGCATGATTTCCCCAGTACACTCGGATTGGAACGTGATTTGGTTCATCCATCCTTAAACAGCTGCATCAAGTGTTGTGGGACACATCTAGAGTCCTTTATTTTACGTACACAGGTGTGCATCCGCACGCATAGCAGCATATGATAGCACACACCTCTTTCAGCTTGCAGATTCCTCTTTTACAGATTCTATACCTCGCTTCTTTCTAATACGTGTTTCTTGAGGCGTTATGGGGGAAATAGGCAAGAGTTTTCAGATATCATAGACTGACTTGTACCAGTCCTTCCCTTAGACCCCGAGGCTCCAAAAGAACGTCTCCACCACCTCGTCGGAGTCACCGAGGCGAAGGTTGTACTATGCTCGCCCCAACACCTCCATCACTTCAACGACGCGGTTGATAATATTCTCCCAATTGACAGTGCTTTCCTTGAAAGCCTCGGACCACCTTCGCAATACCCACAAGGACGGGCAGAAACTCACAATGCTGCCTATATCATTCCCACCTCGGGAACTACTGGCCAGCCTAAGCTCACTCAGGTTGAGCACACACACTTCTGCACCAGCGCTGAAGCGCATTTTGCTGGACTGGGCATGGATACCTCCAAACCATTGCGTATGTTACAATTCGCTGCGCACTCATTCGATGCTTCTATCATCGAACTTCTTACGCCACTTATGTTTGGCGGGACTATTTGTATTCCCGATGAACACACCAGACTCAACGATGTTACAAAAGCGATGAATGACATGCGTGTCTCGCACGCGCAGCTCACCCCCACCTTCGTTCGTTTTCTCGAGCCCTCTATGGTCCCAAGCTTGAGATCGATAGTCCTCATGGGCGAAGCCATGTCCCAGTCCAACCTCGAAACATGGTCAAAAATCAATTTGATCAACGGGTAAAATTGCAATCCCTCTGCGGTCCATAAAAGCATGCTGATTATTTACAGATATGGACCGAGCGAATGTTCAGTGTCGTGTCTTTCCAGGACCCGCATGACCTCCAAATCCGACCCTCGGAATATAGGTACCCCGATAGGTTGCCGTAGTTGGGTAGTGGATCCCAAAAACCGTCAACACCGCCTTCCCATCGGCTGTACCGGGGAGCTTCTTATCGAAGGCCCCATTGTTGCCCGTGGCTACCTCAACGACACTGAGAAAACCGATGCGGCCTTCGTGTCCGATTTAAAATGGGCAAAGGATACCTTCTCCCGCGGCTATCTCACCGGAGATCTTGTGTTTCAAAACCCAGATGGGAGCTATAACATTGTTGGTCGGAAGGATAACCAGGTGGTCAGTGCTCATGTCTCCTAGGCGTAAAAAAACTCACTCCATCCTAACATATATGCAGAAATATCATGGCCAGCGTATCGAGCTTCTCGAAATCGAACACCATCTAAACTTAGAGTCATCCCTCAAACACAACATGGTACTTCTGCCGAAGTCTGGACCTTGCGAGGAACGTCTAGTGGCTGTAGTCTCACTAGTCGAGCATTCTACGGATGACAAGCCGTTGCAGCTTTTCGAAGGCGCACCAAAGGCTCAGATAAACTCCCAAATTGAGTCTATCCGTGCACGTATTGCCGAAAGATTGCCTTTCTATATGCTTCCAACAATCTGGATCGCAGTCGCCTCGCTCCCTCGCCTCACCTCTGGCAAGCTCGACAGAAAAACTGTTACGCAGTGGCTGGCTGGCATGACTAAGGAGACCTACCAACAAGCTATCCCAGGACTGGATGAAATTGACACATCAATGGAAGCTGTATCTGATATGGAATCCGTTCTTCGCTCTGTGTGGGCTCACGTTCTCAATTTTTCTGAGAAGCAGATTCCATTGGACCGTCCATTTCTCGCCCTTGGTGGTGACTCCATCAGTTCAATGCAGGTCATGGGCCAGTGCCGCAAGAAAGGCATTGCCCTTGGAGTACAGGAGATCTTGAGAAGTCGATCCCTTCAACAGCTGGCAAGTGTCGCGAAGGTCACAGGTGCCTCACAAGAACAGTTCGAAGAAGAATTTGACGTACCTTTCGACCTGACCCCCATTCAATCGTTATGGTTTCAACTCCCCAACCAAGGCCATGGCCACTTCAATCAATCGTTTTACTTGCGCGTCCAGCAGAAAGTTTCTGTGGACGCGTTTCTTGCAGCCGTTCAACAACTCGTTTCTCGCCACTCTATGCTCAGGTCACGTTTCTTCAAATCCGAGGACAGCGCCTGGCGCCAGAAGATCACCAATGATGTGACCAATTCATTCCGATTCCGTAACCACAAAGCGTCCACCAAAACCGAGATTGACTCTTTGATCGAGGATTCACAAAAGTGTCTGGATCACTCCAGTGGCCCTCTCATTGCAGCAGATCTGTTCGAGGTCGGCGATGAGCAACACGCTTTTCTGGTGGGTCACCATTTGGTCATTGACCTTGTGACTTGGCGACTGCTTCTGGAAGAGCTGGAAGACATCTTGAAAGGCGAAGCACTCTTACCGCCCGCCTTGCCTTTCCAGAGATGGGCACAGTTGCAGCGCGAACATGCAGATACGCTTCCGATTGAGAAAGTTCTTCCGGCTGTTGACGTGCGTCCGCTGGACTTCTCTTACTGGGGCATCGAGCATGCTGATAACACCTATGGTAATGCTGGTCACGCCAGCTTCGAGCTGGACCAATCACTCACTGCTTTGTTTCTTACCGAGTGCCACAATCCATTGAGAACAGAGCCCGTTGAAGTCCTTCTGGCCGCATTGATTCAATCATGGTCTCATGTTTTTACCGACAGACAATTACCAGCTATCTTCAATGAAGGTCACGGGAGAGAGCCGTGGAACTCCGAAATTGATATTTCTCGTACAGTTGGATGGTTCACGACCCGTAAGCTTTCGCCAAATTTAAATGAAATCATTTGCAGTCGCTCACAATTCATGCAGTATACCCGGTTTTTGCAAACCCATCCGAAAATGTTGTCGACACGGTACGAAAGATCAAGGACTTCCGTAGACAGATTCCAGATAATGGACGTCCTTATTTCGCGCGTCGATGTCTCACCTCGGAGGGTCTCGAGAAATTTGACAGCCATTGGCCCATGGAAATATCGTTCAACTACCTTGGTCAATATCAAGTAAGTTCCCATTTCAGATCTTGCAAGCTTTTGACCTGACTGTGAGATTAGCAACTTGAACGATCCGATGCCCTATTGCAGCCACTTGAAAGTATGGCCGGAGAAACTCGTGAGGCAGGCGGTACAGCAGACGTGGGTCATGCAGCCCCGCGATTTGCCCTCTTTGAGATTTCCGCCATCATCTTCAAAGGCCGCTTAAAATTCGCCTTCACATTCAATCGCCACATGCAGCATCAAGAGCGTATAAGCCAATGGGTGTCAGAGTGTCAGAAAATCCTCACTAGTATGATCCAAACACTCCCCAAACTAGAGCCGACACCTACTATGAGCGACTTTCCATTGCTCTCCCTGACTGAAGATCGCTTCCGCTCCATGCTGGATAACCTTTCAAAACTTGGTATTCCACCCACAGACTTGGAAGACGCGTATCCCTGCTCCAGCATGCAAGAAGGTCTTTTACTTTCCCAGTCCAAAGATTCCGGGTTCTACGCTGCTGTGACAGTCCATGAACTAGTTTTGCCAAACGGTCATCTGGAACGGCAAAGGGTAGTTGATGCATGGGACCGTGTCGTCCAACATCATCCAGCCCTACGGACCATCTTCCTCGAAAATGTGGGCACAGACGAAGGTCTATACGACCAGATTGTTCTGAGACAAGTTAATTCAAACGTTGTTCACCTTGAGTGCGAAAACAAACAGGAAGCACTTAGGAAGTTAGAGCAACAGCGTTCAGTCAGCTATGAAAATGGTCGCAGCCCACCTCATCGATTCACTATTTGCAATACGGCTGACAGCAAGATTATTGTTTGTCTTGAGATCAGTCACGCGATCATGGACGGACACTCAATGAGTCTTCTCATGCAAAATCTCCGAGAGGCCTATGAAGATCAGCTGCGCGGAGAGGGACCGTCATACAGCGAGTACATTTCCTATCTGATGAGCCAACCTCAGGAGGAGAGCCTTGACTACTGGAGATCTCACTTGAACGGAAGCGAAGTTTGTTCGTTCCCCGTCCTCGACGACAACATCAGTGTCGAAAAAGAGCTCAGATCCATCCGTGTGGATTTTGGGGGAATCAGCATACTCGATCTTCAGAATCTGTGCAATGCGCATGGTGTCACACTGTCTAACATCTTTCACACTGCATGGGCAATTACCCTAAGCTGCTATGTAGGAAGCAAAGATGTTACATTCGGCTATCTGACCTCCGCGCGAGATTCACAAGACATTCATCGTGTGCAAGACATGGTGGGCCCCATTATCAACACGCTCGTTTGCCGTGTCAATCTTTCTGGTGGTTCCAAGTCTGTCTTGAATATATTACAAGACGTACAGAAAGACTACTTGGATGCTTTACCGCACCGTCACATTGCACTTGCAGAGGTGCAGCACACACTCGGGCTCTCGGGTGCAAACCTCTTTAACACCGCCTTATCGTACCGTCGGCTTCCACCTCAAGCTCCGGTAACCGAGAAAGGCCTGCAACTAGTTGAGGTCGCGCCGATCTATGATCCTACGGAGTATCCGGTATCCCTCAATATCGAGGTGTCCGACGATGATGCGATGGTCGATTTGGACTACTGGTCTGACCACATTTCCGCTGGTCACGCCGCGAATGTTGCTAGCACGTTTGTCAGGGCCGTCGAAAACATCGTTTACCATGCTCAAGAGCAGATATCGACGCTTGATCACCTCAGCGGCCGACAGTTGCAACAGATTCGCACCTGGAATGTGATGCCTGAGACTCTCCAAGAATGTGTCCACCACAGATTCGAATCATGGGTCGCGACCCAGCCCGATGCCCCAGCTGTACGCGGCTTTGACGGTGACTATACGTATGCTGAGCTTGACGCAACGACAAATCGTCTGGCTCATTATTTAGTCGAGCTGGGCGTCGGTCCTGAGGTTTTCGTACCCACCTGTTTCGACAAGAGTTCGTTTGCTGTTGTCGCCATGCTCGCAGTGCTGAAAGCCGGTGGATCCGCAGTTCCGCTTGACGCCAACCATCCAAAACCCGCACTGGAATCGCGCGTGGAAGATACCTCTGCGCAAGTCTGCTTGACGACTTCCGCTCGCTCAGAGCTCTTCGAAGATGTCGTTCCAGATGTGGTAATTGTCGATAGCGTCCTTTTGGATGACCTTCCAGACGTTGAAACGCCTGCCTGTACTAGCGTTGCCCCCTGTAACCCAGCCTTCGTTATATTCACATCTGGGTCGACCGGTCGACCTAAAGGTGTAGTGCTTGAACATGCAGCGATGGTTACAAGTGCGAACGCGCACGGAACCAATCTCGGTGTTGGGCCTGGAACAAGATTCCTCCAATTCGCAAGCTACACGTTTGACAACTCTTTGGAGGAGATGTTTACCACGCTCCAAAGAGGTGGATGCGTATGCGTACCTTCCGAGGAACAGAGAATGAACAACATCGCAGGCGCAATCGCGGAACTTGATGCCAATTTCATGGATTTGACCCCTACAGTGGCTTCGCTCCTGAATCCGACCGACGTTCCCACGATAAAAGGCATGGCTTTGGGTGGTGAAGCCCTCACCAAGGTCGTGGTAGAGCAATGGTACAAACATGTTCATCTGCATGGTCAGTACGGCCCGTCGGAGGCATCCATCAACAGCGCCTGGAAAGATTTCAAACAAGGTGGCGAACCCACAAACATTGGCCGAGCGATTGGCAGCGTATCCTGGATTGTGGATCCAGAGAATCGTGACCGTCTTGTTCCCATTGGATGCAAGGGCGAACTGTTGATTGAGGGACCTATCCTTAGCCGAGGATATCTGAACAATGAAGAGAAAACTCGTGAGGTTTTTGTTGGACCACCCGAGTGGGCTCGTGGGGATGAACCGAATGCAAGACGGTTCTATTGCACTGGTGATCTAGTGTATTACACTTCCGAAGGTGAAATGATGTATCTTGGACGTAAAGATCATCAAGTCAAGGTAAGGTTGAGAGTATTTTAAGCTACTTTGCAGTACTAATCTTCCACAGTTGAACGGTCAACGCATTGAGCTTGGAGAGATTGAGCATCACCTCACACTTAACCTTCCGGGTGAGGCACAGTCAGCGGTTGAGCTCGTCAAGTTCAAAGATAGTAAATCCACAAAAGCTCTTGTCGGTTTTCTGTGCCTGTCTTCTGAACCCAGCGGTTCGACCAGTGATATTCCGGTCGCAATTGGGGAAATGGAAGAGTCTGTCAAAGCCGTGGCTAAGAATTTGGAAGTCTGTCTTTCGAATTCCCTGCCGGCATATTACGTCCCCTCAATGTTCCTGCCGGTCACCAGAATGCCCCTCACCACTTCTGGGAAGCTGGATCGGAAGGTTCTACGTCAACTGGCCGAAGATATTCCAGAAGATCAGATGCAAGCCTATCGACTGGCGGGCAAGAGCGGTCGCGCGCCCTCCGGCCAGGCAGAAGTTTCTTTAGCGCGACTGTGGGCTTCAGTTCTTCGCTTGAGTGAAGACACCGTCGGTGCTGACGACTCATTTTTCCGCTTGGGAGGCGACAGTATTGGCGCCATGAAGCTTGTCACTGAGAGTCGTAAAGAAGGCATAGTCATTAGTGTGGCTAACATCTTTGCGAAACCCAAACTTTCCGAAATGGCTGCAACAATCACCGTTCTTTCCACCGACCAAATGTCTGCAGAGCCCGAGCCTGACGTTCTGCCCTTTGGTCTTATCCCCGAAGACCATCGCCGGAAGGTCATTGAGTTGGTTGCATCGGAATGCGGAGTATTCCAGGATTCAATTGATGATATATACCCGTGCACCCGTCTCCAAGAAGGTCTTATCGCACTTTCAACCAAAGAGCCAGGCGCCTACGTGGCCGAGACAATCTATCGCCTGCCTTCCGATACCGATGTAGTACGTTTTAAAGAGGCTTGGAACACTGTAATTGCCGCAGAGGCCGTCTTACGTACTCGCATCATCCACACGGATGACTACGGCTTTCTGCAAGTCGTCATACGCGGAGAAATCGAGTGGAAAGCTTTAAATGATCTGCAAGACATAAAGGAAATTGACAGACACTTACCAGCCAAGCACGGCGCTCCTTTATCTACATACGCGATCGCTGGAGAGGGCACATCATCACCATACTTTGTCTGGACCGCACACCATGCAGTATACGATGGTTGGAGCTTGCCTCAGATGCTTTCCAAGGTGGAAGACTGTTACCGTCAATCCACCCAAGTTCTACCTGATTCGATTCCATACTCCCGTTTCATCAAATATCTATCTTCGGTTGATGGAAAGGAATCAGATGCGTTTTGGCTGCAAATGTTTGAGGATATCGCGGCACCTCAATTCCCACCACTTCCTAGCCCGGACTACAAGGTTCAGGCTTCCGCTCAGCTTCTGCATCATGTTCCAGTCGCGCAAAGGCGTGGAATGGAGATAACCATGCCATCTATGATTCGGGCTGCTTGGGGAATGCTGCTTGCTACCTTTACGGGATCCGATGATGTGCTATGGGGAGAAACGAACTCCGGGCGCGATATTCCCGTCCCAGGCATCGAAGACATCATCGGAGCTACAATCACCACAGCTCCCATGAGAGTGAAGCTCGATAGATCTGCTTCCGTTGCCACCTACTTGCAAGAAGTACAACGCCAGACAGCTGCTGCCTCGCCATTTCAGTTTGCGGGGATCCAGCACATCAGGAAGCTCAGTCCAGACGCTGCGCTAGCGTGCGACTTCCAAAGCCTGTTGGCTATCACCTCTGGAGATGGAATGAAAGATCCAGAGGGTGGACTGTGGAATCTGGAGTCCACTGGCACCATTGGAACGAATTTCTTCAGCTATGCGCTCATTTTCAATTGCACGGTTGAACGAGATGGTGTTCACATTGAAGCGCACTATGACGACCGCGTCCTTGATTCTTGGTTGGTGCAGCGCCTCGTGCAGGAATTCGGCTTCATCCTCAACCGCTTCAACGAAGAGAATACGTCGAAGAGAACCCTCGGCGAAATTGAGCTGTTGAACCCCAGCGATGAGACAACCATCACTGCTTGGAACAACAAGCCAGTCAACATAATCAACAAATGCATCCACTCGCTCATCTACGACAACCAAGTCGTATTCCGTCCAGAAGCAATAGCGATCGATTCTTGGGATACCGGTCCAATGACCTATCGAGAGCTAGATGCGCGGGCCTCACGTTTGGCATCACGTCTTATTGGGCTTGGAGTGAAGCCCCAAACATTCATACCGTTCTGCTTCGACAAGTCTGGGTGGACGCTCGTGGCTATTCTTGCTATTCTCAAAACAGGGGCTGCTTTTGTGCCGCTGGATTTTGAAGCGCCACTGCTTCGCCTTCGCGAGATTGTCGCCGATGTTAAAGCTGATGTCATACTCTGCGCCGCACAGTACGAGGATTTGTGTCGCTCAATTCCGTGCAACACATTAGTCGTCAATGCCAAAGCGACCGAAAACGACGGCATTTCTCAACGTGCACTGCCCGCCGTACGAAGTGACACACCAGCGTATGTTCTATTCACCTCCGGCTCAACTGGAAAACCTAAAGGCGCAGTGATTCATCATCGCTCTTTTGTTACTAGTTCTGCACTCTATGCGCCTGCATGGAACATTACTGAGAAATCGCGCGCCCTTCAATTCGCCTCCTACGCTTTTGACTGTTCGTTGATCGAGATTCTGAGTGTGTTGATTCAAGGAGGAACAGTCTGTGTTCCAAACCAAAAAGAGAGAACAGACGATCTCGCTGGTGTGATCAATCGCATGAAGATCAACTGGGCAGCACTGACGCCCAGCTTGGTGCGAACTTTGCAGCCTTCGCAGGTCCCACAGCTCAAGACTTTGACTCTGGTTGGTGAAGCTATGAGCCAGCAAGATTTGAATACGTGGGCCGACCGAGTCACGCTCGGCAATGGATACGGTCCGACGGAGTGCTCTATTGTCGCCACTTTCAACATCATGACCCCCACTACGAAACCGAATAACCTCGGCAAGGTCATTACAGCCAGGGGATGGGTTGTCTCAAAAGACAATCACGATGTTTTGGTACCTGTGGGTGCTATCGGAGAGCTTCTCATGGAAGGCGGTGGTGTCGGTGCGGGATATTTGAACAACCCCGAGAAAACGGCTCAAGGTAAGCTTATTCTTCGAAAATTTCGATCGTTCAGCTAATATTCCGTAGCTTTCATTGAAGACGTCAAGTGGACTGTCGGCGCAGATATCTTAGATCGTACCGAAACACGCCGTTTCTACAAAACAGGAGACCTGGTCAGATATAACGAAGATGGCACCTTACTTTTCCTGGGACGAAAAGACTCTCAGGCTAAAGTTCGAGGCCAGCGTCTCGAATTATCAGAAGTGGAACATCATTTGGTCAGTGACGCTCTTGTTCAAAATGCAATTGCCGCCGTACCGACTTCTGGACCATGCGCCAAACGTTTGGTCGGAGTTGTGTCTCTTGAAGACGTTACTCAGACTGGAAAGTCGGATGACATTCTCAGCCTCTTACCCCAAGATCTGGCTTCGTTCAACATCGTCACTATCAGAGATCGACTTTCTGAACGCCTTCCTTCGTACATGGTGCCTTCTCTGTGGGTTGCCGTGTCGCGGTTCCCGTTGATGCCGTCTGGGAAGATGGACCGCAAGCGGGTTGTGCAATGGCTCGAGCGTATGGAAACTGAAACATACCGTACCATCTCTGCCCTCGGTCTGGAAGAAGAAAAGAACGATGCAAATGACGTTGAAAGCAAGCTTCAAGCCATCTTTGCCCATGTGCTCAACCTGCCAGTTGAGGATATCCATCTCAATCAATCCTTCCTTCATGCAGGAGGAGACAGTATCGCCGCCATGCAGATTTCTTCAAAATGTCGCTCGCAAGGCTTGGCATTGTCCGTACAGGATATCATCCGCGCTAAATCGATCACTCAATTGGCTGCTATGGCCTCCGTTTCAGTGGAACAGCAGACTGGGCCGGCAAAGGTCGACGACTATGATTTACCATTTGACCTCACACCTATTCAGCGAGTGTTTTTCGATTCAGCTGGAAGCGCATACAATCACTTCAACCAAAGCGTCGTGTTGCGTCTTTCGCGGGGGTTCGAGGTTGACGAGATTATGACTGCTTTTACATCTTTGGTCACTATTCATCCGATGTTGAGAGCGCGCTACACGAAAGGTGAATTCAACAAATGGCAACAACGTATTGAAAAGAACCCGAAAGACTCCTTCAGACTCCGACAACATACTGTTCGTACAGCAAACGATGCAAATATGCAGCCGATCATCAATGAGAGCCAGTCGACGTTAGATATCACTACCGGCCCGGTGTTCTCTGTAGATCTATTCGAGATCGAGGACACTTTCTCACAAGCTATTGCGCTGGTTGCGCATCACCTAGTCATTGATGTGGTATCCTGGGGCGTAGTCTTGGAAGATCTACAAGCGCTTCTCACCGGCACAACCCCACCTCCTCAAAGTCTGCCTTTCTACTCATGGCAACAGCAGCAGGCTTTCCAGGCCAATCAGGACGTCGCGAGCAAGGTTTTCCCTCTTTCGAACATTCCGCCTCCGGATTTGGAGTACTGGGGTTTAAGCAACGAGCGCAATGTCAATGGAGATGTCATCACTGAGGATATCGAGCTCTCGCCTAAAGACTCAATGCTCTTACTCGGTGCACACGATGCGCTTGCCACAGAACCCTTAGACGTATTCATCGCAGCTATTCTTGAGTCATTCCGTAAGACTTTCGAAGACAGGCCCACTGCCACCATCTACAACGAGGGTCACGGCCGCGAGCCATTTCAAAACACCCAGGACCTTTCGCGTACGATCGGTTGGTTCACTACTTTAACGCCCCTACACCTTCCAGTGTCGCAGGATCAACCCACAGACATTGTTAGCACCATACGTTGGGTGAAGGATCTTCGTGAAAGGATTCCCGGGAAAGGCCGACCTTATTTCGCTCTTGCAAATGGAGCGGCTTCAGCTCGCGATCGCAGCTTTGATAGATGGCCGGTGGAGGTGACTTTCAATTACCTGGGTCGCATGCAAAATCTGGAGCGAAAAGACGCGTTGCTTCAGAAACTTGATGGCATCAACACCATGGACATTGGGGATGATGTTCCTCGCTTATCTATCTTTGACATCACGGCTGTGGTGGCACAGGGTACCATCAAACTTTCATTCGGCTTCAACCGTCACATGCAGCGGCAGGAATTGATCAAGCAGTGGATCTCGAAGTGCCGCCAAACACTCATCGATGCGGTCGATCAGTTGCTGCAAGTGCGGCCGGAGCCTAGCTTGAGCGATTTCAAGCTTCTTCCACTGGCCTACAATGGAATGGCCAGGCTGTCTACTCTGTTACCCTCCGGTACTACTATCGCGGACGTGGAAGATATCTATCCCACCTCGCCAATGCAGCAAGGTCTTCTTCTGTCCCAGATGAAGTCGCCTGATCTTTATGCCTACCAGTGCACATTCGAAGTGCGCGCTACAGAACCAGGCGCTTCCATCAACCCGCGCAAGCTCGCCGAGGCCTGGCAAGTGGTTGTCCATCGTCATCCTGCATTGAGATCTGTCTTTGTAGAAAGCATTTCTGAGAAAGGCCGTATGGACCAGATTGTCTTCAAAGAGAAGCCTGGTCGAATCTCTTGGATCACAGATTGCGATGATGAAGATATGACTACATTCCTGCGCCAGCAGTCTTCGATCGATTACCGGGAATTCAACACCCCTCACCGCTTCATGGTGTGCAAGACGAAAACGAACAAGGTGTGGGTCAGGCTTGACATGAGCCACACTATTTGCGATGGTGGCTCTATTCCCAACCTTCTGACTGATCTGGCTCGAGCGTACGAAGGGAAGCTCACTCGTTCAGATGCAGGACCACTGTTCAGTGACTTTATCGCTCATGTTCTGTCTAACTCGCGCGAAAATGATGTGAACTACTGGAAGACGTATCTTTCAGGAATCGAGCCATGCTTCTTTCCGGCTCTCATTGACGGCAAGCCAGGGCCACGCGAGTCCGGCTCTTGCGAAACTCATATTCGTGACACCGCCAGCATCCAAGCCTTTTGTAAAGCGAATGGAGTTACCCTATCTAATGCGCTACAACTAGTCTGGGCGCTTGTTCTGCATTTCTACGTTGGCTCTTCGGATGTTTCATTTGGCGTCGTGGCATCCGGTCGCGATGTCCCCGTCAAAAATATCGAACAGGCCGCAGGATGCTTCGTCAATATGCTTATCTGCAGGCTCAGCTTCACAGAAGAGACACCTATTCGTCAACTACTACAGACATTGCAGAACGATTCAACCAATGCTCGCGATCATCAAGGATGTTCCCTAGCCGATGTTCAGCATGAGCTGCAGCTGCCATCGCTTTTCAATACCGTCTTCACGTTCCAGCGCAGACACATTGAACGAGATCCCGAAAAGACGGCGCTGGTATATGAAGGTGTGGAGGCTGCTGATCCCAGCGAGTACGATGTTACTCTAAACGTTGACTCCACTGATGAGGGCATCACGATCGATTTCAGCTACTGGAAAGACAAAGTGTGTGATGCGCAAGCCCTCAACATGTCCGAAACCTTTGAGAAGATACTATCGGATCTCGTTTCCAGTGAAAACGCTGGTCTTGCAGTAGCAGACCTCGAACCTCTGACCAGCGGAAGTCTGGAGCAGATTATGGATTGGAATGCCGAGTTACCTCCTGCTGTGCGCCGTTGCGTACACGACATTGTGCGGGAGCAAGCAATTATGCGCCCCCGCTCTGCTAAAGCGGTCGAGGGCTGGGACGGGACTTTCACGTATCAAGAGTTTGATCAAGTCACCGACCAACTTGCTCTTCACCTGCAAACTCTTGGTGTAGGTACTGAAACTCTTGTCCCCATCTTGTTCGAGAAGTCTTCATGGGCGGTTGTCAGTCAGATCGCTATCATGAAGGCTGGTGGGGCGTATGTTCCACTGGACCCAAAGCACCCGCCTAGCCGTCTGAAGCAATTAATCGAGGATGTGGGAGCCAAGGTCGTGCTGTGCTCGAGGGGTTATCACCAGAAAGCCAGCGATGTTGCGGAGCTAGCTGTTATCATTGATAAGGCTGAGATGAAGAAGGTTCCTTCATCACGAGGTCAGCGTCCGTCTTCAAACGTTACGCCAGATAACGCAGCATACGTTTTGTTCACCTCCGGAACAACGGGCAAGCCCAAAGGCACGATCGTCACTCACGAAGCGTTCTGTACTAGCGCTGCAGCTTTTACGCCAATTTTGCACATGGATCACACGACACGTACATTCCAGTTTGCGAGCTACACGTTCGATGCTAGTTGTACTGAGATTCTTGCTGCGCTGACCGTTGGTGGTTGTATCTGCGTGCCGACGGAAGACGAGCGAATGAGTGACTTGGCTGGTTGTATACGACGTATGCGCTGCACGTGGACTCTGCTCACACCCTCCGTACTGGGTTCGATCAAACCCGAGTGGGTGAGCTGCTTGAAGACATTGGTTGTGGGTGGTGAAGCAGTACCCGGACCAGTCATTCAGAAATGGGCCTCCAAGATTTGTTTCGTCGAAGCGTAAGTTTTCTATTCCGTTCTGCCATAATTGATATTGAAGACTAAGATGCGGATAGGTATGGTCCAACCGAGACTGCCATCATCTGTGCCACTTGCGCCAAATCCAACCTTGACAAGAAAATCGTGGATGCAGACCCGGGTACCATTGGAGTGCAGACCGGCTGCAGAGCTTGGGTTGTCCACCCTCAAAACCACCACAAACTAATGCCCATTGGAAGTGTCGGGGAGCTTATCGCTGAAGGTTACATTGTGGCTCGTGGGTACTTGAACGAGCCCGTGAAAACTGCGAAAGCCTTCATCCAACGGCCAGCTTGGACATCGACACTCCCAAGCAAGGAAGAGACTTTCTTCACCACGCGCATGTATAAGACTGGAGATTTGGTGCGCTACAACTCCGACGGTTCGCTTACGTATATCGGGCGGGCGGATTCCCAGATCAAACTCAACGGCCAACGAATCGAGCTTGGCGAGATTGAGTTCCATGTCAAGAGCAAGTTCCCAGAAGGTGTGCAGTCAGCTGTTGATCTTGTTTCGCCTGCGAGTCGCACGTCTTCCAAAGCTCTGGCGGCTTTCTTCTGCGCGGAGAACGTTAAACTGGAATCGACAAACGGAGATGTGCAGCCTGCCTCTAGCGACCTTCCGGCTGCCGATGAACTTCTTCTCCCTATGAGCGACGATCTTCGCGACATGTGCAAAGCTATGGAGAATGCTGTCACCGGGGCTTTGCCATCGTACATGATACCTTCGCTGTTCTTCCCCGTCGCTAATATGCCCTGGACGGCGGCCGGAAAACTCGATCGTAATAGGCTGCGTAATATGGTTCAGAATTTGAGCAAGGAAGCGATCGCGCCGTACCGACTGACGGGTGCCATGAACAAACGCAAACCAGCTAACCCAGTCGAGAAGAAGTTGCAAAAGCTGGTGTCCACTATTTTGAATGTCTCAGCTTCGTCAGTCGGACTCGACGACAATTTTATGCGTCTTGGTGGAGACAGTCTATCTGCAATGAAGCTTGTTACTGCAGCTCAAGCAGAACAACTCAACTTCTCTGTGGTCGATGTGTTCAAATCTCCTAAACTTTCCGAGCTTGCCGCTAAGTGTGGCGGCGGTTCAAGCGCGGCTGCGATTTCAGTCACCCCGAAAGTCACCCACAAGCGGAGCTTGGAAGCTTTCAGTCTGTTGGATAGATCTCTTTCTCGCGCACAGGTTCTTAATGAGCTCGCGGATCAGTGTGGGGTGTCCAAGAACAACATCCAGGATGCTTATCCGACAATGCCACTACAAGAAGCTCTCTTTGCACTTTCAATCAAGCAGCCTGGTGCGTACGTCGCGCAGCAGATCCTCGCGCTGTCGAAATCCTTGGACTTAAACAAATTCAAAGCGGCGTTCGAGAAGACTGTGCAAGATCTTGACATCCTTCGTACACGCGTCGCGCAACTACAATCCGGGAGCTTCATTCAGACAGTCCTTGTTGAAGACCCCATCGAGTGGCGCGAGGCAACATCACTAGCGGAGACGGAGCGAGAAGCGAAGAAGATGCCCCAAGGGCTCGGTGCAAAACTGGCTTCGTATACCATCGTCAATACTTCTTCGGGCGAGAGATATTTCGTATGGACTATACACCATGCGCTGTACGATGGCTGGAGTACGCCCCTTATGTACTACCGTGTACAGCAAATCTACACTGCAGGGCTGTCTGACCTCCCCAAGACACCATACAGCCGCTTCATCAAGTTCCTTCTTCGCCGGGATCCGAATGCATCTACTAAATTCTGGAAGAAGACTTTGTCTGGTTGCTCGGCTTACAAGTTCCCACAGCGCCCGAGTTTCTCGCCGAACGACGCCCACAAGGGAGAACTGCTGGAGAGTATTATCAAGCTACCTGACAACCGCCACAAGAACATCACCGTTCCGAACGTGATCCGCCTCGCATGGGCTATCCTTCTCGCGGCCTACACAGGGAGTTCAGATGTTGTGTTCGGTGAAACGCTGGCCGGTCGCGACGTGCCTGTTAACGGCGTATTAGAGATGTGTGGACCAACTCTCACGACAGTGCCCACGCGCATCAAGATCGACCGTGACGCCACGGTTGCGCGTCTTTTGAAAGCCATTGCCGACGATGTAGTGATTGACCGCATCGAGCATCAACACTTCGGTCTGTCAGAAATCAAGCGTATCGACGCTGATGCGGCCGCCGCTTGCGACTTCCAGAACCTCCTCATTGTCCAAAACGGCTCGGCAGAGGATGACAGTTCGCAATCACTGTGGAAATACGTCGACAATGGGGCCCAAGGAAGCTTTTTAACATACCCCTTGGTCGCTGAGTGCACTGCTCTAGCCCGCAATTCAAGCCTAAAAGTCGAGGTCAATTTCGACGCAAATGTTATCTCGAAGTGGGAAGTGCAACGTTTGGTTTACCAATTCGAATCTGTTCTGGCGCAGATCAACTCTGTTGGAAATATCCGCGATATCCACGTTTTCAGCGAGCAAGATATGGGTCTTGTGCGTCAATGGAACAGCAATCAGCCTCTGGCTGTTCCTGGCACCATCCATGCACTTTTCCTTGAGCAGGTCAAAGCTAGACCAAGAGCTGCAGCGGTTGCGGCTCACGATGGCGAGCTTACGTATCAAGAGCTGTCCAGCCTGTCTATGCAATTAGCGCAGGAGTTGGTCAAGCACGGAGCTGGACCTGGCAAGTTGGTGCCGCTCTGTGTCGATAAGTCGCGATGGGCAATTGTTGCTATCATGGGTATCTTGATGTCTGGCGCTGCATTCGTGCCGCTTTCGCCACAACACCCGGCATCGCGTCACGAGCAGATTATGAAAAATTTCGAGGTGACTGTTGTGGTATGCTCTCCGGAGTACAAGACGCGATTTGAGAAAGTTGTTGTTGCTAGCGAGGCCTCAATCCGTCGCTTACCTGCTGTGAAATCGGAGCTGCCGCTGCAGGCGAAGAGTAGCGATGTTGCGTATTGCATGTTCACTTCTGGGTCTACGGGCTTACCCAAGGGTGTAGTAATTCAGCATGAGGCTATTGTTTCAAGCTCGGTTGCTATGCGGAAAGCGCTCAATGTAAGTTCATCATGAGAAAGACGATTAAGGAAATGCCTCCGACTAACAACATTTCTCTCCAGATCACTCCCGAGTCAAGAGTGTTCCAATTTGCCTCGTTCGTCTTTGACGTATCGGTGCTGGAGGTCTTGACTTCACTGACATGCGGAGCCGTTTGCTGTGTTCCGTCCGACCAGGAGCGCACTGCTGATTTGGCTGGCGCTATTAATCGTCTTCGCGCAACTTGGACCTGTTTGACGCCCTCGGTTGCGAATGTTTTGGACGGACCCAGCGCCGTGCCAACGCTCAAGACATTCGCTTCTGCCGCCGAAGCGCTGACGCCCGAGACCATTGAGAAATGGGCGTCTGGGCTAGAACTCATCAACGCATACGGTCCAACCGAGAACTCTGTGCTGAGCTTGGTAAACGGCCAAGTCTCGACTCAGCGCGATCCAACTAATATCGGATTTGCACTGGAAAGCGCACGAACATGGCTTACGGAGCCCGAAAACCCTCACCGTCTAGCTCCCGTTGGTGCTGTCGCGGAACTTTGTGTTGAAGGACCTCTGCTGGCTAGAGGGTACCTGAACAACCCTGAAAAGACTGCCGAAGTGTTTGTCGAGAACCCTGCATTCTTAAAAGCATTCTTGGGCACGACAAGTTCGAACAACCGCATTTACCGCACCGGCGACTTGGTTCAATATGCCCCAGACGGATCTGTCAAGTATCTGGGTCGCAAGGATAACCAGATCAAGCTCTCTGGCCAAAGAGTAGAGCTTGGTGAGATCGAACATCATCTTCAAGCCGATAACAGCGTGGAGCTCGCTGTCGTTTTGATGCCGAAGTCTGGTCCGGGTAAAAGAAAACTCGTTGCCGTTGTGTCATTCCACGACGTCAATCTACCAGATGTTGCTGGAAAACCATGGAATACGCCAATCACCGACACAAATATTCTCAAGCGTATGGAGAAGGCTAAAGATAGATTGTCAAATCTCGTGCCTCCGTACATGGTGCCGACGGTGTGGGTAGCGGTGCCTAGTATCCCGAGACTAGCATCTGCGAAGCTCGATAAGAAGCAGGTCGGCATGTGGTTTGAGAATATGGACGATGCTACTTATCGCCATATCTTGAGCTTGGAGAGTAGCGTGGAGCCTGCTCTCGCGATGTCGGAAGGCGTGAAAGTCTTGATGGAGGTATCTGCGAGGGTCTTGAATGTCCCAGTGTCAAGCGTTAAGCCGAATAAGTCGTGGCTGTCGCTTGGTGGAGACTCGCTCATGGCCATGCAATTCCTGGCGCAATGCAGAAAGGAAGGCATCGCCATCACGCTGAACCAAGTCCTCCGTGCGAAATCACTTGCGCAGTTGGCGGAGAACATCACGACTTCTGTTGGGGCCGAACACATGGAGGCACAGACAGACAAGCTTTTCGAACTCTCTCCGGTGCAGCGATTCTACTTTGCCAATCTGCACAGTGAGAAGAGTGCACAGTTCAACCAGTCTTTCACTGCTCGTCTCTCGCAGCATGTGGATTCTTCCGTCGTTCAGAAAGCTGTTGATGCGCTTGTGAAATGTCACGCTATGCTCAGAGCGCGATTCATGTTCGAGGACGGAGAGTGGCAACAAATGGTCGTGTCTCATTCTGAGAAAGCATACGCGTATCGGGTACACGATATTTCGACCGTTGAGGCCGCTATTGACATCATCTCTGCATCCCAGAAGAGTCTCAACATCACAACTGGACCTCTCTTTTCTGTGGATCTTCTGAATGTTGCGAATGACCAGCAGATCTTGTTCGTCGCTGCGCACCACCTTGTTGTTGATGTGGTAAGCTGGAACATCATCACTGGTGATTTGGAAGAATGCATCAAGTCCGGCTCCTTTGAGTCTCTACAAAAGGAGCTGCCATTCCAGATTTGGAATGACAAGCAGATTGCGCATGCTCTTCAACCTTCACAGGCCAGCAGCGTCCAGAAGCAGAGTTTCAATGTGGAGCCTGTTGATCTTGCTTTCTGGGGACTCGACAAACGGGGCAATCTCTACGGAGACGTCGAACGCGACTCCTTTACCATCGATACAGACATTACTGCCATGGCGCTTGATAGTCGCAATGCGCTGCGAACGGATATCGTCGATTACTTCGTTGCGGCTATTGTGCATTCCTTTTCGCGCATCTTTATCAGTCGAAAGACGCCCACAGTGTTCAACGAATCACACGGTCGCGAGCCGTGGGAGTCTAGCAATGTTGATCTGTCACGTACTGTCGGGTGGTTCACTACCATGTACCCCGTCCATGTTCCCATTTCCGACGATGAAGACGACGTTGTCCAGACTGTTCGCCAAGTCAAGGATATCCGCCGGAGGATCACGCAAAATGGACGCGAGTACTTTGCGCACCGATTCCTTACACCCGATGGCAGGAAAAAATTTATTGGTCACCAACCTATGGAGATTCTGTTCAATTACCTAGGCAAGTCGCAGAAATCGGAGACAGGTGACTCGCTGTTCGGACCGTTCGATGTCAAAGAAGAAGATGAAGTTACTGTGTCGGATGTGGGCGAGAAGATGAAGCGTCTTGCTTTGTTCGAAATCTCGGCTTCGGTTGTCGATGGGAGAATTGAATTGGGCTTCATGTACAACGGGCTCATGAAAAATCAAAAGGGCATACGAAGGTGGATTGTCGAATGTCAACGCACATTGGAGGAAGTCATCACCTCCGTGGCCAGTGTCGAGAAGCCTCAACCGACACTATCGGATTACCCGCTCCTCCCTCTGGATTCGTATTCCCGCCTCGATCGCGTCATCAAATCCTTGCCCGCTGTCGGCATCAAGTCGATTGACCAAGTAGAGGATATCTATCCTTGCGCGACTATGCAAGAGGGTATGATATTGAGCCAGATCAAGGAACCGAGCTCATACTGGTCTTTTGCTACATTCGAAGTCAAGCCCCCGCGTGGCAGCCGAGTCGATGTGGGTCGCATCGAAAGCGCTTGGGCTAGTGTGGTGCAACGACACGCTGCTCTGCGCACTATATTCATCGACAGTGTTTGCAAAGGCGGTGTATTCGATCAAGTTGTAGTCGCGGAGCCAGATACTGGGCTTCTGACGTTCACTTGCAGCGACGCGGAGCTTCAGAGAAAGTTGGACTCGATCAAATACGCTAATTTCAATGGAAAACGCAAACCTCGTCTGCCGCACCAACTTTCGATTCTCAAGACGGACTCTGGGCGAATAATCGTAAAATTGGAGATCAATCACGCCGTCATCGATGGTGGCTCTTGGGCGATTATCACAAAGGACCTGCAGGATGCGTACGAAGGGCGGTTGCCGAGCGAGAAGGGTCCGCTGTACAGCGAGTACATCAAATACCTTCGCAGTATGCCAGCTGATGCTGCAGTGAATTTCTGGAAACAGCAGCTCAGGGGTGTGAAGCCATGCTATTTCCCTATCATCCCGCAGCACTCTTCCAAGCAGCGCCAGCTACACTCGCTCTTCATGAAGTTCGACCGCTTTGGCGAGGTGCAGACTTTGGCTGAACATAGCGGGATCACGTTTGCGAATATCTTGCTAGCCACTTGGGCTCTGCTCTTGAGGACTTATACGAACTCGTCGGATGTGTGCTACGGATATTTGACGTCCGGTCGCAATGTTCCGATTGACGGTGTCGAGGGCGCGATCGGCGCCTTCATCAATATGCTCGTGTCACGTGTAAGCGTCACACAGTCGCACTCCCTCCTTGATGTTTTCCAAAAAGTGCAGGGAGATTTCTTCGATAGCTTGCCGCATCAGCATTGCTCGCTGGCCCAGTTCCAGCACGATTTGGGACTAAGCGGCAAAGCGCTGTTCAATACCGCTGTGTCGGTGCAGAACTCTGGCGTCACGGCGCAAGGACTTTCCATGGTAGAATCCGACGCGGATGTCGAGTTTGTTCATCTCAATGCGCACGATCCTAGCGAATTCGCACTCAGCGTGTCTATTGACGCTACCCGAGGCGAGGAAATGGTCAAGTTTGCGTACTGGACTGATTCCATTTCCGACAACGAAGCGAGCAATATTTCGACGCTCATGGGCAAGATTCTTTCGCAAGCCATCGCGGATGTCAATATGACGGTCAAAGAGCTCGATGCCGCTCTTGAGGACAAGATCCCACCGCAAGCCGTCAAACCCAGTTCGCGGGCTCCTTTGAAATACACGCGCCGTCGCAGCACTGCGGATTCTGAGATTTCGCTTCGTTCGATGCGGTCGTATAGTCGTGGCGAGCTTCCACAGATTACGACTACGATAGCTTCGCCTGGTGGCAACAGCGCACCGGATTTCACGTCTCTGATCCGGTCTATTGTCAGTGAGATGGTGCCGCAGGTTGTCGATCAGATCTTGGCGAAGAACAAGAATGCGCTTCCGCCGGGTCAGGCTACTGTGAATGAGATGACGAACCAAATGACTGGTATGATTGCTAGGCGCGCATCCATGTCTATTCGAGGAGGCGTTGGAGGGAGGAGGATGAGTGAGACTGGGTCGATCAGATCTCGCCGCATGAGCACGGCGAGCGATACTGAGAGCAGGATCGGTATTGCGGTGGACATGGTAGCAGCTGCGGGGGTGATGGCGTCTGACGCACTCAAGTCTGCTCCCGCGGACTTTGTGGAGAGAAAGCTGATGACTTTGTGGGGAGAGTTGCTTGATATGGTTGAAGAGACGATTGAGAAGGATGATTCGTTCTTCCAGCTTGGTGGGGATAGCATTATCGCGATGAGGTTGGTTGGTGCGGCAAGAGAAGAGGGATTGTCGATGACGGTCGCGGATGTGTTCAAGAACCCCACTTTTGCGGATATGGCGAGGGTGGTGAGAGTGGCTGGGGAAGTCATCGATCAGGTTATGAGTCAGGCTGGTGATCGAGAGTCGGTCGCTGGAAGAAGTGTGCAGGGCGGTTCGTCGAAACCGAAGTTGCAACTTCCGCAGAGTACGACGTCGGCGTGGAAGGATTTCCAGTCTATGGTGTCTGATCACGCGATTGAAGATACAACCGATGGCGGGAACTCACCGCCTGAGAAGACGGAAGAGGAGAAGGTTGATTTGGAAAAGAAGTGGGATGGGTTTAACCAGTCCACGAATGGTTCGTCGACGCCTGTTGCGTCGTCGGCTCCTCCGGCGCATAGATTCAGCAAACAGCATCGCATGCCGACAACTATCTTGGAGGAATCAACACCCAAGTCGATCTCGCTTCTTGGAGATCCGAATGTGGAGAGCGTTATTTCGAAGGTGCATGTGTTTAAGGGGGGTATCTCGGATGTTCTGCCGGTGACGGACTTCCAGTCTCTCGCCATCACTGGAACGCTACTCGAATCAAGGTGGATGCTGAATCATTTCTACCTTGATGGACCGGGACCGCTTGATATTCGAAAGCTCAAGCATGCGGCGTTCCGTGTTGTTCAAGCATTCGACATTCTTCGAACTGTTTTTGTGCCGTACGGCGATCGCTTCCTCCAGGTCATATTGAGGAAGTTGCAGCCTGACTTCATCTTTCAAGAGACCGATCTCAGTCTGGAAGAGTTTACTACTGAATTACGGCAGAAAGATAAGGAACATGGGCCTCGTCTGGGTGAGGCATTCACGCAGTTTGTGGTCGCCAAACAGAAGAAATCCGGCCACTACCGCATATTCATACGCCTCTCTCACGCGCAATACGATGGGGTCTGTCTGCCTCGCATTCTCAGCTCTCTTCAAGCAGGCTACAACGGTCTGCCCATCTCAACAGCACCCAGCTTTGGGCAGTTCGTGAAGGAGACGGCTAAGACGGTGGCGGGTGCGCACGATCATTGGAGAGAGGTGCTCAACGGATCTAAGATGACGGAGATTGTGGCCCGGTACGGACCCAATTATCAACGCTCTGTGGGCAATACCGTCACGCTCAAGCAGATGGCTACGCTTCCTAGCTTGGCCTATGTTAACATCACGCACGCTACGGTCATGAAAGCGGCGTGGGCTGCGACGCTAGCTCGTATTGCAAGCAAATCCGACGTCGTCTTCGGGCACGTCATCTCCGGGCGCAACAGCACGGTGGCTAACATCGAAAGCATTGTGGGTCCATGCTTGAATATGGTTCCCGTTCGCGTGGTTTACAGACCCGAATGGACTGTTCTCGATCTGCTCATGTACATTCAAGACCAGCAGATTGCAAACATGCCATTTGAGTCGCTGGGCTTCCGAGACATCACACGCAACTGCACGGACTGGCCCGACTGGACAAATTTCAGCAGTGTGCTCCAGCATAACCAGGGCATGCTTTCTGCGTCAGACGACAAGTTCCTTTTCGGCGGTGTCGAACACACTATCGGCGTCGAAGCCTCACAGGAAGATTTTGCGGACTTCTCCATTCTCTCCACCTCGAACGGTGGCGGCAACAAAGACCAAGTTGAAATCACGCTCACGTACGCGCCTAACAGCACCATCACGCCGGACTTTGCGCAAAACGTCTTCGATATGCTTTGTGCCAATGCAATTACTTTCTCGGAGGATCCCTACACGCTCCTCCCCTCACCATCAGAGCTCACTTCGCGCTCCTCATCGACAGTGACGTCTGAAGGTCTGGCACTCCCTCCCCGCACGAAATCAGCCGAGAAGGCAGCGCTCGCATTGCCAACAAATACCGGGCTCTCTTCTTCAGAAGTCGCAAACCTAGCCGGGCTCCTCCGCACAGCATGGAGCCAAATCCTCCGCTCCGACACCTCGGCACCCACAAACGGCACAAACGGAAACGGCATCCCGCACGCAGTCAACATCGATCTCGGTTCAGATTTCTTCGCTCTCGGCGGCGACATCATGGGTCTTGCGCAGCTCGCATCCATGCTCGACGAACTCGCTGAAGATGGCCTCAAAGTCCGCGTCGAGGATCTGATTGATAAGTCGGTGTTTGTGGATCAGGTTGAGCTGCTTGCGAATGCGAGACGCGAGGTGCTGAGGAAGGAGGAGATGAATCCTTGGGGCGAGAAGGGCAGGAAGGACAAGGATGGTGGGGTTAATGGAGAGAAGGGAGGAGATGGCGAGGTCATTAAGAAGTTGGAGAGGGTTGAGAGTGGGTTGGGGAAGGTGTTGGGCAGGATGAGGTTGAGGAAGAGGGATAGCGGAAAGCTGAGGTGAGACGGGTTGCCAGTTTCGTAATATACAGGGTGGGGATGGAGAAATTGCTGATTTCTTTTTGTATGATTTTCTTTTGTTGGGTGTTGGCGGTTTTGATCTAGATTGTTGTTTTGTTTGATGTTTTCCATTGTGGTTTCTAGTATAGTTAGTCTGTTATTCTTGTTGTTTACTTGCTACTTTTCTCTTCTGTCCAGTAAGTTTTCCTGCTACATAATCAATCTTGAATATTCTCAAATCAATTCATAGTTCGAACGTGTCAACAATTGATGTTTGACGCAGAAGGGCAATTCGTGTTGCTGTTGTCCTGGATATCAGCAAGCTCACCAAGAACAGAAGTATACCAGCATCTGTTCCATGCAGATCCGGGGTACGGTACATGAATAGCGGCGGCATGCACGGAATATGCACGACACCTGCACATGAAAAGCATAACCCCAGTGCCCTAACCCTAATCTACACACACACAAAAACACCAACTCCCCACTAACCCTAACCCTCCACCAACCTCCCCTCCACACGCTCAACACCCACAAAACCCCTGTTCCCAAACCCAAAACAAAACAAAAAAAAAAGAAAAACAATGAACCCTACACAACCCCAACCCTCTCCCCCAAAAATCCACTACAACACCACCCCCGCCAACCTCTCCGCCGCCCACACCGACTTCACAGCCATCCTCCCCGCCTCACGCATCTCCACCTCCCTCGCAACACGTACCGCCCACTCAACCTCCCTCATATCCGTCCCAAACCCTTCCCACACCCCGTCCCTCATCCTCTACTCGGCCTCCACACCCCACGTCAACGCCATCCTCAAGATCTGCTTCGCGCGCCTCGTCAGGGCGTTTGCGTTGATTTCAGGGACATGCGACATGTTGGGGAGGTTAATGAACGGGATATAGATGTTTGTGTTGGAGCTGGGGTTTTGGGTGTGTGGAATTGAAGAGATGGGTTGGATGGGGTGGGGTTGTTTTTTCTGGTTGATTCCCGGGGCTTGAGGCGAGGGTTGGGGGGATAGTGAGTTTTTACTTTATTTTCTTCTATTTTCTTTTTGCAACTTGGTGGATTGTGTTCGAACGTATCCATAGTCAAGACGCGGAACCGCCCGCGCAAATCATCGGCCGGGTACGATCTAACGCACCTGATGGTAGGGTCCGAAGGCACTCTAGGTACAGTCACAGAAGCGGTGCTGCGTCTATCGCCTCTGCCACATGTAGCGATTGTAACGTTTGAAAGCACGCATGCAGCTGTGCAGTCGGCGCTTGGCATCATGGGGTCCGGCGTGGTGTTTGATGCGCTGGAGTTTGTGGATCGCGCGAGTTTGCGGGCGGTGAATTCTTCGGGGTTGTTTGGGCGTGAGCGGTGGGATGAGGCTGAGACGCTGTTTTTGAGGTTCTCGGGTAAGGAGCAAGTGACGCAGACGCATATCTCCCTTGTAAACTCCATGCGTGAGGGACGTGGGTGTCGGGGTATTCGCATCTCGTCGGACCCGGTGCAAGTCGACGCATGGTGGAACGTGCGGAAGCTCGTGGGGAAATGTCTCGTCATGGCTATGAAACAAGGGGAAGTATTCATGGCCTCTGATGCGGCGGTGCCGAGGTCGAGGTTGGTGGATATCATTGTTGAAACGCAAGAGGCTATGGAGGATGTGGGGTTTTTTTGCTCGACGTTGGGACATATCGGGGATGGTGAGTGTTTTTTTACTTTCCTTCCGCCCCTGTTTTTTCGGTGGGTTTCGCTTCTGTGCTCACAGATTACTGTTGTAGGGAACATCCATGTGGCGATCCTCTGTCCCGAAGATCAGCGGGAAAGGGGGGAGAAGTTAATCGAGGATGTGCAGAGGAGAGCGTTGAGGTTGGAAGGTACGATTACTGGAGAGCATGGGATCGGGACTAAGACAAGAGATATGCTGGTTGAAGAAGTGGGGAGTGTAGGTGTAGATATGATGCGTATTGTACGTATACAATCCAACCCCCCTTCTTCGTTGAGATTACTGACATGAAGGCGTTGTTTGATCAAGTTTTCTCTGGATCCGAGAGGGATTCTGAATCCTGAGAAGGTTTTCCGGATTCACACTTAGATGCGAGGAATAGAGAAGTATGCACATACTTGAGTACACACTCAACCCGCCCCCTTTTCCTTTAAAAAAAGAAACTTATAAAAAAAATAGCTTTTCTAAATAATTTTGTTCATATACTATACTAAAGTAGTATCTTTATCTGTTACTTTCTACATTAGTTTGCTACTATAAATAGGGTTCTTTATATACTTTCTTTTATTTATATAATAGGCTCTTATTGAAGAGTGTAGAACTTTGTATTTCTACTTGTTTTAAAGGTACTGTATATCTATTATATTAAATAGTAAACTAAATGTAGCACGCGCATTTCTAGATCTAACGTTCTTTTAAGTTAAGTAAGACTGTCTGTAATAGGACAATAAAGTAATCTAATATACTTGTTAAGTTCTGAAATCTTTAAACAAAGCTAAATGAAACAGGATCGTACTCGTCTAGTTGCTGGACACACTCTTCATACATAATCCCATGTATGTAACATTCCCCAACTACCTCATGTAGCTCACTATATGGTACAGGCCGTACTATCAATGGTATCGGGCAGCCTTTCAGTATAATAATTTGATCTTTGGGCTTCAATATACGCGTACCTATGCCTATATGGCCACGTGTTGTCGTAAAGACTCTGCGGTGGTACATGGCTTGCCCAAGAGAATGTTCAAACTCATGCCAGTAGTGGAGCTCCGAACAACGCCGCTCTGTAATCTTTCGACTATCGAGGTATGATTGATATGAGTTCTTTAGAATGTCCCTGAGTGAAACTCCTCCGACCTTGAGGTGTCGCATACCATGCCATCTTTTCTCGATATTGGATGCACCCTGAAGTGTTGATATTGGTAGATCTGAACTCTCTTCCCATTCCATCAAATTGAACTCTGCATCATGTAAAGCTTTAGCCAGAAGTGGCCCGAATTCAGGCAGAGCTTGACACGGTTTCAATGGAGGTTCTCGACGACAGGTGTCTGCAACGAGTGTGCGATACAATGCCTCAAAGGTCTCTGCCGAAGAACAAAATGCCGCTCTGGTACTCGTCGACTGTCGACCTTCTGGGATACCGCCGCTTCCAGGAATGCACCACGGATCAAATTGCATGCCATCCACTGAATCCACTAGAAATCCTACCGCACGCAGAACATTGCCATCTAAAAGCACTTGCACGGAAGGAAGAGTCGATCCAGCTGCTTTATACGCTGGCCACTCCGCTTCGTTGTTTTCCCAGGAGCAAAGCAGAGGATATGCGGGCTTATGCGGGCCCCAGTGAGGCACCCAGGAAGGTAGCCTTTCTTGTCTTTGAAATTCCGAAATGCCAGCAAAACTCAAAATCGAGAGGTCACAACGAAGTCGGATGTAAGAGTGCGCGAAATCCTTGAAGACAGTTTGAAAAGAAGTCGTATAGTCCGGAGCAAACAAAGCTCTCGCGTGTTCGTCCATCAGCCCGTATTTCGCGAACAGTAGGTCACGATAATCTGTACCGACTGATTCCCTGGTAATGCGAAGTATAGCCAGAATGTCTGGCACTCCCCCGCTGCGCCAAAATGTTCGGATCCTCACTAATATCAGCATACGTTCCAGGTCACGACTTGTCATCCCGGTCCTCCGGACGACATCTGTAGGGAACAACAGAAACCAATATTTTGCCAGAATCTCCTGCGCCTGCAGGAGTTGCTCTTCGAAGAGGATGCGGTCGCCGCATGCGATTTCTATCGTTTTCGCTAGCACAAATTCCTGGATTACCCAAGCCCGTTTCCACCAATTTCGATGCAGGAGGTCGAGTAATGCTTGCCAGGCGTCGAAACAGTTGGCGTTCGCGAATGTTAAGATGGCCGCAGATTGATTTTCTTCTTTGCTCACTCTAGCCAAGGACATTAAATGATCCATAGCCAAGTCACTATTCGCTGAACGTCTTCCAAGCCAAACTATGACTTTGGATGCTTTGGTATATATGCTTCCCATCAATGCTACTTGGTTGTTTCGCTCGTCGGAGTTTGTCTGATTGATGCATATGGCATCCGCCCAGACCCGTACGAAATTGCGCTCGATCAGATGTTCAAGAGCACAGCACAAGTTGTGCTTTATATTCAATGGTTGTCCATCCAGCTCAATGCGATCAGTGTACGCGACCTCTAATGCATTCGTTTGGCATCCATTTATGGGGTCGTTCCAGGTGTAGGACAGTGCAACGCAATCTAGTTGATCTGTATCCAGAGGAACAACATCCAGTCGGCCAGTTAGAGGGTGTGATGAGATGAGCGTAAGAATGCGAATCTCTTTTTTGCTGTTTACCAGGTCGATGTGTACAAAAGGCATGGCGCTAGTGAAGTGTGAGAAGTGGAGCGCAGCAGCTTTCGAAGCACATTCATCCCACTCGAATAGTTATTAAAAATCATTCGAAATCGCTATCATGCAGATAGATTCCTTACTCGTCTCACCGGCTCGTATAGCCTTTGCAACAACACATAAGTTCCCTGCCATGTCTTAGCCGGCAGGCGATACTTGGGTCATTGGATACAGTCTGGCCAATCGATTGCTTCACTTGTTGCAGCACAGAGATCCGTCACCTTTTGTAAAGCCTTGCACGATGACGTTGATAAAGAAACTTTTCTGCGTGAATATCGCGCACAGTATAACGAACTGGATAATCGCTGACGGGCGACATGGAATTCAGTAGGCAAAATGCGTGTTGAATGGCATATTGCTGTAGCCATCTATGCGCCGCAAAACCTCCAATGTAGCTTAATATAGTGTACAAGATAGTGATAGAATCCTATAGCTTCTAATTCTAGATGAATGTGATCTCGATAAGTAATTCCCTATGTAGACACAAGTGCGTTATAATACGAAGTCAACCTGCCTGAGATATCTCTAGCCTAGACTAGCTAGCACATGTAGGAGCTGCAGTCTGCGCATATATATACGGCTTTAACCGCAACTGTTACACAACCCCGCTTCATTCACCCTAAAGTTCACGAGCGTTTTCTGCCTCAACTTAATCTTCACGAGCTATTGTGACTGTCCGATTCGCAAGAATGGATGTTTGGGCCCCATTTCGGGATGCACGCAGCCTTGCCTGGATTTTCCCTCCGATAACAGCCGCTGCCTATCTGTATATGCGGTCAGAAGAGCGGTCAGAAGAAGAGCTTAAGGCACCAACCATCACTGCCAACATTCGATCTGGGTTCTGTGGTTATAACGAGGTCCTGATTTCGCGACTTCCGATTGGTCATTCCCAATCAGCCTCGTGGCAAACGCTCCTGAGATTGCTCCACGAAACGGACGCATCTATTCAAGTGCATGGAAACCTATTAGAATCCTCTAAACAGAGCTGGACCACTCTCCCTAAAGACAATTTAGCAAGGGAAGGTGGCGTATCTGGAACGAAGATATCTCGGGCGACCTTGCTGGCTCTATTCGCGCTATCTAATGCTCGTATCATATACGAATATCCCGCTGCAACTGGCTATCGTGCCGCGCTGGGAAGCTGGATTGGTCAATGGTACATCAACTGGCCTGCTGGGGGCCAGGCCGTGGTCATATTGAAGGCGCACGATTCGCATGCTCCCAACTCCGACGTATATCCGCCTACCTTCGCTGCGAGAGTCGATCGATGTATTCGCATGATGGCAGGGGTTGCGGTTGATGCGTCACACCCAACTGACTTGAATGTGGGATTCCCAGGCCGACAGCCGGTTGGAGACTATCATCTTGAATTCCAAGACAAGGGTTTTGGGCTATCACACGGGAGCAGACATCTATATAACATGTGCGGCGGTAAAGTTTTCGAGATGGATTTTTTGCTGGCACGGAAATTGGTAAACACCGAAAATCTTGGTGGTGAATCTTGGATCTTCACCCCCAGCTTGGAAGGCAAACAGGATACCAGATTCTCGATTTCGCGCGATGTGAAGAACGTCATAGCCCACGCGATGGACTGCCTGCCGTGGTCGAATCTGTCGTGGTCAGTGCATAGAGGTATGCGCGACATATTGCTGGCCTTCACTCGGCACACAATGAACAAGTATCGCCCTGCGCTTGCTCGCCAACTCCGAAATACTTCAAACACCTCATATCAAAGCCTCGTTGACTTGGGATGGGAAAAGAATTTCGTGAAGAATTATATGGGCCGTATGGCTGAATCTACAGTCCTGGCAGGCCGTGGAAACTCGGGTGACGCTATCCGAATAATAACCGCATTAGCTGAGCAAGCCCACACTATTCCGATCGAACAAAGAGACGAGACGAGATTTTGGAGGAGAGAAGAACATTATCCGGCCCCTATACCGGCAGAACTTGACAGCGACACCACAACAGCTCTGGTGAAATGCGTTGTACTCGAGTGGAGTGTTGATTTCAACTACCAGATGTATCATCAGCTGCCTTTATCATTGGTTCTTAGTTAGATACTGGCTCAAAAGATTGAAAGCAGATATCGCGCTCAACAATGAAACTCTAAGAGGGTATACAAAAAAATTGCATCTATACTAAGGCGCTGGTTCAATGTTGTGTGCTATTGTATGAATCCTGTGTGATTAACTGCGCATTTGACGTAGTAACGTATATAACATCCCCAAAAAAAAAATAGCGCTATAAAGCTATTAAAAAAAGTTTATAAACTTTTAGATACAGTAAGTAGAGCTTCTTGATAATTTGATTAAGATGCTACACTAAAGCAGTAAAGAAAGAGCAGTATCCTGTGTGATGCCCTATCGGTCCCAGCAAGCCGAGATAAATTGCAGTAGTCTTACCAGTCTTTTTCTCTACACGAAGAGGGAGAATGACTAGTAAGTACCGTTAGCTCTAATAGAGCAATATCATTACGGTACGAAGTACCTCGTAGCCACGGAGGGAAGGGGGCTTTAGAGATGAAGGTGGTTTTAAAAAAGTTGTTTGAATATAAATCACGCTGCAGTTCAACATTCGATGGCACGAAAGATAGCTGTGTTAAGCCCTTTCAATTCATGGCAGCTGACCTTTGACTGAATGTTTGGGATGAGTGTGTCATTATGTGTGTAGTTGACTAGTCAAAGCGAGGTGATGGGTAGAGTGGCAATGCTATCAAAGTGCGCCGGCTCACTAAAGTCACCGCATAACAGACTTGCAGAGACATGATAGGAATATCATGTTAAAGAACAAATTTCAATGATACTGAGGGAACAGAAAACGCCAACAATACTTTGACCCCGTGTGTTCTGCTTGATTTTCCGATGATTATCCGCTTCTAGCGGGGAAGTGAGGTGGAGCGAGTCATGGGCATTGGCATGTTAGCTTTGCAGCTTACCTTTTGCGGCTCTTTTAACAGTTCGGATGCTATACTACATTGGAGTATCAGCTTTGGAGAGAGCCCATTGGATGTCGATTGAAGGCTTGAGTTTGCTCGGTAGCTGTCCGCCCACTATTCAGACGATCAGGCTTTCTACGTTACCATTTTTAGGTCTACAATATTGGATCGGCTCGAATAGCGATTCCACTGTTTGGTATAAGCTTCTAGTCTGATTTTTTCTGGACTTGATGCCTGCACGTGACTTGTACTTGCGAAATTTTCAGTGGCCTGGCCTTCTTCACTTATCACCATACCCGGTGGCAGATTGCCGCGTTTTTTTCCCGCCACAACACGATCCAAAAAAGATAACGATCAAGTTAGAAAAGAACGATTCCCATTTTGTTGGAGACGCAGAGCATGGAAAATGATGGAGCTATGACGGTACGTGGTCGCTAAGCTACAAGTTGGACCGGTGGTTGAAGCCCAAAGCGGTAGGTGGGATGGTGGTGGGGTAGTGGGGCTTGGTGATGTCGCCACGAGGAGTGACATGGAGAAGAAGAAGGGCGGAGGACGTTACGAGTCGAAAACAGGATAAATCAATCATGTCCCGTGTTCGACCATTGTCTCGACTATTTCTTCCATCTCCATTCCCCAAACACTCTTCCTTCTTCCATCTCAACTACTCTCGAATCCCAATCTCCGCTTCTCATTCCACAATCGCCGCAAACATGTCGAACGAATGGACCAAGAAGACCTTCACCCTCAACACGGTACGCTTCACCACCCAGTGTATTACCAATTGAAATGACTGACATCGCGTACGTAGGGTGCTAAAATGCCTGCCGTCGGTCTCGGAACATGGCAATCCAAGCCCAACGAGGTCCGCGACGCCGTCAAGTCTGCTCTCCTCGCTGGATACCGCCACATCGATACTGCCCTTGCCTACGGCAACGAGGCTGAAGTCGGCCAGGGTATCAAGGACTCAGGTGTCCCCCGTGAGGAGATCTGGATCACCACCAAGCTGGTCAGTTGCTGGTCCCGTCCCGCGTATTCGACGAATGAACACAAGGCTGATTGTAGGCTTTGCCAATGTAGGACAACCCCTGGCACAAGCGCGTCGAAGAGGGCATCAACTCTTCGCTCAAGGACCTTCAGACCGACTACGTTGACCTTTACCTGATGCACTGGCCCTCCTCCACCGACCCCGCCGACCTCAAGAAGCACTACCCAGACTGGAACTTTGTCGACACATGGTACGTATCCTCCATCTTCCACCAGCAGCAGCACCCAATTCATTCCCGACCTGGACTAATACAATCTTGTAGGAGAGAGCTCCAGAAGCTCCCCGCCTCTGGTCGCGTAAAGAACATCGGTGTCTCCAACTTTGCCATCAAGAACCTCGAGATCCTCCTCAAAGACGAGTCCTGCAAGACCGTCCCCGCCGTTAACCAGATCGAGCTCCACCCCAACAACCCCTCGCCTAAGCTCGTCGACTACTGCAAGGAGAAGGGCATCCACTGCACCGCATACTCTTGTTTGGGCTCCACAAACTCGCCATTGGCGAATGACGAGGTGCTGAAGAAGATTGCTGAGGGCAAGGGCAAATCTACCGCCCAGGTTCTGTAAGTATTCCCACCAAACTCAACACTTCATTCACATTCCCCCCTACCCCGCAACATGACTCGATCCTCGATACGAAACTAACCCACTCCCCTAGCCTAATGTGGGGTCTCCAACGCGGCACCTCCGTCATCCCCAAATCCGTAACCGCATCCCGAATCGAGGCAAACTTCCAGCTCGACGGCTGGTCCCTCTCCGACGACGAAATGAAGCAACTCAGCAGCCGGCCCGACCGCTTCAAGGTCTGCGGCGACGCGTGGTTGCCCGTCAAGGTCTTCTTCGGCGACGACGAGTAAGAAAATATCTTCACGTCCGCGCACACACTTTTCCACCATCTGCTTCGGCTGATTTCCCATGGTGGTAAAAGTCCCATGATGAGCTACTGGTTGACGTTTTTTTGGTGTGCAGGCATGATGATGATGGGAAAATGAATACCCCCAAGTTATAGATGTTGGAATGGATAGATCGAAGATATTTTTTCTACTCGCTACATTTATTGGTCTTGAGCGTGATGTAGTGAGGTGCATGTGTCAAGGCTTAGCGTGTATCAGTGTGTAAAAAGATTGAGAATTGTCCAAAAGAACGTAACACTCAGACCTCGAACTACTCATCCACATGAGAGCACCGTGGACAGTAGATGTCACACAACATGAGTGAGCTCTCAATGCATTCGGTATAATGTAGTTAGATATCCTTGGATGTGCGTGTACATCTCGAACTCCATCCCTCGAATCATAGACAATATTATCTTATAAAAGATTTGAGACCATGGAAATGAACAGGTTCCGAATAATCCCTGCGATATTCCTGAGCACCTAGGGAACAAGATAATGTCATCTTACCCCACAGAGAGGCATCCGCACACTTCTATATTAAATCTACAGCGTCACTTCTATCTAAAATGTATGCGACTTTGCTAACTTCCTTATCCTCTCCCCTGCAGAACAATGACGCAGAGGAGAAACAAAATTATAAAAACGGTAATGTTGAAAGCTTTTCAAGAAAAGAAAGAAAAAGAAGAAGAAAGGGGGGTATTATTGCGGCGCGCCCATACTCTGCAACCTGGCCAACTCCCAATAAACCCCCTTCTTCCCCATCAACTCGTCATGTCGTCCTTGCTCCACAATTTTCCCCTGATCAAACACATAGATGACATCGGCGGCCTGGATGGTGGAAAGACGGTGCGCGATGGCGATGGTGGTGCGGCCTTTTGCGGCCTTGTCGAGTGCGGATTGGACGACGCGTTCGGAGGTGGAGTCAAGTGCTGATGTTGCTTCGTCGAGGAGGCTGTGTGGAGGAAAGGCGGGTTAGTAGGGGGATTTGAGTGGAGGGAGGGGAGAGAAGTGAGAGGGGGACGTACAGGATCTTTGGGTCGCGGAGGAGGGCTTTTGCGATGGCGAGGCGTTGGCGTTGGCCGCCGGAGAGGAGGGCACCTTTTGCGCCGACGAGCGTGTTGAAACCTTCCGGCAGACTAACCTGTTTGTCCCAAAACATACAATGATTAGCAAAAGTCCTTTCGACGACCTGAAGGGAAATACTGGAATGGGTGTAGAGAAAAAACGTACGATAAATTCGTAGATATTGGCATCTTTACACGCCTGCTCAATATCCGCATCGCTAACATCCTCTTTGTCTGCAAGGATATTCTCGCGGATAGTCCCAGTGTATAGTGTGGTTTCCTGACTGACAATGGCGAGTTGAGAGCGGTACGATTGGATGTTGTAGTCCTTGAGCTCTACATCATCGACTAGCACCGCGCCGGCGGCGGGGTCGTAGAACCGCTCCAGCAGCGCCATGATGGTAGATTTCCCGCTCCCGCTGGCACCTACCAGCGCCACAAATTGACCCGGTTCGGCAACAAGATTGATGCCGCGAAGGACTTTGTGATCGGCTCGACCGGGGTAGTTGAAGCGGACGGATTGGAGCTCGATTCTGCCGACGAGACGGTCGATTTGCTTGCCTTCTGGGCTCCAGTTATCAATCTTAGGGACGCGCTCCATGAATGACTTCAAAGTCGTCGCTGCGTGTCTAGCCTCTCCCATATCGGGTGCAAAGGAGAAGACGGCGCCGGCGGATTGCGAGCCGTTGATGATAGCGCTGTAGACGATGAAGAATTGGAGAACAGTGTACTCCATGTTGAGCATCAGACCACCACCATACCAGAATACGAGGGCGATGATCCACATAGAGAGACCTTGAGACATGGCGTACAGAGCAGAAGAGACATTCATGAACCGGAGATTACCCTTGGCTTGCGCCAAAAGCTTCTCGTGATATGTCTCCAGGAGGTGAGACTCTAAAGACAGGGAGGCGACTGTGCGGATGGAGGATGCAGCTTCGCAAGCGAACGAGGCAGCGTCGGTAGATTCTTTTGTGCGCTTTTCCATGCGTGTAAGAGCGCGGAAACGGAAGTACCCGCAGCCGATCATGAGCGGAATGGTTGATGTGCAGACCAAGGCGAGTTTCCACCCGAAGACTAAACTGACTGCGACGGAAATGATGACCGTGGCGATGGCAGTAAGAATTGTCCCGAGTGTTGCACCGCTGAGACCTGCAAGACGGTTTGCTTCGGTTGACAGGAAGTTTGCCAAGGCACCCGATGTCACCGAGTCGCCGTCGAAGAATTCGATGTCCTGTCGAAGAATGGCACTGAACGCTTGCTCGCGAACTTCTGCAACCAATTTGGAAGACGCTTTACTGAGGGTAAGTCCCTGTCCAAAGTACGCAAGATAAACTGCAAACCCCAGCATGAAAAACATCCAGCACCAGAAGCCCGAACCCTTCCCTCCAGTTGAGGTTTGCGGCATGAAAAAGCTGTTGATTGAGTTGCCGAGAAATATAGCCTGGATGGCCGGGGCAGCACCCGCAATTATGCAAAATCCGAACCCGATAAGCATCTGATTATGCTCTCCGCGGTTAAGTGACCATGCAAACTTGAGCAGTGCGAATGTACCATACTCTTGTTCTTTGCCGTCTTTGTTCGAGGCGACGATGGAGGCGGCTTTGGACGTTACGGTACGGGTAAGACCGAGCTTCTCCTTTTCGATCACCACCTCGCCCTTTTCATTGGTGATTGTAGAGTCCGTCATCTCATTCTGGGGCTGAATCTTGGAGCTGAGCTCTTGGGCTTGAACGAGACTTTGATACACCCCTTGCATCGCTATCAACTGGTCGTGCGTCCCTTGTTCAACGATCTTGCCCTTCGCCATGACGACAATTTTGTCGGCGTTGCGGATCGTTGAGAGGCGATGAGCGATGGCGATGGTTGTACGGCCCTTGGATGCTTTGTCAAGCGCTTCTTGCACGACCTTCTCTGATCTTGTATCAAGAGCAGCGGTAGCCTCATCCAGAAGTAGAATCTTGGGATCGGACACTACAGCTCGAGCAATGGCAATGCGCTGCTTTTGCCCTCCAGATAGAAGGTTACCGCGCTCACCTACTTTAGTCTGAAATTTCTCGGGTAGATCCATGATGAAGTCGTACGCATTCGCAATTTTGGCAGCCTGCTCGATCAGACCCACTTTGACGTCTTCGGCGGCCTGTGGTTGTTAGCATGCAGAGCCTCAAGTGGGTATGGGAAATTAGCATACATGTTCAAATTCTGTGCCGACCAATCCATGAGCTATGCTTTCGAAGATTGTGATGCTGAACAAAATGGGTTCCTGGCTAACAAGAGCCATCTGTCTTCTCAGCCACCTCAGATTCAGTGTACTGATGTCTCTCCCGTCAAGGAAGACCTGACCAGACATGGGAAGATAAAAACGTTCTAAAAGGCCAAACATGGTCGACTTGCCAGAGCCCGATGCGCCAACAAGTGCCACCATCTTCCCAGGTTCGATCGTGAGATTAAAGTCTTCAACTACGGTAGTATCGGGTCGTGAGGGATAGATGTGCTTGATGCCTCTGAATTCGATGTTTCCGATGAACTCGGATGGTTTCTCTCCTTCTTCTGTCTCAGGGTTGATGGGTGAATCGCGCTCGATTGTATTGAAGACCTTGGTTGCAGCTGCGACAGCACCACCGAAAGCTTGGATGTGCGGTAAGTTGTTGCCGATCGAGATACCGGCGACCATGGCAGACATAACAATGGTGAGGATATTGGCAACGCCGAGCTCTCCGCTCTTCAGAAAGCGGTTACCTTGCCAGAATGCGAGAGCGTACTGAAGGTTGATGACTCCCATCATGCCAGCAATCATTGACGAGAGCCAAAATTTTGACATGAAATCCCACTTGGCAGCGCGGGTGAGGTAACCTTTGTACTTGGCTTGAAGGCGTTTCTGGGTGCCATACGCGGTGACGTTGCGCGCGGAGGAAATGACTTCCTCTGCAAGTGTACCTAGTGTAGCGTTAGTCATGTCGAAGCATAGGCGGATATCAGGCTGGTGACTAGAAGTGGCCAAACAGCAATTTATGCCATGTCTAGTTCTGATTTGTCGACATCCCAAACTTACCGGCCGTTGCAAACTCATCTACAGCCTTGACCTGGTTGGCTCGCATATTGCGACCATTGAAACCCATCATCAAGACCAGCGCAACCGTCGCGGACAGCATGATGAGTGTCAGTTTCCAGCCTCTTATGAAGCCCACAATGAGAGCAGCGAAGAACATGGCAATTCCAGAGATGAAAAGCGAGATTTTCTGGCCAATACCATCTTGCACCTGGACCATGTCTAGGACGAGTCAGCATGCGCGGTAAACCCGTTTACTTGGACATGTTCGTACCGGAACTGATGCGCGTAGTGACCTCTCCTGAGCCAAGGAAATCGAAAAAGGCGATATTCTGACGGAAAATGGCGCGGAGATAGAGCTCTCGGATCTTTTGAGTGATCCTCTCGCCCGTGTATGAGAAGCCTGTAAACTATCAGTGAGTGATATACACGGCATACAGACTGGAAATACGTACCAACCATGCCCATGTATACTGATACAAAGGACCCGATTCCTATGCAGAAAGATTAGGATTGTTCCAAAACATGCAGTCTTCTTGGGCAATGCTTACCAAGATACACAAAATACAGCGTAAACTGATTCGTCCGATCGCGAAACGCATCCTTGGCCGAAGAATCGACCGAGAAGCTGGTGAAGCTGCCCGCGAAATTACCATATACAAGCTACAACCACCCAAAAGGGAAAGCAGGTCAGCAAACCCCCACATAGACAATAATAAACAGTGCTCTTTTCGGACGAAAAGCGAGGAAGAAGAAGAAGAAACAAAAACCTACCGTCATCAAAGGCAAGCACGCCCCCGCAACGACGCTTGCCAGCGTCGCTACCGCCATGATGGCAATATCCCTCGAATCCGCGTAACGAAACAGAGCAAAATAGCCAACCTTCTCATTGGGCGCCGCAGTCTGCCTCTCAACAATTTCCTTTTCGGCGCCGCTCAGCCCAGCCGTTGAAGACTGCGCGCCGCCATCGTCTGATGACGCGAGCTTCTCGGTCGGAGGCATATCGACCACGACATCATGCTGCGCGGGGGCAGCGGGGGGAGGCATGGGCGCACTCATGATTTCCCTTTGTCGATGAAGGTCTGGAAAGAAGAATGAATTGCGCAACAGCGCAAGCCTTTACTTGACGTATACCAACGATCCGAAAGACGAAGGAACGAATGGAGGAACGAACGGGATTCGGTGGGTAGAGTACCGCACCGGTCGGTGGTACGTAAGACAGCCAGCCAGGGAAGTGCGAACAAGCTTTTTCGCAATCGTGTGTTCCCTCCCCAGAAACCAAGAATAAAGATTTAAAAAAAGAAAAGTCCCAAGAAACACGACAGATACGATAGGGATGGATCTTCGGTCGTTTTTCTCTGCCGCCTCGAGGCGTGTCCCTCAATCACAAGCGCAGCGGCAACCCCCCCTTTAGCTAATCAAACGAATCGGCTTCGACCCTCTTTTATTTTGTCTCTGGCTGTTTGCCGCGGTATATACGGTATACGGCAGCTAAGCTCGCTAGCGCACGTGTCTAACCGGAATCAAGGAGCTGCCGTGGGCTCGCGTGCCGCTAATCCTGGTTGCGTAGAAAGAGCGAAGCAGACTTGTTAGGGTAGCCTTCGCGAAGCGGGAGGCCTAGCGAATGCGAAGGTTGATGTGAAGGAGGGATGTGGCGGCTTGGTGCGATGACTGCATTCGTGTTTGAATGGGTTTGTGAGATGTCTGACGAGAGCCGGACGATAGTGGATGTCGAGATTACTGTTTCTTTATTGCAGTCTGGTTGATGTGGGCCGGTCTGTGACGTGTAGTCAGTATCAGGACTGGATGGATGATAAAAGGGTGCATTCTGGTAGATGGTCTCCTCGACAGTCTCCAATGCGCATTATCAGATCAGTCCAAGAAACCATGAACAGCGAAATGAAAGAAGAGCATCATACATACCGTCCATCAACTCTTCAGCTTCTTGAGCATAGGGCAAAAAAACTCGCAGTTGAATAAACAACGCCCGCCCCTTCTCACCCCATCTTATATACCGCCACCCCTGAGCCGATGCACACTCGCCCAGAAGAATCCTCCATCCCCAAAGAAACGAGTCACAATGAATAACTGATGACAGCGATTACGCCCTACAGCGGAGCGATGGTAGCACTTGAGTGCAATGAGTGAGCGGGGCGGAGGAGCACAGCGGAGCTCGGAGGGTGGCGCGGAGGGTCGGAGGTTTGCCCGCGCCGATACCGTAATTTTTCAAACTCCTTTTGTAACTCCGGTGTTTTATTGACCTGAGCTGAGATCGATTGATTCTGGAAATCCGCGTGCAATGCCGCGTTTCGCTGATAGCCGTGTTGGATCGTTGGCTTCTTTGGGTCCAATGCCGTGTGCACTGCTATGGTAGGCTTGGGTCTTGACCAATATCTGTATCTGTGTGCCTAGGTATGCGTATGTATTCAAGTTGGATCTTGTGTTCAAGTCTACGTTGTAGTTTTGGACGCTGAGATTACCGGATTCAGAGATCCGAAGTTCAATACAAGAATGAGTAATCGTCTGCTTATTATGATTGGGGATGAGTAGTGGTTGTGAGATCAGAGCCAAGACTACATGTCTGAGCGAGGGTGTTAAGGGATACATTCTTGAGAACTAACAAGTATTGTGCCTAGGTAGTTTGCATTCAAGTCAAACAGAAACATTAAAGATGAGACTGCAGTCAACACGAAAAACGATACCAACCACCAGGCTATCACTTGTTCCATTCCAGCATGATTGAACAGTGAAGGTATACACACGTTGCAAGACACTCACACTGCTGCACACTGTATGCCAGAGTACACCGTGCTACTACTGTTCTGCCAATCACGAATTGCCTAATGACATAGCGCCCAAGTGGATTGCACAAGACTTTCCACCTTTCCTCGTGGAATCCATATTCCATCCACCACTTCTCGACCATCTCTGCGAACCTCTCCACCCCCTTACAGATACTTCTCCATGACCTCCTTCACGACCCGCAAATCCACCGCATCAACCTTATTCCCATTCCCCTCCATCCCCTCGGCCATGAACAAGGCATTCAAAATCGCCTCCTCAACCGCATCCGCCGCAGCCTCAAACAACGCACTAATACTCTGATCATCCACCATCTCAACCCCCAGCAAATGCGGCGTGAACCGATCCACCTTGGTCCCCTCCACCTGCACCTCGACCTCGTTCGCCGTCGAAAACGCCAAAAAGATATCCCCCGACGGATTCGCCCCCCACCCGCCAACCCGACTCAACCCAACCGTCGCCCGCTTCGCAAGCCGCTGCAGCTGCAGCGGATGCAACGGCGCAGATGTCGCCAGCACCACGATAATCGACCCATCGTTTTTATCCTTGGACTCCTTGACTTTGAACAGCAGCTTCGCCTGGGCTAATAACTCGGGGTCGTTAGGGTTCTCCCGCACGCGCCGTTCCTGCTCTTCGAAAATGCGTCGACCCACGGGCGCGCCGCCGACCTTGAAATCGCGCATCGCGCCGTAATTCGCCTGCACGAGCGCGCCGAGGACGAATTCCTGTCCGTTCTCGCCCGTGACGATGCGCGAGCTCGACCCGGTCCCGCCTTTGAACCAGTGCGCGATCATGCCGGTCCCGCCGCCCGTATTCCCCTCGCTCACAGCATCGCTGTTCGCGGCGTCAATCCCATCAACGACATGTTTCGGCGTGACCGCAAATTTCGTGACATCGTGCAGGAACCCGTCGAATGTCTCCGCGACCACGGGGAGAAGAAACCACCCTACTTTCCCGTCTTGGTCTGCTTTCTCGCGGATCGCGTACTCGTAGATGCCGTTGTAAGCGCTGCCGACGCCGAAACTACCCGTGATGAGGATCGGGGAGTGGAGGAGCCCTGTTTCTTCGAGCCAGTGCGACCCCGTTAGTTCGCCTGAGCCGTTGAAGCGGAAGAGGCCTGCGAAACAGGCTTTGTCGAACCATTCTTTGCGGGGGAGGATGGTGGTTAGGCCCGTGTTTATGGAGTTTGGGGGAGCTGAGGGGTACGATGGTGAGGTGTGGATGGAGGTTGTTGAGACGAGGACGCCGGGGACGTCTGTGAGGGAGTTTTTGGGGCCTGGGGGGTAGCGGCCGTAGTGGAGGGTTGGGAGGAGGGTGCGGGCGCGTTGGCGGGGGAGGGGAGGGGAGGTTGATGAAGAGGATGAAGACATTGTCGGGTTGATAGTGGTTGGTAAAGAAGTCGGGGAATAAATGCGATTGGTAGGGGATTTTTTATGCCTAAGGAACGTGGCATCTACAATTCTTATATACACAGTTCACACACTCAAGTATAGTCGTTGCTTGCTAGCGTACATTTATTTTTCCCCTACTACTAAACCATCAAATCCTAACCTAGCCACACTCTTCCTTACGCGCCCCCAAGTAGCTAAACCCAATCACCCACCACCCCCCCACAAAGAAACAAGAGTCATAACAGCCTACATATAAACTACGCCGCATACACACACAACCCCCGTTTCTTAGCCTCAACCACATCTCGCACCTCGTTCAAGCGGAACTCCCGCAAAATTCCTATTCTTCACCACCAGCAAAAATCCCATCCAACGCTGTCCGTCCACGCGTGGGGCGAATTATTTCCAGACGAGAACCCTCAAACCCTCCATCCAATCAACACCCTCTACTCTTCTTAAAAAAAAATAATGTTTCATCATACCGCGATCCCGAATTAAAACCGTCATTTTTCTTGCAGTTCATTGCCCTAGAATAAACGTAGACGTATGACTCTTGACATGTTATCATCTATGACTCTTCAGATCAAGATGGGGTTAAGTAGATGTATTGATGCATACTATGTATGACTCTTTCGTGTGTCTTTAGTGTTAAATTACTGCGAAGGGGTGAGACGGGTGACGGCTAGAGGGGTTTACATGAACAACAAACTGGGGATGGTGGATCGCGCGGACCTTCCTGTTTCGGAGGGGATGAGCCACTTTGGTATGACTGTTGGTAGGTATGATGGGCGTTGGAATTGGGCTGTGTGATGTGTGAGGTTTGTTTGACTGTGGAGATGGGTGTGTTGGATTGCAAGAGAGAAAACGGGGATAGGATGTGCACACCGCAAATTGGGTGGCAGGAGGAGTCATAACTTTGGGGCAGTAGTGGGCATCGCGAAAGTGGATACCTCGACTCCACCATCACGGCAGAATGTCAACACAACAATCACAGACAAGAAGGGAAAATAAATTGCTTTAAGACTGATGTTTTCATGGAGCACATTTCACATTATACTAAGGAAAGAAACAAGATAAGTACTAGAAGATGGAAATAAAGAGACTACGCGATCGTAAACACGCCGCTAGTGCCCTCGAACGCGGTGATGGCGCCTCCAAAAGCGGCTTTCGCATCCCCGTAGTACTTCAACCGGTACGTGCCCTGCGAAGCGCCAGAGACAGCGGTATCCCACGTGATGGTAACCTCGCTGGTTCCCAACAGCCCATTGACGCGCTTCCACTCGTATACAAGTTCCCAATCCTTGTCATCTCTAACACGCGTCCATGTACCGTCAGAGTTCTGACGCTCAACGGCGGTGAAAGTGTTTTCGAGGCGGAGATTGTTGCGGGGGTTGGCGCCCACGAAAACGGCACGGACAACAGAGCCTGAAGTGTATGACGAGGATACGTCAGTGACCACGGAACCGTAGGGTTTGGAACCATTGCTGTCGTAGACGACGCCGGTGATGAGGCTGATGCTGCGGCCGCGATTGTCTGGTGGTGAAGGGCCAGCCGGGGCCGAAGAGGTTGCTGAATCTGCTAGGAAGGGTAGATAGGTGAGAGTGTTGTTGATGTAAGCATTCAGGGTGTATTGCCCGTGCAGCGTGGATGCTCCTTCATAACGTTGAACACCATACTCCTCAGGCGTGGCGATGTAGTGCGTGTACGTGTTGGCAGGTCCACCGAGAACCACGATAGGAGGGGTGCTAGAAGGCACAAGGCTGGAGGAAACGGCTGCATTGTAGACAGCCTCGCGCCAGCGGCGCCCAGACATGGTGGTAGCTTCGCCAGGCGAGACGATGATGAAGAACTGGCCGAGACGGAGTACCTGAATGTCGACAATGTTGGGAGACCAGTCGTATGGGACCTTGGCTTGACCAACATTGAGAAGGACTGGCTTAGGCTGCTGGCAGCTTCGCTGCTCAGCATTAGGGGGAGCAATAAGACTGCCTACAACATTCCAGAAAGGATTGTTGGGCGCCCCCGGGTCGTTCTGCACAAAATCAAAGGCTCCAGGACCGTCCGACGTTCCGGCAGCAAAAGCATTGCCCATTGCAGCTGGGCATGTTTTGACGGTGGTTCCGTTGCTCAGGGCGAAAGTGAAGTTGGAAAAGTCGACAAAAGTGTGAAAAGATCGTACATTTCCAGACAAGGGGGTGAAGCTGTCGGACGTAAGAATGGACTTTGCGCCCTCGTACTGTCTCTTTCCGATCTCGTAGCACGACTTGACACCGCCGTCATTTAGTCCAAAGAAGGGACCCCTTCCGTGACAGTCCTGGCTTTTACCGCCACAGGTGCTGTCAGATACCTTGCACTCCTGGCCGGAGCCATCTTCGCACCATGCGCCGTTCACATTGGGGGTTGTGTCGCCTACGTTGGCCTGCGAGAAGCCGGCCACGAAGCCAGGGGCAGCGTTCAAAGCAGCGGCGTTCGCGTCCACATCCTTCTCGAGCAAATAGGCGGCCACACCCTTGTTGTCTGCAGCAACAATGGTCTGGTTCCCCAATAGACTAGTACCATGAACCGCGAACCAGTTCAGGACGCCAATGCTCTTCCCATCACTAGCACGGGTGAACTTGAGAAGGGTCATGGTCTTGTCGACGTTGTCGGTGTAGCGGGCACGTTCTTCTTCGGGATTTGCAAGGTAGGCGAACAGACTGCGGTTGATGTTGGCATCATTGATGTTGGTGGTACCGGAGCTGACAGTTCCCTCGGTGAGCCCCTCGTGGGCGCGCTTGATGGAGAGCAAAGCGCCGTCTACGATGGCCTGGTAGCTCTGCTTATCGAATCCCAAGCTGGTGATTTGAGGGAGGAGGTAGTTGAGCCACGCGCCAGGTCCGGCATGACTGTGGGTGCCCGTGACTGCGACGTTCTTCCTGGTATAGACGGAGTAATCGGAGCCCAAGTTCTGGAGGCCCTCGAGAATGCCATTGCGAATGGCAGTGTCGCCACTCTGGGTATCGAGAACTAGGTAGACGATACGGTCGCTGGGGTTGCTGGGGCTGCCCACGATGAAGGCACGTGAATACAGGCGTTGGCGTAGACCGGTCCCGACTTGGGATGTATTGGCATATCCCATGAGGTTGAGCTCGACAACAGGGCCGGTGATGTCGGCTCTCCCCACGCCGACGAGGTACTGGGAAGCATCTGCCTCGGGCGCAGGCTCGTCGGCCTGGTTTTTGGCGAACGAATGAGTCTGCTGCTGGCGCTGGTATGGGCTCGAGTTGAAGTCGAGGTTGAAGCCAAACACCAACTGGCCAAAGATGAGCGCAGCAGTGAAGGCGGCGACAAAAGCGAGGAAGAGGTGGGAGCGTGCCATGATTGCTGCCGGACTGTTCCGTGAGCCTCTCTGACCGGAGTGGCTCGAGGGGATGGAGCGGTATTTAAGGAGAGGGTGTCGAAGGGAGATGTAAATGCTCTGGCATGACTACCTGCCTATGTACATAAAGCGATTAGGAGGTGGATGGGTACGTATTGGCAGGGGAGCTCGGAAGGGAAGGTCAGTTGGGGACATGTTCGCTTGGTAACGCATGACGTTGGCGCCTCGTATATATCCAAGTCGTCAACGCCTATAGGTTGACTATTGGGCCAATCAGAATGCCATGTTTCCATGAGTATACCCTATCGGACGGACATTGGATTTAGGCAAATGCAGGTAGTCGTCCAGGTACCCATCCATTTCTGCATGCTGTCTTACAACTGCATTTAGCATGTGAGCCACAGTCGTCAAGCCGGCAGTGAAGAGGCAAACACATGTGCAGACCCGTTGACCTCTCCAGTTCAGATGTTGCCTCGACATGTTGAGATCTCGTGACGTCCGGGGAGGGCCAGCAGCGGGCCGGAGATCAGCCCCAAATCGGGTTAGCCCTCCCGCAGTCGTGTAAAGCTTCCTCCCAGCGTCTTTCTTCGCTCGCTCGTTCGTTCACGCGCAATCTCCCCCATACCCGCCTTCCCCTCTCTCCCTTCCAATACACCATACCCTTTCTTTACCGCCAGCAACCAATTCTTTATCGCGACAGGCCGTCATGCCTCTAGTGAACGAATCATACGATTCCCTTCCCTGTACGTCCAATCCGCCTCCTCCATCTCGCTTATCCCATCTCGTCTGACCTCCGATGCGCCCGCCAAATTGCCAATATACACCTATCTTCATGCGCATGACCTGCTAACCCTCCTCCGCCATAGATGTCGACACGCCTCCAACCCAGCAGAGCCTGACCGCCGCGCAAACCCTGATCAACCAAGACATCCAACAAGCTGGCGTCGACACACAACATATCCATCCCGCACTCATCCCAGCCACTTCCTACACACCCACCTTCTCTCAAGCCGTCGAAACAGAACATGCACGCCTTCAAGCAGACCCCGCCTCCAAGCTCTCCGCCATTGACCTGACGCGCTACGAGGACTTCGAAGCTCCACCGACAACTTCGCCGACGAGCGACGAGGACCGCCCCGAGCTGCTGGCGCAATGGTCTGCTGCTCTGAAGAAGGCCTACACGAGCTCTGAATACGTGCACGCGCGGTCCGCGGAATTGAGCCTACTGGAGAAATTCGGAAAGAACTCGTGGCTGGTCGGTAACTCACAGCTCGAGGATGTGCTCAAGGCGATCGAAACTGAGCTGGCTGATGTGAGGAGACAGCATGAAGAGGTCGAGGCGCTGCGCCGACAACAGCAGGAGAGCGTGCATGGCGAGATCAAGACGCTGGAGGATACCTGGAAGAAGGGCGTGGGACGAGTGCTCGAGACCGAGGTTGCTGCCGAGGGCTTGAAGCAGCAGATTCTCGAGGCTCGGCGAGCGGGTGCTGTGTGAGCGCTGTTCTTCCTCGCGGGAGGGATGGGCTGGTGCGTGACGGGATTGGCATGCCATATTGAGATGGTTGAATATAGAAGCGCCGAAAAAAAGGACCAAGATACCCAAATTATGAATTTCAATAACAAGCTCAGCTTCAACCCAGCGTTATCCACTGCTTTTTGCATACTATACGCAGAATTCCGAGCGCATGAGGGAACAAGATTAGAACTCTCTGCATACTACTTGCGCTATCTCACAATCCAAGGCTTAAGAGACTCGATTGATGACCCATTTTGGAGTTTAGGTGTTGCTCCCAGTCTTCAAGTAGCTGTGACAAGCTACATGCGCGACCGCCATAGCGTGTCCTTGGAGCCGGAGTTATGTCTTTCCGAGCCTCGGCTGTTGCTTACCCCAGATTTCATCATCTCGGACTACCGAGGGGATCGGGACCAAACGGTAAAGACAGCATCTCCCCTACTGTTCCTTACATCTTCAACACAAATCGAATTTTCAACTTTATGTACCTGCTGTTATAGTACATCCTTGATTCTTTCAGGTCGCGAATCTCACTCCCCTGTTCACCTCTCCCAATTCTCCGTCCTACTTATCGAAAGACGTGGGAAACATGGATATCTCAACACTCTTCGATGTCAAAGTGCGTTCCGCCTCTTCTCTCCACCTCTGACTCCATACATCAGCTAATTCTACCCTTCTACCAGGACAAAGTCGTCCTCGTAACCGGCGGCGCCAAAGGCATCGGCCGCATGATCTCCGAAGGTTTCGTACAGAACGGCGCTAGAGTATACATCGCATCGCGAGACGCCGCAGCATGCGAACAGGCTTGCAAAGAACTGAATGCAATCGGCAAAGGCGGGTACGCAGGGTTCATTGCTGCAGATTTCTACAAAGAGGAGGACCTAGAAAAGGTTAAGAAGGAATTGGAAAAACGGGAAGGCAGTTCGTTCTCCCCACACATCCCAAAACCCAGCCTCAATCTTCTCGAATGAATTGTAACTGACATGAACGATGCGAATAGAACTCCATGTCTTAATCAACAACTCCGGTAGTAACTGGGGCGAATCCTACGACACATACCCCTCCCAAGCCTGGGACCGCGTCGTAACTCTCAACCTCAAACGCGTCTTCCAACTCACACAAACCCTCACTCCTCTCCTCTCCGCTGCCGCATCCGCCTCCACCCCCTCACGCATTATAAACATCGGGTCCATAGATGGTCTCCGCGTCCCCGCCCTCGAGACCTTCGCGTATTCGTCGTCGAAAGCCGCGCTACACCATCTCAGTCGCGTCCTCGCCAGCCATCTGGGCAAAAGGCATATCACGAGTAACACGATTGCGTGTGGCCCGTTCCAGAGTAAAATGATGAAGGCTACGCTGGAAAAGTTCAAAGATCAGATTGAGGGGGGGTTGCCGTTGGGACGGATTGGGAGTCCTGAAGATGTGGCGGGAACTTGTGTTTGGTTGAGTTCGAGAGCTGGGGCGTGGGTTACGGGGGCTACTATTGCCTTGGATGGAGGCAGTGTTGTTGGTGCTAAGCTGTAAATTTTAGGGTTCTTATACGGGTCTACGCGGCCTTTTGGTAGGGTGGCGGGTTGAGCATTGTTTGTTCAAAGGTAGCATATGTTTCAAATCTGGGATATGCATTTATGCAAGTGTTTATTGAATCCACTGTGATAGTCGTGGTCCTGTAACAGGAAGATTAAAGGGATTGATGATAGTTCCATCTTCGCAATGTATATCTGCAATACCTGTAGAATAAACTTTCACTTACCCACCAAGTCCCTGCATTTCCCCCCATTCCCGCTGTCACATCCAGGAGGTTCACTCCAATCACTAGTATTAGCTTTCATCGACACAGAATTCTCCAAGTCAATTGGCCGCTCGATGAAGCAACGTACCCAAACCCCTACCATCCACACCGTGCAGTTTCGACAAAAAGCCCTTGAAACACGATTCACGTGATACACAAGGCCTCCCTATCAAACCCTCTTCCTCTCATAAACCAATCAAGCTCGCAAGACAAATCGACAAGTCTACCTAAACCCAATTTACCCACCCCCGTCAAACTCCCTCCCTACGACTACCGCCACCGAACCCCTTAACCCATCCATCACGCGACGATGTCCCCTCAGGAGCGCAGATATATATTCGCATCGCCGCAGTAATCCCCAATTCCAGCATCAACCATCCTCTTCTCCTCTCCACACAACACCCAAAACTCCTCACACCCAATCTTCTCTCTCTCTCTCACGATCCCTCACCATGAAATTCTCCATCACCATAGCCGTGTTAATGGCCTCCCTCACAGCGACAGCGTCGCCGCTATCCCCGCATCCCCGCGATGCTATACTCGCGCCGCGCCAGGACGATAGCTGTGTAAAGGTACGGTTCTAGCCTCGCCTCATTCCCTTTCTTGAGAAAACACTACACTATAGTCGAAGGATACATGAAAGAGAGAGTAAAGTGCTAATACAAAAGCGGGGGGATTATAGACTGGCGAGACGTGTAAGAAGGATAGCGATTGCTGTGATGGGAAATGTCCGCTTGTTTTGTTGTTGCCTTCCAAAGTGAGTTTTGCCTCGTTTTTCTTTTCTATATTTTAGGAGGGGGGAAGGGGAGTTGTGCAGGCAGAGAGTGAATGTGCTGATTTTGGGATAGTGTGTTGCTACTAAGAAGAGTGGGGATGAGGGGAAAGATGATGATTTGGTGTGATGATGAGGAGGTTAATGGTGGGCGAGGGCGTTGGTAGTTATACTGTATCAGGAAGGGGGGAATCGAGTGAAAGATCCGGAGGGCTCAGCGGGGTGAGGGGGAATTTTGTTGTTGGTATGAGGAGTTTGGACTTGCAGGGAAGTTATTCAACTTCCTTGGTTGTATGTGTGTGTGTTTCTGAGTATTATTAGATAGAGTTTTCGTCTCTTAGAATTTGATCGCGTATTTTGAGCTTGTGTAGCACGTGTCATACTGGTTGATGGATTGTCGTGTCGACGTCAGCATCGTGAAAATCCGAGTGCTTAAAAGAGCTGTCGAGTCTATTTTATTTTGAGTCGGTGTTTAGGTGTACCTACACACAACGATGATTTATAACGATGGAGATAGACAAAACAGGCGATTACAGCGGAATCAAATGTCGAGTCTATCTGAAGAAAGAAGTCATCCTACGATTAAGATTTTCAGTATCCAATCTACAAAATAAAACTCCCTTTCGACAAACTGAAAATCTCCGGCGCCTCAACTGTGCTTCTGCTGTGCTTGCAACCCGTCAGGCAATGCAGTAGGTTACACATACTACGATTCCATCAATCGCTCATCACAGCTAGGAAAGGAAAGTACCAGAAGTACTAGCGGGTTTAATTCTGAGGAGAAAACTCTAACTGTTACTCCAAGGAATTGCTGATTCTCTGTACTTGCGCCTGGTCTCACTGTGAGCGTCTATTCTTGCTGTCGTTGATATTTTCTTGATGACATTTACACAGATCTGCACTCCAATCGCTACTGATCGGTGATATTACACATTAATGTGATTTCTTTGAATGAATAGAACATAACTACATGTCGTGTTTTAATCCTAGCCCGATCGATAGAAAGCCGGAGTCTGCAGGATCTCACATTGTGTTTAAACGATCCGTAGATCTATGATTGGAATTATTATCTTTCTAATAGAGCTATGATGGCAACACGCTGTTTACTGTCTTTTCATATTGCGTTGTGCTGGATCTCATCGATCGCCATGTCCTCAAACTCTCTACAAGTACTATGGTGACATCACTACATACCCAAGGCGACGGATATATTTGTATCGTGTAGTCATTGCAGCTTCATGTTGCACAGGTAATTGGCCCACATCATGTAGTGATCACTACAACCAAGAAGTCATTGATTCAACATCGCTCAGCGCATTAGGTCCTCGGGGATGTCTACAAAACCGTTTAACCGCCAAGATCGAACCAATATAATAACGACAAGCCTGGCGCCACAAATCAATCTCGAAGCTACTAGACGCTTACACTCCTCCTTCCGACGATCCACGTATCAGCATACATCCGTCTTCCACCTCAAACATGAAGTCCTTCATCGCCATCGCCATGTTCATGGCAGCTATCGTCACTGCAGCTCCCGTCACTGCAGCTCCCGCTACTCCAGCTTCCACTACTACAGCTTCCAAGACTACGGCTTCCGCTACCCGCACTCTCATGGCCAGAAAAGGTGAGCCGACCGGTGTATGCGGAATTCTCAACCCCGTAAATCAATCCCAGCCACCCCATCTAACCCATCTACCTTCTAAAATTCGCGCGAGAGATGCTAATATCAATGGAGCGTAAGAAAGGAGAATATTGCTACTATGATGAGGATTGCTGCTCTGGGATGTGTACTTTCAACTTGGAAGCATACTGGATAGGAGTAAGTGGCATATATTTTGTACGAAGACATGTACTGATGAGGGCACAGACTTGCCTGTGATCTGATGTTATAAGCTTGTTTCACCGCTCTGTGAAACCGAGTCGTGGCTGGGCTGGACGATGTTATGGGTTGGTGGCATATTGTGTCGGTTAAGAACTTTGAGGGGTTGCAATTCGGCTATGATGTTCAACGTGCCATTCTTATTGAGCCTGTTGGGTACGGGATGATGCTACATACTCCGAGAAAACGAATGGATAAAAAGCCTGCATCCGCTCGAGTTTACATGCAAACCACAACTCCGGCCGAAGTGACCAGATTGTCGAACCTCCATTCGTGAGCAACTCTATACTCTACTGAGACTCTCGCAATCGATATTTAAAGCTTCAATAACCAAATTTTTGTCCATCTCTTCGTCATACAACTTCCGAAATTTTTCATCACTCCTTCTGTTTCTGAAAAGAAGTTTTCCGTCGCAATCGCTTCCGTCATAATTACTACTGCTATAGCTACTTTTTAAAACCTGCATTTGATCTAGCAACGCTGTGCTCAAGCTCCGACAAGATGAGTGCGCTAACGTAAGTATGAACTTGCTTCGCGCCTACAGGCATACTTTTGAAGATATGCCAAGTCGGTAATAGCTACACAAGAGCGTGTCCAGTCATGACGACTGCAGCTCAGACCTCTGTATTGCATTGGCATCTACTTCAGATAATTGCGCGAGTAGTGTCCTATTTTCCCTCTATAATGTGCTCGTGAATGAGAATTCATGCAAAAAAACCCGTTCAAGTGTGTTAATTTCTATTTGACGTCAAGTCGCTGGCCGCATAAATTGGTTTTGTCGGAGGAGTGCATGCAGATAATAAATACTAAGCTACAATTGTGTGGCCATAGTCTGTATACAATCACCACTCTAATGATTCTAATAGATGAAGAAAAAAAATTATAATGTGATATGAGAACATTTCTAAAAAGATGGGGTATTCAGGAAGTGTTGTTGTTGAGTTGTTGGGTCGTGCCACCTCGCTGTTGGTACCTCTATTTTGCATGATGACCAATCACTTTCGTTGTTACAGATCATAGGTTTGCCCAGAATCTATAGGGTAATCCCGGTTGTGGTAGATTTGTGTTATTCCAGACCTCATTGATCGCAATGGCTCCAATCACTAAGATGTAATTGATGATCTCACCAATGATAAAGGCTCGTGAGATCATCAGACGGCCACACAGTAAGATAGTGGTGTACATCACACCAATAAGAAGCATCGCTTCCCCAGTATAAAAGTGATATCTTCTTGATTTGGGTAAAGTCGTCCCGTTCGAAACGACCCGGCACAAAGAAACAACTACATAATTACTTACTTCAACAACAGCTCAGGTTCCGCACTGTACCCATCTTGATCTCGTCCTCTTCCGAACAAATATGAAGTGTTTTATCGCGATTGCCATGGTCTTGGCTACTTTCGCCCTAGCATCTCCAATTCTTCCATCCGCGCAAGAGCCAGGCGACGACTCGCCGAAACTCCAGGGAGACGTTTGCCTACCCGTAAGTGCTCAAATTCTATCTTTTTGAACACATTTTCTGAACGTCTAATGAATACTGACGAAACAACAGGTAGGTACTAGCTGCTACCATCATAATGAATGTTGCAGTGGGCTCTGTTGGACCATACCAATAATTGATACACTTGCAAGTAGCATCCTTTGCATTCTTTGTAACTCACTAACAAACGAAAAGAACTGCGGATAAATCAATACCGAGTATATCACCGCGCTTTGCATGAGATGAAGCCAATAGCCGAGTTATGCGATGGTCAAGGTGGAGGTTGTGGTTCATGTGCAATGCTAGGTGCCGGGAGCTTAGGTGTAGATCATGGCTATGTACAGAGCTCTGAGTCTGATCTTATACATTCAAACCTCGTTAACAGTGAATATTCATTTCAGTATATTGGATTAAGACTGAACCTTGCTTTGAACTCTTTCTTGCCTCTTAGTCAACCTGACCCCCATTCTGCACGTGGCTAATCTTGTCTGCCCCCAGGTTTAATCGAAGATGCGATACATCTGAGTTCAGTGATTTCTCTTCTTTTATCTCTCTAATGGCATTTTCGGAAAAGTACATTCATTGATGGGCTGCTGACGTGCAAGAGCCAGTAGATCCTGCAGGACACTGAGCACGAATTGTTCCCATTCATCTTCCCCGTCTCATTTTGATCTTTAGAACACCTTGATAATATAGTTCTTGGTTATTTGTGGTGATCAATACCATAGTTCGCCGACTTCCCTAAAGTATGTACTTTTTTTTGTTGTTCGTGTTGGAACATTGAACCACATTGTCATGAAGGAACATCTTATTCGACTTCGGAACAGTAGTAAACGGCATTAAATCACTGGATGCGTACGTGCTATATGTGAGATTTCAAAAGTAATGGAGCGACGTGACTCATCGATATTTGGTGAAGCTACGCTGGATTCCGATGTCTTGCGCAAACGCTTAGCCCATCTTAACGCTGCGGTTAAGTAGTGTAAGCCTCTCTACCCTATCCAAAACAGGGTTCGCCAAGGGAAAGCTACCCCGCGACGTTCCTCAATGTGGCAGCTGCTTTTAATCACGACATGAAGGATTGCTAGGTGAGATAGGGATTTATGAGAGCTATGACGCAGGTATCTGGTATGGAGAGCAGGGGTTTGGTTTGGTGGGGTTCGTGGGGTGAGGAGCTTGGGGATCACTTTGGCTGCGGAGAAACGGAAGAGTACAATGGAAGTCTGCAATTATTGAACGCGTATGTATGGGCTTAAGATTCTCGTAGATCAGACTCACCGTCACTTACCGGTTCGATTCAGTTTTTCTTGAAAAATGTATCTCGAAGGAGCGCAATGGAAGCCGTCGTTATGCTTCCTACGTAACTTCCTATGTACCATGACGCAAGTTTGCTTGTAAACATCAAGGGTTGAAGTATAGCGTCCACGTTACCGACAGATATCTCCCCCGAATATGAAAAGCGGCATTGAAATCGGGTTAGAGGAATAGATAAACAACCACATAAATACCCAGCGCAATCGCTCTCTTCATTCCCATCAACCCCGCATTGCCAGTGCCCGGAACATTGACAGTGGCTCTTGGATAAAAGACAGAAAAAGAGAAAAGAGGTTGCTCGTAAAAAAGGACGCGGGATCATTCACGATGCCTCGCATTCTCCCCTCTCTTATCCTTTTAGGCACCCTTACCCTCGCCTGCCAGCGCGACTGGGACGCCCTCGAAACCCGCATTCATACCCACCATACTACCCCTAACCGCCATGCTAAACGCGCCCCCGTTGCTTACCCTCCCACTCTTAGCGATGTGGAATCCATCCTGGTAAACTCCTTTGATAATAAAAGTATAAGCGATTGGTCGTATTATTATACCCACGGTGATCATCTTGGCTCCCACAATAAATCCATGGCGGAATGGACAGCGCAGAAATGGCGAGACGCTGGTTTCGACGCCTACCTCGAGGAATTTCCAATCTGGTACACATACCCTCAGCACAGTAGCTTATCGCTCATTTGGCCGAATGGAAGTCGGCATGACGCGAACTTGGTGGAAGACGTGTTGAAAGAGGATGATACTAGTTCGTATCCGAATTTGATTCCGGCGTATCATGCTATGAGCGCTAGTGGGAATGTCACCGCGGAATATGTTTATGTTGGGTAAGCATTGCGAGATTTCTTGGGGGGTGTTGAAACCTTTGGAACATTTAGCTTACTAATCGGTGTTAGGCGCGGTACGAGGGCTGATTTCGAGGTTTTAAAGGATGCAGGAATTGAACTGAAGGGTAAGATCGCGCTGGCTAACTATGGCGGTATATACCGCGGCACAAAAGTGAAGAACGCTCAGGACAATGGGATGGTGGGGTGTGTTCTCTACACGGATCCCTTGGATGACGGCGAAATCACGGAAGCAAATGGCTATGAAGCATACCCTAGTGAGTTTCTGTTTTTCTAATCCGCGAGATGGATGATTGCAAGTCGCTAACAAAATATAGATGGCCCGGCGCGCAATCCCTCATCAATCCAAAGAGGCAGCGTCCGCTTTTCTTCGCTCTACTCGGGAGATCCAACAACCGTCGGATGGGCATCTTCAAAGGACTCTCCCCGCGGGGATGTAGCGCCCTATAATCCTTCCATCCCTTCGATTCCGCTCAGCATGAAAGACGCGCTTCCCCTCCTCCGCACACTCTCAGGTCACGGGGTGACCGCGAAGGAAGCGAACCGCAGCGGTTGGGTCGGTGGCTTCAAGAATATCACATACGACAGCGGGCCTGCACCTGGCGCAGTCATCAATATTGACCATCTTATGAATGGAACTATAGCCCCTGTCTGGGACGTGATCGGTGTCATCAACGGAACGAATGAGGACGAAGTCGTGGTCGTCGGTAACCACCGCGATGCATGGGTGATTGGAGGCGCGGCTGATCCAAATTCGGGGAGTGCGATTATGGTCGAAATGGCGAATGCTTTTGGAAAGCTACTGGAGAAAGGTTGGAAGCCTAAGAGAACTATGTGAGACCCCGCCGTTTGTTTTGTTTACCATCATATAATCTCGTGAACTGTACTCATGCCGTTTGATACAGTATCTTCGGATCATGGGATGCAGAAGAGTTCGGACTTCAAGGCAGCACCGAATGGGTTGAGACGCATCTACCCTGGCTCCAAAGTCACGCGGTCGCCTATCTCAATATCGATGTCGGTGTCTCAGGCCCGCGCACTTCCTTCTCCGGCTCGGGAGAAATCCAGTCCTTCGTCATTGACCAACTAAAAAAGGTTCTGTTCCCGGAAGGACACTGGGGTTCGTAGATCATTTCTCCACACAAAAATCCAAGATGCGTGACCCATGCTAACCTTTCCCCCGAATCTATAGGAAGCGAGTTCAAAACACTATACGACATGTGGTTCAACGTAACCAAAGGCACCGTCTCACCCCTAGGCTCCGGCAGCGACTACGCCTCCTTCTACCAAAACGGTATCGCATGTGTATGCTCCCAAATCCCCCCCTTCATTCAAACCTCCCTCAACTAACCCCACACAAAGATCGACTTCGGCTCCGACGGCGGCAAACGCGACCCAATCTACCACTACCACAGTAACTACGACTCCTACAACTGGATGTCGAAATTCGGCGACCCGGGTTTCAAACTCCACACCGCAATGGGCCAAGCGCTGTCGCTGATCCTATACCACATCGCCGACGACGCGCTGATCCCGTGGGATCTTCCGCATGCCGCAGAGGTACTATCATCGTACCTCGAGGAACTCAACGAAACGATTTCGTCGTCTAGCACGTTACCTCCGAGTAACAGTAGCGGGAATGCTACGCTGGATCTCACTCCTCTGAGCTCCGCGCTTGAATCGTTCTCAGCGAAAGCATCGCATCTAGCGAGCGTTGCGAATACCGCGTTGACGTTCAATGACTCCATCGCTCTTGCGGTTGTGAATTCAAAGTTTAGAGATTTTGCTAGGGGCTTGGCGAGTGTGGGTGGCTTGCCAGGTAGAGAAACATTCAAGAACGTGGTTAGCGCGCCGGGGATTGATAATGGGTATGGTGCGGATGTGTGGCCGGGGATCACAGATAGTGTGAATCAGGGAGATGTTGCGCAAGCGAAAGAGTGGATTGAAAAGAGTGCGAAAGCTGTGCAGAGGGCGGGGGAGATTCTAGGGTATGGCGAGAGGTAGATGGGTTGGCGAAGAGTGAGTTGGGGAGTGTTTGGGTTTGCGGCCGCTTTGTTGGTCATGACGATTGATAGTTGTTTGCTGGGTCATGATGGAATGGTTGAAGAGATGACTCGCGCTAGGTTAGCAAAAATTAATGTTTATCATGATCACTTACAATTTGATGACGTTTCATCATACTGTTCACACTACTTATTGTGCTGCATCATAGCGGAATGGGGTTGAATGTGAAAAGCATCTTGTGTGCTAACGGTGGATGAGAACGAAGAAAGATCTCACTGCGACAATCAATTTGTGCGGTGTTTTCAAAAACAATGATCTAGTAAAGTCGTAATCCTGTTCTATTCACTCTCAAACAGGTGCTACATTCACAGGCTTCTTCCTTTTGTTCTTCCTTCTCTTCTTTTTCTTCTTGGTCATCTCCTGATATTCATCCTCAACTTGTCTGTCTGTTTCTTTCCCGCTTGCTTGAACAGTGTCAAGTCGTCGCATACTGACTGGCTCCCTATCATCAATCTTCTTGTCCTGTCTGCGAACGGGCCGACGAGCAAGCGACGGCAATCTCTCCTTACGTGGGACAAACACGCACGGATAATGCCGACGCTTCTCGCCTTTATTATGAGGTGGAACAGTCTGTAAGCGTTTCTCAAGGCGATAGATGTCGCATTCGTTCCAAACGTCTTGTGAATGGCCATGCAGTATACGCAGCCTTCTGTACTTCATAAACTCGTCGTTTCCAACGGAATCCTCGGTCCCACTGGTCCCCCATTCTCGTACGTGTTGCTTGCTCAATTTTTTGAGCAGCTGTGTCGAATCGACAGAATCGTCTTGGGGTTCGTCTGGAAGTTGCAGTTCCTGGATCCGACGGTATATCATCCCACAGCCAGCACTACTATTATCAGAGATTGGATACGACATTTGACAGTTATGCTACATACCATGTAACTTCTTCATCTGTGACATCTGGTTGCAGAGTTCCGCATCCAAGGCAGGATGGGTCGGTGCACCTTGGCTCAATGGTGCTGAGAATCATGCTCATTGCAACTCTTTGACCGGGATAGAAGCAGCTGTCCCAGTTTTGCGAAAGATCAATCAATCTTTGGCTTCCTACTTCTTCAATCAGAAACTGGCCCCTATCAATGAGTCCCGAGTCGTTATAATTAGCCTTCAGGACAGCCAGAAGAGCGTCTGCCGATCTAACGAATTCGAGGTGGAAGGGACTCTCTTTGTTGAACGCATCGATCAAGTAGACTGGTTGTTGACGCTGCACCTGCCCTGGGATGTGCGTAACAAATAACTGAATGTCGTAGATCATCTGGAAAACCCGCAAGTTCGTCTCCAGAATTTTCGCGCACGTTTCTACTAGGCCTGTGCTTTGCTGGACATTGTGGGAAACGGCATCTGCGATAACGCGCAACCTGCCCAAAGCTTGCGACGAAAGGTCTTGAATCTTCCCAGCTAGCGATTTGTACTGCCTCCGCTGGTTTTGAGCAAGGATCGCATCCATTAAAACCTGGATACTACTCGTGTGTGCCTGGATCTCTGCGCGAAACGCATCAACATCTTTCTTCTTGCACACTGCCCATTTGACTTTCATCCAGCTATCTTTCATCCGCGAGTCTGTCCCATCTTTTGATAAGTGAGGTTGGTATTTCCGGGTCTCACCCCAAAATGTATCGATCGATCTTCGGCATTGCGCAGCTGCTTGGTATAGCGCGAGCTGCTCAAAATGCTGAGAATCGTCAAATTCGACTCTGTTGACATGGTTGAGCGCGGTATCGAGGGCTTCGAGTTCGTTTAGAAGCTCATGGAACATGGAAGTCGAGTGGGAAGCTTCGCGGAGGGCGTCGACGATGCTGCCGACTAGCTTGAGCGTCGCGAGGAAATCGCCGACTGAGAACCCAAATCCGACAGACATGATAGTGGTCCCGGTCGATTTTCCAGCTGAATTCAATTAAAATGAGATGTTTGACTGGCTATGGGCGCGAGCAAGGTGCAAGGTGGCGAGAGATTCAAATATGTCAAGGTGCGGTGGGATGTGATAAGCCCCATGTGGCGCAGTCTCTGCAGGTGGGAGGCCTTGTTGACGTGGAAAGGCAGATGCCAAGGGATAGATGAATTAATTACCAAGTCTGGTGAAGCTTGATTTGCTGATGGTTTATAAGGTTTATACATGCGTACCGGCCAATGGTAGTGGTGCAATGCCATCATCCTGTAGTCTCAATATCTGCTGCAAAGACTTACACATACACCTAGGCACAAATCTATGTACCAGAACCAGAAGAAAAGAAATTCAACTGATCAGGCGTTGAACTAGAACCGTGCAGTAGATTCATATACATTTTTCTAGGTAGCGTGTGGCTGATTCGAAGGTATCTGATGCAGCCGTTTGATCATCTTTGCGTCTCACACAAATGTATACATATTGAAGCCGATCTTGGAAACGCGACTTCAATATTAATTCAGTCGTGAAATATGTGCATGCAGTTACTGAAAGTAAAAGAAGTTTAGATGCGTCAATCACAATGGTGTCTACGATATCAGTTACTAGTCACCAACGATGGAATCATAAACCGAGAGGATAGATAATTCATTCTTGGTGCCTATTCATCGCGGACCCTCTCATATACTGCGCAACTCCCACTCTTAAACCTCATCCTTTTTTTCCAATTCCTACTATTTCTCATCATCTAAAAAGAATGAAATTACGGATAGGAAAGAAAACATGCGCAGTGACAAGCGCGTTGCTTGTAGTAACGGGGATATCATCCGTGATCCATATTTCCATGCTCTCCTTCTCCTGCTCATTCCTTCGACAATCATCAAACAATCCAAAAGTTTTAAAAAAGGTATTCGCCTTGGGGGTGCCGGTGAGCTAATCACCACGGAAATGCAGAGAAACGAATGTTTTTGAATGCGAAGAGCGGAAGCTACCCACTATCGCCAATGGAAAAAGCGCAGTATAACACAAGGGATATATAGAACAGAGGAACAACGCAGAGAGGATATAAGGTAAGTTATAGTGTTGACTATTGGATATAGCATTTGAAATTAAGTAAAGACAGCAAAAGGAAAATAACACATTAAGTAGGTTTAGCGGGCGGAGGACCGGGCGGCGGCGCGGAAGATACGGGAGAAACAGCACCTCCGGACATCATCGAATGCGACTCTGGCGTAGGCGCCTCCACGTGTCCCGGTTGGGGAGGAGGGGGATGAGCGACAGCTGGGTTCTGTACGGGGCTCACGGAGAACGCGGAGCGGTCTTTTGTATCAGCGGCCTGGGGAGCGAAAGCCTCGCTGTAGTGCTGCGGGGGGATATATGCAGTTCCCGGTGCAGGGATGTGTTGGCCTTCTGCGGCGTTGGGGGGAGGAACCCAGCCTGGGGGCACACCCGAGTAGTACGGCTGGCCGTTGTGGTAGATGATGTTGGGAGGCTGCTGAGGGCCGGTTCCAGGTTGGGGTTGGAAGCCGGGGTATGCGACGTTTGACTGGCCCATTTGCGGGAGAGGTTGGCCTTCTGGGACGATGCCGACGGTGTTGCGCGAGTACTGGCCCAGAAGGGGGACGGGGTAGCGGTGCTTGAAGCCCCATTTGAACCAGAGCTTGAGAGCTTGGCCGGTGCTGGTCTTGTTCCAGTTCTCGCGGAGGAGCTTCTGGTCTTCTGCGCTGCGGCGGCTTTGGGAGCGGGTGAAGCAGAGGACGATGAGGGTGATCATGGCCCAGCAGACGGTGCCGCCGCGGAGAGCGCCTTTGCCGAGCATGAGACGCCGGAACCAGATGTAACTTTCGATGAAGCCGAGGACGAAGAGCCCGGGGATGATGGATGCGATGATGATGATCCAGATTTTGATGCCCGTGCAGTATCCATACCAGCTACACCATTCGAGACCACTGTCATCGTCGGAGCTGGAGCTGCCTCCACCGCTACTTCCAGTGCCACTGCGCCATTTTGAGAGTGGTGGCGCGGAACACTCGGCGACGTAAGAGCTGTAGTAGTAATTGCTCGTGCTCGGAGCGGCACCGGCGGACAAGAACCAAGTTTCGACATCATACGTGCTAGAGAGGTAGTATGCGGTCGATCTAGTGGTTATTTTGGATGTTGGGGTGATCTGGTCTTGTACGATGGATGGAATATATGCCGTGATGTCGCCGGTGACGGAAAAAGAGGTAGAGGAGCAAGATGCTGGTTGAGTATATGTGACGGGCATAATGTAAGTGATGTCCTTGTATGATGATGATCGCGTGTATGTGTAGTACGACGTGGTATCGGGCTCCAAATCCGATTCCGCCACGGCACCAGCTTCATAAATGGCATATACTTCGTCGACATCGTCGTAGTATGAACCGTAGCCGGATGAGGTCGACATGGGGGTCGCGGTGGGTGTGACGCCTGACTTGACCTCGCGCAGGACAGTGGTACGATACAGATCGGTCTCGGTGGAGGTCATATATGTGTAGGTGTAGCCATAGGTGGAAGTCGACTTCACGACGCGGGAAGTAACGGTCCAAAAAGCAGAACTGCTTGTTCGCGTTCCACTGGAGAATTGAGCCTGGGCTGTTGCCGAGAGGCCCACAACCAGCCATGTGAGCCATGAAGCCTTCTGTGCTATCACGGGCGCCATTATTAGATGAAAGGTCACGGGACCGTGACAAACGAGTGTAAGGGAAGGCGCAAACCGCGAAGCTTGGGGATTGAGAAGCGAAAGCTGCGAGAAAAGGTATCACGAAGCGGCCTCACCGTCATTTTAACCTGCCATCGAAGGTCACCACGCCAGTCGACACCGGTCGCGAAAGACTCAAACTGCGAGCCCCTAGCCCAATCCTAAAATGTGCAATACGATAAAAGTCCCAGCGTCAGTAATCTCCCGGGTCTAGCGACAAGTATTGATTGGCTGCTTAGCAGTTGCTGTAGCTTGTAGGGGCTAGAGCAGCATGGGCCTTTGGATGGTCTGGGCTATTTTTGGGCTGATTCTCGTATACGCGACATTTGCACAGGGTCTCGTGTGAGTTGCGGCAAGGCAACAACCTCATTATGGACTTTTCGCCTTGGCTCGTCTGCATTCGACACTGGTCTGTTGACTCACGCAGGATGCAGCTATCGAAAGTGACGGAACTCTGCTGATGATGGGATTGCGCAGCATATGGGCAATCCTCGCGTGCTTCCATGTGGCATCGCATGACTCGAATCAGCACTTTGCTATGGAAGAATCCTTAGTGTTTCGAAAGGCAAAAAGCAGAAAGCGACTCTGCCAGTGGCGCTGCCCTACCGCTACAACGAGAGAGTTATGCGAGATACGTGCGACATCAAAGCGCTAGCGGACTCTAACGGCTGGGCGCAACTCTATCTTCCCCGAAGTTACCGAGGGCCCTGGAGTGTCACCGTGTCACTATCGAGTTCCATCGACTGTGTAATCGCAGGCAATCGATGCTTATACCATATTTTCATCGCTGCGGTGAGACAATGGACCCGAGTTGCATAGCCTTATGCGGATGATTGACTGGCATTCCTCGGTAAACGTAAAGATTTGGAGCTTTCCCTCCAATCAAATCCTTTTCACGGGATTCTGGCCCCCAAGTCCTCTTCTCTTGGTTGCCTGAGTCCGGCCGGAATGCGAGGCTAAAATTCCCGCAAAGCTTTTCATTGGATTCGCGCTGCTCCTTGCCCATAGTCTCTTGTACTGTGAATCAGTGAAAGCATTAGAAGGATAGTCTACGACTCTCATCGGGCGGGACGACGGGAGATCGTAGGCAATCTCCAGGGTGTCACATTCCTGCCTCATCGCCACTCCTTGACAGTAATTCGGCCTCCTGGTTTGAGATCTCTTCCTTTCATCGCGGCAATGACCGTGCTTTCGCGCGTCTTGATCCATCCCGCTTCAATGCTTCACGCGGATAAAGCGTGAGAAACTCTACCCACAGAGAGAAAAGCAGCAGACTTCCAACAACCTGCGTTCTCACATCATGAAGTGATTGCTCCATAGCCCAGTAGTAGTGGCCCCTATCTATCAGAAGCAGCAGTTTGCAATTTATCGAGTTTTGCGTTGATGACCATCAACAATCAATAAGCAATATACTTCGTGTATCAGCGGGCCTAACGGGCAAGTTTTGGAACCCAAGCTGACGATGTCGAACCGTCATGCAGCTCACTCCGTTGGCATCGCACGAGACTGTGCCCCAATAATCCACTATTTATAATTTTCGTGCAATACGCAATTGTCGAACAATTTTCTCTTGGTCGAGCGCGTTAAGAAGAAATGTATTCTGAGAGCATACTGTGTATACATGTCCAGGGAGAAGCCTGTCAGATCTCGAGCGAATTTGCCAAGGGGTGTGTCACGTGATTTTTGGCCCAACATGTTCAACTGCCGGGAATCGCATGATTGAAATGTGCGTACAGACATCTGGAGAAAGGAAAGTGATTGAGCTAGAAATTCTCAAAAAATCTGTTCTTAGTATTCATCCTGTTCATCTGTCGGTAACAGTCACTGGTGTCACAAGATCCACATGTAAACAAGCTGAGATGCACGATGACATAAGCGGCTTCCCTCCAAAGAACCAAGAATCTCAAGCCATCTAGCTTCCGCGTACCTGGTCCGTGTATACAGCTTGGTTTGACGGTAGAAGGGAGTGTTTCTGGGGCAATGCTCATATAATTAACATCAAATGATATCTGCGTAAAGCTGTGCGAGAGTAATATGCTGGATCTAATAGGTGTATCAAATATTGATACGTCTTATCACGCACCCATTGCTAATGCGTAAGAGAGCAGTAGTCAGGCTTCAATATTATGTGACAACAGCATTGTCCACTTCCGAGCTCACAATCATGATTATATGTAGGAAAACATGAAGTGGTTTCGCAAAAGTGTGAAAGGCTGGCTGCGTGATGAGGCATCTCCCGCAAGCTCAATCCTTGGAAAGTCCAGAATGCTCGAAAGATGGTATCGTACATTGATCAATGCACGCATTGCTTACCAAATTCATCACACGCCTCCTCCTACCCCTGGCATCCAGCATCTAATAGGCCGAAGCTTCTTTGTTTTGACGAACAAATCTCACCCTCCACCATCCAACGTCATTGCGGCAATTGAAGCACAACACAACGGCAATCGAGTCTATACCCGTGTCGAGCTCGTCTCGAGGCTTTAGGCAAAAGGTCCTTGGCTCCCGAAGCCTATGAACAAGCGGCTTTCCCTCTCTGACCACGCGCAGGAGGCGTTGTGGAGCCTGATGGTGATCCTTCACGCTACCCCGCACGCTCGTCGGCACATCCACCACCAATCACTGGAATTATCCGAACAATTCGGACCGCTCATTCGACACGTGGAGTGAATTCTTTGGGAATCTTGCGGCGAATGGACCCAATTGTCGGTAAACAAACCACCGAGACGAATTGTTTAAAGATAAGCAAGATGCCGTTGTTTGCGACTGACTGACTCTGCAGCCCTCCGAGCGACTGCGTCTACACCTCGTCAACTGCGAAACGTCGGAAGAAGCACTGCGTCTAGCTGAGTGAGCGATCATGGCGTCTGGAGATATGAAAGTGGAAACCCCGGCGGACGATAAGCATATTGAAGATGTGGCTGGGGAAAAGACATTGAGCTCTGACAATGAGCGAGTCGAAGCCACTGCGGGTGTGGAGGAAATCGACGAAGTGGAGGGACGCAGGATACTGTCCAAGGTGGATTACAGGCTCGTGCCTGTTCTGGCCCTGCTATATCTCGTCGCATTCATCGATCGGAGTAACAGTAAGTGCCACAGAGGTTCACAAAGCGTCGATCAAAGCTAACAACGAACAGTTGGCAATGCGAAGGTCGCGGGACTGACTGCTGATCTGAACATGCATGGACTGCAGTACAACACCGCAGTCACCCTCTTCTTCGTTCCCTATACACTTCTCGAAGTTCCCAGCAACATCGTGCTGAAGATGATGCGACCTAGCCACTGGATCGCTATACTTATGTTTGCATGGGGCATAGTCATGACACTCATGTGTTTGATCCACAACTACGAAGGTCTGCTGGCAGCCCGATGGTTCTTGGGAGTGGCTGAATCTGGCTTCTTCCCCGCCGCAACGTTCTTGTTGACCCTCTGGTACCGGCGTTACGAGGTCCAACGTCGCATGGCGGTATTCTATGTCTCGGCGTCTCTCGCGGGTGCATTCTCTGGGCTTCTCGCCTACGGTATCCAAGAACTTGACGGTGTTTCTAATCTCACCGGATGGCAATGGATCTTCCTAATCGAGGGTCTCATCCCCGTTGCACTCGCGCTCGTTATCTGGAAGGTCCTCCCTGATAGCCCCGAAACCGCGAAATTCCTCACCCAACGCGAGAGAGACTTCCTGGTCCGACGTCTGGCGGAAGAAACAGGCAGTGGCCATGGCCAAGTCACAAACCAAGACAAGATGGGGAGGAAATTCATCAAAGCGGGACTCTCAGATTGGAAGATCTGGGCCGCGGTAGTCATCTTCTGGGGAAACACGGTCGGAGTATACGGGTACGATTCCTTCCCTCCCTAACCTCACATCTGCCTTGTCGCAAAAATACTGACTGCATATTTTTTTTTCCAGTTTCACCGCCACAGTCCCAACCGTCATCAACGGCCTCGGCTACTCCGCCGCAAACGCGCAACTCCTCACCATCCCCATCTACGTCTTCGCATCCATCCTCACAATCATCTTCGCGTGGTGGTCCGACAAAGCGCAAACCCGCTCCCCCTTCATCGTCGCCGGATACTGCATCGCCTCGTGCGGCTTCATCGCACAACTCGCGATCCCGCACCCCAAGTACTCGGGCCTTACATACGGCTTCCTCTTCCCCGTTGCCGGCGGCCTCTACTGCCCCTTCATCATCCTCGTAACCTGGATCGCGAACTCGCTTGCCCCGAGCTCCAAGCGCGCTGTAGGCATGGCGCTGTTGATCAGTGTTGGTAATATGGGCGGGATCATGGGCAGTAACATCTACCTCGAGCGAGAGAAACCGAGCTATACGACTGGATTCGCAGTGTCGCTCGCTATGTGCTTGGCTGCTATCGCTATGACGCTTGTGCTTCGATTTGCGTACCAGAGGGAGAATGCTAAGCGCGCGAAGCTGTTGGCGGAGAATGGGGAGGATGCTATTCGCGCGCGGTACTCGGAGCAGGAACTACTTGAGTTGGGGGATCGGAGTCCGTTTTTCAAGTATACTCTGTGAAGGTTTGGTTGTGAATGGTTTGGGGTTTAGCGGGGGTAGAGGCGATGTTTGAGAGATATGTCCAGCGTCATGGCATCGCTACTACCTTTGGTTCATGGGTTTCCATAGACAGCCATCGTATTGTTAAACGAAGAAAGTGTTTACAGTTATCGAGCCTTACTACTGTCGGTTGAAGGTGTCCCACCGAGAATTACATGTTGCTCACAGACCAAGAATGTGATTCTCTTTGTGCTCGCTTGCACTTTGAAGCATTCGCTGTATATCTTTGGGTAGTTCGCCTGTACCCGTGTCACAGTGTGAATGCGCCTTACAATTTGCATGTTATTCATTGAGTGCCTATCTGAAGATAATGCCTGAGACATATATGACTCACGGGGTCCTTGCCTCCGCCGGTCACGTGCATACCCATATTCAAAATATTCTTATAACCCGAGATCAAATGCCAAGTTCTCATCTATTGCTGCTGTACATTGCCCCGACTCTTTTGCGTACTCGTTACCACTTGTTTCATTATTCAGTTTCCAGATACCGTAGATACTCCCAGAAAAGCTCCTATCGAGTCCTGTTTCATGGTCCAATCGCAGTCTTGCTGTTGATGATTCAGTGACCGAGAAAGCATTTCTTCCAATCAAGGTCATCTTTCCAGTCAATCAATTCATGTTTTTCTGAATCTTCAATCCTTACAGAAACCCCAAGTCGATTCAAAGCTTGTACGAGCTTGAATGCCTTCTGCGACCACTCCTGTTCAACTTCGGACGGGGACACGGAGATACTCAGGAGCGACATGTCCAGGGTCTTGAGGCTTTTGGATCGAGTTAAGCCAATGGCTTCCTCAAGAGCAGCCATGATGTGTTTAAACACCTTGTTCGCATCACAGTTCCAAAGATCTTCTTCGATCGTGTATTTCCGCAGAGAAGGTGGGGCAAAGCCTTCTTTGGAGATGCAACTACGCAGAGCAGACAAGTGATGTAGTTCTAGTGTGCGGAGATTATAGAAGTTTGAGAAGCCTTTGGTAGCGTTTCCAGTGGGAATATTCTCGTATTCCTGGTACCGCATGTCGATGTCATGAGAGAGAAGCTCTAGACTATGGCTCTGCTGTTCGACTGCCGAGACAAAGACGGTCAGAGACTTGCTCCAGTATACTTCGTTCGGGTCTTCTCCTTTTCGGAATCCTTCCAAGACGCTCAGCTTCCGCAGCGCTTTTGGGCGTGCCAGAAGAGTCGTAAGCGTCGATTGATTCATCTTACAGTTTATCAGCTCCAAGGTCTGTAAGGGTGAAGTAAATTGGAACTCTGACGACACGGAATCGATCGGGATGAAAGTGTCATAGAACATCATACAGGTCAGAGTTCGCGACCCTAAAACAGCATTCAAAACTGGAGAGGGCAAATAGCTTCCTTGGTATTCCACTGAAGATGTCAGCGTTTTCAAAGTAATGCAATTATGGAACACATACTTGAATTGAGGTCCAGAAGATACTCTTCAGTGGTGCTTGGATCGTTGACCTTCTCGAGCATTTCGAAACAGGTTTCTATCATACATCTGCGCTCTTCGACAGGGGGTAGCGTAGGGGGAACAGCTTCAACTTGGTCGGTAGAGTATGCCAGCTCGTATGCACCGAAGCGATCACGAAAACGCTGGTCAATGGGGATCTTGCGTGGATGTGGTCCCTTACGTCCATAAATGCCTAAGCTGAGGGACTGCAAGTTCTTCATTTGACTCAATAAGTACGCGAAACCTTTTCGAATGCTTGCTTGTGAGACTTCACGCCAGTAGCATACAAGCCGCCGGACTAGGAGCCAATCTTCCGGGTTATCCTCGAACCATCTATAGAGCCGTATGACGTCGCGCGCATCATGGATAAAAACTACCGCATAATGTTCCGCCCTAGCAATGGAGCGAAGACGGATACATGTCTGTGTGAGAGCGAGAAGCGGTTTCGCGACACCGCCGGTTTCATCATCAGGGTCATCGATGATCTCGACAATTGATAGCAAGATCTCATCGGGCAAAGATTCAAGGCCAGAAACCGATGTCTTGGAGGTTGTAGTTGTAGAAGTGAGTTCGTCGTTCATCATAGCTTGCCGTAGTGTAGTTCTTCGTGGAGAAGAAGGTAGAAGAAGTGGGGGGGATGGAGGGATAGTTTGATTGCCAACTGGCTGCACAGGTATGAGTGAATATATATGTGGATGACGAGACAAACGCTATACTGAAAGCGAGTTAGTAAAAGCGTGATGTTCCAAACAAGGTAGTTGTTGGTTACACAAGTGACACATGTGTGACCTTGATTTCAAAACACCTAGGCACCTACGTGAAAGGAAGACCGGCTTACATGATCAGTTTACGTGCCAAAGCTCCACGCTTTTGGTGCAACACTGTAGCACTATTCTATTGGTGTATGCATATGTAACATTGTGATTGTTTTCACACTAAATCACGTGAAATAGAGAGACAGAATGAGAGCGATAAATACACCAAGTAGCACAGACCAAACTTCTCCTTACCCTCTACCCCTTTCCAACCGTCTACCAAATAGTTTCTATCCCCCTTCATTCTGTATCCAACAGCCACTGAAACGATCCCCGAGCAAACATCATATCTCTCTGTCGATTAACATGCATCTCGTCAACCTCCTCACGGCGATCATCGCCTTGATGTTCAACACCCTCGCCCTCGCCATTCCGACCGAGCTCCCACCCCGCGGAGATCTCTCCAGCGGCTCCGTCACGTACACCAACGACGGCGTCTTCTCCGCCGAGCAGATTCTCTACACATCCGCCTGCAAGAACTTCGAGGGCCCCAACGACGAGTCTCGCGTCACTCGCATCAGCAACAACAGCTGTTTCTGAGTCCTCGTAGCGTAATTTGTCAAATTGAATACTGAATTTGTTGTTATAAACAGCGAGATTGTGGTGTCAGCCTGCCAGGTAGTAAGATGAGCTCACCTTCGTTGGTAGGCCGCAGGAGTTCAAGGACATCAAGCCTTCTCAAAGCTACATGTGCTTTGAGGTCAAGAGCTCGAGCGCGACTGTTCTCGAGAAGACGGTGAAGGCTCTTGCGGGCTAGACTGACTCGGATCATGCTACGGGTTATCAGGTATGTTAGGCAGCGCGGTGCGCGAAAGTACACAGCTGACGATGAGGTGTTGTGGCATATTTCGAATCCTCGACAGTGTTGATATCGAATGGAGTTTTGACGGATGTGCATAGTCAGTACGGGCATTGTCAAGCGTAAATTGTAGACCAGACCTTAGATTCAGAACCTGCACACTTAGAACTGTGGAATAAACAAAACTCCTTCCACTTAAATACCATTGACATGACATTGGATCCAGCGAATTGATCTCGAATCGAAAACTCTTCGGCTTTGCAAAGTGTCTTCCCAATGAAGAGTCGCTTCCAAAAAACTTGGAAACACCGCCGAATACCGCCAAGTTCATCACTCCTCGCCAACCTTCACGACAACCTTACCCACAACTTCCCAATTCGCCAAAGTCTTCAAAGCCTGCCCAACCCCTTCCTCACTCCAATCAAACACCTTCCCAACAGCAGGCTCAATCTTCTTCTCCGCCAATACCTTAACCCCATATTCAACATGCTCCTGCGCCACACTCCGCACCCCATAAATCGACCTACCGGTAAAAAGAACAGAGGGAATGATATCATACTGCACAGGCTCGGTCAAGAACCCAACAAGACAAACCAGCCCATTGAACTTGGTAGCCTTGAGACTCTGCATCAGCGTCGCACTCCCGCCAATCTCAATCACAACGTCCACGCCTTTGCCGTCGGTCAGGCGAAGGACCTCGTCTTCCCAGGCTGGGGTCTCGGAGTAGTTGACGGTGTGCGTGGCGCCTAGTTTGCGGGCGATCTCAAGCTTGGCGTTGGAGGAGGAGGTGGCGATGACGGTTGCGCCGACGGCGGCGGCGATTTGGATGGCGGTTACCGAGACGCCGCCCGTGCCTTGGGCCAGTACGGTTTGGCCGGGGCGGAGGCGGCGGGGGCCGAAGAAGAGGGCGTGGGCGGCTGTGCCGGCGTTTGCGGGGAGGCTGGCAAGAGCTGGGTAGGAGAGATAGGAGGGTGCGGGGATGAGTTCGCTGGCGGGCTGGATTGAAGGGTTAGTGTGATGTTGTCTTCGGATGAAGCGAAGAAAGGGGGATCTTTGAAAGATAAAATGTAAAATGAAGACTCGGTGCGTGGATGAGCCCGGAAAAATGAAATATACATACGAATACCCCATACTCCCTCAGTGTACCGTTCCAATTCTTCTCCCCTTTCGTCTTCAGCTCATCGACGTGGGGAAACGCATCCGCACCATCCTCGTATGAGTACTTCAGCCAGGAGGTTGGCGCGATGATTACACGATCGCCAACTTCCCACTTCCCATCTGCGCCCTCACCAAGTTTCTCAATGATGCCTGCGCCATCGGAACCAGGCGTACCATTCGGGTCAATGTACGATGGGTAGTGACGATCGCCGGAGATGATCATGGCGTCGCGGGGAGCTAGAGAAGCAGCTTTGACTGGAAGTTTTGGGGGTCAGGTTAGCCACGTTAATTTGAGCGTGTTGGCAGATGTCTGAATGTGTGAAGGAGAAGTGCAGTTGCACTTGATCTGACTGTTGATTCTGGATATACGCACTATTGACGAGAACATGGCCCGCTGGAATGGAAGTTGGTTTCGACACATTGGGGTTTAAGCGTAGATTTTTGGCTCCTTCGCCGGTCTTCCACGAGTAGTAGTTTTGGGAGTGAACTTCGATTGCGGAAGGCATAGTTGCTGATGGTGAAAGTATTGACTTTCTACGAATGTTGTATGTGTATGAAAAGATCTCTATATGAGCTAACTGATTCTTAAGTCAATTAGAGGGGGAAGATCGAGGCTTTTTATACATTCTCTGCGTATATTTCTCAGTGCTAGCCTTGTCAAATTGTTTCTGACAGGGCGTGTAATCATTCGGAATTCCTCTACCTGAGCACTGATTTCGAATCAATGATTAGAAATATGTGCAACTGAGTCACAAACAAATAACTGAATTTGAACATGTATTGTCAGTGAAGTTTCACGTTGTTAGATGCTGGATATCGTATATCGTAATTCGATGGGTGGAACTCCGCCGATTCGTCCTAATGTAGTTAGCGAATTCCCGGTTTAGTGTATAGCTATGCTATGATCCTCTTTCTTGCACGCATTTAGTAACGTCAGGGTCCACATCCGGTCAAATTGATCGAGCAAATAAGACCGAGTTGATAGTTGTTATCATTTGCAGCTAGGCTCACAATGCTTTACCCTCGGGGGTAGCAGCGTAGTCCCTTTCGAACTGGTCCCATCCTCCCACGGGTTCCTCGCACATCTTGAGGTCACTCACTACCATGTCGTAATATCCATCTTTTGGTAGAACGCCCTTATTGACTGTTCCACCCATAGCGATGTTGATCAGTAGGCGGTAGTCTTCTAATCTTCTGGTACCCTCGGGAATACTTCCTTTCATGACCGGTCTTCCATCGATGTACCAGATCATCCTGCCTCTCCATCCCGGGATTCCTTCTTCTTCTATCCAAGAAAATCCGTAAGTATGAGGCTGCCTGATGGAGTCTTGCAACTTGGTAACGACCACTTGATGCTTGAACTTGTCTTCGCCGTTGTAATGTCTAAAGCAGGGAGGAAGAGGTCAGCGCAGGCTCGATGGACACATCGCAGTTAAGACATGAAGATCTCAAGAAAGCTACTTACCCCCAGTGAAGACAACTATGGTTGTCACCTTCGGCATTCCAAGACTCGGCGATGTCAATTTCTCCATCCCCAGGCCAACTGAAAGGATCTTTTGGCAACATCCAGTATGCGGGCCAGATTCCCTCAGCGTGTGGGGGCAAGATGACAGCAGAGAGATAGCCACGTGGACGTGAGAGGGTTTGATGCGAGGTCAAACGCGCGCTTGTATAGCTCCCGTTCTGAACCAAACCGCGCACAATCAGGCGATTGTCATGATGGAAAGAATTTGAAGGACTATCCGTGTAATTCTGCTTCTCCTCATTGCCCCATCCGTGGTCGCCCAATTCATGTCTGAAGTTGTGCGAGACAGGCGTTGAAGCGTCGAAGGAAGGCTTCCAGTACACCCTCTCATGATGAGGCGGAGGGATGTTTTGCGGAGGAGGGGGATTGGACATTGGACGATTCATAGGGATCGGAGGAGGACCAGACCCTGGCTTACTGTGTTGGGGCACCGGTGGAGGAGAAAATGCTTGCTGCGGCGGTGGTGGACCCCATTGTTGCTGTTGTTGTGGCGGACCCCATTGCTGATTTGGAGGGCCCCATTGTTGATTTTGGGGTGGTCCCCACTGCTGGTTTTGAGGAGGTCCCCATTGCTGGTTTTGGGGATACTGCTGCGGTGGATATGGTGCTCCTGAGTATTGTTGAGGTTGATGACCTGGGTAACCCTGTGCTCCTTGTTGCTGGTGGTTTTGTCCGGGATAAGCTTGCTGCTGCTGCGCAGGTTTATCGTCCGTGAATTCCTTGAGCTTAGCTTTGCCCTTTTCCAGGAACTTGTTAAACGAGCCAGACATGGTGTAGGGTCGATGTACACTGAAAGGTATGGCTTTGACTGTGGCTGAAAACACTTTGATGTGAGATTCCTGCGGGGCGAGACACGTGGGGTGCCGTGCCGAGCCGGCCGAGTGACGTCAACACTCGTTGTCTTCTTCCTATACAATGTACTAAATAACGAACCCAAATACTGTATCTCCATTTCTACTTCTTAATTCTAGTTCCAATTCATTCAACGTTTGAAAATGCGTCTGCGCGCTCTTATAGCGGTGGTGTTCTGGAGCTGTTCTGTCCAGGGCTAGCCTTTAGTGTATACCTGAATAAATTTTGTACATATGTACATATGTAAAGATTTTGATTATCGGCGGAGATCAACAATCATTGTAAAAACACTGTGGAGTGCCGTATTCTCAATGAACAGGATGAATAAAACCTGAGCTGATTGCTTCCTGTCTCCGTCCGAGAATTTGCTTTTCAGTTGCAGTGCTCACCATGAACATGACTCGTGCCATTCGGTTATGTGCCGGGCGAAAACCGCCAGGATTTTCTGGGGGCACAGTAAGGTCAGCATTCAAATGTCATGATACGTATCCTTTTAAGCTTAAGTAACACTTGACATTGAGCGAGAGTTGAAACCAAGTTTGCTGGATTCATAGACTGTAAGTCGCACGGCAATGAGAATTGCATCTGGAAACAAAACGATTGGGAGTGCTTATGTATGAGTAGCTTTGGCATACCATCACGTTGTAATCTCGGTTAGAGTACGGCTGTGCAAGCAACTCCATCATCTTATACGTGAATAGATTGTTTCGTTGTGATTTCTGTACAGCCTCACAACTAGTCCGGGCTAGCTGACCAGAGGCTACTCTCAGAGAGGCTGAGCCGTTGTTTAACCCACCAGAATATGGGGAGTGGAACCTTAGCGCGTCGCATTGATGTGTATACTCTGCTGCAGACCGGAACCAATGGTAGCATCTTCTGATCACCTTCCTTCAATTGCGTTGTCTTCGGTAATTGGAAGTAGCGTCGGGCGTAGGGCGTTGTAGGTTGTCCGCAGGGCGTCTCGGGCCGGTCCTTGGCATATTTCGATACACATCCAATTCCGACGTCTTACAGCCAATCATAATTTGCATGTTAAACTGGTTTTCTAGTTCAAGTATTTCGAAAGACCTTTCGACGCTGGAGTGTATGCCGTTTGGCTTGGCTACGACCGGACATGTATGCAACTGTACTTTGTCGCCTGCTGTGTAATCTGCTAAGCATCTAGAGATGTCTGTTTGTAATGGATTTGTCCAGGGGTATAATTGAAAGTAGGAGAAATTCATGTTCAGCCTCAGCCAATTTGCGATAGCACGTTTTCCATCTAGGAAGGTGTTGCCCGAGTTATCCGAAGGCTATTACGCCCTGCTGTAAGAATAGCAGTAGTTCAGGGCCACCCGGACAGGTGCTTATTCTGAACCCACAAAGAGTAGTCGAGCGAATGCAACTTGCTTCCATGGACTAATGGTATAAGTATACCAGACATCTCTGGACATTTTGAATCATCAGTTCTCTTTCCATTCATTCTTTTGTTTCCTATTGTTTTCACACAGTCGCTACTTTCAATTCTCCTCGTTAAATATTCCTTCTCAAGCACTTTCTTTCCGATTTATCGTAACTTTGCACAACGAAGAAGAGAATCATGGTCTTTCTCCCCAGCGCTTCCGTGCTTAGCGCGGTTCTCCTCGCAGCCAGCCCACTTGTTGCAGGCAACCCTATCATCCATTCCCGCAAAGAGGAAAACAACCTCCCGATCGATAAGATTCTAGACCCGGGCATGAACAAGGGCAAATGCAACGATTTGTCTTGGGACGAAAATAGAAAAAAGATATGGGACAGTGGCAACGGAAAAGAATTTCTTGATGCCTGGATCGACAAAAATGACAAGGGCCATGGTGCTACAAATGGCTGGCCACAGAGCCTGTATAGCAGTATTTTTCCATCAGCTGATCAGAGTGGAATGAGTTGCATCTCATATGGTGCTGATTGCGATATCGAAGGCGACTGCAGTAAGTTTTTCCTGTCGTCATCACAATCCAATCCTCTAATTCACGACGCAGAGGCCTTTCAAGACAAGGGCAATGCTGGCGCCTTCTACATCCTCAAATCGGTCAAGAATTTTCATCTGTATCTTGCCGAATATGAAAAAAGGACAGATTGGCTCAGGGGGAAACTCTTGACTGATGTTGACACCATCGCACATGACTTTGCTGTGCCAGCTCCAAAGGCAGGCTCTCTCTTGATCAGCACGGCGATGGCTGGGTCTCTCGGTATTGCCGCGACTGGTCTCGGAGCTATTGGGCCTCAGGCTCCAGCTATGGCGATTGCTGGTAGCATGGTCAGCATTTTCGGACCCAAAATCGAGGCAATGAACCCGCCCCCAGAAGACAGGAATGGCGACACCACCAGAATGCTACAGTCTTGGATTAACTCAACGGTTGATGCCATGGCTGACGAGGTCAAGACCGTCCGTCGAGCTGTTTTCGGCGGTCCCGGAGGTAACCAATACACCGAGATCAACGATATCTACAAGGTCAAAGATTACAAATCGTAAGTTTCACTGCAGTATTGTACAGCCAATTTCACCGCTTTACTGACCTTTGAACACAGAAAACATCCCATCACAGCCGTGTTTGGTAAGGACTTTCCCAGCCTGTTCCGCCATCAATTTACCCTGGCACTGACTAACAGCTACAGGTGACGGTCGCTGGTTGAACGAGAACCCCACCGCAGGCCTCGAAGACTTCTTCAACAAAGCATACTCCTCCGCTCGCCAGATCCTCGCATTCAACGCTCTCAAGTCTAGCTACGACACCCACGTCATCATCAATGAACGCGACAACGACGAGAAGAAATGCAACGAAATGAAGAACAACGTTTGGGACAAGGACGCTAAGCCATACCCCTACTGCTACGGCATGATGTGGTTGGACGGCAAGGGCCAACTCAAAGGCGGCATCAACGAAAGGGCCGAGCCTCTCTGGGACATCTACGGTCTTGATAAACTCAAGACCTACCGCAACATCTTCGATTGCTGGCACAAGAACTCTGGAGAGCCGGGAAAGTTGGATACGAACAACAAGGATGACACCACTGGGCTGCAGAGGTGAGTTTTGATGAATGTGCGCAATATTTGCGGTCTTACTGACACTGGTTTCCTAGATGCACCTTCAGTATGGATTTGAAGAAGGGAAGCTGGGTTGATGACAACAATGACTGCTATGGTGGCGCGACTATCGCACTGGATACAGGCTTCTTGAACTTTCCGGTCGCTTCGGACGACTACCAGAAGAAGCGCACCAACTGGCCTCACGAGGGGAGGTCGCAGTCTCTCTTCTGTAACAAATAAGTGGTTGACTTTGTTTTACTTCTTGATCAGAGTTGTTCTGTATGAATCGGTGTGTTGTTTGTTCGCGGCACTTTATTTCTTCTGGCTCGCTCCACGCTAGGTCGTATTGCCAATTCTTATAGAATAAACTTCATCTTTCGAAATCTGAGATCTGTGAGGTCAATTTTGGTAGCCTAGTGAATTCGCCGGCAGGCTTCGGATCGCGAACCTCTTCGCTGAAGCGCCGATTTCTGGCAGTTCTAGTACCAAGTTTCATCGTCGGAGAAGGCAACAGGAAGAATCCAGGCCTTCGTGTGATTGTGTTTTAGGACTCCAAGTGTTTGTGCAGCGTCGAACAGGCGATGATCATATCAGAATAAGTACTACCGTTCGGCCGTCTTGACACTAGCTAAGAACAGTGGAGACGACTCGCAACGCTGCGTTCTTTGTGTGTCGCGGAATAAGGTATATCTTCGGAGCCTTAGAAACTATGTGCGCTTGGATGACGAACCTCGCTGCTTGCGCATTTCTACCTACCATCGAATATTATGAAATTCCCATAATCGAAACAAGATCGTTCATCGTTCTTGACAAAATTCCTGTTGGAAGGGTAGTAGCACGATAGCTTGACGAAGAAACAAGATGCCGCGCGCGCTACACAGTGGGGGAGGCATTAGAAGATATTCCCCAGATTTCCTTATCGAACTTCCCAAATCAGTGCCCAATTTGTTAGCTTAGATCGCTTCTTCGAAGCGGCTCTAAGTGTTCCGAAGAAACCATGGTTATGGTGTGACCCGTGTGTATTCGTTTATTGGCGGCATTGTTAGCCGTGTGCATCTAAGAATTCAGGAATGTTTGACGATTTTCCGCACGCGCAAGTGCTCTAGGCTAGAATCCTCCCGCCTCCTAGGATTGTCGATCGCTAGTGCGATGCGGCACGCAGCTGGTACCACAGGCGCTACGATATAGCTGCCCAACGATGAGCTAAGAAGAGATCACCAGAAGTGGAAACTATCACGAATTGTTTCAGGGGCCTTGTCAAGATTTGGATAGAGTTGATTATCGCCACTCTTTGATATTTGAAAGCTGCGTGTTCCATGTCTGCAGGCGGTTGACGGATTTCTGTCTTCTTTCCACTCTCACAATCGGTCGACCGGACCAAGATTTCCAAGAGATATCATCATGCGTTCTGTCGCGCATGGGCTATTCTTTTCCTTGATTTGGATGTCTTTCCTATGTTTGGGAACTTTTGCAAGCATAGTGGAAGCACGAGAATTGACTGTCGCAGACTTTCCGTCATGCAGTGTAAGTAAACAATATCCGCATCGAAAGATAGAGGCTGACTCTCTTTTCACAGCTTCAATGCATGATTCCTATAATTCCTACAAGTGGATGCGCTATAGATGACTTGAACTGTATTTGCAAAAATGAGAAACTTACGGAAGAACTCTCTGCGTGTCTTCTTGACGGCTGCACTGTGGCAGATATACAGAACACTTCAAGAGTCCAAGCAAGTCTCTGTCATTTTCCTAACGACAACAAACAATCCGAACTATTTTGGTCCCTGGCAATTTCCTATATTTTGATCACTCTATCCGTCGCACTGCGCATCATCGGTAAATTTGTTGCGAAAAGACTCTCGAAAGACGATATCGTGCTTCTCGTTGCATTCTTCTTGAATGCAGTACCTATCGGAATCACTTTCACAAGTATGGGGCGGACTTCCATTATTCCAAAACTTCACTGACAGCGCAAAGTGATCGATCAAGGACTTGGAAAACATTTATGGAATCTTGAAGACGGGAGGCTCGTACCTATCATCCGGTTCTTCTACATCGCCGCCATTATTTACATCGCTGTTCTCGGGATCCTGAAGGCTTCTGTGATCCTATTCTACATTGAAATATTCCAACAGACCCCTCGATTTTGCATTGTTGCCTACTCAATACTGGTCTTGATCGCGGCGAACACCATTATTCTATGCTTTGTCACGGCATTTGCTTGTCAGCCGGTTGAAGCCTTCTGGAATCGCGATGTAAAGGGCACCTGTTTAAGTGTTCCTGGCATAGGAAATGCCGTGGGAGCTAGCGCAATAGTGCAAGACATCATCCTGCTATTTCTGCCGATCATATTCATCCAGACCCTGAATATGACTCGCGCTCGCAAATTCGCCGTTGGGTGCGTGTTTAGCATCGGCGCATTCGGCTGCATTGCAACCGCGCTTCGACTGAAAGCCAACCCCAACTTCAAAGAATCACTCGACCCCACATGGAATTATGGAGCCGGCATGATGTGGACAGATTTCGAAGCTTGCGCTATCTACATCTGCATTTCTCTTCCTTCTATTCGGATTCTGATAGTTCGAATCATGCCTGGCCGCGTCAAATCGTTCTTTTCAAGGATATCCCAAGTCTCAAGTGACAAGAGCCCGCAGCCGACGACGATCGGCCATAAACGACCTCCGCGGAGCTTTCTTAGCAAGATATTCCCACATAGCCCGTTGTGGCCTGGTTTCACATCACGTAGCGGGCGTTCTTATGGTCTGTCCTCCTCATCTACATGGGTGAATCACAATGAATCCACAATTGGGATCACTCGTGTATCGGGAGATGCACCTCAAAAAGATGATGTTGAACTGCAGGAGTCGTTTCAGATGTTTCGGAAATACTGGAACAAAGAGTCGGGTCAGGTCAAAGTTGAGAGCAAGTCACAGGCGGAGGTTTAGGCACCTATCTTTTTTAGTTCGGCATATCCTGCTGACGTGTTAATGTTGGCGTTGACTTCGGTATGATGCATCTCACCCATCTCTATTTGGTTATTCAACGACCATCACTTTGCCTTCAAGATCCGGAAATGTGTGCCATCAAGCAATTGAAGTTTTGTATCGAATCCGATTAATGTCGTGATGCTCAAGTGCTTTCCGTATCCAATGGAGTAGTATTTCTATTTCAACTTGTAATGCTAATATATATCAAACATTATTGGTATGTTCTATGTTCTATGTGTCTGCGAGGCGATGTTCGCACACATGAAAGCCCGTACCATTAACCAACTGCCATAATACCATAATCGTCAGCAGGTTAACCCGCTTCATTAAACCCCATCTCTCAACGGTCTATTCAAACGGGAAAACGTCAATAAAAAAACGAGTCGGTGTTATGAAAGACGAAAACTTCCACATTCAGTTACAAGACTCTCATAAGAATCTACCTTCAGGGTTGTGAGTCCTATTTGGCCAGACTAGACTCAGAATGTCAGCCCGAAGCCTCTCTCAGATCAGACTTTGACTATCTAGATCGATCTAGATTCCCGATGCGCTTTAGGGCTGAGCATTTGAGGTGCAAAGCTCTGCTCATAACTCCTGGTTTTTGTACTTGGTGCTGTGGTGGACCACAACGAGCGAATACTAGTATCATAATCTGACATCATTTTTTCATCGTGACTGCCGGATTGAGAGCTTTTGATCATTCTTCTTACATGCCATATCAATTGCCGTTATTCTTGAATCAGGAATGCTTTGTGGCTTGTCCATCTTGACTTTTTTACGTAGACCGGATTTCAAAAGTTCACAATTTCGCGGCCCGACTTATGTAGCGAGGAAATGTAATTAAATGTGCCGTAATTCATCAGTCTATAGTGTTTCGCAAGTACATATCATTGAGTGATCCTTTGAAATGTGAATTTCTAAACCACGACCGTTTGATAGCTTTGTCCCTTCAGTCTGAAATCAATTCTACTTTGCGCCCTAATCTGCGACGTCTGGAGGATGATGATGAGGTTTGCCTTCAGAACCTCTATCTCATCCATGACACCCGAAATCCGCTCTAGATCTCTTTTCCAAGTGAACATCAACCTCGCAGCCGTGATCTTAGATCCCGAAGCTCTACCCACAATGTATCTCTCAAAAATATCTCTGGCCTCTGAAAGTGCTCTCTGAGTCTCGGACAGCAGCTGTGTTATTGAGGATTGGAGGCCGTCTTCGTCCATCTTAGCCATCACAGTCTCAGCTACTACGTTTAGTAGCTGGGTGTATTGTGTCACTCTTCCCGAAAACGTCCGAAACTTGTCATTCCCGCTATTGTTATCCCTGTATATAAGATTTGCTTGATTTGCGATTCTGGCTGCGAAATCGACGAATTGTATAATATTGGAAGCCAAAGATAGCGTGGAAAGGGGATCTACTCCAGGTGCTCTGAACTTGGTTCGAAATCTTCGGCGCGGTTGCGGATTTTCTTCTTTGACTGGTCCGTTGTGATCGCTCTCTGGCATCTCATGAGAGTCTGCTGAGAGTAAGCGTGGCAAAGCTATATCGTCAAGACCTTGTATCTCTGCGTCCGAGAGCAGTCCGAGATTCAGCTCATGGAGGTGCTCATTTATCTCCTCTATCAATGGTTCTGTAGGCTTGTATTGAGCCACAGATGAGCTGGAAGCCTTGTTTTTGTGCGACGATGTGTTTCCCTCTTCTTGTCGTGAGGTAGTTTGAGAGGGAGAGGATATAGAGGCTATCATACCCGACCCCAGTGCACTGTTTTCCGGCGGCGATTTTGCGTGTTGAGGCTGCCTGAGCATCACAGCGGCCTCATCTCCTGGCAACGTGAAAGCCCTACCCGGAATATTCATGCCAATAGACGGTCGCGTGAGCAGTCTTTGATAGACTAAGTCCGTGATCTGTACTGCCAGCCCTTGCACCTGGTCCTGGTCTAGAAGTCCGCGATTGAGCATGTAGGGTAGTTGACGCGAAGACGATCGGCTATCCTCAACTAGTTGGGTTGGTTTTGGGGCAGCTAGCAGTCGATTTGATTGCGGGGTTACGTTAAGGAACTTCCTACGAGCACGAGTCAGCGCCGCCACCGTTTGCACATCACCTCTTGCGATACTTACCAAACGCTCATTTGTAGGACAATCTGCACCATGTGCAGTTGCGCAGAAAGTCGGGGCTGGAATCTGCTCAAGTCCTCTGCCGCATCGAATGCCCATTGCACCTTTCGCAATGCACTTTTAGCTGCATTGCGCTTTGAAGATTTTCCCATCGAATTCTCATAACGCGCAATCATCGTCTTGAAATCCGACACGATGGACTTTGTGCTTTCCAATCGCGCCTCAACCTTGGTCTTAAGTGACTGTGGAACACTAGAAAAGTCCAATTGTGCGACATCGTCCATCAGGTCCAGGACATCCTGGCATTGCTGTATAGCTGACTGATACTCGAACTGCGAACCGCCTTCATCCTTCAACGCGTCGATGACCTTGGTGATGAATTTCGCGAATAGCGCAATATCTCCGGGCGAAAAGCCAAAGCTCATCTTGATCGTTGGAACAAAGATCAGTACGATGCTGTAGCAAGCTAGGCAATGTGCTTAGACCTCTGAAAGGATTGAGGAGCTCAGGCTTTTCTCGAGGATATATATCTGCAATAGATTGGTGCATCAACTGATGTGAGCAGCAGTGTTCAGGTGTTCGTAAGCAACGCCGGCATAGCCACCAAAGCAGCATAGCCACGCTCGCACAGCCACTTCAACAAACTCATAGAGAAGATGGCACAAGAAAGTAAAGAACCAGCGGTTCGGGGAGATATTTCAAGAGTCATATAAATGCAATTACCACAATAACATCACCCCTTGTAGATGTGATTGACTAAACTTTATATTGTGAACAAAGAGGGCCACTGAGGTCATACATCGTAACGTCCCCTGTGCAATCGATGTTTAATGGAAGTATGGTCGTTTTCTCGCCTGACTTCTGGAAAGAGCCTGCGTAAGTCTATTCTCTCATAACAACTGAGTGAATGATACAACATCCAGATAAAAATTCTGTTTACCTAGGTATGTGTCCATCTCATACTCTCCTGACTGGAGTATGATCAGTTGAATGAGATTTGCCGGTTACAAAACGCAATCTCAAAGTGTGAAACTCCACATACGACCATAGGAACATGAAAGCAAGGCTTCCCGTCCGCTCAGCCATATTTAAGCATGTTACCGGTTGATTAGTAGTCAGGTGGGTGACCACTGGCGAATACCAGCTGTTGTATGTAGTTCTCTTTTTGCTCAAGGATCGTAGTATCGTGCTGCCCCTTTTTTCTTTCGCCCACTGCCATATCATAACGTGGGGAGTGTACATTAGTCATTAGTGGGAGCGTTGACCAGAAGCATTGACTGAGACCATAGTGAGGCTAAAATGTTCAGATCAGCGGGGGGATAGCTTGGACCGTGATCTTGCCTAATTATACTAGGCACTGTCTATTCATAGATGCCATTCATTGTTTGCCAATATAATTTTTCGTTCATCTACCAAGGGCGGGCACTCAGTCTCAAGGTTTCATTCGTCTCTATTTAAACGCTGCATTTTTAACGAAGCAAAACCATGGAGCGCATATCGTCGCGGGTTACTGCTCAACATCGAAGCATGACGTCGAATTTACTATGTATGTCCAATAGTCGGAACTGACATCAACTTCATCAAGGATTGTAGTAAATCTATACCGTTTGAGCGGGTCTTCGGCGAATTTCACAATTAATTACTAGCCGCTACATGAAACGCCCCTTTGTCATAAACTTTGTGCGACGCTCGAGCACCGCAGCTAACCAGAATAGGTGATTTGCAACTCTATAAGGACCTTTTTACGAAGACAAAATTCATCGTCCACTCCTCTTCTTCACCTCTTCACACTCTTTTATAGAAATATGTTTTCTCCACGCTCGTTTTTGTATATTTTTAATTGTTTCTTGTCACTTTTTTCACTTGTCAACTCATTACACATAGGAGCTCGTGCTGAGAAACGTAATGCAATCGGACCGACTACTTATTTCGGTGTCTCCAGCGCAGAGCACGAGGAGAAAAGTACAGCGTTGAAAGCCGGCGGATATCGCCCATTGTCTCTCAGTCTCTATGGTTCGCCGTCAGAAGCCAAATATGCCGCAGTTTGGATCCAGGAAGAAGGCGCATCATTTGAGACCATTCACTCGGCCGACAAAGCGACCTTTGATGCCTGGGTGCAAACATGGAAATCAAAAGGCTACGTCTCTACCCATGTCTCTGCCATTGGTGCGAGTGAGAATGCTGCCTATGCCGGCGTCATGGAGCTCCAGAATGTGACCAATTGGATTCAAGAGTGCGACATGGACAGCCCATACGCACTGGCCAACGCCACAGGAGGAATCGATATGCTGATCAAGGGTGTGAGCATGTATGGCACACGAGTCAACCCTAGATACTGTATACTTGGCCACGAAAACATCGAAAACCAACAACAGACTGTATTCTATCAGACAATCAATCTTCAGAACAACTATGCTGAGGTATATGCCGCGGAGACTCTCAAACGACACTGGCGGCCTACATTCCTCGATATCTTTGTTGATGGAACCATTACGCCTATGTTCGACGATACTACGGTTGGAAAATGGGTAGCAGAGGTGGATCTCTCCGAGGCGCAGCTGAAAACTAAGATAATGGAGCAGGAGGCAAGAGGACTTTCACCTGTGCATCTCCAGGGCGGTGGGGACTCGTCAAACATCCGGTACGCGGTCATCTTTGCGGAACGATCCAGCCCGCTCCCTCGAAACTGGCATGCGAATGGCGAAGTTACCGGGTTCAGTGACAACGCTGGTGTGACTTCGGCGCTTGACGATGTTATGCGATCCTTCATGCGAACCAACGGTGTGCGTCAAGCTCAAGTTGCAGCTTCGATAAACGGTACCATCATTGCCGAACGTGCATACACCTGGGCCGAAGAAGACCGTGCCATCGTGCAAACTGATGATAAATTTCTGCTCGCCAGTGTTTCGAAGATGTTCACTCACGCAGCAACGCAACGACTTATCGATGACGGGCTGCTTAACAAGTCGACTGCAGTGTTCCCTCTACTAGGAATTAAACCTGCGGATGAAAGATCCAATGATATTACCGTTCAGAATCTACTTTATCACACCGCCGGGTATGACCGATCAGTATCCACTGACCCAGGATTCAATTTCGTGACTGTCGCGCGTTCCATGAACATGAGCACACCTGCCACGCTCCGCGACGTGATCGATTATGTTGCTGCTCGTCCGCTTGATTATACCCCGGGGTGGCAAACTATCTATTCAAACTTTGGCACCATGCTCTTGAGTTACGTCCTCACCAACCTCACCGGCGTCGCATATACGGATTACCTCAAAGAGAATGTTCTCAACGGCCTGGAAGCAGAACTGTACGAAACTGCCAGCGAAAAACATGCCAATGACGCGATTGTGCAGGAGACAAAACACATGGGTTTCAACCCTCTCCAGCCAATGTCGGATGCCACAGTACACTCAGTTCACGGAGGAGATGGCGCTATCAAGGAAGAGACGGTCGGAGCTTTTGCGCTCAAAGCCTCCGCTAGTACAATCGCGAAATTCATTGGCAGCAATGGTATGCAATCTCTTCATCATATTAACTCTTTTGATCTTAGTCACTAACGAATCTGCATAGCCGTCTGGGGAATTGGAGGCCGTGAGGCTTATGCCAATCGCGATGGCACGACGGCAGGTGCTCGCACATTTGCAACGTCAATGGAGACCATTGATTGGTCACTTACCTTGAACACGAGAGAGTACAAGTCGGAAGATGAATGGTCGCAGTTGGTATGGACAGACGTACCTGGTGTGTGGCAGAAATTCCGCACTCTCTAGGAGACGCGAACGCATTGCATATATTCAATTCTTGTACACATTTCTTGGGATAACACTGCATCGATTGTGGCGTTTGCATTTCTTCTTCCAGAAAGGACAAACTTGTGGGAACTGTCGCGTACTTGCTCAATATCTAATTTATATAGTTGTATTAATTTCGTTCGGGGCTGTTGAGAAGTGTATCCGCCTGCATCTGGTGCGCCGTTTTTTTTCCGTAGGCCGAAAATAATCATCTAACAGTCAAATAGCTCGCATGCTTTCAACTGTAGTAAACACGGGATGGATAGGCAGTGTCTCTAAAACCTACTTGTACTAACCTTATGTAATACAGGTGTCTTTGTCGGTGCAATGTGTGCTGACTACGAGGCGCTTGACTTCGATGATATACCAGCCTACTTTGCCACTGGATCAGCATGAAAGATTCTCTCAAAAAATACCGTGTTTTCTCGATTAGCATGAACCAAGAATAACAATCGAAACAGCATGTGCATCAATCCTTGTCGCTATGCATATTGCCATGAATAGGTTGCGATCTGAAGAATCAAGGACTGCTGTAATATGTGGTTTTAACCTGATCTCAGGTTTTGAGTCATCCATCATGGGGAGCATGTTGAAGATGCCTTCCCCGGACGGCATAGGCAGAAAGTAGTACGTAGCATAAAGCTATCCTGTTGGACTTAGTGTGTCCTCTTTGCTATAGACTTCTACAAAACTCCCGCGTAATACTTTTAACTATGAAGTATGACAGGGATAAGGAAGCCAACAGATGAGAGCAAATACGCCAAAGCTGGTATGTATCTCAATCGAACGATAGAGCGGCGCCAAAGGTTGAGCACAACCGTGGGCTTTAGTTTGGTCAGGGCCAGCAGTTGCTGCGTCGAGTTGCTTGAAAGCTTGTTAAGAAAGCAGGAAGATACGATCGTGAGATACGTGAATCGGGTGGGGGATGTTGTCATTCCTCTGAATCGTATGCACGAGATCGATGCTGAGCGGGGATTGCAGTACGATGTGCTCCCGCTTAGCGAGTGGATCAACAAAGTAGTTGCTGCGGGCCTGCATCCAGCTGTTAATCTATTATTCAAGAACATGGATTCTCAAGAAGGCGTAAATTATCGAAAGTTGGTAAAGTAAGAAGCAAAGAGGTATACAATTCCCTCGTTTATGAACAGTAGATAGATGCGACTAGATAGGACAAGGCGTTCTAGGCGTGTAATGGAGTCAATAGAGCTATTGATAAGGGATTAAGACAATTTTCTACCAATTCCACAAGGTGCCTTTTGTAATGCAATGAGGCCTCGATACGCAAACACACATTTCGTCACGCTGCCTCATGTGGGGCGGCAAGGTTCCACAAAATCAAGTGTTACTACTGGGCGTGGCTCATCCCTAAGAGGGCAAGCTAGTACAGTTCACCATCAGCGGCCACGTTGACTATAACACCCGCAAAATATTACGAACCATCAAACCAGAGAGGCCAGCGCGATAAATCCATTACATATTGGTACCGAAGCATGTCCGGAACCATGCCAGCAGTCACTAAACTGACCCCCACCACATTCGTCACCCTTCCCAACCTCGAGAACAACCCACGTCTCACGTCCCAAGTCATCGCCTTAGAAAACACAGCTTTCACCCGCCTTCACATTGCCCACGCTTCGAATTGGAAGGTTCCAACCCTCAGATTTTCGTCGTCGCAACGCCTGTTCGACATTGTAGGTCAAGATGGCGTTCTGGCTTTAATCCTCGACGAATCGCGCACAAGTTCTGGGGATCTTCAACCATCGGAGCTTGTGCAAGTGCACGATGAAAACAGTGGCAGCCCCAAGGAAGGAAAGCTGGTTGCATGCGCCATCATTGTGCCGTGGGCTGGAGGGCTAGAAAATGAGGGCGCAGGGACTGAAACGGGTTGGGAGGCCAAAGCCGTTGCGGTGGATGAGGACGAAAGATACCTCAAGAAAGGAATCGCGATTCGTCTGATCAAAGAGGTGGGGGAATATCTGCTAGAAAAGGAGGGGAAGAACATCACGACTCTAGGAAACAAAGAGCCCTTAACGTTGTGGGTGCTGGCGGGCGAGGAATTAAACGGGGAGTATTGGCGCAGGAGAGGCTTTGTAGAAGTCAGGCGAAAGCTACTAAAGTCTCCACTCTGGGATTGCTTGGGGACGGCTGAAGCAGTTGTCCTAAAGAGAGAACTTCGGGCCTGAAGTACGATTTCCCCACCCGAGGGTTCCCTCAACGAGTCGTCCGGACAGAGTTATCTGCAAACCAGCCCAATACAGCTCGTCGAATGTTTATCCTTGCTGCCAGAGAGACGTAGTATGACCTTCGAAGCTAACCAAATCAATTCGCTGGATCTCGGTATTCGTAAGCCTCCACCCAAAAGCTTCAATGTTGTCCTGCACCTGCTCCGGTTTTCGCACGCCTACAACTGGCGTTGCACCTTTGCACATGTTGTAGTTAAGTGCGACCGCGCTGATTGGGATCCCTCTTGCGTCCGCTATATTCTTCAGTATCGCCAGTATAGGCTCGACATCCTTCATATCGTAACTTGAAAACCGGTACTGCTTTGGTGGAGGGTATTTGGTATTATATTTCCCTGTCAAGCGACCCTGCGCCAGAGAAGAGTAAGATTGAAACACAATGTCATTTTCTTTGCACGCCTGCAACAATCCCGAGGTTTCGGGCATCCTCCGAAGTATCGAATACTCGCATTGGTTGGTGGCCAGTGGCACGTCATATTTTGCCAGCTCGTCGCGCATCTTGAGCATGTCCTTCTCGTCGTAGTTCGCAACACCAACGCATTTGGTAAGACCTTTGTCGACACACTCGGCCAAAGCCTTGGCCATTGACGAAATGGACTGAATGTGTATGGGCCCATCGATTAGATAGATGTCCACATATGACAATCCCAACGACCCGAGGCTGTTCTCCAATTTTCGCACTGGTGAGCTGGCGGGATGAAGAACGTCGGTCAGTTGCGGAACCGCGTAGTATTTTGTCTGAATGATGTATGTGTCCCTCTGCAGTCCAGAAAACAGCTTGCCACAAATTTCCTCGCTCTTCCCGTTGCCATATACTTGAGCCGTGTCCACAAAGTTGATGCCATTCTCGAGGAGCTGTTTCCACGCCATTTCCAGCGCTGGGAATTCTGAATCGTCCCAATGCCATGTTGCTGTGTCGCCCCACGACCATGCTCCGATGCACAGGTTGGGTACTTGGACGCTTCCATTTTTTCCACGATATGTAATCTGTTCAGAAGAGGTCGGTGTCCAGTCCTGCGGCGTGACTGCAGCAAGTCCGTCGAAGTCCTCGGCTACATAATTTGGCTTGCGGTTTTTGTGGATTCCAGACACAGCGGACATGCCAGACTGGAGCCCGCTTTGAAGTTTTTTCTGCATCGTTATACAATCTTAACGACAGATCAGGGCGTATGTTACGGAACTTTGTCAATACATTAAGGGTTTGACGGGGTTGGGCATCTACACTGCTTTATGATAAAGATGGTCAGTCATTCCATGTGCCCGATCCAACTTTGCCAACTTAGCAGATTCTGATAGGGCCGTCGTGTTCTAGAACTGTACAGATTTATTAGGGGGAGAATATGCGAATCATTTTGAACAAAAGGTGATGTCATTCCACTAGCTTGAGTAGACTAAAGCTGGGAATCCATTGCACTAGAAGCTTAAGAACTGGCTGCTGTAGATATCTCGAATTTTCATTCAGTACGAGAGCTGTTGTTCTGGTCTTGTACATATAATGATGTTCTGCTGTAAAAGTGATCGCTTAGCAAGTAATCGCTTGGGCTATTGAGTACATGTGCTGACGTTTTTCCTCCCCAGCAAGTTGGGGGTCATGGCTCGCTCTCTACTAGGTATTAGTTGTAGAGAATCTAAGCTTTAGCGTATCGTGTAGAGCGATCACACTAAAATCTACTATTTTGCCGTTAATCCCGGTTTTACCATTCCCACTTGCAATGGACGATCGTGCATTAGAAATAGGTGGTTCTCAATAAGGACCTGCCTGAGGAAAAGATACTACCAATCCATCCCAAAGTGAGGAGTTTATTTCATTCGCGAAACATGAATATTCGCATCTGATTCAGAGACAAATTAACGGCGACACAGGATCACATGACACGCGAATTTGAGCTAATAATTGTAGGTAAGCAATATTCAAGAATAAAGAGTTGACTAATATAAACAATTGCGACTCCAAAAACCTCTCCCACAACCGAAAATTCTACTCCGCGCTCCTCAACTTCCCCGGGACATCAACGGATGAGCGACATAGCCAATGCTACACGATGATCAGTACATCTTTGTAATCTCAAGTTAGTAGAGCAATTCACTGACCAGCTTCAGCAGCTTCAATCTCTTCGCTGCTAGCATTGTCGCCTTTCATTCCACTACTCCCACTGGTCGGTGCGCTCCACCCCATCTGCAGTGTCGGAACACTCACTGTCTGCCCGGCTACAGCAAGCGACAAGCCAATATACACAGGCTTGCTAGCGTAAGTAAGCGCGCGCAGCATGCGATCAATTTGCGATACAGCTGTCATTGGACTGTTCAAGATTGTGGATGCTGCAAAGTCGAGGGTCGATGTGTATGTGGTAGTGCTACTCGCTATGTTAGAACACAGAAACAAAACTCCAATGCAAAGGAAATCGTTGTGAGGAGTACCTTGTAAACTGAGCAGAATCAAGTTCGTGGATGATTACAATGGGACGGGACCCCAAAAAGCGTACCGCGTCGCTATAGCAAGCCAGGAGATCCGAAGAAGACGCAAGGAAGCATAGGGTTTCGGTGGGAGAAATAAGGGACGGTTGACCAGAAAAATCAAGGTTACTGCGTTGTATAGATCCGAGGAATATGGTGCCTGTGGATAGTTCGTATGCTTGTCAGTTCACCCAACAATCAGGGAAGAGGATGGGGAGGTAAATACTTGAACTGCGAGTATGGACGCGTTGAACTCCTACGGCAGCGAGTCTCTGGAAGAGGAAATCCCCTACTGTGACGGACATCTTTGCTGAAGATTTGATTGAAAGTGAGAGTAATTCGAGACAGCAAATCTGAACAATGATTATGACCGGTCTTGGATTGATCCTGCTGGTTTTTGTTTTTACCAATTTTTCATGCCTTCATCTTGGGGTTTATATCTAGACTTGTTCACTTGCTTCATGAGTTTACCGTAGTATTCTGTACATCTATGATGTACTCAGGGCAAGCCAGATTTGGCGAAAGCATGTGGCCACCGCCTCCCAGCTGTCTAAAGTCCCGGGCGGTGTCGCAGTGCTACCTGAGCCTTCTGATATCACCAATAGGTACGCGCATAATATTGAGCATACGAATGATTCAGCTTCGAATCTATAAAACGAAAGAAGGTGACTTTTAGACGAAACAAGAAATCACCCAATGACAGATTTGCCATTGTCAATCTGAGATTCGGCGGAGAAGCCGAGCACATGTTTGCTCGGCTACAGTGATAGGTCAATCGCGATTTCGATGATTTTCGCCTTATCATCAAGCTGAAGAGAAAGGCGGGTGGTTTCTCTAAACAAGGCTGACTGTCGCAGCAATGCGCATGCAATACTAGGAGAAGGCGGAAGTTCGGCCGAGTCACGCCGAGAGGGGCGAAAAGGGGTGTTCGGCGGAAAAAGAGCCGCAGAATAGACATGCTGATAGAAACGGTGGTAAACCCAGTCACGGGCTGACCACAATGAATTTGGGGTCTATGGTTCGGGCACTGGGGTCTGTGACGGCGGAGGTTCACGGCGGAGGTTCACGGCGGAGGTTCGGCGGGACGGTGTCAGCACAGCTGATGTTTGACGCTGCACCGCGCTATAATGTTGACAGCAAAGTACTTGAGAGAGCCGTTTGAATATTTTCCGATGGCGTAAATACTTGTTTTTTTGCATCGTCGTTGCATATTTTGCTATGCAGTTTTATGGAGGGAATACTATTGCCAATTATAGAATAAGAATTCCCATGAATATCTCCAATTAGGATAGTTCAATCCTCAAAATTCCATCAAATCTATTGGTTTTCTCTTTTCGTGAATGGGCGCTAGCCCCCCTTTTCAGCTTAGCCTCCTTTTAGGTGCTGCTTTATTTCCTTGGCCAGTGTAGGAAACACTTCAACTTCCAATTGGCCAGAGAAACTCCCCCTATCCGTTTTTATATGGATTCAAAAACATTAGGCGCATGATTAGACGTGGTCCGAATATTATCAAGTCCTAATTCTTGAAGCAATGGGTACATCAACATAGCCAGCATTAACATTCGCGCTGCACACCGCCTTCCCACCACCCGTTCCGTCCTCACCCTTCACCGTAACCTTCAATATACTGATCAGTTCTCGGCTCTTAGTAACCTGCTTCTTCTTCCCCGATATATTCCTCAGTATCTGCAGCATTACTTTCGTCCCCGACGACTTGCCAGCGTTCGACGATAGTGTTTACAAATGCCTGTTCTGCCTCGCGAACCTCATCGGAGGCTACGATCTGCTGAAGTTGCCCAGCAATGGTAGCGAGCACGTCTTGGGTGAAGACTTGAGGGAATATATCAACTGTTTCCCAGAGGAGGTTCTCATCGTGCATGAAGTTGTTCTGCGTGTTGAGCAGAACCGTGTAGGAATCTTGGTAAGAACCGAGCTGCTCCAGAACAGGCGTAAGGTGAGCAGCAATGGCCTGCACCTCCTCCTCGCCTAGCTCACCATCTGCGATTGCGGCATGGAGAAAGATGAGCGATAGGCGTACCTCGAGTGGAATAGCGCCCATCCATGCCACAAGGTTATCATATTGCTCCTCATCCATGTCTGCGAGGATTCCTGAGACGGACTGAAGGATCGTGTCGTCATCATCAGCCCAAGTCTCCTCATCAGGTGGTAGTACGTCTACGCGTTCGATGATCCAAGAGTCGTGCAGATTGTATTCCGGATTCATCAAATAGCCGTACGGCATGTAGCAGTAACCTCTATCACCCCAAGTCTCACCCCACGAGTTGCGCACGATGAAGACTTGATCGTGGTCTGAGTAGCCAACGCAAAGCATGGCATGTGCTCCATGGCTCGCGGCTGCGGCCTCGTTTGCGTTTGGCATTGGGACCTTCCCGCGCCGACCCTGTTCAAATGAGGTAAAGAGATTACACCCAAAGATAATGGGATGGCCCTCCGCGAGCGCTGTCTTCCAAACGTCGAGATCAGTTTCAAGCTTGAAGGCATCCTCGATGCAGAACTGCTGGGCTTCCGCGTAGACTTCGTCTGATGGCTGTTCCGCAACCATATCTTCGTTGAAGGGCCATGAGGTCTCCGAGGGAGCTCCATAGGTTTTGAGGCCAGCGATGGCGCATCGAGTGAAGCTGCCCACGTCTTCGGTGACTGGAGTTACACCATCGGGGTCCATAGCGCGAGCATTGTAATATATAAAGAGACGGCTCACGTCGTATCCATCTGAGCCAAGGTGACGTTTTACAAGGTACTCGTAGGCACCAGCTGTAGCGTTGGCCACGCAGCTGTTGGTGGAGCCTTGTTGCTCGATGGAGGACATGAAGTGGCGGAGATCAACCCTAAGAGGGATGTGCGAGAGGTTTCCAGACGGAACCCAGGTGTTCACGTCGTCTTCATTCTGCGCTGAATAGTGATAACCGGAGACTTGGCGAGTTGCGCCATCAGGCTGCGTGTAGCTGAAAGAGCTCATTTTGGAGAAAGGTGATGCTGGAAGAACGTAGAAGATGAACTAGTCGAATAGTAGTACAACTTTGAGCGGTGACCCAAGAAAAATATATGATGAGCTATACAGAGATGCTTGTGTAATGAAGGGTTTGAGCATCAATATTATTGATACCACGGTGCCTCTTTATACCCGGGTGCCCTTACGTTGCAGGAACCCTATGGCCGGGGATCCGGCAGGCGGCACGGTACATTGTGAGGTTCCTGAGACATCTACCGATTTTTGGGTCCACAATTGTGTATCCGTTTGATGAGAGAAGAATTCCGGTGAAGGCAGTCTTGAGCGTCGCAGATGGTGTAGCTTGTTTGGGGCCCGACCTAGGTTAGGCCTCACGAAGGGTTCTTGCGTCAGATCACCGCCACCAACGACAGTTTGCGCCCCCAACGATAACCCCTCGGCAGCACATATGCATGTTTTACGCAGACCATAGCACCCGTGCCACCTTTGTACGAATTCTTCCATATCCATGGACTAATAACATCTAGACGTTCAATGTTGACGTTTTTGAGGAAGTCACGTGTACAGACCACGTGAGCTAACGACATCGATCTGGGGGAAGTCAGTATTCTACATGTAATGATGATAGATGGTCGTGTGCATGAAAGGCTTTACACGTTCAAAAGTCAGCACACACTAGCCCCCAATATGTCTCCTGTACTTACTGCCTATGAAACCTTCCTACAGCCGCCAACTTGAAGACATCTATATTTGATAGCATACCAAGAATGGTAAAGCATACGCTTCATAACTGCTTCGACACTCTCCAGATGTTGGTCGATCAACTTCCTTCGACAAACAATACCTAAGCCGGTGAAGATAATCATGCTCGAAGAAGCGGAGATAGAGCTCAGCTGTCACCATAAACTGCTCCGTAGAACCCTATTGGAAAAATATCCAAGTTTCAAAAAACCATCGATTGTTTGTGGATAGTGCTGAAACGCAGGCTACGCGCAGCTTCGGACTTGGGACGTTGGTGGCTGTGCGCTGTGCGCTGTGCACACCCCCGAGAACGCGCGCTTTCGCGACAAACGATTCATGAACCAGATCACTACGATGAATAAATCTGCTGATCCAGCTGAATGAATTGTATACGCTTGCTGTATGTAATACAAAAATCCGCCACATGTTCGAAATAACCATTACCCATATCCGTCCATTTGACCCGCCTGAACACCGAGGGTATCCCGCAATCAAGTCCACTGGAGTTTCAACCACTCCATACGCCGGTCCAACATGATGAAGTAACTTATCATGTCTCACTCCAACATTGTGGCTGGTTTCCTCTCAAACAACGTCCTCAGTTCAGCTTCTTGTTTCCGACCTTGACCGTATTACCCTGTTTGCGCTGGTACTGCAAGAAAGCAAAGGATCCGATCGCCAAAACAGCAAGGATTGCGAGGTTGCCTTATACCAGAGTCAGCACTTGCCCATATCTATTCTCTGCGATGGATATATAGAGAGTAACTCACCAAGAACGAACCCCACGATACCACCAGCAAGTTCCACCAAGCCTTTGAAGAAATCAACCACGAGAGCGAGCGCACCGTTGAGGAATTTGAGGGCGAATTCGAAGGTATTCTGCGCAAGGTGGCCTGCGGTGGTGAAGAACGAGGCAACGACCTCGAAAAGAGAGTAGACGAGGTCGGAGAGGGACTTGACGATGGCAGACATTGTCAAGGCTGTGGCTGATCTGTTCGTTCTGGAAATTCTGTCTGTAGTTCTTTGTGTAGATGGATTGTGTTGTGGTGTGGTAGTGTTTGTTGTTGCGTGGTTTGGTCGGACGGACGATGGCTAGTCGCAACTTTTAAGTTTATAATGCAAGGGCGATCAAACGGAGCGATGATGTCGGAACTACGCCATTTGCGCTTCCTGCTTTGTTGATTTGTGGCTGTTTTCACATTTTACCCATGGACAGAGTGGCTGGTTGGTATGACGTAGTATCATCATACGAATGCGGCCGGTTTTGGATACTGCGTATATTCGGGAATGTGGTGCGCATATTGTGGTACGCACACATAAGCACACGAGTATTTTGTTTAGTCTGGCGGCAGAGGCGTATTGCGGACAGTGTAAGTGTGGTGAAATGATGCAGAACAAAGTGATTTTTTATGTATACATTATAGATCGAGTGATAGAGTGCTTGTTCGCTATGTAGTAGAGAAATATCACTTGAACGGTGGGAGAACTTGTTTAAGGGAAGAGTGAAACACAAGATGCATGATAGGGAGAAGAGCTAAAATAGTTCTACTTACTCTATTCCAGCTAAATATGTTGCATGTCCTGATATATCGGTCCCAATACGATCTATTCCAGCGATAATCAAATAGAGTGAGCGAAGGTCAACCTTGGTATTCAACTCATCAGCGATCTGTTTGATGAATTCTCGCAGTGATCAGCAGAGAATATATGATATAGTATATGGTGTTATGTACAAGTGATCTGACACCATCTCGAACCATGTAAACCTGATTGACATAGTGATATGTCTAAGAGGGGCAGCTTATTATAGCGACAAAAGGGGTAAAGTGTCTATACTATAATTAGACAATTCCGTAGGGTGATCCTACTGGAAGAAACCCCTCACTCGTTCCTTAGCGACGGCGTGGGCACAGAGGCAGAATCTTCCTTACCCTCGTAATCAACAGCACTCGTTTCCCGAACAGAATAATCTGAACCTCAATCCAATAATCTGTCCTTGATTATCATTACCAAAGGTCCACGACGCTCAATCTTATGACCATGCCGTTACTATGCCTCGCCAACGAACTACTGATATCCATCTCAGAGAATTTCGAGTCAGAGAAAGACATTAACGCTTTCGCACGGACTTGCCGCCGCTTATATCTTCTCACGAATGACTATCTCTACAGGTACCACTATCTCAAGCCTCGAGAGGAATACGATTTTCACCAGTGGGCCATGGAGTGGGCGGTACAAAACGGCCGTGAAACAACGATTCAAAAGCTTCTAGATGGAGCAAATTTGGGCAATGAATATATCCGGTCACGCAACGATTTAATGCGTCTTGCAGTGGACACCAATCAGCATGGAGTCGTCCAGCTCCTGCTCCATTACGGTATTGACATCCAGGCGAAGGTCCGATCACAACATACTGCTCTACATGTTGCCGTGGATAGACCGGACTATTCCGAGAAGATGATAAAGCTGCTTCTTGATAATGGCGCAGACTTTAATTCCCCAGGATACGGTCGGGACGATACTCCACTGGAAAAAGCCTACTACCTAGGACAGGCTCCAGTAATGAAAATGTTTTTCGAGTACGGACTTGACATTGATTCACTGAGCGGTTACTTAGCGAGTGCTGCGTGGAATGATCGTTTGGAGATTGTGAAGCTGCTGATCGAAAACGGTGCTGATGTAAATGAAAACGACGGTTCAGCTCTTGATTATGCCGTAGGCGTTGGGAATGAAGAGATGGTTAAGATGTTGCTGAGGAACGGCGCAAAAGCGAATTTGAACCACTCCAAGGCTCTTCTACAGGCCGCATGGAGAGGCTACTATAATCTTCTCAAGATAATTTGGGAAAGTGGAGCAACAATCGACAATCACAACGGGGACGTCCTGTTGTTTGCATTAGAAGGTGAGTGACATTCTATTTGTCTCTAGAATGATACGACATTATTCGGAGTGGACGATGAGTCTATGAAGCACATCTATCAGCAGCTTAGTAACTTTGAATCAACGAATCAGGTCAACACATAGAAGTAGCAGATCTGTTGATGGAATATGGCGCTGTATTGCGAAAAGAAGATCCGGCGACCAAGGACGCACTATGTGATGCTGCAGCTTCCAATCAAAAAATTACATTGAGATTTCTGCTGGAGCATGGCATGAATCCGAATGAGTCTCAAGGACTACCTTTGGCAAATGCGGCTTGCAAAGGTAATTTAGATATCATGGGACTGTTGCTAGATTTTGGTGCCGACATTGATACTCGTTGCGAAGATGGCCATACAGCAATTTACAAAGCCTCAAAAGACGGCCGCTTTGAATCGGTGAGGCTGCTTCTAGACAGAGGTGCGAAAATCAACGTAGAAGATGAAGACTGGGATCATCCAATTCAACAGGCTTGCGGGAAGAACCAGAAGGACTTAGTGAGGCTTCTACTGGAAAACGGAGTTGATGTGAATCACGAAGGAGGAGAATACGGAAGTTTGCTTGCGGCAGCCATGATTCCTGGGGGCAAACCGTTCGTACTAGAGCTTCTCCAAAGAGGAGCCAATGTAAACGTTAAAGGAGGAAAGCATGGGACACCGCTCGGCTTAGCTGCAGCCGGCAGAAAACGTACGGACGTAGCGCTAGTCAGACTTCTCATAGATGAGTATGATGCGGACGTCAACGCTTGTTACGAGGGGCAGTTCACAGCATTCCAGCAGGCTCTGATCGGCAGCTCCGATGGTAGCGCTCAACTACTTCTCCAAAGAGGTGCTGATGTAAACTTGAACCATTCGCTTTATAACGAGGTTTTCCACCGGGCTCGAAAATTTTACAGAAGTCGAATCAGAAAGTTGCTCATGGAGAATGGTCTACGAGACGAGATCCGCTTTAACTGTAAATCTGAGCAGGAAGAAGCGTGGTGGGAATGCCATGGGCAAGAGTGTAAATATCAAGACTTTCGCATGAAAAGCGCTTAACCAGTTACGGGACAACGAATTTGGAAACAATGCGTATTATACATAAGATTAAAATTTATACGCACGGTCATATCTCATCAATTGATAGGTACTCTAGATAGACACAGACACACATAGGAAACTTATATGTATTTGTCTATCATGGGCTTCGACCGCTCCTTACATTCTTCCCTCGGCCAACATTGATGCGAACTAGACGACTTAACCAACAGCCCACACTATTTTTTCGCATACACCTTGAAGTTTCAGACCTTTATACCATACCCTAACCTCCTTAAGATAATTTTACCCCTCTTAACATCGTCTGGCTCATCTGGTCGAAGACCGTGAGCAACCAAGAATGCCCGAAAAGATTCGTACCCGGCGTCCTTGGACGCAACTTCCACATCTTTGATAGTCGATTTTGGTTCTTTGTTAGGCATTCTGAATGCTTATATGGCAGACAAGATACGCGGCGGGAAGGAGAGACAGCTTATCGGGTAATTTGGTGATTTGAAGAACGGGACACACTGGCTTCTATTCGGTAGGAGATGCAGTCAGATTGTTGGTTTATGAAATCCTCTGGCACAAGGAATGTCATATGAAATTTATAATAACTTTCTCCGGTCTCCGTTCGCCAAAGAGCAATCTTGGTTTTGTCATGTGTTGATTGTCCCGCCACGTCTGACGTACAGCAACTAATTGTAGGCATGGGAAATGACATCCTACGTGTTCACGATAAATATCATCATGAACAAATAGGCATGCTCATGCTGTTATGCGCGTGGTTCGTGCAGGCTATGAGACAACGAAATCAGCGGGCACATTACAGCTGAGTCAAGGATAATCAAGCCAAGCTTATTCGAGAAATAGTATCAAGGCTTTCATTATTATATTAATTATAGCGTCCTCCTGGTCAAAGTTGTAGACTGGCCCGGATGAGTGCTCCAGACATGAGTCACGCGACACAAGTTACTCCATGAAGAAATTGGTATTCCACTAAAGACAACGCATTCTTTAAGAAAACTGTATATAAAAAACTAGAACGAAAAGCAAAGCGCAGTAGCTTATGAATTCTAGCTTCTATGCCTGACAGGCACCTAGATCTGAGAACTCATCGTTTAGGAAAGCGCAACATATCCCACAGAAATGGACAGTTCCCTCTTCGCCGTCGCAGTCCAAAATCAGTTCATGCAGAGATGAGGCACTCGGACGCAACCGCTTGTCAACTACTAGCATTCTTTGAGTCCACTTCAATGCTCGGTTATCCAGTGTCTCACCTATGCTCCCAAGTTCAGTAATGAATTCCGTCAAAGCTTTGGCATTCATACGAATGAACGGCTCCCCGGTACCATGCTGATCGAAGAACATATTCATATACTCTAAGTTCCGTCCTTTCAGTGCAACGATCATCTCCATGAACACGACGCCCAAGCTCCAAATGTCGGATGAGGTATTGCGAGGCTCGTGCGAAGCTACCTCTGGAGCGCAGTATCGAGGGGTCATACCGTGGACAACACTTTCTGTGGTGCTTCCCGTCGCGTCCGTGAAATCGAGAGATAAACCAAAATCCGCGAACATCACGTTCCCGCAATTTATGAGGATATTACGTGGTTTGATGTCTTTGTGTCTCACACCATGGCTGTGTAAATACTCGAGTGCACAAATCAGACAACCAAAAAACGTTCGAAGTTCGGGGTATTGAGTGGTGTTGATACGCGTCAGATATGTCGCAAGGTCCATTTCAGCGGCTGGAGTCATCAACAGACCGATGTATTTGGCATCCGTGTAGCTGCCGACGAACTCGACTATATGCTGGTGCTTTTTGCTCTTCATGATCTCAATCTCGTTGATGAATAATTCCACGTCTTTCTTCCTCTGTCTCGCGTACAGAGAGCGTCTTAGAATCCTCTTTCTGGCATAAGTTTTGAAGGTAACTAGACTGACAACTTTGTCGACCTGGCCGAATGCGCCTTGCCCTAATATTCCCTTTGATGTGAGAGGAATCGGATCTTCATCTACGAAGTAGCAATGGCTTCCTCGTTCGCCCTTTTCCAAATCTAGCGCTTTTGTCAACACCAGCTTCTGGGCGTCGAGGAAACTTTTTCGCGAGTCTTGAGGGACACATTTTGGTACATCCTTTTCGTTGACTGGAAAAGAGTAATCGGAGAACCCAGAACTAACTAGGTCGTCAAATAAATTCAACTGTCCTAGAGAACGCAGAACAATATAAGTGCGGGGCATATGACTTTGAGTGGGTGCCAGTTGCTTCAAAAGCGTTGTGACCTCCATGATTTCCGCCTCTTGAAACAGCTGGGGGCTGCCACCTTTAATGGAAAAGATCTCGTCTAGCCGGCTCACAAAAGATTCCAGCATGGAAGATGTGGATTTCTTGGAAGATAGCTGAGGATTCCGTGGTCCCGTGGACGCTATGCTGTGTTGCTCCTTGATAAACTGTAAGATGTCATTCTTTCCTGTCGTTTGATCGATGTCTTCCCGTGTCACATCTTGCAACAGCAAAATGTTGGGCGGATCGCTTATTACATCGGTTTTCAGATCCTTCCAAGCAGTTCGTTCTCTTCCAGGAGGCAGTTCTACTGGCGCTGTCCACGTTTCAAGCTTCGTGCTTATTGGGTCTACTTTCTTTTTGACATATGGTTTCACTGGGGCACTCCTTGCCTCCAACTTTAACACAATGACGTTCTCCCAATAACGACTCTCTTCCGCCCTTGGATCATGGAAGCCATTTTTTCTTTCGAATTTGTCTGCCGCATTACGGAAAAGTCCTAGTGCTTCTGCGTATCTTCTTTGTTGCACCAGTGCCTGACCTAGCCAGAACTCACTAGACAACGTTTCCTCGTGTATAGCACCGAGCCTTTGCTTATTGATCTGGGAGGCGTGTCGCAGAATTATTGCAGCCTCATCACATCTTCCTAGCGCGCATAATGACGCACCAAGCATTGCTTTGCTGGCAATTGTTGCCCTGTCGGTTGCGCCCAACCTCTTCTCACGCTTTTCCGAAACTTTTCGGAAAAGCTTCTCCGCCTCGCTATAATTTTCTTGATGATGCAACGAGTTCCCAAGCCAGTGTAGATTAAGCATCGTACGCCTATCTGTGGTGCCCAGAGAACTTTTACATACTTCGTATGCTTCTCGAAAACAATTTTCAGCGGTTTTACTTCTCCGATCCTGTTCGAAAACCGAGCGTCCGAGCCAATGCAAGCTCAATACTTTGGCAGGATCTACATCAGAATATTTATCACCATATGCAGCCGTCTCTCGAAACTTGTCTTCCGCTTCTTTATATCTTCCCTGCTCGTAGAGAGCGTGCCCCAACCAGCGAAGAGATTGAGAGCTAAGCTCGTGGTCTCGGCCGAATGTCCGCTGGTACCCCTTGAAAGTCTTTTCAAATATCTCTTTCGCCTGTTGAAAGTCCTCTTGGGAATATACTGAGCGCCCAAGCCAGAACGTGTTCTTCAATGTCTTGCCATGGTATCTACCGTATATTTCCTCGTATTCCTCAACGGCTGGGCGGAAACACCACTCTGCTTCTTTATATCTTCCTACATGGAACAGAGCATGTCCAGCCTCGGATCCAACGCGCCCAAGAACTGTGAAACTCATAGCCACTTCTGATGATCACTTGGATCCCCGGTGTTATAATGTCGGAATTAGTGAGCTTCGAGAGTCTTTCGTATCCACTAGACGGAGGCACTATCGGTATCAGATACAGCGTGAGGTAGACCGTCTGTCTTGGGCAGGGCAAGGTGAAAGAGACGTCGCATTAGTGTGTTTGATCTTGATTCTCTCGAAAAAGAACTGCTTTGGTTAGCACATAAAGACTAATCTGCGTGAACAAAGGATGTGCTCAAGGGTTTTCTGGCACCGAAGAAATCAACTTATACCTTTTGTTGGGGCCGCTGATCCTGTGGTTCCTCAAGCTTCAAGCCATAGTTCGTCGTTCAAGGTGAGTTGTCGGGGCCTGATCTTCTGTGGTCGAGGTATACGAGCAAGGCTGAACCGTGAGTAGTCAGCATTGACACACTTGCATATAAACATATGTACCTTCCCCGCCCTCGGTAAACCATCCTTACCGGTGAAGAATTCCCGGCCGCATGAAGCTATGTCTCTTAAACATGATTTATCATAGCCGACATCATCGAGTAATCCAACTGGCTTTTTTGAGAGAATATATCGTCAAAATATACCATATGAAATGATCAGCTAGGGCTTATCAACTGTGTTAATAGTCGGATTGTGTCTTGCTACAGGAACATGTATTCTGCCTGAAGCTCGGTGGCAGTTTTATCGTGTGATGTTTGAATACACCAAGCGCTTGTTCAGCACAGAAATGCGATGATGCAATATAAAGTGCCCAGGGGCTTTTCACGAACGGACGCGAAATGCAAAACTCGATAAACTTATTCTCGACGCTCTTTCGAGTTGCTCGTATGATCTATCGATGCGTAAGTTCCATAATCTATCATTTAAAAACTTCTTGTATTAGAAATCGATTCGATAGGCTTCGATCAAAAAAATACAATCTCCATCTATTCCTGCACAGCCATCACACATTCCGTGCAGTCTACGGCATTTTGCATTGAAGATTTCAGCCAACAATTAGCTCTATTGCCATTGATGTATCTTTCCTTCAGGTCTTCCGCCAGAATTACCCCTTTGCAAGGCTCTTCTGTAGAACTCGATAGTTTGTTCATCTCGCGACAGGCGTCTACGCACTGTTGGAGAGAAAATGCCACCATTGCCATTACATCTTGTCCTCCCACGTTCTTCCCTCTGATACATGTGTATGATACTCCATTAGACGATACCACCTTGTTGTTCGCAGGACAGCTGATATCGATGAAGGCCACGTCCTGTGCCGCAGGGGGCGTGTAGCGGTCGTTCGAAGAGGAGGTAGTTGACGAGGGGGTCGTAGAGTTGAGCGAGCTAGTTGGACTAGCAGTACTTGCAGTTTGTGGTGGCCTGGCACAGTTAGCGAACAGTTACAAATTGACAAAGAATATGATTTTGGCACTATTTACTCTTTATTCCGACTCTGAACAGCCAGTGTTCCCCCTACGCTTCCACCGACGGTGACCAGTACTACAAGAATGCCTACCACCACCAACAACCAAAATGTGCTCTTTCTCAGTCCGAAAATGTGAGTTTTCTTATCATTTTTATATGGCGGAGATGATTCTGCGTATAACGGAACGCTTGGGGAGGAATAAGCTGACGAGGTTGATTTTGGCTCGTAATATGCTCTTACGGATTGTACAGGCTCTGGAAAGTGATCAGAGTGCACGCGGTTTGTAGGGAGAGGTGATGCCAATATCGGTGCATCTGCCATGTTCACGTACAGCTCGAATGAAAGCGGATTAAGAACAAGAGACCAGATGAGAACTGCTCAGAAAAGCTGGAGTGTGCCTAGGACTGGTCGTACATATACTTGATCTGCATTGAACAACAATGCTAATGGGTCAAGATGAATCCTTCTGTGCAATAAATAGACTATCATTGCGTTGACGATCACTAGGGCTTTGTCATATTGGGGGCCGAATCGCCATTCTTCGATGTAAAAGGCTGCGGTGCGACGGCAAATCCCGTCTCGAATAGAATGTGGCCAATCAGAGAAGACAAAATCGGTGCTTCGCTCGCGGAAGGATGATCAATACTACAATCGTGTGACATCAAACATGAATACGTGTTTCAGTGCAATGGTAGGCCAAGATGAATGCTTACAATCATCGCCGAATGCGGTATTCTGCGAGTAGCGAGACTTGGAGCACGAACCTTCAACTAGACAAGATGCATTGACTAGTCGTAGACTGGAATTATGATTAGCGGGTGTTTTGTGCCTACCATTCGAAATAAGAACGAAGAATCAGTAACTTGAAGTCAGAGGCTTGAAGGACTTATAGATGCCTTAGCTCATTCCAGATTGTACGTCCAGTGGCGACTCGTAAAAAGACTGCCGTGCAAGTTTTTGGATGGAGCGTGGGTTGTGGCGGGAAGAAACAATGCAATTACTTCAGTGTTCCAACAAATTCACCAAGCACCCGGAGCCTAGAACCTACTGTGTGTAACCCAGAACCTAGACGATAAGTCTTATTTTCATAGAAACTAGAAAGAGAGTATATGATCACAATTATATTCCCGTATATTTATTCTCGTCTACATCGATTGATTGTCACGTTATGAATAACTGGCAAATCCTGGCCTTTCCTTCGCACAAACCAAAAGAACGTCACGGAAGACCCAACACCAATTGCACATATTCAAATCATGGATCCAAGATATCATCATTATATCTAAGAATCGACTCTATCACTCGGCATCAACACTTCACCACCACTCCACCGTCCGCTCAACAGAAGGAGAAAAGGGGGGAGGCGGGGGACACGACAAATTGTGAATGCCCGCACTCAAAGTAACGACTGACAATGTTTCAGAAACACAAAAGGTATATACATATCCAAGAAGCAGAAAAAGGGTGTCGTTCCCAGTGGTTCAGAAGTTAATTTTCGCCCGCCATCTCTATGTCGATGCCGGTCAAGTATTCTCGACGGGTTGCGTCTCGAATAGATTTACCAGGCTGACGAGACTGGTGGGGCGGCGGTGGGCAAAGATGGAGCACCGGTAGGGAGGACTGGGCCACCAGTAGGTGCAGGACCTGTAGATTACCCATTAGCAAACTTCATCTGATGAATTTGAAAGAATGTGAACAGCATACCGCCGGGTCCTGAGGGAAGACCGCCAGTTGGGGCTGGGAAGCCTGGTCCGCCAGGGCCGCCTGGGAATCCTCCAGTAGGAGCAGGGAAGCCTCCTCCTGGGAAACCTGGGAAACCTCCAGTGGGAGCGGGGAAGCCACCGCCGGGTCCGCCTGGGAATCCGCCAGTGGGGAAGGGAGGAGGCGATTGGCCGGGAGCTGAACACATCTGTTAGATTGGAATTGTGAAGGTGGAGAGAGCACTGAGATAGAGACTTACCACCGGGACCACCAGGGCCGCCTGGGCCGCCTGGGAAACCACCAGTAGGAGCTATAAAAGATGCGATGTCAGCGTATGAAGAGCTTGGGTGTGTTCTGGATTTCCGATGTGAACGTGAATGGACAGAAGCGTGGGTACTAACCAGGGAAACCGCCAGTGGGGATACCGGAGGGAGGACCTTGCTGACGCTCAACGACGACAGGGGCGGCGACGGCGCTGTTGCGAGTTTAGTATTAAGAAGAAACGTTTGCGAGCGTTGGAAAGCATTACCCAGCGATGAAGAGGGCGATGATTGTGGATCTCATTTTGAAGATGTGCTCGTTGGATGTTTCGAAAGGAACGTGAATGAGTGTCTTCTTTACAGAAACAAAGGTTTGAGTAAAATTTATGGGGACTGAAGGTTGTTTAGGCTTGCCTGAAGATCATGAAGAGGCGCTGTCGACAGGATTATATACTTCCTCGGTATCGAGAACTGGATCTTTTCTTCCGTAATTTGTATCTCTTCAGTCGGTGGTAATATGCTTGGAGACGGGACACCGGGTTTTTTCGCGGGCCTTTTGTTTACAATTGAGGCCATACTTGGCTGCTGTAGCGTCACATCACAATATCTGGTATTGCTTTTTCTATGCAAAACTATGGCATGATCAACCACAGCGTTAATGAATGATTAATATGGTGGTGTAGCCAAGCTTTGATATGCGAGGGGCTTAATTCCAAAGTCATCCTTTGCCGTGTGTGGAGAGTCGGGGGTTTGTACAACCCCGAGGGGCTCAAACAAACCACTCTAATTTCCCGAAGCACGTCTTTAGTTCGATATAAAGAGCTTGCTGTAGCACAATTAACTACTCGGAGGGAAGAATGTGTGATTGGATACATGATGAATCACATCAAGCGCTGTACGATCTGGATGGCGAGATAGAGATTAACGACAGCGATCTGTAATATGCCGTGTCGCTGGTGTGACGTGAGCCACAGACACACTCTTTTCTTGGAGTTTCAGTTTGGTTAAGCTTTCTAGAACGTGGCTAGACCAACGAGAAAATGGTACTTATTTGATGAGTTTTTGTCAACATGAGGCAGTGGCGTGCCGGCATTCAGTCAGGTTTCAAATTCACAGTGATTAGGCAACGCAGCGTAGAATCCAGCGTTGTGGACTTCAGCATTTCTTGCTATTCCATCATAGTGGAGATTAGGAGTGGATAAAGGTTTACTTGGAGACAAGCCCTCAAAGATGATACGCGCCATGATCGTCCATAGAGAGTCTACATAGGAGCATTTAGCCCACTAGTTCACTTCCCTATAGACACTGGCATGTCTTGGATGAATTGACCTGGGCGAATACTAGAGACGACGGTGATCATGCACGGTACTGGGAGGGTTGAGTATTAATATCGCGAGTCCCGGAACAACCCCTCATCTCGATCTCAACAATCAATTCTCCGGCGCCATGATAGCTGCAGTCATTGCCCTCGGGCTATCCGATTCGTCAATTTTTGAGTAAAATCAATCTGAACCGTGCAATCAGGGCACAAAAGTATGGCACGCTAAACTACGAAGGAGTCAATTTTGGGCGATCATGTTATGCCACTTATATTACCTACCACTCAGCCAGGAAAACGGGAAAAAGCAATCCTCGTTCACAGATCACCCCTACGAGGCAAATGCAAAGTAGACACTTCTGAAGGCGCCCTGTTTTTGCTCGAAAATCGGGTCTTCTTCCACCCAATCATCCACCATAATCGGCAGGGGCTATTGTTGACGCGGCTCGTATCTATCTGAGACCCCAGCCAAGACCACGGTCACACCCGAGAAAAACAAGCACAAATCCAGGCACCTAGCGACCACTTAGGAAATGCTTTTCAACATCATATGCAGTCCAAACAAGCTCTCCATACTTCTCCTAAAGCGCGGGGATCGACGGAGAATTGTGCCGTTGTCCTTGCAGATTTCTCCGCAAAGGATCTCGCGTGGTTCGTTGGAAAGTGCAATATCCATCAGATCGCGCGATCGCATTGTTGATGGTTTGAATTACCATAATATCACTAACAAAACTCATACGTCACACTGATGAAGCGCATTCAGAGAAGAGGCTGCAATATCGCATTGACGCAGACGGCTTGGACCAGTGGATAAATAGGAACAACAGGCACTATCCACAAATCACAGTAAAAATCGGCTCCCGGGTGTAAGATGCTGTCAATAGTCGCGTCATGCTATGATATAGCTCAAGCTTTTTCCGTTCCCCCACCGAGCCTGCGTGGTTTTGAGTAAACGAAGACACTTAAACAGATCTACTCCAATGCCTGATTGAACGGCGCATTCTATGGATCTCGTGCTACCCTTCTCACGACTTGTTTTCTTCCTCAGGTATCCTACAGTTTGGTAGAACTCTGGAGCAGTGCTTTGCCGATTTGCAAATAACTCGAGGCCATGGCAATGACCGGGTACAACGTGTTTCTTGTTAATGCAAAAATCAAGAACCCCATCCATCTTCATGATATCTCAAACGATCCCGCCTTCACGTAATTCCAAGTAATTTATAAAGCTCAATTCAACGAAGTTCGCAGCAAGAACACGACACTTCAATTTCCACTACTCCTTTAGAACAAATCAGACCACACACTATCATTATGTTCAAGAAGACATCTAGATCTATACAATAGAGTGGAAGTATACACATATACATCAATCTGACGAAAAGCCTCACGCTCAAACCTCCGTCTCTCCATGTCTAAAGATGAACAACCACCTCCAATTTCTCTGATCCTCTACCTCTAAAAAACCATCTTCTCGCCCACTGAATTACCAATTCCCCTCACTCATCTAATCCGAAAAAATGCTCATCAGAAAAAGATCATACAAGCCTCAATCAAAACACATAACTCCCTCCCAGAAACAGATCGAAGAAGAAAAAGAAGGGCATACACCCCCCATTTCTCTCACATGCACACTATATCAACGACAGAAACTATTTAACCCAGCTCTCTAATGCTTCAGATCCTCCCCCACCTTTTCTCCCTTTCCTCACTCCTTCGCTCTCTGCTTATAGCTCGAAAAAGAATTCTCTCGGGAAGAGAAAAAAAAAGTATATGCTTTATGCTCATCATGCCCGTGAAAAACAACTCGCCCCCCGTTTCAAAAAACAGCTCGCCCTTCCTCTTCCCCTCTCTCCCCGTCTTCTTTCGCTTAGAGTTCATCAGACGAACCCGGGGGGAAGCAAAACCAAAAATACAAAATACAAACATGAGCAGACTAAACGCACAAAAACCCCCCCATCTATCTTGGCACAGAAACACATAGAAGCGCAAATAACATAGAGGAAGCACGTCACATCCCCTCTATGAATACATCTTTACCAAGATGATTTACTCAGTAGGGTTTGGAAGGAACGACACATACCTCATGGATACACATGTATAATAGGAACATATAGAAGAAAAAATGATCAAGACTATGACGATGATGATGCTAGAAGCTATCCCGATTCATCGCAACTCAAGATAAGGAGAATCTAGTAGTTATTGATTTATTGATGTTTTTTGTAGCGTGCGAGATGTTAAATATTAGCGCTTATAACTAAGGAGAGAGAGGGAGAGAGGTAAATATAGCAAACGCTAGTTCCCTTTCCCCCTTTTTTTTTAATAGATAACATGAGTGCGTAAAGTAGATAGGTAGTACATGTGTAGGAGGTGGGGAAATTGGGTTGGTAATCATGTATCGTAGTCTTTTTTTTGTTATTACGGTGCTCCAAGAAGAAGAGAGAGACACAGAGAAAAAACACTTGATTTTGATTTTGTATCCATCAATCTATCTATCTGCTGGTTAAGACGTTACGTGATCGCACACACACAGAGGGATACACACGGCATCGGCATAGAACTAACGGGATACGAAGCACAAACAAGAACAAAGACAACGCCAGCGCTAAGAAAAACTTTCAAGTAAGAAAGATCGAGGGAAAAAGGGGTAGAAGAGACAACAGAATGGGGGGAAAAGATCAATAAACCTCGCTCAAACTCTTCCGATCCTGATCTTTAGCTTCTTCAATGTCCTTCTCGGTCAACTTCTTTTCTCGGACCTGGATATCAACGGCTTCGTTTCCATCCGCGCGCTCCTCCTCGCTGTTTTCGACAATCATGTCGCCCTTGAGCGCCTCCCTCAGAATCGGTTTCTCGCTCGCGTTTTTGCTAATCGTACCGTCGATGGACTCAGTGACGGTCTGCGGAGGCGTATCGCTGAGTTCGTCACCATCACCGAGGGCATCTGCACGGGCGCCAGTTCCCATACCCGATTGCTCCATCCATCCCTTTTCCGTTTGTTTGCGGGCAGCCTTCGTCTCCTTAAGAAGTTGGCTACGGGGTTTGGAGCTGGCGCGCACCTTGGGTTTGGCAGGAGAGCTGTGGTGATGGCCGTGGTGGTGATGACGGTGGAGGTACTGCATGCCTGGAAAGTAGTCCGAGTCGTCGGAGAAGCCCTCGCCGGGCTGTGGGCTGGTGGGCGGTTGCAGATGGCGCATAATCGCGGCGGTCCGGGGCGCGGAATTTTGAGGGCGGAGGTGTGAGATGGAGGAGGTTGACGCATCGCCTGCTGGGGGATCTTCGCTACTCAATACGCCGGGTGTATCATCGGAGCTGGAGAGGTCGTCGGAGGCATCGTTGGGGGAGGCTGGAGTGAGTGGCAGAGTCGGGCCAGTAGAGGAGACTTTGTTGCTGGTCCGACGTGCCAGCTTGCTTACTAGGGTTGGTTCCTTGACGGCGACGCCCGCGTGATCGGCTTCCTGGGCTGCGATGGGATGGTCGTCCTGTTCGCCGTCAATCACGGGCGGAGGGAGGTTCACGGGCTGACTGGTGAGGAAATCGGCCGTGTTCTTGCGCACGATGCGGCGCGGCCAATTCATCTTGTCGTGATTGCAGCCGTTAACGCACCCTCCCCAGCGGCGCACGGGAATGGTGGGAGATGAATTTGCATTTGTAGTGAGGGAATTCGTGCGAGCGGGTGTGGTAGTAACAGTCCCGTTTGCCGGTGGTGCCGTAGTGGCAGAACGTTTCTTGAGGTCGGACCAGGTGCGCAGTTCGTTTTGTAGGATGTACTTTCCGTTGGTGTCGCTTTGTTTCATGACGATGAATTCGCAGTGGTTGACGTTACGAAGGTCCTCAAAGTATTCGACCGACCAATGGTACCACTTCATCAAAAAGACTCTGGTCATCATGCCATGGGTGACGAGGACGCAGACACTGGGGAAGTCGGCATCGCCAAATTGGCGCCACAAGCTCTCGTTGAAACCACTGACGCGATCATAGGCATCTGCAGCGCTCTCGCCGTCCGGTATGCGGTAGAAGAAGTGACCGTAGTCGGCGCGCTCCTGCCACATCCTCTCCATCTCGGCGGAACATGGCTGGAAGTTGCCAAAGTCCTGTTCGCGTAGGCGCGGTTCTTCGAAAACCTTGATCTTGTGGCGGGGAAATGGCGAGGGCGTGGGGTCGTCTGAAGTGAGCGTCTTGAGGATGCCTTCGGTGGTCTCGCGAGTACGGCGGTAGGGGGAAGTGAAGAATTGGATCGTATCGTCCGGTTTGAGCAGTGAGCGCAACTGGCGGCCTGCCTCTTCAGCCTGACCGCGGCCTTGAGTGGTGAGCTTAACACGGTGGTCGGGGATGAATTGATGGATGTCGCGGTTCTTGTTGCCTTCGGACTGTGCGTGCCGCACCAGAATAATCATCTACGAGACGTATCAATATCAATATGTGATCCATGATTGCGTATATACGCGGGGTGGATTGTTGGAAATCAGGGTCCACTCACTCGAGGCTTTCCCATGGTGGCGATTCGGTACGGTTCTGCTGTTTGTGCAAGAAGCGATTATGTATATAGGCAGAGAATCTGGGTATCTTGAAGAAAAGACAAGCAAAGCGATTGAAGCGCGGGAAAGGCAGCAGTGAGGTGGAGGGGTTTTGAGTGTGGACAGTCAGTCAGTGAGTGAGTGGGGGAAGGTTGGAAGTGGATACTACAGCGTGCCAGACGGCGTTTCATGATAAGCGCAAAAGTTGACGTGCCGCACGCAAACCCCGGGCACCAGCTGTGATTCGCCCATCCCATTGCCACTCACTCTTGCTTTTCATGACTACGAACAGAACAAAAGTGTCATTTGGGTTTCGAATCCATCCTCTGCCGTCGGAATGCGGAGATTAGTCAGCATCGTCACTGCTCTGCGTGGTGGCTCTCCTCCGATCTTGCTCCGCAAACCATAAAACTTTGGGTGGTCCGAGCGCCCGTCGCATCAACAGGCATCGCGTCATCCTCAATGAGCTTCCGACAACACAGAAAACACCTCAGCCCGTCTTCGATCAACCCACCACCATCCGTCAATCAGACCGATTCCTTCCCATCAAAGACTACACCAGAGACCACACCTTCCCGTGCTACACTCCTCAGCGACTCCGAGGCGGCAGGCAGCACAGTCGCGCAACGCCCATCCCTCACGACCTGCGAAACTTCTTTACGATACAAGCACAACATCCGCGCCCCCAAAACCCAAACCCAAAACAAAAACATCGAAAAGAAAGAAAAAAAGATGTCCGAACCAATCCCCGAATCCATCCCCACCTCCGCCGACCCCCGCAGCCACCGGCCCCTAAAAAAATCCCGCACAGCGGCCTCCCCCTCGACCAAAAACCCGCAAGCCGCCCAAGTAACAGCCCTCTTCGCAAAGCCCGACCGCCACATCCACATCCCTCCCTCGACGACCTCGACCTCCCTCTCCAAAACCCCCGCGCCCCCGGAAATCGTCGCAAACGTGCAAGGCTCGAGCGCGGGCGCGGGATCCGGCGAATTCCACGTGTACAAAGCGAGTCGGCGGCGCGAGTACGAGCGGCTGCGGCTCATGGACGAGGAGGTTTCGAAGGAGGAGCAGGATCGGGTTGCGAGGGAGCGGAGGGAGGAGGTGGAGCGCAGGGATCGCGAGAGGACGGAGAAGAATCGCGAGAAGAGGGAGAAGGCTAGGTTGAGGAAGGAGAAGGGGAAGATGAAGATGAAGGGGGGGAAAGAGGGGAATGGTGAGGGCGGGTTGAAGAAGAAGCTTGTGCCGAATAGTGTTGGTAAGGGGGGTGTGGGAGGGGCTGAGGACGATGCGAAGGAAGGGGGAGAAGGGGAGGGACGCACGGATGAGGGTGGGGAGGTTAAGGGTGTGGCTGTGGAGCAGGAAGAGGTTGGGTTGGTTATCGAGGATGATGATTGAAATCTTTCGTGTTCTTGTTGACTCGTAGACCCACACTTCTTTTCCCCTCCGTAGCATCTTTATCAGTTTTTTTCTGTGTACAGATGTAATTGTTTCTACTATACCCAGCTTACCAATATCATAATTGGCTATCCTTCGAGTATGAGGTCGCAGAATGTGCCACTTGTGACTGCTTTGGGACGGAACTTGGAGGTGTTAGAACGAACCAGGCTGGGACTGTGCAATCGCTGATGGAAATGACTACTGTAAGTCATTAATTGGATGCCGGTGCGTGTAAAAGAATGAATTGCAGAGCTCAAGCTTCTACGCTGCATCACTTTCAAGCATGCAGGGAGCTGTTCACATAGCGAATTAAAATATATTTTAGCCAAACCCTACTTTCTTTAGAACAACATGTAATGCTCAAACACACACGTAATCCCCAACCCTACGCCGTTCCCCCCTCCTCCGAGGAACCGTCACCGAGTGCCTTGAGTCGCTCAACCTGTCTACTCAGCATAACCGTTGCGCCCAAACTAATCCTCCTCAAACCATCTCTCTCGCTGTCGTTGCCAGAATCATCAGCACTTCTCCGTAACACGTCCTCTGCAGCCTCGATGGCTTGGTCGAGCAACCTCGGCGCGCCCTCATCACGACTTCTGTACAACCATTGGATCTCGTCGTCGAATATCGAGATTGGGTACGAGAGAGCATGCGCGATGAAGCCTCTGGCACGGAAATACGCGCGTTCAGTGTACAAGGCCGAGTTGAGTTTTGTTTCTGGGGCAGAGCGGTGGACATCGTAGCCTGCTTCATTATAATACGGTTCTTTGACGAGAACAAGACCAAGGATTGAGACTAGTACTTGAAGGAGTGTGGATTTAGATGGATTCCAAGACTCGCCGCGTTCGTCGGCGTGCCATGTGCCCAGGAGAGAGAGACATATTTTGCCATCTTGGTAGAGATTTGGGTTCACGGGGCCGTTGCCTTGGGTCCAACTATGGAAGAAGGCGCGAGGAGGTTCGGAGGGGTAGGTAGCAGGAAGGTGGAGGTCGATCAAAAAGGGCGCATGTTCGTATGGGGTGTCTGAGGGGCCAATTATGAGAACAGTGAGGAGATCGAGGCGCGTTTCCCAGGTTCGGACGAAGATGTTGGGGGGAAGAGATGTGCGGAGGATTTTGTGTTCCTTGACGATGCGTCGAATAAACGTGTTGGAGGGGGTTATTGTGGAGGAAATGAAGTGGTGGGTTTGGGGTACTGGTGTGTCTGCGACGAGGAACGAGGCTGGTGCTGATGCGGATGAGGATGCGGATGCGGATGCGGCGGGCGGGTTTGAAGGGGTGTCGTTGTGTTTGACGGTGGCATCGATAGCTGGATCTTGATTTGGATGTGGCGTCGTAGTTTGAGTGATGTTTCCTGGTTCGGCATGCGTTTCGGGGGTGGTGTTTGTCGTTCTTGCGCCATCTATGGGCTCAAGATCTGGCATCGATGTGTCGCCATCACTAAGCTCGTCTTCGGTCGACCAGTCTTCCTCGTTTCCACCGTCCAAACTGCCACCATCCATGCCTTCATATTCAATCCACATCTCATTGAAAGAAGCTGAGTCGAAATCGGAGCCGTCGTACTCTTCATCTTCTTCGTCGAGTGATTCGCCATCCACGCCGTCGAATGAACCGTCGCGCATGTCGCTGCTATAAGCAAGAGTCACCGATTCGACGGGAATGCGCACATCGACAACCGGTTTCGCCGCACCAAGTCGCACAGCAATACTTCCGTCTAGTCCGAGATCGATAACCTCACCGAACCAATCGGGACCTGACAGACTGACGGGGATCTCCTGGGTGTTGATAGCGCCCGGATGCACCAGTACAAAGTCCCCGCGCCGTCGGTTCAGGCTCGGTTTTGTTTCAATATCATATAGACTGACGTCTTCAGTGCCTTCTTGCAACTTGCCTGTTGTACAAGGTGGAATCAAGTCTTCTCCCAAAAATTGGATGTTGGGCTTTTCAAACCACCGAACAGTGGCCAATCGATCGCGAGAATTGACGGTCTGAACTATTCCGACCTTTGCAGGTTTGAAGACCCACTCCATCGCCGCTTCATGATCCATGTCGTTGCGTCGCTTCGTGTAGACAATCTCTCCGGGCCATACTTCATCTTCGTCCTCCACAGTGGGGTCAAGAATGATGGATCGGCTTGGCTCTTGGGTGACGGAGAGATCTTGCCACTGAATAGTAAGCGTAGTATTGGTTTGCATGACAATGTACGAATTGACGTCATAACCCAGCGTCTCTGTGCGTGGAGTGTGTGTGAGCTTCCCTTGCTGTCGGCCATTGGCCAATTTCTGCGAGCCGTCGTATTTGGTCGCTGCCGCTACATGGTCCTTGAACTTCGAACGGTCGCCCACAGCAATATCGGCTACATGATAGGACCGACCCTGGCCGTCGGCTGAAAAAGGGAGGGCAACCGCAGCGGAAGCTGAGGCATCGTAGAGATAGAAGTCTGGGCTTTCCATGTCCGTTGGATCTAGGCGCGCGATTGGATCATCGTCGAAATCTCCATGGGTAGGCCTGGGTGCGCCCAGTTTACGAGCCAGCCAGCGCACATCGATACATAATGCCCGGGTCTCCACGACGAAGCCTTCAGGCTTGACATTCGGATCAAAGGCGCCATATCTCCATCGACCCCTCCTCAGATTCCCTTTCTTTGTCGCGACCGGATCACCGACACTTAAGCGCTCCAGCGTTTCACTCGCGCCCTCCAAATCGTCCGGGTTGTCCACGATCACGACCGAGTTGTTGGCAAGCCTAACGGTGATGTCGTCAATGACACGCTCTATACGACCGACCCAGTTCTGGTATACAACAATGCCACCCTCATTGTACTCGTGCACGTTGATGATCTCCGGGGCGGTAACATCGTGGAGGAACAAGTGCTCGTGGGTACTAGGATGGACTTTTTCGAAATTAGCCAGCATGGAGGGAAAGAGGCGGCAGAGGACCTGTGTCCCAATGACAGTACCACTCATATGGTCTTGAGAGGTTCGTTTCACGACATCGCCCACATAGACGGCACGGTCCAGCAGGTTCAGGCGGGCCTCGGGGAGCAGCAACGTTCGGAAGACTGATTGCCAAGTGACGAGTGCGGTGCCGCGCGGAGGAACGCCAGTCTGCATGAAGCGCTCAAAATCTGCGTAGGGAACATCTGAGTGACGTTCGATGTCATCAGGATAATCTCGTTGGGGGCGCGGGGAATGGGTGTCAACATCGCCAAAGGAGCGGTCGATGACGCCAATCACCAACTCGTCGTCTTTCAGGCTGACGATGTCATCTGTGCAAAAAACGACGTTTTCCGGCGGGTTGCCCATGAGAGGCGCGGCCGATGCTCTGCGTGTGATTTTTCTTTCTTCTGGCGGCGTGTCGTGTGAGAAGGCGAGCGAGCGGTGTTGGGAGGGACGGTTTGGTTCAGGCTGAGGCGAGTCGAGAGGATTTTGGCGGCACGCCGGATGGATGTTGACAGAAGGCGTGAGGTTTTGTTGACTGCGAGGTAGCGGGCGCGTCAGGCGGTTCTTTGTACGTGTTTAGAAAAGGTGTGGGCGAGTGGGGGTGGGGGGGTTTTGGTTGTGGTCCTGCTTGCGGCGAAGGGCCAGAGGATCTACAGAATAAGTTTATATGCACCGTCAGTTAGCTCTGTCCAAGTACTTATCCACCCACACAGTACGGGACTTATACTTACATAGGGCTGGCTGGCCATGCAAGTACACGGCTAGTGTGCAAGCTGATGGATTCACGTCGGCGGCCCATGGAGCGGATGGATGGGCCCTGCATGTGCATGGCATGTGAATCTGCCATGATTCCCACGTTTGATGCTCGTGCATTGATGCATCTTTCATATGCCGCATCCAACATTTTCATGCCTACATACCTATGTATGTACCTACATATGTAGGTCGGTACTCTTTTCTCTCGTGAACATTGATGCTCTGCCCGCACTGCCTATCAATGTGGCGCGCACGGGCCAAACCCACCCCCGAATGAACACCGCGGCCGCCGTCACTTTCTGACATGCAACTACAGCAACCATTCTTTCCCAACACACAATTCAAGGCGAAAGGCTAAAGATCGGGCGGAAATAGAACGAGGGAGACAACGGACCAGCAGAAACCATGGCAGACCCCCTCTACGAGCTGCTCATCCCCTACTTCGACGCCCAAGATGCGTCCCCCACCACGCGCCCCTCCGCGACCGACCCCGTCATTATACAATACCTCGCCCGCCTGACCACGCTTCCCGTGCAAGCTCTTTCCTCCTCAGAGCCTCAATCGCTGACTCAAAGCTCCCAATCCATCCTGCGCTCCCTCCAGGCCCTCACCAAGCGATCCCACAAAGCCATCATATCGTCCAATGACCACCTGTCCCATCTCCGCACTGTGCTCCCCAACATCGCTCACGATGCCGTCTCTATACACGCTCAGCTGCCTGAACTGGACACGGCCGCCCACTCCTTTGCTGAGAAATACAGCAAGAGTGCTGAAAATCCCATTCTGGACCGCCGGCGCAAGGCCATGCTGCTTGCTCGCAACATCGATCGCGTATCCGATGTGCTCGACCTTCCCAATCTGCTATCTACAGCCATATCATCCTCATCCACAGCAACTACCCAGTCCTCGACTACCTCATCGACTGTAGCAAATGCAAACTATGCATCCGCTTTGGATCTATATGCCCACATCAAACGACTCTACACCCTCTACCCGGCCTCTTCACTCATCTCTACCCTCTCCTCCCAGGCAGAACAGGAGATGAAGACCATGACCACAAACCTCATAAACTCGCTCCAATCACAGGGCATTAAGCTGGCAGGCGCTATGCGCACCATTGGCTGGTTACGCCGCGTCGCACCCGAGCTAGACGAAGCCTGGTCCACGCGCCAAAGCGGCATTGGGAGCGGGGAAGGCAATCTGGGTGCTTTGTTTCTGGTGTGCCGTCTCGCCTGTCTAGAGAGTATGTTGGCGGCTCTCGACCCCCTCAAAGAGCTTGCAGACCAAGAGTCGGCCAGACGAGAGAGCGGAACCGCGGCTGGCTCAGACAAGGCCCTGTGGGTTCAAGGCCAACAAACCGAGAAGTACCTGAAAAAGTACCTCGAAGTGTTTCGCGAGCAATCTTTCGCCATCATCTCCATGTACAAGTCCATCTTTCCATCAGCGTTGCCAGCACCCGGATCAACCTCGGACGAGACCACCGCCTCTACCTCTACCCAGCAAACACCCACTGACGCTTCCCAACCAACTCCTTCAGCCCTCGCAACCTTTCCCCTACATCTCGTCCAAACCCTCTTGGAAACCCTGCATGCATACCTCCCAAATGTGACGGATCGCTCCAGCCGCGACTCGCTACTCACTCAGGTCTTGTATTGTGCAGGCTCGCTGGGGCGGCTGGGCGCCGATTTCAGCATCATGATTGCGCTTCTCGAGGAAGAGCTGCGCTCTGGCGCGGACGGGGAAGATGAAGTGTCGGACGAGGAAGAGGGCGATGAGATTGAAGTTTCGGGGGTAGAAGGAGAAGAGGAGTGGGTTGAGGTCATGAAGAAACATCGGGTGCAGGCCAGCCGTTTGGAGCTATTGGCTTCGGGCGTGGGAACTTCTGCGCGGAACAGTCCTACCCCTACTGCTGCCAGTCCGGCCGTTCATTAAATCCATTGAATCAATAAGCCAAATTTACGGAACCATTGGGTTCTACTAGGATGTTCCAAAACTTGGATCTCAAATATTGCTCCTTGCGTGCTGTACTACATGTACAAACCTACACCGACGATAGGTGGCCGCATCAATGAGCGGCTACACGGTACCAAGAAAATCGTGCAACTGTGCGCTGGTTTGTGTGCATACCGATTCGTGCTCGCCCTGGGTGTAATGTCGCATGTTGTACTGTGCCGCTTCTCTGCATGTCGTTGGCCAGTTTCACACTCCGGGAAGAGGTGTTCAAATGTTTTTCAGGTTGAGAGGGCGATGAGGTTGAGGCGACTACATAAAAAGGTAGGTATAGTTTGAAGGTTTCTTAACGCGAGACGATTCAAGTATATACACATGTACATGTATACATGCTGAGTTCCTAGGTAGAGTAGGATGTAGGGCAGGCTAGCTATATTTAGTGTTGCTGCCTTGTTGGTTCTTGGAGGTGGCGGCAGTTGTTAAGCGGTTGCCCTGCGTCCCGTAGTCTTACAGACGTCCGTTACTCGCGCCGCACTGCGCCTCGCACATCAACGCATGGGGGCGCAAAGTATCAAACCTCTTGCAATTACTTAAACCTCCCCTCCAACAAGTCGTAGCTCTTTAGTTTCCCCTTGCGCCTGCGTGCGCCCGTCTCCCTCACCACAATGCAGCCCTCCAGCAGTAAACGCATCCTGATCCTCCTCACCCCTCCGCTGCTCCTCAACATCCCTCTGTCGCTCCTCGTCATAGCTCTTGAACGCATTGCCTCGAGCATTACCTCGTCCCATCAAGCCCGCTTCGATCGCTATGGAGGGACTCCCTCCTTCGATCGCCCAGATACCGGAGCTGCTGTTCCGATCCTGACGTACGGCGCGCCCACGTCGTCCATCATCGGCGCATGCGTGGTTGCACTGGCCGTTGGGGCCCTGAGTTGGGGTGGTATCTACGAGCTGCGGAAGTCAATGGGGAGCAGCCGACGATATGAGCGCGTGTGGGCGTGGAGTGTCATTTTCTGGAATCTGTTTGCGACGGGGCTATGTATAGGTGTTTTGGGGTGGGTTAGTAGCGTCGTGGGTGGTGAGACGGGATGGGCGACCAAGGATGATATGACGGGGAGTGCTACCTCCAAGGATGAAAGCACTAGAGTCAGATCGTTGACGAGGGAAACCTGGACCTGTAGTGTCCACAGCTTGTTTGGCGATAGAATCTCATGGGCAGGGAGTGTTTGCGGGCTTTTGGTACGTTCCACGGCACTCCTCTCCCAATACTATCCAACCAGATGGAAAACGACGAAGCGGGCTAACGACCATGATCAACAGCAAGCGGCTCGCTTCCTCCTCATCCCCATCGCCGTGTCTCTTCTTCTGACCGTCATCTCCATGTACATGCTCGCCCGCGACCGCGGCGGCATCAAGTGGCTTTTCGGCGGCGCACCGCGCTACAACGGCTTCGACAGCATCTACGAGATGAACGCCAACAACGATCCCAGGGCGGGACCCACACCTCCGCAGCCACCGCCCATGTACTACCCTTACCCTCCACCACAACCCGGCGCTCTTCCCTATGGCCAGCAACCTCCCATGTACGCGCAACCCGGCCCTCAATATGCGCCGCTTCAAGGACAGCCAGCTCACAACATGTATCAGCAAGGCCCGCCTGGGGGTGTGGTATCAAAAGATTCGACAAACGTGGGAGAAAGAGCAGTTTTCAGGTAGGCGGTTTGGCCGAGAGAGGTGCGTAGATGTTGTATACGTCGACCATGGACTGCATTCAAAAATAGGCATGACTTTGAATCAATCTTTTTTTCTCCAAATGCTACAAACCTTGCGATGGCGATAGATGAACAGGCTGTCGGCTTCTCTGAAGGCTACCTACATGCACATACAGACTTGATGCCTGAGTGTGTACTGTATAGACCTCTGGACTTCTGGATGTACGAACGACTGAACACGGGTCGCCCGAGCACGTGACCCCGCTCCTTCCCCAATAGTGCCCGACCATCCATCCAGCCAGCAAGAAACCAGCAGGCTCGCAACGCCCACCAACGCTCCTTCCCGACGGCGCTGGTGCCCGGGTCATCTGCCACAGCTAGCTCGTCCGTCCTCATCTCTTCCTCTCCATGACATGCCCAGCGGCACCTCTTCTGGCGTTGATATGAGGCCGTGGCCATGGATAGCATCCCCCACAACGCCGTACACTTGGTAAATTGCCCAAAGGACTCTGGCGAATACGCGTGCCGTGTGATGGCGAATGACGTTGAATCGTGCCAGCTGTAAATCGGAATATTCAGATTTTTGTAATTGCTGAGCGGGGATTGGGGGTATGAAGACCTCGAGACCAATGGCGTCCACCGTATTGCGAACTTGTCCCCATTGTTGAGGCGCCTGTATCTATATCAGAGTGCCCGCTCTCTTCTCTTCTCCCTCTTCTTCGTCTCTTCCATCACATCCCCATCCAAAAGCCTCGCTGCAACTCAAGCCCCATCGAAGCATTGTTCCCCCGTACCCCAATCATCACCCTTCTTCTTCACCATGCTCTCTTCCCTCATCTACGCCTCACTTGGCCTCTGTGCCTCGGCCTTTGTGCTTCCCCAAAACGGCACTTCGGGATGGAGCTTCACCCTCGAGGTAAAAGGCAACGGGTCTGGTCTAGTCGGACAGCTCGGACAGCTCAGCGACGGCCAGAACCGCATTGGCGGCAACTATGCGGCTGCCGAGTTCATCTAACTGCCCTCTCAGGGTGGCATCATACTCGACTCCAAGCATCGCGGATGCATCGTGACTCCGCCCAACGTCACACAGTGGCAGTGCGATGAGGGAAACTCAGGTGTGTATCCCATGTCGCTGGTCTGATTGTCGACTCTCGTATTGACCTTTGCAGGTACACCTGGTTGGAGCTTCAACTGCGACCGAGAACTCGTTTATCATGGCTCCCCGGCCTTGTTTGCTTGCCCTGTCAACGATCGTGGCGAGTGGAATGTCTATGTCAAGCCTGACTTCGGCCAGAAGAAGTGCGTCCCCATCACTCTGCTCTATGGAGGAGATTGGCGTCCAGCTGGCTGCCACTCCAAGCCGTCATCCATGTCGTCGTCCAAGCCGTCGTCCAAGCAGTCTTCTCGTCCGCCGTATTTTACGAATTCGACAACGCCAAGGCCAAGCACGACTCATAGCAAGCCTGCATACGCACCTCTCCCTACCAAATCAACCTCTTCTCGTCCGTGGCACTTTGTGAATTCGACAACGGTAGGGTCAGGCATGACATACAGCAAGCCTGTATACGCACCTTTCCCTACTAATTCGACGTCTTCTCGTCCGCTGATTTCGACAACAACAGGGTCGGGCACAACTTATAGCAAGCCTGTATACAGCCCTCTCCCTGCTAACTCCACGTCTTCTCGTCCATCGCATTGGGTGAACACAACAACAGTAGGGTCAGGCACAACCTATAGCAAGCCTGCATACGCACCTTTGCCTACCAAACCAACGTCTTCTTCGTCCAATTCAACACACCAGAAGCCATCATCGTCACCGTATTCGGTCATCACAGAGACTGTTACAGTATGCACAACAACAACAACAGCTATTAACACGCCGAATCCGCTTCCAGGAATCAGCACGCCAGGTAATCTGACCACGTCTCCAGATGGTACGTGTGGAAAGGGCACAGATTATTCCTGTCTCGGTTTTACTGCCGGCACTTGCTGCAGTCACTTTGGCTGGTGCGGTTCATCCAGGGCTTTCTGTGGGGTAATGTGCCAGAGCTCTTACGGCACCTGTGGTAGTTCAGCTTGAGAGGGCCCAGTGTGGGGTCGCGGGCGTCTCAATAGATGAGTATATGTAGTCATCTCGTGTATGTCTCTGGTTGTAGTTTCCATCTTCCGATGACCAATGCAATGGTTTTCCGTCTCCTTTTCCGTCCTTGTCAGATGTGATGTGGTTGTTTCCGTGGCTGCATATGCAAGTGGCTGACTCACCCCGACGTGCTCCATGACGTTGGCGGTCGAGGACTCCACAGATCGACACTAGCTATGCCAACAAGCTTTCAGGGCAGTTTCGGCCGAACTATCCCTTCACGACATGGCTTACTCACCAGCTAGCAGCCAAAATTTTGGGCCAGCAGGATATGCCGTCATTTGCATGTTAGACATGCCGAGCGCCATTGGAGCTAATATTTCCCCATGAATCTGCTCAATTGCATTTGAGTTTCGTCACTCTTCTCACAGACCAAATCATCACACAATCGCCACCACCATGAACGAGGAAGATTATTACGTTCTTCGTGGCGAGGCAAGAGCTGAACCAGAGAGATACAGGCAATGGGATCAGGCGGGCGAGTTTCGCAGGCAATACGAAGAAGCCCATCGTGGAGACCCCGATTACCTGGAGCGCATCCGACAAGAATCAGCTACGCTGCCCCCAGCCGGTGCAAACGCGCCGCCACAAACAGAAAAAGAAGTCGCAGCTTCGCGGCGAAGCTCTTCATCTTCAGATTCAAATGCATCGACCTCGTCATCCAGTTCTTCGGCACGACTCGAGGAGATTAGAACGCAGGGAGCCGAATCCGGATTGAACAGGCGGGGCACAGCATCCACCAGAGGCGAGGGTGGAATCTTATACCGCCATCCTACCGAGCGAAACCCCGAAGCCCTCTCACGAATTGAAACCCACCGCTCTCAGCATGCAGGTACCGTGGGTGCTGGTCCTGCCACATCAAGGCTTACCACTACCCTCAGCCGTCGCAGGACTCAGCGGCCTCTGCCGGATATGGGCGCTGGCAAGCCGTTCCCCCCGGCTCTTCCCGACCGAGAGGAATATGTTGTTGAGTTTGATGGCGTCGACGACCCGCGGCATGCGCAGAATTGGCCTTTGAAGAAGAAGCTGTGGATTGGTGCTGTGCTGGCTTTTGATGCTTTGTCGGCATCTATGGGCAGCAGTATTTTCAGCAGTGCGATTCGACCTGTCGCCGATGAATTTGGTGTGATCCCTGAAGTGACGACGCTGGGGACTAGCTTGTTTGTTTTTGGATATGCTTTTGGGCCTTTGGTATGTTTTCTCTCTTGCTCTTTTCTACTCTGTCTCTCGTACATTCATGCATCATCTTACTCATGTTCGATCTGCTAGATCTTTGCTCCGTTCTCAGAACTCTACGGCCGCAAGTTACCTCTTCTTATAGCTGCCTTTGGCTTCTCGGTCTTCAGTGTTGCTGTCGCTGTTGGCAAGGATCTTCAGACGGTGCTGATTTGCCGCTTTTTCGCTGGGTTGTTCGGCTCTGCTCCGCTGGCTCTCGTCGCTGCTGTATTTGCCGATATGTTCGACAATAAGCAGCGCGGACTCGCCATTGCTGTGTTCTCCATGTGTGTCTTTATGGGACCGCTTCTTGCGCCATTCATTGGAGGGTTCATCACTTCCAGCTCGCTGGGTCAGTATATTCCTATATTTTGACACAACACGATGTGACAATAGAGATCAGACGTCATGGCCTATTGATATGTATTTGATTAAATTGGCTGACATCACAATCCAGGCTGGCGATGGACCGAATATATCTCCTCGATAATGGGCTGGCTCGCTCTCGGCCTCATGCTCCTCCTCCTTGAAGAAACCTACCCACCCATCATTCTCGTCTCCAAAGCCGCTGAACTCCGCCGCCGAACCAAAAACTGGGGGATCCACGCCAAACAAGAAGAAATCGAAGTCGACTTCGGCGAACTCATCATCCGCAACATCTCCCGCCCGATGCGCATCCTCTTTACCGAACCCATCGTCCTGCTCGTCACAATCTACATGTCCTTCATCTACGGCATCCTCTACCTCTTCCTCACCGCCTACTCCCTCGTCTTCCAAGGCCAATACCACTTCTCCCCCGGAATATCCGGGCTCTGCTACTTCGGCCTCGTCGGCGGCGAAGTCGCCGCCTTCTTCGTAGTCGTCCTCTCCAACCCATCCTACACGCGCAAACTCTCAGCAAACTCCAACGTCCCCGTCCCCGAATGGCGTCTCCCCACCGCGATCCTAGGCGCGCCTCTCTTCGCCGCAGGCCTCTTCTGGTTCGGCTGGACAGGCTACCAAGGCCCCGCCATCCACTGGATCGTACCCGTTCTCTCCGGCCTGCTCACCGGGTTCGGCCTCTTCGCCATCTTCCTCTCCCTCATCAATTACATTGTCGACTCTTACCTCATGTTTGCCGCCTCCGCCATCGCTGCGAACACGCTCATGCGCAGCTTGTTCGGCGGCATCTTCCCGCTCTTCGCCACGTACATGTTCGATGGCATGGGGATCCAGTGGGCTGCTACGTTGCTCGGGTGCGTGGCTACGCTTTGCGTTCCTATGCCTGTGCTTTTTTACCTTTATGGCAGGAGGATTAGGGCGAGGAGTAAGTTTGCGCCCGCGCCGGATATCGAGAAGGATAGGAAGGAGAGGGAGGATGAGGAAGGTAGAGTCGGTGGCGATGGTGGGGGTGGGAAAGAAACAAATAGTGGCGTTCATGGGAATGGAAATGCGAATGGCACCGCCGCTGCTGCTGTAGAAGAAGAAGAGAAGGATAAATAAACCTACCCCCTTTTTCTTTTCCCTTCTATCATCTGTTTATCCTCCTCCTCCTCCTCCCCCTCCTTAGCGTTCTTTGTTCATCTTCTTCCTTATCTTCTTGCTTCTTCCTCCCTCTTCTTCTTTCTTTCTCATCCTTCTTCTTCTAATTATCTAATCTATCCTATCCCATCCTATTTATTATAAATAATACAAATTAACTATCACTCTCAAGAACAATACACAACCTATCGTTCCACCCTAGTTCGCATTACACACGTCTCTGTGATAGTACTTCTCTAGTACGATCTTGAAATAGGTAGGTTCAATTTCATTTGTGTTGAATGACGCTGATTCCTTAAGGCAGCGTCTCAAAGATTTCTCTTAGGCTTTTTATTATTGATTTTATAACTGCCTTTTCTTACAACATGTATGTGCGTTCTTAGGTTAATCTGCAAGGTTTTTCTGTGAAGATAAGCTATAGTATAGATACTTAAAGGGCCAACCCTTTGCGTGGTACAAAACATCCCAGCCACCGGCCCATCCAGCTTGTCCAAACCCAATCTTCGGATCCACTCTCGTATCAAAAGCGTAGGAGCAATCCCTCGTCAGGGTAAGTAAGTACACCTCAATTGACCTCATTGCGCAATGAATCTCTCAGAGAGGCCAACGTGGCGTCAGGTTGCGCAACTATAAAGTTAATCACCTGTCCTAGCGTCCAGGCAACCATCCTCATCTGATCACCATCTAAGCGTCGAGTTCGAAACGTCAAGTCCACCTCCAACGTAGCGTGTCCCTGCACAGCTAGAACCAAGATATCGAACTATTCGAAACCCGTTAGTTTTTTTTTGCACGGAAACACATGGCTTTTTTTTTCTTCTCGTTTATCTACTTACTTCTGTAGGGAGGACCCCGCCTCGATACTCAAACGCGATATCGTCGTCAACTGCTCCACTCGCACCAAGCTTTCGCGCAATCGTGAGTACGGTATTGAATAGCCCTGGGTTTTCCAACCCCAGAGCTTTTTCTAACTCTTTTACGGGGAAGAATTGGTAAGGCATGCTGCTGAGATATCCATCTTGTGTCGACGCCAGTGCTTGCATGACCGTCTGGTCGTTGTTCATGTGTAATCGAGACGCGTACAAGGCGAGTAAAGGCCCGACCACATTGTCCACGCCATCGATGGGCAGGTCCCTTCCTGAAGCATACGTGCCGAAACATGTCGCTAGGGAACCCGTGTAAAGGCTCAAGACTATATGCCACGCCGTCTGGATGATGACTGGGACGCTTATATCCTGCTGTCGGGAGAAATCGTTTATAGTGCTTGCATCTAGAGTTTTTACTGGTATGTTGATTTCGCGGCCCCCGGCTTCATCGCTGGAATGGGTCAATGGAGGGAAATGACATGGTTTGATGCCTTCCATGGATGTGAGCCAGTACTGTTGCGATTCTTGGTGGGATTGTGATGCCAGATACGACACGACGGTTTTGAATGGGAGGGAATTGGGGAATGCGTCGTCGCTGAAGAATGCTTGTAAATGTTGGATCACGACGTTCATAGAGTGGCCGTCTATGATGGCATGGTTCATGTCGAAGCATACGCATAGCCGTCCATCCTCCAACGAACAGATGCTAAGATGATGTTGAACACTGCCCGGCAATTGGTCCGAGGGATTGTGAGATCCGAATAGTTCTGGGCCTATTACCTCTTTGCCTGACCTTGTAATGGAAATGGAAGGCGGAGGGTTCTTGAGCACTACGTTTACAAACCCCGCGTTGGTCTGCAAAAATGTCGTCCGTAGTGACGAGTGTTGTTTGATTACTTCGGACCACCCGCGCTGCAAGCGAGCCCCCACGTCTGCTAGTGCGTCGTGCTTGGATGTAACCTCGAAGATGTATCTCAACCAATACGCTCCTCGGTCTTGACTCTGCGCTTTTAGGAAATCATGCTGCATCCCGGAGCACGGGAAGACGTCCTCTACATCGTCGGGTTGAATCCTCGATTCGCGCAAAGTCAGGTTCTGGAATCGATCTAGAGCGGCGTAGGAATCGAAGCTTTGTGGGAAGTCATGCAGCGTCCACTCTGGTTTTCTAGGGAGTAGAATAGCAGGCATTCCCTCCAACGTTGATTTGAACTCCTGAACCCACGTTTCGATGCGCTCGTGATGCTGCGTCTCGGCGCAGTATTCAAAATGCACGTCCATCCGGCCGTCTAGAACCCCGATATGCACTTCGAACATTGACATTACCGTAGCATTGGCTGCAGACGCCGGAGTGCTTTCTTTCGGAAGCTTGGTCATCTTGAATAGGGAGTCGCCCCGCTCCAGCTGTTGGTATTGGCCTGCGTAGTTGAAGGATAGTTCCACGGGGAACAAGGATCCGAATTGCTCGGCGGAATTCTCGTCTAAAAGACGCGATGAGAAATAGGATTGGGTATCGTGCTCGACCGTTCGGAGGAGATCCTTGGTTTCACGGATGAAATCGAGGATGTTGGAATTGGGACCCACACTGCTCAGTTGCACCGGATGCATGCTTGTAAACCAACCGACTGTTCGAGATAGGTCCATATTACCGTCCCATGTCTCTCGACCATGCGTTTCATTGAAAAGAACTGGAAGGCTTCGCTCATGAAACACGATGCCGAAAGAGTAGAGCAACGCGGCAATCATGAGTTCCTGTGGATAAGTTTGAAAAGCCTCGTTGCACTGTTTGAAAAGCGCAGACGTGGTGACTTGATCGATCTCCAGATTCTCAATCACTGTTGATTTCGGGCCAGGCGGGACCCCCCAGTACTCGAGTTGCGCGGGGATTGCTTCATCGCGGACTTGGATCTTGGATTGCGGGGTTTTCAACGTGTGCTCTTTTTGCAGATGGATCCAAGTCGAAAAGTCAATTGGAGGTGGCGCGGGGAGTTGTCGTCCAAGAAGAAGACCTTCTAGTTCTTCTAGGAGCACCCGCCACGAAATCAGATCGACGACTAGGTGATGGATCGCCATGAATAACGAACTCCGCCCGCCCTGGCGGAACAGCACAGCTCCTAGTAGCGGACCATCGGTAATGTTCAAACACCCACGGCTGTTTCGTATCGACTGAGCCATCTGGAGCTCATCGTGCTCTTCAATCATCGTTATGGATATCGATGACTCTACGTGATTCGATATGTATTGGTGCCATTTGCCATTTGCGCCTCTCCGGAAGCGGGCCCTAAGCATGGGATGACGCTGAACCAGGGCTTCTAGAGCCGGCTTGAGCGATTGAAACTCGACACCACTAGCGCCCAGATCAAAAAGAAACGACTGGTCGAAGCTGCATCGCCCAGTCTGCTCCAGCTGGAGGTACAACTGCTGCATCGGTCCCAGCGAAAAAGCCTCGTTGGTTCTCGTCTGATGAACAGTCACCGAGCTCGACGAACCGGAAATTTTGGTAAGCTTAGCAATCTTCGCAATGGTTTTCTCCTTGAGGATATCGCGAGTGGAAACGATGAGTTGAAGGGACCGAGCGCTTGAGGATACCTGCATCGCCGTGATGGAGTCACCGCCAAGTCTAAAAAAGCTGTCGTCCATCCCGATGGTGTCCGCCTCGATGTCTAGTACCTGGGCCCATAATGATTGTAGCTTCTTCTCGGTCTCCGTATGCGAGACTCGGTTCTTTGCTGGTTTTCTTGCTTGCTTGTTGTCCGCGGGCTGGGTATAGAAGGACGAAACGATTTCTTGTAATCGCCGGCGATCCACTTTCGCAGATACCGTCATGGGAATCTTCTGGAGTTCAATGAACAACGTGGGTACCATGTAAGTGGGAAGTCGTTTAGCAATACGCTCAAGAGTGTCAGGGGGAATCTGCATTAATTTTGCAGCTTCAGACTCTTGCGCGCTTGGATTCGCTTCCTTGTCCCTATTCTGCACCACAAAAGCGCAAAGTTCGGTCCCTGATTGCTTACCGCGAGGCGCAATGACTTCGGCCACTACATCTCGAGCGTCTTGGATACATTGAGATATGTGATGTTCGATATCGCCGAATTCGACGCGCTGGCCGCGTATCTTAACCTGCCTGTCTTTCCGACCCACGAAGATCAAACTACCCCCTTCGCTGTATTTGGCTAGATCTCCTGTCTTATATAGACGGCCTCGACGCCCTGGATTACTTTCAGTTCCTTCGATTAGCCATGCAGGATCCTCAACAAACACTTTTGAGGTGGTACTAGGGTCCTGCAAATATCCTCTCCCTACAAGAGGGCCTTCGAGCAATAGCTCACCGATATATCCAGGGGGTAAGAGGTTGTTATGATTCTCCGGATCAACGATCCAAGATACCAGCCCAACTGCTTTTCCAATTTGGGGAGTGTCTTCGACCGGCGAGGTCACTTCGTAGATTGTGCTAGTTGGGGTACACTCGCTCGGTCCGTATGTGTTGAAAATCTTTACTTTATTCACCCACGACGCACAGTCTTGACTACGCAATTGTTCTCCGCCAAAGTTGAGTGTTTTTAGTCCTGGTACTTGCGAGGGGTTGAGCACCTTGCCTACGGATGGCGTCAGTTCAATGTAATTCGCTCCCAGCGACGAGATGCTGGAGGCTAGCTGGTCCTTTCGATCTTCGTCGCTGGGAACGCAAAGGCATCCACCCGTCGTAAGAGTAACAAAAATGTTTGCGATGCTCGGGTCAAAAGCATACGATGCGAAGTCGTACACCCTCGAGCGCGAGTCGAAGCCTAGTTCCACGGCTTGATGATGCACGGCCGAAGCGAAATTTTGGTGGCTGATCATGACACCCTTGGGGTTTCCGGTACTGCCTGAAGTAAATGTAACGTATGCCAGGCTGGATGGTGACACAGTTGGGAGAGATGTAGCAGTGTCGGGGGCATCATGCAATTTTGAATCGACGGCAACAACTTTCCCGCACAAGGAACCTGCAAGATGTTGATTAGAGCCTGAACTCAAAATCAGCGGCGGGTTGACTTGTTGTACGATATTGCGGAGACGGGTCTCCGGCAACGATGGATCGAGCAGTACAAAAGCGCCACCCGCCTCGAGTAATCCAATCATTGCAACCTGAGTCCACATGGACTTCTCGAATAGCAATGGCACAAGCATTCCTGGCTTTACACCAGCACGGATCAATATGCGAGCCAGTTTTGTCGATAGGCTCGCCAAAGCGCCGTATGTCAGTTCACCATCCCATGCACATATCGCGGCAGAGTTGGGAGATGCCAGTACCCGCTCTGAAAATACTTCATGAATACAATGGACCGCTGTTGCTGGCACATGTGCATTCCATCCCCAGATTTCATCACTCTCCTCCGTAGTAAGAGTTCCGATATCCGAGAGTGTTGTTGTAGGCCCAGCCTGAACCAGCTGATGCAATACGGATACAAGCTGTCCAACGATCTTCTGGACCAACCATCCCTCAATGGCTTTGGAATCATAGGCAGCCGCTATTTCTATTCCTTCTGCATCTTTGGTGAAGTCCAAAGCCAGGTTATAACTATTGATACTCCTCAATGAAGTTGGGAACTCGAATTCTCCCAGCGGCCCATTGTCAATCGCCTCGATATCTTTTGAGTGGACCACCAGCAGGGTCTGAAACGCGCATGCAATACGCGCCGCGGGACCGAGTTTTGCGATATTCTGAAGCCCAGTCTGCTCGAACGGGATCATATCTGTGGCTTGCTGCTGCATGTCTTCCAGAAAATCAACGACTTTCCGATCGGAATCGACAAGGACTCTCCATGGTACCGTGGCAATTGCCGGACTGAGCATGCTGTCGATATCAGCGACGGGCGCATTGCGCCCTGTGACAAGAACGCCGAACACAACGTCGTCGGAATTTGTGTAGCGACTCGCGAGTATAGACCAGGCGGCGCGGATCAAATTCGACGTGGTTGCGTAGGGGGAGGATCCGGGGAAGGCGATATAACGCTTCTCGAGTTCCAATTCTGTGCCGTCATCCTGGCTGCCAGGTGGCAGTGAAGGGAATGAGACAGCTTCACAGTCCTCCAACGCGTTCTGCCAGTATGCTGCAGCTGCGTCTTGGTCAAGAATGCTGAGATATTGAGCGAAACGATTAGGATTTGGTTGTTGCTGTAGTGGCTGTCCAGTGTATGCAGCTACCACAGCAGCCAGGATGCGAGGCAATGACCATCCATCGTGTATTGCATGATGAATAGTCCATACAAACCAGCTCTTGCCCTCTTTCGTGTTTGTGACTATCGCGTATCGCACGAGGGGACTTCCAAGGTCCATGGGATTCGAGCTATCTTCCTTCAAGTATTCACCCAGGTCTTCATGTTCTCGCCAATGTATCTTTTCCGACAGGACGACTTGCAACAATCCCGACTCTTTGCTATACACAATTCGTGTTCTGAGAGCTGCAGTCAATTCGAATACTTCTTCCCAAGCAGTCATCAACCGCTCTTTCTGTATTCCTTCTTTGATTTCAAGAATACCTCGTAACACGTAAGATCCTTCCCACTGATAGGTCAATCCCATAAGGCCTTCTTGGAGTGGCGAGCATGGGTAGATATCTTCCACAGCACTCGTGGTTATGTTGCATGTTTCGGCAATCTCAGCGCGAACCCGCGTAGCGTCCGCACCATGAGGTATAAGAGAAAACGGCGGAATATCTTCAATTACTGCATCTGAATCCTCAAGTCCACAAGCCAAGTCCGCAAGCAAAGGATTCTGGAACACGTCGGCAACTGCGATGCTAATCCCTTTCTTTCGAGCTGCAGCGACCAAATTCATGGCTGTAATGGAATCTCCGCCAAGCTTGAAGAAGCTGTCGTCTGGGCGTATCTTCTGAGATGGCATCTCGAGAACTTCAGACCACAACTGAAGCATGTTTTCTTCCAATTTCGTGGACGGCTTCCAAGCTGACTTACGGGGGGTCCTTTGCGATTGATGTCTTTGGGCCAGGACCTTGCGGTCGACGTTTCCGTCTTCATTGATCGGGAATTTATCAAGGATTTCGATGGAATGTAGAATCATGTACTCGGGGAGTTGGTTGCGTAGCACATTCTCAACTTGTTTTCTGACCTTGCGCATAGTCGCCTTCTTCAAAGGTTCACTGCTGAAACTATCCCACGGTCGATTGTCATGATCAGTGGGAAAACGGAACATACATCTACCAGAGGCGTTTGGGGGCTGTTTTGTGTGGAAGATGGCATCAATCCCACCTTTTTGGGAGAATTGCCTGTTGAAGCTGAGTTCGACGCGACAGCCTACTTTTTCAGCGATTTCTGACAAATCTACTGCTGACAGCGCGACAGTAGCGTCAGTTCTCTGGCGAACACGGGAAATCCAGTCTGACTGGTGACCGTTCTCACTGTAAAGTGCGGCGACAAGATTTGTACTGAAGAGTGTTTTGTTGTGGGGAATGTTTCCAACAGCTACGGGCGCCATTCCTATGGATTCTTCCAGTCTCTGAACCAAAGAATCTTGATCCAAACCTTCTTTCTCAAAATCCAACCATCGTTCCGGCTGGACGGTGAAGATTTCGAGGTCTTTCCTATCCGGGGACTTGGTATGAATGACGGCGCTGTAGCGATAGCAGCTAAGTTCGTTGGTTGCTTTCATTTTCTTTGGTAAGATTTCAACATGCTGTATGAGATCTGGAAATCGACCTGGAAGGGCAGAGAAGAAACCTGGATCGAGTAGAAACTCTGGTTCCACTGACTCCATCTCATCTACTGCCTCTCGAATAGTTTCCAGTTCTGCTTGATTACCAGCTAATATCATTGCCTTTGTCGCCAAAAATTCCCTATGGAGCGCAAAAGACCGCACATCACCGAAGAAAATGGTTTCCATGCTCCCAATAGCAAGGAGCTTCTGCAAAACCTGAAGGGTGTACTCCAAGCTGGGGAAGTACTGGGCTACCGAGTTGATAACTGCCAAGGTTGGGGATCCGAGTTGGTCGAAACGATCAATATCCATTGCAGTACCTTTATACACGCGCACTTTGTTGGCCAAGGCAGGGATTGAACGTGCTCTCTTGGAGACAAATTCAACGGCAGATTGTGAAGGGTCGCACCCAACGTAGCTCATCAATCCTTCGTTTAAATTGAAGAGAATCATGCCTGATCCTGAGCCAATCTCCAGAACACGCCTAGGGGGTAAGCCGTTATGAAGTGTGTCGAGTGTGTCGTCGAGCCATTCGTTCATTTCCCCTTTGTCGATCTCGCTGTCATCATACATAGATTCCCATCCCACGAAATCTCTTCCAGTATCGTTTTGTCCAACATTATCCAAATCCCCATATGTCTCAAGGTCAAAGTAGTCTTCCCATGTATTCACGTATTGCAACTGCCCTTTATCGATGTTTGAGTCCTCCACGATGCCGGTTTCCTTGTGAAGAGTGATGTAGCCAGCAAGTTGTGTTTCTCCATCTCCATTTCTGTCTTTGACCACAACCGCATCCCGAACAGATTTATGGCTGGAGAGAATCTTTTCGACCTCTACCACTTCCACACGGTGACCTCGTATCGTCACATGTCCGTCTACCCAATCAGACTCATCTTCGACCTTCACCAGGTCGTTTTGCAGGTTTTTACCTCTCTCAGTACGTTGTAACTCGACTAGTTCCTCTACGGTGTACGAGGCACCGATCTGACGCAGTTCTCTGCGGTTGATCTTACCGCTCGATGTTTTGGGAAACTCGGAGACGGAAAAATAGATGCTCGGCATCATGTAGTTGGGTAGGTGTTCGGCCAGTTGGTCTTGCACATCTTTAGAGATGGATAATAAACGAGGTCTGCGCTCTTCTGCTCTTTCTGGCGAGAACTGATCTTCCATTTGAATGAACGCTACCAAATGCGGTTTCGACCCTGCGCCTTTAGGCTCGATAATCTCGGCAGTTGTACCAATTGCCCCACGAACGTAATTTTGCACCCAGTACTCAACCTCACTCAGCTCCACTCGCTGGCCTCGTATTTTCACCTGTGTACCTTTTCGGTCGATGTAGTATAGTCTGCCATCTTCCTCCTGTCGAACAAGGTCCCCTGTTTTAAAAAGTCTAGCTTGCCGCCCGGCCGTAGTTGAAGTTCCTCGGAGCAACCACTCAGGCGCGTCAATAAAAGCATTGGCTGTTGTGATTGGATCGTGGAGATAACCAGCGCTCACCATCGGGCTCTCGATCAGCAGCTCGCCTGGACATCCTGGTGGAAGCAATCGATTGTGGTCCTCGGGATCAACAACCCATGTTGCGGAACCAAACCCCTTGCCGATGGTATTCATCCTATGCTCGCTGGACGTCGGATAATTTATAGTCACAGCGGAGGTACATTCGCTGCTTCCGTAGGCAATCAATACAGTGCCATGGCCATCCCAGCGCTTCACGTCTTTGGAGCGTGCTGTTTCGCCTACGAGAATAAGGACCTGTATCCCTTTCATCTCTTCTGGGGCCAATATAGCCGCAACTGAGGGCGTCAAGATGACAGTATTGGCACCTGACGACACAAAACTTGACGTCAAGTTCGCTTTCCGCTCTGTTTCACTTGGAACGCAAAGACATCCTCCCACAGCGAGTGTCATGAACAAGTTGGAAATGGCGATGGTGAAGCTGTAAGACGCAAAATCGTAAACTCGCGATTTAGATGTACATTTGAAGATCGGGTCTCCTGGGCGGAGGAAAGACGAAGCAACGTTGCTGTGGGTTATAATGACACCCTTCTGTGCGCCAGTGCTGCCCGAAGTAAAGACTATAAAAGCGTTGGAGCTTGGATTCAAGCCTTTGGGTCTCTTCAAATTGTTGCCTTGGGTAGCATGGCTGTCGAAGATACGCTGATCCACAACATAGACGTCTTCTCCAAATAACAAGGCCCGGTCTTTGTTCGCAACAGAGGATAGTATAAGCTTCGCTCCAACTTGCTGCACGATATCGCGCAGTCGCTGCTGCGGCAGCGCGGGGTCCATCAGTACGAAGGCACCGCCGGCTTTCAGAGTGCCTAACATCGCCACTGCCGTCCACTTCGATTTATCAAAGTACAACGGTACCAAGACGCCTGGGGCGACTCCTCTTTCTGATAAACGGATCGCCAGTTGGGAAGTGACTCTATCAAGCTCAGAATAACTGAAATTTCCATCCCACGCACAGATTGCGGGTGCAGAAGGTTGCGACACGGCTAGTTGCTCGACGACCTCGTGAATGTAACGTTCTACTGGCACTGGAGCAGATGCGTTGTGTTGCCAGATTGCGTCGAGGTCGTCTGGGGTCAGCATGCCAACATCTGCAATCTTGCTTTTCGGATAGAACTTGTGGAACTGATGCGCCACGAAGCTGAGGCGAACAAGGAGCTTTTCCGTTTTTTCGCGCGGCATGATTCGGGGATCGAAGAATGCGGTAACGGTGACAGTGGATGCATCTGTCTGGATCTCAATAATTAGGGCGTGGTGGTGATCGTTTTTGAGTAACATTTGAGGGTTGTTATGGTTGTGATATTTGGGATCGATAATGAACAACGTCTGGAACATGGACGCATACTCAGGGTTGTGCGTCACCCCATTCGCGTCCACTCCTTCCGAGCGGATCGTTTCCGAAGCATCACGGTTGACACTGTATAAAAAGTCTGTCATCAACTGCTGGTTGGCTACGTTCACCAGCATTGGGATGGTGTGTGCTTTCCGTCCTTCTTTGCCTCCATTTTCAGTTGTCTGGAGCGCGAACGTGATATTTTCAGTATTCGTGATCTGCCCAACGATGAGACTCCATGCTGCCAGGAAGAGCGACGACGTCGAAATCTCTGTAACAGAGCTGGGTGGTAGGGGAAGAGGAAACGTATGCGTCGCTGTACTTTTTGGGTCGGGAGTTACGACCGTGGAAGGAATAATGGGAAAGGGTGCGCTTTCGAGCGATGAAAGAGCTGCCTTCCAATCCCCATCCAAGATCCCTTGAGCTTTGGCGGAAACCAGGGTGTGGCCTTCCTCCGCAGAGTCATCATCTGAGATAGCTGCCACCGTAGCTTCGGGTTTCATGTGATCTTTTGTCGTGTCTTCCTTGATCATACATTGATCAATATATGTTTCCGAAACCTCCATCTTTCCGTCTCTTTATCTCTCAATGCCGTAACTGCGCTGAGTATGAATGCTTTGAAGTGGGGGGTTTTCTTGACTTTTTTTTTTTCTTTAATTTGTATGTCTCTGAATAGATTCGTAACAATTGAATGGGTTTTGTGATAGTGGGGTCGCAGTTTTCCTTTCCGAAAAGGGTGTCTCATAACGGTGTCGCTGAAGGAATGTTTGGCCGATATCTATAATGGGTATCCCATTCTCTCAACACCCTAGATAAGTGACTACGCAAGACATCAAGCCCAATCCCGATCTTCCATAAACCCAAAACAACGGATTTACCAGCACATAAGAAAATCAGTTCCCTACCTGGAAGTGGGACCAACACGTGGGACTGTCTTTGAATGCTATGAAAGGGCAAAAGCTCTACAGCGCGATACACGTGTAGCCATGAGAAAGACAATAAGTGTGTAGCTGTGACGAAAGTCACAACAACACGAAGACAAACCTCCGCAGCTATTTGCTCCAAGACTGTAACATAAGATATAGACAAGGTTGTTTACTTGGACACTAGGTTTCGGGTAGAAATAAGGTTTGTGGTAGAGATCTACAGGGTACTAGGTTTCGGGTATAGAATTCTTTGCTTCTTTGTGTTTCCCGTACACTTCGTTGGTATGTACTAACTTTCTAGCTTTCCCCACTCTATACAGTCAATTCTCATCAAGTCTTGCGGTGTGCAATCAGATGGCCCTTCGGATGCAAAGTGCTTGCCAGGTCCGATAGCTTGATTATCAATCCAAACTATGGTAGCCTATTTTGTGGATGCAGAGAAAGACACAGTCGGAAAGGATGGACATTATTTGCTGTCTCTGATGAAACAGCACGGAAATTTTCTCCACGTGGCTTTTATTCGTCTATGAACGCAAACAAGTCATCTACTCAACTCTTGGAGATCCAGTCGGAGTTTCCGAGCACCATAGCTGCCTGCACTTTGCCCCGATAAATACTAGGTTTTCCCTTACAACGCCATCGAAGATAAATACGCACTTCTCTCCTCAAGTTGTGTCTGTTGTCTTGAGAGCTTCTGTATCTGAAAATCGGGTTAATCTTTACACGCGCCTTTTACAGTCATGAAGAACGGCCACATGCACACCGCTAGCGCAATAAACCCTATAGAAGTCTCACCTGGGCTTCCTTCTGTCAATAAGACGAGGCTAGGCAATGACTATGCTGAGACTTCTTCTCCGACGATCAAAACGCATGCCGAAAGATCAAAAGACACCTGGAGTCAGGTCAAACGGATCAGAAAGAAGGGCGAGGTTTTGATTGATGGAACGGAACTTGATATAGCCAGCGTAATTGCTGTGGCGAAGTAAGTGAATCTGAAACTGCCTTTTGATGGTAGCTATCTGACCATCGATGCCTTAGGTTCCACTGTGATGTGTACATCATGAAGACAGAGGCACTTGAAAAGTCTATGGATGATAGTGTCAAGCTTCTTGGGGATTATCTAGCTCATGGCTATAGTGTTTACGGTATTTGTCCCTCAATCTCCAATTCCATTGCCTAATTCTGCATCTTATGAAGAGTGCTGTCTGAGACCAAAACAGGGGTAAACACTGGATTCGGCGGAAGTGCAGATACTCGCACATCAAACCTGCCAGCGCTCCAATCTGCACTTCTCCAACTCACGCAAGCCGGTATACTGAGCGAAACGGACACGAATCCTCATAAAGCCGGCTTTGGCGAAGAGACAGTGCGCAGTATGTCTATTCCGTGGGTTAGAGCATCAATGCTGATCCGCTGCAACAATGCAATTCGTGGACATTCTGGAGTACGTCTGGTACTGCTGGAGGCCATTCTACAGTTGCTACGCTGCGGCATTACTCCTATAGTGCCACTTCGCGGCTCCATCTCCGCGTCTGGGGACCTGATGCCATTGTCCTACATCGCAGGCGTGCTTGAGGGAAATCCCGATATCATGGCTCACGCTCATTCTGGCGGTAAGGTGAAGGTAGTAACTGCATGTGAAGCGCTGCGCATTGCGGGACTCGAAGCGTTCATGCTGGGGCCAAAGGAGGGATTGGGTCTTATCAACGGTACAGCAACCAGCGCAGCAGTTGCGTGTTTCGCCTTGCACGACAGCAACAAGTTACTACTCTTGGCTCAAATATTGGTCGCGATGAGCTGTGAGGCCCTGCTCGGAAATTCTGAGAGTTATCATCCTTTCATTGCATCGGTCAGACCGCACCAGGGACAGATTGAGTGCGCAAGCAACATCCTTCGCTTTCTGAAAGACTCAAAATTAGCAACAGCCTTGGAAGGACAAGATAGATTCAAACCCGGGTTGTTCCAAGACAGGTACGCGTTACGTGGAACACCGCAATGGCTCGGGCCGCAAATAGAAGATCTGGTTAGGGTTGAAGACCAGTTGACGATCGAGCTCAACTCTACATCTGACAATCCCCTCGTTGATGTTCAAACCGGAGGTGTTTATTCCGGCGCCAATTTTATCGCGTCATCGGTAGCTTCTGGAATGGAGAAAAACCGCCTATCTCTGCAACTAACCGGACGGCTTCTATTCAGCTTATCCTCGGAGCTTATCAATCCTTCAATGAATCGTGGCCTGCCAGCAAACCTCGCATCAGACGATCCTAGTCTGTCGTTCACGATGAAAGGCGTCGATATCAGCATGGCAGCATACCTATCTGAGCTCACTTTCCTTGCCAATCCGGTAACTCCACACGTTCAATCTGCGGAGTCCCATAATCAGCAAATCAATTCCCTTGCTTTGATTTCGGCGCGCTACACCTCCCAGGCTACGACTATACTCGCCCAAATGTGTGCTGCCCACCTTTATGCTGTTTGTCAAGCCTTGGACTTACGTGCGCTGCACATCAATTTCCTGCGAAAACTACATGCAGAATTACTCTCGACCGCACAACTCATGTTCCCTAGCTTTTCGAAGCGCCATCAACAAGATCTATCAAGTGAGCTTTCTAAAAGCATGGACGCATCCTGGAACTGCAGCACATCACTCGATCTTGTCGATCGCTGCCATGCTCTTTCCGAGAGTAGTCTGCCAGTCTTGGTAAGCTACTGCCAAAAGCATCAACTTTCTCTGGATACGGTTGCACTTGCCCAGTACCAACAACGAACATTTGATCTTGCACGATCAGTATTCGTCCTAGAGAGACAGGAATTCCTCGAGGAGCCGAACACCATGTCATACTTGGGAAACGCATCTCGCAGGATGTACAGTTTTGTGCGCGAGGAATTACGTGTACCTTTCCATGAGGGTCTTGTCGAGCACCCTGCGCTCAAACCAATTGGAAAGCTGAGAGGTCGGCCTAAGAAGACAATCGGTTCGTGGGTGTCCATGATATTTGCATCAATTGTGGACGATCGAGTATGGGAAGCTATAGCAGATGTTGTGTGAAATATTGTCACGTCTTCTACACTTAGGAATTATCATGGCGTGGTCAAATCACTCTAGGACGTTCACCTACTTTCTGTATCAAAAACTGTGCACACAATTCGTCGGTGAATAAGTTATTAGCATATTAACCTCAAAAGCTTACTCATCCATTTAGTGTACAACGGTCACAAGCAGTGTTATTACAACAAGAAATCGCATCTGACATCAGCATGTCAATTTTCTTCTTTTATACAAAAAATCATCCATTTCTTGAAATGGACCCTGTCAATAGCGTTTGCTATACAAACCTCAATGCCTTCTCTTCGAGGTAAACGGTATCCCTCCCTGGCGGACCGCCACATCACACAAATTTCGCATGCATTACTAATGGCATGAATTTGAAGCCCTATAGAGAAGGAATCATTGCCCAATTCAAGCCACCCGCTGCATAATGCAATCATTTAATGACCACCGAAACAGATGCAATACCCGCAGTAAGGGCTTGTGTATACACAGATATACAGAAGCCTAGCTAAAGCTAAGAAGCGAGCCAAGCGACCCAACCATTGGACTTTAAGCGTAGTGGTGATTCATCGCATATTCCATGCGGCACAAACACTGGGTATTGAAAACACGATGAATCTGAACCATTGGACACAGTAAGCACGCGTCAGCCGCTGTATATTCAAAGGCTTAAGCAGATTGAGGTTTCCTTCTTGTGCCCAATTCTACCATGTTCAACCTCATGTGCCTATTTTCAAGCGCAGTGTTTTTTATATGGCTTCTGCCAACGCAGTTCTCACTTCCAACTTGAAGGTACAACTTTGGAGGGGCGGCTCAGTCGTCGAGAATGAAAGAGGTCGAACCCGGCCTTGGACGGCTCACTGGTTTCGTGCGTTCGGTAGGCAAAATTTCGGTGACGTCGACCAAAGTTCTGGACTCCCTGATTATTCAGTATCACAGAAAGCTCCACCACTGATAATTGCAGCACCGTTCTCATCAGTATTGCACCACTGCCTACACCATCAAGCACCACCGTCGCCATCAACGACGTCACCATCAAGATGTCTTCACCATCTCGCCTCTCGGACATCGAAATCCCCGAATCGGTCTGGCCTAATCGCCCACGAGGCTATCCGCCCGCCATCTGGTACCTCGCACCATACATACCAGCCTTCAAGATTTGGGAGGAACAAGGGGGCATGCGGGATTTCATGGAAAAACATGGCCTGGAAAAGTCTCTGATGGATTCCCGGGCACGTCGTGAGGTCCCGTACGACCTGGTTAAGGCCTGCTACGACATGCTTATGGATCTTCCAGGGGTCCGCGAACTCTATGCCGAGATATTGCACGAGCATAACAGCTCGTACCCCCCAAACCCAAATGCAGCCGAGAGCGCTATGCACCTCATGGCGATTATGGAGGGGTGGGACGACGATAGTGAAGAAGAAGAAGAAGAAGCCGAGAAAGAAGAAGAAGCAGAAGAAGAAGGCAAATCTGAGATAGTAGAGAAAGAGGTAGGCGGTCAAGGTTAGAGAGTTTGTCGGTCGCAGTGCTAAACAGCCGTATTAGGCGATAACGTGCCTACATGGGAACATGACGGAACGACTGGATTATGCTACCGGAAATGCAAGCCTTCAGAACCAATAAGCAGCCAAGAAGCGATCAAATTGTGCCTTGATCAGCTCTGGAAGAAAGCTCGCTATGGGCTTAGCATAGTCATTAGGTTGAGCCGCCTTTTTAAAACACCAGGTTTTTACTTCAGTGCTCACTCAGCACGTAAAAATCGATAATGGGCTTGGCATGACAAGGTATAAACTTCAACCTGGCATCATTCTATACAATTGTGACTTAAAGCGTTAGAGCAATTAAGGATAGCAAGCTGTACTTTACTTTAGAGGTTATCTGATTCAGCCCTGCACACTAGGCGCAGTTAATAAGCTCTTAGTACTATGAAATACTGTAGATCTACCTTTAATCTCTAAGCGCAATATATATATTTTTATAGTTATTATTATAACTAGAAAAGTATAGATTATTAAGCCTCGACTAGAACCTCAACACTAACACCTCAAAAATCCAAATTACACTCTATTAGTTAGGGGAATAGAAAAAAAGAAAATTACAAATAGATGTAACAGAAAGGTCCCGCAATAGTGCTCATCAGCTCGCTCATTTTCCTCACCTCACCTGCAGCATAACCAAGATCAAGCTCTGTATCCAATGTGGTATTCGCACTCGCCGGCTCATTCAACCACGTGGCAGTTCCCGCGATGCCTCCAGCGCCCGTCCTAGTCGCAGGGTCAAAGCTCTGGAACATCCACCACGTGCGGTCAACCATTGCATGGTGGAGGAAGAAAAGCGGTTCGCCGGGCGAGATGTACAGGTCGCGGCCTGCATCACCTCCGAATGTAAAGTGCTGCGGTAAAACGTCAGTACATGTATATTTCAGGGAGTTTCCCCCGCCTTTTTCTTTTTTTAGAAAAGAAGGGGGTAGCGTTACTTACCCCTCCTCCATGCGCACCGAGTTCTCCAGTGTCTGGCATGCCCTGAAGCGTCAACTGGAAGTCGTTGATATCAGACTTGATCAGCGTATCAACCACCGTCGTCGCGTTAGCATATCGCCTATTGATCTCCCACGTGAGATCGCGTTTCAGGCAGCGCGGGTTATACGACAAGCCGTCGCCATTCGCTATAGTTTGATTCCCTGGAAGAAGCAGCTGCACAGGCCCCAGATTCACCGTCATATCCTTGAATGGGCCGGACGTCACGCAGCCTCCTCCGGTTCCGGACGGCGCTATGATCTCGTCGACGCCGTTGCTATCGCCAAGAACAACGTAGGCGCTTTGGTTCGCGATGTGTTCGCCGTTCCCGGACATGCTGAACTCGCTGCCGTCGAAGATCGGGGACGTTTCGAGACCGGTGGCGGCGGTTTTGGTCCAGTCCCAGTATGGTTGGTAGCCGGTGTAGTTGCATTCGTTGCGGAGGGCTTGTTCATATTCCCAGGTGAAATAGCGGTGCCAGGCTAGGAAAATACCCTGTGCGATGTCAGATGATTGTTGTTGTAGCTAGACCAGGGATTAATGAGTGGTGTGGTCTTTACGGTGTAGTGCTGGGATCAAGGTGTTAGTTACGCTACGCTTTGCCACGACGAGTTTTTTCGCGGCGGAAGATGGGGAGCTCACGATTGTCTGGGTTTGGTTGATGTGAGCCGCGACCCAGTCGTCGAACCTCGACCTAGCTCCTGGAACCAAAGAAGGTGGCGTTCGGGCTTTTTTGCTCTGTAAACAAATGACCGCGTCGGTGTATGCTTTTCTCTCTTTGTGGGAGAGATCGCCCCTGAGATATTTATCAGTATATTTTGGGAAAAGAGCAAAACGAATAAATCGTGTTGATCGTCTCCTACCATTCTTTCCTGACCGCGACGTTGTTTATATTACAAATCCCCTTGTTTTGATTACCGTCGGTTGCTGCTGCTGCAGCAAGGATTTGATTTGTGGATTCCTGTGCGAAAGCTGCCAACTTGGCCAACTGCTCGCCAGCCTCGAAAAGGTCTCGAGACGCAGAATTCGGGATTTCAATCTCGAGGTCCTTGTAAGAAGTTGGGGTAGCGTTGCACACTGCTCCAGCGACGAAGAATAGAGACACGGCACTGCTGACACGCATGTTTGATATCGCTCGATATCCCAATCGGAAAATAGAAAAAAGTAGGTGAAGAAACAAGGTAGAAGTAAGAGGGGAATATGATCATCGAAACAATGTGACTGAACGCTTCTTTAATAGCTCCACAATCAACGCTCAACTGCAAGAGATAAGAAAGTCTTCCAAATCTTCATTGGTGCTTGGGCCATCTCGAAATCGAGGCCGCGTATTCAGAGCCCACTTATCAAAGGCTTTGCCTAGCAGAACTTCGCAATCAATACTGAGGAAATGACCGGGATTCACCGAGAATCATGGGTAGAAAACTGACCGGTGCCACGCCTTGGATTAGCGCTTAGGAACATTGACAGATTTGGAGCTTGTTAACGGCCCCGAGCACGAGCATCTACGATATCTCTTCGAACCCTCGAAAAAAAAAACACTCTATCCAGTTTTCGCTGCAACCTCTAGGTAGTTGTCGCGGGGTGCTCTGTTGATATGTTGACACAGCTCGACATGGTACCCATGACTGCTATGAGTTCGTGGTACAGTAGAAAAAATAGAAATAAAGCAGGCGAGCAATCGATACAATAAAGAAATAATCCAATGCGCTGAGAATGGGACTGTGAAGTTGCGAGTTTGAATCAGCCTCGTCGAACTAACAGCCGTTGGCATCTGCTTAGCGCTAGTAGTCTAAACTGTAGAGCAATGTACCGTAGAACCTGACACTCAAAGTCAACGCCATCGATTTTGCTACATCTCGCTAATTGGACAATCTTATCACTATCTCCACTCTTTTCCCAGCTTAATCAACGAGTCAGCGAGCAAAAAAAAACGATCGTGTTAACCTCGATATGCCAATGTCTACGGTATGCCACGCGTTCAAGGCGTGGGTACGAAGTGGGCTCGAGCTGAATATGCACCTTGCGACCCACATATTATCGGCAAACAACAAGCTTCATGCTAAGCCTCATAGACGTCTACATTTCAGCACCGACGAAAGTTATTCCCCGTGGCTATGCTAGGCCATTTTCTCGCTCACTGATGGGGTAGAAATGAGGCACAAAAATTGCATATAGTAGATTATTGGAAACTAGCGTTGAATGCTGCTGTGATACTCAGAGGATAGCTTGTGAGGGTATTAGGTATAGTCCCTTAGAATTAATTGCAAGGGAGCTACGTACGTACGTTACGAGGGCTGTATAATAGGGCGGTGGTCTGTGCGCATCAACACCATGGAAATCCATCACATCACTGGCACATTTGCCGGGGGCTGATGTGATGCGATTCATGTAAACAGGGCTAGTCACAAAACGAGAGATGAAAGGGAAAGATCTCAAGCTGAACGGAAGTAGAATTGTAGACTTGGCGATTGGCCATGGCCCACAGCAGTCATATACGATGATGTGTTAAATGATCAAAGAGAGTTGCATAGCAAAGGCCCATGATACAAGCTTGTCAGTTCCGGCACTGATAAGGCTAGCTTAGTGGGCAGTGTCGGTAATCGGCAAGTTCATAACGATATCTTCTATCGCTAGGTCTGTAAACAGAACGCTGGTGTGTTGATTGCTGCAACGAAAGGTGCTACGCGGGCTGGCGGTTATGTCGGCAGCGGTGTGTGTGTGTGTGTGTGTGTGTTAATATGTCTTTGTATTGCGAATGTATTTACAATCTCTTCATTAGTAACGCTGTTATCAGACCTTACTATTGACTGCTAGACTCTAGAAGAACGAAATTTACGTCTAATACTGAGTTTCCCACTTAAGAGCAAAACCGAGTGAATATTTTGGTAGATATTATCACATTCAACAAATTTAATTCTGAACTCGTGAAAATATGTGCCCGCTACCGATAAGACTCCCTAATGTTCAAGCAACAGTAAATTCATCAATCTTCACAGAACCACCAAGCGCCACTGTGGCAAAGTTAAACACCCCAAATCTATAACCCAAAAAGAACGCCCACCCAGTATATAGCTTGTAAGGCTCTCCTAGCTGCGTGAATGTCTTGTTATCTACACTGTAATAAAACTTTGCATCATTGCTCCCGTTTGGTCTGGCGTCCATAGTCGTTCGGAACCAAAGGGAAGTCACATCCGAAGCCAGTGGGGCGGTAGCAACAATTGTCCCATTATCCAAAGTATCGCTGCCCCACTCGTCGATTGTCATGTTGAACTTCGCCACGATGGAATTCGTATTCCCCGAACGGTGGATGCCGATATAAGCACTGCGATCTCGAAAAGCCGCTAGACCCGTGCGATCACCGTCAGCCATCTTGGAGATGTCGAATCGGACAGTAGCGTTGGGATATTGGCCATGGATACGGTGTGTAAGTGTATTGCGCGCGGAGTAAATGTCTGAGGTTATGGTTGCAGTGTGCAGGGTAAGACCGTTGTTGACCGAGTATTTTGCGATTTCGGGGTCGTGGTTCCATTCAAAATGCGGGTCTAGTGTAGTGCCTTGGAACTTATATGTACCTGTCCAGCTCTTTGTTTGTCTCGCTGGGAGTGGCATAGAGTATGATGCTCCCCAGCCACCATTGGAGCCGTTGACGAAGACGGGGAAGCCGTCAGAGCCCCATTTGATGGGTGCGAGAACGGGAAGTCGGCCGGCAGGAAAGGCCCACGTAAAGGACATGAAATACCATTCCCCTGTAGAGGCTTGCACAAGACTGCCCTGGTGAGGAGAGCCGCCGCCTTCGATAGGAGGAGCGGCACTTTTGACGAGGATCTTAGATGTATAGGGCCCCCAGATGTTCTTCGATTTCCAAATGTATGTCGTGTCACCAGGATGGTCATTGAGGATGTAGTAAGTGCCGTTGATCTTATACATGCGGTTCCCCTCGATATCCGTGAGCCTGACATCTGTAGCATTCAGAACACTGGCAGATTTAACTTGACTGGTTCCATCCGCGGAGAGCTGAGCGACCTGAATATTTGGGTTGCCATAAACAACATATATTGTGTCATCATCATCAATGAGCATACCCGTGTCGTAGTAACAGCTCCCGCCACCAAGATATGCCAGCCTTGTCCACGGTCCAGTAGCATTTGGAGCAGTGTAGATCCAATTGTTCCAGAAGTTGGTGCATCCAAGCCAATACCATAGGCCGTTGCTCTTGCGGTACCTCATAGTGGACGCCCAGATGCCTCCACGGTATGCGCGTTTTCCAGGCGCGAGATCATATCCATCACCAAAGTCTAGTCGCGGAACGGAATGGCCTATCAATTCCCAATTGACCAAGTCTTCGGATTTGAGAATTGGAGCACCAGGGCTGTAGTGGAAACTGGATGCGGAAAAATAGTACGCGCCATCGGGGCCCACAAACACATCGTTGTCGGGGAAGTCTTCGTAAATTACCGGATTGTCGAATGAAGCCTGGCTGTCGACCAACGAGCTTGTCGCTAGAAGCAGACCAACGATACGCGAGAGACTGAACAAGCGCATTTTGCAACGGGTTTCCACTGGAATCAGTCTACAATAAATGTTCGGCCTGTTTTATGCGAAAATATGTCTTGTCGCGCTATACACCGGTGGCTATTTGAGACACTTAGGATAAAATGCGAAAGACAATAAACATGCTAGCCTTGTTGCTTAATATATCCCCAGATATCGCCAAGGCCTCGCACAGGGATACCTAACCAATTAGAAATTATTCCATGCTGCGTGTTATATCTGGGATTGAATATAAGAACCTCTAAAGTAATCTAAATTTTCCATGTCTTTAATCTCCTAGCCGTCTTCAAAGCAAAGGCTATATACTCCAGGAAAAGAGATCGATGCAATTAAATGCAGGTCTTGAGAGAACTTCTCGAGTTCTTTATCACCTTACTTCTTATATAAGACTTATCCAAGTAAGATTCTTCGCCTTCTTTTAAAAAGGACACTAAGTCTTTGCTTGTATCTGATTAGTGAGTTTGCTCATTCAATGTGGCATTCATTCATTATTTTACCAGTCGTCAACTTTGGGGTTTACGCAATGTCTTTCCCTGAGCAGTACAAACATAGAGATCAAATCCGTGGGTTCCCTCTCGGCTCACAATGAGCACGTACAAACTTTGAAAACGTCTGCGCAGTCTTTTGCGTCGAGCAACGATGGGAAATTTTCACACGGTAATTCGCACAAGGACCTCGGCGAACACATGTCAACATAAATTCGCGAAACCTAGAAGAAAAGGAATTACATTAGGCGAGTGTGGCTGTTGAACCCAAAACATACAAAGTGCGACATGCAGTGTCGCCTCAAAAGGGGACCACGGATCCCTGGATCATTTTCTCGTTTTGTCGTCAAGTGTGCTCGGCGCGGGGCCCTTGAACCCCCACGCGTTGGATATCTTCCCCATCGGGTGCGAGGTGCAGCTGGCACGTCTCTGGTTTTAGGAATCACGTCGAAAAAGAAAATATAAATGCGTGATTCGGGTGGATTCAACCGACTACGGCCAATCGCCAATATTTATGCGTTGCATTGTGTGGGCGGGGTGGAGATGATGATGGCTGGGTACTAAATCACACACCGTTGATTGCGTGCAAAGTAACGCTGTTCACCGTAGCCAACTGCTCGTAGTCGTCCACGAGGGCTTGAGCTACAGATAACTAACGTACCCTGTAACACCTCTAGCTTATACTACCAACGCCACACAACTTCCCGCAACTCTATTACCCCCCTTTAGTCTCTGCAAATGCGAAGTAGTGGATCCCCCATCGCAATATACACTTCAACGGATTGACCCAGTGTAGATTATCGCCACATCTGAGAACCATTGGATCCTAACTTGGCTTTGATCGTCCCTGTTGGTGTTACCTGTAATTTCTCCACTCTCCCACTCTCTTGCGACCGTCTCTCACACCATGTCATCGAGCTGTATTGGGGCGATGGTGCATGGCGCATGGCGTACGGAAGCCCTACCCCGGAATCGAATTCACGATATCGAAGCCCTCTATAGCCTTTTTCCTTTTGGCAGTGGAAGAACAAAGTTTTTGCTACAGATACGATCTCGGATCTTGGACCCTTGCTGTGCAATTCTGCGTTCTCAGCCTGGGGTAGACCTGGGAAGAAGGCACTTAAAGGTAACACCCTCGAACCTGTTCCTGAAACTCCCCGCTGGACCTCAACCTCACTTCCAAGAACTCTTGAGTAAAGGTTTGCTTGATAGGAATAGCTTTCTCTATCGAAGATGCCTGGCGGAATTCATCCTCCGATTGAAGCCGTGCTGTCGTGGCCAGTGCCACACTACGACGAACCGGTCACCCGTCCTATGGTGTCGACCATGCTGGCGTGTATTCTGGGTCCGATTAGTCTGTTTGTGGTGTTTGCGAGATTGTGGGTTCGCGTGTATATGCAGCATAATCCTGATCTGGATGATTGGGCGATGCTGGCGGCCGTGGTGAGTTTGATTTGAAGAGCTCTTGTCACTGCCGTAGAAACTGACATTCGAAAGCCGTTCATCATCGCTCTGACTATCATGCTTCCTCTGGGTAAGTAGCTCATTGGACTGCATACTCCATGTTCATGACTGAGACGCTGTCTAGGCTCAGACCGCTACGGCTTCAACCGCCACATCTGGGACACACGCCCCCACTACTTCGTCATCCAGCGCAAACTCATCCTCGCAATCGAAACAACCTTCTGCATCGGCGCCGGTCTCATCAAAATCTCGATCCTCCTCTTCTACCGCCGCCTCTCCTCCCGCGCAGTCTCGACCCCTTTCAAATGGACAACCTGGATCAGCATCGTCTTCATCGCAGCCTACTCCCTCGCCTTCTCGCTCGTGCCCATCTTCGGCTGCAACCCCATCTCCGCGTTCTGGAATCAAGTCAACATCGTCTACCAATTCGACAAAAACTACACGTACACGTGTTTCGACGAAGCCGCGGATGTCGTTACAGCGAGCGCCATCTCCACTGCGCAAGACCTGCTCACCGCTGTCCTGCCTACGTTTATCTACTGGCACCTCCAGATCCCCGTGCGCCAGAAAATCGCACTCTCATTCCTCTTTGCGATCGCATATGGCGTCGTCGCGCTAGGCGCGATGAGGTTGTACGCTACGTGGCGCATTTTCTACGACTCGTACGATGTTACGTGGGTGGGGTGGGAACTCTGGATCTGGACGCTGCTCGAGTTACACGTCGGCGTGATATGTGCGAACGCGCCGGCTTTGAAAGCGTTTTTTAGACAGTTCTTCAAGGTTCCCAAGTCACTTGCTCCTTCGTCCGCACCATGGCGATCCACCAACGATCCAATGACGACGAGTGGTGGCAGGTCGTCCGTGGCGTCGACGGTGCTGTTCTGGAAGAAAGCTTGTAGAGCTGAGAAAGGGTACATCTCGGATCCATATAACCACACCACCACCGTCGACCAACACGGAAGAGTGCGGATCAAAAAGGAAACCCGCATCTCGCAGTCCTTCACTGTCCACGGCGTGATCCCAGACACGGCCAGCATCGACGATGCCACGCAACTCGCAGACACAGACTTCGAGATGGGAATCTTACGCGGAGGTACTCCTCCACGGTCCTCTCAGGCATCCACCTCAACTTCCCTATCCCTCCTCTCCTCTTCGTTTCCGAGTGTAGAAGACGATTTATACGCATTACCACCTATGTCATCGTCTTCGCCGTCGTCGACGATGCCTCGTCACCACCACCAACATACCCCCTCGCATATAGCAAACTGGAGGGCCTTCGCACCCAGGACACCATCTCCAGTAGCCAGACGAGCGCAGAACACATTAAAGCTTTTCCCCGCGAATAACGATCAAGGGTTACGTGGTGACGCGCCGGATTGGCGGAGTTGGTCTGGAGGCTCGGACTTGCGTCATCGATGAGCGGACATCCTGGCCTGTCTCTGGACAAGCTAGTCGACATGTTGAATCCTAGTATCGTCTTTTCATCCGTTTATCACCTGCTTCTTGTAGATGTTGTGGCAGTTTTGACGGATGAAGGGTCATACGCGTACATAGCCATCTACATTCGTGATCGTGTATACCCCTACTCCTTCCATCTTCGGCCATGCATTCATGGATGGTGTACGTAGCACTATTTCTTTTTTCTCTTAGGCAGCATGTTTTATACCCTATTGGGGAAAATTGGGTGGGCGATATAGTATCTGATTGTTTCCTTGATTAAAATCGATTCTTGATTCCCAGGGGGGAAATCAGTTCTAGAAAATCTGACTCCAGCTGACTTGAATGCATGGAGCAAAGCTCACTTTCTCCAGCCCCTCTTTCACGTATGACCCCAATACAATCACACTCTATCCACATGTCACAACAATCCTTGATCCAGAAATGTCCATTAGCTTTGGTACATTGTTCGATCCACTTGCACTGATGTGAGGCCATGTCGATCTCTGTTCCAGAATGGTATGAGCAAGATCCAGGGGACATATGGATAGGAGTATAAACATCTTTGATAGTTTTTGGAATAAGCGAGGGTTTTGTATTGCGTTGTGAACATTGGGGATGAGGGGGAAATTCACATTGAGCCTGTAACCTGCAAGAATGCGACCGTGATGAAGGAGAGTGAGGTTTGCTGTGGCCATCCATGGGATAGGACTGATGACAGTGAGGGAGATGGCGTTGGTTTAGCACGATGCACAACAGGTGGAATGGAATGGGTCAGTGTATCTTGAAGGTAGGTCGAGTATCATGAACACGGTTTGTGATGATAAGCGTCAGGAAAAAGTAGACAGTTGTATTACATGTGATAGCATCGCCAGCAATATCTCATTATCGGTACACTCGTATCCTTGTACAAAGGATGATCACGAAACTAGAGAGAAAAAAAAGCAGACGCCGGAGGCCAAACCGATTTTCCAGGGGAGAAGAGAAAGGAAGAAAAAGTAAAGAAAATGACCAAACTCGTGTCAAACGCCTAGGCTCAAAGTAAATGCAATATATCGTACAACGTAGCCACAAATCTCTGGATCCATTCCTTTCTTTTTTCGTAATTCCTTCTAGCGAGATGCAGACGTGATGACTACCTCAGTTTCCCAGACAGAGGAGTTTTGGGCGGTGTATCGAGGAAGGATACGCTCTTGCGGGGACTCGTATCCGGGCTGGTGTTAGCGTCGTACTCATACCAAATGCCCTTGATTCTGCGGTTCAGTTTACGGGGTCCTGGACTGATGCGTGCCATCGATCCATAGGACGAAGTACTCGCTGTGTCCGACATGCCTCCATTCATTGCGCCGACGTTGTCGCTCACGCGTCCCACCGTATGTCCGAGGTTCTCGATCGTGCGCATCATGCCTTCGCAGGTCTTGGCTAGTTTCATCTGGCCATCGCCTAGGGCTTTGATCTGGGACGTTGAGGCTTGGAGGACGGATTTGACTTGTTCCTGGTTGGTGAAGGAGGAGTTGGAGAGGGCGATGTAGTGGGAAGCGTTTTCGCTGACTACGGTTTGCAGTTTTGCTTGTCCTTCTGCTAGAGCTTTGATCTGTGTCATGTTGGATTCGTTGATTTCCTGCATGTGCTGCAGACCTTCGGATTGTGCGACGGACAATGCGCGAATCTGTGCACCGTTCTCCGAGATCATGGAGCTCATCTGGTCAAGAGATGCCCTCAGACTGGCCATGTCCAGACCGTCAGCCTTCTTCTCCTCTTCTTTCGGAGCTGACGCTGGTGCGGTGACTGGGTTCCCTTTGTAGTCCTGAAGAGGAATGACACCCGCTGTCCCATCAGCTGGCGTGTAGAACCATTTATTGCGCAAGTCATAGAAACGCGGGTTGTCTTGTATCTGCTCCTGCATATCATCGCCTTTCAATACGAAGAGCTGCGGGCCCATACGGGTAGATTCAGGGTATTCGGTTTGCACGAGAGACCACCACTGGTCACAAACAGAGGCGTTTGCAAAGGTCAAAATGTACGGGGGAGATTGCGCATAGTCGCTCTAAGCAAATTGATTAGCTTGGGCTCCAGTGTCGCGACGATACGAGGGGATAAGGGAGGGGAGGGATACGGGACCGTATACCTTCTGCGCGTACGCATAGAAAAGATTGTCACTCCAATCCTGAGGTTCGTTGGAATTCGAATCCTTGCGCGTCGGTACTCCTGGCGCGTAGGCGTTCTTGGTAGGGCTGTCCGTGGCCATGATCAAGCCGGCAGCCAGCGAGATACTCGGCTTCTTACGCGGGTGTTCTTTCCAGGGAACAGTCTTGGAAGAGTCGAGCAGAGCAGCGAAATCGGGCATGCTTTTTGGTCGCGCCATTGTAGCTATGCAAAACAGAAGAGCGAGCGAACGAAGTAGAGCGCAAGAGAAAATAATTGTGTCGTAAGGAACTGGAAATAAGCCCCCGAGGAGCAGATGAAGAGTTCAAATGGAGGGCTGCGACAGCATGCAACAGGCCAGAACCCCAGTCAATGACCTCACAGTAGCCGGGGGTCAGGGTGAGTTTCCACAACAAGTCTAGATGATCATCGCAGACTGGAGGATCGGAGAAAAAAAGTATCGCGTGTGTAAGAGGAGAGAGGGGCGCATGTGGAACTTTATCGTGTTGTTTTGTTTTTGTTAGCATCGTGTCTCCATAACACAGCAAATATGCGCCAATGCAGTGGAGGACAGCGAGTGCCTGTCAAACGGTGCCTGTTTCAGTGGTTGCCGCAAGACCTCATTACCGGGCGGAGGCACCGCCGGTCCACCAATTCACGCGAATCTCATTTGTTCGAGGGATGCTTGCAACAGTAGAATGAACAGAAGGAAAAGATGTACTGGTAATCTCAGCAGGGCTGCGCTACAAGAGGAGGTTTAGTGGTTGGGGTTGTTCCAGGGACCAGATGACAGCACCAAAATAGCAGAATGCACGTGCCTTTAGCCCCTTTTGGGCTAGTGCTCCGAGGCCGGTCCGACCCTATCTCATCCCTCAACCTTTCAATTCAATATTGTCGACGTCAATGCAACGGGGCAGCGCCATCTACAGAAACTATAAGTGGGGCTTGGCAAGACCTATGTCGCCAGCTCAGGATCTTTTTGCTCGATCACCAAGGATATGAACACTATCGTTGGTAGAGGCAAAAAGTAAAAACTAGGCTGAATATGTACTCATCCAGGTTTTCTACAATCACCAAGGCACTTGAGTAGTTACCACTCTAGTGAATCGATATGCTATAAGCTGAAGAGCCCTTGATTACCTTTTCATCGTATCTACGCAGTAACTAATTGATACTCCTTCGTCCAGTCCTGAACAGATCCATCATAAAGTTTCACGTTCTCAAACTCCAACACGTTCGTCAAAACGAAGTGCCATCCAGTAGCCATCAGCCCAATGAAGCAGTACACTATAATTTCTCCCTCGTCCGGGCCAACAGGGGCATCCCCCACACCTTTGAAGTAGACCTCCCAGAGCTGATCAACGGTCTTGAAGGTGCCATCGCTGTTCCAGATGTTCTTTTGCGGAAGACTCAAAGCAGACTCGATATGACCCTGATCAAATGATGCGGTATCACGTGCATCGAGCAGCACAATCCCTTCATCGACTTTGTTAAGGCTCGCCTTGACTTCAGGACGTTCAACAACGACAGTCTCATCAACCGGTCCGTTGAAATCTCCAGGCGTAGGAACCTTAGCGTCCAAGGATTCCTCTCCACCATTTTTGATCCAACCTTCGTACCCGCCGTCCAGAATGCCAACCTGGTTCGTAGGTAGACCAGCATATTGTAGTGTAGCGGCAACGCGAGTGGCCTCGTTCATTCCACGGGGCATCGTCGCGACACTCGAAACAAGTACGACGCTTGTGTTCGCCGATAGGCCTTGTCCTGCGAGGGCAGGTAGTAGTTCTTCTGCAGGAGGCATCCGTAGGGTATCGCCTTCGACTTGCTCGGCCCAGAGTGAGCTGTATCCAAAGGGGATACCTAAAGCGCCCGGGACGTGAGAAGCAGCATATGTGGCTTCGGGGCGGATGTCGATGACGAGGAGGAATGGGTCATTGAGGTTGTCTTTGAGCCAGACTGGGGAGACAATGGGGGAAATGGCGGCGGCGAGTTGTGAGTAGAAGAGTGTGGAGGCGAGAGTCGCCACGGTTTTCCAAGAAATTGCCATCTCGAACCCTGTTCCTTTTTTTTTTGTTTTTTGTGCGAGAGACTTCTGATGTGAAATCAGTTCGTATTGCAGATGAATCTTGATCACGATTTTAAATCAAGGAATGAACAGCGAACGCATTTGGGAGAACAAAGCGTCCAAACTTTATACTTCGTTGAGTCAAAAAGTTCCTATACAGACCAGACCACTGCACGATAGACAAGATCTGAGCAAGTTTGCGCATGATAGGAGCGTGTGTAGGAACCAGATCTCCAAGACCGTTATTACCGGGTCCAGGGACGATGAACCGAGGACGGAAACAATAGCATCGTGCTCCACGTCGACCTACCACAGCCCAGAAAATTGTAATGCGGGGAAACACGTTCAAGGTTTTAGATTAGAAGTTGAGGTGTTAAGCGGAGCCCCAAGGGAATAGCTAATGAGAGCCTAGAAAAGAGCTTAGTAATATGACCTATTAACCTACTTGGCTGTTCTCCGTCCCTCCAATCATCATCTCGATATTCAAGTAATCAGCTACAATAGTTAAAGACTTGTCTGTTGAGGAAAACACTGCGAGATTGGTGTTGCCCAACAAGGAAGTATTTCCTGGGGGGCTATTGAATTCACTTTGACAGATCAGGACACGGTGGGGAGGTGGCAAAAACAGTCAACTGCGTTGTTGGCATCGCCAGCCGAATGCGCCGGAGACGAACGAAAAGAAAAATATAAAAAGCAAACAAACAAATCCCGAGCAGCTCCGCTGGGAGTAACAGTGAAAGAAAATGATAGGCCGACGAATTAGAGCCACTTGCGCCATCGCTGTACATTGTAGAATTGAGGTTGATCAAGGATAGTAAGACTCATGGAAAACCTGTTTTCACGGATTCGTTTTCTCCTCCCTTCTCTCTCAATATATTTTCGCCGCTCCCTAAGTGCCTCGTCTTCCTGCCCTCTTTCCCCCTCACATATAGTACTACATGCTGTTCGTTGTATGGCGGAGATGCAGATTCTGGATTAAGCTAAATTGAGCAAAGATAATTTCTTCGACCTGTCAGGTAGGATCATTCCACGTCGTATAAGTCGTTCCAGAAGAGAATATCGTTCATCAAATCCTCTGGCAGATTAAGCGAAACATAATTCTCACGCTTTGGAGTCCGTATCCGAGTATGAACACTGGCTGCAGTTTTCCAGCCAAAGAACCCAGCCATCTCCCAATCGATGAGACCAATAATCCTATCGTTATCAACAATGCAGTTTGACAACGAGACGTCATTATGCATAAAGCTAAGGTCAGGGTCGTCGTTTTTCTCTGCGAAGATAATCTCTCTTTCCAGCTCTTGAATACCCCGATGTTCAACAGGATCTGGATCCGGAATGACATAAGATCGGCGACTGATCTCAACTGCCGAATTTGTTGTGCGCAGTTTCTGGAGTATCTCTCGTACCTGTTGCTTGAAGGAGGTCTTTTGAGACTGCGAAATGTACTGCCAGGCTATGTTGAGGCCGACTCCAGGGATTCTCTCTTGTACAAACACATCTCGTCCGTTGACCTGTCGATGACAACCTTAGTATTGTATCAAATAGACATATATTGAGAAGCATATTCAAAAGTACCTTAGCTGCGAAATAGACCTGAGGGACTTTGGTGTCATCCAACACTTTCCTCGGGAGAGCAATAGCCTCCACCTCGTTCGCATCGGCATACGAATAGTCGCGATGAGACCGTCGTCCTTGGAGAGTCTCTTTTAGGTGACTAGACTTGATGATCACGCTCCCTAACGCAAAAACATCGCGCCCTCCATCCTGATTCTCGTAAATCCTGTTCGACTCCGTGCATTTCTCAAGCACTGTAGACCAGTACTCTAAGGACTCCTGCGTGGTGCCATTAATGTATTTTGCATCAGGTGCGAAGTCGCTGGGCTGAGGAAGGTATCTGCCATACTGAGGTACGTCTGCGTATCGATCTGTTGGCGGTATTTTGTTGGGGTCGGCTTCGTATGGGTTCATCGTGTGAGTATTATCAGATTGAATACTGTAGTAACGTGGGGCAGCCGACCACCCACAGGCGCCCGCAAATGCACGGACCGTATCTCTGCCCACAACAACATTTGAATGCCTGCTGGTAAGATTCAAATGTGATGATGTACTAACATGCGATCAACGACGGTATTTAACTCCCTGGATAATTACAGACTCTGTTCATTCGTGTCTATTTAACGATTACTCTCCAGCAATCTTCCCTTCGTTACCCCCGTCATGCAGTGTCGCTGCAACCTGGCCAGTCAAGAGATGATCCACGTTGGGCAGCAACAAGCTACAAATGATAGCAACACCAGAGAATGCGATATTAGAGAAAAAGACAGTCCGATATGCATCTGCGTTGGCATGCTGATAGGCAAGGGTACCGACTGCCATGATCTCTGGAGTCACTCCGGGTATCTGCGCGAACGCTGCCTCGCCCACTGCGAATGCAGAGATGAATGGAGCAACTGAGGAAGCAGGAAGCCCGGCCGCAATGACAGCGGAAGGAACACGTACAGCGATGGTTGTAGCCAGACGATTTGATAAAATGACAGAATAACTATTTGGTCACGTGATCAGCAGCATTTCTTCCAGATGTCTATGACACTGATGCGTTTGGGCTTGACTTACACAGTCGATGCAACAGATGAAATGAGGAATCGAATTGATCCTGCTATTCCGGCGGAGGTTCCCAGCGCGTATTGGTCTTTTGCGGCGAGAGTCACAATCGTGATGGCTGCACCCTCTACCCACCCCACGAAGAAGACACCCACCGAGACGAGAGCACCAGCTCGCGCCTTTGTACCAACGCCGCATGTTGCCATGGAACCAAAACATATTCCCCCAAGCGTAATACCAACCACGCATTGCCATTTGAGATATCCGATCTTTTTCCCCAGAAAGCCACCAACGATTTGCCCGAGAGTGATGAAAAGACCTACAAATGTCGACAGCCCAGCACTTGCCATGACTCCACCATCACTGTATAGCACAGTCACCATGGACGGCCATACAATGGCGAAAGCGTAGTACACCGATGCACCCAGTCCGGTGAGAATGACAGAGGCGTTCCACGAATAATTGGAGAAGATGTGCATAGGTACGAGAGGCTCCTTAAGGTTGGCGTAGCACTCCCAGAGCACGAAAATAACTAGCGAGGCGAAACCGACTACTATCGTTGCGATGACATATGAAGAAGTCCATGGATGGACAGCTCCTCCCCAGTTCAAGCCCTGGTCAGGTTAGCATGTGCGCACTGCCAATCGTAGGGTTAAATACCATCATGAGAATAAGAAGACCTCCGGTGTACAGTGTAGTTCCGATGTAATCGAAATCTTTTGCGTATTGGAGTTTAGAGGCTTGCTCGCCATGCTTCATTTTGAACGTGGGTGGATGATAAAAGAAGAACCAGCATAAAAAGGAGGCAGTTTCAATTCCAATGAGCACCTAGGCAAAGTGTCAGTACCACTTTCTTACTGAAACCAGGGATCTCGCTGAGTTTGGAGTACTTACATAATAAGCACCGCGCCATCCGACCTTGTGATGGTACACGATAAACGCGTTGGATATCATTGGTGCGAATCCAGATCCGGGGATGCAGAAGAGGTAGCAAAAGGCGTTCCCAGCGAGACGATATTTCATGGGTACGAGTTCGCCCATGACGAAGAAATAGGAAAGCTGGGTCGCTGCGGCTATTCCACATATAGTGGTACCGCCAATCAGTGTGTTTACACTCTGCGCAGTGGCGCATACAATGGCCCCAATAACTCCTAAGAAAGCACCTAGAAAGCCATCATTGTCAGCCATTCGAGGATGATCAAGCAGCGTGGTTGAGATAAGACTCACCCCCGACGAATACCCATCTCCGCCCAAAGATGTCAGACACTGGAAGTGTTAGCCCAGCCTCGAACATGGAAGTGGGTAGGAAGTACCTCTTCCAACGATTGTGATAGCAACAGCAGATGTCAGTGTGTAAGATAGAGCGACCCAGTTGATATTTGGATCTGGTCCAATATCCGCGTTGATGATACTGAGAATTGGAGCCGCATATCCAAACGCAGCAACACCAGCCATCAATCCGAGACCGATACCAGCCATAGATCCGATGAAGAATCTGGACCGGAAATACCCCGGAGGCAGAGAACTTTCATCGAGCTCCAAGTTTGCGCCCACTGCTGCATCATAATGCTCGTTGGTCTTCTCGATATCCGTAGCTGATGGAGTGGACGTGGAAATGTTTTCGATATACTCTTGTGCTGCCTTGTCCGACATTTTCGATAGAAGCGCACTGAGATCCAAGGGATGTAGAAATATTCAGTCCTAGCGCAGCGGTTCGTATTACTTATCAAGCACGCTTGTTGACGCTGTTGCGAGCCAGGATACCTCATCCTTAACATCAAGGGACACGTTTTCCGAGATGCGGAGACCCCGGATTTTCCCCATTACCCCAGATTCGCCCCCTTTCATCCGCGAATCTAGGCTTTGGCGCGGGTCTTGCGTATCCGTTCGTAAAGGAATATTATTCATACTTGGTATAGGTTGAGTGATAAGCTTTTGTGGGGGTTTGAGGGTGGTGAGGAGCCGATGAATCACACGCGCGCTAATGCTGATTCATCTTACCAAGTGGTCGGGCCGTATGAACATGATGTTGTTGAGTAGTATCAGACTGTGTAAACCCAGGAGAACGTCATCCGAAGCAATTGCGAAATATGAGCCTCCGCTTTTAGCGAATTGTGAACCCGAGTGATGTGCCCCAACATCAATCAACAGCGATGATTCATACTCGCAATTGGGCTGGTCAACACTATCTCATGTGCTTTCTTGACAGTTCAATATCTGCTCAAGAATTTCTGCCTCCCGATATAAGTTCTTTTCCTTGAACAGTGTAACGAACATTCCAGTAATTTTACGGGGATATTGGTCCTCTGGGCCGTAAACTTCGACTAAATGTTTGATGGTTTGTGGAAGTATTCCCATAGCATCGGCGTCTCGATCTTGATGCACTAAAGCCAGCGCAAGACAGTACGCATTGTCTAGTGTTTGCGGATGTTTGTTCTTCAAAATTCTCGAAGTCTTTTCGAAGTTTTCCCGCAATAGTCTTTCGCCCTCCGTGTGCTTTCCTTGGCAGTCCAGAACATATCCGAGTTTAGTAGTGGCAATAAGAGTCTGCGGGTGCTCAGTTCCGTGCGATTTCTGGGTTGTCTCAATAATATCCTGCCAGGTCTTTTGGGCTTGCGGATACTTTGCTCGATTTGTGAAGAAGTCAGCAAGGTAGGCTTTACTCGCAATCGTCCATAAATGTTCACTTCCAAGCGCTTTGGTAAGCCCACCTATGATCTCATGGTGCATGCTTTCCGTTATCTCATGCTTGCCTCGTGTGCGCAGTATTCGCAATAAAGACGAGCAGGTGCGAAGAGTATCTTTGTGTTCGAACCCAAGGGTTCCTTGCAGTCCTCTTACAGCTTGCCATATGTATTCCTCTGCTTCATCATAGTTATGGGTCTCCAAGAGAATGTCTCCCATGACCGCGAAGCCTCGAAACATATCAGGGCTTTCCGCTTCACCAATTTTCTGCAAGCCTTCCAGAACTTTCCTTTGTAAAGATTCGGCTTGCAACAGATTTCCCCTTGTGTACTGTATTGATGCGAGATGTGCCATACAGTTCAACGTCTTCTTGTTTTGTTCGCCTAACACACTCGTCATTACAACTACAGCGTCACGACACAACTCCCCAGCTTCAGCATATTCACCCCCATACTGGAGATACTTTGCAACACTGGAGGCTATTTGAGCTCGATTGATCTTCGCTTCTGAGTCTTCAGAGACATAATCCAACGTTCTTTGTGCGTGTGGGAACAAAACTCGAGCAGCTCCGGTGTGATCCTGGAGTGTCTCTGTGGAGATCGAGGCCATGACACTCAAGGCTTTTTGTCTCATTGCCTCCAGCTTTTGGTGGTCTTTTAACCATGACTTGGTGGCCAGTTGCACCAACCCATGCATGTCAAACATATGCGGCACACCCTGAATCTTAACCAGGTTGAAATCCGACAAGGTCCTCGCTGCCGCCTCGAATACCTCAACATCTCTATCAGGACGCAGCAACAAAGCGGGTATTGACTTTTTGTCAAACATGGCCATAAGCGATAGCATCTCCGCAGCCTTGGGGTTGGTGTCGCGGATCAGGTTAAAGGATATATACCAGGTGATGAACACTGCGTTTGGCACTGACTTGTCCCGTCGAAGGTCTCTGGAAACCGCATTCTTGAGCAATCTTGCCTGATCTTCTTCACTTTTCTGGAAAATCTCGAGATACCCTAGCGGTGTGGATCTCATGGGGTTAGCTGTCATATAGGCTGCCGCCTGTGTGATCGCTAAAGGCATATGCTCCAGCTTATGCACAAGTACTCTAGCATCATCAGTCTCCGACCTGCTGTTAATGAAGGCTTTTTTCTCAAGCAACAATAACGCTTCTTCCTCTGACATTGGGTCGACCTGGAGCAGTTGCCGGCTCGATTCCACAAGGTTCATCGCAGTATGTTGGTCCCGCGAGGTGACTAAAATCCATCCATTGGAAGACTGAGGTAAAAAACTTTCCAGGGGGGCCATGTCACCCGCCGCGACTGGCTCGGATTCTGGGTCCACGGAAGTGGTGAAAATTCGGTCGTCGTCAGCGTTGTCAAGTATCATGAGCCAACGCCCATTATTCTCGTCGCGAAGCCAGTTGTACACTACCTGCAGTATCTCTGATTTAGGGTTGTCCCATCCCGGAAGCTCTACTCTGGTGGCAATATCTCGATAAGCTTGTTTGAAGCGAGTAGCATTGCCTGCGTATACCCAAAATACCCAGGTGTCAGGATAAAGGTCCCGAAGCCTATACGCATATTCAATGGCAATTTGAGACTTTCTGCGAGCAGTTTAAGCGTAAGTTCTATTCCTTGCGCTGTATAGATGGCTTACCCAACCCCACCCAAACCTACAAGTGCAACGCGGGCGTGATCCTTTGGCGATTCGCCCTCGAACTTTGTACTCAGCTGGTTCAGGGTGTCCCGACGACCAACAAACCCTCGATCTCTCCGGAAAGGAATCAGTGCTGAAGATCTGCGAGTCCTTGGTAATATGATCTCGTCCGAGTGTTCCAATCCGATCTCGCTTCTAATCTCATCGTCGTCACGCATCTGTCTTTCGATTCTGCTTGTGGAAAGGGTGGCGGGAAGCACAGATAATATCTCTTTCGCGTACGCCGCTGCAGCGCCTGCAGCGTATGTTTGCCATTTTTTGTTTTTGTGGGAATCGGAATAATCGCAAATGCCTCGGATAACAAGGCATTCGAAGCTGCTCATCAGACCCGCGGCCTCCATTTCGAAACAGAGTATTCCGCCGCCGAGTTCTTCAGCCACTTTGTCTCTTTCGGTCGCAAATCTCATCACCTGGTTGCCAGACGCAATGACTCCGTAATGTGTTCTCACTTTCTCGCTGTCCCTACGCGGCGCTCTGGACTCTTGCTTGGCTGCATCACACTCCTCACAGGTATTTCCACCCACATGATCGTACGCAGCATCGAAGAGGATATCGACTCCAGCCCTCTCGCGCCGAAATCTAGGATTTCGATCGGAGACCTTTTTGAGATGGCGGGATATTTGAGACCTTCCCAACCCTTCATTTGCTTGAATCTTGGCTACCGCATTGAGTAATATCCTTGGCGGAGCATTGAGTGAACCTGTTCGCACAAAACCAGTAGGAGTCGCTCTCCCCATGTCGTATTGTACAACGCCACCCGAAGTTTTATTTGGCTGGCTTACCACAACATCGCCAAGACGAATATCGGCTTCTTTGCTAGGGACACCCCCGCCGATGCCTACCATGAGCGCGAAGCGGATCCTCTGGAACGTAGTCCTCATGTGTGTCGCGACTGTTGCAGCCGGGTTGTTACCGATGCATCCTGCTGGAAGGCAAACTATCGCGACGTTGTGACCGTTGATGGAGCCAAGGGTATATAGATTTCCATCATCGCAGTCTACGTTTTCGTGCTCTTCATCAAGCATCTCCACTGCCGCCGTCAGCTCACACGGCAACGCGCAAACCCATCCGACGGTGTACGCTTCACGAGGAAGCCGGCACTGCTGGATAGACATAAAGAGATGTCGTTTTGGCGGTGTGTGCCTTCGTTTCGTCTGGTGGTTCCACTCCAGGGTACAGCATTCGACGACGGTACATGTATGGGCGCCCTGCAAAAGGCTGTTGGGTAACAGAACCACTGGCTATCGGTGATCAGCCTGTTTATCCAGGATATACGAGGTCACATTAGTAAGTTCTCAGCCTCATCGCTTTGGTGCCTGGGGCAGCAACTATACTGTCATCATTTGGGAAAGCGGGCCATCGTGCTCCGAGCTCTCTCTACCCATGGCATCGCCTGCGATTACAACAGACACTAGAAGGATCTTAGGCACACTCTTTATCAATAGACAGAACTTGATATTCCCCAATCCAATTTAGTATCGAACCTAGCTCTTGCTGCTCATGTGATTGCCGCTACCGTATATACATAGGTATGTACAAATACCCCGCTTTTTTCTATCGTCTCTTACTCCATCTACTATTGTATGCACGTCATTCTTTTGGCGCATGCAATTAGCTGCTTTCGACATGTTCCTCCTCTCGTATGAATTTTTCCCCCGTTGACCCTTCGCGCTTTGCTTGGAAGGTTGACGGATTGTATCCTTCAAAACGCGCCACCTACAATGACAAGATCCCCTCTCTGCCAAGCAGTACCGGCTGGCTGATGATGCGGGTAATATACGTTTATCTCATAATCATCGCATCCATGCTTTTGTCGTCCCTGGTGTTTGTGCCGTATTTTACTAATCGCGATTCCTCAAACTACAAATGTCGAAGATTACTATTCTCTCGAACTTCATAGATTGTATGTGTCGTGTTTAGAACAGTATGTCGCATGGAGAAGAGTACCTTGGCTGGTTAGTAGCTTACTTTGACTGGTAGAGGAATCCAGAATCCTTCGCTACACTGCGGGGTACGACACAGATATTTGACTTTGCTCGTATTCGATGACTCCGTATTCGTGAACACAAGCTTCGAGAGACCTATCTGCGCAGTCTATATATCATCATTCCAGCAGTGAAATTATACAAAATGTTATGTCAGCGTTGCATTACATCTTTGCAACTGGCCTTTGCAAACCTGTCTCCTTCCACACACGACCCCAACGCAGACGAGTCCGGTGTCGAACACCACGGATCCTTCGATGAACTACATACTTCTGTCCTCCGAGGTTGCTTAGTGTGCCGGGCTTTCTGGAACTCCATGCTACAGACGTTTGTTCTGTTAGCAGCAATGGATCATGTCGGCTATAAGAAAGACTTTACGAACACCGGTAAAGCATCATCCGATATTGCAGAAAACATAGCGCTGGAGTCTAGCCTTTTAAAACAGCATGATATGATGACTTCACCAATCATATTGCGCTTGTCCTGGGGTAGAAACACAGAGTCGGGACGTATTGTGTTCGGCACAGAGGACTTCTCTAATCCCAATTATCATAATTGTCGTTTCTTCTTGGAGCCATTGGCCGAAGGACATAGAATCTCTAAGAATGGAGTGCTTGATCATTGGACCCCCACACTTTGGAATCACTGGTTGCATACATGTTTGTCATCTCACAAAACATGCCGCGCGCCGGACAATACATCGCAATCCTTCACCCCCGATAGACTGGTAAAAATAAACAGTAAAAACAACGGCGCATCATTCCAATGGAGTATTGCACTTCGTAAGGATATAGGCGATGTCCCGTATTTAAGTCTAAGTCATTGTTGGGGCTCCTCTGGACATACTAGTCTAACGACTGAAAACTATACTCGATTCTTGGAACCCAGCGAGGCTTCCGAGCTACCAAAGACATTTCAGCATGCGATAAAAGTGTGTTTTTCCCTGGGGTTTCAATATATCTGGATTGATTCGATATGCATCATCCAGGACAGTTTACAAGACTGGGAAACCCAAGCGTCCATGATGGGTTCAGTATATGCGAATTCCCGCTGCAATATAGCTGCGGCTTCCGCCTCAAATGGAAACGATGGATGCTTCCCATCAGATGAAGACAGAATGCCCACAGTGTCTCTTGGTAGCAGAAATCCGAATGTCTACAGCATTACTCCATACTACACTTACGACAGTGAAGTGCGCAACGCCCCACTCAACAACCGAGGCTGGGTCACACAAGAAAGATATCTTTCCAGACGTCAGATACTTTTTGCAACGAGCCAAGTCTATTGGGAATGTAAAGAGCTTGTCGCGTCTGAGCATCTTCCCATGTATGACCCCTCTTATGCGGTAGACAGAGAGGCGGCACTTTCAGAAAAGCCGGACTGGACAGCAAAAACAACAGAAAAGCATAGAGAATCTTGGAATGATTTGATTCGTTATAGTTCGAAATGCAAATTCTCCAGGAATTCAGACAAATTGATTGCAATTGCTGGCCTGGCGGAGCAGATGAGGAGTGCGATACAGGACAAGTACATCGCTGGGATGTGGGAGAAGGACCTTGTTAAACAACTTCTCTGGGAGGTGACAGCGATCGGGCCCCGCTCTAGGGCGTCAACTTACCTGGGCCCGACCTGGTCTTGGGTGAGCATTGATGCGGCAGTGAACCCAGCTTTATGGTATCATTATGACATGGCGTGGTCCCCTACAATTGAAGTCATACATGTAAAGGCCCCGTCCACGCATGCCTCAGGCTTACATAGCTTCAAGAACTGTCGGCTTGTATTGCGAGGGCTTGCTTTTTGGGCTTGTCTCACCAACAATACTGAAACTATGGAGAGGCGCTATGCGTACTGTCAAGCAGAGATGAATTTCCATAACGAAGAACCTACCAAACATCACGATGGACCTCACGATCCCAGTCAGCAATTTTCGCCCTTGATTACCTGGGATGAGAAATTCGTGGAAAACGAGGTAACGCCTGAAGAATGGCAAGCATTTCAAAAAGAGAGAAATTCAACTCATCTACTACTAATCGTAACACTTCGCGGAGTATACGGCGTACATGGTATACTTCTTAGAAGACAGATCGATTCTTGTGGAAAGGATCAATACGTTAGAGCAGGAGTTCTTTGGGTGAATAGGGAAAGATTTTATGGGTTTCTGTGTGATAAGATTGGTCTTCCATATGATGACCACATCGGAGAGAGCTTCAGTCTCGACGACCCTAAATTAGCAAAGTTCGTACATACAATCACCATGGTGTAGCGTACGAAACAATTCAATATCTATATGAGTTTTTTTGAATAAAATTCAAGATATTGTTACCTTCGCACGACTCGCACCATCCCTAAACTCTAGTTCATTTGCTGTGTCGACCGTGTTTATTTTCTGCTGGAAGTTTCCCCATAAACATAATGGCTGATGGTGGATGAATTGCACGTCAGTCGAGTCTTGACTCAAGCCTTTGCCTATTCCAGTGCAACTCTATTCACCTCGTGGGGTATAGATTGTGACATGCTGATCATCTAACCTTAAGTAGGGCTAGGAGATATCTGTAGATCATATTTGTTCACGGTAACATCGAGCTCGTATATTTATAAACGAATATCTATTTGAACATGATCAGCACGATAGATGGGTGTGGTCTAGATATCTGGTCTGTCCTCTTAGCATTTTCGAGCTCGAAGTTTCCAGCAGAACGCTGAGTGCCGAGGCCATTCTGTCTTTGCGTACTTTTTAGTTTTGTACCTTTTTTTTCAAGGCTGGGAGATACGACAGCATTCACTCAGCGAGGGATAATCGTCAGATTTGCGGGAATTCAAACTTTGGCTACATCTTTCTGTGACTGAGCCATGACAACGAACGCGGTCTTGAGCTGTTATAGTGGTCTCAAGAACTCAACAAGGATTAAAACATAGGGCATGTCCCGGTAAATAATTCAAAAAGTGATAAGAAACTACTTGTCAAAATTTCGCAAGACGGTGATGGGGATAAATGCTATTGTACAGAAGTGATTGAGGGTTGGTTATCATTCACCTTATAACCTAAATTGGCGCTAGCGCCTTGGCAAATTCACCCCACATCTCCGCATCTGTTGGCGACCTCCTATCCTTGTAGTATCTCGACATCCACCGCACTAGATCTGCAGAGTATTATCGTGGCGAAGGAAAACTCTTCAATTGCATTCTCGTAATGGAATTCCACCAACCGCGTTAGAAATCGAGGAAGGGGCATCCTAACAAGAATGTCGACCCTCGCACCCATCAGCCCTCATGCTACGTCAAATCGCCACGATTGACCGAATTCGTCGCGCCTCACCTTAGAGGCTTCATGGTGGAAGAAGCTGCTCGTTCAAACGTCTGCCACGATTTGAGACATCTTCATTAGCCGAACGCCCCCTCGCGTGGTGGCTATCATGATCAGTCAAGTTGTGTGAAACCTTTCACAGCACCTGGAGCCACTGCTCCTTCGATATTGTATGATCCCGGATACTTTCCATTGCGCTGGAAGCGTTGATAACAGGCCGCTGGACCCTCAAATTGGAATTAGCGCTGGTGTCATCTTTGTACAGCAGTAGAAGAGCCGGAGTGGCTTCTGCCGGTGATGTGAATTCCTGGTGGCGACCTCTAAGAATTCAATGTTTTTTGTCTCAGTGTAATTTCAGGACTCCAATTAACAGGCGCGATTTCTCTGGTCAATGGATTCTTGAACTTCCCGTAAATGACATGTTTCTCCTAGGAACGCATGTACGACTGTTTGGTCTCACGTCGCTTTCCGTCTATCACCTCCGCGCTTTGGCTGTCCTCGATAATCTTACCCCATTTGCATCAATTTTGTCGGAGTGATGGGCTGGTGCGGAAAATATCGTCGCCTGTTCGCAGAAGCACTAGAGAATGTACCCTGCCGCCATAGACATGGGCAGCGTTTGGTACGGATGCAGCCACCAACTCATATAGGCATTTCTCCTTACCGATCACCTGGAGCCTGCCCCTGAGAGTTGTTCGCATGGTATTGGTGCTAGATAAGCGGTGAGATTTCTTCAGCATATTATCTGTGAGTGACTTAAGACCTCAATGGATAAGTTGATTTATCCTAGAAATTCACTCTATCTCAATTGTCACCCTTTGTTATGGGAGACATGATATTTGCAAGTATAAGCATAGTTACAAGCGTGAAACTTTGCAATTCTGCACGACTTGACTTCACTCGTACGAGCTAGCCAAGGTATACGAAGTTCGGTGCACAACATGACCCGCAGGGGTAGCTCGTATACGCCCACCCAACCATCACTCATCTTTCCCTTCGGCAATGCACGACTCCATAACATCCATGGTCAACCCGTAAGGGTGTTTTCTGACGACTGAGAAATAACAGGGGGGCCGAATGGGATCATAGTCCGAGGACACAACAGAAAATATGTCACCAGGCTAACCCAAGATTTGAATTAAACATTCTCTCACAACAATGGCTAAGAAAGCAGTGTGCTACGTTCTGGTACAGAGTTGGAAGACCGCCAATTGAGGCTTGGTAGACTGGTATAACAAAGTCGGTTTAAAAGATATCTATGGAATCCACCGAACATCATGATGCACTTCATCCTGGCGTACAATCACCCAATACGCGATCAACATTGGTGCGGATTATGTTCCATTCCACAACAATCGCCTCGACATCTTACAATCTGGGCGCATCATGTGTTTCATTGCAGCATGCAGACCACTTTTGCAACACCCGAGTGAGCGCATATGCAATTCACAACACCCCAGCTCTTTACATATTTGATGAGTCTCGGGCGCAACATCAATGCCGCTTGTCAGAAAAGTGGAGAGTAATTCGTATTCCCGTTCATCCTCGTCGACGCGCTGGACGTCCCCTCAGGGGCCCTGGTTCAAGTTCGAGCGTGTGATCATATAAGGAGGGCTACACAGACCACGTTCTATCGACGTTCTTTTTTGGATAACGAAAAGGTCTCTGTTCGAAAGAGAAACACTGCTTGATTCGGGAGCAACAGCAGACAGATTCAACAGCCACTTTGACCATATCAAGCGAATCATCATGGCCTCTTCACCGATTCCCGAGGACCAGAAGTCTCAGTTGAACTTCCAAGATATATTGTTTCCTACTCCACCACCTCCCTCTCACGTCTCTTCACAGATTGACACATTGAATGCGCCCTCTGAACGTCGAACAACGCATTCCATCCACACCTCACAACGGCATAACCCTATTCGCACTACTGTCCAACACAAAAAACACCATGCACGACCAAACAGTATGTCAACCACTACAACGCTCGCTACGAACGACCAGATACCACCGCCATCGCACCCGAAGCGTACCGTAGCAACACTGCTATGTTTCTCCGCACTTACACTCAGCATCTTCCTTGTCGCGCTCGACACTGTTCTGATCCCCACCGCACTCGCTTCAATCGCATTGGATTTCCATATCCCGGACTCGCTGTATGCATGGACTGGTTCGGCTTACTTATTAGCCAACGCTGCGAGTATCCCGTTCTGGGGAAGGCTGAGTGATGTGTTTGGAAGGAAACCTATCATCTTGATCACCAATTCGATATTCTTGGCCGGAAGTATCGTGTGTGCTGTCAGTTCTAGCGCGACAATGCTGATTACTGGGAGGACTGTACAAGGTCTGGGTGGTGGAGGGGTGAATTGTCTGGTTTATGTGTGCGTTGCGGATATGTTCTCTATTCGGTGAGTAAGATCTTGATTCCTTGTTTTGTGGATGAAGTCGAGTGGCGCTGAGATTCGGTAGTGATCGCTCGTTTTATATGGGCATTGTCGGCGCAATGTACGCTGTTGCGTGCTCTTTGGGGCCTGTTCTAGGAGGCGTATTCGCGCAGAGATTGAGCTGGCGGTGGTGTTTTTACATTAACAGTAAGTTTGACCAACGTTCGTCGTTTTAAACCAAAATCGTCGTTGTCTTACCGCCGTTGTCTTACCGCCGTTGTCTTACCGCCGTTGTCTACGCCGTTCTCATACCTTTCAAAATCCTTTCTCTATGACCGACCCATGTCCTGGATACACACATCCTTCCTAGTCTTATTCTACGAACCACAATACGACCCTCTTCTAACAACCCACCAGTCCCATTCGTCTCAATCGCCCTTCTAACCCTGCACTTTACAATCCACCTCCCCCACACGCCAACCCCCCTACTCCACGCCCTCCCCTCCATCGACTGGCTCGGCAACCTCACAATCCTAACCGCAACCCTCCTCCTCCTAATCGGCCTCCAAATCGGCAGCACAGCCGCCTACAACACCCCTCTCCCCCTCTCCCTCATCATCCTCGGCACCTGCTCCTACCTCCTCTACCCATACACCCAACACCTCGCCGCAACCCGCCCTTCCACCACCCCACTAACCCCACTCCGCATCTTCCGCGATCTATCGAACCTCAGCGCTCTAGGCGTCTGCGCATGCGACGCGCTAGTCTTCAACTCAGTAGCATACTTCCTCCCGCTATACTTCCAGCTCATCCTCGCGCGGTCCCCCTCGACGTCTGGCCTGTACATGCTCGCCGTCGCCGTCCCGCTCGCGCTCGTATCCTTTGTAGCGGGCTACGCGATCAACAAAACAGGGAGGTACCTCGAGGTGCTGCAGCTGGGGCTTCTGCTCATGACCGCTGGCGTCGGGCTACTCATTACTCTCCCGCCAACCCTCCATCTATCAAACATCATCGGGTTTCTGGTACTTGTGGGGATTGGGTTTGGACCGAACTTCAATGCGCCGCTTATTGCGCTGCAGACGCGCATTGCGGACGCTGATATGGCGTCTGGCACTGCGGCATTCGGGTTCGTGCGTATGGTCAGCGGTGCGATTGGAGTTGTTGTCGGACAAGTCGTCTTTCAGAGCTTGGTGAAGCGCGAGGTTGGTCTCTTTGAAAGCGTGGGGGTGCCGGGGGAGCTGGTTGGTGCGTTGGGGGGCGGGGAAGCTGTTTCTGCGGCTGAGAGCGTGGGTGCGTTGGACGAGGGGGTGAGGGGCGTTGTTAGAGAGGGTATGAATGGCGCGCTCAGGGGGGTTTGGGGGGTTTATTGTGGGGTCAGTGCTTTGGGGTTGGTTGTTAGTTTTGGGATTAAGAGGGCGAGGATTGGGGGTAGTGGGTATACTCGGAGTGAGGGTGGCGGTGATGGGGAGGGAGATGGAGAGAAAGATGGGCAAGGGGGTCATGGGATTGCATCGGAGAGGGAGAGGAGTGGAAGTGGTGGGTAGCATAAGTGACGTTACCTGCTTTCTTTTGTCGTCGGTCTGGAGCAAAATAGCTGGTTTTAATTCATGTTGGCAACAGTCGCATACTGCAATATGGAGCTGCGGTGAAGGGTTTGAGTGCATGCCTGTTTACTTGATATGGGAGGGTGAAGATCTGTCTATACGATCGAACATGCTGTGTGAAGATTCAATGGTACATACATAGGTCTGTATCCTGTTCAGTGAATGAGAGTTTGATTAGATCAGATGTAATCAGACATTGACAGTTGCACCACGGTAATTCGGTATTCATTGGAGTGGCAATCATTAATCTTTTTTATTGGTATGGCGAGAACGTGACATGGCGCAGGGAAGTGGCAAGCAGTGTGAGATTCCCACAAGTCTTTCAACCATGGGACTGCGACATATACACGAAGTACGTGGAACCTATGTCTAATCGTCACCACCGCCGATGGGGCCGCCGCCCTGTTTCGCCGCCTTCGCAGCGACAATATCATCGACCCTCAACAGCAGACACGCGCTCTCGACGGCTGTCTTTACACTCTGCTCCTTGACCGCCAGCGGTTCCCACACGCCGTACTGCTTCATATCGACTACCTTTCCAGCGTCTCCGTCGATACCCCACGAGCTGCCGCTCTGCTTTCCGTCATCATAGCCTTCAGCGTGTTTTGCGCGGAGTTGTGTTAGGACCTTGATCGGGCTGTTGCCTGAGTTCTGGATCAACGTGCGCGGGATGACTTCCATGGCTTCCGCAACGGCTTTGTACGGCCATTGGGCGACACCCTCTACCTGCTTGGCTCTCCTCTCGAGACCGACTGCGATCGCCATCTCGGTGGCGCCACCGCCAGGGCAGAGCTTAGGGTTCCAGATGACATTTCGGGCGACACCCATGGCATCGTGGAGGTTGCGCTCGATTTCATTCAGGATATCTTTGGAAGGACCGCGGAGTAGGATTGTGCAAGCCTTGGGGTCCTTGCATTTGGTGAGGAAAGTGAAGTACTCATCACCAATCTTGGAAATTTCGAAGAGGCCGCACTGAGTGCCAATATCGGAAGCGGAGGCGGAGAAAACGGAGTTGACAATTGTGGCACCTGTCGCACGAGCGATACGGTTATTGTCGGTTTTGCGTACTCGGCGGATGGCAGTCATATTTGCCTTGACGAAAAAGTGCTGTGCGAGGTCTGAAGACTGATGTTAGCATAGATCTACTGTAGGTATAGCTGCCCAACATACCACTAACGCCCTTCTCAGTGATGATAAGGTCTGGCTTCAAAGCAATAATGGCATCGCACATGGCCTTGACCTGCTCTTCTTCGATTTGCAGTATACGGTTCCAGTCTTCTTCTTTGCTGATCTCAATGTTTGTTTGACTTTCACCCTTCTTGTACTCGAGCGGGCAATCAAGAAGCAACACCCTCGGGTTTTCTATCCGCCGCCTCATCTTGGGATGTGTAATGTCCTTGTTGAGCATGACTCCGTCCAGCACCTCACTGTCCTCGATCTCACCGCCAGGAATCTTCTCGACGCGAGCATATCGCTTGATATCAACCTCCCTCTTGTCGCCACCAGCGTCCATTGAAACGGTGCGCACAGCCTTGAGGGCAAGACTGCACATTAGTTCGGACCACCGCGAAACGAATTTTGTGCCGATTGACGCATTGATGAGCTTGTACATGGCGTCGTCGTTGTTGGTATCCACATCCACAGCGATCTCGTCAATAATTTGGAGGGCATCGGTAAGAGCACGCTTGAAGGCCTGGATAATGACTACGGGATGGATATTGCGCTCGAGTTGGGGAAGGGATTGTGCGAGCATTTCTCCAGCTACACGCAGTAGATTAGCGAAGGGAAATAGGATTTTCCAGCGCGGGAGAAGCGCATACCTAATATAATGACGCTGGTTGTGCCGTCGCCCACTTCCTCGTCTTGAGTGCGACTGAGCTCGATCATGCTCTTTGCGGCGGGGTGCGCTACTTCAATCTCGCGAAGAATAGCATGGCCGTCATTGGTGAGGACGATACCGCCCATGGGGTCGAGCAGCATCTTGAGCATGGCCTTGGGACCCAGACATGACCGGATGATGTCGGCCACGGTCTTGGCCGCCGTGATGTTGGAGAGTTGTGCTTTACGTCCAAACTGGCGTTCCCCACCGGGCGTCTGGGTGTCTGTTTGCCGTCAGTGGGGTGCCAGAGGTGCTGCCAGGAATTGATTTCGTACTCATAACCACTACGGGCGCCTGCATCTTGACGGCGTGTGTGAGGTTGTTCCTTGATTATTTCTGGGGCCAGTAGGAACGAAATCAAAGCAAAGGAGGGGTGTTTGGTCGTGGGTATCAAAGCTACTGGTGCCTTGCAGCTTTCGCTATGGCATGGCTTGCAGGGCCAAAAAACGCGTCGGAGCGTCGATACGTTTTTCCGGCATATCGGGGAGTCCCGCGGCAGGTGCCGGAGAGCTGCATTATGTCAGCCGGAAGGTTCGTCATGTGACATCATGTGACAGGACGCAGGAGGGCACCTGGGATCGGCTGAGCTCTTCCCGTTTGGGCTTCGGGCTTTGGCCTGGGGCGATGCCAAGCGGGTTTCCCCCATTCGGCGCGACCGAATCGGAACGATAGCGCGAATCATGGTGCGGCCAGTGAGCGAGAGACGGCCATTTAGCCTTCTGCCGCGTTTCACCGCCCGGCAACCCAGCCTCTCACGGGACTGCAAGCGAGCGGTTACAAGAGCTGTCGCGCGCCCTCACTCTTCTCTCTCTTCTCTTCTTCCTCAGCCAGCTGCTCTTGTGCGCTTTGCTTCCTCACACACACTTGCCTCACTCGTCCTACCCACTCTCACCTCTTCTCATACTTCCATCCTCTTATCCATCTTTCATCCATCTCTACTCCACCTCTCCATCACTTCGCGCATCCAACACCTCAGCGCTCTCCATTCTCACCAACCTACCTCCAACCTCACCGTCGTGTGACTGCTGTAGTCGCCGGATCCATCATCTGCTGTAGTCTTCTTGAGCAGCCTTTTGTATCATTAGTCTATATTCCCCCGTCCTTTGAACTAATCACACAGTGACACCATGGGCCTCAACTACTACGCTTCTGCTCCTACCGTCGTGCTCCCAGCGCAGCCTGCGCATTCCCACTATGCACCCAATCAGCGATCCAATTCCCCGGGCATGTACCGCCCCAAGTACCCAACTCCGCCATCCCTCAACTACCAAGCCGCTGTGTCCAATTCCACGGCTGGGCGGAAACGATCCATCACCGACGTCGACGAACCCGAAGAGAACCGCCCTGTTGGAGCAGTGGTGACCCAGACACCTCAAAAGCCCAGAGCAGAGCCCGTCTTTGGGCCAGGCATGACTCTCATCTACCCTGACGATCCTGGCTTCAGCATTGCTGCCGAGTCGCAAACCGGCACATGGTGCGAAGAAAAGAACGAACAACTGGAGAAAGCAGTCCCGGCGGCCCGTCCCATCGCTGTCTCCCGCAAGTCGCAACGCATGGATTCTGCTACCGACATCACAATCCCATCTCTCAACGACACGGCCGCTCAGCAGTCGGGTGCCGTCATTGACGAGCACGGCCACACCATCGACGCGCTCATTACATCGCTCGGTGTAGGCTGGAAGAACATCATGACCAACCCTGTTCTACGCGATGCATCGCGCGCCTACTCACGCGTCATTGAGAACCATTTCGATCTCACCGATGCCACTGTCATGCTCGAGAAGGAATCTCTCTCCGCCTACCTCGTCCGCGCCAAACAGCATGGCGTTCAGGGCTACTGGCTCTTCTCAGACAACCTTCAATGGTGCCAGTTGGTGGGATGGTCGCTCGACCGCACAGTCCAAAACCTAATGGCTGGCCCCGTTCCGCAAGTTGAAGGAGAGCGCATCAACGCGCGTGCGCGCACTCCGTCTGAGCCCGCAACTCCTCCTTCCCTTGGCATGGACATCCCCGTTGCAGTGGCCGACATCGATGCCATGGAAATGTAAAAGCCATTCTCTGCATTCCCGCGTCTGCTTCCCTTTTCTCCATTACATCGTCACCATCATCATTACTGTATACGACAACGTTCTCTCTCTGGTCACTGTTTGCATCACTCTGTTTCTTTCCGACACGGTCTCTTTTCGGGTACATCGGCGTTTTTGGTGGTGGGTAACGGATCTGCCTACGGGAATCGGGGTATTGATTAACCATGTATTATTATTACTATGCTCATAGGCTTTGCGACTTGCTTGATCAACATTATGATCGCGTCGCATTTGTATGTTTGCTCACTTATTGAAAATCGTAAGCACAGAAGAAATCTATCATGAACATTTATCATTTCACCGTCATCTGCAAAGTGATTTCCACCATTCATGCTCTCATCGAATCTCGTAGGTATCACACAATGTCCCGAAGGGAGTGTGTGCTATGAGGCCCGTTCGTTCAACCATCTATCCGTTCAGTCCGCGAACCAACGCGAAACCTTCACGCTGGCCTTAACACACTTAGCTCCTGGTTGTTGGTCCAACCACCCATTTTCTCAACACTATTTCCTCTCTGTTTCCACGTCAACAATGGTAATAACACGGCCGCGATACACATTCACTTTTATCACCACTCCATACACACACACATCACCTACACTCATGACGACTTTTTCTTCTTTGCCCGCCTCGCTACACCTGCCTCCAGGTGGAGGTGAGTAAGCTCGCAATCGGATCTAGCCGTATCAAGAACAAAATGATCTCATTGGCTCCATCGATTGGTTGAACACGATCCACTTTTCACTTCTATCGCGGTCCGATCTGCCTCTGATCATCGCTTTTCTTTTCTACGCACAGAAAGGAATAAGAAAAATTCTCTTTGCTGGAATGGAGATCGTGGGTGGGGTGGCTTGTCTTGGGTGATGGGTTTTTTGTAGGGTAGGAGAATGGTAGGATAGACGTCATATTTTTCTTCGCTTGTAGGTGGGTCTTTGGGAGGAGGAGGGTAAGGGTTGGAGGTTCGCTTAGCTTGGGATGGGATAGAGATTGTAGCGGGTGGACGCCCTGATTGTTTGTCTGTTTGGTAAATGGGCTGGTTGGGGTGGGGTGTTGCAGGTGGGATTTGATGTGGTTGATGCGCCGTGGCCCTGCGCTGAAAGCAAAACACATCTCCCGTGAACCTTTTTGTCACCTTATTCAACCAGCTTTTTGAGTGTAGGAAACCCGTCAACTTCCGATTAGAACAATCTTGCAGGTGGGAAAGTGGGATGCGAAGAGGTGAGGAATATATTGTAGGACAAGAACGCACGAATGTATATATGTGGCTGTGTAGTTTTCAGGCGGTGTTTGTTTGGGACCAACGAGCATGTTAGTGAGTCTGATGTTCCTTGAAATCAATGTGTCTGTAGTAGGGTTGGGGAAAAGCCGAGCTTACCGTAGTGATTACTACAGTAATATTCAAATGTTACTATTACTACAGTTTCCCATACAATGACCTGTGGCTATTATCGCCAACCGCGACATGCATGTCTGCTCGGCCGAACATGAATAATGGTATGAAGTTCAGGATACTTGTATCCGTGGGGCTTTTGAATTGATACCTATGTACAAGTGGGGGCCAGGCATCTGGTACAGAGAAAATGAATCAAGAAAACAACTGCAGCAGAACGCTACTTGATACTTGAGGAAAATGGCAATCGCAGGTCTCGTCAAGGCTTGTTCCTTTAGACACACCGACTCGTTTCAGCTCACTTATTACGTTCTTAGTGGTTCTCAGACGTCCGTAGTGTGCGCGAGGCGGTCCCCACGGGAATAACACCAAAATCTCTCGTCAGACCAACAACAAGCCTTCTACGATACCGACCCTAAATCTCCTAGCGATAATAAAACCTCGTATGTACTATGGGGCGGTTGACCTAACATCCCCAGCCCCCAACGAATGGCCAATCATCGCTCTCAAAGCCTGTCCTAACCACCAACTCGGCGTCGCCCGCACCGCAACGGATACCCGTTTAGGAGTCGACGAGCCCTGCGCATCCAGGTACAGCCACACTACCCTAACACCAAGATCAACAAGCATTGAATTAAGCTCATGCCGCCAAGTCCCATCAACGGATTGTTCGAGTTTTGCTGACATACTTGCCCGTATGTTACCTGGTCTGGGGTCATGGCTGGCACCGAGTTACTGTAGTTATCGGAGTGCTCACTTCCTATTCGCACGCTACATGCGCCCTATTTGTCGAGAGACTCGATCCTTGCTGCGCTCAGCCTCTTGGCCTGCGTAGACGTTGTTTTAGCTCGTAGGCTAGAATGAGGATGGAGAGTATATATGAGTGTGGGTAGGAGCTGTGGAACGTGTTGAACATTTTTCTAAGTCATTCACAACTTGCCTAATCGATATCTCGCAAGCCCAGCCTGGGAACGGAGATCTTCGAACAACAGAAATCGACATGGCCGACCTCTCACTTCTCAAACAACAAAGCATGAACGCAGTCTTACTCTTCGCCCGCAGCCGCCATGACTCCGACAAAGACTCCGACAAAGACTCCAAGAAGATATGCCCCCAAGAAAACACCACCGGTCCCCCGCTCGTCCCCTTTGTAGGGAACCTTTCCTTCCATTCCTTCGCTACAATCCTCACAGGCGCAAGCGCAGTCTTCTGCTTCCTCGCCATCGCCATCGCAATCTCCCGCCATGCATTCAACTACACGAACCGCATCCAGCAGCGGCAGGTCATCCGCATTATCCTGCTCGTCCCTTGGGTGTCCCTGTTCTGCTTCCTCATGGTCTGGCAGGAGGAGGCAGGGGAGTATTTAGTGGGCAGTCTGGACTTTGGATGCGCGATTGCTCTATCCGCGTTTTTGCTGCTCATGTGCGATTATGTACTTGCTAGCCCTGGAGGGTATCAGTCATTGCTTGGAGATGATCCCGGTAGGCCTAAAGAGAAGACGCAGGGTTTGGCCTGGTTCAAGGTATTTTCTCTCCTTTGCTCACTGCACTCTCGCACACATAAGCGTACAGTTGAGCTAACGTTGATGTGCTAGCGTGTGTGGTACATGTCCCTTCAATTCATTCCCACCAGCTTGATTCTCTGGGTCGTGACGTGCATTACCCTCGCCAGTGACACGTACTGCGCGGCGAGCAACAGCCCGCATTTCGCGCATATTTGGATCACGGTGATCAAAGGCGTTGTTACTGTTTGGGCTGTGCTGGCCGATTTCAGGTTGTATAAGCAGCAAAAGGCTGTTTTGAAACCACACAATATGCTGTTGAAGTTTGCGGCTTTCAAGGGAATTATTGGGTTGAATGTCATACAGACTGTGAGTTTCTCCGTATCCTACCCTTTTCGGTTCTTAGAGTCCTTTTACCCGTGGTTATTGTGCCTATTCCACATCACGGAATCACTTCTGAGCGACTATTACCTTTGTTCTTCACATATTTCGCCGTTCTCCCCCTTCCACACGCATCGCACACACCCATAACTCCCCGACGAACCCCAAACTAACGCAAGAAATAGCTAATCATCAACATCCTCCTCGGCTCATCCGTAATCCGCCCAACCCAGCACCTAACCTACGAGGATATCAAAGTAGGACTCCCCAACTTGATCCTCGGCCTCGAAATGCCACTCTTCTCAATCCTGATCATATTCGCCTTCCCCGTCTCCCCGTACCAAAAACGCGGCGATGGAAGTGCGACTCCCGCTGCGGGACCATTGGTGGCGGTTGTCGAAGCGCTGAATATCACGGATTTGCTATCTTGCTTTGTTAGGGGGCCTATGCGTTTGGTGAGGGATCAGCAGTGGGGGATCATGAGACAGCAAAGTATGCCTTTAGAAGGTGGTGGTGGAAAGGCCCACAGGGGTAGCGGTAGAAGATCTCACAGTCGTAATGGCAGAAGGTCTCACAGTCGTGGTGGTAGAAGGGATCCCTGGGTTTGAAGGTAAATAATGGATTATAAATGTCGGAATATCCAATTGACTTTTTTTTTTTTGCTCGCGCGCATGGTTGCTTTGTTCTACGGCGCTCTGGCGACCGACCCCGGGGATGTTCATTCGTGAACATCGAATACCCTTATTCTCTGGTGCTACAGTACACATATCATACCGCATTTCTTCTGAACAATATCACATTATCCATCGCCGACTACTACATTACCCACCTACGCCCTTAACTCTCACACCTACCCATGTACACATTCACCCTCACACAACACCCTTCCTACCTCCCACTTTCACCACTACACAAGATCTACACCTCTATAGCAAAAAACACTATTATCCCCGTTCCCATAAAACCGACTCAACTCAAGTATTCAACATTGATGTTCCAAGTGCACAACCCCCACTTCACCCGCCCAGCACGCAGGAACATGTTCCCCCGAGCACCAAACTTAACCGAATCCGTCCTAGACCAACCAAACGATGCGCGCGCGCGCATGTGGGGTTGTGTGGAAAATCTTAACTTGACTGCATGGCTACTTCACTTCTTCGCTATATCCAGCATTTCGCGGCCACCATGGTTGTTGGGGCTATGGCGGTTTTGGAGGGGTGGATGGGAGAAATAGAGGTAAGAGTTGGGTGTTTTTTTTTTGCGGAAGGGAGAAGAGGTGAATGGGGAAAAGACACGTAAGAGATAGTTCTACGGTGAAGATGGGTTATGGCTTGCTGGTAAGGAATTCGTTTTTCATGTTTTTGTTTTTATTGTCTATCTCTTTCCTATTGTCTTCTGGTCCTCTTGTTCTATTGTCTATTTGGTCTTTTTTCTTGCGGCGTATCATCTGCCACGTTTTCTATTGCTCAGAATCGTTACTCATTGTCCGCATTCTCTTTCTAGTGTTTACTTTCTCTGAGGTCGGCGCGCCTGAAATAAAAGAGCTTGGAGAATTCACCTGGGTATGGTCATTTACATGAATGAGTATTGGTACAATACATGGGCCATCTCGGCCATCTTCTTGTGTCCGCTTCTCGCTATTCTTGCCTTTCTACTCTCCCTCTCATGTCTATTATCTTGTTTTGCCAGGCTTTGAAGATGGCTTGTGGTCCTACCTTTGTCGTCCTGAGTCGAGCAAACCAAACGGCACCGGGAGATGAGAAGGTGCCACCAAGTCGCCATCCCGACCCTACGATATCCTGAGAGCTCGTTCGAACTCGACCTTCAGGCTGCAACCCAGCATTCTCACCCGAAACATCAACATAACGTGCAGAGGTGTCGTGGTGTTCCCCACGGTCTAGGAGTTGGACTGCCGTCTCGCCTTTCACTACCTGACGCCTTACCCTGCTCACGGTTGTTCGTCTCAACTCACTTCGACCTGGCCAACTCAGAGGAGTCTCTCACTCACGATTGTTTGCTCGTCTACCTCGCCAAACACGCCAATGCCCTCGCTTCTGCCTACTCGCTAAACTCGTTCACCTCTTCGCCACTGGCTTTTACGGCATACGATAGTTTTTTAGGTGTCTATTTAATCAATTAATTTGAAAAACCTCACGTCTTCGGACAGTGAAGACATTTAGTATATTCAGCTAAGTACACCCTTCCCTTCACATTCTAATCGTTAGCTGGCTATCTCTAGTTTATCCCAGAGTCCCGAGGTTCGATTCTCCGTCAAGGAGAGTTGGGCCTCACCGGGACGATGGGGTTGCTCTAAGTTTGAGACATACTGTCATACAGTGCGCTCGCTTAAAGTGATCTTCATCGTCCTAGGACTCTGGGAAGTTATAACATAGCATAATATAAATACTTGTCAACAGGCATCGAGCCTACGACCGACCGATCGATCTTTTTGTATTTTTTTAAAAGTTTTTTGTATTGTACATGCATAGCATGTTACGATATACTTACTTACATGCTGCGTGCTCTATTGCAGCTGGAATGATTCACACCATAGGTATTCAAGGCCTCGACAGACTTATACATGTGATACATACACATATATATCCACACACCAGTACACCAGCTATATACTTGCATAAGACACCTGCCTCCCCCAGTACTTGAGATATCTACGAGCACCTTATATATCTTTTTGAGGTATGCATCTATTACCTTCTGTCGTGCTGTCCCCCGCTACATTTGCTACTCCTCAAAATATAGTCTATACCTCCACATTTACATATGTACTATTACCTGACTGGATGTGTTAGCGTTGTGCATATGCAGGTCTTTTGCAATGCAATTGTTTGCAGCTCTAATCTCCTCAAAACACCCTGCATATGGACGGTGAAAGACGAGCTCCCCCTGCTCGCTGCACTAGCCCTCTCACAGTTCTCTCACTTTCCACCGCCTTCACCTTGTGTCACCCCGCATTCACCGCGACTTGCTGCTGCCTGGGATCCGTGCGCGCACGACGCGGTGACGCTGTTTTTTGTCTTGGCGGCGCTCTATAAACCCGCTCTCGTCGCTCTCTACCCCACTTCGCAACCCATCACCACCACCACCACACCCTCTGCTCCATTCCGCTCCAGTTTCTTGTCCACCGCTTCACGATCTTCCTCTGCATTCCAAGCCAAGATGTCCGATGCAATGGTCACCGCCGACGACAAGGAGCAGCTTGCGCAGCTTCTCCGCCTCAAGCTCGACAAGGTGCCTGCGCGGCTGATGCCCGCAATCACCATCGATGAAATCATCGCGGCTACTGCGGACAATGGTGGCCAATTTCCCTTCGCCGAGTAAGTTCTCTCACTTAATCAGATCATATTTGGACATTGACCAATTTTCCCAATGATGTCAAGGTGCCTTATGGTGCCACCCTGCAGGGTGTTCTCGACTTCCGCTATCAGCATGCTCAGGATGCTGCCAACAAGACTCCTCTACACGAAATGAATCCCGACCATCTTCTCGCCTATTTCCTTTCCAATTATGATAGGAATATGAACTTCAGCCCTTACTTCTCCGAGACGCGCCTGCGTTGTTATATCGCCTTCAACAACAAGCTGCAGCGCAAGGAGTCGCTCTTCCAGATGGCGTATGTCTTCGCTTGCCTGGAGCATCAGAAATTCCCCTCGTTCTACGATCCCAAATACCCTTGCCGTACGCGTGAGCTCTTCGTCAAAGCTCTTGTCGACAACCCTCGAGAATTCAAGGTCTACTCTCGCACCACGACCCAGACTTTGCTGCAGAAGACCTCTTTCCAAATGGGCGAGTGGCGTAGGATGAACTGGAATAGCCTGACCCGCACGCTCTTCCCTTCTGAAGACCATGCTACTGGCGCCCCCGCTGAGCTGCCCGAAGCCCCTTCCACCGGCTTCGATCACGAAATCAAGCCGAAGCCGAAGCCCAAGAAGCGCGGTGCACGCGGCAAGAAGAAGAAAGCAGCCGTTGATGAAGACGCAATGGATGTTGATCCTCCCGCAGCCTTCACCGACGCCAATGCTTCAACTTCCTTGGACAACCCAGTCCCCTCCAAGAAACCTTTCCGAACAACCTCCGTCGTGCTCGATGGTCGGCGTCTCTCACCTCTTCGCAAGGAGCGCCCCATCTTGGACAAACTGATGATGAAATATCCCGCTTACCATCTGCTTGGTGAGATTGATCAGGCTTCAGATGACTTGGGCGAGGAGACTCGGCTCGCTCACCCCGTTGAGCAAGGTACTGCCGATCTGGATGATCTTTCAGGGCTCATGGATCTCGCAAAGATGCAGGAAGAGGACGTTATGGGCTTCCTGTACAACGACTGGTTCTTGATCAGCAAGAACTTCTACGATTGATTGCGGAATTCTCTTCCCCACACATACCCAATACCCCATACCCCTACCCCTCATGTAGATAAAACTGAGATGAGACAATGATTGACGTCTCCAAATCATCAATACAATGACTTTATTCATGCTATTCCTCCAATTGATATTCGCGAAGACACATATACATTAATATGTATAGGTACCGAACAACCCGCCCAACAGAGACGAATAAGAAAAGATACACGCCTCCTCTCAAAGAAAACCATCTACAAGGCAAAGGCTTGCAGGATAAGTATAGACGACTACGAACAAGAACAACTAGGAGCAAAGACGAAGGCAAGAGACCAAGAACAACTACGTGGCTAGTATCCTGTAAGCTATGGTCCACCAGTCTGTCTATGATGCAAAGGTTTGCAGGAGATGTATTTTTATTTTGGTTTTTTTAGTGGGAGTTTAGGTGATCATACACACAGCGATGGGTTACAACGATAAAAAGATCAAAAAAAAAAACGAGCAGGAGATGTATAGATAACTACTAAAAAAAATCTGAAGCAAAGAAGACGGCAAGAGATTAGAAACACCTTCGTGGCGAACATTTTATAAGCTATAATCTTTACAACCCGTCTACTGCGCAAAGATTTGCAGAAGATGTATAAGAACAACATAAAGCAAAGAAGAAGGCAAGAGATTAAAAACACCTACGTGGCTAATATTTTATAGACTATGACACCTGCAGCCCGTCTACAACGCAAAGGTTCATAGGGAATGTATAGATGTGTACTAACAAGAACAACTTAAGGCAAAGAGTAAGGCAAGAGATAAAAAAATCTATATAGCTAATAACTTATAAGCTATAACCCTTGCAACTTATCCATGATGCAAGGGTGTGCAGGGAATGTATAGATAACTGCAGAGAAGAACAACTGGAAGCAAAGAAGAAAGCGAGAGAAAACAAAAACACCTACGCGCCCAACATCTCATAAGCCATGACCCCCGCAACAGCCACGGCCTTCTTCTTCTTCCCCCAACCGCCTATCCCCCCAGGCCTCGCAACACTGCGCCCGGTCTCACCCGGCAGCGCCCCGGCAGCCCCCGTCGTCCCAGAAGCCCCCTTTGCACCACTCCCCTTCCCCCCAGGATGAACAACGCGACAAATACTCAAATCCCCAACCGCGGACGCAAGCGGGAAGAAAACTTTCGGCATCCCACGCTCCACCTGCACAACGACGACGCCATCAGCCGGCACAACAAACTTGGTACAAGTCAGGACTTCCAAGATCTCAGCGCCGGGTTTCCACCCCGCGGCCGAAGACGAGATGTTAAACGACAGAGACGCAGACTCGCTTCCTGTGTTTGAGAACACGGACACGATGTTGGCGCCTGGAAACCCTTTCCGGAACACGACGGTATGCGCGTCGCTGTACAACGGCCAGATGTTGTACGTGGCGTAGCGCGGGTCGAGGGCGAGCGCGCGGCTGCGCACGCGGTTCAGGACCCGCACGACGTTGTACAGCTCCGACTCGCGGTCGTAGCCGGACAGCCATGTTGCTTCGCGGTTGTCCGGGTCCGCGTAGCCGGCGTAGTGCTGTTCCTGGCCTGCGTAGACGGTTGGGATGCCGTCCCAGAGGAGGGTCAGGGCGAGTGCGTTTGTAGCGAGCGAGAGGTCCGGGGTTTGGCTCGCTATGCGGGGGAGGTCGTGGTTCTCGGTGAAGGTGGTTAGGACCGAGGGGTCTTTGCAGCTGGATTTGAAGGTTGCGGCCGCCGAGAGGAGAGGCGCGGTTGTGCCGGTTGTCGAGTTGAGGAAGTCGATGACGGCGTAGTAGAAGGGGTAGTGGAGGACCGAGGAGAGCTGGTTTTGGTAGTCGCAGGCGAAGGTTATGTTTGAGGAGAGGACTTCGCCGGTTGCGAAGATGCCTGCGGCGCGCTGGAAGGACGACCAGAAGGGTTGATCGACATATTTGACTGTGTCGATTCGCAGGCCGTCGACTGGGTGTGTGGTTAGTGTTTGGTTATCTTTGTTTCGGAGCGAGGTTGCTTACTGGAGTAGTTTGACACCAGCTGTGCGATCCACGTGTTGTACATTTTGCGAACGGTGGAATCCTCCGTCTTGAGATCAGGCAGTGGCACAGTCGAGTCGCCGAGCCAACAATCTTCCACAATTGACTGATTCGTGTAATCCGTGATCGCACACGGTTCGTGGTAGTATTTCTGGTCGTTGAACGGGCGATAGGAAGAATAGTCTACGCTGTCTGCTGGCCCGTTCCAGCCATTGTGGTTCGTCACAACATCAACCATGAGATACTTCAATTTGTTAGTACGATGCGTAGGAACAATGTTGAAAAAGAGAATGTACTTACCATGCCACGAGCATGCAAGGCCCTGCTAAGCGCCTTTAGATCCTGTGCCGAACCAAAGTGATCATTCAAGCGATACAGATCTTGCTGCCAGTAACCATGCCACGCATAGCCGAATTTGGTTTTCTCAGGGATGTTGTACGTGACGGGAGATATCCAGATGGCTGAAAATCCCATGTCCTGGATATAATCCAGTTTGCGTATGATACCGCGGTACGTTCCACCGCAGTACTCGCCTGCCGTGGTGTTGCATTTGGCAGTGGTGCTGATATCAGATCGTGCAAACCTAGCAAGACATCAGCAAACGCTCGGTGGTGATCCTCTCGAGAAAAGTTCCATAGGTTATCACTTACCGATCAGTGAGGACTTGGTATATCGATCTTGAGCGCCACTGCTCAAGGGTCGCAGCACTTGCAACACCTCCAGTAGCAAGCGCCAAAGCAAAAGTCCGAGGCAAGTTGAACAACATGATGGCCGCGCGGCTACTTATCGAGTACAAAGTAGTGCAAGGTTGTATGGAATCTAGAGTACAAGGTTGTACGGAATCTCAAGTGCAACAGTGGAATCGTATTGCAAGTGTAGCCCTCCATAAATTTATAGAGCAAGAAACCCAAGTGCGTGGCGCAGTCGATCCAATTCAATTGAATGGCAGGCAAGCAGCAGCCGCGAACGCTCAGCGGGGACCGAGCACCAAAATCACTCGTCGATGACTCACGATCCCTCAGTCCAATTCGATTGGAGTCGGGACGGCTCAGTGAAAGAAAAGGAGAGGAGAGAAAGCAAGAGGAGGGGGGGCCGCAGAATTTGCAATTCTGAGGTTTATAATAAGACAACGATATAGAGGTATGTGCGTAGAGCCCGAGACTTTTCTGGGATCGGACATGGTCCTGTTTGCTTCGGTATATGTGATGGGGGTTACCGATTGACCAAGGGGTGGGCAGCAGGCTGATATCGTGCACGGCGAATCAGGCGACGTGCTCGATATGAGGTTATCCACTCTAATAAGTTAAATCGATTCCCAACCTACTAAATGCTGAGCCTCAACACTGACGGAAGCAATGTATAGAGTCTTGGGGGAAGATATATCGGAAGACTTTTATCGGTTTTGGTAGGAAGTAGCGGGTAGTTTATATATGCAGTGTAGCAATTTGAGGGAGCGAGGATAGGCAAAGTCGGCAAAAAAGAAAAGAATTCCAAGACAATGGATGCCACCGTGGGACTTGGATGCGGTATATATAGACAGATGACGAGTTTTCGGAAGATTTTTCGACCAATGGTGGATGTGCATGTACAAGCAAAGTCACTGTCTATGAATTACGTGCGTGAGGTGTATGGCCCACACTTCGGGCGCCCGGATGGAACAGGAACATTCACATGATCTGCATACGCGCATACGGGCTATGCCGTTAGCGTACCGAAGAACAGTTGAGCCTCAAACTAGTGGCATCTCGGTATTTTGCATTGTTGGCAAGATAAGCGGGGAATGCTGCGTGTGTCTTTGCATGTACCGAAAGGGGTATAAGGTACAAGACCGACCGACTCCCTTCGCATCTTCATGTGTATGTAGTACGTGTTTTGAAGTGTCATGATATATTGGTCGAAACATTCTGGCCCTGTATATGCACAACAGCCATCTGTCCCTAGAAAATAATGTTATCCCACGTGAAATCCAACTGTGTTTTGATCCCTCCCTTCACCAAGCATACAGAAATAAATACGCCTGTTAATGCAGTACGTCGAAAAATGAAGTTCCCCCAAAGCGTCACCTGCCACTGCTTGTCCAATTTGCTGCAATTCTGCGAAACCATCGCTGCCAAATTGCTCAATTGACTTCTTCAACAACCATAGCACTTGCCTGCATATGCAGCTCCTCAACTTTCGTTGTTCCATCGATTCGGGGCAGCAGGGAGACCTCCTCCAGACGGCGGCGCTCGAATCTGGGGAGAGCCGGCAGGTGGTGCGGGACGGATTGGTAGCGACAACATATTTTGCTGCCCCCCGCCAGGTGTACTTGACGTTCGAGAGGGGTATGCAGGCCGTGGTGGAGCGCCGCTTATTGACCCATTTGATGACGAGTGCTTGTGTTCGACGTCGACTGTCTTCGCTGAAGGGGGTGACCGTTCCCGTAGCTTTTCTCGGACCGTAGATGATGGTACAGACGGAGCCAGATACGACTTTCTTTTGTTGTGCTCAATCATGCTGATGGCCCATGCCTCGAGGTCAACAGGCGTTCGTTTCGCAGCTTGGAGGAATGCGTCGTGGTCCTACACTCGTCAGAAACATATATGAGAACTCTTGAGCGCCGGACTTACATAAAGCTCCTTGGGAGTTGGTCGCTCAGCGGGTTCTTTCATCAGGCAGTTCGCTATCATTTCCTCCAGAATAGGAGGGAAAGCGTCACTCTTGGGCAGTTTTGGCGGTGGTTCCAGGACAATCTGTGATAGGAGATCGAGAATACCCTGAGGGCCGCCAGGACCGTCCCCATCGTCCTCGCCGCCGCCAAAGGGGAACTTTCCGATCGCCAATTCCATCAAAGTCAAGCCAACACTCCAAACATCCGACTTGACAGTGTAAGGCGATCCCTGTATCCGCTCCGGCGCCATGTATGTACCAGTACCCACAAAGGTCTCGGCGATGGAGCCTTCGAGCTCACTAGATACACCGAAATCGCACAGTTTGATCTGCCCTTTCGAGTTGACGAGCACGTTGGATGGTTTCAGATCTCGATGCATAATCTTGTGGGCCGAGTACAAATAAGCCAAACCACCTAGCACGGCTTCTGCGATCTTGCCCAAAACGTCGACGCGGACGGGACCAAATGTTTTGGATACCCAATCAAGGGATCTATAATCAGATGCTGTTAGCGACGCGGGATTTGGGGGGAATATATAAGAGGATCGCACCCGACGTCCATGTATTCCATGCACATTATGACGTCTCCTGTGTCGTTTTGGAAGGCGCCATAGAAAGCTACAATCTGCTCCGAATTGCAGTCATGCATAATGCGCAGTTCACGGACGATGCGCTTCCGCACCTCATTCTTGGCTTCCACGTGGATGATCTGATCCATTGTCAATTGTACCGTCCTCACACATCAAACCCGCAGTCTGGAAGCATTCTTACCTTCCGCGCCATGACAACCTTTGTCGCAGCATGCTGCACCTTGCTCACGGTTCCACCGTTACCCGAGCCAAGTTCACGCAGCACAATGAGATCCTCAGCCTTCAAATCCAAGCGAAACTCGACACCAATTTCCAATGTATCAGGGCGGTTATCGTCTTGACCTAAACCGCCTGGTGCCTGTGCATCGCCAGCAGAGGGCGCCGGTTTCGGGGGAGGGGCGCTGAGGGCGAGTCCTTTGACATTCTTCCTCTTCATCGTCTTGGTCTTGAACGCGGAGTCGGCCATGATGACGGCTTCCGAAAGTGGCGGCGGGTGTAGGAGGGGTAGCGGAAGCGGGCGCGGCGATGCAGAAGGCAAGGAAAGACGGACGGACTGGAGGGAGTCGCAGGTGGTCGAGTGATGAGAATAGGGGGTGAGTCGAGGCGGTACAGTGCTGGATGTAACTGCGAGTGGTTGCGCTGCGATGGCAATAGCAAAGCCTCACCAATCACGGGTGATATGGAGGTTGACGCAGAGGGCCACAGCGTCTATTGGGGTTAACGCTTTCCGGCAGTCGGAAGCCCGAACAGCGAAATAAATAGACGTTGATGCCCGAGCGATGACAGGCGGGCGAGCTGCAGACGAGGGAGCGAGAGACACGGACGACGGGAGGCGGAGGAGGATGCGGCGTGAGTAAGGAGGGTCGAGATGTGAGGGTCGTGGAGTTAGTATGTATGTGTATAAGTGGGCAGTGAAAGTCAAAGTGCCGCGTAGTGGGGGTATCAGTCCATGCACCAAGCAAGCAGCCAGGTAAAAGATGCAGGGGCAGACAGCAAGCGAGGGCGACGACAAGAGAGATGGACGAAGCTTTGAAGCAATGGAAAGCGAGCGAGCAGGCAAGGAGACCAGCAGCGACGGGGTCAGCGCTTCTGTCTGTATTTAACTTGATTCAGGGCGCAAACAACGGCGGTTATGTCTATCCACACCTTCTGGAAGCCCGTCAGGAGGGTTTCAGTTTGGCCTTGACCCCTCCCTTATACCTGGATGTGCCAATCTCCATCAAGGGCATGCTCTGCGGCCATTCGATACACGTGCTATACTAAGCTCCATGATAATGCCCACGGTGATGATAATACGCTCGTCGGGAAGCTATTCACACCACTGCCTGCCGCGCCCCTATCGTTGGCCGTTTCAATACACCAGCATGCTTGCGCCCTCTTATCGACTCGTACCTGTGTTGGGTGTGTAGGGCGCCCCATTGCCACTCCTTCTCGTCCAGTCTCACTGCAACTGCTTCGAAAATACAGTAGCATCAAGGTAGCCCGGCTTTTCACACTGCAAAAACGAACCGTTGGAACCTCCGGCCCGCCGCCATCGGTGGGGGTCCCAGTTCAAGTGTTAAAGTTGGAGGGGGAGGGATCAACGAGAACAAAGCGCCACAGTGTGGCTGGTACGCTAACCGAACCCGGATTAGCTTCACGTGCGCGTGCGGCTTGACAATTTGAGCGACCGCGACACATGTCTACCTCTCTTGCCCATCTCTCCGCTCTGCTCTGGTGTCTGCCTTCGACCCCCCTTTACCTTTGCAACCGCCCCATCGCCCGAGTCGCGGGCATCGCAAATACCATCGCCGTCCCCCGAAACCCCCAATTCCACATCCTCCCTCCATCTCGACATCTCTGCATCGATTGCACATCATTCTTTGTTGGATCAACACACCATGGCGGAGCAATTCTTTGACCGAGCCGCCGAGCTCGGCAGCGAGGAGGAGGACGAGGACTTTGATGAGACGGGCGACCAGCGCCCTAGCAAGGCCAACGGTGCAAACGGCCTTGATGACTCCAGTGAGGAGGAAGACGATGACGATGAGGACAGGATACGAGAGGTAGGCTGCTGTTGTCCATCAGGCCCATGATTCGTATACTGATCTGCTGATAGGAAGGTGCTGGCTGGGTCGTGGATGAAGAAGAGGAGGAGGAGGAGGTCAGCCGTAAGGAGCGCCGCCGTCGCAAGAAGAGAAAGAACCGCGAGGAGGATGAGGCCCTAGATGAGGAGGATTTAGACCTCATCGGCATTGAGGTGGAGAACAAGGATACATCACAGGTAAGAGGCATTGCCTCATCTCGCCACCAACAACCCTCTAATCTCATTGCCTTAGTCCAAGTACAAACGTCTCAAGCGCGGCCACAAAGAACGTCCGTCCAAAGCTGGCGACATCAACAACATCTTCTCCGACGACGAAGACAATGACGACGATCTGAACGAGCGCCGAGTTGATGCCGCAGACGAATTCAACGATTTCATCGAGGAAGACCGTTTTGAGGACGAACTCGAGGACGAGGATGATCATGAGGTTGGACAACCTGGCATTTCCAACATCACTCGCCAGATGAAAGTGTCGGGCTTGGACGAAGGTACAGATCAAGATTACCGCGATGCTTTCGGCGATGGCACAGACTACGATTGGGCCATCGCTCTGCAAGAGGAGGCCGACGCCGAGCAAGAAGGCGAAGGCAAAGAGTTGCAGCTGAAAGATGTATTCGAGCCTTCGCAACTGGCTGAACGTCTGTTGACCGACGAAGACAACCAGATCCGCGAGATTGATGTGCCTGAACGATTGCAGTTGGCCCGCAAGCCGTTCAAGGAAATCGAGGTCACAGACGAAGCTATGGAGCAGCGACTGAACGCAGAAGCAATCTGGGTCAGCAAGCTTATTTGGCCAAAGAAGGGCATGGAACCCTACTTCCAGCAACCGTTCCAGAAGGCCGTACGCAAGGTTCTTGAATTCCTCAACCTCGAAGACTATGAAGTCCCCTTCATCTTCAACCACCGAAAGGACTACCTCATTCATTCGCCTACCGACGAACAGGATGACCCCGACGAAATCGCCCCCCGAGGTGCGGGCCCCAAGCGGCTACTCAACCAGGCGGATCTTTGGGAGGTTTTCGACCTGGATTTAAAGTTCAGGGCATTCATGGAGAAGAAAGAAGCACTTTCAATGCAATACGAGAACCTCAAGAGCCTGTACAACTACATCGACGACAGAGTCCTGACTGATCTGGTTGATCAGGCTGAGACCATTGAGGAAGTCCAGGAGCTGCAGGATTATCTACATTTCCGCTATTCGCAGGAGATGGTCGATGTGCGTCAAGAACGAGAGAACGGGGTCCAAAAGCGAGCCAACAATGCCCGCAACTACTTTGACAAGCTGAGGACCGGCAGAGCAGACCGACTCGTCAAGGCTTTTGGTATTGCACCCGATGAGTTCGCCAGAAGGGCAGAAGGCACAGTCGCAGGGGATCATCTTATTGAGGATCCCGGGGTAAAGCCAGAGGAATTTGCCGATCAGCTTGCGGAAGCCCCTGAGACCGGCTTCACTTTGCTCAAAGGTGCGAAGCAGCTCTATGCACAAGAACTGCAGACCAATCCACGCCTTCGAAGGTTTATACGGGGTAGCTTCTACCAGAATGCTCTGATCGACTGCATTCGCACAGACAAGGGCATGCGCAAAATCACCGAGGATCACCCGTACTACGAATTCAAATACATCCGCAAACAGACCTTCCTTGATCTCTCCGGTCGCCCCGACCTGTTCCTCAAAATGCTCAAAGCTGAAGATGAAGGTCTCATCCATGTCAAAATCTGGATGGGTAATTACGATTCCTTCAAACAGAGGCTACACAACCACATTGTGTCTGACAATGTTAGCGAGGTCTCGGAGCAGTGGAACTCTCTCCGCAAAGAGCTTCTCGATGTAGCCGTTGACAAACTGCACAGTGCCATGGCTAATAGTGTCAAGGAAACGCTGCGTACCCGCTGCGAAGAGGAGTTGGCAAGCCGGGCTCGAGAAAGCTATTATAACAAATTGGACCAAGCTCCATATCGGCCGCGAGGAACGGAGAACGGCTTTATTCCGAACGTGCTGTGTCTTTCACACGGCAAAGGCCAGCGAGGAGATGCCATCATGTGGGCTTATATTCACCAGGACGGGCGGGTCTTGGAGAATGGCAAGTTTGCAGAATTCAGGAGAGGCAACCGTGACCGCGGTATTCCGGATGGTAACGATATCCAGGAGTTTGTCAAGATTTGCAACCGTCGTCGCCCCGATGCTATTGGTGTCAGCGGCTTCTCGGTGGAAACACGCAAGCTGTACAAAGACCTCAAAGACATCATACTCGAAAACAATCTGATGGGCCCAGAGTACGAAGACCCAGAAGACAACTCGGAGAAGTCAGACCCCTTGGAGGTCATCATGGTCAACGACGAAGTTGCACGTCTCTACTACAACAGTGCACGCGCCGCTCTCGAATTTCCCAAGTACTCGCCACTCACCAGGTACTGCATTGCTCTTGGTCGATATCTCCAAAATCCCTTGGCCGAATACGCCTCCCTGGGTAAAGACGTGGTCTCATTGCCTTTTGTGCCCAACCAAACGCTCATACCACAAGACAAGCTTCTGGACCGCTTGGAGAGTGCCATGGTCGACATGGTCAATCTTGTAGGTCTGAGTCTGATAGATTCATACGACGACCCCTACATGTCCAAGCTCCTGCCTTATGTGTGCGGTTTGGGGCCTCGCAAAGCAGACAGGGTAGTCAAAGCTATCCAAGCCAATGGCGACGAGATTGAGAAACGATTCGACCTGCTGGGCGTGTCAGAATCCGAAGACCGCGAACTCAAAGCTGCTATGGGACCCAAAGTCTTCCAAAATTGCGCCAGTTTCCTATGGCTGCATTTCGAATCCCACGAAGAGACCTCAGACTACCTGGACAACACGCGTGTGCACCCAGAAGACTACGATCTGGCGCGCAAGATGGTCGCCGACGCTATGAACATGGATGAAGAAGATATCAAGGCTGAAGTGGACGAGGGTGGACCCAGCGCGATTGTTCGCAAGATGGTACGGGAAGACAAGACTGAACTCGTTCAAGACTTGATTCTTGAAGATTACGCCTCCGAAATTGAGAGGAAACTGGGTAGTCGCAAGCGCGCAACCTTGGAGACTATTCGTGCGGAGTTGTCCGACCCGTACGAGGAGATTCGGCAGCTGTTTGCCATTATGTCGTCTGACGAGGTATTCACCATGCTCACTGGGGAAACCAAGGAGTCCCTGGCCGAGGGTATGGTTGTGCCTGTCACAATCAAGCGCACATTCCCAGACCACATTGAGGTCCGGCTGGAGTGTGGCATCGAGGGCGGTGTTTCCGAGTCTGAATTTCCGGAAGGCGTTGGCACTGGTCGCCAAGCACCCCGCGATGTTTTCCAGCCTCATCAAACCGTCCGGGCGAGGATCCTGTTCCTCAATCACAAAGCTCTTACGGCACAAGTTTCGCTACGTGAAGACCTCATTCGTCAACCACCTCGTCCCGTCGATCGTGTCTCTGGTGAGTGGGATGAGCAGCAGGAGCTGGCCGACAAGAAAGCTGCAGAACGTGAGAAGGAAGTGGCTACTGGCCGTCCCAACCGCGTGGTCAACCACCCACTGTTTTTCCAGTTCAACTCGGCGCAAGCAGAAGAATATCTTGGTAGCAAAGAACCTGGTGAGGTGGTTATTCGCCCTTCGTCCAAGGGTTTCGACCATCTCGCAGTTACCTGGAAGGTGTCCGACCACGCGTTTCAACACATTGATGTGCTTGAGATGAACAAAGCTAGCGAATACTCAGTCGGCAAGCAGCTGCGTATTGGAAAGAACGTGTACTCCGATTTGGATGAGTTGATTGTCAACCACGTCGAAGCCATGTCCAAGAAGGTCACTGAGATCATGAAGGACGATCGCTTTCAGAAGGGCACCAGGGAGGACACAGGTAAATTCTCCATACCGTTTCTCTTTTTTTATAACATGTCGTCTGACTATCTCTCACAGAGCAATGGCTCCAAAACTATTGTCAAGCCAACCCCGCGCGTCACATGTACGCCTTCTGCAGCATTCCCAAGTACCCTGGCCACTTCTGGCTCTGCTTCCAAGCTGGCGACAAGATGAAGCCCGGTGGGTGGCCCGTCAAGGTCATTCCCAACGCTTTCCAGATGCACAACAACGTGTACCCGGACATGTCATCTCTCAAGAACGGGTTCAAGCTCATGTACAAGGCCAAGCAGCAGTCGGCCGCAGCGGCGCGGAATCCCATGCCGCGGAGGTAGTTTTGAGTGGTGTTTCCAGCGTGTTATATTTTAGTACTTGGGCTGTGTGGGGTGGCGGGGTGAGGAGATTGCTTACCTGGGGATTGACGGAACAAAAGATGAAGTAAATCATCCTCGCCCAGCACACACACATTGAGATTGGGACTTTTTGTTAGTTTGAAAAGGCTTGCGATCATGGGAAATCTGAAACGGGAGACTTGATTTCTCCTCTGGTCATCATCGACCAACTATTCACTACTTTTGGTGTTAATCTTGTATGATTAGAGCGAGAGACAGATGAGAAGAGAAGAAGAAAATAATCTATATTGCTTTTTTTCTTGGTGTATTGCTTCCGCGCTATTCACCTCGGCCGATCTAACCACATATCTACTTGAGTACATATGTACCTATTCCCAAAGATTCTTTTTTCTTTAATGCGTAGAATATATCCCGTCTTTTGCTAATCTCACGATATATTTTTTTACGAGGGGGAGGATGTTGTTGTGTGTAGCATGTTCACACACAGATGTACTAGTTGTTCATATACCTCCTTATATGTCTATACTCAACAACACTATGTCGTTTTTTTCAGTGTCCATCTATCTACAGAGTAAGCTCGATGCAGAAAGCCGGTACCCATTACCCCTCTCTCCCCTTCAATATAAAGATCGAAACCACCAAAGAACATATATATGTGGCAGCTAATTTAGTCCAGCTAGGCCAACTATCAACCTTAAAATCTAAATCATTAAGAGATGTTGAACAAATCCGAGTCCGAATTACGAAGAATGAATAATGGAATAAATATTTGGGTATATTGATGTATACATATACATTGCGAAAAGAATCGGTAAACATGTCCTTTCTTTCCCTCCCTCCCCCCTTTTTCTTTACGTCTTCGGCGTGAGAAGCTTAGGAGGAGGGAAAAGGGAAAGAAGAGAAAAGAAAAGGATGCAAAAGAGATGGAAAAAGCAGATTAAGCTAAAAAAGAAGAAAAAGTAGTTGCTAGCAGAAGAAAAGATCAAGAACTTTTTTGGTGTCGTTGGAATCGTTGGTGTGGTGGTGGTACGTTGTTTGTTTTGAGAGAAGAGTTTTTGGTGTTGCCGTTCGTCGTCGTCGTCGTTGATTGTTTGCCGATGATAATAAGCAGGGAGGGGAGGAAAGCATAAACTCCATGCTTTTCTGTCTGCTGTTTGAGAGGAGGGGGAGGGGTAGTCGCGAAAGAGAAGCAAAATAAGCAGACAGACGCGGAAAAAGGAGAATCGAGAACCAGCTCATGAACCCGCCCAAAACGCACGACTCAAAGGAGGAAAAAAAAAGGCGCTCAAGCAAATAGAAAAGAGAGAGAGAGAGACTCTCAACTCTACCTCGAGAACCCCCTCGAAACCTTCCCCCAAACCCCCTCAAGACTCCTCCTCACATTCCCGCCCGCACTGCCGCTGCTCTCCCTCTCACTCCCACTGCTCACGTCACTCGCATTCGAATCCACACGCCCCATACGCGCCCTCTCATCCCCAACGCCCGCTCCCCCCGCACCGCTGAAATTCCCCGCACCCCCACGCCCAATATGGTACACGGGTGCGGCGTTCTCGCGAAGGCGCTCCTGCTGCGCAAGCTCCTCGTCGAAACTGAACATGGCGCGTTCCTTCTCGCGGTGGACGTTTCCGGCGCCGCCGCGGCCGGAGAGGAAGCGGGCGTTTGAGGGGGGTGGCGAGAGCGGGAGACGCGAGGCTGGGCCCGATGCTGTGGGGCCCGGGGTTATGGTTGAGGGGGTGATGCGGGTTTTGTTGCCTGCGCCGCCGCGGCCGTAGTAGATTGTTGTGCTGGCCGAGGGGATCGAGGGGTGTGGTTCGGTGATGTGGTAGGATAGGCCCATTGTTGTGTTTTTCTTTTTGAAGTTTGGGTTTTGGGTGGTTGATTGGGGGGTTTGTTATTTGTTTGTTGGGTTGGGTTTGTTTTTTGTCTGAACGACTCTCACGGGTTGGTGGTTGGTGGTGGTGAGGTGTGGTAGTGGTAAAGGTAGAAAGGTACGATGATGGGTATAGGCAGGTAGAACTTGAACAGATAGCAATAGGTTCCCTTTCAACGATGTCGAATGTGCAAGCCAATAGTAAGGTGTGAACAGCTAGTGTGATTGAGACTTGGGTAGTGTGTAGTAGACAGATAACAAAAAAAAAGGTGTGAATGAAATCCTGGGGTTGTGGGACTCTTATACCGATGCTAAGGTGGAGCCTATAAAAAAAAAGTCTGTATGGTACAAGTCGGGAACAAGGGCAGCCAACATCACACGCACGCTGACATAGGGGCCAGGGTCAAGGGAATGTATGAGTAAGAGGAGCGGACAAAGCGTTTTGCATTACCAAGAGATGTGGAGTGGAAAAAAGGGTTGAATGAGCGATGGTGGTGGTGGCCACGGGGGTTGCGGCGTTTGGCACTTTGCAGTTAACGGCAAGCAAAAGAGATCACACGTCGAGCAGAGAAAAGCGGCTCAGGCCGTAAGAGGGAGGGGCCCCAGTCATTCTCTTTCTCTGCTGCCAGGGAAATCAACGATGGGAAAGAAAAATCGGGAAGAGTGATGAATGCATGCGGCCAGGCACAGGGACAAGACGAGCGAAAAACAGAGTCCGGCTCGATGCGTCTTGGCGAGCAGACGACCAAGTTGGCCAGCTAGCGGGAAGCGGCAAACTATTACGCTATACGCAGAGCACCTGACGCCGGCGTGACTCGGTGATTGGTGTCGCAGGCGTTTTATGGGGGTAAGAGAAACTCGGAGGCCGTGTTGGGGGCAGACGACAGAGGGCGACAGAATTTTCAATGCCAGCCAGCCAGCCAGCCAGCCAGATGGCCGTGCATGCCCACGATGAATGACGCTGGCTGGATGGCTGGATGGTGAGCAACACCGAGTGTTTGACGCCATCTGATGCCCTTCACTCGATACAATCCCCATTTCCACCACTCCCTCGGTGGACAACGCCGAGCCCCGTGCCTCGCCGTCTTTTGTTGGCTTCGTTGTGCTGTGCTGGCTGTTGACGACAGCGCACGAGTCGATGACGATGAGAAGAAAACGCTGGTCGATACTTTGTTCTTTGTTTCTTGCTTGGCTTGCCTGTGTGCAGCGCATGCATCCATCCATCCAGTGACCAAGTGCTTCACGCCCTTGACGCCCACTCACTCACTCACTCACTCACTCACCTCTCAACGAACGAACAAATACCAGAATGCCCCAAGATCGCGGTACCCCCGGCCGGCTGTGGCCGCACGCAGTAACAACAGTGGGGACCTGAGCGCCGTGTTCCTGAACGCGATGCGAGCCATGTGCCATGCACTGCGTCGCGCCATCGACCTTCCAAGACACACCATCCCCCAGTTTTCCCAATCCAAAGAGAAAAAAAAAATGTTTTTTTTTTAGACTCTTCCCGCTCATTCCCCTCTTTTTTTTCTTCTATTACTCACCCTTAGTTTTTTTTTTTTTTTCCTGCAACGAGGCAACTGCACTTCCAGATTTCCGTTCATGTTTTTACACTGTTAACAAAAACCTCAAAGAGAGTTTCGTGGAAAATTTGTTAAAAAAAAAAAAGTGCAAACCTACCACTTTGCCACTGCCACACTTGCCACTCAACCAACCATCTACACTGCACCACATGTGATCAAAACACGCGCATCATTAATAATAATGGACAATGACGGGAGGGAGATTTATTCCCATCATTAGAAATTCTGCATTTGCATATGCACTTGATATTCTTGTGCCTGGAGCACCAACCGCGAATGTCCCATCCGGACCTATACAAAAGAAAAATTCCACATCAATGGTAAATAGAAAAATAATACCAAGGATGGCCGGGACCAAGCTAAACCGAGATGCGGGATTGCAGGTCAACAAAGGTATGAAAAGAAAAAAGGTAAAGAATCGAGTCCAAAGCTGAGGCTGCCTGAGCCTCTCTCTCTCTCTCTCTCTCTCTCTCTCTCTCTCTCTCTCTCTCTCCACGCGCGCGGCACACAACGTTGAGCGGAACCCAGTCAGAGTCTTTGATTCGTGTGCGTCTAAGTTATGACATACTTACCCATGCTCTTCGAGTCCTTTCGCTTTTCCCCCTATTTTTTCTGTGTTTAATTTGCTTTTTGCTGTAGACTAGGGTGTTGTGCTGATGCAAGCGACTCGTCGGCCAGCAGTCACCGGTGACGGTCACCTGCCTCCTCAGCCGCCGTGGACCATCTCTCACGATCCTTGGCACATGTTGCATTGGCGGCTCACGACTCTTGCTGCGAGATTGCCAATCTCGGTCGGGGGGGCTATGGATGGTCTCTTTTCGTCTTGTTACTGTGACTACTGACTTGGATCGAGGGGGGGCACCACGTAATGCTCCTGAATGGCCCCGCTGCCCGTCCGGCGCCGCATCTCTGCTTCACTGCTTCAAGCCAGGCCCCAACACTTCGCCCTCACATGATGCCAAATTCAACCCGGGTATCCGACGCAAGCAAAACCAAAAAACAAATGACCAGATTCATCGGGAGAAACGCGTATGCCCCAGATTTCAAACACAAATAAAAACGCCATTCATGCATCACCATGCCCACTGCGAGACCTGTTTTGCCCTGCTCCACTCCCCATGTGCCCGCCAAAATGATGCCATTGCCCAGCCTGCGTCGAATATGTATGTGGTAACAGAAACACCATGGAACACTCTGAAATCCAGCAAAGCGTGCGTGCGTGCATGCATGCATCATGCATGCGCGCGGCCCAAATGTGGCACCACGAGGAAATGCGGGGAAATAGTCCCAAATCTCTTAGGCCTCCCGGCATTCGGTTGTTGCAGAGGGAGGGGGGACATGGGTGGCTCAGCACAAAGCCGCCAACGTGACAAACCGCATACTCGTAGATCATTCCGGGGTAACTCTTAGTTGGGGCTCGACCGTGGACCAAGTTTCCAAAGGGACCATGCGTGATCTTCGGTACTGCCAATCCGATTCTTATGACTAACGCCCCTCTGCGCTTGCATCCCAACCATGCAAGCCTGCCTCTTCGTTGCGGAGACTGATGACTGCGGGGACCAGCTAGCCATCCATCGAGCCCGACGGCAGCCGTCTGCTGGTTTACGCGAACTTGGTGTGGATGATGTCCGGATTCTCCTGCCATTCGTCCTTCTCAACCCACATCTACAAAGTCTCGTCAGCTTCGCTCCGCCTTCAAACACCGTCGCTTTCCTGCTTACCTTTTTGAATGTGCTCAATCCAGCTAGGATACTACCACCTGTCCATGTAGTGTAGATTCGCTCGGGAGGCGCCAGAATCTTAATCCTCATATCCTTCACCGCCAGCCGCTGCACCTCGTGGAGCAACCGATTTCCAAATCCCTTGGTCAGCGTTGAGCCACCGGACAGCACAATGTTGCCGTAGAGTTCTTTGCGGAGGTCCATGTCAGTCCGGTGGATGGCCTCGACCACAATTTGGTGCACTCCGGGGTACTCGAGGCCGATGATCTCTGGATTGAATAGAATCTCCGGCGCACGGAACCGTTCCGCACCAATCTAGTCAATGTGGTCAGCTCCAAACGTTTCCATATGTAGTGCCCATGTGCGCCAGTTACCTTTAGTTTCTGTCCGTCTGGCAAAGTGTACTCGACGCTTTTGCCTTCTGACCGCGCGTTTCCTGACCACTCTTTTTCCTCCTTGGCGGGGTCCAACGCCACGTAGCCCGTCGTCTCCTTGATGAGTTTGACAGTCTCTTTCTCTGCACTCGTGTGAAATATGCGACCGCTTTTCCTGAGTAACTGTTGCAGATGCTCTGTTACATCTCTCCCTGCCACGTCTATCCTTCTGATGCTATTTGGTATTGCGAATCCTTGGTAGACGGGCACTGCGTGTGACACTCCGTCGCCCGAATCCAAAACAAGACCCGTAGTCTTGCCCGAAGCATACAGCGAGAGAACAGCTTGTACCGAGGTGTAAAGAGCGGGGACATTGAAGGTCTCGAACAAGATCTGTGCGGCAACGTCGCGATTCTCTCGGGGGTTCAACGGGGGTTCTGTGAGAAGTACTGGATGCTGTTACGCGCGGTTCAGAACCCGTCAGCCCACGTCCTCGCCACGATTCAATTACAATGACAACTTCACGTAGCACTCACATCTTCGCTGACCGTCTTCAGCTCTTCTGTGTAGACGTATTGCCATATCCGCTCCATATCATCCCAGTCTGTGACAATGCCATGCTCTAGCGGATAGTTGATCTTGAATAACCCCCTATGTGCCTGCGCTTGTGGTCCGATGAACACATCCCCTTCCAGCGCACCTGCCATTGTCCGCACATGTTTCGGCCGTCCCACAAATGAGGGGAAGAAACACTTTGGGAGATCTTGTCCGGCGAAACCAGCTCGAATCGTGCCGCTGCCATTGTCCAGCACAATCGGTGCGTTGTGTAGTCTGGAGCCCATTGCGAAGACTGTGACGGGTGGGACTGGATGTCGCGCGGCTGTATGGATTTGCAAGCGCCCGAGAGACGATGAGAGAGTCGTTGACGGTGGCAGGGAGAGCTGGGGGTTTGTAGCAATGGATGGTGGTTGCGATGGTGGAGCTTCCAGATGGAGTCGCGAAATGTCGAAAGCGGCGGAAATTAGGCCAGGGTCCCCGGCTCGTTATCACGTGTTAGCGACATTCACTCCAAACATTCTAAATGTCTACATGCATACATGTATACCTACCTAGGTTTTCAAGTACATATATATGTGTATATGTTTGAAATTCGAACTGCATGAAGTAATTCCATCAAAAATATGTGCAGTCCGAGAATGCCTGCTTAAATCTAGATACCGACTATGTTGATTATATCTGCAAACCATTCAACATGTGTGTCAATCAACTTGGCTTCCCTTCCACTCATCCATAATGATCATAAGAATATTCGAAAAGCTTAGCCACGTGGGCTGCAAACTGTTCAACCACTCACCTAAACTCAAAGTCCAACACAATGCTGTCCCTATACATAAATAAATAGCATCTTGATCCCAATAAGCATAATCATTTTGCATCATCATTATTAACCTAACATATTACTACCAATTCTTTTATAATGCACTAACTCTAAGCGCCAACGAAATCTCTACCATCTAACAGGCTCTGAGAAGCGATGGAGATTTCTACAACGAAACGATCACAAAGATACTGGGCTTGCTTATGAAGAAGCTACATGCCGCTTATCCACTTCACCTCCCCTACTTAAACCCTTGCACGACGGCTCAACGGCTAGTCTATCCTTGAACCCTCCTTTGCTTCCCTCTGGCTATGACTTCCCCGATCTCTACCTCCCCTTGGAGACTTGGAGATCGCTGATAAGGGTTCACGTTGGGGCGGAACGTGTTTGATGTAGTGTGATACTTACCCATGTTTCCAGTGCAGAAGAGGTTATTTCTGATGTATATTTTAGTGGTATCAAGTGCTGATGGATGGTTGTTATGTGATTCTTTTGTCTGGTTGAAATCGGAGTGAGGGATGATGTTGTGGATACATGGATAGATGAATAGATACTACATGGTACATAGATATGCATGGGTTCATTCTCTCTCCTCCTCTTTTGTTCCTAGACTTTACTTTATACCTCCCTCTAATTTCATATAAGGAATGCGATGAGTCTCAATACAGCTTTTGTTGTTTACGGATAAACTATAAATATTACATATATAATCTGCGAGCTTACGACTTTGGAGGGATGGATAGGGAAGAAAAAGGGGTTCTGTAGTTGTATAATTTGATTCTATATCATATTAAGTTCCTAGGTAAATAGCAGCAAAGAAGATATCATTCTACTTTTTCTTATTTCACAAAGCGCAGATATGGCTTTTTTTTCATAGATAGTTTGATGGATAGATAGAAGGGAAAGGAGGGGAGGATACTAGTAGGTGCTATTCGGCATAGGAGTCAATGTAGTAGAGAAGGGATTTTTGGAGAACGGGGTATATAGTGTACAAGTATGCTGTGTAAGATAGGTAGGTGGGATATTAAGATTGGTTTTTGTGGAGGGCGGGGGGATCAAAGGGTTTGATTGATAGAGATATATATGTTAAAAGGGAAGTGAGTAGAGTGAGATATTAGAGGTCGAACTGCAGATGCGGCGGTCGTTACGTTGATCTTTACTGTAGTAGAAAAGGGTATATGTGAATTAGGGTGTTTGAGTTTGGATTAATGATGCATTGGTAATATGAAAGACTGAGTGGGTTTTACTATCTATCTTACTGTGATTTGTGTGTGTCCCCTTGTAATGAACCACACGTTACTGCGTTCCCCACATGTCATCATACATGTACACCAACATACAATCACCCTCTCACGCACCACCGGCCACAACCTCCTTCCCCTTGACGCTTTTCCACTCCAATCCCAATGAACAAACACAAGCGGTGGCCCCCAGCGCCGCAGCCAAGTAGAACGGGCTAACGAGCGCGGCGTTGTAACTCAGCAGGATACCCGGGACCTGCGCGGGCTCGACGACCTTCATGACGGAAGCCGTGCCGGCAGCGAGGAGCGCGGCGACGTCGACGTCTGGGACGTTGAGCGCGAGGTGGTGCAGGAGTTGCTGGTTGAAAATTGTCTGGGAGATTGCGGTCATTAGGGCACCGCCGAACATTTGGAAGAAGGTTACTGTTGCTATGCCGACAGGGGTTTGGGAGGGGGTTAGAACTGTTATTGTGCTGGTTAGTTTTTTTCTTTGTATTGGGAGATTTCTTTGGATAGGAGAGACACCAAGAGATGGATTTGTGCTGTTTATGTGGCGGGGTTTATGAAGCAGAGGAGATGAGGGGGTGATTATACGTACTTCCTTGAATGGCGATTAGAGGGACCGTCATGAACATGCCTCCACCGAGACCAGTGAGGACCTGGAATCCGATCCATTGCGGACTTCCGGAGGACACCTCGAGCAGAGTGTACAATCCTAACCCGATACTCAAGAATGCCGTACCGCCGATGATCCACGGGTTGTAGTATCCCCAAGCGGTGATCAAAGCGCCAGCAGCGCCCGTCGCAATGATTTGCGCCAACATGGTCGGAAGGAGGTTGACGCCGGATTGCACAGGAGAAGCACCTTTGATGACCTGGAACCACTCGGGAAGCCACAGACCGACCAAAGACATGGCGCCCATGCCGAACATGGCGGATAAGCAAGACCAGAATACCGTGCGCTGGGTTATGACGGAAGGCGAAATCATGGCGTCTTCTCCCACGTAGTATTGCCAGCCCGCAAAAACGAGCAAGAGTGCGCCGCCGCCGACAAACAGCCCGACGATGCGCGCCGATGACCATGGGTATGTAATATCGCCCCACTGGAGTGCCATCAGAATCATCGCGACGGCTGGAATGAACAAGGCCGCACCAGGCAGATCAAGGCGCTTGATACGGGCACCGACTGGGTCTTGCTCAACGGTTCGGTATGGTGGTTTGAACATGAAGACGAGAACCGCGATGATGGCGCCACCCACAGGGAGGTTGATGTAGAAGATCCATCGCCATGTTACGTGCTGTGTAAATGCCCCGCCAACGAGTGGGCCGATGATGAGTGCGAGGCCCAGCATGGATGCGAGAAAGCCGGTGTACAGTGCTCGCAAACGCAACTCTACAACCACAGCAATGATGGCTAGACCTCCACTCAATAGACCAGCAGCTCCGACGCCCGCGATGGCACGTCCTGTGATGAGCATGGGCGAGGAAGTGGCTGCACCGGACACGGCGGAGCCAATCTCGAAGACGGCAAAAAACGAGAGGTAAGTGTACTGAAGGGAGTCAGCGGGGAGAGTGGGCGAAGTGTAGTCATCAACGGACCTTTAGTGAGAAATTGGCGTAGAGTTTCCCTCCGAGAGGTTGCATGGAACACCTGGAGGATGTCAGTGACGAGAATGGGGAGCTCGTGATGTTGCATTCGTACAGAGTCAACATGTATCCGCTCATATACCAGCCAATATCAGCCGTGGATTGAAACTTCTCGGTTATCAAGGGGATAGCTGTCGTCATAATCGACATGTCCAAAGACATCAGCAACGTCGACAGAGATAACCCGGCTACGAGGACATAGAGCTTCAGTCCACTCATGTGATAGTTCTCTTCTTTGCGCTGATTCGAGCCATCGGGAATGGACTGGTCAATTGACTTTTCGTCGTCGATCATGTCGATTTTCTTGTCCTCTGTAACGGGGAGCTGCTGGGCGGGCGAGTGCATTGTCAACAACAGCGAGTTCAACGACGATTAGCGAACAGACGTTTTGCTGTGCTTCTCACGGCACTGGACGACTTGAAGAATGATGAATTGATTCGATAACGGCTGAGTGAGACTATGGGATCCGGGTAGATTCTGCAGGAAGATACATATAGTGAGCCGCCTTACTCCCGTATCTTGACGCCCATTGTAAGACAATCAATCCTCTCAGATAGGAATGCAATACGGACACGGGCGGTACATTTTGCATGCAGGAGTGAATCCATCGCAGGAGCTGAGCCAATGGCATCCATGACGAGTCTGTTCATTTTGAACGTTGACAGTGTGCGGTGACGATGGTATCCCTCCGCGTTATATAGGTTGTTGCGCGATGCCGTCGGTCGTGGTGTTGAGGGAACGGAGATTCGGGGCATCTTCGCGCTCCGGCCCCGTCGGCAAATTTGCAGGGGGCCCGTGCATACATGTTTTCTACACAGTCTTCCTCCTGAGGCAGCCATCTCGCTGTATTCCATTAAAGCGTCCTCTGCCGTCGGGCTCGGATCAATTCCCTTTGCATGCCGCTGTCCATCTGTTGAATGCTCCCCAATGGCCCCGGACGAGGTCAAGAAGCGCAAGGCCTGCCAGTCGTGCATTCGCGCCAAGGCCAAATGCTCGCCTTCGACCGATCAGGCAGACATTTGTTACAGGTGTCAACGGCTCAAGAAAGAGTGTGTCTTCGAGGAGAGTGTCCGGAAGAGAGGCCCCAAGTCACGATCGTAAGTATCATTCCCGTCGCTTAGTCCCTTTTTCTGGGGTAGCCCCACTGCAGCGATGCATGCATGCACAGTTATTTCATTACTTAGCATCATCATGGCTCTGGCTCAAACTCAAAGCGGCAGGACGAGCCAATTAGGCCGTCTGCTGTATGATATTCTTTTCTTTTCCGGTCGTAGTAGCACAAAGCTAGCCTCTGGGGTTCCCGTCGGAGCAATACACTGACTGCTATATATCAGGCGTGTCAAGCAACTCGAACAGCGTGTCGACTCGCTCATAGGCCTCCTAGCCGCCAATGGCCAATCGCTCGAAGTCACCGAGAACATCAAGTCTGTGCTTGACAAGGCCGCTACCCCGACAGCACAGAGCGAGCCTTCTCCAGGCGCAAGAGACACGTCCAACAGTGTTTCTTCTCAGTGCCATACGCCGCCCGAGTCTGGATCCTGTCAATTGAATGTGGCAAACCCTACGGGCGAAGAGCCCTTTGAAGCCTATGATCCCATCGATGCCGGCATCATTACCGAACATGCTGCTTCGAGACTCGTCGAGGAGTTCAAACAGTCTTTCGTCTTGTCATTCCCCTTTGTTGTGATACCGCCGTCAACCGACGTCAACACCTTGCGTAGAGACTCGCCTTTCCTATTCCTCTCTGTCTTGACCACCACATCATATAGAACCCCGGAACTGCAACGCGAGCTAGCAAATCATCTCAAGTCGCAAATTGCCTTGCGTGTCGTTGAGCTCTCCCACAAGAGCCTGGAGATTCTGCAGGGCTTGCTCGTGTACGGAGCATGGTATCACTTCTTTTACCGACCTGCGAACCAGCAGTTGGCTGTCATTATCCAGCTATGTGTAGCCGTGGTTCAAGATCTCGCTTTGTCCAAAAACCCAAAGGAAAATCAGAGAAAGGCTAGGGTCACCCATGATCCCTTCACATCAGGGCACGCGGACAGGGGTTCTGCTGGAGAGCGTGCATATCTTGGAACATATTATCTGGCGGCTGCGTAAGTCTGATGCATTGCTTTCATGGAATGATCCTCCTCTTACATTTGACTAGATTTGCACAGGCATGGCGGAAACGAGTGACCATACAATGGACGCGTTACATGGCCCAATGCTGCCGTAACGTCAACAGTCGCCAGGAATATCCGTCCGACGTCCTTATCCTACCGTTGATCCAGCTCAGTGAATTAATGTGTCGAATCAACGACATATTCTCCTACGATGATATCGGTAACGCCGAAGTCAAAGGCGACATGATGATCGACATGTCCATCACTAATCTCTCCTCCGAGTTGGATCGTATACAGGACGCTGTGGCACCCAGTGTGAAGGAGAATCGTATGTAGCTGCTCCCATCCCATTCTTGATTACGACTCACACGTTCCAGTCACTCTCAATCTACATTTCCGCCTACTCCGCATTTGGATCCATGAATGTGCGCTGCACACTTCTTTCTGGACACCTTCCTCGCACAACAACTCCTTTTCCATCTCCCCGACTAGACTCAAGGCGCTCCGCCGGTGCCTGCGAGCCATGCAATCATATGTGGACGCACTTCTCTTGGTGCCACAATCATCGCTCCATCATCTTTCTAGTCAGTGCTGGGTCGGCTGGTTCTATGCTGTGATTGTGGCTTGTAAACTTGTCTTCCTCGAAGAAAACGAGCGCGACTCCGAGACCGACATTGAACCAACGGACCAGGAAGTGACAAAACTGATGGAGGACGAATTCGACAACACCGCACCACAGGAGTCATATCAGCTTCCCACCAACGTCGCCACCAATGCGTCGTGGGACGCCATATTGGTGGCGCAGGAAGCTAACGTGCAAACCCTTTTTGAAGGGTTCGTCAAGAAGATGGACTTTACAATGACCAAGCACCCTACAGACGCACCCTGCGAATGTTCCGACCCTCTTCATTCTCTCCTATATCTTCAGCGCACTCTCTCACACGGTTTCATCAAACGGATGAAGGAACTTCTCGCCAAGGCAAATGCCAGTGCCGATAGCAACAACCCCCGCTACAGGCCATCCGTGTACCAAACGAACATGCACACTGCAACCACTCCACTTTCGCATTTTCCACACCCCGAAGCGCATCCGCAAGCAAATGCCCAATCGGCCGCCGTGTATCAACATCCCGCTCCGTTGGAGCAGTTCAACAACAACTGGAACTTCAACGCGCTCAACTTTGACGGCTTCATGATGCCAGAATCTCACCAGCCGGATATGCTATGGGACATGGTCATGGACGACTTCAGCATGCCTCCGCTGTGAGAGGGCAAACAAGAGACATCAGGAGAGAACAGCAAGATCGTGACATGAAGTGCGCTGTCTGTGCAACATCTCCCGTGCGTCCATAAACTCCCAGAGGAGGTCCAGCAGTATCGCTCGCAATTAATCACGCCTCATGCGCCGAGGCACAGCTATATATTCAAAAACGTCAAATGCATGAGGGATGGATACAGACATGTCCGAGCGAATCCCGCGCACACTTGAGCGATACAACCAATCCGACCAGGTATATGCCGCGACCTGCCACGACAGAGCAACAATTATCAGTCAAGTCGGAGTGTATTAGGTCTATTATGTGATTATCGCATATTCTAGTCGGAATGTATATACATGCTGATTAGTGATGTCGATGCATGCAGGATGGAGGGAAGAAAAGTAATCGCCCGATTCGGCATGCAGTCGGCAGGCACAATATCGGCAAAGCAAGGTCAGCAATTAATATCAACAGCAGGATTACAAATGCTCCCTCATTCGACTCTCCACACCTTAGCAATTCTTACTATGTATATTGTGTACTGTACATACACATGGAAACATCCATCTGCAGTTTCGGACGATTGTCAGTGGAGTTGCAGGAAAGTGGGGAGCGGGAGCTGAAGCGCAAGCGTGTTGAAGAATTACCGAATTGGGATAGCAGTCGGATAGGAAGCAGGGTTGATGTCTCGTCGCGATAAGATTTTTGTTTCAAGCTTCAACATCCAATCCAACATTATTACTCCGAGGTCAGATCACTAATGACCATTCGCCGAAGCGGGAAATTTCTGAATGTTGTACAATGCAGCTTCACTATGTCTCATCCAGGCGATCAAGCATGTTTTGACCCCCACCTCGAACGCACGTTGCTTGCTTCGACACAAAAGTCATGTCGTTATCAAGAGTCAAGACGGGGCGACTGTTTTTCCAGACTGTTCTATGTCACTAGCCTCGGTTTGACGATCCCTTTTTTTGCGTGTTATTTTCTTCTGTTCGCCTTATGTGTGCCCTGACTCGCCGGATCTTCCCGATCTCAAAGACAGCTTCAGAATTACCCCGAGTAGCGCTCCAGCTGTCTGCACAACGGTCGCTGGCCAGACGACAGATAACGGTTGAGGCGATCATTGGACAAATGTATGGTAAAAATTGTGCATCCATTGGCTGATGGCATGGCTTCTTGGCTGACAAACTCTATTCGAGCTCCGAGGTCAGATCTGAGGTTCCGCAGTCTAACGATCCTGCAGATTCAACGTCGAGCTTGCATCTTTAAAGTGGTTTCCCACGTGGCGTTCGGAGCCTCTAGCCCCTTCCGTCCAAGCATCTGCAACAAGCTGCCGCCGTCTTGTTCCATCTTGATCACTAAACTACCGAAAGAGTATAGAAGTCTCCAAGTCGCAGGCGCGGATGAAAGGTCGGCCCGAACATAGTGGCGGCAATGCTGCAAAAATCAAACATAACGTTATCATGGCACTGGGTGCCCCGATCATCATACCTGCCACGGCATGACGTTCTGGGTCAACCTGGCAATTTCAAAGCAAGGACGTCATGCAAACGGCACAATCGGACATACCGGTATTATTTTGTGTAGAGTTTTCAGCCCTGCAGCATGTTGGCATAGTTACGCCAGGGCTTTGATATATAAAGAGCTCTCTGCTTCTCTCTCAAGACACTTCTCTCCCATATCACACTCCCAATTCTCCCATTCCAGATACCCATTTTGAACGATTAGCACTGCTTCTTCCTGATTTCACAAAAGTTACCTCGTTTTCTCACAAAACAATCACCATGCCTAGCTTCACCGTTTTCAAGGGCTCCAAGGAGGGCAAGATTGTCGAATCTACAACCACCAAGCCCGACCTCACTGACGACCAAGTCCTCATCAAGGTCACCGCCTCGGGTCTCTGCGGTACGGATGAGCACTACAAGCATGCCGACATGGGTCTCGGCCACGAAGGTGTCGGTGTTGTCGCCGAGATGGGCCCCAACGTCAAGAACCTCAAGAAGGGCGACCGCGTCGGATGGGGATACGTGCACTGGAGCTGCAGCGCCTGCGACATGTGCCTGTCCGGACGCGACCAGTACTGCGCCAAGGTTCAGCGCTACGGCGAGGCCAACTTCGACCAAGGTAGCTTCGCCAGCCACGCCGTCTGGAACGAGTCGCACATCTTCCGCATCCCCGACAACATTTCCGACGTCGAGGCCGCGCCCCTCATGTGCGGCGGCGCAACCGTCTGGACCGCCCTCCACTCCTACAACATCAAGCCCACCGACCGCGTCGGCGTCATGGGTATCGGCGGTCTCGGCCACCTGGCCATCCAGTTCGCAGCCAAGATGGGCTGCGAGGTCGTCGTCTTCTCCAGCTCTGACAGCAAGAAGGACGAGGCTATGAAGTTGGGCGCCAGCGAGTTCATCGTCACCAAGAACAAGAAGGAACTCGACATCTCCAAGAAGATCAACGTCCTCGTCGTCACCACCAGCTTCAACCCAGGTAAGCATGCATTCCTCCATTCCCTTTCGTTTCCCCTTTGAATCAATTAACTAATGGTTTGATACAGACTGGTCCGTCATTCTCCCCGTCCTCGAACCCCAATCCGTAATCTTCCCCCTCACCGTCGACGCCGGCGACTTCGCCATCCCGCAAATCCCCCTCATCGTCGGCGGCCACACCATCCAGGGAAGCATCGTCGCTTCCCGCCCCGTCCACCGCAGCATGGTCTCCTTCGCCTCCCACCACGGCATCAAGCCCATCACCATGGAGTTCCCCTTGACTGTCGATGGCATCACAAAGGCCATGGACACCCTCCGTGAGGGCAACATGAAGTACCGCGGTGTCTTAATTCCTCAGTAGATTTTTTTCTCGATCCTGCTCTGAGACGTCTCCCTTTTTTACGAATTTTCTTATAGTTTGATGATGTATTGTGTTGTCTGCATGGCTTGCGCGGGAAAGAGGGGTTATGGAATGGAATGGCATAGCTTGCGAAAGGAATCGTTATTTTGTTTAGAGATGCGATAGATGATGTTCTTCTTTTCGGAGAGAAATCGAGTTGATACCATTAAGAGAAATCAAAATTATTTTATACTACTTGCCCACCTTCATATACTCTCCTTACAAAATGAATAATCTACCCTTTATTCTTAAATCCACTAAGGTCCCCCAGCCATCTTCATCGCCTTCTACCCTCCGTCACCAAAACACCCCCTAACCATCACTCGATTCTTTGAATTTCCATTGTAAACGTTATCGCGCGGCCCTACAATGACGAAGTGCCCATCTCACCCTAGACGTGTGCTAACAGACGCTACATACATGGGTATATACATACCCTTGCTTAACCACCAATTTCTAACCCGCAATATCGAAACCCCAAACATCTTCAAAATCAAATCAAAGGAATAAATAACTAACATCTAATCCACCACTTCCCAGCTTATCAAAAACTAAACCAAACAAAAACCTCTTCTAGTTCTTCCTGGAAAATTGCAACTCGTTCTTGCTTCTGAGTCAGTCTCTTACAAGTCGACTAAGCCTATCTTAAACAATAAAAACGTTTCTCAAAAGTAGGAATCTTTTTTTTGGCGCGTGTCTTGCCAAGCATAAGCTTGTTAGCTCTTTGGGAAAGAAAAGAAAAAAAAGGTCATGTTGGGCGTGTTTTTGTCGTAGTTTGAAGATTTGAAAAGGGTAGTAGTTGGTTGGGGCTGCGAGGAGTGGGTTTGTGTGAGGATAGTGGGGATGTGCGAGGTTGGGGAGGTTTGCTTGACGTAAGGGGTGGTACGGTGCTTGAACGTATACGTCTCAGCAATAAAATCAAGACTATATTTTTATTTTACTAGGCAGTGTAAGACACAATGCAGCTTTTCGTAATCACCACTGCACCCACTACTCACGCCAACCCATCTTAGAATCACCAGCTAAATGACTCAACAACTAAATCAACATCAACACCACATCCCTTCCTAACAATCTCACCCACAAGAATTCGAACCTCATCCGTCATACCCACAGGACCCGATACAAACACGCAAACCCGAGAAGTTCCGCCATGAACCAACTCCTCATCCAAGATCCTCCTTATATCGAGTCGCTCACCAACAACAACCCGTTGCTCCACACCATCAAGGCAACCCGTACTCCGCACATTATCGACCAAGCCCTGCGTCCGACATCCCCAATAGAGCTTCGCCCGCCCAGGATGGCCACGCAGGTACGGAACCACCGAAGTGACGCCTACGCCACCAGCAATAGCCACCAAAGTAGGCGCTTTATGCACCGAGGCTAGGGAATGGGAAGAGTAGCCAGCCTCTACCAAGACCGGGAATGAGCGACGGGTTGTGATTAGCGACGTTAACCCAGAGTGCGTCCGTATGAAGAACGTAAGGCCAGATTGACGCGATTCGGCTGAGGAGCTGCGAGTCGGAGATCTGTTTTGTTCTTCAATTGGATAGTTGAAAACTGGGCTTTGCTTCTCGATGTCGGTTTGAGAGGAGCTCGGATTGCTTTGTCCAGAAGACGAGATTGGTGATGGGAGGGAAGTGGATGCGATTGAAAAGGGGTGGTTCTCCCAGACTCGCCACGTGAGCGTCGGGAAGTACAGATATACATGTCCCGACGCTGATACATCCGGTATAGTGACACGCGCGTATTCATCGTCAATGACGGTGACGTCGGCGCGTTTGATGCCGTTCCGAGCGAGACGTAGGAAGCGGAATATGCGGTCGAAGGCCCAAATCGCCATGCTCATAATGACCCATGTCTCGTAGCCCCATTTGTGGGAAAACCTAAAGACGACGTGCCAGTAGCATCCGGCTACGACTAGAATGGAGATGATGACGTGCCATGCGAGGAATAGCTCGTACGCTTTTTTGCGGAGAGGGAGGAGAGAGCTGGGGAAAAGGATTGTCATGGCTAATGTGGCGATTATGCCCCAGTACCAGTAAGGTTCTTTGGCTTCGGCGTTGTGCGTCCCAGCTTTGACGTAAATGTGCAGATATATGATGCTGTGGAGGATGGCTTCTAGAGTAGCGATGGCCGCGATCCATTTGTGAAGAAGCAGGAATGTGGAATGGGACCAGTTGGTGATCCAGAGTAGGAAGTTGTTGCGGCCGGCATACAGAAATATCAGGGGAAGATTGGCATAGCTAAGTAGTCCGAGGCGGTTCGTGACGAGCATCGCCATCCATCGCGCTTTGTCCGCGCCGTACCATGTGTTTTCCGGAACCCAGAGGTAATTCACGCCGGAAAATACAACATTGATGGCGATCATGTAGAATATGAAGAGCCCCTGCCCCCGCTTTGGCATCTGGAAAAGACCGAAGAAAATAGGTGTGTCGTGCCTCGTGCCCCAAAGCGGCGGTTCAACGACCCAGGCGCTGAACTTTGAGCGCCACATGTGTGGTATAGGAAAGAAGCGCAGAAACGAGAATCCAACGGGAATTATAACACCCGAAAGTAGTATGACGAGCCTAGACACGATTAATTCTCATGTATGCGAAAAGGTTCAAAAACACACACCCAAATTTCACCTGCTGCTTCTCTTGGGATATCCAACCCGAGTTGGTGGTGTAAGCTGGGATCCACAGGCCATCGCCTACAACACTCGTGGTATTTAGTGAGCCAGTCTCTGCATATACAACTGCAGGCGTCCCATCAACTTTCGATAGAGCTCCTTGGTATGTCACTTTAGGGTCAGGCTGGATATCCTCCGTGCCAACCGTATTCAAAGACCACCATTTCTCCAACTTCCACGACTTCTCTTCCCGACACCGCTCAGATATGCACCAAGCTAAGGTCTGGAGGTAGGCGTCGTCGGTAGCATAGCAGTCGGCTGACGTGGTGACCATATGCATCATGTCAGACATGTGTCCCATATCTTCCATGGTCGAACAATCGAGCGTTGCGCTGGAGATTGCATCGCGACATGCCTGGGCGCAATAAGGCTGCGATGGATCGATGCCGTAACCTATGAAGCCGCGCTCTGTGCGTGCTTGCGACACACTGGTCAGCGTGATTGAAGTGAAGAATATCTTATCCAGAAGCTTCATGTCGAATGGATGGTTTACCTACAATGACAATGCCGTCACTCGGGTATATGTACATTTATACGGTGCCTGAAAACTGCACGTACGATCCAAGACTTTTCTCAAGCCTCGCAGGCTTGGATACAATGTATCATCCAATGAGTTCATGAGGATACTATTGTGAAGTAATTGATAGTGGGTAAGTTTCTGTTACAAACTAAGTTAGTGCGTACTATGTGAGCATGTTTGCGTGCAAATGATCCTTGCACAGCATAGTACATATGTAGGCAGCCCCACTTGTGTTCATCACGCTCAAATTAATCGACGTACTCTGTCACAGCGACATGTGATCATGATACTAGGACAAACTCAGCAATTCTACATTTTTACGTGGTATCACTTCCCAAAAATATCAAATGATGGTGAGAATGGACAGCGCGGTGGTCACCCGATAATATACAATTTCCGAGTTTGTGGATGGTTCATCTATAATAACCAGAAGCCCTATGCTCTCGGAGGTCCCTCCTGCTCGGCTCACGAATCTCGACGTTGTACTTCTTACCTTCTCGTCCTGATGCCTGATCCTGTTCGTACAGCGATCCCCGCTTCGACGAGCCCACATGCATCTTCCCAGCCTTTTTGCTCGATGGAGTGTCTAGCTCTGGCCATTCCACAATCTCGCCCGATGGCGGTCGCTTCTTTTTAGACGACGTCTCCACCTTCACACTCCTGCTCGGACGATCCTTCTCGCCTGCACGACTCGCAACGTAGTACCCTCTATCCATGCTCACAAAAGGCTGCCTACTTCTATGGCGGAGGCTCCGTTCCACTGCCTTCAACAGTCCCCGTGTCTGGACATAGTCCGCCGGAATTTCCACGCAAACGAGCTTATTCTCTGTCTCGGTGGTGCTATATGTATTGCCATCTGTGCGGTTGTAAAGAACGGCGCAAACCTCTTGCGCAAGTCTGTGGCCTGTTTCGCAAAGCTGTTCATGATTGCGGTGAACCTCGTAAGGGTCGCGGCAGTAGGCGCACTTTTGAGCGTGGACCTCGAAATCGTAGATAGTCCACGATTCTTGTGAGCTTACCGGACGAGTAACGGACGTCACGGGGTCGGTCTGGAAACCTACTACCCTCTTTTTTTTCTGTTGTTGTTTTGTGGGGGGTGGAGTGGAGTGGATCAACCGCTCTATGTTGGGTTTGTCACGCAATGTCGATTCGTCGTGCGCTGGTACTGGCGACTTGGCGGACGAGGCCGGATTCACTTCTCCTGTACTTGCATTTTCGAGCGCGAGAGGATCATAATTCGATTCCGATGCGGTACTTTCTTCGGACGAGGCGTCTTCATCCAAGGTATGGTTTGGAATCGACAGGAGGGCGACTTCAATCATGTGGCGGCCGAGGTGCTTGATGTATTGCATCAAACTTACGTTCAACGCGTCATTACAAATCGGGCACGATATAGCCCTTGGGAGGTTTCCTATGTTTTCCAACCAGGTGTCGCACAAGTGCTCTGTATCCTCTCCCTCGGATATGCTGTGCACCGACTGGATGTGAGTTTGGAATAGGTGTGATTCGCTGAACAGCATGTCGTCGCACTGGGGGAAGCGACATCTCCATGATGTGGAAGGGTTGTGGTAACGCTTTATATGGGTGACGAAGGAGTGTTGGCTGTCGAATATGATTTGCTCGGATTCACAGTTGAGCACGGGACATACGTAAGGCGCTAAGTCACGCACGACATGAATTCTGGTAATGTTTTAGACCTTCTGTTTCCCCTAGCGGACGGGGAGGTGGATAAGTTGCTTACCTCCATTCTTGCTTATTGCGGAAAGGTCCTACAGCGGAACCACATACTGTACATTCCACTTTCTTGTGGTCGAATTCAGATTGTTGTATCGGAGGGGCGGGGAAACGGAGCCGGTCTTGCGCACTAAAACGATGCATCGACGTATATACAGAGCCGTATTCTGTCCCAACCGTCTCTAAATTGTTGAATTCGGTTTGAAATTGCGCAGTATCATCTTGACCATGCTGTGTGCCAGACTTGGAGCCCGTGTAGTATCCAGAGTCGGCATGCGATTCATCGCGGATTTTGCGGTCTACCAATCGAATCCGCTCCGCTTCTGCTGCCTTTCTAGCAGCCTCCAGCCGCTGGAACCGTACCCAGTTAGCTTCTGCCAACCGCCGTGCAAGCCGATTGGATATGTGCGAGAACTTGTCCTGGGTCATGTGGAGATAGTGGATAACGCCCTCTTCTTCCATGCTACCCTTTTCCACATTCATTGGTTTCGGCCTTTCGGTTTCAGACTCATTTTCTGGCTTGGGACGTGTCATCACTTCCCACGCCAGAGACGGCCCAAGATCATACAGCTGTTGGACTGTGTCGGCAATGTCGTCGAGTAGCTCGTTGACCAACTCTTCGGAATCAGTATCGAGAGGTTCAGAGCTGTTCGTCTCCTCGAGATCAGCGTCTGTGACGAAACCCTGAAGATTAGGGCAGAGATAGGTAAGCAACGCAATCCATTGTGCATGATCTTCGGTGTGGGACTCATCTGCTGACCCAGAATCAAGCGCAGTTGTAATAGCGTCATCTGAATCTAGCGCCCGAGACAAATTGAACGACTTCTCACTATTCTCCAGCACAGGTTCGTTCAAGATGGCAAAGTCTTGGAGGCTTCGGGCAGTCAGTGAGTCGGAGGAGCCATGTACGTCAATAGCGCTGCCAGAGTGTGGAGCCGGGTTTTTCGGTCGAATATATTGGTATGCTGTTTTAGACATAAGCACACATAAACAATACCATTATCCGCACTTACTCTTGAAGAGATCGTAGAGAATCAACCCCAGCAAAAGCAGAACGCTGTCCTTCATATCCGCATCTTCATCCAGCTGCGCATCCAGATCGCCATTTTCGATGCGCAAGCCGGCGGCCCAAAGCTTGAACCTCTGGCCGGAACTTGTAAGTTTTGAGAGCAGTTGTGGTTTTTTTTGGGCGCACGAGATGGCATTTCTGAAGGCCTCCAGAATGACGTGATATAGCCTAGCACACAGACTCGATGCGCTCGACTCGTCTGTATTCATGATCGAATCCAGAGATACATGGTCTGATAGTCATCAAGATAAGTCCAGCTCAGCAGGTGCGGTGCAGCTGGTAGGAGGGAAGAAGTTCAGCCTCTGATGGGCTCCCCGCATTCGATTTGGGGGTGTACGATACAGATAGGTTAGCTTTGGGCCCCATTTGGTTGACCAGCCGAAGTCTTCGATGATTCAGCCGCTCGTATTCATCTACATAAACGAGGGGTAGTTGTCAACTTCCTCAGTTTCGTCAACCCCACTCCGAATCAAGAATCGAAAAGAATAATAAAGGTCGCCCACAGCATATTCAAAGCGAAACTATAGCGTTCCTCCAATTTTGAGAGGGTGCTAACACAAAAAGCGCATTGGAGGGCCTTCTAGAAGAGATTGCGCGCGCGATGGTATCGTGACCATTCCGAGGAAGAAGACAACACAGAAATCCGCAAGAACGCCAGCAACTCGTGGAGGAAGTAAAATATCAAATTTCGACTCTCATGCATGCCGATAGAGATTAATCATGTCGGGATTTGAGATCGCCGGAGTTGTCCTTGGGATAATCCCCTTGGCAATCAAAGGCTACGGCTCCATGGAACTTTTCTTTCAGAGCTACACCGGGTTTGAAAGTCATACGCGCAGGCAGCGGAAGGTGTACCTCATACAAAGAAATCAGTTCCGCCGTTCGATCAGAACTTTGCTTTTGGGCTTCATCGATGACACTACTTTGGATGACATGATCCAGGACGCTGATCACGCAGAGTGGGAAAGTGACGATTGCAGAGAGGCCATCAGCACACTGTTCAGTAAAGATCTCGGCACCTCTGAAGAATACAAAGCTACCGTAGAACTGATACAGGGCACTTTGATGGATATCAAAAAGCTGTGTGTTCTCGAGGTAAGGACGTCTTGTGTATCAATCCACCTTTGTGGAGTTGCTTATTGCTAGTACTGATGACTGTAGCCAACATCGACGTCCCCAGCTGGCGATCCATCTCGAAAAGGTTGGAACAAGGTCACGAACGCAATTTCCGACAGGAAACAACGTCTCCACTGGGCCGTATCCAAGAAGAGCAAAGTAGATGATCTGTTGTCTGAGCTTAGCAGATATAACCAGGATCTTGGACGACTCGTCAACCAGATCCGGGGCAACTCAAGACGACCATCGGCAAGATTCACGCCGCGCACGACGTTTGAGAACATCAAAAAGATCCAATCAGCCTACACGGATCTGTATCGAGCCGTCACGTCCGCCTGCTCTGGATGCGTCGGTCATACGCACGCCGTGGATCTAGCATTGGAAGATGAAGGCACTGGTCAATCGGGCCAAGTGTTAGGCTTCATGCCGCCTGTGTATAGGGTGATGTTCCACGATGGACAAGAAGCCAAGGTATGGTGCATGCGGTTGAAGCATCTCCCGACGGGTCAAAAGCTACCGCCTCAGGTTCAGACCGTACAGCTTCCTATCCGTCCGCCCAAAGCTTCTGCAAGTAGCAAGCTTCATCTAATATCTCACGACACAACGACGACGAAGTCGACGACGACAGCCCAGACAACAAAGCCTCCAAAGAAAACTGTCCACTTTTCAAAAGACCCAATGATCCCCAGCCCACAACCAGCTCCACCAAATTCCCCCGCTCCTCCACAACACCCTCCATTCACCTCCCTCCCTTCCCCACATCCAATACAAAACCTCTGCCTCTCCCTCCAGACACTCCACAAACTCTCCCCAGATCCCCAAGCAAACCACCCCCACCAGCAACTCGGCTACCTCAGCAACGCCGACGACTCCGTCTTCGAAGTCGACCTCGCGGCCATCGAACCGCACCCCTCAGACGTCTACCCCTCGCTCAACCAAATCCTCTCCAACCACCCTACCTCCTCGGACCCAATAACATCGCGGGTCCTACAACCTTTCCAGCGCTGGAAACTCGCATACCTCCTCTCATGCTCACTACTACGACTCTACTCGTCGCCCTGGCTAAGCGAGCGCGAGCGCTGGGCCAGCCGCAACGTGCGCTTCTTCCTGAACCGCGGCGACGGAACCGTAGATACCAGCATCACCACGCATCCCGCTACAGCAGCGCTCCTAACAGGGAAAGGGAAGGCTAAGGAAGAACCCCCCTCCATCGTCCTCGCCTCCGTCAAAAACTACCAAATCTACGCCCTAGGCGTCCTCCTTCTCGAACTCGCCCTCGGAAAACCTATCGATACGTCTGCGTTTCCAACGGGCAAGGCTTTATCCGGTAATGATGCCGCAGAGGAGCTCAACGAGTACTTAACTGCGATGCGTCTGGACAAGCACGGCGCTGCGGCGCGCGCGCTCGGCCCGCAGTACGGCGAGATTGTGTCGCGGTGTCTGACGTTTGGGTTTGCGACGGGGAAACACGATCTTGCGAGCGTTGAGCTGCAGCGCGAGTTTTATGGCGGGGTGGTGTGTCAGTTGGAAGGGTGTTTGAAGGTTATGATGGAGCCTGTTTGAAGGCATACGCGGGGGATTTTTCTTTAATCTAGAATAAGGAGAAGAAGAAAAAGGACGACATAATGTTAGCGATAATGTGCCTCAAGGGAAAAAAGGGCTTAGAATGGTGGTGCAGACTGAGCTGCATGCTACCTTTTTTTGATACAAGTATATATCTTGTGTCGTTGTCTTGAGCATTTCGCACTTAATCCCCAGCACCATTATTCAAAAATTAGAATCTCAAAACATCTACTACTCTATCATTGTTTCCAACTAATACAATTCCAATTCAGTTAGTCATCCAGACTAGAAGGAAATCGACAGACAAAAGGCAAAGTCAAACCCAACGAACGTTGGAAAGAAAAGAAGAAGAAAAGCTAAGAGGTCCGGAGGCCAAGGGGGAATTCGGACTCTAGAGCAAACGAGCGAGGAGGCAAACAAAGGGGGAAAGAGTAAAGAGAGAAGTTAGTAAGGTAGATGAATAGTGGGGAGAATCTAGGATAAGAGAGAACAGCGTTCTGCGGATGAGTAGAAGGAGGCTGTGCAAACCCATGGGAGAGAAGAAGAGTATAGAGACGCGTAATTCTAATAACAACAACGTACGCGTCCCTCAATTAGGATCGTGTTTACGTTTACGTTTTCTCTAGCTTTGGATTTGATGGTAGAGAACGAAAGGGAAGTTGGAGATGGACTATTGTGTAGATGGCAGGAACGGGAGTAGATTTAAGGGCTAGGTAGGTAAGTAGAGAGAGAAAAAGGAATGATATGTGAGTGTGGCCTGTGAAATTATTGTCATCTGACGGGGGAAATTATTCGGGACCAGATTGCGTAAAGCAAGTCAGTATTACTATAGTATTACTAGATGAGCTTCGGTCAGCAGTGATGACGGCTTATGCAACAATCAATCATTCGATCAATCAACTAAATAAGAGAATATGATTAGTGTTTTTATATTCATAAAACGAAAGAACAGAGAGCAAGTCTCCTTGGACAGAGAGATTGACTCGCCATGCCATGCCATGCCATGCCGCGCCGTTCCATGCCCTCCCAAGATCGGCCCAAGTTCTTGAGCGGTGGGGGGTTAAGAAAGCTTGGAGGGTGATTAGCGGAAGGGATTTAATCATTTCCGCTTGCGGGTTGGGACGGTAGATGGGTGGTGAGGGATGGATTAGTAGAGTGATGAGCGGGCTGGCTGCGGAGGTTGGAAACTAACGGAGTTCGGTGTTTTTTTTGGCTTGGGTTATGTAGTGTACTTGTATAAGAACGGTATGAATAGATGGATAAGGATGGCATTGGCAGAGTGGTATGTAAAGGGACTTGATTGTTGATTGTTGTTTACTGTTAATTCGGGTGAATTGAGAGGGGGGAAGCGTAAGTCGTTCTTTATTTTATTATGGAGTACCAAGTACAGCCAAGGGACGTGGCCTAGAGGCCAGTGAAGTTGAATACCGGCATTGGCGGACTTGGAAGTGTGCAGTGAAGATGTCACGGAGCGAGCAGGTCAGTCGGAAGGCAAAAAGGCAAAGACTAGTCAGTGAAGGCCGGCAGCGGACGAGGCAGAATGATGGTATTGGAGGTGCAGTCAAGAGAATCAATCAACGGCTGTCGTCAAATGCCATGCGAGAATGAGCGAAGAAGTGATGTGCATGGGCGTGCAGCTAGAGCATGACGCGTCGTAAGGGTAGCGGGAGCAACGGTGGACTGGCGATGGATGGATGGTTAGGATGGGTGGATGGAGATTAACATGGACGAGACCCTCGGTGTCGCGGATTCAGGATGCAGACGGGCGGCGGTGATTGGCTGGGGCTGCCTGAGGGGGAGGCTGAGGGGTTGTTTGGTCACGTTTTGCTTGATGGAACTGGAAACCCGATGCGCCGCAGGGAGATATTTCTGAGGCTTCACAAAACGAGGGCAACATACGATGTGGATGCAGCGGACAGACGGTGATACAGTCAGGTTAACGGTTGGTGTTGTTTGTGGTTGTTGTTGTTGGTGGGTGGTGTTTTGGTGTTGCTGGTGGGCGAAGGATGAGGCGCAAGGCTGGCTGGCTGGGTGCCAGTGGGGACTAACCGGACCGAGGAAATGAGGAACAATGTTCATATACCTACTTGGTACCTTTTTACTTGCTGTGGCGGAGGAAGAAGAAGAAGATGATGATCAAGGTTAGTTGTTACGGGGAGATTTGGACTGGCTGGCTGGCTGGACTGGAGTGGATAGTGGAGTGTATAGGGTGTGCGTGCCTGAACGGGAGCGTCGCAATTGAGGCGCAGCAGGCAAGTGGGCAAGTGGGCTTCCGCAAACAGCAGCGCTCGGGCGTCAGTCAGCGCTCAATACGGGCCCCGGCTGCAATCAGAAATAGATCATCAATAGAGGGAGTCTGGGATGCAATGCACAATCTGGGTGCCAGGGAGGGAGAGGGGAGGGAAAAAAAAAAAAAAGAGGGTTCACTTGTCTGGACCAGATGAAGAAGACACAGAGAGAGAGAGACGCATCAGAATGGGGAACGGGTAGAGACGATGGGCGGGAGGGGCAGTTGATGCGACACTGTCTGCGTCTCGCACCCCTATCCGCGACATCAAATGTCAGTGTCACCTCAGACAAGAAAAAGCTTAACCCACCCTTCTCCAGCGTCCCCAGCCATACTGTCTCTCTCTCTCTCTCTGTCTCTCTCCATATTGAACCAAGCCTTGAAAAGCCTCTATCCGCATTGACGTGGTTCCTGAATATCATTATTGTGGTTATTATTATTATTATCATATTTCAATCGTAGTGGTTCGTTTGCGGTCGAAGAATAGCAACCAACCAGTCAGCAGCCAATCGCGGGCTGGCTGGCTGCTGACGTTCGCACCTGGCCGCTCTTACCCCATTTCACGCAACTTCCCTGTTAGCGCCTGAGCGCCGCCTGCCCCCCTCTAGCCTGGCTGGCTCTTGCCCGTCCGCCGTGTCGTGCCTGCCTGTCTGCCCGGTTTCTACCCCTTCTTCTTCCCCTTCCGTTGCATCACATCACACACACCCTTCCACCACTCCAATCCAACTTGCCGTCAACTTGACCCAGTCCATTCGTTTTATCCCCACGCCTTCCCTTCTACCCTCCCCATATCCCCAACCTCAACACTTCACCGCCGCTGGTTTGGCCGTCGACTGTTCCCCGTGCTCGTCCTGAGTACCACGCCCCCATTCTCCTAAGGCTTATCCGCCTGCTTCCACCAACCACCTCCACCACGACGACGACGACGACCACCGCCTCCGTAATACTCCACCACTCCGCTCGACCGACCACGCACCCAACCCTCTCCGAGTCTTGCCCACCATGCTCCCATCGCTGTCCGCAGCCGTCGCGCTGCTGGCCGCCGCGTCGCTTCCTCTGGCCTCCGCCAAAGAGCGCATGATCGAGAGCAGGTCGCTCAACCCGTGCATGACAAACTCGAGCTTCTCGGCCACCCTCTTCAACGTCTTCTTCACCCCGGACAACAGGACCCTCACCTACGATGTCAAGGGAGTCTCGGGAATCAACACAAAGGTCGTCGCCGAGATGGAGCTCATCGTCTACGGCTACTCGTTTATGAAGCAGGATCTGAGGCCTTGCGACAGCAGCGAGCTGCGCGGCATGTGCCCCATGACGGCCGGTAACCTCGAAATCAGCTCCAATCTCGACATCAGCGCCGAGGTCATGAGCAACATCCCCGGAATCGCCTACACCATCCCCGATCTCGACGCCGCCGTCCGCATCAAGATCTCCGACGAAAACACAAAGCAACAGCTCGCCTGCGTCGAAGCCGAACTGTCCAACGGCCACACCGTCCAGCAAAAGGCCGTCAGCTGGACCACGGCCGTCATTGCTGGCTTGGGTCTGATTGCTTCCGCCATCACTTCGGGTCTGGGCCACTCCAACACCGCTGCTCACGTGGCTGCCAATGCCATGTCCCTCTTCGGCTTCTTCCAGGCCCAGGCCTTTTTCGGTATGGTGGCCGTGCCTCAGCCGCCCATTGTTGCTGCGTGGACCCAGAACTTCCAGTGGACCATGGGTATCATCCGCATCGGCTTCATCCAGCGCATGGCCACCTGGTACCAGCGCTCCACCGGAGGAACTCCCACTACTTTCCTTTCCAAGTTGGGCGAGATGTCCATCGAGATCATGAAGAGGAAGGTCAAGCGCTCCTTTGACGACACCCCCACCCTCATGACCAGGGACGCCCTCCACGAGAGTGTCCGCCACATGTCCAAGCTCGTCGCCCGTTCCAATGCCGACAACAACCAGATTCTGGCCTCGGGTGACCAGCGTGTCACTCTCCGCGGTATCGAGCGTGTCGGTTTCAAGGCCAACATGGAGGTCACCAACATCTTCTTCACGGGTTACTGCTTCTTCATCATCTTCGTTCTTCTTGTCGTTTTGGGTGTCGTGGCCTTCAAATACATCTGTGAGGCGCTCGTTAAGGCTGGCAAGATGAAGCATGACCAATTCACCGATTTCCGCAACGGCTGGCAGACGGTCCTCAAGGGTATTCTCTTCCGTGTCATTCTCATTGGTTTCCCGCAGATGATGGTCCTGTGCTTCTGGGAGCTCACCCGTCGCGATTCCCCCGCCGAGGTGGTTCTGGCCGTCTTCACACTGCTCACCATGATTGCCATCCTCGGCTGGGCCTCGTCCAAGGTTGTGCGTATTGCCCAGCGATCCATCGCTATGCACAAGAACCCTGCCTACATCCTATACTCGGACCCTGTCGCTCTCAACAAATGGGGTTTCTTGTACGTTCAGTTCAAGGCTGCCATGTACTGGTGCATCATTCCCGTTCTGCTCTACATCCTCCTTAAGGCCATGTTCATCGGTTTGGCCCAGGGCAACGGCGGTGTCCAGGCTGTCGCTTTGCTTTTGATCGAAATTGGTCTCCTGATCGGTGTTTGCGTCCTCAGGCCGTACATGGACAAGAAGACCAACGGTTTCAACATTGCCATCGCTGCCATGAACGCTCTCAGCGCCCTCTTCATGCTCTTCTTCTCCGAGATCTTCAAGGCACCCGTAAGTCCTCGATTTCACATTGGCCATCAATGGCTCGTGCTAACAATGTTTTTCAGGGAGTTGTCTCAGGCGCCATGGGTGTTGCTTTCTTCATCTTCAACGCAGCCTTTGCTCTGGTCCTACTTTTGATGGTTCTCATCGCTTCCGGTTTCGCCCTGTTCACGAGCAACCCCGACACCCGCTACCAGCCCATGCGTGACGACCGTGGCTCCTTCATCAAGTCCCAGACGCAACTCACGACGGAGCTGGATGCTCTTGGTGCCACCGCTCGCGGTGAGGGCAAGGGCCAGCACGCTCGCCTTGACGATGATGACGACGCGGCCATTGAGCGCCAGCAGATCGCAGCCAAGGAGGGTGGCTTCTCGGAACACTACCAGCCGGCGCCTCCGCGCAGCCCTGTTCCCCAGACCTCGCCGTACGGATCCAGCACCAACATCCCCGCCAACAACCCCCCCTCGTATTACGGCAACACCAGCCCACCCTCGGCACCGCAAACCGCGTATGGAAGGGCAGGCAGCTTGAAGAGCGAGGCGCAGTACCGGACTGCCAACAACTCCAGTCCGTGGCAAAGAGGAGCGGGCTATGATCATTGACGCCAGGGGGAGGAACGAACATCAGTCTTGAATGAGAACGAGCGTATCATTGAGATGTATGACCGTTCCTCCAAGGCATATCATTGAGCCCAAAAGAGTCGAATAATTGATCATGGAAGAATTATTCGTCGTGTGCATATTATATCATCATCCATTTGCGAAATCCAGTATAGTTAATTCCCAAGGGGTATGGTTCTTTTTTTTGGATAACTAAAGGAATTTTTTTCTTCTTCTTCATATCCTCTCTCTCTCCCAGCCATTGTTGTGCGCGGGATCATGACCAAATGGGACGGCGTTTTCACTTTCTCTTCTTTCTTTCCACATCATCTCCTTTTGCGTTGTCGGGCCCGCCACCAAAACAAAGACATTAGTATCCTATGCGCATATACATAATTTCTGTTGATCCAGTCCTGGCTACCCCTTGTCCCTTGTCCCTTTTCCTTTTGTTTTGTTCTGAATGTTTTGGGGTCTGCTTATGCGGTTGCGTCGGTAGATGGAGCGTGGGAGGGACGCTGTGCACCATTTAGTGTGCTGTCTGGAGTATGGGGTGGCGCAAGTGCATGCATGCGTGTTTGCGTATGATTGAGACGGAGAGGGGGAAGAGAGACCAGCAGGCAGAGTCGGATGGACTGGAAGAATCGCAGAGTCGGTCTGCGGTGTCTCTGTATATGGGTCGGGATGTGTGTGTGTGTGTGTGTATGTGTAGCTGTCGCTGTTTAGATGATAGGGGGTCCGGTCGCGTCTTATATCAAATATTTTGCCAAACCTCTCTCTCTCTTTCTCTGTGTATGTGTGTCTACATTTCCTTTGCCAGTAAGTAAGTTGATTGCCTTTTCCGCCTTGATCCTTTATGTTATCTCTTCATGTTTATTTTATTGTAGTCTGTTTACATGTATGTTTTTTTATTTTTATTTTTATTTTTTCAACAAGACAACTCTTCCAAAAGAGATGGAGAGGCAGGACGTAGCAGGATTTTAGCTAACGTAATATACAGAGTTAAATCACACATAACTACTATAATCTTTTCTTTCTTTCTTGCTTCTTCTCCTATATAATTACATATATACATCATGTTCTTTATCATACCAAAGTATCTACCTGCCCGTTGCAAAAAAAAAAAAAAAACTAGCTACTTACTCGAGTAGCCAGCCAGACGACCTAGAACGTTATTGTCGAAACCCCTAACAAAAAACGACCATGATTGATGGTGATGATGACGACGATGACGATGGAGTTACGAGCTTATCGTTGTTTAGCTACTATCTCTGGCGGGAGATAGATGGGGGAGGGAATGTTTGCCGAGAGGAGCAGCGAGCTATGTATGCATGCATGCATGCTTGATGAAGGAAAGACTTGTTTGGCTGGCGGTGGATGGGGCTAAAGTATGGTTGTTGGTTATGATGATGCATGGCTACGTGCTGGTGGTTATTTTGTGTGGACGGTGAGGGATGGGGGATTGTTGGTGTGCTCTGTATAGGAGGGGGGCTGGTGTCTTGGAGTGTAGTCGCGAGAGAGAGATGGATGGATGGGTTGCGCGGGCCAATCAGATTGCGCGTGGTGGGTGGGCTGGTTGGGTTGATGCGTTGGATTGGCTGGATTGGATTTGGCTTGGCTGGATGAAGGAGTGAATGACTGAACTGGTTTGTGAGGGAATCTGATTATTTTTCTTTTCTTTTCTTTTGATCTTCTTCCTCGATGCAACTGTGTTATCCATATCTTGCTCGTTCTCGTATCGGAGATGACATGTTGGGGGGAGTGTCAAGCGAGATGAGTCGACAAATTTTCTTTTCTCTCTCTTTGTTGTCATAATCCCCCCCCTGTTCAGCTGTACAATGTAGATGGATATAGTATCCATCCATCCATCCATGGCCAGGTAGGTCGAGAGATGGACAGATATTCCTCGTCGGTATGATAGGGCGAATGTCCATGACCCGCCACCCGCTGGCTCGCTCCCGTTCCCGAGAGAGAGAGAAGAGAACCGGACCGATGCGAAGCGTCCATGTATGCGACCAACCCACGAGACGACGTCCCCAAGAGCGCAAGCAGGCAAATCACGACGTCGCAATCGACCAGGCAAGCCTTACCCGCCGTCTAATTGCTCCGCCCGTTCCCCGGGTCCTTGAGCACACGCCCCCCCTCTCTCGTATCACTCACTCTCTCGTTGCCATCATGTTTATAGCTAGCTAGTCACCCCCCCGGGCCCCGGTTCCGACACTCCAACTCTTCCTCTTATGCGACTGCACCTGCTTCACCATTACAACGCTGTGTTTTTTGTCCTCTTGAGGACCCGGTGCTCACGCCCGCCGACGCCGCGCTGTCGCATCCACTCCATCATCTCTTGTTCCATCCATCCTCGTTCGATATATTACGCCCTGCTGTCGACTACTTCCAAAGTCGCATCACCTTGATTTTCCATCACACTACATAACACCATCGCCAACCATGGATGGCTACTGTTGAGACCATACCCACCTCTCCCCCCTCAACGCCGATTGTAATATTATTCATTTCCTTTTCCTTTTCTTCTTCTTCTCTGTTGCTGTGATCTTGCTGTAATATATTAGAGTTTTGTTCTTCTTTCATTTCTGTCTTGGGCGCCCCAACAAGGTTTCGACGAGCGGAGCCTGCGACCTGCGCCTTTCTTTGGTTCCAAATAACGGTCTTGCAGCACCGCCTTTCCCCTGTTCCAGACTTCCAACCGTTTTTTATTTCCGTTGCACTCGTGCCGTCGTCGACGTTGGTCTTTACCTCGTCTGCTATTCGTTGCTGTGTCTCTTCGCTGTTCCCTGGTTCGCACTTCTCTTTTTTGTTTTTCTCTATAGAGTGTTGCTGTCTTCCTTTGTGCTTTCCATCTTTCGTCACCTTGAGTCCTGTGACTTGTATCCACACATCGCAACATAACGTTGTGTTTGACCTCTAGTGCTGTGTTTCCCCGTTCGTCTACCCCCCTGGATCCCAGAGCGACAGGTTTCGAGCAAGTCGACCGTGCCGCAGCGACCTCTTGTTGTTCTCCAACATCGATATAACAAAGAACGCCGCCACCAACCTTTTCCAACATTTCTCCTACATATATAGGATTCCGCTCGGTCTACACCATGGGGGAGTCACCGAATTTCGTATTTCCACAAAGAGGGCTGCCGGACAGCACTAAACATTCACCACATCCTTCGTCATCACTCAGCAGTGAAAGAGACAAGACCAGTGACACTTTTCTTTCAAACAACGCAGTGAGGCCAAGACTCGCCGTGAGGACTAGATCAAGGGAAGGCCAACGCGTGAGCGGATATACATCTTCAGTGCCAGAAGTTTCGTGGACCCAGCGGCCTCAACCCCAAGGCATCTGTTCCACGCCTCCAGACTCGCCAATTAGAGCGCGTGCATATACAATGGGTGCAGATAACACCACCACCAACAATTCCAACATGGACAAGGCCCCGTTTGAGGCAACTCCATTATCGCCGCCGTTGACACCGACCCAGGCAAAACACAAATCCTCAAACTCAGACGTCAGTCTCAAAACCCCGACAAAGCCACACACCCACCTTTCACCACAACCCGAAGATACAGGAACAACCGTCTTCCCATATTGGACTACCGACTACGAAATCGTAACCACAGGCCCAAAAGCCATCAAGAAAGTGCTAGGCAGCGGCGTATGGTCAGACGTCTACCACGCCCTTCCAACACCTCCAAGCCCATCCTCCTCCCTACTGTCTTCATCAAAAGAAAGTGAGACGACATCACGCCCCCCAACACCCCCATCCAGCTCCTCGAGCACATCCCAACACCTGCCTTCCGCCTACGCAATCAAATCCCCCTCCTCACAATCCGCCCGCAGCGTCCTCGCCCATGAAGCACACATCCTCTCGTACCTAACGCGCTTCCCTACCTCATCATCGTTCATAGTCCCGTTCTACGGGCATGACCCAAGGTCTGACGCGCTGGTTCTCAAACTCATCGGCGGCGGGACGCTAGAATCATGGATTGAGACGTCACTAAACGCACTCCCCGAGCCAGAACGAGCTGTTGCGCTAGCAAAGCAATTCCCAGGATTAGCAACCCAACTCCTATCTGCGCTTGAGTGGCTGAGGAGTGTCGGTTGTGTGCACGGGGACGTGAAACCCGGGAACATCCTCGTCGATGCTCCTTCTCCTCCCACCTCTTCTTCCCCCTCGTTCCTGCTCACGGATTTCTCATCCTCTACACTGACTTCCCTTCCCACTTCTACTTCGTCCCCGGCACCGCCGCTGGGAGGAGGGACGTGGGATTTCCTCTCGCCCTCGCTGCTCGCCCTCCCCTCTTCATCCTCTTCGCATACAGCGTCTCACGACGACGATCTCTGGGCTACGGCCCTCACGCTCCTCATCACCGTTGTTGGCATCTCGCCGTTCGCGTTTGTCGGGAGGAATGTATTCCAGAGACGCGAGTGTGTTCGAAAAGGGGATCCGGTTGGCTTCGTGGGGTTTGGAGACTTTGGCGGGAGGGGCGTCGGACGCTTGAGAGCGCTGGGGGCGGCGTTGAGCGAAGCGCAGGGGAAGAAAGTGGATATTATTCAATGGTTCCGGCGGGTCCTCGTCAGGGACGATGAGAAGAGGGTCCGTGGCGCTGGGGTTTGGTTGGAGGCGTTGGTGGGGTGCTGAACCCGTCCTGTCTCTTTCCTCCCTTGGCTCTTTTCTGGTCTCCCGCTTCTCCTCCATTTCTTCTTCCCCCCTTTTTTCTCATATTTCTTTATTTATTACCCTTTTTTGTTTCCTCGAATTTTCTACTAAATTCCATTACTTCCTTTCTCCTCGCATATTATTCCCCTTACTTCTTCTTCTCATTCTTAACACATTGTTGTTTCAGCCTAATCCCTTCCCCTCCTCTCTATCTATAGTATAACTTTTTCCCCATCCTATACCCTACCCTATCGACACGCCCTCAACGACAACAGCGAGCCTTTGACTTCCATGTACATCGTACAACGACAACGCCATACGCAGTTTATCGTCTAGATTGGGTTTTTATTCGCTAGATAACGACATTGATATATCCTACAGGCTCTTTCTCTCTCGTTTTTTCTCTTCTAAATTAGATATATATGGAGAAGCTTTAGATAGACGATTCTTCTCAAATCTCAAACTTTATTTTTCAGCAATCAAACCTTTTGAGATTATAATTCTTTTTCTTCTAGGGTTTGATTGTTCTGTTTCGTCCATCTAGATGGAAAATTACTTTGTGTGTGTTGTGTGTGCGTTGCTGGCCACCTGCTACTTTATCATTATACATCAAAAATGGATGTATATCTCCAAGAAACTCCCTCGAGAAAAAATTAAGAAAAAATTATAATCGAGTAATCGTTTTCACTATGCAACAATCATAAGCCCGTAGCTCCTACTTTTACATTTTAACATGCGCGATATCGTAGTACTCAATGCCAACGTTTGCTTTTCGCCGCGGGTTATCGTATCCTTCTTCATCGCCCTCCACTGCGGAGCTTCAATACCTATCAACTCGCCGTATCCTTCCATTTAATCCTGTGAATGGCCTTCATGGTATTCAATTGACTTCAAAACAACGCAGACAAGAACGAGCGAGAGCCAGCTCACACAGCAACGACAACGACCCAATCACAGCCCTCCCCTGTCCAAAAGCAGTTTAGCGCCATCCGATCCAGCGGGTCACTGACGTATACTTTTGTATAACTTTGTTTGAACCCACACTGTCTCTTCCTCACTCCCTCTCTTTTTCCGGCACCATCCGCAGCTATTTACAAGAAGAAAGAGAGAAATACTTGTATGAGTAGCACGGCTTGATATTCGCTTTCCTCTTGTGTCTTTCGTCTGAAACCTGGACCTACACATATACCTGACGTTGTTTTCTCCTCGCGAGACGCGGAAGAAGCGCTTGAATTATATTGACTTGCGACGACGACGGAGGACGATCTTAAGACTAGGAGAGAGAGATTAAGGAAAAGAGCAGAGTTTGGGAAATATGGATTGCATCCCGCTCCCGATTTGCTGCTTCCAATGCGGAACGTACGGAATCCCTCCCTTTTGCCTCCTTTCTTTTCATCATAAAACCTTGTTTTTCCTCGTTCTTATCATATGCTCACACGCACTTGAAATCCGCATATCCACACATTTATCTATATCTATGTATATCATGTTTTATGTATAAGAAGCTGATACTAACGTGTAATTATAGCGATCAAAACCCGTGCCACTGCAAAGTCGTTGGCCCTACGATCGGGTTCTTCGTTACCGTTGGTATGGCGGTACGTCTATCCTCCTTCCTTCCTTCCTTCCATCCCCTCCCCCATCTCGTCCCTTGGTTCCTCTCCATCCATCTACTACAAAAGAACAAACACACTAACACCGTGAAGCTCGTGTGCTGGCCAGCTAGTCTAGTATGTTGTTGCTGCGCAACGGATGCCGGGAAGAAGTATGTATATCATATGTTGCGATATGCAATCCCCCCTCCCCCTCTTTTCTCTTTCTCTTCCGCTACACTCGTTTCACGCTGTTATACGTCTACTGCGACATCCTGGATAAATGATTAACTAACGTTGTGGAAAAAGGGTTCTGGCTCTGCCTGTTGACACGGGGAACGCGATTTCGAATTCGATTCCTATTTAGCGCGAAGAGAGAAAGCGCGCGTGTGTGCGCGCGTGGAGCTCGTCTTTCTTTTTGGCGATGAGATGACGAACGGGTTGGGGAGTTTTGGTTAGGGGGACTTTTCTATTTCTATTTTGTGTGTGGGGGAAGAGGGAGAGAAAGGGGAGCCCTGCTCAAGTCTCTCTCTTCCTTAACAGCCTGATATTTTTTTCTTCTCTTCTCTTATTCTATTTTCCTTTTCTATTTTTGTTAAAAGGGATAGGAAAGGAATAGCGTAACTTAGATATCTCTTTTCCTTAACAAACCTTAATGCTTATTTCCCCCTTTTTTTCCTTGCCTTCTCTCTTTTTCCTCTTTTCTAAATTTATAACTAGACTATATTGTATAAAAATATTTACATATTTCACTTTTTACTTTTTACTACTTTATTTTCTGTTATTTTTATTTTTTTACTCTTTTATTATACTACTTAACACTCCTCTATCTAAATAAACTTCTTTTTATCTATCTACTTACTCTATCTATATCTCCTATCCTATATTTCCTCTTCTTTTTTTCTCCTCCTTTCTATCCCCTACTACAGCCTTATCTCACCTGCTATAAGAACTGCTAGTTATCTGTCTTCTCTATTGTTCTAAATATATTGCTGTGCGTAGGATTAACAAAAAAAAGTCTATCTTATAATTTATATAAAAGGAAGAGAAGGGAAGTGTAAGAGCTAAGAGAGTGAGAGATAAAACAAACTCATCTCCCACGCAAAAAGAGGGCAAAGGGAAAAGGTGTAAACGCTAGTGTATGTTGTCTGGTTGTTGTTTGCGAGTGAGTGTACTTGAGATGGAAAGGAAGTTGGATACTCACACAGAACACGAATGCATACATGTATGTGTACACATCCGCAATGTCGTAGATGTATAATGAAATATGGTCGGCAGCATGTTCACCTTCACATTCACCTTCACCTTCACCTTCATGTCCTCGTCCTCGCCGATCCCACAGAAGAAAGTTCCCTCACCATCCGGTCATCACCAGTCCAAGTCCTTAGTGCTCTCTCCCCCCTCTCCGAGACAAACAAACACCCACGCGCCTCGCCAAGTGAAAAGCCCATCTCGACGTCATACCCTCCAAACACAACCACCCACAAGTCCGTTTGTCCCTCTGCTGCCCGCGACCCACAAAACTCTTCCATCTGCGTGCGGTTGGCGTTGTTTACAGGGCGATTCCAAACGCTTCGACACTCCCACGGCCAGTCAAGCCCGCGCTTTCACTGGGAGCTTCTAGGCTGCCAGAGGACGACACCGACGAGCTGCAGGCCCGACCACGCGGGAGACCGAATAGACGCGTCTCGGTCGCGCTGGTGCCCCCGCCTATTTAGTTGTCCTGACCCGTGGTCGACTTCGTCGTGGTTGTAGACGACAGACGACAGATAACAGACACGCTTGTCTCTCTCTCTCCCCCTCTCACTCACTCACTCTCTGTGTCCGTCTCTTCTTCGGTGTCTTTCTGTCTGCTTCGGCACGGCTGGTTGAGGACATCGCTTGTCGAGGATCCGTCTCAGTCTGTCCACCTTTTCACCTCATACACTGTCACTACCCACCTTTTCACCCCGCATACCTTCTCCTCATACACCTTCTCTATCCACATCTTCACCTCTTCACCTCACACACCTTCTCTCTTCACTCAACGCCGCTGTCTGTGCTTGTCTGATGGCCCCGTCACGACCGCGCAACACATCCAACCGCGCACTGTCGTCCGCCATGGCGGACCCGACTCTCGCGCCCGAAGACACCGGCCCAGACCTGACATCCGGCTTGCTTCGCAACCCCAATGAGCGACGCCAAGACGAGCCGTATGTCGCGGACCTGCCTTCTGCAAGCATCCCGCATGAGCACTGTGGCCGCGACGACTGTGGCATCCACGACGAGCATCTTTCCACCGTCTACACCCGCAGCGCCCCCAACTTCATGGAGCCGTCCAACACGCGCAACTGGCACGTGGAGAAGAACCTGCCGTACGATTTGCCCGACGGGAGTTTCATCGGCGGCACGCAGGATCCCAACTTCTACAAGTACGACGCCGACTTCATGACGCTGTTAAATAGTAGTGACGGAGATGGCATGCAGGCAATCGACGAGTTCGACTGGGCCAAAGAGGTTGCGTATCCGTGGGGAAACTTCAAGGATGGCGCTGATGAGACGCCTTCTCCGTATACCGCGCTCGCTCAGGCGCAGAAGGGCCTTGACCATCCTTTGTCCAAGGAGAATCCTACCATCGACCCTGATGTGGTGAATTTGCGCCCTGTGGACCGCAATGGTATACCGTATAAGGATTCCGATCTGCAGTTAGATTACTCGTGTCTTGAGGCAGCCGTACCAAATACTGAACATACCAATGCCTTGATGCAAAACCACGGTGGAGACGGAATGTCTGCGATGGTCACACCGTTCCCTGGACATATCAACGCCTTGATGCAAAGCCGTAATGAAGGTGGAATGCCTGCCACGACCACACCGTTCCCTGGACATCTCAACGCCTTGATGCAAAACCATGGTGAAGGCGAAATTTCTGCGATGACCACACCGTTCCCTGGACATATCAACGCCTCGATGCAAAGCCGTAGCGAAGGTGGAATGCCTGCGATGACCACACCGTTCCCTGGACATATCAACGCTTTTATGCAAAGCTACGGTGCAAGCGGAATGCCTGCGATGACTACACCTTTCCCTGGACATATCAATGCCTTGTCGCAAAACCGTGGTGAAGGTGGAATGCCTGCCACGACCACCATACCAAATCCACCAACTGCAATCACAGCCGAGAGTCTGCGTGCGACATTCCAGGCGCTGAACAACGAGATACTTGGCGACAATCGGAACACCACGGAAGCCGACGGCTCCTCCACATTTTTCGATTTCGCAGGGCCAATTTCTTATGAGATTCCGCACGTCATACCTGAGGGCGAAATCTATCAGCCCACTCCCGAGGATCAGCAGCGAGCGAATAAGGAGTTCTTGGAAATAATGGATGGTTTTGCGGCACGGTCCGGACAAGAGACACTCGTCTTCCCTGAGGTCTCCTCCACTGCGCAAGATCAGCAGCCTGAACATGACTTCTCGGCGATTCTTGACTGGGATGGAGCATTGCCTGGAGCGGAGCCGACTTACGTCGGGCCTGGAATCTCTGGGTTTGAGCAGGATTCACCCGCTGTAGTGGCTGATCATGGCAATGCCGTTCAGACTTCGGATCCCATGGAGATCGATTCTTCGACGCCGGCTGATTCTGCACGTCCCCAGCCTGAGGAAGTGGCTCCCATCAATCAAGTTACACCTGATGCCGAGTCTGCGGATAGCAGCTCTGAGGAGCACCAAGTTGATACGAGTGCTACCCAGAACGATCATGTTCCTGATCCATCCCCTGCGAACCAAGGTACGGATGCTCTCATGGAGTCATTGATAGGAAATGCCAATTTGCTTGCAGCTACAAGTGGCCCGTATGCTCCGATCGAATTTCCGAAGTTCCCAGTGCCTCCACCGCAGCAGCCCCAGGGCTCCGCGGTAGACGAAGAAAACTTTCAACGCGCATCCAAGGATGCAGGATCAGCTACGATTCCTTTGCCACCCTCTGTTCAGGCTCAGAGCAACAACGATGCGCCTCCCAACAATGATCTCGAAAAGCTTCAGCAGATGCAGACTGATGATGCTGCCCACGATGCTGCTACCCACGATGATGCAGTGAATCTGTTCAAGAACATATCTTTGCTTCCTGGTATCTTGAATGAGCCGGCCAAAGCGTCTGAGAATACCGATGTCGACATGGAACTTGCGGAGTCCGCCACAGCTGCAGTCCCCCAGGAAGCTGGAGCAGTTGCTGATCTTGAGGAAGTTAATGCGGCCGTGGAGCTTCAAAACACCCGTACAACTCCATTGCACCAAGAGACCGACTCACTTGCTTCATCTGAGGAGGGCGGCACAATCTCGGAGCGTCAAGATGCTGAGACTATTGCACCACCTCAGAAGGACGAGATGATCGCAGGTTCCCCTGTAACTGATTCCAGTGTGAAGCCTCAGGAGGAGATCAATGCAGTTCCCCAGGACGCCGATTTCATCGAAGAGTTCCACGATGTCCCAGTGGACTTGGAATCTCCAGAGGCCAACATCGAACCACCATCTCGAGAAGTGGAGACAAATGCAAAGCCCCAGGACGTCGCTACAAATGTAAGTTTTCGTTATAACGCGATGAAGACTAAAGACACTAACGGAGAGGCTCAGAAGACTGGTATCAACGAGGCCTCCTCCGAGGCAGATGAAATGGAGATCGATCCTCCCGCCGTCAACTCAAAGGCAGAGAATGGAAAAGATGACACAACAGTCGAGTCTAAGGAGACCACTGCACCAAAGGAGTCAGAGGAAGCCGAAGCAGATGAGGAACCTGCTCAGAAAGAGTCCCAAGGTGATGGCTCGTTGCTCTTAGCTCAACTAGCTGAATCAGCTCGCTCTGGACTCCAATTGAAGCGCTCCGAAGACACTCCGTCGCAGGTGGCGAGCCAGGAGTCTGTTCCAAAGATCGTTGAGGATGCAGCTGAGCTTCCGCCCAACCCATTTCAGTACGACCAGGATAATGTAGGAGCTGCCGGTGCAAAAGTATCTCGCGAACAGAAGGAAACTACGCCTACACCTGGCTTTTATGAGAACGAATCGATGGGAGTGTCACCGCCGAAGAACAACCATCCATCGATTGTGAGCCAGGAATCTGTTCCACGCGAGCTCAAGACTGTTGTCGATAAGGTTCAAACCGAAGATGCCCAGCGCGGCGATGGCGGATCCTTCATGCGTACTCACCCGCTACTGGACAAACCTACAAATTCAACTGTTCCGGTCTCGGGTTACTTCCCAACGTCTGATATGCGCTCGACACCCTTCGAGGGAACTGAGCCCATAGCAACTGACGAAGCTCCCCGCAAGAAGGCGACTCTCAAGATCGATGATACCAAGCCTCCCAAGACGCCCACCAAGCCGAAGGCAACACCGAAGACGACACCGAAGGCGACACCGAAGAAGAAGCCGGCTAGGAAGTCTGCTGCTAAGAAGGCGAACGCGACTTACAAACCCGGAAAGTACTCGGATGGGAGCGAGGATGAATCCCCATCGCCACCTCCGAAGAGGCAGCGGAAGGGGTCTAGTGCGACGAAGACCAAGGCAAGCGGAACTGGGGTTGCTAAAGGTAATCCCAAAGGAAAGGCGGCGATTGGTAAATCGAATGCTGAAACTAAGAAGGACATGGTCGGAAAGGCAGCTCGGGATGAGATCTCGGGCGGTACGAACCAGATCGAGGAGATGGAGCAGGTGGGCAAAGGTAAGGCGAAGGTAATAGGTTCTCAGGAGAACAAGGGAAAGGATAAGATCATGGATGATGCGGAGGATGATGGCTCGGTCGTGGAGGATAGTATGCATAGTGTAAGTTCCACCACGCCACTTCCCATTCCCCGGAATACCCGATCCGAGATCAAACCCTCTGCCAAAGGTAAGGGTCTCGGTAGGGATTCCACTACGCCACATTCTTCCACCAAGAATACCCGGTCAGGGACCAAAGCCTCTGCCAAAGGTCAAGGTCTCGGTCTGGACTTCAAGGACGCTACTGTCCCTCCCCTCCCTATGACCCCACAAAAGTTTCCCGGATCTCAAAAGGTAGTCGAACCCCCCAATCGTCCTAGACGCAGTACCGAGGAGAAGGTTTGGATGGAAGGTCTGTCTAGCACTCATCCCGTCAAGACCGAACGCCCGTTTCAGGACAATACTGTCCCTTCCTCGCCTGAAACGCCGCAAGAGATTCCCGAGTCGCCAGAATTCATTGAGCCCCCTGATCGTCCTAGGCGCGGTACCGCTGAGAAAGTTTGGTTGGAAGATTCTTCTAGCAATCATTCCATCAAGAACAAACGTCCATTCCAGGACGCCACTGTCCATTCTTCACCTGAAACGCCGCAAGAGGTTCCCGAGTCGCCAGATTTCACTGAGCCCCCCAAGCGTCCTAGGCGCAGCACTACGGAGAAGGTTTGGTTGGAAGATTTTCCCAACGCTCATCCGATCGAGACCGAGCATTCATCCCCGGGAAACTTCGTGAGCACTTACACTACTCCCGCGCCGTTCCAAATTCCCCATGGTGAATCGAACAACAACTCACGACGAACCTCTTCCACATTCTCGAGCGAACCCGAAGAGATCTCGAACATGGCCCAAGAGTTGGAGGCTCGCATGAAGTCCACTACCAAAGCCTCTTCGAAACGCACTAGGTCCCAGGGAAATGTGGTTCACGAGCAACTTGGTACCATCCCGAATGCGATGACGAGGCGATCTAGCAAGGCCGTCGATAGCATTGCGGTTCATCGTTCAGCGAACATGGGAGGTAAGGACTCGGATGATGATGACGCTGCGTCAAGGCATATAACCGAAGACGCCAACAAGACGGGTAATCAGTCCAAGAAGAGGAAAGGACAGACAGGTACCGCTCTATCAACACCTGAGACCTACGAAACCCCTGGAAACGCTGGCAAGTCTCAATCCCAGTCCAGGAAGAAAAAGGCCCAGGAAGACGCCCCTCGACCACCCCTCTCGACCGACAAGGATACCGGAAACGCGGTCAAGTCGCAGCCCAAGAAGAAAAAGGCCGAATCAAACACCCTGCTGCCACCTACTTCAGCTAGCACAGATGTCGAAAACGCCGTCAACTCCCAGTCTCAGCCCAAGAGGAAGAAGGTTCGATCCGACACCACTCTTCCAGCAGGCACAAACCGCGAGACTCGGTCTGCGACAAAGGAAAAGGAAACAAATATCGGAAAGAGATTGAGGAGCTCGATTGGATCCGGTTCCCGGATGTAACATGGATACGTTGAGAGAGTTGAAAAGAGTATCTGGAGATCCGATGCATGGATTGTTGCGTTTAGCCTTGTAGGGTGCAACTGGATAAGGAGACTGCTCCTTTTTGTATAAGAGAGGCAAATGGCCATCGTTGCTTTGCGCTCGGCCGTTGTTTGGGGAGGTTTGTGGGGACAAAAAATTGACGATTGAATGGTTGAAATGAGTGGATTAATGACGTGGGAATTGTCTGTTTTTCTTTTCTTTTCTTTCTTTTTCTATCCCGGTCTCGCATCACTGCATTGCTGGCAAGGAACTGGCTCGGCGTTGTATACCCCTTTCTCATACTGAGGCGGTTGTTTCTCGCTCACTCACCCGAGCATTGGAGTATGTTTGGGTAATCGTCGCATCCGCGATCCCCTTGCGAGACGGACACCTTTAATGTGAACACAAAATTAGCTGGATTCAATCAAAGAGATTTTGATATGATCAATGTCTTGTTGCACTACTGAACGTTTTATATCGATAGTGGAGGCCTTCGTGGTGGGTCTTCGCGCACATGGCTTCTCAACCATAAGTTTCTTCCAAGTGTCCTTCTATAACTTTGATGAACAGCTTCATATTTTGCTCATGCCTACCTAGTGGAACAGATGAAAAAGTCAGTAAAGTTCAAACCAGGAACAGTCATACTTCACAGACCAGAGCACGTACCTGACCCTTCCCCCCTTTCTCACGCGACAAAATGTCACAAATCCACTCTGCAGACTTCTCTACCATGACATGCGGGAAAGCGTGCCCAACACCATCGAACAAAACATCCTCGAACTCGATGTCAAAAGCCGGGTTCTGAGCAAGGACAGGTTTGAAAACGGTCAAGAAAGGTTCTCCTGCTGCGTATGGCACCAACTTATCCACCTTCCCGCTCAAATTTAGGATTTTCTTGCCTTGCAACCTCTCCCGAACGAGGCTCTTGAAGCGAGCGAGTTGCTCTTCCGTAAGAGATCCAGGATCGGAACGAGTAGTAGGATTGAAGTAACCAGGCAACAAGAGACCTGCTGGGTCATACTTTGCAACTGCATCGATCAGAGCTTCAGGGAAGTCCTTGGATCTGAGAAACTCTGCACCCGGCGGCGAAGATGAAACGTAGCTGTCAAGTTTTGAAAGACGAGCACGATCGGCTAGCAGCCTTGTGTAATCTGGACATCCGATACCGACTACTGCGGCTGTGATGCGTGGGTCGGCGAGTACACAATGCCATGCAGCGTGGCCGCCCAGGGAAATGCCCAAGACGAGGTTTTTAGTGATCTTTGGGGAGGAAGGAGTGTTGAGAATATAGCCTGGGAGATAGGACAGAAGGTGCGAGCAGTCGATAGCAGTGCCGTTAAGACATGAGAACATGTCTTGGGCGTGACGAGGATTGCCTTGTTTCCAGGCTTCGTTGTGAAGTTTATCAACCAAACGCGAGCCATGGTTACGTTGATCAAAGGAGACGGCGATCAGACCTTGGGTTGAGTGCTTCCTCCAGTTCCAGGCGTGAATTATCTCAGCGGCGATAGGAGCCATGGTTTGTGCAGTCTGCAAGCGTGGGTGCAAAAGCCAGAGGCAGGCCACCGAAGTGACGGTGGGGGGCAGCTCAGAGAGGCCATGAACAGTGGTTAGGATGCCGGAGATGGTATGTGTTTCGGAGGAGATGGTTGGCGAGGGGTTAGCGGAATCGTGGGTGGCGGAGAGGGGGTTGTTTGTTGCTGCCATCGTAAGGAAATTACTTTTTGATGGTGACGAGGAGTATGTGAATGATGACGGAGGAGTGGCGGTGAATGATGGAGGAGAAGTCAATGTTCAAGTGAGATGCGATGAAAGGAAGATGCTGGTATTTGTGGCGTGGGGAGGATTGCCACAAGAGTACCCTGGGTCGCTACTGCCGCTACCACCACCACCAACGGGAATGCGTAACTTCTGGTGCGGGAGCAACTTTCAACATGACATTTCTATCAATAATATACTCAATATCTATGCAAAAATTGTTACTATCGAAATGAATTATATATCATGCGTGGAAATATTGAGACCCATTGACGGGTGCTCTAACAGAGCCGAGGTATCCTTACGTGGGGGCAGGTCCATTCAGCCGAGGATAAGCCGACTAGCCAGCAAATTGTACTCGTACTATCTTCACGCCAACTCGCGGTACGTTCGCAGCAATCCAATCCCCCGCACTTAATTTATATATTAAATGGGCTTCAGTAGGTCAATGTTTCAATCCCGCAGGATCGTACGCGGTCAACCCTTGTCGAAGTCGTGCTGACGGCTTGGAAGCTACATACAATTGATGTATGCACACTACTAGGAAACCCGAGTGCCTACCTAGGTATGCAGGTAATACATGGTACGGCAGTGAAAGATAGCTGATGCTATCTATATAGCCGGTATATGGATGCATTGCGGATCCCGAGAAAGACCTTGTTACAGTGCAACAGCAACAAATCCAGAGCAACGGGGAATAACTCACGATAACAAAGAGGATAACCACGTTTTGATATAGTCTGGCTATGTGATGACGTTCACTCCACACGTAAAGCGTTCTTTGTTCGTCGTGACTTGAGCACCGTCTTCATCAGCCAGATCCGACACAAACATCAACTACCAATATTGTATTAGGATTAAGTGGAAGACAAAGTCTAGAGACAAAATTTCATTTGCGATCAAATCAACTACGTGACTCAACTATCCTAACTAAGATTGCAGTCTTCAACATCGGCGAAGTCTCACTGTGGCACTTCACAGCGAGATTCAGTTATGTTGTTTTTGGCAGTATCAAATACTAGTCGCAGTCCGGGATACAACTTTGCTTTGTTGTATGAGAACTGAAGATGAGCTAATAGGAGTTAGGGCTGGGTGATGGAATTTGATTGCATTAGACTCACCATTTTTTGGGCCTTGAATACCGATGGTTCCCTTGGCTCCTTTGTCCCTGACATCGTAATATTCGAACGCCACCACGTTAGGCGACGCTTCATCGACCACCACTTTGAAATGAAAGTATTGTTCTTCGTGCTGGTAGCGAGTGACATACCACTCTATTGAGAGAGATCTGTTCGGACTAGCCCCAGTCACCTCCCAGAATATGCCATGAGGCATGTCTTTGGCGATTAGCAAGTCAGTCCAGTAAGGGAAGAGCGAATACACCGGCATGCGGTCATAGTGCGGCAATCTTTCGCCCTCCCTCTTATCCCTTGCGTGTGTAGCCTGATCCAGGCATATTGTGCCATTGTCACTGACGAAGATCTTGGAGCTCTTGTAGCCAAAGATAGTGATGGGGAAAGGAACGTTGACTTCCCAAAATTTGTCATCGATCTCTTTCCGCGCTCCACGTAAGCTTCCGGCAATCTTGATTGGGTTTTTGAGTGTCTATATCTTGTCAGAGTTGAATCACAACGAGAGCATGTATACATACGACTTTGTTGGGTTTGACAGGCTTGCTGAGATCCTCAGGTGGTTCTTCGTCTGCAGAAGGCTCTGGTTGGGCTGCTTGACAGGTTTTGTGTTCCTCTTCTAAGACTCTCTTTTCCTCCTTCAAGGCCTCGTACTGTCGAACAACCTCTTCAAGTCGTTTCTGACAATCCTTGTGCTTTCCTTCGAAAAGGAGATGTTCTTCTGTGGCTGTTTTCAACTCAGTCCGGACAAGCTGAAGCTCATCTTCAAGAGATTTCACTTCCACCATTTTCTTGTTGAACAATGTCTTCAAGTTACCGCGCTCCTCCTGCACCCCCGAAATAATATGTCCATCAACATCAAGGTGATGCTTCGCCTCCTCCAGCTGGCCATGCACCTGGGCCAAACTCTTTTGGAGAGTCAGCACCTCTTGAGTTAGTGCCACTACGCGAGCTTCGAGCGCAACTTTCTCACGTTCCGCGATGTCCTTGGCCTGCTTATCGACCACGAGCATATGTTCATATTTCTCATGGTTTTCCTCTAAGAGAGAGGTTTTTTCTGCAAGCTGTTGTCGTGCGTTTACCAACTGTGCCTCCACAGGAGTGAGCGAGACCTGGCCCTGCTGGGCCTCGGTATTTGATACAGGTCGAATCTTAGGGTAGACTCTTTCATGAGCCGCAAGTTTGATCTCGAGCTCTATGATCCGAGCATCTTGTGTTTTCAATTTCTCGTTGAGGACTTGCAACTTGCCTTGGTCTTTCTTGATTTTCTCCTCGGCCGCACCATATCGCTTCACGAGGATTTCATATTGCTAGTGCATTGTTAAAAACGTTCTTCCAGGGTTCAATTGCAATTAGAACATACCTTCCGTTCGTCATTGGAGACTGACACTCCTTGATCGATATAGGCGACAGCGTAGGTCAAGATTTGCTGGAGATTGACTGGGTCCTTGATTGAGTTCTGGATTTGTTGGATGGCTGTATCTGACGACGCGTAAAAACAGTGGAAAAGACTCTTTCGGTCGTTCAGGATATCTCGTCCACTACTGAATTGGTCAGAACGGAACAGAGCGTCAACAAATTGGTCTTACAGGGCAATTTGGCTATCAGGAGATGGATCAGCTGTGATGTTGAGGGCCATTTTGACAGATTATGTGTCAATATACGTTGGCAGGCAATAAACAGGTTATGGAGATATTATCCTCCGAGTAGGGCTTGTGTTGTAGAGATTCAAGAGAGAGTTATGCATTGCTTTAAATATGAGGCCTTTCAATGTGGCTTCATTATGGAATGCAGAGCAAACAAGTTAGAACAGCGCTTGCATAACGATCCCTCCGTGTCCTCCTCAGGTGCTTGGATGCAACCCTCCCATGTCCAATTGATATTGTTCACCGGCTACGTTCTCGGCGACGCCGATATTCTGTCCCATAAATTTCTTGCAATACATGAGTGGCATGGGTTCAACGAGAAACAATAGGCTCTTGTGTGTTCATGAGAAAGACAGGCACGCTGTGGGGGTGTTGCGACAAAGTTGATGAATACGAAATTGGACCGTCTCTATTCATCAAGAATCTCTCGCACCCGTATTCATCTAATGAATACGATGATGTTCGGATGCGATCGGCGACCATGACGACGACATATGCAGAAGAGGGAGCCTTGCTTTGACGAAGATGGAATGAATCCAGTAACGTATCCTCTTTCTTGTATATTTGTCTTATAAGGTGTTTATGTAAGAATCTATGAATGGGTGATTATTTCAATGGTATATCGTAGTAATTATGAGAGATGAATTGAAATGAATGTGAATATCTACTGAAGATATATCGATGTCAACGGTACTCTTTCCCACTGTTGCAATTTATGATTCCCCCGGTTCAGATATTGTCCCATCTCTATACATACCCAAGAGTGATAAATATTCTTCGATGGCCTGGATTGGGAATCATGAATTTGATTTCCATATCCCTGAGGCCATGTGATTGCCGCACTAGGTCTGTATCTCTGTGGCCTCACTATCGCCAGGTACTCTGAACCTGGAATGTAAAACAATTCATCTCCTTTCTTAACGGATCTTGAGATACGCATCGTGGACGTCGTGACTGAAGAACTTTTTTTCTGTACGGAGTTAGCCTGAAAATCCTTGAGTAAATATTCTTCGTTCAACCTTTGCATCGCCTGTGGGCTCAACGTCCAATACCGTCGCAATTCTGTGCCCCTGCAGCTCCAAAACTCCATCGGAGTATAGATTCAAAAGACCAATGCAAGCGTAGGTCATATTGCAGTCTTTCCAGTCACCAGTTTGGTTTACCAAATTAAGATCCCATTCTCTTGTGATGACTACATCTGCCAGTTTGTCAGTCGAATCGTTCCATACTGGCAGCCAACTGGGCCTGACTGCGCCATCTGTTTCCAACTCGACGTCTGTTCCCGAGACATACGGTATAAGATCCAGATGACTACTAGCTCTTGTGGTTGAAACAAGCGCTAGTTGATACGCTTGTGATACAGTAAGCCTGTAGTCTGGTTGAATGAGCTGTTCTTGGAGGGGTGGCGATGCGAGGCCGAGAACTCCAAAAACCTTATCTCTTGGGTCGGTCGCTAGCCTCGAACTAAAACGGGTGAACAGTTCTCGAACACATAGCTCACCAGAGTTTTTAGGCTTCCATATAGTATCGAGGCCAACGGAACCAGCCCCGAGATGAAACAACGCTCGAAACAAGTTGATCGAGGCCATATTTCCAACATAACTCTCCAACAGGGAAAGATCAAGATCGAAACCAGGGTCTCCAGAGTTTTGCATTGCGGTGTACACAACCATTCGATTGTTACAGGCATTGCAAGCTTGGTCGAACACACGGTAGGACACAACATACGGCCCACACATGAATTGCAAGTCCTTGGGCAGAACCGTCTCTTGAGCTGTCCATATTCGGGACCACCAAGGGACGCTGGATACCGGTCCCATGTATCTAATGATCAACTGCATTTCCTTTGAGACTGCCTGATAAGATTCCGTTGTCCAACTAGGCTGGTTGAACTCTGGAAAGATATGGAATTGCGGCAGAGCCATTACTCGAAGACTTCTGAACGAGTCAACTAGTGATATATCAGTCTCCGGGCACTTCCATAGCACAAATGGGCCTTTTTGTAGGTGATGATTTTCTGGCAACTCTGTCCACACATCTCGTGCCTCGTCAGTGGAAGATGCCAGATCTGTGTCGACAATGAGGGGGCTTTCCATGGCATCATAACATTGTTCTGGAATCACCTAGTATCAGTACAGATATTGGGCTCTAAGTGAATATTGTCGTACCTGGTGGTCGCTTATCCGATTCTCTATGGCTAGGCCCTAACCAAGCTACAGTCGAGAGGGAGTTGCGGTAGATCTCGGTCATCATGCTTACTTGCCGGTTACGCTCATCAACGTTCGCCTGATTAATGCAAATCGCATCGATCCATAAAATCCTCTCCTCCGACTGCAACCGGAGTGCGCGGAGGGCTTCCACAAGGTTTTTGGTAGCATCAAAGCGAAACCCGTTGACATCAATGGGGATAGTTATTCGTGCATCCCCCCATACATACGACAGTGCTTGATATTGTAGTCTGTCATCATTGCTGAGGCATACAACTGACAACCTGCATTGTATTCCGTCTTCCCAATTCAATGCAGGTAGGAGGTGTATAATACGTATCTCTTTTTTCGAGCTGGATAGATTCAAATTCTCGTAGATTTTAGCAAGCATTTTGCGGTACACAGGCAAAAAAAAAAAAAAACAGGCTGTACCGCTAACAAAAAAAGGCCAAACAAAAAAGAAAGAACCTGATACTATGATAATTGGCATAAGTAATATACATTTTAGGTGGAATAATAAGCATGAAAGTAACCCCCGATAACGAGCATTATGGACCTAAACCTACCTAATCTCGTACAGAAATACTTGCATTCCTATTAATTGCAACTACGTTGGATACCTTTATTCGGCAACAGAATCCGAAGTTGTGGCTAAAGCCGAGCTTTACAGGCGATCCGAAAGAAAAATCGAATGCCCTGTTTGTACTTGCAATAGCGAATCCACAGGGGGGGCTGAACAGTGAGAGCTGAATATGTAGGGCCGCGTCAGACAACTACGTGCGATGGCGTCATTGGGCAACGGGGCCCGGCTTTGTGATTAACTCCAGGCAAGGCTGAGTATACAGGGAGTGCGCATTTCTAGGACTTGGGATAATCCAACATGAGCCATTTTCAATATTCCATTACCCCCTTGTGGTCAGCACCGGTCAGAGCGCCTCATTCATTATCAGGGAGCTAGAGACCCTGGGAATTACCTGCCGTGCGACCCATTGTAAATTCTTTGAGCCTAGCAAGATAAGAAAACTTCAGCTGCGCTATATTGCGGTGGTGTGCTGGTGAGTGCAGGATGCATATGCCTCCTTGATCATGGGTCCAGTTTTGGGCAGAGGTTGAAGACCACTCAATGATCTTGATTCATTTTGGAACCATGGACTGAGCCAAAATACTCGGACTAATCATTTTAAGAACAACATGGAAGACACGCAGTAGAGGTTCCCTTTGTTTGTTACAATTAATGGTTTGCTTTCCTCGTAAACCCTTCGTCCCGAAGCCCGAAGCCCTTCTCACTTCAGCACCATGGGTATCGATCCAAATACTGCATATTTCCTCGTGAATGATTCTTTCAACCCGCCCAAGGTTGTACAGGTTGATAGGGCAAACGCAAGCAACATCATTCTTGCCGATCAGGACTGGAGTAATGGATCCGGAGAGTTCATGTTCATCGAGAAACGTGGTTCTTCCTATCTTTTCAATTTTGCGAAGGATGGCCAATACCTGTCTTCAACTAGTAGTGGAACAATCACGACGAAATGGCTCGCGGTTGGAATGGTAGCAACTCCTCCAACCAAAGACGAGAAGTTTGAAATTTCTATAATATCAGACAACGGATTTGAGTATGCTATCCCATGAATCTTACAGCCAGGAACATACAGCTAACATAAAGAGGCTATCTGTCCGGATCAAAAGCCGATCAAACAGAAACTATCTCGAGGCTAAGAACACGGGCACGGACTTATTGATGAACTCTACTCAGCAAGCTCGTGGGATATGAAATTTGGTCCCGCTCTCAAAATTGAAGGAAATCCGCGACAACAAGACCAAGTTGACCTGGCTGATCAACCATTTGTGGTACTACTCGAGCTACTTTGGAGGCGCTGTTCAAGAAACCGGTCTCTATCCGTACACAGACTCTTATACTACACACCCTAACAATGGGATTCAGTCAGCAGCACGGGCGAAGAATCCTGGAGTCAACCCGTAGGAACTGCAGGTTCAGGTATGCACACTTGGCTTTCCTTGGGGTCCCGTGTAATCGAATGGGCAGTACTGTATACTTAATAGGGCTCTCGGACCCCTATCGCATGTTTTTTGGTTAGACCAGAGCCCCACGTGACTACCTAGTGATCCTTGCACCCTTGACGCGTCAGTACACAACCTCTTTTCGTCCCTTATATCCCCCTGTCCTAGTTGAAAAAATTTCGCATTTAAAAACGCGTAATGATGGAGGTTATTTGTTCCCTGTTCTCGGACGACTGTCAGCGTTCGATGCGGCAGGGAGCAAAGGGCTGAGCTAGAACAGGACATGCCTGGAATTAAGAGTGCACTGGCGCTCCGAGATACCTGATAGGGTGAGAATGAGTGACCGACTATAACGTGTTTCACCAGTAAGCTGGCCACACCAGTAAGCTGGCCACCCCACCGAAATCCACGCGTCACTACCTCATCCATCAATAATGCCACCACAACCAGATGCCTAGAAGCTATTAAAAGAAGGCTAATTAGGCCTTACAATTGCCTCTTTTTAGTTAAACTCTCTATTATCTGTACGCAAGCTTGCAGTAGCCTATAAAGTTCTTTAAGTAACACTCTAGACGCGTCTCTAAGGTGTACAGCTAAAACACAAGATTAGATTACTAAACTAAAAGCTATCTCTTACTAAGAAGCAGACTCTAGTAGAATAGATTTTAGACCTTAACTAACGTAGATTTCTACTCTAGATTATTAACGTACAATAAATAGCAGACGCTTTAGTTGCCGCGCAAGGCAAACAGCCTCCTCCTCCTCTTTTAGGCAAGAACTAGGTATCGCGCTTTATTTAGGCTTAGCTAGAGCTTTAGACAAAGTAAAATAGAAAGTTTAACTTACAGAGAGCGTTGTCTTAAAATTTTATTATAATTTAGGGCTAGTATTAGCGCGTACAAGACGCACGCAAGAGATATAAAATACAAGACGTAGATATATATAACTTTAATAAAACTAGCTTTTAGATAGGCGTTGCTAGCACGTCTAAAGTAGTAACTAGCTTTAATATAGTTAGTAGAGTAGTTACTATCTAGCTAGAGAATTAAGAGTAAGTTATAGTAATTAAGGGCGTGAGCGCTGCTAGCTAGTCTATTTTACTCTTTTTTATTCTAGCTAGAAAGCTCTACTAGGCCGCCTAGTATTATAATATACCTAATACCTAGATAATTGCTGTTAGTAATAACAGCTAGACAACTAATTAGCTTAGCTTTGCCTAGCTAGAGCACTTTAATTGCTGTACTTAGGCTTAGACAGTAGGCACCTATTAACTACTAATTATAGATAGCCACAGCAGCTATGCTACACCTAAGTTTAATTAGTACTATATAAAGAATTAAATTGTTACGCTCTATATGCTAGCTTATATATTATATCTACTCTAGCCTTTTAATATAGGCTGTTTCTTGCCTCTAAAACGCGCGTATAAGCAGGCAATTTAGCAGCTTGCCTGCTAACACGTCTATTATATTAATAAGGTAGACTTTCTATCTATGTACAAGCAGGCTAGGGATTAAGCTATTATAGAGAAGAATATTTAGGCTAAGTTTTAGGCTACTAGGCTTATGCTATACAGCTCTAAGCGCGTCTTATCCTTTCTACTTATTATCTAAACGCCTTTACCTTAGCTGCTACTAGGCAACGCAAGAGAATAGTAGATAGCTAAAACACTACATACAGTAGACTAGCTTAAAAAGCAGGCTTATCTTATTTAAGAACATCTTTGTTGTTAGTTATAGAGTTCTACACTTTAAGCTATCTACTAGCTTGTAAAAGGGTGCTAGCTTGCTATGCTTTAGACTACTATTTTTATAGAAAAAGTTATAAAGCTTTAGGCAGCTGTACAACGCTAAAAGCGTAAATAGAAGTAGCGTAGACAGTATATAGCACGTAAAGGAGCTTTCTAGGCTTAGAAAGGCTAGAGGCTAGCTACAGAAGCTAATAGAGTAGTCTAAGAGGCTAAGTAGGTTGCTTAACTAAAGAGGCGTTAAGCGCTACTAACGTGCATAAATTATTATATTTAAGGTTATAAAAGAACTTAGTATACTTCTAGATAAAGTAAATTAAACAAATCTATATACAGTATAATACGACGTGGCGTTGTTAAGCAATCGTCTAAGAAGCGTGGATTTTCTTGGTGGGGTGGCCAGCTTACTGGTGTGGCCAGCTTACTGGTGAAACACGTTATTTAAATTGATTACGCGATAACTTCGGATATACTATACGGTCTTACTAACTTCTTTTCCCTTTCTCCCGGCAAGGTACAAGTGAAGAAAATAGATAAGATAGAACGGAATCTCGATAAAAGCTTGAAAGAAATAAGACATGTAGAAGGAAATAGTGAGAAAGAATATTATCATCGCTGAACGCCTTTGCCAAAGATGGCGCAGACAAGTAGTAATATTTGGCTTTTCCTTCAAGCACCAGTGAACTGCCGCCATTATCTGGCCTGCAAAAGAAACTGAAAAAAAGTGTGGAACATATGTGAAGCATTGCATCCATCGCCTCGTTTGCCTTTCCAGTCGCTGTCATGACATCAGATGCAATATTCACCCCGAACGACAGCCCGGGAAGAAGTTGGCCAAGGAACCGGATGGTATTGCTGCTTTCTTGCATTTTTCGAGCGAGGCAGGCAGTTACCTTTATGAAATATAAAGGTACAGCTACTGTGACCACAGCTAGTGGCAAGGCGACCATAAAATAATATCGCAATGGCCAAGAAGAAGAGTTGATTTCTCCCGCGTTCATTCCGAAGAATGTCTTGTTTGGTTTTAGCGGAGATAAACAATCAAGTGTCATGGTAGAAAACTTACAGCAACAAAACTTATAGGGATAAAGATCGATGCGAGAACCGTGAGAAGAACACCCTTCCGCGCTTGCGTTAATGAATGCTGGTGAGAAACCTAGTAAGCGTGCATTAGCTCGATATCTTGGAAGGGCATACTTTGCGCTTGCGTACCATTTCGCGCAATTTTTCAATCTCGTTGTAGGTTTTGGAGATTTCTTCCTTTGCTATTCGCAGACCTTCTTGAGTCCCATGAAGCCAGTCCGGAGGCGGCCATATTGGAGGACGCAGCTCCCACCCAGCAGGAAATTCGTTTGTTTCCTCATCAAGCACCGAAATGAGTCGTTGAAAGTATTCAAGGTGGTTCATGTACATGGCACAGATGTTTGCAAAGCTTATCGTGGGCTCAGCGGTGTTCAAGGGGGGTTGATATTGCTATCAACAGTCTGTCCGGTGACACACTGCGTGCGACGTGGGAGATTGTTGCGCCATTCGGAGGATTTGCAGAAATTGGTCTGACTGATATTGAATCCAGGGCTCGCATTTCCATGGCTACTTTTGCACGAGGCGTCAGGTTTGAGGTACGTTCCCAAGACTTTGGATAAGCCATTGACACATGTGTGCTCGAAAACCTACTCCCCACGTTTTAGTCTCTCGAGTTGAATTACATGAGCCAAAACGGCGAAGGGCGACTTGACGATCTTTTCGAACGCGCCATGGAAAGCGTACTCGACCGGGGTGTCACGCTCGCAACACCAATCACGAAATATCCAGTTTCCCAGATCGAAGATGCGTTACGGTTTATGCAAAGCGGCAAGCATATTGGAAAGTTACTGATCCAGTACGACGCCGGCGATATAGCTCCTGTGATTCAACCATCTAGAGGCGCTACAACTTTCGCCTCTGACGCGACGTATGTTGTCTCTGGTGGACTTGGAGGCCTTGGGCTGGAAATCATAAAATGGATGGTAGACCAAGGCGCGAAGCATCTCTGTATTATTTCGAGGAGGGGACTTGTTGATGAGAGTGCGAAGGCTGTGGTGACGGGGTTGCAGGATCGAGGCGTCACGATTGTCACTCCGTCTTGCGATATCACGGACAAGAAGGCGTTGGAGGAGACGATCTCCTCGACTCTGTCTGGCATGCCACCTGTCCGAGGATGCATCCAGGCATCGGCCGTTTTCAACGTAAGTGTCAACTGCATTGGCATTCTTGGATTTTTCCGATTGGAGAGCATTGCTAATGACCTGTGACTTGCATGCAGGACAATGTTTTCAAGCAGATGACAGCCGATGATTGGCACTCACCCCTCGATGTCAAATGCACAGGGAGCATGAACTTGTGGGAAACACTCCGCTCGCGCAGCGAAAAGGCAACCCTCGACTTCTTCGTCATGCTGTCGTCGTTATTTGGCGCGACGGGCAATAGCGGCCAATCCAACTACAGCGCAGGTAACGCCTACCAGGATGCAATGGCAAGGCATCTATCGTCTCAAGGACATCATGTAGTATCTCTCAATGCACCAGTGCTGAGCGATGCAGGCATGGTCGCTGCGATACCGATACTGGTGGAGTATCTGCTCTCGGTCGGAATTCCACACATGACTATAGGAGAGCTCATCAACGCATTGGAATACTACTGCCGTCCCGCGAACCAAAGCACGAAGGTTGGCGTGAAGGAAGCGCAGTTGTTCCCGAGGTTCTGGCGTCCTGAATACTCGGCGGATGAGGGCGCTGAGCAGCCGGGCTGGCAGCACGAGCCGATGTACAATCACATGGCGCTACAAGGCGGTCTCGGCGGTACCAGAACGGGTGGTGAGAATACCTCTGGGAAGCGTCTCACGTCCAGCCTCATTGCGGCGGCAGATTCGCTGGAGGCTGCTCAGAAGATTGTGCTGGGAGCCTTGTTGGAGCAGTTGGCGAAGACGCTTGGGTATGAGTTGGAGGATCTTGACCCTGCTAAGCCGATGAATGCGCACGGAGTGGACTCGCTGGTGGCTGTGGAGATGCGGGTGTGGATGACCAAGGAGATTGGAGCCGACATTTCTGGTTTTGAGCTTACCAGTGGTGAGCGCATGGAACAGCTTGCTGCGAGGGCAGCAGCGGCATCGAGATTCCTGTCCGCCTTGAAGGGAGAGTAAGTGGTGGTGGTGTGTTGGGATGGATGATTGAGGATTTGCACCAGGCCAAGGACAGCTTCGACATGTAGTCTAGAAGCGATATCGATTGATGCTATTCTGGTAGTCAAACAAGACGTCGATTGTTTGCTCCCGCATGTTCCAGCATGTCGATGACAATCAAAGTGTGTGGGGGCTCCATCTGTCGTTGAAGCTTAGTAGGGCGGCTGATCCCTGTCGGCGTCGCGTCTCAGGCCTGTCGTGATGGATGGGGCATGGTTGCTGATCCGCTCGCTGTCTTCACTCCTCACCAAACCGACTTTCGATTCCTCTGGACCCTTTGTACCCTTCTCCCCATCCCCTCGCCCAGTCGTGGAGAAACTGCTCTATTTTATTTTATTTTCTTCGCTCCTTTCACTGCTGATTTTCCCCAGCCATGATCATATAAGTGGGCAACACACGCGGAGCTTAGGTAGACTGTACCACAGCGGAGACGGGTAATCACCATCTCACCCGTCGTCTCGTCCTACGCAAATAGTAATATAACCACCCTCTTCTGGTCCAGGAGAACCATCCTTCCACTTCTCCATTGCCACTCTATTTTTTGTTCACGACAGCAGCAGACAAGTTGAGAGGACGCCCGCACAAGACAAACACACTCAATCGTGCCCATGGGCGACTCCCCCGAGTCTGGCGTATCGCCCATGACGGGTCCAGCATCTTCAGCTGCAGGCCAACCACCACCCCCATCGTCGTCCAAACCAGACGACCGAACCTTCTCTCCTTTGCGAACCATGCGAAATGCCGAGGCGGACAACTCAGACACGGTCAGCGGCGCACCAGTCATTACCAAATCGGCTCCTACCGGCGAGCCTCTCTCCTCCGATAATCTCGACGAGTTCCCTTTCCACGCTGCTCCCTCGACCGTCCTCCGTCCTCAGCCAGCCACCACTCCGCTGAATACCAATCCAGAGCCCGTTAACAAGCCCCATCATTTCCCGAATGGCTCCACGAATGCCTCCCCCATTGCCCCCGTTTCGCGGCGAGCCACCGCCGAGGGCGACGAATCGGATGCTGCCCCAAAGGGTCGTCGTAGTGTACAATTTGGCAGATCCACCACATTCGGTACCGATCCAAATGCTCATTCGCGACAGCAATCATGGGATGTCGACGAAGAAGGCGTCAAGGGCAAGGAGCGTGACAGACAGGGCTCGTCGCTCATGACCAAGCTCAAGGCGCTGGCTGCTCCCATGACGCTGCAGGGCCATGGTCGAAGTCAGAGCGCATTCACCGCTTCCTCCATGTATGAGGGTTCTCCGAGAGGGCCGCTGACACCTGCTTCCGAGCATGAAGAGTTCCGGTATTATGATGGTGGTCACGATAGCGAGGCGGACGCCGATGCCGAAGAGAGCGCGAGCGAAGGGCCCTCGCGGCCGCGTCGCAAAAGGAAGAAGAGTCGCCGCTGGTTCGATGATGGCAACGAAGGCGCACAAACCGCCCCAACCACTCCTCGGCACCCGTCCTTCTTCTCCAAAGAATCACCCAATACCACCCCCACCACCAGCCAACCGTTCCGCCCTACCTTCCTTCGCCGCGGTACCATGAGCGATATCCCTGAAAATCAGCGACAGGGAGTCTCCGAGGACGAAGGCCGTGATCGCCTAGCCAAGGAAAGCACGTGGGCGCGTGGGCTGCATAGCGCCAGAGGTCTCTCCTACGGAGGTTTGCGACGACACGATCCGAACGGGACCGAGGACCCTGAAAACCGACGACCGAGCAACTTACGGCGATTGACAGCTTTTGGCAGCAGTGGCGACAATGGCCAGCCTTCTCCCTGGCGGATACGCGGCGAGCGGACCCAAAGTTTGAGCGCGCAGAAATGGAAATCCATCAAGAACAGTCTACGGCTGCTGGGCAATCGCGCAAAGGCCGAGCGCCAAGTGGATCACGCCAAATCCGCAGAACTCATGGCAGAATTGTTAGCAGGAGCCCCGGCTGCCCTGTTTCTCGCCAGTATGTTCCAGCGCGACGAGCATGGCCACAAGCGTATACCTATCCTCCTCGAACAGCTCAAGGTCACAATTACCGATACTGAACAACACGAGGGCAAGGATGGCAAAGAACCCAAAGACGGCAAGGAGAATAACAAGGAAGGCAAAGATGGTGACCGGCACACTGCTCTGCGCGTCGAGTTGGAGTATGGTAGTGGCCTGACCCGAATGAAATGGGTCATCTATCGTTCTGTGAGAGATTTTGCCAATCTTCATTTGAAGTTCAAGATCCAGGAGAACAAGAACTCGATTCTGAATCGTCCGAACAAGGGAAAAGATGCCAAGGAAAAACCCAAGCCCAAGGACAAGATCAATGAGAAAGAGACTGAGCAAGAGGATCGCACGCCGAAACTACCACGCTTTCCCAGAAGTGTACTTCCGTATCTCCGCGGGCTGCGAGGCTATGGTATTCTCGATGAAGAGGAAGAAGAGGAGGAGAAGGAAGAGGCAGCCCACGCCAGCCAAGGAGATGATTATGCGAGTGGTACAGATCGTCCAGGCAGAACAGTACGGCAAAAATCGTCCTACTATCTCCGCCGCCAACAATCTAGCATCAGTGGCAACCAGGCCAGTGGTGTGCTTACGCAGACGAATGGTCGACAAGGCAGTTTTGTTGGACCGGCCGGCGCGCCGTTGAACAGCAAGCAGTCCCATCAAGAACGACAGCGTAAGAAGTTGGAGACTTATCTTAAAGAACTCATCACGTATCTCATTTTCCGCCCGGACAGCAACCGGTTATGCAAGTTTCTCGAGCTGTCCGCTCTAGGTGTCCGCTTGGCTGCCGAAGGAGGCTATCATGGAAAGGAGGGGTTGATGATGATCAAATCCACCAAAGGCGTCGACGCCCGTAAGAAGTGGAGTCCTATCCCACTGATGCAGCGACACTGGCCGAAATGGTTTCTCGTGCGTCACAGCTATATCGTCTGCGTCGACTCTCCTGAAGAAATGAATGTTTACGATGTCTTCTTGGTAGATTCGGACTTCTCCATTGAGGACGACAAATCTCAGAAGCTTACCCAAAAGAAAGCACGCGACATTGCGAGCGAAGCGAAGGCTTCTGCGACAGGGCACCATCAACTGCGACTCGTCAACTCGGAGCGCACCATGAAACTGCTCGCCAAGAATGAGAGGCAGCTCAAGCAGTTTGAGGATTCCATTCGCTTCATGATGCGCAATAGCGATTGGACCAAAACGAACCGATTCCAGAGTTTTGCTCCTGTCCGAAAGAACATCTATGCACAGTGGCTTGTGGATGGGCGTGACTACATGTGGAATGTGTCTCGAGCCATCAGTATGGCCAAAGACGTGATTTACATCCATGACTGGTGGCTAAGTCCGGAGCTCTATCTACGCCGGCCACCAGCCATTAGCCAGAAATGGAGACTGGACAGGCTTCTCCAAAGCAAGGCTCAAGAGGGCGTCAAGGTCTTTGTCATAATGTACCGCAATGTAAATGCTGCTATTCCTATAGATTCGGAATACTCCAAATACTCGCTTCTGGATCTTCATCCCAACATCTTCGTGCAGCGATCACCCAATCAAATTCGACAAAACACCTTTTTCTGGGCTCACCACGAGAAGATATGCATTGTTGATCACACGATTGCGTTCTGTGGCGGTGTCGATCTGTGCTTTGGTCGTTGGGATACACCTCAGCATACCGTGGTCGACGACAAGCTGACGGGCTTTGAATCGTCTGACGATAACCCCAAAGATGCCGAACATTGTCAACTTTGGCCCGGTAAAGATTACTCGAACCCCAGGGTTCAGGACTTCTTTGCTCTCGACAAACCCTACGAAGAGATGTATAACCGCAGCGAAACCCCTCGTATGCCGTGGCACGACATTGGCATGCAGATCGTCGGTCAACCCGCCCGTGACTTGACGCGCCACTTTGTCCAGCGATGGAACTATCTACTGCGTCAGCGAAAACCATCCAGACCAACTCCTTTCTTGTTGCCGCCGCCGGACTTCGATCCTGCTGACATCGAGGCCCTGGGTCTTGATGGCACCTGCGAAGTCCAGATTCTTCGCTCGGCTTCAGCATGGTCATTAGGCACTCCGCATAAGACAGAACACAGCATCATGAACGCTTATGTCCAGATGATTGCCACGTCTGAGCATTTTGTGTACATTGAGAACCAGTTCTATATCAGCAGCAGTCAAGTGTACGGGACAAGAATCGAAAACAAGATCAGTGATGCGTTGGTCGATCGCATCAAACGGGCGCATAAGAATGAGGAAGACTGGAGGGCCTGCATCGTGATTCCGCTCATGCCTGGTTTCCAAAGCACAGTCGATGTGCAGGAAGGTAGCAGCGTCCGTCTGATCATGTCGTGCCAGTACCGAAGCATATGCCGCGGCGAGACATCCATCTTTGGGCGACTTCGTGCGGCTGGTATTGAGCCTGAAGACTACATTCAGTTCTACGCACTGAGATCCTGGGGCGAGATTGGGCAGAACAAGGCTCTAGTCACGGAGCAACTTTACATACACGCCAAGTGTATGGTTGTGGACGACCGCGTCGCTATAATCGGATCCGCCAACATCAACGAAAGGTCTATGCTGGGTTCTCGCGACTCAGAAGTAGCGGCCATTGTGAGAGACACTGAGGTCCTGGACTCTTATATGGCCGGCGAGCCTTACAAGGTCGGCAAGTTCCCACACACCCTTCGCATGCGACTGATGCGCGAGCACTTGGGTGTTGATACGGACAAAATATTCGAAGAAGAGTGGGAGAGCCGCCATTCCGACGTGGATAGTGCCGAATTCCACACAGATTCTTCTGGTCCTTCGTCGCCGACATTCGACAGGGCGACTGAGCAGAAGTTGACTGAGAATAAGCATCGACTCGAAGACGAGCTCATTGCGCGAGCAGAGGGGCTACACAGCTTCAACCATGATACGGACTGGGCACAAGATAACAATCCCCATATCAAACCCAGCAAGAAGACCACGACGGATGCCAGAGTCACCAACAACCCAGCGCACCAGAAAGACGTGCGTGGAGAGGGGGCTGATCATATGCGTGAGTTCCTGAGGGAACGCCCACTCACCGCACAGGCCCGCGATTCTTATGTCAACGAGAAAGGTCATGAAGTATTGGCGGTGGATGCCACATCTGAAGGTGCCGCAAACACGCCCAGAAAGTCCGCCAGCAAAACTCGTGGCCGGAGCAATACCACCAACACACGAATCAGTTCACACAGCGCTCCGGATGGATTCAACGGTCTACCACCACCGCGCATTCCACGCATGGACACTAGACAATTGGGTCTTACCCATCTAAGCCAGTTGCCAGCTTTGCCAGTATCCGATGATACAGATATTGGTGGTCCTCCTCTGCAACGCACATTCAGCTACGAGTCTGCCCCCGTCATTAACCCACTCCTGGCTGATATGCGCCGCCCCATTGTCACAGATGATTGCATGCGCGACCCTCTGAGCGATGCCTTTTACCTTGATGTCTGGCATGCTGCCGCTGAGAACAACACCAAGCTTTTCCGCCAAGTATTCCGTTGCATGCCTGATAACGATGTCAAGACGTGGAAAGAATACAAAGAATACGTTGCTTTTGGCGAACGGTTCAGCCAGGCCCAAGGCACCGGCAAGCCATCTTCGCGTAAGCAGCAAGACAGTCCAGGAAAGTCTGGACCCCCTGGCAACGGAAACGTCAATGGTACTGTGGAAAAACTTGCCGCCATACCGAATCAAACCCTCAGGCAAGTCGAGGCGCTCGGCGAAAAGCTCACCGAGAAAATGTCCAAAGACACCGCCCACGACGGCAGCTTGGGCCATGTAGAGCAATGGGCGCAGGACCAAGAAAAGCAGAAGTCGCAGTCGTCGCTACACCTCAACACTGCAGATGCCACGAGCGAGAAAAGCGCGCTTAAGAACATCGATGACGCCGTCGTCTCCCCAATGAACCCATCAACCCCAGCCCAGACTTTCACTTTCCCCCCTCCACCACCCATCCCCGATTCGCACACTGCTGCCACAGACTTCGCCCATGCTAACGGCGAATCCAATGACAATGCTAACACCCCGGGCCGCGCACGCACGGTAACCATCTCAGAGCCCAACCGTGAGGGCGGCCCATCCCGTGCACAAACCGCCGGGCTCGGCAGCAGGCGCAGGAGACGAGCAAACACAAAAGCCAGCATCAAGGCTTTCCTCGCTTCAGACGAAGCCCAACTCTTGGAAAAAGAAGACGCAAGAAAATTGCTGGAACTGGTCCAAGGCCACCTTGTGGTCTGGCCCTATGACTGGCTGGAAGCGGAGGAAGCAAACGGTGGTTGGCTGTATACCGTAGATCAGATCGCGCCCTTGGAAATCTAGTAAGCTAATGCCTTTTTCGTTGTGTCGAAGGAGAGAAGAACCGGGGATTTAGAATGTGGATTGTTATTAGTTCCGTCATCTAACCATTTTCCGCAGTGCGTAAATTCTCTCAACAACCGAGCCGTCTCTCGCCCTGGAACGCTGTAGGATCGGCAGGCTGGCCAGTGAGCGTTTGAAATTCACTCCCGTGGGATAAAGGGGGTGGAGTCCTACCCGCTCTTGCGGCTCTTCTCACCATCCTTGGTATGTCGTACCGGGTCAAGGGAGGGGGCATCCTATCGACCTATCACACAACCCTTTCTTGTCTCTCTTCTTCTGGTTTGTTTGGAAGCAAGCATTGCGACGGCGTTTGTTGGGATTAGAAGTCCCGTCTTTTCTACCTTACCCCAGAGGTTCTTCCCCCCTCTGTTGCTGTGCCATGGACATGGGGTAGTTTATACCTTAATATCATCCGCTTCTTCCATACTCCGCTTTGGGTACCCCCTTTTTTTTCTCAGCTGTAAAACTACTATCTCGCTTTGGTTTGTTATTGGAATAGAGTGTCGTTTCTGTCACACTAGACAGCCGGTTCCTTGCTTCCCTTTTGTACATAGATTAATTTGTAAGGGCGGTTTTTTTTGGCGCCTTAGCTTTTTGAATTTCCGTCTCTTTGTCTAACCCTAAATCTTCAAACCTCTCCATTTACATGTATAGCTGAATATTTGATTCATCCTTAGTTCACTGTTCTCTACTTATTTCTCTCTTTTACTTTTTCTGCAGATAGAGGTTAGAGGTAAGGGGATAAGATGAACAATTTAAGAGTCAAAGAATTCTGCGTTGTAGGTTAGGCTAGGTATAAGATTGTCTTGAACCAGTTTTGCGTTCCTAGAGCACTAACGTACTTATAAACAATTTTTTTTTCTTCTTTTTTTTAGGAGGTATCTTGTGCTCTTAGTTCCTACAGATACACATTTAAGTAGGAGAATAAAGTTTATTGTTTATGTGTTTAAACAGTAGTATCGCACTATACCTGTGAAGGCGGGCCATCCTACATGACAAAACAAAAAGCAGGAAAAGAGAGGATCTTAACAGAATCAAGTCTCGTCTATTGCAATTTATGGTAGGAGATTCGCTCAGCCATCTCAACCATAAATTATAAATTCTAAGTTGGAGTTTGGGTGATACTACGCACAGCGTAAGTAGGTAGTTAATTACAATAAAGGCACCACAAAACGCAGACGATTGCTAAAAAGACGAAAAACTATCTCAACGACGACAACACCGCCATGCTGCCGCACACTGTGAATATACAGTCAACTGATCTCTGCAGTTACATAAGGTATGTAGTGGATCAAGCAATTGTGACTTGTCCGCTCTCTTCATAGGTGGTGCGGATGACGCGCTAGTGCGTGATGGGATTAGCGCAAGATGAGCAGCTTCCGCCAGCGGTTCAAAATCACGGGACATGGGTTTCTGCCTTGAGCAACATCGAGCATTAAAAACAACACCGACTCAAGAAAAAAACACCATCAAACACTCACGAATACACCCTTAACAACTCAGACGCCTACCTTCGAGCCGTCCCGGTCTATCCAGTGTCTGAGGACGAACGACTACATTTGAAGACACGACTTTTGTTCGCGAGCGGGTTTCGCGAAAAGCAAATACAGACCGACCCCCCAGCCGTACTTATCCACGAGTCCATCCATCCAACTGCACCCCTCTCCCACCCCACCTCACTCCCACTTCCAACATGGGCTCAGTAGTGCTCCCGCACCTCCGCACGGGCTGGCACGTCGACCAAGCGATCTTGTCCGAAGAAGACCGGCTCGTGGTGATCCGCTTCGGGCGCGACCACGACCCGGACTGCATGCGCCAAGACGAGGTCCTCTACAAGATCGCCGACAAAGTCAAGAATTTCGCCGTCATCTACCTCTGCGATTTGGACGAGGTGCCGGATTTCAAGGCCATGTACGAATTGTACGATGCGTGCACCGTCATGTTTTTCTTTCGGAATAAACATATGATGTGTGATTTCGGGACGGGAAATAATGTGAGTAGTTCCGCTCCCTCTGTTTTGTTTTCTTTTTTTTTTGGGGGGAAGGGGCGGAAGAGGGAAATTTATGATCGGTTGCTGACGAGTGCACTTTACAGAACAAACTCAACTGGGTGCTGGAAGACAAGCAGGAACTCATTGATATCATCGAGACTATCTACCGTGGAGCGAAGAAAGGACGTGGTTTGGTGGTTAGTCCGAAGGATTACTCGACGAGGTACCGGTACTAAAGGGTCTTGGTATGGCTTGTGTATGTGTGTCGGCTTGTTTCGGGCCAGGGAACCCGGTGGATTGGGTGGGAATGTGTATGTGGTGCTCGGTCGTCACCATGTCTAGGCTATGATGAATGATGAATGGGATGGGGGAAAATGGTCATGTGCTAGTGGAAATGGAGGCGAATAGGTAGACTTCCTTTGATGTAGAGAGATTGAAGGGATATTGTATCGCTTTTCTTTTCTCTTCAGGTGCTGTTGTCTTATATAGGTCTGTCTGCTATAGGCAGTATAACAGACTTGTATAAGACAATAGCACCTGGAGAGAAAAGAAAAGCAATACGATGTTCCTTAATCTCTCTACATCAGCCACCGCCTAGCTCCAAAAGCCCGTCCCTCCATCTCACTTCCCGTCCTCCCCCCCTCTACCAACCCCCCACAAGCACTCCCGCCCCCCTCTCCAAACAACCTCCAAAATCCCGCGTCTGGGCATCAACCTCGGAAAAACAACAACCACATCCTTCTCACCCCTCACCACAACCGCCAAATAAAACTTGACCTCAAACCCCTTAAACGCTTCATGGATGAACAGATCCTGGATACTAGTCGTAGGGATAAAACGCGTGGTAGGCGCGCGAAGGTAAATCGACGACGTCGTCGAAGTTTGCAGACCGAGATGCGTTATCAGCGTCAAAGATTCCTCTATGAAAACGTGAGACGATTGAAGCAAAGCGAGTAGGAAATGGGGAGGGAAATGGTACCTGTATACCCCCTCCTCAGCACAACACCCCACAGCACCGCCACCGCACCGATATACACATACACGCCCTCGCATTCTTGGAGCACGTCATTCCCTCGTACTGCCCATGCGTTGTTTACTCCCCATTCTAAAGCTAAGTCGACGCCTCGGACACGCAGGAATACAACTGTTGATACCGATATCGCGATTAGGATCCTGAAAATGGTGTTGAGAGCCGATGCGACTGGATGGGAAGGTCGGCGTGTGGAGACTGTGTACGTGGTTGTTGAGAGCGTGGGTTGTGTCGTGTGCAGTGTTGGAGGGTGCGTGGGGGATGTCAGGTATTTTAAAGATGAGATCAACGAGGCCATTGTTTGATGTATCTTCGCTTTCTTTGTGGTATTTCTGCCTGGGTGTATGCAAGGCTAGGTTTGGGTGTGTGGGCGGTTTAGGGTTCCCTTTTCTTTTTGTAGCCTGGCTCCTGGAATGTTCCTGGATCTTTTTTGGGGATTTGGATGAATGGAGTTATCTGGGCTTGTAGATAATAGGGTGATTTTTCATGTATCTGTCTGCCTGTATGCTTGCTTGTTTGTTTTGCTCCTTGGGTGGTGTTCCATAGAGTTAGAAACCGGGTTGTCCAGAGGATAGGGTTGACTCTGCATGGGATTTTGCTGATTCATTCATTTCAGGCGAAAAGCCATGAGCTATGAGACAGAAGTAGAAAAACGAGGGCAGCTATGGTTGTTAGTTTCAGGGTGGGAGGAACTTTTGAGAGGCTGATGTTCGAGAAAAGAAGAACGAGGCTTGGGGGCGTTCGTTGATCTTCAGCCCTACGAGTGGTCACTAGCGATGCGGCTCTGGTGGACGTCGTAAATATCCGGATTTAAGCCGGGACATTGTATGATCAAGACATTGATCGAGGATTAAGGATGCATGAAACCCGGATTGATACGCTTTTAAATTTTATGAATTTAATCTTCTGAGCATAGTTTTCTGAGAAGTGAGAGGTAAGTAATGTCGATGTCCCCAAGAGTGACGCGTGTGGAGAAGGCGCGGAAGCTACTGTAGCGGTGGCCCGTGCGTGCTTGCATCTTTTCAAGAGCAGTACTTCTCGCCGACATGCATCCTCAACTCTACTTGACATACTGCTGATAGGCCACCATCCGCCTCTCGCAGAACCAGCTTCTTTTCTCGCCTTCCACGATCATACCCCGTTCCCGAAGGCACAAGTAATCGTCGCAACATTCAAAAACACTCCCGGCGCAATCATTCACACGCCTCCCTCACTTCAACTCTTTCCAAACCCAAGGACCAGCAGAACAGCACAGACAACTAGAATCTAAAGCCTTTTCAAGCCTTACCCAGATCCTACCTATCTCAACACTCTCTTCACACACACCTTCCAGCACCATGCCTTCTCCCGAACCAGACTCAAAAGAATCCCGCGATCGTTCGCGATCGCCCCGTAGGAGCAGAAGCCCCGCTCCTCGCAAGCCCAAGAACTACTCAGGCCTAAAGTGGAAGAAAAATGAAGGCGGTGGGCGAGACGAACCAAGAACTTCGAGAGACGACTGGGGTCGTGGAGCCAGAGAACGCGGGGATCGCGACCGAAGGGATGACAGAGATCGAGGAAGGAACAGATTCGATGACAGAGAACGAAGGGACCGAGACCGCCGTGACGACCGTGAACGACGTCCCCGCCGCGACGAAGACAACAGAGAACGACGGGATCGAGACAGCCGCCGCGACCCCCGCGATTCTGAGCGGCGCAGACCGCGCGACGACAGGGACAAGGGGAAGGAAAAGGATAAATCTGAGAAGAAAGCTGCTCCGGCTGCGCCTGCGCCCGCTGCTAATGGCGAACCTATGATTATTGTAACGGTCAATGACCGGCTAGGTACCAAGGCGCAGATCCCTTGCATGGCCTCGGATCCGGTCAAGGTCTTCAAGATGATGGTCGCGGCGAAGATCGGTCGTCCTGTACACGAGATTATGTTGAAGAGGCAGGGGCAGCGGCCGTTTCATGATAGCTTGACGCTCGCTGACTACGAGGTTAGCCATGGGGTGCAGATTGATTTGGAGTTGAATACGGGAGATTAGTGCGTGTCGAGAGGCTTGGATGCGACGCGTATAAGCGCATGTCTGGGCATCGAAGGAGGAAATGATTAGGACGGGCAAAATTGGAGGGAGAGTCACAAGAATATCGTGACGGTATGCGTCAGTAAATAACGGAGTGAAAACAAATGATACCCTTGCAACATATTCGAGGCCGTTGCAACTTGAATATTGACAGTATATTCTACTTCTACCATCCTTCCATTTATACGGGTATCTCATTTTCTCTCTCTATTCAAAATCACTCATCCGCCTCATCATCTTTCGCCTGCATCTTACTAACATCTAACCCCTTTCGCTTCGCATACTTCTCATTAACAACCTCAACAGGCTCCTGTCGTTCCCTCTTCATCAACGGAGTGTACCCTCCCTTAGCCCTCCCCATATTTCCCCCGTCAAACACCCTACACGCACCTCCATCGCTCTTGGCTTTCCCCTCCTTCTCCTTCTCCTTCTCCAAACCCCCTTCCCTAAAAACATCAGCATCCAGCGCCGACCGTCCCAACCCAGCAATTCTATCCAACAACAACCCCGACAACGTCTCATCAATCTTATTCCGCCGCCAAACCTCCCACACATCATCCACCACACCACCGCGGCCCCATTTCCCTTTGCCCAACGGCACCTCGCCGCTGTTTTTGTTGTTGCTACCAGGAGACGGTGCACCGCCACCATCACCAACGTAGATCCATTCAAGCCGGTCTTCGTATCCGTGTTCGCGTTCTTCGCTGGATTGCACTTCTTCGGCGTGCGGGAAGATGCAGTCCCAGAGCACGAGCGGCGCGTCGGACGCCATCTCGTATTTCGGGCGGGTTGGGTTCTTGGAGATGTTGAGGAGGGCGGGGACGATGGACGGCTGTTCGAGAGATTGGCCGACTAGGAATAGGATCGCGACTAGAGAGCGGACTTGGTGCCAGAGGAATGCTGAGCCGTGGAGTGTGAAGGAGTACATCTTTGGGGGTTCTGGTTGCGAACCACTAATACTGGATGTCGGAGGGGCTATGGCGGTGTGCGAAAGGAAAGAAGGGAGGGAGAGTGGGGAGATTTCCTCAATCTCGGCGTGGAAGATGCGTCGGTTGAAGTTTGTGAGCTGTTTTGAGGCGTCGATTTTGCAAAAGTTGCGGAAGTCGTGGAGGCCGATTAGGTGGTTGCATGCTTGTTGCATTTTGGCAATGTCGAGGTAGCCCTCGCGTATCGGTGTAGATTCTCCATCTTCTTCAGTCGTTGCTGGTGTGTATAGACTCGAGGGACCTGGTGGGGGCGCGAAACAGGGGTTGGTGAAGAAGTATTTGTAGCGGCGTTCTTTACATGAGAAGCGTGCCGAGAAGTCGGCGGGTGGGTTGGGGCACCAGGCATAGACTCGGATATCGGGGGGTAGAACGCGGTTAAGGAGCTCAATATAAGGAAGTTCGTCGGTGAGGTCGCTGAAGGACTGTGGCGGCGGCTCTTCCGTCTCGCTATCGGAAGGAAGACGAATGTAGTCTTGAGGGATTTCAGATTCGGTCTGTTCTTGATCCACAGACTCAAGTTGATCGGGTTCAGGAACGGGTTTAAGTTTTGGCAATGGTCGATTGCTACGAACGCGAATGCCGATTACTTGGCCAAAGGCGCTCACCCCTCTGTCTGTCCGCCCGCACTTTGAGTACTCGCAACCATCCCAATTCACATCAGCGCCTTCTCTGTTCCAAGCTGTGTGTGTTTTCCGATCGACCTTGGCATACCCCTCGTCTTTGCTTTCGCTTTTCGTGGGGTTTATAAGGCGTGTTTTCATCAATGCCTTCCATAGCTCCTCCTCAATCGTGGGCAATGGCGTCTTGTTGTTCTTATGGTGTTCAAAACCTTGATAATTCTGGCCCAGGTAGGCAAATTTGAGTGCGATGAATCTCGTGTTGTATTTTGAGGCGTCAAAGGCCTTCGGTGGCTGCTTGGGCGGTTTCCGATAGGGAACTCGTGTGGTAGTCGGTGCGGGTACAGCAAAGCTGGTGGTATGTGGATTCGGCTCGACCGGTTTATTCGTCTCCACCGTACTTAGAGGAGAATCAGTAGTCAGTTTCCCTTCGAGCTCTTTAATCCTAGCAATCAGCTGCTCTTGTGTCCATTGTTCGTAGGCGGCGTTGCCGGCCATTCTAGGTTTCCACGAGGGCGACGACTGCTGAACACGGACGCGCCGGGACACTCTCGAAAGCTGATGGTGACTGCGTCGCGTGCAGAACAGGCGATGCAAATGAGGCTCAAGTTCGGGGAAGACGTGGGGGAGGAGGGGTAACGAGGGGCGCATCGCAAGGCTGGTGTAATTTGCTTAGTGCGCATGCATCCCTCGTGCCTTTTTTTCCTCTGTTGCTGCATGACGACGTCAGGGTCCGACTAGCCTCTTTTGGCATCCCGTCTATCTTGTGAGCATACAACACGACGCCAATGTTCAAATGTTGTCTCAAACTGGACTCAAAAACACAACTTTACCTATTATAAGTATTGGAAGCCGTATTAACTTGAAGATTGAGATTTATCGCAAACGATTTCCAGGAATTTCTTTCGAGAAGACTCTTAGGGATCGTGGAGGCCAACTACAGAGTAATCGAGATTGAATGTTTGTACCACTCTAATACAATATGAAAATTACATTGTTCAATTCTATTTCGTTCATAAGTCTACTCATATCTTTCTATGAACATATAGTACGTTCTCAATGTCTGCATTTATGGTGCTAAAACGATATAGCTATTGCCGAATCAAGAGCAAGCAGTGAACATGATGGATAACTTCGATGACTTCCATGGGGTTACTACCATTCACGTATCATGCATAGCATCTATTGTTTCTGGTCGTAATTAGTTTTTCTTCAAATCTCGTTATGCAACTAAACTTCTGGTGCACATCTCTGCTGGCGTTTCAGACAATGTACATTGTGCTCAGATGTAACCTCATCATGAGTGAACATGCTTTACGCTGCTGTGCATACCTTTGTTCTTACTTCCTCCTTCTTCGTCTTCTTCTCGTTCTTTTTTCTCTTCAAATATTTGGATTACACTGCAACAGCAAAATTAGACACTGCACAAACTTCCAATTCTAACAAAAAATGTGGTGCTTTTCACGAAGAGCTTCACCGCTGCAAAGCAAGCACCAAACCCAGAGTACAACCTCGAAACCAAAGAAGCATTCATCCACCGCATCAGATTCGAAGAGCCGCGTGGATTCCCTAATCTCCGATATCGAAGCTCACAGAAAATCTCAAGCATCTTCTCTGAGCACCGCTCGCCGCGGGTCTACCAGCTCCCTTGGCACCATGTTTGTCGACGTTAATGACGAAACTGGAGAAATGGAAGTTTCTTATCGAAACCGCGAGAAGATTCCCCGTGAGATCGACATGAAGATCCGTGAACGTAGACGAGGCGGATTCTTCGTCTCCGGCACTGATCGTGCGAGTGGATTTGACTATGACTATGACGGTCGTGTCATGCACGTTCATCGCAATGCTCGTCGTGGCTCGTCGTCGACCATCTCTGATTATTACGAGCTCGACGCTAAGAAGTATGAGCCTGGTGCTGATGTGATCGCCCGTAGCGACGAAGACACTGACGATCAAGCTCCTAAAAACAAGCAGCAGAAGGAAGTGGATTTCATCCGTACACTTATCCAGAAGTTTGATAACCACAATATATGGAAGCGCTTTAAGGAAGAAGCCGAACCACTCAACAAGAAGATGAGGAAGAAGAGTGGAAGGAGGAGGAAAGCAACTCATCCTAAATCTAGTCACTCCGATCACTCTTCTAGGAAGGACAGGCACGAGGAAGAGACCCACTCCAGGTCTCATCATTCTAATCATTCTTCTATGAAGAATAGGTCTCACCGTTCTCATAAATCTTCTACAAACAGTAGAAGTGAGGACATCTACACTCCTAAAAGCCCATTAGCACCCCCCTCAGTCTCTTCGAGAAGCAAGGAGGCATACGTTGAGTCTATCGCAGACAACTACTCGATGTACCCGAACTTGTCATGCAACCCACTCCCCGTTCCATCGACCTTCTCACATCGACACGACACCATTACATCAGCACCCTCATCGAGAACCGAAAAAGGCAAGGAACCCATGAGGCAAGCCTACCCAGATCCTCCACCCTCACCCCCTCCGGTCCCCTCACGCAGTCCTAAAAGGGGCCGAAGGTACCCCGCATCTTCTGTATACTCTCAAGAGACGTTTTATCCGGAGTCCCGCGCTCCTTCTCGCGCCGCTCCTTCCACCGCTCCTCGGCCCGCTCGCTTGGCTCAACCATCTATCATGTCGAAGGCGAGCCTCATCCCACCACCCCTCAACGTCAGGACTTTTCCGCCTCCAACCAGTTCCAGGGCACCATCTGCGGCCCCAACATCCAAAGGACCATCCGCATACTACCCCTCCTTTTTGCGTCCAGGGGCCAGTCAGTATGCGCCGTCTTCTGTGGGCGTTCCTTACGATGCGTTCTCCTGGTCGTCGAGTGTGACGGAATTACCGTTCTCCGATAATAGGTCGGAAGACGAGGATGAGCCTACGTGGGAGCGACATGGAGGCAATCCTCCATTTTCTTAAATATTTCTTTTTGTTTTTGTAGGCGTTGGACATTCCTTTGTATCTGATGGATTAGCTTGTGGGAGAGTCTAGATCGGCATCCAGATTTTTCTCTTTCTTGACGTGCTTATTAAATGGGACCAATTATGAGTCCTATGTGTGAGCTGGAAGAGAGAGAAAGCGATGTGATTATCTTCCTCTTTCTCGAAGTTCTTATTGAATGGGACCGAGTATGAGTCCCGGATGTGAGCTGCGAGAGAGAGAGAGATGGTTGAGACGTTACCTACGCGATGGATGGACTCAGTAATGTCGCCGTTTATGAGCGCGTTTATTGGTCTGGAATGCGTAGCTGGGATAGTTTGTGCTGAATTCGAAGCAAGCGAATCTAGAGATGAATAAATACGAACAATGCGCAGTACTTATTTACATGTCTGGTATATGAATTGAAGTCCGATATCATCTTATTTTCGTACGTGCAAATTTTAATAAGGAATGGAAGTCTTCTTCGGAATTCTCAATAAATCAATTTGCCAAATCTCTTACTTCGTGTTGGCGAATCCTAACTATACTGTGTGCTGACCTGATTTAATATCGTGCGATTTTCTATGATTGGTGCACATCAAAAGGTTTGGCTGCTTTAATGAAAAGGTACCTTCTACATCTCTCATCCGGGTAAAGGGTGTTGAAAGATCGGTGACGAGGATGGCTTACATATACGCATTCAGCCCCAGAAGCGAGCCCAGGTGGGGCCAGTATCGAAAGCTGATATATCCATCATTGCTACATGTACATCTCGACAAATACACAAATCTTCTTAAGGAGCTTCTCGTCGAGGAGTATTGTTACGAAACGATCCCAGAACACGGACAACAGATAAGATGGACAGGACACCGAGCTCTTCCAACCTGTCGCTTTCGGATGATGCTGCTTCCCCACTACGTCAATGGCATCAGCAGTATGTAGCGGAGGATGCGGATCTCATGAGCAGAGATTCACCTTCAATTAAAGAAGTTGATTCGGATACGCTTGACGTTGAAATGATCGAAAGCTCTATCGTGGAAGCATTGAAAACAATGGAAGTTACGGAAGGCTTCTGCTGTGGCTGTAGAAAAATGTTAGACCATTGGCCCACGATTGGTACTAGACATGGAGCGCATGGAGTTGCACGAAATCTCAGCACAAGTGAAATGGAGGCCGCTAAACGAAAAGGATGTAGATGTTGCACATTTCTCCTTTCGCATGTCGATCCCCACTACTTGGACACATTTCGCAAGCTCGAACGGCGACTGGCTATCTTGAAAGTCTCCAGTACCGCCTCGATATCTGTATGGAATTGGGGGTCGGTCAACGGCACGCAGATATTATGGGTGAATTTCCCCGGGAAGATAACGACCAACCCCAACTCCAATCTGACTAACTCGTGGTCTTGCGAGTCTTACGTTCTCTCTCCTTCTGGTATGTTAAAGAGGAGGTTTATCTTGCATTTCTGACATTATGCAGCTGATTGCTATAATGAGCCTGTCGACAATTTCGTTCTTATGAAGACGTGGTTGAACGATTGTGTCCACGGCCACACACAGTGCAAAAGCAAAAGCTCAAACGAGCAACCTCGAAGACTAGTGAACATCGCCGATGAAAACATGAAGTTGGTAATGACAGATACTCTTCCGAACTTACCCCATTATGCGACACTAAGCTATTGTTGGGGTAAGAAAGATTTCGTCAGATTGACCAGGGAAACCATGACGAGTTTCTTAGAATGTATACCTAACGAGGAGTTGCCAAAAACATTCAAGGACGCTGTTTTGATTACAAAAACGCTCGGTCTTGAATACATCTGGATCGACGCTCTCTGCATTATCCAGGGCGAAAGTGACCACCTCGACTGGTTGAGTGAATGCGGGAAGATGCGCTCTGTCTATGGCAAAGCTCGCGTCAACCTTGCCGCTACCACCGCGACTGATGCACACGGAGGTTGCTTCATCAAGACTCCAAAATTTAGCGGCGGTTTTATCGCTCGGGTTACCAACAGAAAGTACGGCTGTGTCCGGAATTTCCATTCTCACGGAGTTGCCGATTCTACTACAAATAGAACGCACTTAGCGACCAGAGCGTGGACCCTTCAAGAGCGCCTCTTGGCCCCTCGTACACTCTACTTTGGGGAACAAGGTATATCCTGGGAATGCAGGACTACATGGGCTTCCGAATTTCTTCCAGATGGCACTCCAGATACTCTAAGGAGCAGAGTGGTGATCCCGGAGGACAAGCCTTGGGCATGGGATGACATCGTCTATCAATATTCCAGTGCTGAGTTGACGAATCCGGCTACTGATAAGCTGCCGGCTTTATCTGGTATCGCCAGGCGCCAGCACGAGGCCGTTGACGGCCGCTACCTAGCGGGTATGTGGAAGGAGAATTTGTTGAGACAGCTTCCCTGGCGATGCCATACGAAAAGTCAGCGATCCAAGTGGCAAGCACCTTCGTGGTCATGGACTTCAATCAATACGCAGACGTTTTACTATGGTTATTATGACTCACTGGATTCAGGTATAGCTTCAGACGAATACGCATGTGTGTTGGATGTTTGGACCACTCTCGCAGGCCCAGATCCATTTGGTGCCGTAACCGATGGCGAGCTGCGCTTAGGTTGCAAAGCGTTAGTCCTTGGACGATATGTTGCCACCGGAGATGGAGAAGGAACGCAAGACATCATCGAAATAGATTCTAGCGTGGAGCGTTTCAGGATGTATATGGACATTGCAGATCTCGAATATGCTAGGACCGGTGAAACCGTGATTGTTCTTCCTCTTTTTGAGGGTAGATCGGGGAGTAGATCGTATAAGCGAAACAAATCTCTCGGGTCCACCAAGCCAGCCAAGACGGAGTCGGAGAAATCAGATGATAAAATTCATGGTTTTCAACAAGACGCTGTCACCCATGATATCAAAAACATATCGCATGAGAGTCAATCACCAGTCGGAAGTGACAATGACTTTGACGATCAGCCAGAGAGGGATATGGATGACTATGAACTCGAAACGGAAGGAGTGTTAATTCAAGGAATCGTAATGCGTCCTTTTCAAAATATGAAGGGTGTCTTTCAAAGGATTGGAGCGTTCGAATTCCTGCATGATAAGCCTCTGCAAGATCCTGATATCGAGAAAAATCAGTATACTGAGTTCATTCGAATTATGGGAGAAGTTGGGGTGTCGACAGCAGAATCTTACTGTTCTGAAATCCTGTCAGAGTGCGAGACTCCTGAGATGCAGTATGTTGTGACCTTGAAATAAACATCGGAAGGGAAATGTATCATCATGCGCTGAGGTTGTCAAGAATCGGGCCATAAATTCATTAATAAGAAAAAAAAGCACTCATTTGATATATAGCTTTACTAAGTGACGAAAGAATAGCTTATATTTTGCTAATAAGTCTGCCCTAATTACCTAGGTAAGTATATTTACTAGCACTGTACAAATGTATAGACACAACGCAATTACAATTATTCATAGTCCCATCTGTAATGAATTTGTCACAGTCTGTTCCTGGGGATAATCGAACTTCTTTTAATAGATGGGCCTCGGTCTCTGTATCGGGAGACGGTGCAGCTACTGTTGCGAGTGGCGTGTACATAACGGTAGGGGGAGGAACGGCTAACGCCTGCTGCCAATTCGGACCCGCAAATCGTTCCCCAACTTCGACTTGTTTTAATTGCAGCATATCTTTGTTTCTTTTCAGCTCTTTAATTGTGTTCGTTGTTTGTTGGCGTATTTCCGAAATGACGTGGGCGTTTTCGTGGCTTTGAACCAGATTGGCAAGAAGCTCTCCATCAATAATGAATTGAAGCACTTTCTTCGCGACTATGTGGAGTCGGTGAACGGCAGTGTGTCGAAGCTGCGCTATTGATTTCAGAAGTATGGGCAAAGGTTTTGGAATTGATGCCATCTCGTCCCTGGAGAACTCGATTTCGTAATCGAGGAAGATCTTGCACCATCGATTTAATTCGACTGCTTCGGAACATTCCCAGCCTTCTTCTTGCAACACTCCATGAAGCCTTTCCTGCGCAAAGGAGAAGCAGGCTTTTTCGAGTAAAGTTTGGACGTTGACCAGAAGGCGATGTTGTACATTGAAGGGCAGGTAAACCGGGTATCGCCTGGACACAGTGGACGCTGTCTGTGGGGATTGTACGACCAAGAGATGCGATTTTTCCAAAGAACCAGTAGCTGTTATTGCACCATATGGATTTCGGGACCATAAACCATCTTCTGTAGGCTTGCTGCGGCGCTCCCCGGAGTTATCCTGTTGCTCCCTCATCATGTGTTGAATCTCGATAAACTGAGCAGGCGACACCTCAAAGAGATTAGGAAATCGGCCTTTCGCTTTCAGGGTGGATTCAAATATACCTTCCATTAAAAGGAGTCTGGCAATGTTCCGCACATCGTCAATGGTATGTTCCTGGATGAGGGTTTCCACTTCTTTCTGGTGACAATGGTCCTTGATGAGTTTTCTGATCACGATAGCCTTACGTATTCTCGCATTTTTACCTTGAAAGATGTCTTTGAGAGCTAGGTAAACGAGCCTCTCGTCAGGCAAGTTGTTGGCCATGGGGAATTGCTGTGAAAACCAGGATGGAGGGCTGTTTTTCTCTGTGTTATGGCCGGTTTCTGACTACAAAAGCTACGCTGAGATGTTCCAAGCGTCTCCCTAAATAGAGAATCGGAAAGTCTGGCATCTTCTTCTGCGGAGTCCTCCTGGAATTACTAAAACTATACCCGTACTTTGACCTCTGTATTTCCAAGGAAATAGAATTATCGCGAAAGCAACAAACCAGAGATTGTGCAGACCATTTCTGTCGTCGTTGATTCGTTCGATGACTTCCAGTTCACTAATACCGAAAGACTGATTCGTTCGTAATTCATGAGGCGCGCCATTGCTATCGAGTTCCAGATAAAACATTTGGCCAATCAGGAAGCGTCTATTTCAACGGTCGAATGAATGTCAACTTTCACTTTACTTACCCAGGCATTTTAACTCAGCATACGCCGATTGGCTGCAAGAGAATCGTAGGTAGGCCTACTATTTGTCCTTCATCCGATCGTGAAATATAGCCAAGGTCTTTCACAACTTTTCCGTGTCACATGAATCTATAGGGCAAAAAGAAAGTCGAAAGTGCAGTAGTTTTGTCATTGACATAAATTTGCAAGGTTTGATATATACAAAGAAGGGATCCTTTTGGATCGCAAAAGGTTTACTGTTGTTCGTGTAGCAAGAGAGAACAGAACTGGAAGTGGCCCAATGACCTCTCTCAAGACGCTTACTTAAGAGGCGCCGTAATCTTGTCGAGCGACTTGCTCTGGACTTGCCATCCATCGGCCTGGTATCCGCTGGTGAAGTAGGCCTTGGCCTGTTCGTCACCTCGGAACACCCACTGCAGCCAGTTGAGGCCGGCCTTTCCGAATCTTCCGCCGTTCTGGTCGAAGAGAGTGCCTCCGTGGCCGACGTTGATGTTTCCCTTCCATGAAGGTGTTCCTGCTGGGAGAGCGTTGTAGTCTCTCTCGCCCTGTGTTCACTCGTCAGTAAAAGTTGATATAAATGGACAGGAAGGACGAATTGTAAGGGACGAAACAGAAGAAGAGTTGAACACTTACATTCGCATAGGCGATGTCGCCAGATCCTCCCAAAATGTAGATGACAGGCTTGGTGTATGAGCGAGCAGCAGTCTGGTTCTGCAACAATCCGGAGCTGACAACACCGATGGTCTTCACGCGCGAGTCCCAGATCTGGTCCATGGCTTCGACACCACCGCAGCTGAAACCAGAAGCCATGATCTTGCTCGCGTCAACGTTGGCATAGGCTCCCTGTCCGGCTTGCTGGGTGACCCAGTCGATCGACTGCTTCATCATGGCAGATGTTGTTCCGCCTTGCTGTCCCGGGCCGCCCGAGGCGATGGCGATATAGCCGTAAGAGGCGACTTGCTGGAGGAACTGAGCGTTACCAGTGCCATCAGCGCCACAACCACCGTTACCCCATACAAGGACTGGGAGCTTGAGGTCGGCAGGAGCGTTGGATGGCATGTAGATGGTGTGCTGCTGAAGGTTGCTCTCCGTCTTGTACGTCTATCTTGCGGGTCAGTGTCGTCGCTGAATTGAGGGAAGTTTTTACCTACGCCAGGGCCGTAAGGTCCATCACCACCTCCGCCTTGACGTTTCTCGACAGGTGAGGCAAAAGCCACACCCGAAAGAACAGTGAATCCAATAATGTTAAGCTTCATCTCGAAAGGCTATTTGGGTATATCAAGAATGGAAATGCGATGAGTTGCTGTCGTTGCAGCGAACATCTGCGATCCTCGGGTCTTTTATACAGACTCATGAGTGCCCAATAACAGTTTTGTGGTGATTCATGAAACATGATGTTTCCTACTACGAGATCTCTTGGCGATCGTCGTTTAGATGTTGGAACAGGGAACAGCCCAAGTATTCTTCCCCATATTTTACCCCCTAATACACGATGATCCAAGTCGCACCAATCGCACCAATAGCGCCACTCGCCTATTCTGCCGCATTGATTGCGCCCAGCGTCAATGTCCCCGAGGCTGTTGAGCATATATTGATGTTTCCCCATCTCGTCACCCATCCATGCATATATGTGCGACAACAAGCTCCGCTTCATGGAAACACGATTAGCGACCGTGATCCATAAATTGGTTTTGAACGGGTGCATAGCTTTACCGCTGATCAGCTGTGGTTTTCGAATTACCCGTGGGCTGTTGTTGACGCAACGGAAATAGTACTCAGGTTGCTTTTGGGTCGTTTCTCTACGGAAAGTTCCATACGACTGGAAGAAATTCCATGGAAGACAGGCCGTGCGGCTATGCTGCAGAGGTCGGGTGCTGACATCCTCCACCCCTGGAAACCGTCCTTGGCTACATATGCAAAGAGGAGAATTTCCCCTCATTGAATTTGGAGTCGAGATTGCCATATCCATAGAAGGAATTTTCAGGAGCTAGGAGAGCGTATGTTGTATGCCGGCATCTGGCTCGGCATCTGTCCGTGGAGATGACTGCAAATCAGAGCTACCAAAAACTACTTATACATGTGAACAGATGTTGGATACGGCAAGCGAGTCATGTCTCCCGCAGACTGACGTACCGTATCGTTCACGATGTCAGGGACCGATGCTTAATTTCATCTATATGCTAATATTGCGGATGAACAAAAGCCCTTCAAGCAAGCGAGCGTTTCGTTCCTTGCGAGCATGAATATCGATATGGTCCTAAGCGATAGAGGAATCTGCAGTGACAACAAAAGATGATTGCACGATCCTTGCGGATACTATACTATTCCCCTCACTAAGTGAATAAGCAGTGATAATTTCATTCACGTGCAAAGATCATAGGTCTTGCGTGCTTCATCTCAAAGTTTATAAACCCCTCAAAACTTCATTTGCACTATACTAGAAATCCTCGCAAGACTCATCACTCGCAATCGCATTCGCATTTGACTCTATCAGCGTGTTTTTTATGGTTGGATCAGGCATGTTCTCGCTGACACCGTCATCATTGAGGTTTTGATACATCCCCTGTTCAATGGGGTGTTCAGATTTAACCTTTGACTGCCGAGAACGCGGGGTACTTTAACGAGGTTAAAATGTTCTCGTATTCCGAGGCATGTTGCAGCAGCCCGATCTGATTATCACATCATGCATACACTAGTTGTGCTTGTCGATCGTGTTTGTGCACGTAGCCTCCATACGGGTGCGCAGAATGTATGTAAATCACCACAGCGTCAACAAGAGGACAAGACACAGGTCACTCTCCATAATTGTGATTGCTAAATCGATGTAACTAAGATGAGAACTGATTGAAGAAACCCCAAATCTCATCAGGAACATAGCTGCGTGCACCGCTGTCACCTCCACCATCCACGGGCGCTGGGGCGTGACCTGTTTCGAGAGCAAATCGTCAACATACATCCCGAAGACAGTAGGATATTGCATCACTGAAAGGAGCTTGTTTAGCTTACCTCCATCGAAAGCCAACCACGTTACGGGATACCCAGCTTTGCATCCAGTGTATGCAGTCTTAACGTGTTGTCCTGACCCCGAGCCAGGTTCCCTGGGATTTGTCTGCGCGCATCCGTTATTCCTCACGAATCTATCCCTCAATGTTCTGCCCTGAGCAATGTTCAAAGTTCCATCATTGATTCCATGAATTCCAAGGTACGCAATAGGATCGTTCCCACCGTCACAGCCACTCAACTGACCTCCGGAGATGACAGCAACAGCGCGGAAGTCCTTAGCCCTGGAGCAAGCGATAGAAAACGACATAGATCCTCCATAAGAGAAGCCAGTCGCAAATCTCTGAGTCGTGTCGACGCATAGATCAGCTTCAATCGCATTCCGCATCGCGTCGACAAAGGCGATGTCCTCGCCCCCACTGTTGCCCCAACCATTGTTCAGACCTTGTGGAGCCACGAGAATGGCGGTTTCAGATGACTTCTTCTGCATACCGTAATAGGCCCACTGCGCACCATCTGAACCGCCGCCCGACACGTCCTGCATCGTTCCACCAACCCAGTGGAAAGCGAAGATAAGCTTGTGCGGCTTGTTTTGGTCATAGCCGTTGGGCACGCGGATCGTGTATTGACGGTTCTTGCCATTGACGTTGATGGATCGTGCGCCGGAGCTTATGGTCGGCGACTTGCCGCATCCTGCTGAGTTGGCGCGTTTGTTCAGGATGTTGGGATTGGCGGTTTGAGGGAGAACTATTGATTGCGTGAGATGATTGTAGTTTCTTGCTCGACGGTATACTCTCGGGCACGACAAAATATCAGGACAAGCCGATTCTCAGAGATTAATCTCGTATTGTGATATCTCCGCCTAAGCTTTACAGTTGCTTTGCTGGAGGAGAAGCTATAACTTACCATCGCTGGCAGGAGCACCGACGACGACAGCGGCCGCATAGAACGCGGCGCCCAGAATTGTAGGCAAAGAAATCATGGTTCCGCTTGTTTTGTGTATACAGTGCAAATACGAAACTCAGGATAAGCAAAGAACGGGGTCAATATCTGCATTTATATACTATACGCGTTTAAGCGTTGTTCGCAACAAAATTACACCAGGAACGCAACCTTATGGATTAAAGTATATATGCTCGCACATATTGGACGCTATAGAAGAAGGTCTGACGATTCTCCACCATTTGCGACCAGGCAGACAATTTGCCGACTTCTTAACAGGGCCGACGATCGCCGTTGTGAGAACGTAAATGGAAATGGCAAGGATCGAACATACTAGTTTGTTTGCTATAGGTGAAACTATGTCATGCTCCCCGCACCACTCAATTTATACTAAAGCCGGCTAAACCTCCCATCAACAGATATTGACTAGGATCCCACGAATTAAGAGAAAGAAGAGGTTAGAGGCAATTTTAAGTCTTACGACTTGAGCATGATGTGCGTGGTAGTGTCAAACAACTAGGGACTTGGGCAGTGATATTGAAATTGTTGCAGGCTTGGTATACGGCTGAAGTGAAAGAATAGGATTGTGGGGTTTCGGGACCACAAGAACCCCGAGAAAAATAGAACCAGACAATTCAATTCATACATTAACCGTAGTACGTTGGTGTACAAGTGCCTGTACAGGATGCGAGATATGCGGTTTGGGACAGAAACGATAATGCAGATCTATTTACTCCTCTTTTCGCTACCATGTATTCCGCGTCAATAACACGGCAGAATGACAATTACCTCAAATTTTTCCGATTCTAAATTGAAAGTATGGAATAACTGGGCTGTTATTCATTGAAGAGGAGGTGACTACTAGGAAAGAGAAGAATAAAGCTAAGAAGGAGAATAGCAAGCCGCCCGATCACCCAAGACTTGGAGGTAGCAGAATAACGAAACAATCATGAAGTCAAAGCTACTTCTAGCAATCATCTCCTGTGGGCAGCTTGCCAGCGCTGCCACAGATTTCTATGTTGCGGTCACTGGCTCTGACGACAATACGGGTACAACAGCCTCAGCGCCGTTTCAGACACTTCCCAAGGCGCAGCAAGCTGTTCGCAGCCAGCTCGCAGGCGGTGGCGCATCGTCCAACATTACAGTACACATTGGATCTGGGACCTACACGCTGTCCACTCCACTCGTCTTCACTGCCTCTGACTCTGGAAAAGATGGCTCTACAGTGAAATGGGTTGGCACTAACGCGCTCATCTCGGGCGGCTACAAAGTCAGTAATTGGACATCTGGTACGAATGGCATCTACAGCGCCAGCGTTCCCGTAGGTCTCAAATCCAGGAATCTCTACGTCAATGGCCAAGCTTCCAATTATGCGCGCAAGAAGGTCGCCAATAGGAAAGATTTCCAGTACACGGCCACCTCCATCAAATGGTCGTCTGGCACTTATGACTGGATCACGTCAACCCAAGGCATCGAAGGAGCTGAGGTGCGCTTCATCAATTCCTTCGCCGACCGCGTTGCCCCTATACAATCCAAGGGTTCGCGCGAGCTCGTCATGGAGCAGAACACGTGGTTCAATCAGAATTGGGGTTACGACACAATCTCCAAGCCAAATGCCGATTTTGGCGTTTGGGTGCAGAATGCGCTTGCGTTGTTGAGCGAGGGAGGGCAGTTCTACTTGGACTCTGGGGCCGGCAAGGTTTACTACAAGCCGCTCAATGGAGAGAACATGAACACCGTGCAAACATATCTTGGAAACTTGGAGACATTGGTTGTTCTCGGAGGGACTTATGACAATCCCATTCACGATATTGTGTTTGAGAACTTGAGCTTCGTAAGTTGTCTCCCTAGAAGTTGTTGCGGGTGAATGTAAAAGAGACTCATATCGATCATGGCATAGGCCCACAGTACATGGCTCCAGCCCGCTTCCATCGGCTACATTGACCAGCAAACCGGTGGCAATCTCTGCGAGAACAAAACTTACGACACCTCCAACTTCGAATCCACCCGACCAAACTGGTGCCAGATGCCATCTGCGATCCAGATCAGCGCAGCCCGCAACATCGTTCTAACAGGCGGAAATTACACGCAACTCGGCGGAGGAGGTGTAGGAATCGGTAACGACGCCAATGCACACGTCTCAGGTGTCGGATTGGGTGCCTCCAATGTTGCCGTCCGCAACGGATACTTCTCGCAAGTTATGGGCAACAGCATCACTGCGGGCGGTATCCGCGCAGATGCGCACCACCCATCAGACGCCCGCATGCTCAACACGCAACTGGAAATCTCCGGAAACATCTTTTACAACGTTAGTTCGTTGTTCAGTTCCACAGTGCCGATTCTTGCTACGTACGTTCAGCGCACAACTATCGCGCACAACGATATCTATGTAACGCCGTACTCGGGAATTTGTCTAGGTTATGGATGGGGATCCAACGATGCGGGCGGGAGCTCAGAATATGTCAATCGAGGCTTGTACAAATATCAACCGCAGTATTCGACGCCGACGACTATGCTGGTAAGTGACTCAAACTTCTCAATTCACCGATCCCCCTCTTCCTTCTTCCCATCGCTTCATGGTCTTTACATTATCTGTGTTTCGCCAATCTAGCCACTACTCCCCTCGATATAAGCAACCATCTCACTACACGATACGTACCCACCCCTACTAACATACAACCTAGGAGAACCGCATCGAAGGCAACCTAATCCACGGCTACGGCTATTCTCACACCGACCTCGGTGCAATCTACACCCTCTCAAAATCCCCATCATCCTACATAACTCACAACTACGCCCTTGACTCGTCCGTTGGCTTCGGCGTCTACACCGACGAAGGCTCAAACTCCTACATCATCCGCGAAAACGTGTTGCTCTCCGGCAACCAATGGTATGCGCAGAACGGGGTCAATACTGCGAATAACACGATTCAAGGGAACTTCGGGAAGACCGGGAGGACTATACAGGGGAATACGCTCGTAAATGATTTGAATGGGGTTAGTGCGGATGGGAAGAAGTGGGCTGCTGAGGCGGGCGTGTTGATTGGAGAGAGAGGGGGACGACCGGTTTCGAATCCGAAGTAGTTGGGGATGGGATGAGGTGTGGGTATGTATTTAGTGGGTATGAGGTGATGTGATGGGTATTCATGTAGTTCAAGGTATCATATACATGCTTAGTGTTTTGTCGATGAAGTTCTACAGTTGTTGTTTGATATATGTGTCGTATAAAGTTACGGTATATCCATTATGTGATTTTCTTATCTGAATTCAAGCGATTATGGCATTACTTTGATTGAAGTGAGAAGAATTCATACCATGTTCACGATACTTACTACATGTACCTTTCATTGACGGTCATCGCTCCGACACCAACTAACCCCGAAGTCATAAACCCGCATTAACCCCGAACGTTTGAGAAAATGGTCACTTCACATCCACCCACCTACGAAAACGAACGCCAACAAGAACAACACATCTCGCAGAAATCCTCACAAAACGGTCCACCAAGCATTCCGGCTGGCTGACCGGTCATAAGACGCCTGCGGCGCCACATCGCCGAATCCCCGAGCGGTTTGACTATGTCTCACCGGCCGAGCCCGCTGATTCCGCTGATTCCGCTGGCCATGTGCGTGCGATCGATACACATTTCAAATATGCATGCAGTCAGCTGCGAGTATTACCCCCATCTGCAGCTTACGTTTCTTACATCTGCGCAAGGAATGCGGCGGCTGCGACGGGTAGGGCTGAAGGGGGCGCGTGAGTATGTAAGCTGATGGCCGGCTGCGGTTGTTGTTCGGTGGGGAGTGGGGAACGGTGTGAGTTGAAAGCGCGGTGCGTAGGATCTTGATGATTCTGTCTTGTTTTCAGGGTATTTGATCGGTCATGAAGATGCAGTGATGGGGGGAGTGCGAGATCCGACGTCTTTCTAGTTATACGAGGGTAGAAGGATGTGGAACGGCTTTAGGCGGTATGTATAGGTACTAGATCGCGACTTTGATCTGTTCAGTGCATTTTTCAGTGAAGCTGCGTTCTTCCGTGTACATTCATGCTACTTGAGAATTGTATTTCTTCCGTGTACATTAATGCTGTTTGAAAGTTGTATTTCTGGTCGAATCCTACATCTAAGCTGAGTTGACCGAGTTTCTGTCCCAGTCTACAAATAAATCTAACACAGGGTCCTTCACGCCTTGTCCCGAATTAATTTCGACATCACAAGGACATATGTAGAAGAATGAACCACCATCCCTGTTATCTATAACTTCTCTCCGCCATCTCCTACCTGACAATCCAGGCAAGGCACAACCTCGCAACTTCGCTTAACCCAATTCTCTATGTACGGTTGCGGCGGAACTACACGTGCACCATCCGTTCAGATTCGACAACTCAAGAGTCAGCAAAGTTCAGCATTGTGCACCTCGTGTTACGTTACACTTAGTTTGCATTAATTTCTAGCTCAGCAAGACACTTTTGTCGACTTATTGTGGCACGCGTGCCTCTCCAATGAGCGAACTGCGGTTTGAGGGTGAGTCAACATTGAGTAAGCAATCTGCCAAGAAGCGTCCCCGTTCGAGGCATTGATAGAAGATGGGGAGGGAATAAATTGGATGGGGCTTGCGTTGGTGTGCTAGAGGTACAGCTAGCCATTGGGGTGTGTAGCAGCTGTCTGTTCATTCAGCTTGGTTTCACGGGAGCTGTGTTATGCGAATACGTGATGAATTCAATATATTTTAGAGCTGACCAACAATAAGTCACTATTATTTTGTGCAAGAGGTTTATGGCATCAGCGCTGTAGCTGCTATTTTTTGCTCTTTCCAGCTTTACACAGAAACGCCTTTGCAATATCTATCTATGCACGCTTTGATAGATGAATATAGGTGCATACACGTGCCTACCCCTTGCACACTGGCCAAGTTCATGTACGTATTGAACCACTCCCAAACTGTGGCCAGCTTTAAGCGTCCTAAGGCTTACCATTATACCAGGCTGGCTGGCATGTACCCACAAAAGTCAAGTCTCTGAATCATCTGCGTATCTATAGCGTGGCACAGCGACACGGCTACAATATTATCGCATCATCATGTTCAGGTAAAATGAGAGCACATGCATCTCAAAGACAGCGGACATCGAAGCATAGGGCAATGTGAAAGTGTTGTTTCCCGCAAATGTTGCCTTTTCTTAATGCCCCAATACCGCGGGTTGAATCAGCCAGAAAATAGCAAATTTTCCGTTTTCAAAAGCACCCGCCATTATAGCATGCCCTTGTATTGTGATCTACAGGTACTCAGACTGAGACCAGAGGGTTCTTTAACTGCAGAACAGACGTGTCCCACCGCGATACCGCTAATATACAGCACGAATCCTGAGGTAATATTACGCTGGAAGATCTGATTGCCCTAGACAGTACACCATTCACGTGTCGGGCAGGGAACGTGGGACCGTGATATATCTCATTGTGAAATTAACTCGCTGCGGCACAAAACCTTGGAGCAATGGTAGAGGAAATATCATAGTAGATGGCTTGATATCCCTAGGCAGAAGCCATGTCACTTGCTAGATAAGAGATAGAGTTTTATTGTGGTTGATTGCTATGTTAGTTGGATGCCGCACCGACACCAAAATTAATTCAAAGGAAGACCACGTGATCGCTCCAGGCTGAAGCCCCATCGCGTGCTCAAAGGAACGGCATGTGCAGTTCGTCACCGAATTATTTCTCACTCCAATAATAGCTGATGAACAAAAGGGGGAATAACTGGCGCTGTTCTTTAGCATAGTCAATCATAAACACCTCAACCACCCACCACTGCGCAAATCATCCCCAACGTCAAATTGAACGAATGCAAATCTAGCTTGAAGGAACAGTCTTTAATCCTTTACCGAGAGTCTCAATTCACCACCCCTGTCTTCACCCACCCCAAGCTAACACACCATTCAACAGATAGACAACCGAAAATGGAACAGAAATGATACATACTACACACTTAACGATTCGACTCCACACCACAGAATTTAGACAGAACATATCCCACCCGACAACTCTACCCGTCTTTTCTACCATCTCTTCCAAATACCCCCGAAACAACCTAATAACACCCTCCTCCAATCATCAATCAATCCATACACGAAAAACGCCCAACTACGCCTCTAAATAACCTCCCACTCCCTTAATTGCGGAAAAGTGTGTGGAAATAGCCCCGTTTCCAGAATAGCAGCACCTACATGACCATCGACAAGTTCTTTGGATAATTCGGATGTAGGACCATGAAACGAGTGAGGAGGGGGGGGGGGGGGATAGAAGCGGTAATGAAAGGGGGAGGGGGTGTGGTGAAACTACGCCACATGCACATGCATGTACACACACACACACACACACACAATCGCAACTCCATCTCATCTTATAATCTTAGCAGAGATTAGAACCTTGAATCTCAAACCCGAACCTCAATCTACTTTAGGTCGAGAAGAAAAACTGCAAACCTAGAGCCCCCCTACGCCTCATACAAACACAGACACACACACACACACTAGCAACGACTTCATCTCATAATAAACCTTACCAGCCGACAACCTCACTCCCTTGAAGTAGTCTGACTCTATGTCCAAGCACGCAAAATACACCACAATACAGATCTAACGTCATCCATTCAGTGTAGTACTCCATCTTGGAATCTAAATCTACAAATCAAAGATTATAGTAGCGTAACACACATCATCTATACAAAAAATGAATGATAATGATGATGATGATGATGATATAGCTGACACTATGTAAATAGCACCTTAAAAAAACAGATCCTGCTCTAATAAGATATCTAATAAAATGCAAGCAAACCTTCCCCCCCTCTCTCCTAGCAAATGACGTTTGAAAAAGTGAAGAAGAAAAAGAAAGGAAAGAAGAAGAAAAATTGGAATACTAATCACAAAGCCGAAACCCCGAAAAAAATAGATAAATCAATAGAATACTAATCACAGAAGCCGAAAAACCGGAAAGCAACAGAAGAACAAAAAAGGGAAAGTAACAAAGCACAAAAAAGGATATCGCTAACGTTGTCCTAAAAAAGAAAGATAGTTTGGTTTTTTGAAACAACAAATATGTAGACAAGGATATGCCTGTTATGTTATGTTATGTGCGTCTGTGTGTTACCGCGGAGCGATATGAATAACGAGTTGTTAAAGAAATAAAGGGTGTGAACGAAACGCCTTACCCGAGCGGAACGAAGAGATCCACTTTCCAGAAAAATAGACCGTGTACCGCGCGAGAAATCCGCTCTACACTAATCTAACCCGAATGGAGAAATAAGAAGCGAATATACAAGGGAGGCAAAGGGATTCAAAGACATGGATATGAGGGAGCGAGGGACGCGAGGCGAAAGTCGCCGGATAGTCCGCTTCTCGGAGACATTTTGCGCAATGACGCAGTGGGAAAGGGTGTCTACGCGAAGGATTGGTACACGGATAGGTACGTATGTAGGTAGGTGTGCGCTGTAGTGTAGTGTCCCAATTACCCTATCTGGTAATGCAGGGCTTTTAGTATTCACCGTAGTAGCTGACCCCTGCATACCCCATCACCGCGGGCGGCTACACGGTACGTTCACCCCCGTCCCCTCTAATCTACACCGAAGGAAGAGTAGCCGAGGAACGAGGGGGTAAGAAGATAACTCCGATAAGTGACGCCTTGCTCGGAGTTTTGGAAAGATCACCACGTGATTAGGGTGTCCGACCGGAGTGAAGTTGATTGTTCATTATTTATAATAGTATGATATGGTGTTGGTGCTGCCCCGGGGCGATTGTTATGTAAGGGGCGGGGCGAGCGGGGCGTAAGACGATATCACGCCTTGTTGTCATCAATAATTGACTTGGTAAGAGAAGACGTGCTACTGCTGATAGCAGTAGTGATGCATGAGGAGAGCGAGGAAAACGCGAGACAAATAAAATAGAATAGAATAGAATAGAATACAAGATACATTTCACGACATGATACTAAACAGCGGAAGATAGACAAAGGGAGGACGAGGACAACGACATAAACCAGTGTGAGCGAAATGTCTGACATGAAGGGAATCGTACATATGTAAGAACGCAGCAAAGAATTGGAATTTCCGCGACACACGGAAGACTAGCTTCCAGCACACCACTTCTGGCTAAAGCTGAAAGCGGGCAGGACGGAGAATGCAGAAGCAAGAACAAGAGAAGAGAAGACAATTGAAGTGAAGCGAAGTATGGGCGACACAGGGAACCATGATGGGATGCTGGAGGAATTAGGTCAGACTAAAGGAGGTGATAATGTTCTTCTGGCACCAACCAGCGCCTGAACTTTCAGCATAGTCCTTTGTGTCTCGATCACCGCTGCGCTGTCTGGGCAGCAGAGTGCGTGCGATACTCGAACAGCATGCAGCGCAAAGAATTTCCGAGTCCAAGCGGCACTAGGCCACGCCGCACGCCCACCGACAAGACATATCCACAGGAGAGCGCCGCCCATGTTGCCCCAGCATGCCCCAGGATTGGTCTGTCTCAGAGCATTTTGCAAAGCCGTGAGAATAGTTGTGGAGCTGGTACCTGAGTCTGGTTGCTGCGGATCTGTAGCCTCTGATGCTTCTGACAGAGAGACTCCTCGGATCATGCAGCCGCAGTATATCAGCGCAGCCAGACGACAACTTTCGTAGACCCAATCGGGAATGGCTTCGCCGGCACTCGAGGGAAGGTTGACGACCTTGGAGTAAGTTTGCTCCATGTACATATCCCAACCCATCAGTTGGTGCTGTGGGATGGAGGATAGCGCATCGCTCGTGCAGTCCCATCGTGCGATGAAAATGCGGGTGGCGTTGTGCATATCGGATATCAAGTCATACGTTCTGCTGGAACAACTGCCGTAGAGGGAAGTGAGGTCCCCTTGGGGTGCATACAGTGGCGAAATGCATCTAAATCCCTCGTTTTCTGTTACTCGAAGAGCAGGGGGGAATCCCACGAGCATTGCAGGCTCAGATAAACCTCGGAGCACAGTGAAGATGAGAAGAACGCTGTTTCAGTTAGTAGATGCTCAAATGAAGATGGGTCCTTTCTTACACTGTCAAGCAAGTAGCAACGCGACCATCAAGCCCCAAGCAAAGCAACCCTCCTCGTTCCTGCACGATTCGCGCCAGACCTTCTTGGTGCACATCGATAACCCGTTCATCGCGATCTCCGATATGACTGACTAGAAGGTTCACTATGCTCATGATGGTGAAGTCGTCTGTCTGGGCTTTTCTGGTTACCATGCTCTCTGTGATCATGCTGAGGACCTTCGCTTTGGCACATTGTGTAAGTGCTGTGTCGGTCAGGAACCCATCCATAACATCCTGATACGCGCACACAATACTCACATGGCTCAAGAAGCTCATGTGGTTGCTGCAAATCAGTTTTACCCATGTCGTTCCATAACTGCTGGCCTCCGGATTTCCCTGGGTAGAGGATTGCACTACATGGTAGATGTACTGATCACGTAGGTCCCGAAGACTTTCTCGATTCATGAGCTCAATACCAGATGAAAACGGGAATTCTGTGCCGTAGTCTAATGTTGCAGGTGCGCTTCGTGTAGGCTCCTCTGTAAGGCTGGCAATAATCTTGGAAGTGAGGTCCCGTGAAAGTCCGTCTGAGGAGGTATGTAGTGAGGAGTGGTACAGCGACCCTGGGTTTTCCATTTCATCGTGGGAATTCCCTGGAGGTAAAACATAGTTGAAGTCTTCGATGATCCCATCAGACATGGCTGTTGCTGTCGGGCTGGGTGTTCGTGTTTCTGGATTGCGTTTGATCCGCTGCTCTACACTTCTGACGCTGTTGCTAGGAGACACCGTCCGGTGTTTATACATGACATGAGATCGAACGTTTCTCATGGTGGCATTTGATCTGAAGTCTTCCGGGCGATTCGCAACGACGAACTGTAACTTTGGCCCTGGAGGTAGAGGCGGCAGCCGTCTGCGGGGAGGCCTCTTTCTTTCTGCTTTTGGCTCAGGCCGCGTAGAGCTTGACGACATGGTTCTATGCGTTTTGTGTAGTAGTGAGGTGTGGTCGATAGATATAGGCTTTGTGCTAGGCGTGAGAGTAAGGACTGAGCTGGCCTGCGTTGATCGAAGGAGAGTACTAGTTATATAGTTTGTATGGACATCTGCTCCCATGGCCATAGTTGATGCGATACGTGTATCTTGAGGTGCTGGATCCTCTGGTCAACGTCAGACAGAAAGGGTATCAAAAGTGACGGTCGGAGAATGATTCCGATGAAATGACTCTTGAGAAGTACCAGCTACGACCGGGAGAGACTGTGCGGGATGACAGGGTCCACTGGCCTAGAGAAAGAATAGAACAGGGTGGTAAAGTTGAATCTCCTGGGTGCATTGAACCACGCGGGGCAAAGATGTAGGAAGTCGGCTCGGTCGAAGTGCTGCTCAACACCGGGCTTTTTACCGACAAAGACAACGTGCGCGATCAGGGTGTTGCATCCAGCAGTTGAAAGAGCTAGGTAAGTATCGAATAGTGGCGTGTCTTCCGGTAGGAGTGGTCTCAAATGAGTAGAGGCCAGGACAAGCTGTTAGACGCAGTGCATGCACAAAACGGCGACCGAGCTTAGACAGATACATGGCTACTTGGCCTTCGCCTAGGAAGAAGTAAGTGCACACGATGTAGGAGTGGGGGCCGATGACTTCTCGGTTGGGCGGTTGCTAAAGGTCATGGTCGATGGACCCCTGTTAATTGATATGACGATTCCAAGCTCGCGGGATTGTAGTGAGGCTCGATATCAACAGCCCTGGCCATTGCAACGTGCAGTTCAGCTCGTGAAGTTTAGCCCGCTGCGACCAGGCAAGGTAATGAATGCTCCAAACGGGCGATCCAGCAGCCCATTGTATACTTCGGGCTAGCGCTTCGCCCGGGCATTGGCCCTTGTCGCCATGGGGCACAGGCATAGTGAACTGACCACCCGCAACTGGCTGGCTGTTACTCGAAGCATTCAAGTGCAATGCAGCTGACCAATCTGCATGTGTGCAGCCTCTATAGTGAAAGATAGAAGTCCGATTCCACGTCAGAGCGTATCGCCATGCAAGCATGGGTCTCGATTCTTCGAGTATTCCACATAAGCAGGCAGCCTTCAGCTGGCTTGTAGACGGCGCAGTCTCCACAAAAAAACGGCACACCCTGATCTGAATGGCACATGGGGTACCTAGCAATTGATCATAATGTGATTTGCATCACCCGAACGCCCTCTATTCGCACGAAAACCGCGATGCTCGGGGATGAACGATGGTAAGGCTGTAGGACCGGAGGTCTCCAAGCAAGGCTGGCGGTCCAACAAGCGATGGGGTTTAGCAAAAGACAGTTCGAGCCTGGTGCCCGTCTTGGAGGCAAGCATTGACTTTTTTCCTTTTGTTCCTCAGGCCGGCACCTGCCATTGACCATCGTAATTCTTAGAAGCACATGTTAGCACTTCAGAATGATCAACTATTGCCATAGGCCCATAACAGGCAGTTGGACGAAATCAACTACACGCCCAACGTCCAAGGCAGTTTTTGCTGTCGAGATGGGAGCAAAAATAGGACAAATGTGGAAATTACCTCTTCTTTCATGAGCTGGACTATCCGGAAATTCATTGCGGCAGTGTGGTGGGCATCTCCATATGACGTCGTGAACATTCTTTTCTTCTCTTCTTAAAAAAGAACGAGACGTGAGGTGGAAAGTTCAAAGCTGATCGGCTGCGCCACAGAAGGATCGGGGTCGGGTATCCCAACGTGTAGAATCTAGTAAACTCATTTCTTGTGGTCATGTCTGTGCTGAGTAGTCCCGAGGTCTGCATCGAGGAACGGCGCGCTAGTTGAGTGGGACGGGGATGGGCCAATACATAGCGGACATACCGTAGCATTCGCTGACCGCTTCGCGTGGACCGGAAGATCATAATAGACGGAGCCAAGTAGGGTGTTATTGAATAGGATTTGGATTCTGATGAGAGGGGGACATTTGGCCAGGCGCGCAGCAAACTTACACATGGGCGCTCGCTTACGTTAACAATCTGAGGCTTCGGCAGGCACCAAGGCCACGTGACAGCAGCTAGTCCTTAATCAGCATTGACTACATGCAATGTTGATTCGAATGTTGTTCTTTCGTGTTTCAGGTGCAGTGTTGGCTCTTGTGCATGACTTGTGTGCAACAATTCGTTACAGGGTACTTGACAAGTGTGCATAAATGCACATTTACACAGGTAGTCTAGAATGCGGTGGTACATAGGGTGTTAGGGTGTTAAGGCGTACATTGTGCAAATACCCCAAGTCCAATCACCGAGCTTCCTTCCCAGCAATCGCAAGATGATTCCGTTCTGAGGCTTTTGAGAATATCGATTGTCCTGACATGAATGCTGGTCTATGTCACTGCGTCATCATTGTCAGTCTTCATCATCAGTCGATACATTTCAGAGATGGGGACATGAGGGACAGCGTTATGGACAAAAAGTAATTCCAGGCAAGCACCACGTCTATAACAGTCTTGAAAATCATGCGACATTGGAGTATAGTTGACAAAGCGAAACCGCGGAACAAACACCGGCCAGTACCTCGCGTTACTGCGCCTGCAGCTTCTTTGCCCTCTCCACGCCGTCTCGCCCTACAACACATTTAGTGATAGTAGAAAGATTAGGAATACACGCGATTACGCCACGAGAGGAACAGCAGGATCCATCCTGCCTGTCCCCAGATCCTCTCCCATGGGAAAAGAACAAGGAAAAAGAAGCGAACTAATCCCCTCCCCCTCTCCCCGTTGACCACCACTGTACTGCTTGCCTCGTCTATCGCTGTCTACCCGCCCCTTGCACTGCTCACTTCGACAAAGGGTCCACAGTATCCGAGTGCTGGGCTTTGCTGGGATCATTCCGTCTCATGATGCCTTCAACAGGGCCCAGTAGACGCTGGAACCCATTCTTGCCGAGAGTCGCGAGCTTGACTTCGCTGGTGCTGATGACCGAGGCGGCGCGCGGAGCATCATTGAGGAGCGCCAATTCACCAAAGTAATCGCCCTTTTGGTACCGTTTGAGAGATTTGGAGTTTCCGCGCTTGTAAACGTCGGCTTCACCCGACTCGAGGATATAAAAGGATTCGCCCACGTCTCCCTCTTGGATGATGGTGGTTCCGGGCGGGAACTTCTTTGTCTCGAGAGCATCGGCAATTTTGGATCGCTCGTACGGAGTCAAGGAAGAGAGAAGGGGAACCTCCTCGAGGAAGCCCTCGTACATACGACGGCGCTGGAAAGCGCTGTCCATGAGGATGCGGCGAAAGGTGACACGATCAAGAGCCCAGAGGGTGGACTGCTCGGCTGTAACGACGGTGGCAGCGCGAGGGGCATTGTACATCAGAGCCAGCTCACCAAAGGAGCCGCCCTGTCCGACGGAGCTAACTTTGGTACCGAGACCGTCGGGGCCATTCTCCAACTTGCCAGAAGGGTTGACGTAGATGTCGAACAAGCCCTTTTCGACCACGTAGAAGTAGTCGCCGACGTCGCCCTGGAGTATGACCTTGATGCCCTTGGTGGGTATGGGTTTCTCCTGCAGTGCGCCGAGGACCTGGGCAGATTGCTCGTCGTCCAGGTGGGAGAAGAGGAAGTTGCCGGCGACGGCGGACCTCAGGCGGGCCTGCTGCTCGTCGGTCTTGGGGTGGAAGGGCGGGACCCAGTTGTCGTTGGCCGAGGAGGCGGGGTTGAGCGACTCTGCAGAGACGGAGGTGCGGCGGTTGAGGTTGTAGTTGTTGGGGAAGCTCTGGGGCTCGTGGGGGTTAGCAGAGGGCGGTTGAGACTGTGGCGGCTTGACGGCGCCTGCAGAGCCAGAGAAGCCAGCAAAGTTGCCAAAGTTGCCAAAGGTATCCTCTTCGGCGATGGGCTGGGGGTGCGCCTTGTCCATGACGGCGGGGGCGAAGCTGGAGGCGGTGGGGGAAGCGACCACGTCGTTCTCGTCGTCTTCTTCAATGCTCTCGAAAGCGGAGGTGTTTGATTTTCCGAAGGGGTTGTTGCCAGGAAAGGTGCTCTGGGCCATGCCACGACCCTTGGGGCTGGAATGCTGCGGGGCGAGCAGGAATTCGGCGCGCTGGGACTCGAGGCGGCGCAGGAAGAAGTTGGCACAGAACTGCAGAACGTCGTGCGGCTGGCTCTTTAGGATTTCACGGTCGAGGGCGGAGATTTCATTCGAGTAGTCGGGAGGGAGCGACATGGAGGGTGTCGAGTGAGGGGGGGCGATGCGGGGGTTGGCCGCCCGCAGCTCTTTGACGAAAGGCGCAGGGATGATGTCTGGTAGGTATGTGGTATATGCTGCAAGCGAGCAGACGGCGCGCGCATCAACGCCAGGAAGAAGGAAAGGAAGAAAGCGACGAGGGTATTTAATTTTGTCCAGGGATGCACGAGAAGAGATGAAGAGATGGAGGGGGGAGTGTATGTAGATGAGAAGAGAAGACGAAGATGAAAGAAGGCGAGTGGATGAAGGTTGGTCTGCCTGTAGGGCTGTGAAGAAGGAGGGAGGTGACGGAGGCAGCAGCAGCAGCGCAGCAGGCTGAAATGCACGCAACGATCTGGTGGTGGCAAGAGGCAGGCACAGGCAGGCAGGCAAGAAATAGTGAGACGAAGTATTCTGGGTGTGCAAGCAGATGGTTGCGAGAATAGATGTTGGGCTGATTGATGATGCTCCCCTCGCCTGCTAAGAACGAGCAGACGACACGGACGAGGAAGAATATATTCCTTCCAGAAGACTAGGAGAGCTTTTGTGGACAAGCAACAAGAAAAAGCAAGCAAGCAAGCTGACGCCTGGCGACGCAGGCAGGTTCAAATGGATGCATGTGGTTTGCTATGTCTCGTACATTTCAATAGCTCTCCGACTCAGACACATGCAGTGTTTACTGACTGCCTACACAGGCACAACATGGCATAACAGGCGGGCATTTGGAGAGGGGCGATGCGAATAGGAGCCGGCGGAGGTTTAGGTTTGGTCCATAGGGCGACCATTGGCCGCTACCAACTGCGACACGTCTCTCTTCTCTCCAAATTGGCCTGCATTTCTGTTTCACTCGATTTCTCTTTTACGTTTTGCTCTGCGATGGTACGTCCCTTTGATTGTGAATGCAATAAGGCGTGCACCGCTGAAGTGACGCAAGGCTGGCTCATAGCAAGCTGCTCGGTGGTGGTGGTGGTGGCCGCCCCTGGTTACGCTGAATGACGACGAAGCCCTTTAGCTCCCGCAACTGCTGAGCTTGGACGTGGCGCTAAAACCACCAGCATTGCATTTGCCAGTTGAAATGAACATAGTGATCAATTGCACAAAAGCATCACGGCTCGCGTGACATGTTGTGCTAGAATGACTCTCTTGGTTTGCTCGGCCAGCAGCAGCAGCAGCAGCAGCAGCAAAAAGACGTAACGCCATGGTGAATGATGTAGTCGATCAATGGCCGTGACAGGCGACCAAGGGAATTGGACGGTTCAATCATGATTGCATTGCGCGTGCCGCACAGGGAGCTCCCTTCCCGTTGCGGACGCCGGCAAGCGACTGGCGGTGAAGGCCTCATCAATCCATTGAACAAACAACACCATACGTCGTCGACGTCGTCTTTTGCAACGTCGTCATTTGCACAGTGTCCGGTGTCCAAGGCCAAGGTTGTGATCAAGCGTTTGTTTGTATGCTTGCTTGCTTGCTTGCGTGCTTGCTGAGGTGTTCATGTTGAGCTTCTCGCACAGCTCAGATGAGAATAGAGAGCAAAGCTCCGAGGTGGCTGATTGGCCAATGTGGCTTATGACGCCATCCCAAAACGGCCAGGACCATCAATGGAGGGGTCGTCGCCATACAATGAAAATGTAATCATCTTCGAATCGACAGAGAGCTTGCCCATGTACATGCTTGCTTGTATGCAGTTACATATACATGCACATGTATACCTACATGTAGGTACTTAAGTATATATGTACCTAGGTATACATGTACTTGGGCACGTGGCCTTTTCAAGCAACCGCGAATTCATCGTGAGTCGCGTCAAGATCAATCAAGAAAGAAAAAGAAAAAAAAAAATCTGCGACTGAATCGCAAAACATGCACAACCATAATCACAGACCTGGCAGTTACATCATAAACCACCCATCACAGGACTGTTGAATAGGTAGCAGATCCCACGCTGGGCCTCGGTCTAATAGTTGTAGCCCTGACATTCTGACAAGTCTTTTTGTTTTATGCACAGCGAACGGGCGGGCGAGCACCATATTAACATACCTAGGTAACCATGTACTAACATTGCAGTGCATATGACGTGTGATGTCACTTGTCACTTGTGCCTGCCATCCGCCAAGCGCTCCCCCAGCCGAACTGCCAGCCTCATCCCCCATCTTCAATGGAAATAAAGTTGGTTTTTCACCGTCGAAACCGAATAAACCGTCGCCGCAATTCTCCAGTGCGCCGTAACCTAGACTTCCCTCCATTGCAAACATCGTCACCCGCAATTGCCTCCGACATTCTGCTTGCCGTGCCCATCGACTTGCTTGTCTGTTACCCAACTGGTAGCGTTGTGTCCGTGCATACATTACCAGCCATCCATCCACCGATAGCTTCATCCTGCCTGCCTGCTTGCCTACTTCCCACCATCACTCACCCACCTTCCACCGGAGTCCCCCAATCCCCCTTCCCCAAAACATCTCCTCTGCCACGCGCCCGCCGCACTTCAACTGAAACCCCCCGCTTTCGCCCGTCGCACAGAATATGGGGAGCTATACCTTTACCTGGTGAGTAGCCGCCATACACCGCCTGTATGCGCCCACTTTGCGCTGACCCATTCTCCTCTCTTCTAGGGAACATTCAGGAGACGAAGTCTACGTAACCGGCGAGTTCGATTCGTGGAAAAAGTCGGTTCGCTTGGACAAGGAAGACGGCATCTTCAAGAAGACCGTCGAGCTGCCCAAGGAGAAGACGCTTTACAAATTTGTCGTCGACGGCGAGTGGGTCGTCAATGATACCGCCCCCAAGGAGAACGATGCATCCGGCATCGTCAACAACGTCCTGAGCCTCGATGAGATCAAGGATGACTCGGTCAACACCTTGTCGTCCGCCGCACCCGCCTCCACTACCGCCGCCCTCGCCGCCAGTGTACCCAAGGAGTCCGAAAAATCCACATCCGCCTCCACCAACAAAGATGCCCCGGATTTCGACAACCTCCCAGGCGCTTTCCCTCTGACCCCTCCTGCTGCGACGCCTGGCAGCGAGCCCCAAGCCTTCTCCGTGAACCCCATCCCTGCTACCTCGGGTCCCGGCAACCCCGTTGACCTCGCGCCCGGCGATAAGGTCCCCGAGCCATCTACAGTGAGTGATACCCCCGGCATATGGTCGCCAATCACCAGACCACCATGTGGAATGGCGAATTAAGACAACAGTGACTTCCCAAAACATGGCTGCTTGGATCGTGCTAACTCTTGCAGCTGACTACCAACACAATCGATTCCACCGTTAAGCACGATGCTGAGCCGGAAGAAGCCAAAGTCAGCGTTGCGCCTATTCCTGCTACCGCTGGCCTGGGCAACCCCATTCAGTTGGCCCCTGGTGAGAAGGTGCGTAATGTCCAGAGTCGCAAAACACAGAGACATGCCTTGCTTGGATTGAGACTGACTTCCTTCTCGCGATATAGGTGCCCGACCCGAGCACACTGACCTCCAACACCGTCACCAGCACCGCGAACACAGACGCTGCTTCCTACGCCAAATCGGACAGTCTTCCCCCCAAGGTGGATGTACTCCTCACTCCCGAGGCTGAAAGGAAGGCCGACGGTGGCATGTTCCACTTGCCACCCTCCATTGCCGGCATCATCCCCGAGTCCAGCCTCCCCGCAGATGCCCCTGCTTCTTCTGAACAAGATCCGGGTGTCACAATCCAGTCCGCTGCGCCCACCAGCACCACTGCTGCTCTTGCTGGTGAGGTTCCCAAGGAGTCGCGCGCTGTACCCGAGACAGTGGTAGACAGCCAAAAAGAAGCCGGCGCAGCGCCCGAAGCATCCGCAAACCCCGAGGCTGTGGCCGAAAAGTCGCAGTTGGAGAACGAGTTGAAGATGAAGGTTCCCGAGGAGCCTCCTGCGGCCGAGGCCTCCGTCGCCGATCGTGCAACCGCCGCTCTCGCTGCCGATGTGCCCAAGGAGCCGCGCTCTGTGCCCGAAGAAGTGAAGTTGAGCCAAAAGGAAGCCGGTGTCGCGCCCGAGGCATCCGCGAATCCCGAGGCTGTGATTGAAAAGAAACAGATGGAGGAAGAGTTGAAAATGAAGGTCCCCGAGGAACCCCCAGCGGCTGAGGCTTCTCTCGCTGATCGTGCAAATGCCGCTGCGGTCCCTGTGGTCGCCAGTGTCACTGCTGCTGCCGCGGTCGTTGCTGGTGCAGCCTACACCGCCAAGGACAAGGCTGCCGAAGCCACCACTGGCTTGGTTGCACCCGCCACCGCATCGCAGGAGGTACCCGAAGTCGTCGCCGAGAGTCAAAAGGAGGCTGGTGTCGGCCCTGAGGCTGCTGCCAACACTGAAGCTGTCATCGAGAAGAAGGCGGTTGAGTCGGAATTGCTCAGCGAAGTTAGCGAGACCAAGCCAGCTGCTGAAACCTTCGTTAAGCCTGCGATTGCTGCGAAGGAAGTGCCCGCAGTCGTTGCCGAGAGCCAAAAAGAAGCTCACGCTGCTCCAGAGGCCGCGGCTAACCCTGAGGCCGTGATTGAGAAGAAAGAAGTGGAATCCGAATTGCTCAAAGAGGTAGCCAAAACGAACGAAGCTGGCGCTCCTGCCCCAACCGTCACTGCTGCGACTAGCACCACCGCGCCTGGACTATCGGAGGAGGCATTGTCTGATGCTAAGCCTCTCAAGTCCTCGAGCGAGCCCGATGCTCTGAACGCACCCGCCTCCAAGCCTGCCGTTCCCGAGACTTCGCGTCCTGTGAACGACTCCCGTGACGTCTCTCCCATGTCTAAGCCCATGACCAACGCGGAGCAACCCACCGTTACTACTGGCACCGAGACCACGCCTGCGGACACCACGTCAACCCCTAAGAAGGAGGACACTCCCGCAGCCGAGTCATCAAGCACGCCCGAGAGCGCAAACGCCGACAAGAAGAAGAAGAGGCGCTCCTTCTTCGGCAAGCTCAAGGACAAGTTCTCCAGCAAATAAGTGAAGAGCCGGCAGCATCCTAGCATACGCGGGGCATTTCTGCAAATGACCTTGGCCCCTTGTTTGTTCATGTGTACGGAGTTGGTCTTTCCTCCTGTCTATACCACTGCCTTTTTGTTTCTACAAATTTGTGTTTGTTGTTGCGCTGCATACTCGTGTACTCCTGTAGCGCGGGATTTTTTCTTCCGCTTTTTCCCATTACCTCGGAACGTCCTTTGGGCATCGTGCCCGTGTTCGCCAAGTTCATGGGGCTGGTTGGTACGCGAGTGACATATCGTTTGTGTGTGTTTGTAATTAATTTATTCCCTCGAGAAATGAGAGTTGTGCCAATTTGTGATAGTTTTTGAGTTGTCCTTTCATCTTCTTTGAGTCTAGGCATCCTTTGCAAGAACGGGGTCGATGTCCTGCACTCTTATCCATACTTCTTTTTACATCATGTCAGGCCATGTCGACATCCCCCCTCTTCCTTGCAGTGCTTGATTCTTTCTGCTCCTTTGGTATTCACTCGAATTGATCGCTAGTAGCGTACACAATCGAATAGAACATAATATCAGCCACTAAATTCACCAACTCTCGAGTTCAGTACATATGTAGAGTTATCCAACATGCGCCCAACATTCTTAAAACGACATCTTCTGCGCATAACACGTCCCCCCACTCTCATACAAGGCCAGAAAGCTATCATCATCAACATGAATCATGCCCGACCACATGGCAGGCCTCTCCTTAACAACCGTCTTATCCCCCCAACTCAACCCCCCATCCCTACTAACCATGACCTCCAGCGCACCCTGCGGCCAAACGCCCCCCTTCTCATTCGACCCAAAACTCGCAACCAACCTCTCCCCCACCCTAATAATCTGCGGCGCGCCAGCTTCGAACCCCTGGGGCTCATACACGGGGATCCTCTCGTCCCCCCACGTGACGCCATCATCCTCAGTGCGCACCACCATAACAGTGAAATGCGTCGGGCTCACCGCCGTATCCCCGGTCTCGAAAATCGCCACTTTGGTCCGCGACCGATCAGAAATAGGCGCGACCCCAATCATCCCATCCCGACTTCCAACCGCTTGGCCCGTAAACACCGTCTCCTCGCTCCACGTCTTCCCATTATCCCGCGACGTTACAATAATACTGTCTTGCCCTCCCCCGTTGGAAACTTCCTTCGAGTAGTACAGCTGCACGCTATCGTCGAGCGCCGTCTGCATGAACGGCTCCCAGACCCCCGGCCCCGCGGGCGCTTCGGCCGCCGTGGAAAGGTACGTGAATGTTTTGCCTAGATCGGAAGACACGGATACGATGATGCGGTAGTGTGTCCAGCCCGTCTCGTCGCGGTCGTGGTTGCGGAACGCGGCGAGGACTTGCCCGTTCGGGAGGTGGTGCACGTAGGGATTATCGAGGTCGTGGGTTGCGGTGGGCTCGGTCGCGATTTCGCCGTGCGGACTCCAGGTTTGGCCATTATCGGTTGATAGGACTGTTACTAGGGTGTTGTTTCCTTGGTCCCAGCGTGTGTCTATGAGAGAGGGGGGTTAGTTTGCTGGCGGCGCTGTGGGGTGGCAGTGTGGATGCTGGATATGGATATGGAAGGGTTGTGTAGTTGGGAAGGACTTGTGCTTCTTACAGGTTCCTAGGAGATTGCCGTTGGCGAGGTGAATTGCGCGTGGGTACGATCCGGATTCGCCGAAGACGACGGGATCACCGGTTTTTGAGGGACCTTGGGCGAGCGCGAGGGGGATGGAGAGGAGGAGTGGTAGGAATCGCATCGTGGATTACCCTTTCTACCCTCAATATAGCATCAATCTCCTAATCAAATAAACGAGTGGATATGTGTGTATATAGAAACGAGCGACTATCTCTCCAAATCCAAAAGATCAGAGAAATTGTGTAAATTAACAAAACACACACATGCTACCACAAAACAGAGGGGAGCAACTGTTACCACTATAACATCAGCATCAAACGAACCCACAAGATCGCATGATTGACTCGCATAGCCCTATAACGTTAATATACGACTCGAACTCCGCACAGCTAGTTCTTCGAAATAGATAGCATTGGGGGCCGGAAAACCCTGGAACCGTCGTGAACAGGCCATTTGTCTAACTGTCTTCATACCTGTCATCGTAGCGTGCGCGAATCAGAGTAGGGCCGACTAACTCGAAACAAGATTATCAGCGTTTTGTATACCGGAATTAGAAATTAGACGGTGATGGTTTGCTGCGCTATACGCTCTGAGGGATGGTGTAACTCCGGTCTTTCTGGTTGGGCGTAGTTGGCTTGTGATGGGGAGTAGTAAGGGTGTGTTGGTATCGTTGGGCATGTATAAAGTATGCACCATACTTTTCTTTTGACTTGGGGATCCTCAGCACAAACAAAGTCGTAGGCGGGCCATCCAAAACGTGGTTGGGGTTTCTGCTTTGTGAGAAATGTCATCTTTGATTCCTTCGATTTCACTCACCTATGAAAACTTTATAACAGTTCATTGATACAGTATCGGTTCTGGTGCATATTCTTTTTCATTTTGGGGGGTAATCGCTGATTTTAAGGCTCATTTATTGTCAAAAACCTATCGCTCTGTAGGATAACCCAAACTCCAACTTTTAAATCACTGGTACATACTCAAAAGAAACACAGTCAGGAACAGGGGTCTATGATTCTATCATGACAGTGGGATATATATCTAATAGTGCCTTCATCTACTGCCAATTGCAGTTTTGTCCCAGAATCCGCACATTACAATGCTGGCGTACTTGTGTTGTGTGGGATCATTTGATCGCGATACTCAAGTATGAAACCCCACTTTAGTACAGTACAAAAAGCAATGTCCAACGAAAAGAAAAGAACGCCAAGCAATGGGGGTATCTCAAGCCATACATATCGAGCAATCAACATAAAAGTATCATCAATATACCGGCGCAGCAGCGAACAGGGAAATCTAGCGATCGTTAGTAAAAGCACTTTCGAGCATCATATTAAGAAAATCGGTTTGTTTCGACTTACCAATGCGGACATGAACAACCCTACGACCGGTATACGGCGCGGAGGAGAACTGCTCCATACTTGACGACATTCACCGACAGATACAGGATCCAACACTCGCGGCAATCCCCATCTGTCCGACCCCTGGACATCTTCATCCATATTGCGACACATGCCCGCACCCAAGCTCGTTTCGTTCTTGGAGCTCTTCCCCGAGATGGCGCTGGCTAGTTGTTCGAAGCCTTGAAGTTTGAGATAACCGTAACACCCATCTGCAGCATCATCGAAATACGAAGTCGCTAGAGCAGGAGCCACAAACGTGCTCGAGCCAGTGACGGTGGAATAAGCGCAGCGCGAAGACGAGGTGGTTCTTGTGTAGCAAGCACATGATACTTGTGAAGAAGCGGGGAGGGAGTAGAAGGATGATGTTGCGGAGGCGCAGGATCGGAGCATGGATGCATAGTCTGTGCAAGCTGCGAATGCGGTCGCCGGGATGCTCTCAGTCGGCGTGGGCGTGACTATAGGTCTGTTAGAGTTGGTCAGATGATGGGAGATTCCTCCGACTTACTCAAAGAATTACAAGTCTTGGTCACGCCAGAGCTCTTGATTGACGAGGAAGCAGGTACGCATGTGGGTGTTGCAAGAAGCGCCTCGACAATGTTCGAAACCGCTACCTGGGACTTGTTCGTGTTGTTGGCTTCGATGATGTTGTATTCGATTGCCCCGAGAACAGGTTGAATCTCTTCATCCGAAGGAAGTGACTCCTCGCTGCTGAGTGGCCTATAATATCCACTCTTTCCAGACATCAGTATCCCCTTTAATGGAAATCGGAGCAAAGAGGAAACTTACCGAGCCAGGAGATGCTCCTATCACAACAACTCCGCCAGGCACAAATGGTGCACCGCCAGATTTGCCGCCACTGCCAGAGCTTCCTCCACCACTCTTCCCTCCACTACCGCTCCCTCCTTTGCTGCCCCCACCAGAACTTCCGCCTGATCCTCCGCTTGACCCTCCGCCGGAACTTTTGCTTCCTCCTCCTCCGCCACTGCTACCACCGCCGCCGCCGCTGCTACCGCCTCCCCCTCCGCCTTTCGCAAAAGTCTCAGCAAGCAGCGCAAAGAAAACGCAGCACAAATATAAAAATTGCATATCGATGGTGCCAGATTAAAGTGGGCTTGTCGCGCAACTATATATCTCACATATAAGAAGCTCACGGGGTCTAAGCCGCCTACGCCACGGTCAGGATTTAAGGCCCCCCTTACCCCAAGACTATTTCGGCCCCATTAAGGGGCCCCATATGATGTCAACGCCGGTAGAAAATTTGGGGCTCTGCTGCCTATTTGTAGATCTTGGCCTCGATGTAGTCTGTTTGGGGAACAGTAGAACGGTGATCGTGGTGGATGGGCTGACTGCATCATGGGTTTAGCTGTGTGTGTGTGTGTGGATGAAGTCGAGTATTCGATACTTGTATTTTCCATGTGATATTGTACATGCGCACATTTACTTTCGACGATGATTACTATGCAATTTAATTGGGGTAGTATAGCGCGCTCGTACGAGTAAAGAACAATGTCTTGTACGTGCGAGTAGCGAACAATGTCTTGTAGGAAAAAGGATGGTGCCACAAGCTAGGCAGGCGAAGTCAGAGCTCACCGGTCGGTCGACGTCGGTCAACGGTCTGTATGTGGAATAAGTGAGGCTCCGAATGGTCAGCATTGAAGATCACACGCTCAGGCAACGATTCCGCAGCAGGATCGCCTTGCGAAGCTATGGAAATAAATCTTCCAACATGGAAGGTGAAATACAGCCCCTGTTCACTGGCGCCGACTGCAGTAGACACGAGCGATTTCGGATCATTATTCTATCCAGTTCCGTCCCAACACATTTCTCCTCGTGTGCATCGTACATTCCATCACTCTAAAATACTACATTCAGTCCAATTCTGTAGTGTTGAACAGCCGATTCCCAGTATCCGATGTCCCTTGACCTGTGTACTTCCTCTCCGATACCCTGAGAGCGACTAGACTTACCCCCTTGTACCTCCGCATCAAATTTGCCATTTCACTCTGTTTGAGTGCGTTCACCTGCACTACACCAGCCACCACTATGACCTCTCCATCCCAATCGTCATCATCCCGAATTACCTTCAAAAAACTTGCAATAGTGGCTCCACTGTTGATCACGGAGTCCACTAGGATAATGCGGCGAGTAGAGGCCAATAACTTAGTTTTTAGATCACTGGGCTCAGACGCGTGGAGGAATTTGGCTTCTGGAAAAGCTTCGCTGACACCAAAGGCCATGGGCTCACCGCCGCGCATGAGGGGTACGATCAATGTTTCGCTTTCGTCCAAAAGGCGGTATCCATCTGTTTCTCCGCTTTTGACATCCTTGATCTTGTATGATGCGAGTCCCGCTACGCGACTTATGTACTCTGTGGCGAGGTAGAAACCGATGCGTTTGTGGGCTTTTCGTAGTCGAGGGCCAGTGACGTCGGCGTTTCGCGTAGGTGTCTGCAAAAGCAAAGTTGCTTTTTTATCTGTCGCAGTGATTACGAATGGTTGTAGCAATCTGTGGATCTCGCGATCGTCGAGAATGAGAAGCGGTAGCTTGTAGTGATTCAGACGGGGCTTCTCGCCCGGAGGCAGGATGATTTGATACGCTTCGAGACCGCCCTGAAAAACGGCGGCTTCTAGCGCTGGATCCATGCTCCTGCTGCGATCTTCTTCTTTGCCAACGACTACGCAAGCTACATCAGCTTTTTTCAGCATTTCTAAATCTAAAGGGCTATCGCCGAAAGCGATGACGCGATGGAAACGACTATGGAGTTTGTCGACTAGTTCGCCTTTCACGGAAGGGGTGACAAGGATTGATTTTTTATCCCACGGGTCAACCTCAGAAGCGTGCCCATTCCCGATCACGTTCACTTCGTTGATGCCGTTCCGTTCTAGAACCTTTCTCCATACTTCACCTAGACCGCATGTCACGATCGTTGCGCTAACGCAATGTTTTTTGAGATATGACTCTGTTCCCTTCAACAACGCGATGATTTCTGGATACGGAGAAACTCTAGTTGCCACTTCCGTGCAGATGGCATCAAAGTCACTGGCATATTCATCGTACAACAATGACACCTGGCGGAATGCAAAGTAATTGTAGTTGTGGACCTCGAAAATCTCTCTCAAGGGATCCTTCCCAGTCTTTCCATATTTTTCTTTGACTACGGCCCAGAAGAGTTTGCCTGTGTCTTGAGGAGCGAGCGTTCGGTCAGCATCTAAGAGAATGTGTGTTCCGAAGTTGCCTCGCACGCTTATATCTGATACCACGCGATCAAGGACGGTTTCTACCGGATATGGATCAGATTTCATCAGTGCCCTGATGGTGTAATATTGGTGATAATCCTTGGTAAAAACAGTGAGAAGGCTCACAACCCTGTCGAAGATAGGAGTACCATTCGGGTCTTCCTCGACAACCGCGAACAATATGTTCCGCTCCCTACACGTATTTCTGAGCTCCTTTATCTCACGTTCCTGCCAAATACGCAAGTGCTCTTCTGTGAGTTTGGTCCGATCCTTAATCTGGTCCTTATCACGCCTTTCCTTGATGCTCGCTGGGTCTCCACGCACGTAAATTATGTGCGTATAAACCCCCCAGTCGGCGTCTGTCCCGATTATCTCACCTTCATCTTTTGTTGGGTCGTTCCATAGCATATAGTGGCCGGCGATAACAGTATGGAGGGCTGACGTCTGGCCGAGTTCAACGATCTTCTCGATTGCCTTCTCACGAAAAAGCTTCTGCTCTTCAGCGCTACGATCTTTTAACTTCTCTAGACCTCCCGGGATCACATCATTAAGGATACTTGAACCCTCGCGAAACGCGAAATCATATAATGGATAGGGAGGTTGATAATTGTTGAGTTTATCTAACAATGAGGATTTACCCACGCCTGAGACTCCGTAAAGGCCTATGACGTACTTGCTGTAAGCAGGCGCTTCTTCTATCGCAATTTCTTCGTCTTGAGAGGTGTCGCCGCTATCGAAGGCACTGCTGTGGATAGAAGCCTCCATGTTAGAAATCCCTGTGGTCTAGACGTATTGGCGAAAGATATGAAGCGGTGGAAATCTTAGTCGAAAGGCCAGGATGCCAACTATGACTCGCCAGTAAACTACAAACGAATATGTTTAAATACACTCATATCCTCTTTGAAAGCCGTGGAAATGTGATTGCTTGTTCTATACCAGCTGCATCAATCATGAAAGCGTGACCGTACCAGATGAGGCAGATCAAACGGCGACCAAGCCAATTGCGTTTTTGCAGCTAGCATAATTACGCTGAAAATGGAGTTATCTGCGATCCGGAATAAATTGTAATCTTCTAAGTCATAGGGTTCCCCTCGACCATAAGACGACTGATAGTCATCACGATAAGAAAGAACAAAAAACTACTTCATGAGTGGATCAACTTGGCGCGCGCTTGCTTTACAACAAAAGACAGACATGCAGCACGTGCCTAACGACGTGTTACACACCTCCCCCCCTGCTCGCTCCACATGCCTTTGCTCGGTCAGGTTGTGTTTGCTGCTGGGATCATTCAAAGGCATCATCGCTGGTTACGAATAGTTCACGCATCAATGACCGAAGCGATTTTACATTTGGGATCATCACTAAGAACAGTTATGAGCATCTTCCAGGTGAGATTGAGATATCCTAATGAGATAGTGAAATTTTCGACACGCACCTACGTACGCGAATAAATTCGTGACGCTCACATGTCACAACGTGTGGAGTTACTCTTAATGACTATCATGTAAATCACCTGAACGATACTTATACACACTCTGCACACCAACCATACACCTAAGCGCCCATCACGGCATCCTAATATGAGTCAGTACATCATAGAACGGCGAAAATAGGATCCGTAGTAGCACTTACCCTTGCGATCCGATAAAGCGGCTCGATGCCAGTCCAGTACTTGAACTGCCACACACCCTGTCCAACAAGGACCTCTAAGCCGTTAACAGTCTCCCAACCAGCATCCTTGGCCAACTGAATAAGCGCAGTAACGGGAGGCTTGTACGCCATCTCTAGCAAAATCCGTTTCCCACCGGGAGGAAGACTTCCGATTGGTGCCTCCGCCTCGACTTTCTCGCTCTTGGCTTTCTCGAAGAGAGAGTTCAGCGCATCACGAATAGTTGGGTCTATAGGCTGATCCGCGGGGATAGTGCCGATGGCTACCGTGGGAATCTTCTCGATGGCGGAAACCTCAGAAGGCGAGGAGATAACGCGGAGGTCGTGCGAGCTAGGGAAGTCTGCGGCCAGTGCTTTCATCTTTTCGGGGTTGCGGCCGAGGAGGTAGATGGGAGAGTACTGCATTTCGTGGAGAGCGTAGATGGCTGCGCGAGATGTACCACCACCTCCGACGACGATGGCGGATTGTAGTCCGGCGCTTCCCTGTGCGCCAGCGTTGCGCAGGACGAGGACCATACCTAGGTAGTCGGTGTTGCGGCCGATCAGACGAGTTACTTCTTTGCCGGTTTCCTCGTCTACGTGGGTTTCGGGGACGATGGTGTTGAGGGCGCCGATGGCGTCAACTTCAGGGCCTACCGAGTGAAGGAGAGGACGCACATCCAGTTTGAGGGGGATAGTTACAGACGCACCACCGAAATCTGGACGGGTGATTACGTCTTTCAGGTCGTTGACATCCGTGGTCTCATGAATGGTGTATGTATGCGGTAGACCAGTCTCTTTGAAGAGGGTGTTGTGCATGATTGGAGATCTACTTTGCTGCACGGGACTTCCGAAGATGCAGAACTTCTTAGATGAGATGTCACCCACAAGTGACAAAGCACGACGAATCTCTGCGGCGGAGAGCTGGCCGGGTGCTGTCGAAGAGGGAAGTAGAGGGTGTGAGACAGGAGTCATGAAGCCATTGAGTATTCTGCTGAGCTTTCCTTGCTCGCCCATATTAATGGCTATGAGGGGAGTGGGATGGGAAGCCGCAGCCCATGACTTGAATTCCGCGAGTGCAAAGTTGTCTTTCAAAGAGTTTGCAGTGCCGACCAGCTTGATGACGTTCCCATATTGTAGAGCACGGTTATAGAATGGTATCCAGGAACCGTTGCTCCAGGAGAGTTCGCCTCGCGGATCGTGATGCGATGCTATGATATTGGTGCAACCCCGGTTTTCAGAGACGCCCCTCAAGATCTCCTCAGGCATAGTCATTTCCAGATCCACGAACTCAACACCAAGTCGCAGCGCATAGCTGTAAAGTAGCTGAGCCTCATTGTAGGCATCGTCCGGGAATTTGCCACCCTGAGATTTTGTCCGCAGTGTGAAGATGACAGGTATGGATACGACGGTCCGAAGCAGAGCCAACTGGTCCACCACAAACTCAGGGGAGGGCAAGCCTTCCGATCCATTTGGATCTTCTAGCAAATCGACTCGAAGTTCGACAGCGTCAGCGCCGACCGTTATCTCTGGGAGTTTCTCGAGCCACGGCAAGAGCTGTGGGGCTGACAGGCAGACAAAAAACGAATGCTTTCTCTTCTGGAAATCCGCAAGCGCCGTAGACTTGCCCGAGATGAGATCCAAGAATCTTGAAAAGTCTTGAAGCGTGTTTGCCAGACCGACAGCATCAACGCTCTGACTGTGGAAGTGATAGTTACTGCATTCCAAGTACCATGGTTTGCGGCGAAGCCACACCCCCATAATATCCTCGACGTATGCAGGTCGTGTCTTGTCAATGTGGAGGAAATCGACGACCTTTTGAATGTCACGGGTGACTAGTAGAACGATACCACCACTGGCTTGATAATCATTGAGAATCTTGCGCGCTTCGGGAAGCTCGACAATACCGCCACCACAGGCTAGTATATGTCCGTTGCCTCTCTCTTCCAATGTCGTGCGCAAATGCTGAAGCTCCTCAGTACGAAATCCGTCCCAACCTCTCGTCTTGATGAGTTCGGGTATAGTCATTCCAACGTGCTCTTCAAGCGTGATATCAAGATCACAGAATGGCCAGTTTAGATGGCGGGATGCCCAGCCGCCAGCCGTTGTCTTGCCCGCACCACGCATGCCGATGATGACAACAGACTTCTCTTGCGTCTTGAGACCGAAGTGAGTGCCAGTTAACGAAAGTGATTGCTCTACACCGCTCAGATTAGCCCTAAACAGCTGATGAAGAATGTCCCAGTATCCCGGCCACGTCTTTCCCGTGCACTCTTTCTCGAGAATCAGCACCGGCTCTGGTGCCACAAGAGCGAGTACAGCAAAACTCATGGCAACGCGGTGGTCATCGTAACAATGGATGCCGACCTTGGGTGTGTCGAGTTGGTAACTCCGACCATCAACTTCGATGCCGTCGTCGAATTGCCGACAGGTAATGCCAAATTTGGCAAGTTCATCTTCCATAGCTTGTATGCGGTTGCATTCCTTCACACGCTGATTCGCAATTCCATATATGCGTGTCGTGTGAGAAGAGTCGTTTGATGAAGCTACTGCAGCTAATACTGAAGCAGTAAGGAAAGCATCTGTCATTGGCTCCATATCAATCTCTGCAACGGCTTTCAGGCCGCCGCGCTGAGGTCCTGTGACAGTAGTGGAAGTCTTGGTTTGTTCGACCTGACAACCCATCGGCTTCAGTACCTCCACCGCAAAGCGTGCATCACCCTGCAGAGACGCAGATCCGATGTTGGGCACTGTGCAGGTGGTGCCTGTAATGGCTGCGATAGCAAGAGGGTATGTTGCAGAGCTCGCGTCACTTTCCACCTCATACTCGCTGGGGTTCGTGTATGATTTACTGGGAATGTGGTATGTGTTTGGTTCACTCTGAGACTTCTCCACCTCGACACCGAAAGCCGACATCATTGCGATTGTCATGTCGATGTAAGGCTGTGATATGGGCTTTCCGCCAACCAATCGAAGCGTAACCGGTACTTTAGAGTAAGGCGCACACATAAGAATTGATGAGACGTATTGTGAAGATACGGTGGCAGCCAACTCTATCGTTCCGGTGAAAGCACGCTCTCCAGAGCCTGCACCAAACCCTCCGCAAGCAGAAACCCTTACAGGCAGACTGCCTTCTGCCTCTTTGTAATGCACATCGATGCCCATCGATCGAAGAGATTTGACCAGTGGTCCAATTGGTCGTTCCTTCATACGGGCGTTTCCAGTAAGTACTGTAGAGGTGATGGTTTCAGAAGGATTTGCGAGAGCGGCGACGGAGGTCAGAAATCGAGATGCAGTTCCAGCATTGCCCAGATAAAGCTCATCATCAGTTGCCTTCAAATTTCCGCCGTTACCAGTGACAACCAATTCTTTGCCATCATTTTCCCACGAAAAAGACGCCGCTTGCAGTCTCGCCAATGCATCCAACATGACCTGGGTGTCATCAGAATGCAGTAAATTGGTGATACGGCAAGACCCTGATCCAAGCGCAGCAAGAACTAATACTCTGTTCGAAATACTCTTAGACCCAGGCGGTTTGCAGGTGACGTGTAGATCGGAGGGGATTCCAGGATTTACTAGGATGCTGGGTGATAGAGCGATCTTAATGTCGTGATCCGAGACAGAGCTGGCCTTCTTCTCGTGAGTCCTGCCAATCCCCGAAAGTAAAACGACCTTCTTTTGCGACCCAGCGTTCTTTTTGTCTACGGCCATGATTCTAATCAATTCGTCAACCGGGCAGTGTTTTTGTGCGGAGCGTTTCCGCACAGTCTTGTCCGCGAGAGAGGTGGGCAATTGATAGCTGGCAATGCATTTGGACAGGCGCGCGACGGCAGAAGGATCTAAAACACCAAGATATCTCGCCAGTTCCGCTTCTTTAACCATACCGATGGCGACGCATTCTCCGTGGAGAATTTGGGGGGTGAGTATTGCCTCCATCGCATGTCCAATGGAGTGTCCAAAGTTAAGCAGGTTCCTAAGACCTCCCTCACGCTCATCTGCCGACACGACCTCCGCCTTGACCCGAACAGACCCCAGCACAATGCGCTTCAGGATAGTGGATATGCTGTCGAAATCCCGTCGACCGTTAACGGGCTTCTGGTCGATAGCTCGTAATATCGTTTCGGCATTGCCCTCGAGGGCGGTGAATTCTTCCTCGTTCCAGATGGCCGCAGTCTGGCAGATTCAGCATTCACGCAATCAACCCTACAAAATCGCACTGAATTTCCTACCTTGACTACCTCAGCCATACCATTTATGAATTCTCTCTTTGGCAGAGACTCTAGAAATTGCAGATCGATATAGATTCTCTCTGGCTGCCAGAATGCGCCCACTAAATTCTTTCCCGCGGGCGTATCGATGGCCGTTTTCCCGCCTATTGATGAGTCTACCATGGACAATAGCGTTGTTGGAACCTGCACAAATTTGATACCTCTCATGTAGGTTGCTGCCACAAATCCAATCATGTCTCCAATCACACCTCCACCCAGCGCTATTATGATTGTGTCCCTGGTGCATCCCTTCGACAGTAGCCAATCCTCTACTATGCCCTTGGTAGACCGCGATTTCGAATTTTCGCCGGGGGGGATTTGGTATGTGAGGAGTCGCGGGCTCGTGGAGAGTGTCGAAGCTTCGCGTTGGAAGCTTTTCTCGAACGTGGGGACATAAAGCGATCCAATGTTCGTGTCGGTAATGAGAACGTAGGTGGACGATGGCAAGTTGTGGATAAGATCATGAGCGACATAATTCTGCCACAGGCCGTAATCCACAACTATCGAATCATTCCCTAAAATGTTAACCTTTGTGGGCTGAGCTGAAGCTTCACGGGCCGCCATAGCGACGGCGGGGTAAATTGGGGTAGGCACGAGAATCGGCAAGTTTGTTCGAATTGGAAAAGAAGAATTGAAGAGAAAAGAAAACAATTGAGTCGATGGCAGTGCCTAGGCTGCGTAATTATCCCCACAAGCGCGCGTCGTGGAGGTGACTCAAGCCGGCAAAATAATTTCGTGTACGAATTGATTCAAGCCACAAAGCGGTCAGTCATATGAGACCAACTCCCCGCGACATCGGAGCACCGTGCTTAGTCATTCGTCCCACCTCAAGTGCGTATTTACAGGAGACGGAAGACCGTCATTAACCTTTGTACCATCACCTCCATCTCGGAACAGTTGGGTCACGACCCGGAACTCCGTTTCATGTAGATCCTATTCTCCGAAACTGTTTGGCCATTAAGATAATTCGGGCGGGTACAAGGCTCGTAAAGGACCCTTGCTCGGCCCCATGCCAGCCATCGCCTGCCTTGTATAGGTCTTCTGCAGCATAGTGGCTTCGTCCGAAGACATCCTCTGGGAGTCTCGAAGGTAGCGGATGAGGCAGTTGACATAGCGTCGCTCGCAGCGGGCGCGTTCGTTTGAAATTTGGACGAACCGAATGTCTGAGTGGCCGCCATTGACTGCTCAGAAGTCTCGAAGTCAGTAAAAGGATTATGCGGTAATACTTATTTCGACAAGGGTCGTAAAGCAGCATATGCCACATATAACGGCTTCTCAGTGTACTTTCTACCCAAGGAAACATACCCAAGCCATTCTCCTCGATTGCATAGAGACGTTCCATTTCACGTTTCGCGTTGCGTAATCCCATCATCTGTGATCTCAGCAGAGCGGGTAGACGTCGGGTGTTGGTATTCTGGTGATTCATAATGTTGATTGTGAGTCCTCTCGCCACATAGCGACGCTGCCTTGGCTGTGGAGGCCTCCGGTATGCACTCCCTAGGTCATCGAAAAGCATGTTGACAATGTCCACTCCTAGGAGTATATTAATGTATGTTACGTGATCGTTGAGCTCCATGTATCTTCGTACCTGTTGGATCTTGTCGCTCGACGTCAAGTCGATCTTGTGCGTTCCGACACATCGTTTGGATCTCCCATCGACGGAATCCTCGGCGTACGAGCGTGATTCGGTATTCATACATGAGCACGCCAAGAACATCTGGATTTCCATCAGCAATTGCCAACAAACCCCAAGCACCGCAGAGTGGTTCAACCTACTGATTCCTTCGTCATTTGCACGCGCCATACGATAGCGTACATGCTTATGTCCATGACCTGGGTCCAGTACCGAAGCATAAGGCATTGAGCCTGTGAGTTTTGGAACTTGGTTCAGGATAACGTGTTCAGGGAGATAGGTATGAGGTAGGAACTCCTCCTGGTAGTTGTACTCGAACCACTTGTAGGCATCCACTGGGTTTCCGAACACAGCATACCTGGAGGATGAACACGTCAAACAATAATCCGCACATTTCAATAGTGGCAGGCATACCAAACGAGTCGTCGCAATCCCGTCTTCACATATTGTCCATTGCTGATCTCATGGCAAGCGGCCGCGACTTCCCGGTCTATCGTCTTCAGGATGTCTCGCCGATACTCAAAGCCATAGAAGAAGTCGTCAAGCTCTTGGTCACGCGCATATTCCAAAGGCTGCGCGCGGAAGTTTACTGGAAGGCGGAATTGTGTCTGGTGGACAAGCCCGTTCACATAGCTGAGCGCAATGGTGAGTATGCATACAGAAGCCAGCAAAGAGAATATATGTACCTAGCTGGGCGGGTGTAGCCTCGAATGAAGTATCTATACGCCTCCATGGGTGACTGGTCATTCATATATCGGATCATCGCCTCGCCCGGACCACAGGAGAAGATTTCTGGATGGCCATCAAAGAACTGGTCAATCTCCGCAAGGAATCCTGGCGATATGCCTCGTGTGCTTAGATACGCAAGCAACAACTCGTCACGACAAGGGTGGAAGCGATGAATCTAGTGCCTCGCATTAGTTCCTGCCGGTCGATTGCAACCGGACAAGATCGTATGCTCACTCGTAGGCGGTCATTCTGCCGCGGCGCAAAGCCCGGTCCAGCCGTGCCCGGATTTGTGTTCCAGGGCAGCGGCTGGCTGAAATCGTTAAAGTCAAAGGTGTTGGCCATCCGGTGCACACAGGGGTGGCTGTTGCGTATAGACCTTGGATGAGCGTCCCAGTGAAGTAAGTGGGGGAACAGCCGGGGTCAAGCAGAGGAACAGTCTACAGGACAGCAACTGTGTGCATGTTTACATATGAGATTGGACGGAGGCTTGGCACTTTTGGGGGAAGGAAGGAGCGCTCGAGACTGCTGTATACACGCAAGTTGCCAATCTAGCCAACACGAAAAACAAAACAGGCATCCTTTAGGTAGGTATATGTAGATAGAAGCACTTGAGGGGAAGCAATACCAAATCTCTCTAATACGAGGAACTAAATATCAACACGAAGGAATGACCAATACAGAATCAGACTGACGCATAGGTTGAATAGAAGTAGCAGTAAAAAATACATAATTGACCAGTCCACGTTTCGATTGACTGGATACGTATGTGAGGGATATTCATGACGCCAACCATAGATGGTAAACACCTAAGAGTCATTCATTAGAATTCGAACTGAGAACTTTAGTATTCGATACACTGCTTGGGTCAATCGTATGTTGAACATCGAGGATGAAGATGGCAGTGTGAGGGACTGCTTGAGGTTCAAGACTTGCAGCCAGCGATACTCGAATTATGAAACAACTACCAAGATTACGTGGCCTTTTATTATAATAGACTGTGGATTTCACGTCGGTAGTTCAAAGTTTGGAATCTTGGGCATGTCAATGTTAATAAAGATTGTCTACATTCAGAGGGCTACTTTCGGTAAGCGGCAGCTTTCACGTGGTTGGTTGCTGACTAAGTCGGCTGCGGATGATGGCGTCAAGCAGTAGGTAGCATCACCGTAGAGCGAGCTATCCTGTACAAGCTGCATCGTGAACCAGCCATCATGGAAGGTCTATTCTACAACGTCAAGTACGGGTGAGTATCATTTTCCGCCTGAATTCCGCTTGCTATCGCATATCGCACGGGACTAATGCGACCCAACACAGGTACATCGAGGGCATCGTTCGCGGGTATCGCAATGCCCTCCTCACCAGCCAGAACTACAGCAATCTCACCCAGTGCGAGACCATCGATGGTACGTCCAACTTCCCATAGTTATTGCTCTGTACTGATGAGAACGAAGATGTGAAGCTGCAGCTCTCTCCCGCCTATGGCGACTTTCTCTCGTCGCTCCCTCCAAACCCTTCCACTTCCGCACTCGCCAACAAGACGACCGAAAAGCTCGTAGCTGAGTTCCGTTACCTACAAGCGAACGCCACCGGCTCCCTCTCCAAGTTCATGGAATATCTGACGTACGGATACATGATCGACAATGTTGCCCTGCTTATTACGGGTACCCTACACGAGCGAGACACCCGCGAATTGTTGGAGAGATGCCATCCGCTCGGTTGGTTTGAGACTATGCCGGTGCTCTGTGTAGCAACGAATATCGAGGAGCTGTATAACTCTGTGTTGATTGAGACGCCGCTTGCCCCCTACTTCAAGGGCTCCCTGAGCCACCAGGACCTCGATGAACTCAACATCGAGATCATTCGCAACACGCTATACAAAAACTACCTTGAGGACTTCCACAACTGGGTCAACACACAGCCCGATATTGCTGGAACACCTACTGCGGACGTTATGACTGAGGTCCTCGAATTCGAGGCAGACAGGAGAAGCATTAACATCACGCTTAATTCCTTCGGCACCGAACTCTCCAAAGCAGATCGGAAGAAGCTCTACCCCAATTTCGGTAGCTTGTACCCAGAAGGAACCACAATGCTTTCAAGAGCCGACGACGTCGAGGGCGTGCGCATCGCCGTGGAGAGCGTAGCAGATTACAAAACCTTCTTTGATCAGACCGGGCTCAGCGGCGGCGGCAGTGGCGGCGTTGGCAACATGTCAGGTGGTGCAGGAGGAGAGTCGCGAAGCTTGGAGGATCTCTTCTATCAGAAGGAGATGGAGATTTCCAAGCTAGCATTCACAAGGCAATTCACACACGCTATTGTATATGCATGGGTTAAGCTCCGAGAACAAGTAAGTCTCACTCACGACCCGTACCACCGCAGGCCATCAATGACTAACTCAATATTACAGGAGATTCGCAATATTACATGGATAGCAGAGTGTATCGCGCAGAACCAAAAGGAACGAATCGGAAACTTCATCAGCGTGTTCTAGCTTCCGAACTTACAACTCCCTCTATGTACTATTTTATGCATGGCGTGTTTTTGGGCGGCGCAGACTTGGTTTATATAGGTTTCGAGTAATGGATTCCCGCGCGCAATATATGTTACATCTGCACACTGTTTGATACGCTACGACCACCATATAGAGAGTCCCAATCGATCGTCTCTCCTGACATCTCATCTTCTCGTGTATGTCTCCAGCCTAGGGGGAAGGTGCAAACAAAGCAACAATGCCTACATATGTACGTAATTTAAGTAGGCGTATCTAGCCGTGTTATAATAGCGCCCCTTTTTTCCCATCAATTCGTGTGTACTTAGGAAAATACACCTTAGGGTTGCAAGTTGTGGTTGCCTCATTTTGTACATTCTTTCACGTTTACACCACACAAATTGCACAAGAAAGGCATGCAAGGCACTGCAGCGAAATTGAAAAGATGGGTACAAGACACCAGCGGGACTCCTTTTGATGGGGGTATAGTTCAGAACGAGTGGTGGTGGTGGTGGTGGTAGTGATAGTGGTAGTGGTAAATTGGCGGCCTAGGTGGGGGAGAAAGTGATGGCGGTGAGACTGTAAGTCCTGCTCGAAGATTCGACATCCTTTGTGCACTTTCTATGCGAGTTCCACTCAGGCCCGGGAGTATGGGATCATAATGTTGTGGGGGAATCGTTGGATATATATCTGGGTTTGGCCGCATTGAAATATAGAGCCATCTTTGCTGGTCAGGAGTTGACTCTATCTCTCCACTCCGCAGAGCTTTGCCAAAGAAGAAGGAGAAGAGACTCTGGATGGAAAAAATGAGCCAGATAGACCAGAAGACGAAAATGAACCAAATACACGACTACTGGGAGAATACATATTGGTAACTTTGAGCATTGTGAATGCTACTAGGAAATCATTATCTAATTAGCCTATACATATCGTCAAACAGGCCATACGGGTCACTGTCGTACTCATCTCATCTCTCGAATGAAACGAACGGAATCATGTCGGAATGCGTTGACTGTTTGTGATTTGCCGTCGGCCGGTGTGAGGGCTCTGGTCAAGCTCATCTGCTTTTAGCATACAATCTGTTCGTATATTAAGATCATGACATAAATTATGCACCGCCGTGCCTATTCGAAGAGTTCCCACGCATCATATCTCCACGTCCCCTATGGCTTGTTCAGGTACGTGATAATAGACGACTTCTTGTTCCCAACTGGCTGGTCGATGCATACAACCGTTGCTATACCCTATCCCGATCAGCAGAAAAGATCTAATCCCACATCGCAGTCTGTCCCGTCAGATTTTGGGCCACACTAAACATAGAATACTGGTCGTAGTCTCGTACGTAGGCTTTCAAGAAAATCGCGATTTCTACTCGAAATTACATCACATCCACTATGCCGGCGAATACCTCCCAGTACGTAGAAGCGCATGAGAATTCGGGTCGCATGATGATGTTTTGCTCATCATTGGTACTAGTTCCTGTTGCACCACCTGTTCTCCCAGCGCACGACAGCTTGATGTGTAGACGGAAACTTCAAGCACAGTGACTCTGTCTGATCTCTGGCGTGCCTTCTATTTGTGTGAGTCTAGACGCAACCTTGATCTGTTTCCCCGTATTCGGCCTAAGATCCTGGTGACAGACCGAAAGCAACGATCATTCCTCTATGCATCGACCAGCAGGACAATTAAGCCGCCATCATGCCAAGTAGAACGCGAATATCAAGATTAACTAGTCTCTCCAGTATGAAGATAGAAACCATCAAAGCATCGCATGATCAAGATTAAAAAACGCGCATCAGTGGGCAGTCAAGTGTTCCGCGGTCACAATGTCACTGGCTTGTTATGGTGCAAGCAGCAACAGATTGATTTTATAAATTCTCCACAAAGCGAAGGACAAAGGAGTTTTGATACAAGTGTGCTTGAGATCATCGATGGGATAGTGTGATGGAACGACTGGAATCTATATGATGGGCTTGGATATCAAAAATCAAGCGAAAACAGCAGGGACAGGTTATTTGCGAGAGGTCCACAGAAACATGCTGAAATTGCAAGATCGGACTCGTTTGTTTGAGAGCAGTGTCTAAGTCAATGTGTACAAAGATGTAGTATGGTTTGTTGCAAAGTACTTACGTATGTACATTTGCGTAAGATAGCACGTTCAAGATGAAAACTGACAGTTTCAGTTGTGGGATTAGGCTGATGTGTGGCCGCCTGATTGATAGTTTTATGAATTTTGGTTTCTTTGTGGAGAACAATAGGGACGGTGGCAGATGTGTATAACGGGTCGGGGGTTGTGAGACGACGACTTTGGGGCTGTCTTTGTTGAGTTCTAAATATAAATGCGATCGTAGACAACGAGATGAATCGTCACATGAAACTGGTCAACATAGACATATTCATACATCACCATACCAGGACTGTAATCTCAACGGAAAACGGACAAAGCCGATCAACAATAGCGCCCCCTATTGATCGATCCATGCCAAATGGTGACATTGGGATAGCAAGATAATCATGTTTACGTGACTCAAAATGACACTCACCGTAGATAATTGGTCTTACCTAGATTGAAACATGATGGATTGAAGCTACTTGATTCAAGCCGGCGATCACCTTGTGAACATGGATGAGGCATACAGACAGGCATTGTGAATGCTGGGGGGGGGAAGCGGGGAGCCCGTGCGTGGTTTGATGCCAAGACGCTAGTCTTAGTCCCGACTTTCAAACTTATAGACAGCAAGACCACCAACTGCGGTCTTTTACTTACACAACAACATCAACAAACATCGCACACTCCTGTCGGCCGCGCTCAGAGCGTTATATCTCGCCCACAACTCTACCAAACTTAACAACATCCGAGTCAACCTGCGAATATCCCGGTATAGTATACAGTAAGTGAGAGTGTTTTGTCAAGTCAATACCGCACACAATAGTTCGCAGCTGCTAACGTCGGGCCTTCACCTAGCCACCTGGATCGCGCTTGCTTCTCGCAATGGCGCCTTCCCTCCGAGCCCGCTCTACTCGAGCATCTGCTGCAAACGTGCAAACTCAACCATCTACTCCAGCCCCTGCCACCGTCGCAGGCACGAAACGTCGCGCCGGTAGCCGCAAACCTGACGATCAGCCAGCTCCGGCCACGCCAGCTATCAACAACAATAAGAGGAGGCGTCTCAGGAGCACCAAGCCTGACCAGGCGAGTCCGCTTCAGTCTGGCGTCGTTACTACGACGCGCAAGAAGACCGCGCCCAAGGGCAAGGCCCCCAAGACTATCAAGAAGAAGACTATTGCCGAGGAACCAGACGAGGTTGCTTCTGTGACCAGCGCGGAGACTGCCAACAATGGCGATGCTCAGTCGGATCCAGGTGCTGGCATCTTCTTCAGTGAGCTCCCTATTTCTTCTTCCCCTCATGATGCTCCTGTCTCTCCAATCTCCGGCGGTGCAGTGTCCCCAACGCCCCATGATGCCTGGTTCTCTTCGGCCTCTGAGACTTATGTCTCTTCTACTGCCAACGGTACCTGTGTCCTTTCTCCTATCAACGATATCTGCATCCCTTCTCCTATCACCGAAGGCAATCAAGTCGTTCCGACTGCAAGCGACAAGGACTACCTCGTTGCTGATGTCCGCGATGAAAAGCCTGAGATTCCACTTTGTACTTCCTCTCCCCCACCGGAAGAGGAATCCCAACTTTACTTTACTGCTATCAATTATTCCCTCATTGCGTCTGTCAACCCTTCTGTCAACAACACTCCTGCCAAGTCTCTTGTCGAAGCTCCTCCTGTCAGCTCTCCTTTCTATCCTTCTCCTGATAATACTCCTCCCGAGTCTCCTACTATGCCCGAGTTCCAAACAAAGGAAGACGAGATCAACGCGGAGCAAGGTCTGGTCGAGCCCGAGCTTGATAAGTCTATGCTCCAGCCTGACTACGTTTTATCCTTGTTGGATCAGCTCGATCAGCAAACTTCAACCATCAAAAGCCAAAAAGCTCAGATCAAGAAGCTTGAGGCTGAGTGTGCTGCGCTCACCAAGGACGCCGGAGAATATTTCAGGGATAAATGTCAAGCCGAAAAACAGGCTAACTCGCTTAAAGAGAAGCATAGAAAACTCCAGGAAAACTACGATAACCTCAGGAAGGACCCCATTTACCGTGAGCGTCGTCCAGAAGGTCTGCTAGTGGGTAGCGATGCAGCTATCAAGCTGTGGGATCAAGTCGAGAGGCGTGCTCAAGGCAAGTCTCCCATTCGATCTAACGACACCAACTCTAGCATCATCATCAATCTTGAATCTGGCAACGATACTGGTGCTCCCGAGGATTCTGGCACTGTCGACAACGCTGATCAGGGCGACGTTACAATGCAAGATGAAGAATCGGACCACCCAGCCTCGTCGTCATCAGCAACAGCCCCCACACCGAGTCTCTTCGGTCGAGTTAAGAGCTTGTTGGGTTCTAGGTTCCTCTCTCAGTCTACCATCAAAGATGCTCTCACACCTGTCCCCACCCCAGTTGGCGAGCAACGTCCCAGCCATAAGAAGCCACCCAAGAAGAGCAACCGCGCACGCATTATCCAGAAGGTTGTCGACAGCGTGGATGATGGAGAGAAGCCGTTGGCAAAACAATGGGCTGAGTCTGTCTTGCAAGATATCACCGAGGATGATGCGCTCAAGCGGAAACGCAAACAAATTGAGTTCGGCGTTAAAGTCGGCCACCTTGAACACTTACAGGGCACTAAGCCTTGGAACAAAGGCAGCTTTGGTCTTGATGACGATATTGCCGATCTTGAAGACAACGAATATGCCCCAGCCTGGGCCATCCTCTCCGACCAACTCCAGGTTGATGAAGAGGAGCGCAATCCGAACAAGAAGCTCAAAACCAAACATCTCCCTACCATCAAAGACGACATGTCCCCTTCCCTCCCTGAGGGTCACAACTCTGGAAGCCCCCCTGGATCCGCCATTTTCAACAGCGGAGGCCAGACTGCATCTCTCCAAGACTTACGACCTCGTCGTGCTATCGCACCGAACCCTTTGTTCACCAACTTCATGACGGTCTCCCCCCGTCATCCCGTCAATGTGTTCGGCAGTAATAACGTTTCCTCTGTGCAGGCACGTGCCCCTACGCAGACATCTCATCAACATGAAAGCTATATGCATCGTTACTACGATCCCAGCACTATTACTTTTAATAATGAATCCTCGGAGGAAGAGGAAACAGGCGATCACGCGAGTGCATCTACAGCGGCTTCTCTATGGACTCAACAACCACCACCTGCTCCCGTTCCATCCCATGCATCTCTCCCTACCCCAATCAACGAAGATCAAGCTGCACCATCCACTCCTACTGCCTCGAACGTGCATGCTACCTCGAATGCTCCGATTTCCTCAGGTGCGAACGATCAAGCTGCTATGAAAGCTCAAGCCACCGCGAGTGCTCAAGCTGCATTGAAGGCTTCGCGGGCCGCGAAAGCTCGTGCTTCTGCCAACGCACAGGCTGCTGCTCAAGCTCAGGCCGCTGCTCAAGCCCAATCTGCGGCTGAGACACCGGTTGCCCAGAATAGCCAAGCTGCATCGAATGCTCCAACTGCGTCGAATGGCGAGACCACCTCCAGCGAGTCCAACCGCGATCCACTGGAGCAGCAGCGGGCTAGAGCTATGAAGCATACACCCGGCAAACCAAGCCGTCTCCGAACAATTTCTGTTCCCTCCCCCAGCGTGAACGGCGACTCTCCCGCCCCTGGCCACACCAACGGCGACGACGGTGTTACCATCACGGCCGCTATGTCTCCTGAAGACTGGTCTGATGTGGACATGGAGCTCTACGACTTCCCTCTTGAGGTTGAGAACTCTGTCGCTCAATACCTTGAGACCGCCTCCACAGAGACGCAGAAAGTCCAGTGGGAAGAGCCGATCGTGGTATATGATGAGGACGACGATAGCTTCTAGATCATGAGTCCACATATCCGTTCATGATGATACCTGGTTCGTCACTTTGACGTTCAAAAACTTCTCGGTGTTTCGGAGTTTTTCTTCTTGATTGTTTTACTACCGCCCTTGTCTTCATGATGATACCTTGGAGCTTGGAGAGTGTTTCGATACCCCCATTTGGCATGCATAGCCGGTTTGATTACTGTTAATTTTCGAGGGCTCCCAAAATGTTGCATGGGCCGTTTTGATCAACGCCTGTTTTTTTTCTCATTACTGTCATGTTCTCACTCGTTTCAGCGATTTCTCCTTGCCCTCCCCATCTCTTCTCTCGTCGCGGCTTAAGGGGTTTGCTCCTCGGGTTGAGGCTGTCCGCAAGGAATTTGACTCCCTTCAGACATTCCCCATATTGCCAGGCGAGAGGGAGACGGGTTTTGAAGGCGAGAGTAGATTGCTGTCCGCTGTGTCTTGTACCATAACATTATTCTGTTGTACTTTACTATTGCGGAACATTGGGACGGTGCTTTAGTGGGAGGATTGGGGGACTGGTAACATTTTACTTTTTTGGGTAAGTTTTCTTGTGTTCGAGAAGTCTGGGTTTCTTTTCCTTTTCCACGATGAATTGTTGTACAAACACACGTGCATGGCACACCGACAATCAACACCATCGAATGAATATACTTACCTCACACTATACTCTTCCCGCCTTATGTGTTTCACTAACCTTGCCATGATCTCGGTTTGTTTATAAGTCGGTTACTACCTTAATATATGCGTGAGAATCACTGCAGGGTAGGAGGGTATCGTGGTGCACATTAGTCACTTTCTGCCCTTCTACCTATCAGAATATCAGTGACTTGAGCATTAGAATCCATGGTAAATTGCATAGGTATCGCGCGCGTGCCCCCCTCCCGTCGGCACGGCGAATACGGGTGTGCTCGATCACACATCCGCTCTTCTATAGAGATTCGTGTCTCAACTGCTCACTCCCTCATTCTCTTCCATGTAAATAGTCAAGCAAGACGGTCAAAGCAATTTAAGGTATGGCGTTAATGAAACAGGAATGCAGCACTTTGTGTTACACTGTCAAGTCATGGCACGGATAAATCAGGGTGAGAGTCGTAAATGAAGATCAGATCCATGCAATGTAAGAATTAATGCAACGAGAACTATAACAAGAAATCAATAGGGAACTGAAAGCCGTTGAATCGCACTGTCTTTGTATTTGAATATAGTAGGTCAATATACGACGGAAGTTGAAGACTGTTATACTTTTGGGTTGGTGAGTTTTGTGCAGGGAGGGAGTCCATGCGTAAGTCACCAAGAGTGGCATATGCTTGGCACTTATTTACACGACACGGTACGTGTAGAAGGTGGGAGTAATAATTCCTTGGAATGTCAAGAAGATAGGTATGAGGACTCAAGACTTATTTAGTGGACTCAGGATAGTCTAGTAATGATAGTGTAGTTGCTATAGAGATATATAAATGAGATGTATGACACACAATTGACGCAGTATAAGCTGATTGTGGGTATGGTGGATCGAAGATTTGTAGGTTTATCAACAAGTATGTTTGGGACTTGATGGTGGGTTGCTCGGAAAGGGTATGTTGAAAGGTCATTGTGGTGATTCTTGGGTTATGGAGGGAGTTGGGCGGTTTGAATGGCTGTCTTTCCACGAGTGAATCTTGGTGAATAGTGGTTTGGTGGTTTCTTCCGTTGTGTTTGAGTTGCAGATTGAAGTTCCTACACTTGAAAAGGAAAATAAAAAGGGTAACAAAAAGTAGGCGAGTACAAAAATCGCTTCTATGAATTGCAAGCTACCGGGCCGATTTAGGGACTCTGTAAAAAGTGACATTCATGACTGTTGTTGATCTGACCGACTTGTGGTTCTCGAATCGACACTGGCCAATGGTTCGTCCCCTATCAAGAAAGAACGCGGGCATCCAACTGACTGTTAGTTTCCACGTGGCAGGGAAGACTCTCGTATCAAATTTGTGAAAGATTTATCCCTTCTTCTAATATACAGTGTGCTAATATTCTAAGCCGTCAAAACGCATAGTTTATGCGCAAGATCTATTGATATCAAACAATTTGTGCGAGAATATGTCATGGGTATCGGGCTCAGCAGTACCGTCTCAATCATTCAAGGAGTTCCGCGGGAATTTGAAACTCCTTCGTAATCCGCGTCATGTTGTTTACTAAATCATTGACGTCCACCGTAGTCGATGCGGTGCTACTACCCGGGGTTCCGGCACCACTTGGTCCTAGATTCGTTGGATCCTCCATCTTGGGCGGATTTGTGTCGATTTGAATAGTCACCTAGCCATATCATCAGCGTTCCGTAAACCGAAAGCGGGATTCGAAATGACGAGAATAAAACTGCTGAGGCGAGACAATGCAGTACCTCATTTTCGAGACAGGTGTAGTCTAAACCTACCGGCCCGTCGTTGACAAGCGCCACGTCCATCATGGCAGCGAACAACCCGTCTTTGACCTTTTCGGGTTCGTACAGAGTCTGCACCTTCTTGAAGAAGGATTGGTAGAGAACGCGTGCCTTGTCACCGTTTGCGGATAGGTGAAAGTCGGGCTTGTTGCCTTTCTTGATGGATGCGAGCAGAGTGAACTGGGAAACTGCAGTATAACGTGAGATGGAGGCAGGCAACAATTTCCAAGAGTTTGGGGATCAGCATACCACAAAGGACTTCTCCTCCGATATCTGGGACGCACTTCTTCCACTGATTTGGGGTTAGCATGAAGACGGAAGTCGTGGTTGTCAGGGGACCAGTTACCTTGGCTGGCGGGTCTTTGTCTGTATCATCCCACAGTTTTGCTTTCAGAATTTTGCTAGCCATTGACTCGACGTCCTTTTCTGTGTCATCTTTGGATATAGCAGCAAGAACTAATAGCCCTTGGCCGATGGAGGAAATCAGCTGACCGTCAACAGTGACGGAAGCGGACTTCACTCTCTGTAATACAGCTGTACTGTGTTAGGGGGCGATACTGCAGTTCCACAATTGGTCGGAAAATATGGGAATGGGAGACAATGGTGATTTCGCTTACTCCTCATATTGAAGATGGTCTTGTTTATGCTATCCGAGTGAGTGGAGAGGACGGAAGGCTGTTCATATGCCTGTCGTGTGATAGTGGCAAAGTCAAAGGAAGGAGGACAGAAGAGTGTAAGGTAAGTAAAGGTTCAGCTGCAGCTATCGACAAGAACTCGTTTTCACCTCAAACTTTCTGACATGATAGTATTGGCGCGCAATACCAATTCCCACCTTTAATCAGTCGTGAGTAAGTTGATCATGCATCCATCCCTCCACCACTGTTCCTACGTCGGTCCCAATCTGCGGGGCGCGGTAGTGATCGACCGCCTAACCGAATTGAGCTAGTCTTGTCTCGCTCGCGCTTTGAGACTCTCTCATGCCAGAAGCACCCAACCTCCGTGACAGCGACAAACCGCCTCTATACAGCTCAACCCAGCAGCAAGCGATTGCGCATCCGGTCGAGACGATCCATTCATCCCTCCATCCGCGATTCCACCACCTACCCAGGCCCGCCGACCCACCTCGTGCAGCGAGGCTCCACCGTCACAATGGCAGCACGAAAGCTCCAGCAGGAGATCGACAAATGTTTCAAGAAGGTCAATGAAGGGGTCGCCATCTTCGACAGCATACATGAGAAGATGCACCAAACGACAAATCAAGCGCAGAAGGAGAAGCTTGAGGATTCATTGAAGAAAGAGATCAAGAAGCTGCAACGGTCGCGCGACCAGATCAAAACATGGGCGACCATGGGCGAGATCAAGGACAAGAAGCCGTTGTTGGACCACAGGAAGCTAATAGAAACAGTACGCGGCCCCCATAATCTTTGTCTGATATGGATGCTGACCAGTCACAGCAAATGGAGCGGTTCAAGGCGGTGGAGAAGGAAATGAAGACCAAGGCGTACTCAAAAGAAGGACTGCAGCTTGCGTCTAAACTAGATCCAAAAGACAAGGAAAAGGCGGAAGTCATTGAGTTTTTACAACAAATGACTGAGGAATTGGAGCGACAGGTGGAAATGCGCGAGGCCGAGGTGGAAACCCTGCAGGCTGGCATGCGCAAAGGCAAAAAGGATACCGCCAAAGCCGACGCAATACAGGAGCTGGAGTCGGGCGTCGAGACACACAAGGATCATATCAACAAACTGGAACTGCTGCAGAGAGCACTACAGAATAGCAGTATCGAGACGGATCAGGTCAAGGAAATCGAGGATGGCATCCGATATTACGTGGAAAACAACCAGGAGCCCGACTTCATGGAGGATGACACATTATACGATGACTTGAATCTCGACGAGGAAGAGGCTATCTTTGGCATGGGAGCTGATGTAGACCATGTCTCGTCACAAGATGCACAATCCATACATGACGATACGCCTGAACCAGAGATTCGAACAACTAGTCTGGGTACAAAGTCAAAATCGGTAGAGGCAGTGCAATCAAGTGCGCGAAGACCGTCAACGCAGATGAAATCGCCCCTGCCAGCGTTGGCGACGCTGCATACTCCTTTGCCTGGTACCTCAAGTTCGTCGGCGAATTCCATGAAACCCGCGCCGATACCGACACGGACACCCGGGGAGCCACTGAAATATGCGTCTGCAGCTGCTGCAGCTGCAGCAAGCGACAGGAATGGCGTCGGGATAGCTCCTTTACCCCCACCACCGAGCACATTGAACGCAGCACAGGCTAGCATAGCATCGACAGGGGCGCGAACGAGTGCAGCCAGCTCGCCGGCACCGTCACATCCTCAACCGGTACCGCAACCTCTACCCGAAATCACACACCAAATTCAATCGTCAAAATCTCCGGCCCCGTCCTCAGTCACCCCGGCTACAGGTGCCCACGAGAAGACGCCTTTGTCACGTGCTACGACTTCGTCTGATGACGCGGGACCGTCTCAGAGGGCAGATGAAGAAGAGGCAACGTCGGTGACTCCACCTTTGACAAATGGAGAGTCACATGTGGAAGATGAAGAGGAGGAGGAGTCGGTGTACCATCTCCCATCCAATCTACAAGATTTGCTGGATTCCTTTGAGGCTACTAAGCATGACATCACTACATCATCGTCGAAACCCCCAGATGAGCGCATGCTCAGCGTCTCCATGAACACGGCACCGGATTCCGCGGACACGGAAGCCCCGCGCCATTACCGCCCCCAAAACTCGTATCCTTATACACCTTCGCACTACCCGCAGGAGCCGCTGGCAATATTCGACGACCCGCGCCTATACTCGCGCATCGAGACGGATGCTCTGTTCTACGCTTTCTACTATCGGCAGGGAACGTACCAACAATATCTAGCAGCCAAGGCCCTCAAGTCCCAGAGCTGGAGGTTTCACAAGCAGTACCAAACGTGGTTTCAGCGCCATGAGGAACCCAAGGCCATAACGGAAGACTTTGAGCAAGGAACGTACCGGTTCTTCGACTACGAGAGCACCTGGTGAGTAACTCGAACCTTCCTGAACCAAGTGTTCAAATAGCAAAGGTGCCATGAGACTGACAGTTAGCAGGATGAACCGTAGAAAGGCGGATTTCAGATTCGCGTACAAGTTCCTGGAGGACGAACTATGAGTTCCATGTCATGGATATGGTGACTGATGACGTGTGTAATTATGGGTGGGGTAACAGGTGTCAAGTAATGGGTCATGGGCTAGGTTTCTACCTCGCACGAGATTTTTGGCTGGTATTTATTAATGGCTCGCAAAAAACTGCTTTATAGTAGTGGACTGCAGATAGCAAGGCGAACCTGAATGGTTCGTGTACATTGTCAAATACCAACACATGCTCTGGAGCAGAGACACCAAAAAAAACCAAATTGCATGTGGCGTTGATCAGGCTGCTTTGCCATGAAGTCCCAAAGCAGTACTGGAGTGGTCAGACCTCCTCCAAGGTAGGTTAAGTCATCGTAGCCAGACGCTCGAAATAGCTCTGGAGCCACATTTCAGTCGGCACGTGTAGCTGCTGGAGCCTTTTCCCGGCTGTGTTAATAACATTGCGCTCCTCAGCTAGATCTGACGATATCTGACACTACTGATTGGTCAGATCTGGACAGACCGGAACAAAGCCACACCCTATTTCCGCGGCGTGTTGGAGCCTCCTCTAAACCTAAAGTAGCATAGCCTAAGCGAGCATCGTGCCTCTACAGTTTGTCCCTACCGACATCATCGCAACTATGTGTATACAACTTTGGAAACAAGCTTCATGCAGCTGTGGCAAGCTGCCTATACCTTTGTGATATCATGCAGGCACGCCACTCATGCGTGCATTATCTCCTGTCGCCGATGGATTTGTTCTTTTGTCGATTGTTCTGGAAAAAAACCGGCTTCGCTCGCACTTTGAGCGGGGCGTTTGCTTACCACACTTGCCTCCGCAATGTGATTTCGATCCCTACCAGAGCTCTGTCCGCGGTGGCCGGGCACTACGACAGCTAATCTCCCCGATACTAGTCAGCTACGAACTGCCCACGGGCGCATCCTTGGTAATCACTTGGGGTTGAACAGCTGCGAGACGTCACGCTCAAGAAAGGCACACACACCAACCATGACCGTGGATTGCAATCTTGAAAGAGGTGCCTGATATCGCCCTTGGATGCCTCTCACGCTAGAGACCAGCTACTTGTTCTGGAATGACCTGATTCCAAGATTTTCTTTTATGATATCTTCACCACCGAGTCATTGCCACTCGATTCAAGCGTCTTGGGTTCTGGTTGGTTCTGGTCGGCTGAACATTTACGCCCGCCGGTGTTACCGTCTGCTTCTCGGGAATGAACAATTCGCACTTATTCGTTGGTTGCAGTAATGTCGGGAACGCAGGATGGTACCCTCCGTCCTTTCCCCACCCTGTAAACAAACATGCAGCCCTAGTTCGGGATCGTTTACACGCAGATTCGTAGACTTAGTAGGTTACGTGCCAGGGAACAGTGAAGTACGCAGGGGTGATTTCGAGCCTGCCTCTCGGTAATCAGCGCGAGCATGCATGGCCACCACTCTATTTCCAGGAATTGAAGAGCAATCCATCTTCGGGAAGGATTAAGCACCGTGCCGCAATAGCTTCATGACTTAAGATGATAGCTGTTGCGCAAGGAACCGCCCCCGGGGGCGTCTGTGCGTCGAGCACATTGACATCGCGCCTATTGAGCCAAGGCATATTCTTTACATCTCTTCAGAATACACAAAGATTCTAAACTTAATTGTACCTATAGTGATCTTCAGGATAGGCGTTTTGCCCTCTGCAATTTCGCTTCAACACAGTAAATGAGATGCTTCTATTCCAGCTCCATTACTCATCCCTCTACAGCCTTAGCATCATTGAAGGTGCGTTCTTTCCAACGTGAGACTATAGATGTGGCAGTGAGAGGATCATTTGGAAGTCTCCTACTTATGATATATAATGCAGTTCAAACACGCCCGAGATCTCAAGTATCCCAGGCAGCAACACTACCAAGAACAAGAATCATCTTAGACACAACTCACGCTCATTTAAGTCCAACTTACGCCCTTCATTTTTGACCTTCCCATACGCACGACCTTCTTCTTCTTCTTTGTCATTCTTCCCCAAGGTCTATCGCCCGTCAAGACTCACTCTTCGGTCGTATCTGCATCCAGACAAGCACAATCCTCGATCCCGATTACAACTCTCCACTCAGTACAAGAAACATATCACTTTTTCATCATGAGCGGTTACGGCGTAAGTTTTACATGGCCTACATGGGGCAATACTTTCCCCTACATACTCGTTGCATCAGCTAACCGGTTGTCCCCTGGATGAAGTATCAACCCAACGGCGCCTACGACTACCCAGCTTACGACCCCACAATTCCTCAGTATACGCAGTCACAGGTCTCCCAATATTTCGTACAATATGGTTGCTGCCCGCCACAGCCGTACATCACGATTCCCGATTACCCTGCCGTCCCTATTCAGTACGCTCAAACCAGCAGCCAGCAACACACGCAATACACTGTCACTTCTGATCCACAGTGGGTTGACCTAGCTCTCTTCAGGTTGAAGTACTCGACTAACAAATACAGGCCACAAAATTCAAGGTGAATAGTTCCATCCAACGGCGTTGAACATGCAACTAACAATCAGTAGCAAGACATGGCGTTGCGAGATCCCCAACTGCACATCGACCGCCAACTTCACCCGCTACGCAGACCTTCAACGGCACCACTCGACGGTTCACAGCGGAAATACACCCAACTACCCGTGCTCTGTCAAAGACTGCTCCCGAGTTGGAGATAAAGGTTTCACACGGCGCGATCACCTAGTGGAGCACCTCAGAAACTTTCACCACTTGGACATCCCGAAGCGGAAGCCGGGAGAGCGCAGCGCGTATCCCATGGGCCTACCGAACTACCAGTAAGGGGAATCGCGTTTCCTTGCCCTTGTTGCAATCTTCTATTCAAAAAGTTCTGGAGTGGTTGTTTTATTCTTATTCCCTTCGAGCGCGATCGTCCACCAAATCCCATGACCATCTCAACAGTATCCTGAACATATCTCATTAGGACGGCCTATCGAATCAACAAACGCACCAGAGGCGCACGCAAGAGGAGAGACGATGGTTAACACGTTCTATTTCGGAATCTGGCTACTTTCGTTGATTCCAAGCAGATTGGCATTGTTGTTGTTCTCGTTGTTAGGCGTTCCTCTTTGGGAAAGCCGCTAGCTCTGCCAACGTTGCCGATCAGCCACACCCACCCTGCGATCCTTCAGAGACTCGACCACCTCAAGGAGATTTTCTTACAATTTGCGGCGAGGCTCCTTTTCTATTTACAGACGGCCACAGTCTCGGTCTTCCCCACACCTCAAGCCGCGTAGGGAACCCACCCACGTATAGCGATTGCTGCGACACGCTCTCTTATTTTTTTTTCTTTAGCATTCTTTTTTAGATTTCCTTTGTTTGCATCTGTCTAGCGTTTGTCCTCATTTCTTTTGTTCTTCATTCATCTTCTGGTTGTCTTTTTTTACACTCACACATTGCATCTGGTTTAGCGGGAGCATGTCCAGGGCGCTTTTCTTCTTGCCATTCTCTTGTTCCTTTTGATTTTTTCTGCACAACTGTTATTCTTTGGTTTAACGCTGCATAACAGATGGACTGGATACTTGTCCTCTGTTTGGGTTGCATTTTCTTTCATTTCTTCATACATGTCTTATCATCTGATCATCATCTTCTCTTCTTGTTTCTGTTAGATTTATTCCCCCTAGATTATACTGTTGACCACACGGTTCATTTGGATAGAGTTCTCCATCACGTCTGCAATGCATTAGATTCGCATGTTTACATTGGCATATCTGAAACTGGCAAATATCACTTCGTTCAATGACATGTTGAAAGTATGTACGAATCCTCATTATCCTCGAAATGTTTCCCTAGTGACACAGATTGACGCGATAATGACAGACATGAATGAATGGTCCGGCTGTTGTCCGTAAAGCCTTCTCGCCCACCAACAACCACTACCACCCCACGGACAAGGTGTGTTTCAACAACTTTGCCCTGCGTGAGCTGAGTGGGAACAATGTGCTCGTTCGTATTCACAAAAATGTCCCCGGTCGCAGGGGCTTTCCATCCTACACTACTGTGGATTCCCGGCTCTACGCGATTTGTATACGCGAAAGCGAGGAAGCCAGGGCTTGCCCCATACACTGTACGGGCAATACACGGACCAGACTAGCAGCAGAGCGTGGGAAGTAGAAGCAAGGACTGGACAGGGGCTAGCGAGTTGCATAAGCCAGCATAACAAACGACTTCAGACCAATAAAAACTTTTTAGAGACTATAGAGAGCATGTTCAAAACACATGGACCACTCGCCACCTAGTGACAAGGGATAAAAGAGACGAAAGATTAGTTGGACGATAACGGAACGGTTAGTTACGTCAGCCGCATCGCCCTGAACATCAATAGCTGTACAACTGCTCGTTCTCCATCGGGTAAATGCGACGTGAAACGGGCATCAAGCTCGATAACCCGAGCTCTGGACCAGATGCACCAGACTCGATCGGCCGAGCGGCTACGGAGAATGTGATTGAGCATTACCAACTGAAGGAGGTGGGGGTTTTTGCGATATATTGGAATACGCCCTGGAGCTGCTTAGAGATATCGCGGGTTACGCCTTCGGTGCATTAGATAATGGCCTCCGCGGCATGGTTTCCCGGAGACGTTTTGTTTGTCGTCAGGAGGAACTATTACTTGAGCACTGCGAGGTAGACGACGACTAAGAAAACCTCGCGCGAGTCGGTGGTTGATGAAACCGATGGTCGAGGTTTATCTCGAGTCGGAGCATTATGTATGGATGAGGATGATTAGATGATATGGATGGGAGGAGAAGGATCTGGGCGAGTGAAGAGTGGGAGAGAGGATGCGATACACGCTTATAATTTTACATGAGAATTACTCGATCGAAGGTTGCTGATCTTGGGGACAATGGCGTGGTGATTACAGAGAAGTGGGTTTATCCAAAGGTGCAAAGATTTAGGCGAGAGAGCAACCCCATCTTTTCAACAAGTGGATCCATGACCTCATGGCAGCCACACGTGAAAGCTCGACGAGCAGCTCGGCTAGTGCCAAGGAACAAAGGGCACAACTGACCTGTCCCATTCCTTTCACTCTTTGTTCCCTTGTTCTTTTTTTTTCTCCCTTTCTCACGAGACTTTTCTCTCACACCAGACAGACATCACGTCGCCGACCCGCCTGCTACTTATCTGCTTGTCCCCGCGTTTCCTCAACCGCCTGCAGCCTGTTGTTCCATCGCCACCAGCTTTCATGTCTGTCCAACAATATCTACATTTATTGAATACTGCCTATCACGACTCCGCGCCTCTGGAATAACTCGTCCATATATACAAATCTGTGGTACATTGAGACCTATCTGATCCTTGCCCACTGCTCGCCAGTTTGTCCATACGGACCATCCCCCGCACTTTCGCATACACATCACTGCCTGTTCTCACCCCGCGGCCAATCTGGACCGCCAGCACATCCGCCAATAAGCCAGCAGCCTGATATTGAGCTGTCATACTCCGACCGGTGTACACATTGTGCGCCCTGAAAAAAATCCAACCACAGGGAAAAAATTATCGCTACCTTTCTGAGAGGCCTCTGTCGCCCACACAGCATTAATACACGACGATGCGCGACCTCCGTAGACAAGCGCTCGAGAGCGGGAAGACGGTGTCACGGAAAGCACGATCAAGAGTTGTGTCGGCCCAGTCTTCGAAGCCAGGCTCTAGGCTGAACTCACCCGCGCGCTCGTCGAAACCGGGCTCACACAACCCCAGTCGCCACGGGTCGGATGATGAGGGTTATCTCAGTGACGATACAGCTACGAGGTAGGTCGCCACATATATGGAGGGCGCCGCGGTCATGCTCCCTGAGAGATCCAGAATGGAATGCTAACAGTATGGGTCACAGTGCCAACTCGATCGATGATATCCTCAACAACGACGAAGCTGCCTACCCTGAGGATGCGTGGTTAGCAGATCTGAATACCTTCATGGAGCAGATCGCAGATCGCAAAGGCAGCAGCACTGAGGGGCGCGCCCTGAGCCTAGCAAACTACGCGCACATCGTCATGACTCGATACACGAAAGATACTATCGAGCCTCGGATGAGCGAGTTGCTACCTTCGATGATTAAGAGCATCAAGCAGGAGACATCAGAAGATGAGACGGCTGCTGCTCTCAAAGGTAGATGGACCCCTCTCGACATTTTTATCTCACAATGCTAACGTATCGGCAGCGCTCGGTGTCACAATCATCACCCTCGACTCCGACGAGATTTATGATGATGTTGTAAACGTCCTGAAACATACCATCGCATACTCGGAATATATATCGCTCAAGACTAGCGCTATTCGCACTCTTGGGACTGCTGCTTTCTTTGGTGGGACATCAGAAGAGGAGCTGGAGGATTTGCTTGCATACTTCCTCGACATTGTCGAATCGGATGGCTTATCAGTGGAAGCACATGACGAGCCTTCTGTTGTCACTGCTGCTCTCGAAGAGTGGGGCATGCTCGCGACTGCTACCGATGACATTCAAGAAGCCACAGAAGCTGCCATTGAAGCATTCGTGGACCAACTCGACAGCTCCGATACGGCTGTACAGATCGCCGCGGGTGAGAATATTGCACTCATGTACGAGAAGTCATACACACCTGTGGAAGACGGCGAGGAAGTCTCGGACGAGGAGGAAGACGAAGAAGAGACACAAAACGGTGAACGCATGGTCAAACGGTACGAAGTGTATCGACGAACGGACCAACTCATGCACACGCTTGAGCAGCTTGCTAAGACGACGGACCGCAGCATCAAGAAGAAGGACCGCAAGTCTCTGCACTCCAACTTTGTCGACATTCGGAACACAGTGGAGAAGCCAGCGCGTGGCCCGCGCTACTCGACTGCTATCGATCAAGAAACTGGCAAGACGTACGGTGGTGGACGACTGAAGTTTGAAATCCTCAAGGTCAAAATCAATCGCACTGTTGAAGTGCGACTGGATCGGTGGTGGAAGTTGAAGAGGTACATGTGCATGAAGAAGATGCTTGCTGCTGGGTTCCAACATCATTTCGACGAGAATGATGCGGTGTCCAGATGTTTACCGTTCTCACTCACCAGTAAATTCTGGAAGGGATAATAGAAGGATGTGCACAATTTGGGTAGGTTTTTCGTTGTTTTATGCATTACGGTAGCCAAGAATATCAAAGATTTGTTAGTTCTCTGTCGTGTCGATGGGATTTGGAAGTCTTCGTTCATTGCCGTTCAATCTCACTTCGCTAAGCGCACGATGCTACCCCTCCTAACACGTCTGCCCCGCTGTGCCCCTCAATGGCATACCAAGTGACTTTGGTACGTGACATTGGATGACTCGAACCAATCACTCCAACACGGCACAGGCACTCAGATGAGCGAGACTTGCAAGTACATGTAGCATGCAGCCAATAGCATGGCTTTCATTCCTGGAAGCTGCAAGTTGCGGGTGCACGGACTCGTCTGTAACATGGTGGTGGAAAGTTCTGGAGCTGTGGGGAGCTTAGCTTTCTTTTATTTATACTTCACCCTCACCCTTCAGCCCTCTCTCGCCTTGGCTTGCACGTTCCATTGTCCTTCATAACACTCCCACTCATTCACACCTCCCTGAACCTTCATCATGCCTTCCGATACCAGTATGTTTTGCCCCGCCATAAGAAGTGTGCCCCACCCCAACTGTGCGAACACGGCTAACCCACCCTGCACAGAGCGACCAAGATGCTTCTTCGACCTCTCAATCGGGGGCCAAAAAGCGGGCAGGGTCGCCTTTGAGCTCTACAACGACATTGTACCCAAAACGGCCGAAAACTTCCGCGCCCTCTGCACCGGCGAGAAGGGCACTGGCAGTTCCGGGAAACCCCTCCACTACAAGGGCAGTGGGTTCCACCGCGTCATCAAGCAGTTCATGATCCAGGGAGGAGACTTCACACAAGGCAATGGAACGGGCGGCGAGAGCATCTATGGAGAGAAGTTCGAGGACGAGAACTTTGAAGTGCTGCACGAGAAGCCATTCTTGCTGAGCATGGCGAATGCCGGTATGTCAGACATCAGCTTTGGGCGTTGCAGTCTAAATGGGGTTTGTGCTGACTTTTGGAATGTGAAAAGGTCCTGGAACGAACGGTAGCCAGTTCTTCATCACAACCGTGCCCACGCCGCACCTGGACAAGAAGCATGTCGTGTTCGGCGAGGTCATCAACGGCAAGAGCCTTGTACGACAGGTTGAGAACTTGAAGACACAAAGCGGTGACAAGCCGCAGCAAGACGCCGTCATCATAGGTACACAACCCCTCCATCACTCACCGGTTCAAAAACCGCTACCCATCCAGCAATTTCAAACTAACACCCCACCCCTCGCACAGACTGCGGCGAACTCAACGACTCGGACTACGAAAAAGCGACCGACAAGGCGCCCGATTCCACCGGCGACCCCTACGAAGACTGGCCCGAAGACCAGCTCGCCGCAGACACGGAATGGAAAGGCGAAGACATCCTCGCCATCGGCACCGCCCTCAAAGACCTAGGCAACACGGCCTTCAAAGCAGGCAACCTCTCCCTCGGCCTCTCCAAATACCAAAAAGCAATCCGCTACCTCCACGAATACCCTACCCCCCTCGAAAACGATCCCCCGACCCTCTTCCCCTCCCTCAACGCCCTCAAAGTCACCCTATACTCCAACTCCGCGTTGCTGCAGAATAAGTTGAGTCTGTGGAGCGAGGCGGTGGAGAGTACGACCAAGGCATTGGATATCGACGGGATCCAGGACAAGGACAAGGCCAAGGTGTACTTCAGACGTGCGCAAGCCAAGGTCGGCAAGAAGAGCGACGAGGACGCGCTCAAGGATCTGGAGCAGGCGGAGAAATTCGCGGCCGGAGACGCAGCCATTGTCGCGCTCAAGGAGCAGGTCAAGAAGAGGGTGCAGGAGCGGAGGGAGAGGGAGAAGAAGGCGTACAGGAACGCTTTCGCTTGAGTGCGTGGCTGATTCCCAGGTGTGCAGGGAGGTGTGGAGGGATTCCCTGGCATTTTATCGAGTTCATATGTGGATAAAGCTATGTGTTCCCTCACATACCATGTCATATCAATAATACTGGGCGGGCGACAATATGTCTTCTTGCTAAGGCTTTCCATGTATCCCCTACTACCTACTATATCTAGACCACCCGGATTATTTGTCGAATGAATATAACGAATACTACTCAAATCAAATCCCTAACATACAAACCCCCTCCTCCAACTCAGAATTCATACTAACTCTAAATCGATAAACTGCTTCTCTGCCTCTGAACATTAGTTTACTACGCTTAGTCTAGCTGGTATGTACATCCCCCCTTCCCACCTTCCTAATCACCGAATTTCTACTACTTATTAACCTTCTCCGCCTATATACCTCAAATATATATACTCAACAATACTACACTACATCATCTTCCTTACTCCTGTTCGTGCCTTTATTCTCTTTCTCTCTTTCCCTTCATCCCCCCACACCGTGACAAATTTTCTGGTAAATCGTTTGTTGGTTGAATTTACTTTTGTCATGGCAATTCAAACATCTGCCTTTCACAAAAGGTCACAAAAGATTTGGAAATTGTAGTATGTATATTTACTCTGCCCCCTCTTTCACACTATCGCAGAAGAAGAGGAGGATGGCGAATAAATAACAGAATAACAGGCTAAAAAAAAAAGACAATATATACCACCGCCGGGTTTTCCTCTCGCCGCCCTTCTTGATTCTTTTTGCAAAAAATGTTTCCCTTTCCCTTTCTCTTTGGGCTTTTCGCCAATTGAGTCTGTTTTCAATATCCATCCAAGATCCCCAAACCACCAAGAAAGGGAAGGAGAAGAAGAAAAGGCGAATGTTTTGAGGTGAACAAGCTATTTCTATAATCCGGAACAAAGGGCGAGCAAAATCCCGCACTTGGGCTTTTCCTTCTCGGGCAACGACGACGAAGCGTTTATTGTGCAAAGGGAAGAAGAAAAATGTCCAAGGGTCATAGAGAGAGAAAGAGAGAGAGGTAGAAAAGCGTTTAGAAATTGTCCATCGTTTCGTTTTTAACTCGTGAATAAAAAAGAGCCATCGCGCACCGTCACACATCTCCCCACCGTATACGTGATAAGAGTCTTGAAATCCAAAGCGTGAGACAGACGGTACGGCTTTTTTCTTTTATATCAAAACCATGCTTTCAACAAAGTCCTCTTTCTCTATATCGAACCGCACGACCAATCATTCAGGCGAAATGTTATATAGATGTCGGCCAAGAAAACCGAAAAAAACAAAGCAGAAAACACGAGGTCAAAAATCGGTGCTGCTCATTCCACAAATCAAGGCAAAGAAGCCTACAAGCATGATAAACTCATACGAAGAGCAATGAAAGAAATGAAACGATGAGCGCTGAAACGCTGCAAATGCCTCCATCTATATGGATGTATTTTGTTGAGTGCGGACTGAAACGTGCGGATCGGCGGGAAACGGTGTGGTGTCGGACGAATATACGTGAGAAAAGTTTCTCATCATGTGTGGGACTATGCGATGATATCAAATCGTAGTTCCGATGGAGAATGCTCTGTTCCTCCAGAGTGTGGTGGCAGCCGTGGAAATGGATAACGTTCGGGGCGATTCGATTGCGGAGTTAAACAACGACGCGTTCAGCTGGTGCTAGGCCATTCTCCCGGTTCTCCCAACGTTCATCGACCTGGTAAATTTATAAGATCCAAGCTTTCCGCGGCCCTTCAGAGTTCGCCCGAACTCTTTCGCCTCCGAAGCTCCTTCTCGGCGAAACTCGCCGCCCTGTCGCCTTTAACGGAGGTCGAGTTGTAACGACCTGTAAACCAACCATCTAGTCAGAACTGAGCATCGTTTTCACGTTCGCCGGCCACGCGACCACGTAAACTGCTGTAGCTAGCGTATTCACCCAACGCGCTCCCGCCACCCCTGCCATGACCATGACTATGTCCGTACGTACTTCCGTTGTCGTTACGGTCGCTGCTGCGGTCTCGGTCTTTGTCTTTATCTTTGGATTTGCTCTTCTCTTTCTCCTTGTCCTTATCCTTGTCTTTGCGCTTCCTTTGGAAAGGCAATACGCCGCGAAATCCACCACGTTCTTTGCGCTCTTTGGTAATGGTTGGGTCTTTGTTGAAGGCGGGCAATGCTGTGGTACCGTCTTCCTCTAACATGCTGCCGGCATCAGAATTTTCATAGGACTGTCCTCCGGCACTGCGAGGTGGTTGTGAGAACGCCCCTGACATGGCCATGGCCGAATGATTGATTGGAGTGTTTGGGTTGGTGTAATGGAAGGGTCCCGTGGAAATGGAGGGATGAGTGTGCGTCTGTGGGTAGGAGGGCGGCGGAGCCATATGGAGACCGTCGCTCGAGCCTGGTGGAGTTTCATCAGCAACGGAGGCCGCAGCCGAGGCCGCCGTAGATGCTGGCTGTGAGTTTGTATCCGGGAGAGAAAGAGCATAACCTGTACCACGGGCGACTTTGGCGCCGAAGGGGTTGGCAACCATTTGCGCGGACATGTTGCTCGTCAGAGAACTTGCCGATGCAGACACACTATTACTCTGCTGATGCCGTGATCTTGTGCGCGACGGCTTCGCGACGACCGGAGTACTAGTATTCGAAGAAGGGGATTGGTCTTCAAACACATTTGGGGATGTTGGCATGCTCTCTCTACCCTCTTCCTTGATCGTGCCTCGCAAGTTCTTGGTGGCAGCACCTCTACCTGATTCGAGACTGGCTGATCCCTGTAATTGCTCGACCAACTCCTCCCATTTCACACTGAGGGAAGATGATGGTCTTTCCGCACGCTCGGCACGATTCAAGCAATCGCCAGTACGCTCTCGCAAGGCAACGCATATCTTGTGAAAGCTTAAAAGATCACCATCTGTTGCTCTGATGTTTTCCGCACTGCTTTGGGTGTTGTCGAGCCAAAGGTCTACCAGAGCAGCAAAATTACGAGCGTGATCCACGAGATATGGGAGAGAAGGGAAGCCTTCGCGAGAGGTAGGCGGTAGTCGCTGTAATATGGCAAGTGGCGTGCTGTACGATGGAGGGATATGAGGCGCGGATGAACTTGTGGAAGAAATGCCGCAGATGCTGTCGAGATACGTCTTAAACTCTTGGCGATGTGTCGTCAGGAACGCGTTCATAGGCTCCATCCATGCTTCCTTGGTACCGAAAGCGGACATGTTGGCCAGACCCTGGAGAGACTTAGCAATGAGGGTCAAGGCTCGTCGTGCTCTAGGTTTGGGATGATCTACTTCAAAGTCAGCTCATCCATTTACAGTAGTAACATCACGCAGGATAACAAACCTTTTAGTAGCCCAAACAGTTTCGGATTGAGAACTGCCGGCACAAAGAACCTCAGGAACAAGAAGCCAGATACACTGCTATACTTGACTGTCCTCAAGAAATCGCCGAATCGATCCTCTGCGCACGCTCGAATATGCCTGAAGATGAGCCTGAGCTCTTGTGGGCAGCGAGATGCTGAATTGTAGATGGCTCGCCACACGTCTTCAGTCAAGTTTATCAGCCTCCTCCAGTTTCTGTCGAGATCGCTCTGCGACGAAACTCGATTGGGATCCACTTCGCATTCAGGATCCTTATCGTTGATCTCTCGCAATTTATCGCTCAAAGTCTCCTCCAGGTACTCCTTGCCGAGGCGCTTCATATGGATGTCGAGCGATTTCGTTAATAGGGTGTTGCCTCGGAAAAGCAAATTCGCCTCTAGCTTTGCGTTGTTATTCATGTCGCGGACAAACAGTTCTCGGTCACTGGAAGAGCCGAATTGCTGTTCACCAGAATCACCAGACCCAACTCTTTTGCTGAACCGCAGCCGGCTGGCCGGTGTTTCTTTGACCGTTCCATCGATCTCTTCCTCCACCAAAGCCATAATCCAGTCGCCAGCCTGTCCGGAAACCTGGAATATGTTCAACAAGAACTCTGACAATTTTCTCAGTTCATTTGGTATCATCTGGGCAATCTGTAGTGTTAAACTATTGGAGAAGCGATGCAGCAGTTCGGACATTGGCTGGTAATCTCGTGCCATTAGAATGACGCATTCCTCTGTGCTGACCTTGACAAGCACTTCACCGACGCTATTGCCATACATGTTGACCAAAGGCCACCATTTTTCCGTCTCTTGGTTCGGACCCAGATCATCCAGATAGACATCAACTTTGCCACAAGTTTGGTCGAATGTGATGCCGGCATATCCACCCGCACCTTCTGAAACAAACGATTCTGAGCTGACCGGGACTTCGAAAGGGCTTTTGTCGCCACGAGAATTGGTAGGAGGTCGCATCTTGAGGAGCATAGATGCGGTCGACAACACAGCCGGCAAGTCCAGGAACTCAAATTCTTCCCTCCAGAACGGTGTATTGCCCTCAGACTTGGCCATGGTTCGCGCTCTTGTTTCTCCGTCGAGCAGAATCTCCACATAAAACCCACCGGAATTATTCACATTGGCCGATGACGATGGCCTCGCGGAAGTTTGATTATCGGCGACTTTCGGGCTGATTGGCGGCATCAGACGAGCCTCGATAACGCGAACGAACAGAGAACGTTCCATGCGAAACATGTCGGCAGTTCCAAACGAAGGCGAAAGTGCGCCTTCTTCGTTCAAGGTGACCTGCTTCGGTCCGTATAATTGTGGGATGGTGAATGCTCGCAACAGAACAATCCAAACCTCGTACAAAACTCGAGATTCAAGGGATAAGAATATCGGGCGCAACAGCGCCAGCGCTGTCGTGGCGGTAGTGTATTGCGGATATATGGCGATGCAAAACTCGTTGTCAAGAACCGAAGGATCCAATCGTTGCACAGCGCAGCGGGACAGCTGCGAAAGTTGCACGACGGACACCAGAGTGACGTCTGTGTCTGAATAGAGCTTCAGTTCGCCATTCTCTCGGAGGGTACATGACACCCGTCTCCATCGGCGCGAGCCATGGCTCTGCAAACGGTAGGCTTGCGGGCGGGAGCCAGACGTCTTTGGTGTTCCGGTGTTGCTGTAGGTCACACTAGTGTCCCAGTAAATCATCTTACCCACCTTGATGATTGGCGCCTCTCTTGTCAGTGAAACCTCGGAATGTCTCCTGCTGTTCGCCAATTGGCGATCTGCAACCAAAGGCGTTTGCGGCTTCGCCATTTTGTTGTGGATACCTTTGGGACGAATGGGTTGCCAGCACAGCAATGCCGCAAACCACGACTCGAATTCTTCCTGTGTTGGGGGTCGTAGATAGACTTCGAGTTTCGAGTTGTGCCCGACGACATGTATGTATGCAGTGTAGGCCTCAGCATCGTATGCGCTCTTTACACGACAGCCCCGCAGGTCGGGTACCAAGGTCCGATGGTAAGAGTTGTCGCTTTTGGGCTCGTAGACGAGGCTTCCTGCATCTTCGTTGATGTAGCAGTAGGAAAGCGACCACGGACTCGCCTCGCCTCTGCGAAAAGCGAGCATTCCCTGCATTTTGCCGCAGGTGGCGCGCATGAGCTTCAGTACCTTCCGAGCGTCTGAAGCGGGCACGGGCGAGATCCATGAGTCTGGCTGTGTGGTGGGCGAGGCGGTGGCATTGGCAGGAGAAGACGTACGTTGAGGCAGCTTGACGAGTCGGCTGCGACCGGTGCTCGATGTGCGGGGCGGAGGTTGCGAGGTCGAGGGGGAAATGGTGGAGGGGTGGCCAATGGAAGTGACGACGGATTCTTCAAGGCTCTGGAAATTGGCAGAAGCGGTGCTGTGGACGGAGCCAATACGGTGACGATTGCCCGTGATGATGTGCGGTGGGGTTTTGTCGCGTGTCGAGCGCTCCTCCAGGGTTCTTGTGCGCGGGCGCGTCTGGTTATCTCTCGCAGCTCGCAGAGCGTAGTCGTTGTCGTTTGAGTTTGCACGGGGGACAAAGGCTCGGGGATTGCCGGCGCGGGAGGAGGAAGTGTTTGAGCGCGGCGAGACGGGCGGGGATTGGTAGGTTGCGGTCTGATTCGCATTTGCCGTTTGGTCGTCGTCGGGGAGAACATTTTCGGGGGTTACGGCCCGGATGGTGTTGTGGGCAAGGCGGTCGTCCGGCCGCGATTCCCTTGCTTGGGTACCGGTCTGGACGGCCTCTACAGCATCGACCTCTCTCCTGCTCCGGCGGCTTTGTTTCGACGTCTGCTCCATGATGCCGGCAAGCAGGGCTTGGCTGGTGCTAGACTGGACAGGCGACCAGCAATCCCAGGCGGGACTGCAGAAAAAGAAAGGAGGGGAGGGGAGAGGTGTCGCGGGCACAGGTCCAAAGCGAGCAGGCGGCACAGATGGAGGCGCAGGGCGCGTTTAGATTGTTGGTCGAGGGCAGAGGGGCAGCCGGGGTCCTATGCAGACGACAGAATGTGCTGTGAGCGTGGGACGGGCATTGACGGATCGCCCAGCAGGAACCCGGATGGTTGTCACCGGGGGATTGCAGAAAGACGAGCAACGAGTGCGTGCGCGGCGCATCTCATGCTCAGAGTCGGTCGCAGGATGAAGTAGGTCCAGATGCACCGAGAAGGACTGACTGGATAATGGAGGTGCGTTGCGGCGATGGGAGGGAGGGGGGGCGTCGGTTACCAGGACCCAATGGCAGCGCACAGCATCAGTGGAGATGGAAATGCAGTGGAGTGGAGTCAGGGTGTGGGTGGAGTGGAGTGGATGGAGGTCGGGCGGAGCGAGATGGCAACGGGCGAGGCAGGACGACGACGAAGAAGAAGACGACGACGAGTGAGAGGAGGGAGGGGTTGCGAACACGAGATGGGATGGGATAGGGACGAGACCGACGACGACGACGACGACGACGATGGCGGATGGACAGATATCAGAGCAACAGCATGTGTGGAATTATGGGGTTAGTGCGGTTGGTGGTGGTGGTTGTGTGCATGCAACGCAGGCAGACAGGCTTCATGAGTAAGTAATTTGCTGGAGCAGTCGATGCCGTGGGAGTGGTGATTGATGGGCAGCGAACAATACCCGGTTGGGTCACTTGATTCCCTCGCTAGCCGCCCCTTTGCAGCCTAGCGTTATCATCCGCCTGCCTATACACCACGGCCTCCTCGGGCGGTACGTCAACTGGCTCGCATAGCCCAATCATGCCGTGGTTTATTATTGCTGTTATACCCGTCCAGTGCCAACCTTCTTGTTTTTTCTCGCCCTCTTCGTTCGCGGTAGGATCCAGAACCCTTGCATCCGGTGCCATCTGCGTTGGGACCACCATCTGTCTCCTGGCCGTGCGAGAGGGAATCGAGGGGATCGAGGTTATCAAGGGGAACGGGAACAGCATTGCAAAGCACACATTGTACGAGCACAACACTTGCACGTGGCTTGCTTGTGCAATTCATCCGGGCAGCGTGGGCAGCATGGGCAGCACTCATCACCATCTGTCCGACTTGCATAATTCAGTACCTGTCTCTTCATGCTGCCTGCGAGCCTATGTATGTAGGTACTACTTAGGTAGACAGTAGCAAGCAATATACCTCAAACCCAAACTCCAGTGGATATCTGCAACCCCAGCATTTCCCAATCTCTCCGTTTACATCCCACACGCATGGAAAGAAAAGGGAAAAAAAAAGATATAGAAGAGAAGAAGAAGAAGAAACATGAGACCACATAGCCTTTGTGCTGAACACGAAAAATGGTTATGATGATCAAACGAGGATTGAAAGGAACAAGTAGAAAAGAAGAGAAAAAAAAAAGACACGAGAATACGTGACAAGATCAAGAAAGTTGCGCCAATCAGCTAACCGGATAGGCGAAAGCAAGGAAAAGAAGCCATGGACAGTAAAATTACTTGGATGATGGCAGGTCGGTGGGAAGAGCTTCCTCCGCACTGGCCGCGCCGAGTGATTGCGACCTCGCGCCGCTCAGATCGCCCGAACCGGTTCTGCGCAGCGCCTGGCGCATCGTCTGCAAAAGTCATGGTCAGTAAAGTTCAATTGAGGGTTCAATGCATTTTATCAAAGTCTCAAAATGCTGCATAGCGTGGCGTACCAGTGCGCGCTGTACCCCGGAAACTTACCTCAATCTGCAAATCTCCAGCCAATGGCTGGCTCAGTGTGCTGTGCATGGTAGGGCTGCTGGGAGATCGTGCGCCGGCCCCTTTCTCCGATGCGGCACCACTCCTCGGCGGGGAAGCGCTGAAGCCGTGCGAGGATACTGGTGACCGAACAGGAGATGGTGAACGGTCGACAGTGGACGACAAACTCATGAATTGCACAGCATCCCTGTCTGTCTCGGCCAGCTCGGCTTGCACAACGTCTGCAAAGGAGATAAAGCTCAGGCGTTTCGGGTCGGCCGTGTCGAGAGAGCCATAACTCGGGTTGTGGGTTGATTCGGAGAGATCGTGGTGGCTACTGGACGCCAGATCCTCTTGTATGAGCGACGGCGAATGAATCGACTCGCTGACACTTCCAGCTACAGCGGCAGCGGCGGGCTGATGGGCAGAGTGCATTATGATCTCGACCTCGTCTGGATTGAGGTGGTTGTCGGTGATTGCAATCGAGGAGGCGTCCAGTGCTGCCGGGATATGATCTTCGGTCTGTATATGGGCAGGTATGGCCGGGGAGTTTTCGGGCTCCTGCACGTTTCTCTCGAAAATCTGGCTCGACGCAGGTGAATGCAGACCGGGCGAAGAGGAACGGACTCGGCGGCCGGGAGAGGCGGCGATGCCAGCTGGGTAGATTCGTGGGCTTCCACGGGGAGACAGCCCGCGGGGCGAGGTGGTCAGAGGTGGTGAGGGGAGCAGAGAGGGCGCCGACGTGGGAGTCACGATGCGGTTGCTCTGTGCTGGCGTCGTCTCGGGCGCTTCGTCTTTGGGGTTCAAGCTCAATATCTTGCGCTTCCCTCTCTCCGTCGCCGTCGTGTGATCTGCGTTGTCGGTCGTGAACGGCGGCATGGCTTTGGTGGATTCTGCGGCGCTCATGGCGTGGTCTTTCGCGCTGGGAGGGGTGGTGGGCGGTGGGCGGTGGTGGTGTTGAGGTTGAGCTGGGTTGGTTGGTTGGCTGGTATGTAGAGGGGTAAGTGGTCGCTTGCTGGGTTCCGCTCCGCTTCGTACAGGGAGAGAGGGCGGTCGACAGGGAGAAGAAGTAGATGGAAGAAGACGAGGAGCAGGACAGCGGGCGGGACAATGGCTTCAGTCACTCAAGCGATTAATTAGTCAATCAAGGACCAAAGGCTGCTGGTGCCTATCACGCACAAATATGTGGCTGCTGGCTCGTTGGCTGCGTCTTCCCTGCGCTGCCCTGTCCGTCCGGTATTTGAATGTTTCAACGTTGAGTTTGGGCGATGACGTTGCCTCGCGGATCGTCGTCTTATCTTGTTTTAGCTTTGTCCGTTTCAATCTTCCATCCCTTCTCCTGTGATCTTGTGACGACGTGGAAACACGGGAGGAAAGAACGCAGAGATTGAGAGACGGGCCGACGTTATGATTTTACTTGTTTTTGCGCCGGGTCACTGTACATTGTCAGGCTCTTCTGCGTTGGCTCTACAGACAACACTTGAACCCATCTGCCCATCTTCAAGTCTCAACCTTGAAAATGCGAGGCTTCGTTCAACCCTTCTACCGAGTCAGTCAGTTGCCGCACCCCATAAGCCCCTGATTGTGCCACTTGAGTATGTGCTCATTATATCTGCCGCCTGTATATATACACGTCGCTGAGGATCGACGTTTACAGTGGCAGCACAGTCACTCGCGCTCGCCTTGCCCTGCGTTTCAAGGCTTACCTGCCCCTCCACCAGTAGAATCGAGGTCGGTGCTCTTCTACTGTGTGAATTAATCTGTGGCAAGGTTTTCTTTTGGTGTAGATAGGGGCGAGGTCCGTCTGTCGCATCTCCTGGATGTCTTCGCAAAGGAAGCTCGTCTGATTGATCAGTTGGTGGCCATCCTTTGCCTGTTCATGCAGGAACCAAGTACAGACACATGAGCTACGTGAGCTAGGGCCGCCACCTCAGCGCATTATCTGGCCCCCATAATCTCATCCCCTCCTGTTTCACCCTTGATGTGGCCAAAAGCCTCGTGTCATCAGAATTGCCTTCGTCCTGACATTTCCTGGCCCAAAGAGGAATCCAATTGCCTGCCCCTACATATCAATACGAGCTGAACGATGCTGACGGTCATTTAACTTGCTCCCAAGGAAGAGTGCTGTAAGATGGATTGGATAGATAGTCCATTGCACGTACAAGTATGTTAGTACATACAACTAGATTATTCCAGTGTACTGTACAGGAGCTTTGATTACTACATCAAGTATGCATCGGGTCACCGTTTAGCCTGGTTGCAGATCCAAATTCAATGCGCGCACAGCTTGTGCGTCTCAGTACACGGTACATGTCGTGCCAGCGATTGAAGTTCCCGCTCGATTTTGCCACCTACAGATGCTAATCTAGTTCCAAAAGCAATCAATCCTCCCATTTCAAGCTGCACAGCTTGATCCATCTCCCCAAAGCCCAACATTACGAGTTGAAGAGAAGATGGCATCTATTGTGGATGAACGACGGTACGTACATCCTGGTAGACATCATGAAAAGGGTTTAGTGCCATCTCCCAAAATGGTACATTGCTCAGTGGACCCTCTTTGACGGTTGGGACCGCACATCGCATGTTTCTTCCAAACACCCAAATCTTCAACGTATCCCCTCCCCATGGAGGCCGAGAAGCGTGCCTATCCAGGCTTGCTTCATCGTCTTTCACAGCTTTCGATCCAATCGGCGGTTTGCTCAACCTTGTTCACGTCGCATGCACGGCCTGTCTTCGCGTTTTGGGTAGTGGCTGGAGGCTTGAGAGTTGCATATCGGGACCCGAAGGTCATCTCCGATGGCATCCTCTTTGGAATCGTTTGTGCCTTGAATAGAAAGGATAATGTGTTGAGCATACTCGGTCAAGTCTTGGATGCCTTTCACTCATCTACCACAGCCAAGTCGTTGATGAGCTTGCTAGCAGCAGGTGGAATACTCGTCTTCTTACGTCGGCAAACAAGCAAAACCCCAACATTCCAGCTTACCAATGATGCAAATGAAGAAACTTTGGATTGGACTCTGGCGCATCCAAAACCTCTAATCTTTCCTTGTCGGACTACTCATGCGCGAATTTTCCCGAAAAAACATTCTTTTGGCTACGACTACCTGCTATGCGGATATCCGATTATCCCAACAGGGACAACTCAAGACGGCAAGGATATCAATGACGGCAGAGATCAAAGGCTTGGCTTCTGGTGGCTCCACATCAGAGCCGAAGACTATCTGAAGCGCGGCCAAGGTTCGCTAGGCTTCTACAACAAACTTCAATCATACTTGAGGCAAGAAGTACGTGATCGCTCCGGAGCCAGACTCGGCCATCTTCTTTGGTAGACTCATTCACTTACCTGGAGCAGGGCGTGCAAGACGCAGAATGGTCGTATGCGTACTTGGTAACGGCTCCACGATTTTTTGGATACTCTTTCAACCCTGTCTCATTCTGGTACATTTACAACTCGCAACATGACCTTACGAAAATGATTCTCGAGGTAAACAATACTTTTGATGAGCGTCGCCTCTACCTACTAGACGGGTCCAGCCCTCCCAGCCCGCCGCAAACATCGGTTCCTGGGAACTCGGCGCCAGTTGCGGACAGGATGAGGTTCACAGACGTATGGATGAAGGATTTCCATGTTTCTCCATTCAATTCGCGTAAAGGCTCATATGCGCTGAAAGCATTGAATCCTTTCCCTTCTCCGAGCTACGGGGATCCTAAAATTGATAACAATATCACACTACAGTCATCCAAAGACCACTCGAAACTAGTAGCACGAGTGTACAGCACTGGAAGCTCTATAAGTCCAGACTGTATGCGCATGACAGACTTCGTCCGTTTCCTCGCGGGCTGGTGTTGGGTTGGCTTTCTTACCTCCCCGCGCATAATTAGAGAAGCGTCCAGGCTGTACTTTCAAAGAAGTCTCCATGTGTGGTTTCGTCCAGAGGTCGTAGAAACAAGCATTGGACGCAAGCCAACTAGTACAGAGAGGTAATCATACATTCCCGACTACTATATCCATCGCTAATGACAATCAGCCACATCGAGGAGGTCTTTCGAGATTATCTAGACCATCTTGTGCAAAATTCGAGCAAGCCAATTGAGCTTCATTACGAATCTGCCATTCCAAATGAACCCAAAACATGGATTATTAGATCTACTGCGGATCCTCATGTGGAACGTAGAAGGCTCGACATACGGGTCACCACTCCTGCATTTTATTCACGATTAGTACATTATGCGCATATTTCAGAAGCATTTGATCGCGAGCATACTTTTACTGATGAAAGGAACCGGACTCTCTGGATTTCGCGACCAGAGATTCTGTTTGAACTATGTACTGGGAAGCCAAATGACAATAAAGATCAGTCTCGAGGAAGGAGTTTTATCGACGAGTTGCAATGGTCGTTGCTCAGAAGGCTGAGATGTCCACCTGCGGATGCCGCATATCCTGTCACACCGAAGAGAGCCGATATGGATATAGACGACATTCGGACGCTGCCGTTCTCTGATATCGATCGATTTGTGAGAGATGGCAAGGGGTATGCGGGACTCTACAGGAGGATGGTTACGAAGATATTCATCGCCCAGAGATTTGCGCTGGGTTTCACGGAGGCGGTGGATGTCGTGGATTTTGCTATTCGAGTTTTACTCTGCTGGGTAAGCTATCGCAGTTTTGTTGCATGGGAAGCAGATTGCGAGAAGCAAATCACGTCCAATGCTGCATGTATATGGCGATTCAGCGCCGTGGGTACGGAATGGATCCGCGTTTCAGGCCGAGTCGTCGCAGTATGCGCATGGCACATGTACGGGCTGCTCAAAGGGTATAGATAGTGGGTGAGACTGGATTCTTCACATGCGGCCATGTTTCGCATCAGTTACGATGTTGAATCGCGACAGTTGATGCCAAGGGTCCGACGTTGGCCTAGCCATGAGATCGATAAGTCAGCCGAGGTCCACACGCGAGATGGTCGTCCATCGATTGGGGTCTCCACGCCGTTGATGACCAGAGCACGGTTTCGTTAGCCGCAGGACATGGACGACAGCCTTCACATGCCTGGAGCTGGGTCAGCATTTCAGGATATTGACGGCAAAGTTCCTCGCGCATGTGATGGATAGGTCAGTCCTGTCTTGATAGAGAATAGCACCTGGTTCTAGGGATACGCTCACGGCAGAAGGGAGCCCGCATTGCAGCAGCAGTAGCATAAGCCAGTAATGAGATGATCCGCAAAGTCTTTGCAGAAGACAAAGAGTGCAGCAACATTGAATCCCATCCGAATTCGCATGAATGCTCTCATGGCAGCTCTTGTACTCATAAAAATGGTCTTGGTACAACGTCATACCGTCGGATCTGCGCTGCTATCCTCGCACCACACACGCGACGTCCTTTGGGCCGAGCAGCTCTTCGTCCATCCTTTCGCCAGCGCCATTTGCTCGGCCAAATGGTATCCAGGTCCCGATCGCCCCCGAGGCCGCACTAGAGCTGACTGACTGGCGGGGGAGAGTGAAGGAAGAGCGGAACCTACCCCAACGTGGAGTGGGTCGTAGCTAAGGTATGGGGGTTTCTCGGTATGGGGTCGGCAAGCGCTTTCAGCTGTCAGTTTAGCACACATCCCCCTCGCGACCATGATGCACCCGTTCGCAAAGATAGCTTGGCTTCTTGCCGTTTTGGTGTGAAACTCTGGTTCAAAGGGTGCTGGCACTTATTGGTGCTTGCTCCTCGCTCATCCGAGGTTCAATGGCTTAGACGTCTTGCTCCTCTGTGTCATCATTCTGTCAAAGAAAACCTGCCCGTCTCCCCCCTCCCTTCTCCGACTTGTTCAATTCCCTCAGACTTTTTTGCTTTTCTTCGTTTGCTAAAAGTACATCTTGACTTGTTTTGTTCCACCGTGCATTCCGAGCTTAGTTGCATATACATTCCTGCCTGACATCCACCATGGCCAACATCGATGCCGAAGACCAGCGCTACAAACAAGAAGTTGAAGAAGTGAAGAAGTGGTGGAGTGATGACCGATGGAGATACACAAAGAGGCCTTACATGGCGGAGCAGATCGTGCAGAAGAGAGGGACGTTGAAGCTCACCTACCCAAGCAATGTGCAGGCGAAGAAGATGTGGAACATTGTAGAACAAAGGTTCAAGGTAATGCTCTGATACAGCAAGTCAAAAACACTTTTGCTGACTATACGGTTAGAATAAAGAAGCAAGCTTTACCTATGGCTGTCTCGATCCTGTCATGATCACTCAGATGGCAAAGTATTTGGACACTGTTTATGTATCTGGCTGGCAATGCTCTTCAACTGCTTCCTCAACGGATGAGCCTGGTCCAGATCTTGCAGATTACCCCATGGTAATTCTCCATCTCTCCTAGAGAATGTCGTTTTTACTGACTATCGGAAGACAACCGTACCCGACAAAGTACAGCATCTGTTCATGGCACAGCTGTTCCACGACCGAAAGCAGCGGGAAGAACGCCTTTCCACCGACAAAGCAAACCGCTCAAACGTTGCAAATGTCGACTATCTACGACCGATCATCGCCGACGCAGATACTGGTCACGGAGGTTTGACCGCCATTATGAAACTCACCAAGCTGTTCATCGAGAAAGGTGCTTCGGGAATTCACATCGAGGATCAAGCACCGGGAACCAAGAAATGCGGCCACATGGCTGGCAAAGTTCTTGTGCCCATCAGCGAACACATCAATCGTCTAGTCGCTATCAGAGCACAAGCAGACATCATGGGTAACTTCAACCCAAACCAACCAAGGAGAAATCATGATTATGCTGACCAGATATCCCCCACAGGCGTCGACCTCCTCGCAGTCGCACGCACCGACTCGGAAGCCGCCACGCTCATCACATCAACCATCGACCCACGCGACCACCACTACATCCAAGGCAGCACGAACCCGGCCCTCCAGCCCCTAGGCGAACTCATGTACGCCGCAGAGCAAGCGGGCAAAAGCGGGCCCGAACTCCAAGCCATCGAAGACGCATGGACAAAGGAAGCGCACCTCAAGCTCTTCCACGAAGCCGTCACAGACACCATCCGCGCTGGCGTCCACGTCAACAAAGAATCCCTCATTGCCGAGTTCTTGCAAAAAAGCAAAGGCAAGAGCAACTCGGAAGCCCGCGCCATCGCGAAGGGTATCACGGGCGTCGATGTCTTCTTTGATTGGGAAGCCGCAAGGACTAGGGAAGGGTACTATAGGTACCAGGGTGGTTGTCAGTGCGCTATCAACCGCGCGATCGCGTACGCGCCGCATGCGGATATGATTTGGATGGAGTCGAAGATGCCGGATTATGCGCAGGCCAAGGAGTTTGCGGATGGTGTGCATGCTGTGTGGCCGGAGCAAAAGTACGTTCTACTCCCCTTCCCTCCCCCCTTACTTTTCCTTCCGTTTGTCTAGCATGAAGGGAGATGGCTAACGTTGGAACCCCCAGACTCGCATATAACCTCTCCCCCTCGTTCAACTGGAAAGCCGCGATGCCGCGCGACGAGCAGGAAACGTACATCAAGCGTCTCGGCGCGTTGGGTTACTGCTGGCAGTTCATCACGCTCGCTGGACTGCACCAGAATGCGCTCATGGCGGATACGTTCAGTAAAGCGTATGCCAAGCAAGGGATGCGTGCGTATGGCGAGATTATCCAGGAACCCGAGGCCGATAACAAGGTCGATGTGCTTACGCATCAGAAGTGGAGTGGTGCGAATTATGTGGATAATCTGCTGAAGATGGTCAGTGGTGGGGTTAGTTCCACGGCGGCTATGGGGAAGGGAGTTACGGAGGATCAGTTCAAGTAGGTCAAGAGTGGGTTTGGGACGGGGAGGTGGAAAGGATGTGATGTGTGAGTGAGAAATGTGGTAGATTGATATTATGGGATTATTGCGAGCTTTGAATAGCTTCGTGGGGTATTTTGGTTATGTACATTTATTAAATGATGACTTTCTTCATACACTTCTCCAGCCATCCCGCACGGGATTCATTCTCTGTCGTGTTTCGTATGCTCGCAATGGTTCGACTGTCCGTGTCGGCGAACATTCCGATGATCGATTCCAAGCAATGAACAATTATCTGCTTGAGTAAAATCCGTACACTGCGGGCGGCTTGATGAGTGTCTTCCTACACTGTTTTGGCATGCTGCCTGAAGGGTGTTGATGCGTTTTGTGTGGGAACATGCTTTCCTCTAAGCTTCCTCCAATCGCAACATGCACTCCATCTAGAGGCTCCCACAACATCAGCCATGTCTATTCCTAACCGGACATGCTGGTTCAAAATCCCTTCACAGGCCATCCATCTCTTCAAATCATGCCGTCCTCCCACTTGACTTCTCCCCTACTCAGCTTGCTGCTTTTCGACACGGGCGTGAAAAGCTCAGCACGCAACACCAACACAGCCGGAACCACAGCCAATGCATCGATAGTCCTGCTCCGTCTATGCCTCTTCCCAAGATCCATAGCCGCTGCCACTTCCCGACTCTTCACTGATGACGGCTCCTGTGCTACTCTAGATGCGCTGCTCTTGCTCGTAGACGAGTCGCTGGAAGATCCGCGGCGGTGGAATGGTCTCAGTGATTGTAGACTGTGTGCGCGGGTCCGCAAGTGTGCGTAAGTTGATGGGCCTTTTTTGGGAAGAGAAGGGAGTGGGATGTTGATTTCGGTGAAGAGGGGTTCTTTTGGGTCGCGCTTAAGGTCATTGATGGTGAAGGGCGGATACATGTATTCGTCTTGTGTTTGTGTGGATGTGATTATGGGCGTTGTAGATGCTGTAGGTGTTGTAGACATGGGATTCGATTCCTCGTTCTCGAGGATGACCGTGTTGGTGTTAGAGAGTGCTGCGGGTGCGCAGGATTCGGCAGGCTCAACAGCCTCGAGGATTTCGTGCATGGCGTGTTTTGTGTCTGTATGCTTTGTGTTTCTTGGAGAAGATATAGTCGACGGTAATTAAGTGGGAGGTTTTTGCGCTTCTGACGTGGCAGCGACTGGTCTGTACATATATGTATCGAAGGCTGAACCCTGCACAGCCCCTACTCAGGTACCAGCCAGCCCCCAAGTGCACATGCACAGATCTTGGATGTTATCACGCGCATACTCTCAAGCATTGCCATAAGTGGAGTACGGTCCCTCTGGCTGTTTAAGCCTGCATCTGGGTACTAGAGTATCAAGATGTGCAGTCTGCATCGTAGTATACTTGTGGTCCCGCAACTGTCAACGCTTGGTAGAATGCATAATAGTCTGTGGATTCACAAGACCAAAAGTTCAAGCTGCAAACTGGCAACCTTGTGTTGATTCAACGCCACTTGTTGAGCGGCGAGCTGAGTCGGAAGTGTGTCATCATTATGAGTCCTGCCGGCGCAGTCAGACATTGTCGGTACCCAGCTGACGTGCAAGGTAGTAGTCGTATAGGACGCGATGATGGGGCGCAGCGCGTGTTCCGTGCCAGTGGGTACCTAGATGGAAATGTAGGCAACACGAGAAAGCTGAATGCAGGACATCAACATGAGGATATAGGGTATAATTCGACTACTGGTGGTTCCAGATTCTGCATTGAGGAAGTGCCCGGGTAAGGTACAGATTGCACTATATATGATCGAGTATATGATGTTTCCTTGTGGGAATGGAGCCGTCTGCGCATTCAGCGTATGATATATCGGTCGTAGAATATAGGTCGATGCCAAAGCATATTCAGTTCCACGATAGATCAGTATTCCGGGAATGGACAAGCAAGAGTGGTGTGTGATGACGATGGAGATGATGATCAAAGGCTGAAGTGGAGTGGAGAGGTTGGCTAGCGGTAACCGCTTCCGGCCAATCTCGGAACCGGCTTTCCGATGCCCACCACTCAGAGAAATGTGAAGATGATTAAAAAAAAAAGCTTACGTGTGGCTAGGTATTCAGGCTGTAGTGGAATGACTGACTGAATGAATGAGTGAAGGAGCAAATATGCGGGCCCGAAATGCGCAAAAGCTTAGCTCGATGGCGCGCGTCGGTCGGCACAGGGAAAAACAACCAAGACCACGATGGCCCGCATTAGAAAGAAGAAAGCCAGCCGAGGCGGCCCTGGTCCGTTGCCGCCGCCGTTGGTCGTTGGTACTCGAGAAATCTTCAACCACCCACCCGTTTTCTGCATCCCAGTTTGCTTCACCTGTTCACTCACCATGCCACCCCACCGTTGAAAGCCTCCCCCCTCACCACGCCCCGCCCAGGCGATTCGGCCAAATTACTCTTCTTCAACCCACAAACAACCCACCAAGCAATCTCCCCACCGCCTTGCGGACCTTGTTCCTCCCCCACTCAACCACCCTCCACGCCTTGTCAAAGGAAGAGTGGAAAAAAAAAAGAAAGAACAAAACTGCTGATTGCGAGACGCCACTGTCATCATGGTGCGCAATATTGTTGTTCTGGGCGGCAGCAGTAGGTTTCCTTTCGCTCTCCCATCCCCGAGTTCCACGCGCTGACGACCTTCTTCTTCTTCTGCTTCTCTCTAGGCCATCCTCAATTGACCCAGCAAATCTGCGACCATCTGGGAATCCCCCCCGCCAAACGACTTGTGAGCCCTCTCCCTCCCGACTCATTCCCACCCTCGCTAATCCTTTCTCGAAGCTTACCAAGTTCGCTGTGGGAGAAACCAGAGTCGAAATTGGCGAATCTGTGCGCGGCAAGGATGTTTTCATTGTGCAGAGCGGCGCGGGGACAGTCAATGACAACTTGATGGAGCTGGTAGGCTCGCGAGTACACGTCTGAAGGCTACTCCTAATACCCAATCTAGTTGATCTGCATCTCTGCCTGCCGAACTGCCTCCGCAAAGCGTGTCACCGCCGTCCTCCCCTTGTTCCCCTACTCTCGCCAGAGCGATATCCCGTATAACAAGACCGGTGCCCCTCTCGCCAAAGTCCCCACCCAGACACACAGCCGCCAAGGCACCTTCACATTCGAGAGCGTGCCCCAGACACCACACCCGGGTCAGAGTGCAAGTGCGGGACTGCCCAATGGCACCGCTTCTCTGGACAGGCAATTGGAGCGCATCAAGCTCACCCAAGATCGAGGCGGCATTGCCCAGCCCATCAGTCCCATCAAGCGCTCCGACACTCTCGACTCCAAGAAATCCGAAAACGGCGACAAGGGCTACTTTGCGATCAACGGCGTCAACAACAACGCTAGAGTGCCGGTCAAGCTCCCGCCATTTGAACCGCAGCCCGGTTACAAGCAATGGGTTGCACAGGCCGGGACTTTGATTGCTGATCTCCTCACCTGCGCTGGCGCAGATCACGTCATCACTATGGATTTGCACGATCCTCAGTACCAGGGTTTCTTTGACATCCCAGTAGACAATTTGTACGGCCGCCACATGCTGCGCAAATACATACAATTGATCCCCGATCATCAACAAGCCGTGGTCGTGAGTCCAGACGCAGGAGGAGCAAAGAGAGCCACGGCGATTGCTGATGCCTTGGGCATGCCATTCGCTCTCATCCACAAGGTTAGTCAAGTCGATCATGTCTTCCCAAATAAATCATACTGATACGTCGTAGGAGAGACGCCCCACCCAGATCAACGACCGCCAGAACGCGACCATGATGTTGGTAGGAGAAGTCAAGGATCGACAGTGCTTCCTCATTGATGACTTGGCGGATACCTCCAACACCATCACTCGAGCTGCGAAACTCTTGAAGAAAGAAGGTGCCAAGAACGTGGTAGCTCTCATCACACACGGAATCCTGAGCGGCGATGCCATAGACCGCATCAACGCAAGCGCTTTGGACAAAGTGGTTGTGACGAACACAGTACCTCAAGAGGACCACAAAAAGAGGTGCCCCAAGCTAGAGGTCCTGGATGTGGGCAAAGTCTTTGCGGAGGTACGTTCCGACTCCAACCCAATTGGGGATCGTCATTCATCTAACATGTCTACAGGCAATCCGACGTGTGCACCATGGCGAGAGTATCAGCGTACTTTTTGATTACAACTAGTGTGGAACAACATACTCGAGTTATTTCTGTCTAAATGGGTGTACAACAGATCTCTTTTTCTTGCAATACTCGGGCCTCTCCTTTAATCATCTGTCCGTAATGGTTCGTTTTCGGAGGTGGCAGTTTATCATAGCCGGAACCAAACCACCACTGTGTTTTCCATGTGTGCATATTGTCGTGTCTTGTTTCTTCTGCCCATAACTGCAACTATCCTCTGGTTGCTTCAAAATTCATTTCTCCTGATATACTACTACCTAAAGCATAGATAGCCGTGCGAATTCATACATGCACTCCTTATAGATGTATAGAATATGCACATGAGAGCTGCTCATGAGCCAGCCTGTTTCCCAATGCTTTGTGCCACGCGTTGTGAAGTCTTTGTATGCTTTCCTGAAGAATGCCCGCCCAGTTTCGAGGCATCTTAAGCCACCTCCTATGGGGAGTGTTTTCAGATGGGGAGGCAGCACAACAGTCGTATTCAGGCTGGAACAATTATGTTGGTCTCCTAAGTCTGAACAGGCGTGGGATAGTTCTCATTAGAAGGCAAACACTTTCTGTATAACACAACATCAATTGCCTTTCACAATGGGTATGATGATTACTCTGATTCCCGAGCCCTTTTTATCACACGCTCTTGCTCCTAGAGAACAATATCGTTCAGCTCTACTTTAATGACTTCTCCGCGATAGCATTCTCCTCCTCTTCCAATACACCCATAACCCCCACCGTCCACTCCCTCTGCTTCTCCGCTGGCGGCAAATACGGTCGTCTCGGCCAAAAAGCCTCAGGTCTCACTCCAAGCTTCTCGCCCAGAAAATGACCCGCTGCAAACTTGGTCAACGCCAGACTTTTCTTGCAAGCCCACTCCGCATTTGCAACCACCTCCTGCAATGCCCTCGCCTCCTCCTTCTTCCCCTCCACCCACAAATCATACACTTTCGCCGTCGCTTTGGGAAACACATTCCCCATCCCTGTCACACACCCTACACCGCCCGCCTCGAGCGTCGGAAACAAGAAATCAGAAGACCCGCCATAAACTGAAAACTGCTCCGGCGAGAATCTCGAAGTAAGCCGTACAGCTTTCCCAACATTCCCACACGTCAGCTTAACAGCAACGATATTCGGATGCGCCGCCAACGTAGCCAAATCATCCGAATTAAGATCCACACCCGCCGTCACCCCAGGGAAATTATACACAACGATGGGCAGCGGCGACGCATCAGCTACATCCGTATAAAACCCGACCAGCACTTCCTCGGTGACAGCCTTTGGCCAGAAACTCGGCGGAAGCAACAACGCGAACGAGGCCCCCGCTTGATACGCGTCGTTTGCAAGCTCGATACTCTCGTTGGTGCTCTGTCCGCTTATCCCCGCTACAATGGGATAATCGGGGACCCCGAGATCGGTGACTGCGCGCCGCGCGGTTTGCAGGATAGAGGATTTTTCGGAGCGCGAGAGGAGGATTGCTTCGCCGTTTGTGCCTTGGTAGACTAGTCCGTGTTGTCCAGATTTCACGAGGTATTGGCAGTGTGTGTACATTGCTTCGAGGTCGATTTCTTGGGTTTTGGAGGGCTTGTAGAGGGATATCACGGGGGTGTAGACGCCGGGAGGAAGCATCGTCTTTTTGGGGGGGATGGAGGATTTGGTTATCGGCATTTTGGGTAATCTTTCAAGGTAGTTTGGGGTTGAATATTGGGGATTAAAGAGCTATAAGTGGGAGTGTAGAGTGTTGGTATAGAAGTTGAGGAGTGGACAATGTCATGTACCGAATGTAAGAGTTGAGAACGATATGGACACTACCTATACGACACGTTCTTTCCACGAGGCAATGCGCGGTATTTCCGATATAGTTCCGCTCGGAACGTTGTCCAGTCACCCTCCCCCAATGGTGGGGATTGAGGGTGGATAAGACGTCGGAGAGAAGGCCGTACGCTAGTTTGGTCGGGACTATCGACAAGCTCAAGGCTGTCCAGGTAAAGCTTTCTCCCCACAGCGGGGTATGCTTGTCATTCTGGGGTACTCACATGACTTTAGACATTGTTCCAAGGTTCGGACGCGCGTGAAGGTGTGATTGGGGAGAGTTTGAGGTGCTCACCTCTGTCATGCGGATGTACAAGTGGAACATTCAGTGAGAAACGACAACTGTCCAGCGCGCCAAAGTATACAGTGAGTAATTGGCTTCGGGCATGTTCAATTTTCGTTACCTAAACGATAACTCTTAAACTTGACCACATGTATCGAAACCAGTAGATCTGAGTATGACTGTCAAGGATTCAACATGTCATCTCAAAATTTACCAACATAAGAATGTTCAAATTAATGTATATTGGTACTCCAAACAGATATCGCTGGAACGTAGGAATAAGCGATTTAAATGACTTGAAATTATGTAGACCATCTCTCAACCACCTCCCAAAGCGTCTGATCACTCCCTACATTCCCAGGAAATACAACATAAGGCAGACCGGGATGCTTGCACGTCGTCTCGTCGCATCTCCAAAGTGGCACACCGGCGGCTGCTTGACCCACAATCATCGCCTTTCCCATGTTCAAGCCTTTGGTTGCCATATCGCTGCTTGTAATTCCGCCTTTAGCAATAACATAGCGCGGCTTTGTCTGTAATCGTTGAAGAAACGAAACGAGTGCTGCGGCCACAGTAGATCCAATGTCCAGTGAAGAACCCTCGTCCGCACCGACAACGAGCTTTCGTGAAGTCATTACAAGGACGTCTTGTGGTCTATTCAACTCTTCCTCAGCCGTCGCAAGAGCGTGTTGAAGTTCTGTTTCCGCGCTCGAAGACGATAGCAGGAGTTTATTGACGTCCAGTTCAACTGTAGTGAGACGAGACCCAGATTTCTCGCGGAGTACTTTGAGTTGCGCTGTTGTTTTGGGGACATACGATCCCGCAATGATCAGCCCACCTCGCGATGAGTCCAATCCGAGCTCTTCTGCTGAGATGGGTGGGATGGGCGATATACCCAATCGTGCCGACACAAAAGCTGCACCAGAGCGGAAGAGAAACTTCTTCCCTTTAGCAGAAGCTCTGAGGATTCCCAAAACAACGACATCCATATCTTCCTCTGCTGCGGAATTGACAATGAACACGGTTCCTTTCTCCGCGTTACACAGCAACTCCTCCACTCTGCCCATCCCACCTCCCCGTATATCTTTCAACGCTAGACTCTTTACTCTTTCTCTTGCAATTGATCCTTTGGACTTCTCCACCACCCAGTCTCTCAAGTCACTGCTCTTATAGCCGAATGTGGCGTCCTTTGCGAACGGCGTTTCCCCAGCCGGCACCAAAGTATCGCCTTCTGAAACGTAATGCACATCATTGATCGTGTATCTCCCCCCCTGCAAGAAAAAAGGCGCGAGTATCCACGCGTGGGTCTGCCCCAGGACTTCCTCTACAGCCTCTGGTTCCAGTGGAAAATGGCCCCTCAGAGTAGAATCACCCCGCAACACCACCTCAAAAGTCTTACCAGCTCGAAGAGCTGCTTCCTTGAGGTTCGTACATATTTCGATCATTAGTTGTTTGGCCGCGGGTGGGTGCAAGGCTCGTGAGTTGGTCAAAATGAAGAATCCGCTTCCGGGAGCTGTATGAGCGAATTCTTCGGTAAGAACATCGATGCTCCACCTTGTGAGGACGGGGATGTTGTGGCATGTTTGTGTTCCAGTCGGGTCGTCGTCGAGGGCGATGAGAATCGGTATGTTGGGGTTCGACTCAATTTCTGTCCTTGTTTGCGATCGCAGGTTTTCCGAGGTTGTTTGTAGTGCGGGAAGAGTCGCCAAGGTAGATCGCAGGGAGAGAGGAGAAGGAGACATTGTGAAGTGATCTTGCAGTTCCCAGTAACATTGGGTTGATGCTCCATAGTGAATGTAGTATTTAGCTATCAGAAAAGGTCCGAGAAGGCGGCGGTGCGTGTCGGAGTTCTGTCCGGTCAACGTTTTGAGATGGAAAGCGACTTCTTGCAAGCTGAAGATGGAAATTTCGAACTGTGAGCCACCAAACTGGTCAACTGCAATGAACAGTGTAGTTTATGCATTCATTCTACATAGCTTGCACACTTCGTGGCTTATAGAGCTCTTCCAAGAATCTACAATCATCATCTGTCAATGTGACCTCCAAACCCTCCATAATCTGATCTACTCTCTCCACACTCGTAAGCCCAACAATGGGCGAACAGCCCTTCTTGATAACCCAGGCCGTTGCTACACTCGCCATACTACATCCCTTCTTGATACTCAATTGCTCGACCCTCCTGATTATCTCCGGCTCCGCATCGCCAAACCACTTCTGTGTCTTTGCATCCGCCTCATTCCTACTGCTCGTCTCACCTACCGGCTTGCCCAGCAAACCCCTCGCAAGTGGACTCCAAGGTATGATACCAATCCCCTGAGATTCACAAAACGGCAGCATCTCCCTTTCTTCCTCTCTATAAAGCAGATTGTAGAAAGGCTGCATCGACGTGAATGTAGTCCAGTTGTTCAGTTTTGCGGTATATTGCAAACGAGCGAATTCCCAGGTATACATGCTGCTCCCACCCAGATATCTTACTTTGCCCATGCAAACAAGATCGTGGAGCGCGCGCATGATTTCCTCAGGCGGTGTTTCGCGGTCCAGACGGTGTATCTGAAGGACATCGATATAAGAAGTCCCCAGACGTTCCAGCGATGCGTCGACAGCGTCGAAAATATGCTTTCGACTCAAGCCCATTTGGTTCACGAGCTCTTGGGAGTAGCTGTTTGGTGGTTGTGGTCGAGAATCATCTTCCATAACCGGGTAATAAAGTTTTGACAGTATTACTACCCTTGAGCGAGGGATGTTGAGTTTCTTCATTGCGCGACCGAGGATGCGCTCGCTTTCACCGTTGGAGTAGGTGTTTGCTGTGTCCCATGTGTTGATGCCAAGATTCCAAGCTCGTTCTATGACTTTCATGCTTTCGTCTTCTGATAATGTCCATGGCGAGCCCTCCCATGTTGGTGAGCCAAAAGCCATACAGCCGAGGATGATGCGGGAGGTTTTGAGGCCGGAGGTGCCGAGACGAGCATATTGCATCTTTGGAGCTTTTGACATGTTGGTGTATATCCAACTGTTGTGTGTTCTTGTTTGCAAGTCGATGTGAGTCAAAGATGGATAGAGTGGACATGATTGATTTCATGGAAGTCTGTCGGAATGGTATTCCGTCTTTCGGAAACAAGCCGCAAACTAATTGCAGTGTTCCGGTGTTCTCGCCGGGCCGTTGGATACCGTCCACACGTGTTGATATCGCTTCATGTGTTTCCATCGGCTGATATATTGCCAGGAGAATGACTATCTTCTCAACATTCAAGAAATTTAATTGTCCTTTTTGAGAGATTTCAAGTCGCCGATTTCACAACATAGCACACACGATGACTTCTCAGAATCCAGAGCAATACATTCTCATTACCGGCGCTGGGGGGTTTATTGGTCAAGAACTCGCCACATCCCTTCTCGCCTCAGCTCCAAATATCCGCCTTGTGCTTGCCGATGTTTTCACACCACCGAATCCGGATGCCTCCCGCATAACTTCAGTTACCGCCGACTTGACAAAAAGCTCCGCTGTCGACACTTTACTTGGCTCACAGAAGTGGAGAGCGTGCTATCTCTTACACGGAATCATGTCTGGTGGCGCCGAAGCGAATCTTGAGCTCGGTCTCGCTGTCAATGTTGATTCACATCGCTTCGTTCTCGACTATCTACGGCGGAACCAACCAGGCGTAGTTGTCGTATTCCCATCATCACTAGCAATCTACGGGCCCCCCGATGCCAGTAACCCCGTGATATCCGAAAAGACGATACCGATCCCACAATCCTCTTACGGGGCGGAGAAATTGATTGTCGAGACATTGGTCAATGACTACTCGAGACGTGGATTGATCGACGGGCGGGTATGCCGTCTACCAACCGTCATTGTCCGGCCGGGTGCCCCTTCCGCAGCTGCATCCAGTTTCGCATCGGGCATTATTCGTGAGCCTTTGAAAGGGGAACCTTCGGTGTTGCCCGTCAGTAAAGATCTCGAGATGTGGGTGTGCTCGCCACAGACTGTTGTGCGCAATCTGGTCGCGATAAAAGACGTGCCCGCGGAGCAATTCGGAATAGGACGTGGTCGAGCAGTGAATTTACCTGGTCAAACAGTGAACGTCGGCCAGATACTCGATGCACTCAAGGAAGTTGGCGGGCAAAAGGCGCTAGATTTGGTGGAGGAGGTGCGAGATGTCAAGGTGGAGGCAATTGTTGCTAGCTGGCCGGCAAGATTCGATATCTCGTTAGCAAAAAGTTTGGGCATGAGCCCAGACATCAGTCTCAAGGAAGAGGTCCGTAGTTTTGCGGAGAGTTTGAAACGGTGATCTACTTATCCTAGTCCACCAAAATCAAAGTCGAGGTTTCCAGAATCGAAGTGAAGAAATTGTGAAGTGCCCAAATTGAAATCCTCCTCAAACCCCATGATTCCATTTCCGAGTATGCTACTACCATTGACTGGTGGTATTAGGCCCTCGTTTGTGTGTGTCATTCCCGGCACTGAGATTCCATTCGGTACGGGTGGCTGCACATCTGGTACAGTCGAGTTGTTGATTTTGGATGCCAATTTTTCTAGACCATCCGCCATCAAGTGTACGAGATGATATTTGCTTGTGGCAGTGGATCTTAGCTTTTGGACAACTTTGGCCGTCATATTGAGTACGAAAAGATTGTCGATATATAGACCAGAATGCTGAGCGGCCACTTTGAGTAAGAAGACACATGCAAAAGCGATCATCGAATGAATGTAGTGCGGGATGCCAACGAGACTTTCCCTTATATCAGGATCGCTTAGAAGCATCTCAATGATAGCTGTAGAGGCGGCTACGGCCGCCGTGGCATTCTCCGTGAAGTACACGGGTACAGGGGCACCTTTGAGGCCCCGGAACACGTGGGAATGCAGATGCAGCTTTGCAAAGTGATGATGAAGTATTACGCCTTTTGTCGGAAATTCTCCAATAAAACAGTTTAGTTCTGTCGTGTTAGCAAGAACGAAATGTGATCATTACAGATTTGACCTACTGGTAAGTTCAGTCGTCCAATAACCCATCCACTGATCAATCTGCCTACTGAAACTCATCATCTGCGAGAGAAATGCTCTCGCAATTGGCTCTCCCGTGTCAGGACCGAATAAGTCACGGATGTTACTCATGATGATCAATAATGCCACCTGGCTGATCATGCGTCGGTCAGATTCGGTCACGGCCGAGGACTTCAATAGTTCTTCCCATCGTAAGATCGACGCATCTTCACGAATGACGCTTTGACGCCCGTATAATATGGACAAGTGGTGATCACAGATGTACAAGATATACCATATCCGCATACAATCCATGGCCTCTTCGTTGTTCTCTTGAATAACGAGGTGATAATTCTTGTCCAAGTTAACCTCCGTGGCTCGACGAATTGCACAACCCGAAAGAGTCCAAGAAATATCATGAAGCCAGTATGCGCCAATACACATAGCCCGTAAACAGTCTCTATTGATGCGACGCTCGAACATGGATGTAGCTACCAAGCGCCGGAACTCTCGACTGCACACTGCGTAAAGATGGTTTCCCGCGGGATCATGCAGGGCGGCGACTGTGCACACGGCAGCTGTAAGGATGGTTGAGCTGCGTCGCATGCTCTCCAAGTCTCGATAGTGGCCCCTACCGATCAAGTACATGAAAGTATCAATACGGTGAAGGTAGGCATTTGTGAGACGCTCCGCGTCTTCGATACTCAAAACTCCCTGTGAGATGAAATCATTGATAGGCTGGTTCGTAGAGTGCGTGGGAGACAATTTAGGGGGTTCAGGTGCGTCGTCGGCGCGCAAAGCTCGAAGCCGAGTTATCTGATAAAGCGACTCAATCGGGACATGGAGAGCGTCATCCCCAGGAGAAAGCCGCGGGGAATTGTCACACGAAGGTCCTGGGTCATCGCGGTCTGCTGTGTCACGTGGTGACTCTTCAGTTTGAGTGGGGCCTGTTGTCTGGAGAGGTGGGAGAGGTGGGAGGGATAGCCGCGATAGAACCTCTTGTAATGCACCGTGTACGTGTTCAATGTCAACAGTCAGGGTGCTTCTCCACTGGCTGCGTTCTTCGATCAATGTCTGCAGGCTCTTGTTGAGCACACATGATAAGTTCCGCTCTGTACACCGCTTGCAGGGCGGTCCACGGTCGTCGATAATGCACTTAATCTGTATTGTTCTTGAGTCATCAGATATGATCGGACTTCTCTGCGAGATGGTGGAATAGGCGAACCTTCTGTTTTCGGCACGCAGCGCATGCCTTCACTTTGCGAGATATAGACGCCGTGTTAATATCCAGCGAAGGGTCTGAAGTCCTCGATCGCGGTGGTGATATACCATCATTCGACTGCGACCACGTCCTTTTCGGCGGCATATTTGGCGGTGTTGGAAGGGCAGTGATGAAATGAGGACTTGCGCATTAACCGACGACTGTTGTGACCTTCGGGCCGACTCTGTCGTTGTTGAGCGGGGTCCCCAGAGAAACTGAATCATGGAAAACTGGGGCACATGAGAATGGCACAGATCATGTGGTTTCTTATACTTCATGAATAAAAACTCGGTAGAGGCATGGCAATCGGCTGTGAGAATATACAGACATTGCAGCAGATGCCCGTAATTTGTTAAGTTTCATTTGATATTTCTATTGATTGCTAGGCTTGAAATTTGTTATTGCTCCCAATGGACACATTTCATAGAAGATGATGACCGCGCTCTTTGGCCAGCACCCAGTTATGATATTAGAGGTACTACGAATTGAAGTTGATCATGCCACGCTTTCGTCGTCGTCGTGGAACACAGTTGTTCCCCAGTTGGGTCTATTAAATCTCCTCGCTTCCCGTTTTACGAGCTCATCCAATCTGATCTGCTCTTCTCCATTCATTTCAAATACGTTCAAGTTTGCTTGAATCCGGTCTTCGTTGACGCTTTTCGGTATTACGCTCCATCCACGTCTCAATCCCCACGAAAGGAGCACCTGCGCAGGTGTCGCATTCCTCTCTTCCGCCAAAGCTAGAACGGTCGTATGTGTGTGAAGCGTCGAACCTTTGCCACCCAATGGACCAAATGCAGTTTGATGTATGCCGTGCTGCGTACAGAATTTATTAAGCTTTCCCTGGGGTAGCAGTGGGTGCAACTCCGTTTGATTCACTGCCGGCACAACCTTTGCTGTCTGCAGAAGTTTTTCAAGATTCACCGTGGAGAAATTGGCAACACCAATGGCCTTGACTAGCCCAGTGGATAGCAGCTTCTCCATCTCGGCCCATGTTTTTGAAAAATCCCAATTCTGGGCGTGAATGGTACGGTCTTCTTTGCCAAAATTTGGTTGCGAAGGATCGTTTGGCGGGAGTGATATCGGCCAGTGCATTAGATACAAGTCTGCGTAATCCAGCTGCAAGTCTCCGAGTGATTTCCGAAGGGCTGTTTCCACATCTGAGTGTTGAGAGGACCATAGTTTGGTGGTGATGAAAATGTCGGAACGCGGTATAGATGTTTCTTTGAGCACCTCCGAAAGCGCCTGGCCAATTTCCGGTTCATTCCAATCTATATATAATCAGACAATAATAAACTGAAGAGAGGCTGAGGACTTTACATAAAGGCGCACAATCCAAATGTCTGTATCCTTTTCGGATTGCAGTCTTCACTGCCTTGCCTGCTTCTCCGGGAGCTGCTTGCCATGTGCCAAAGCCCTGGGATCGTGAGCTTGCGCAGAATATACAATGAGTTTATCTCTTACCACGCCTGGAATTTCCGCCCCTGTGTTCAACTTGAAAGTCTTTGTATAGGTCGTCATGGTTGGCCGAATTCCTGTTTGATATACTCATATTCCTTTTTGAGCAGCTATCTTCTGTTGTATATGAAGTCAGCGGTCGCCCATAGCGCTACGAATGAGTCGGCGAGAACGCCGAACATCTCTCTCTAGGCAGATCCGGTCATCAAACTCCGTAAATTTGCGCATACACGCACCTGCGCATTCACGCACACAAAGGACTAAGATTCTTCCAAGGAGACAGACATCATTATCAACGATCTATCAAATTGTGATTGTTTTACTTCATGCCAGAGCGCGCAAAGTATGATTGTAGCAAAATAAACTCAAATAAGAATAGAGGATACTTTAATATCATTCGGTCAGAGTGTAAATATAATGAATACACTTAGACTTCAAGAAACGGTAAACAAGAATCGTCTTCATTCCTCCCTTGCATCAACAATCGCCCGAATCAAACCCTCCACAACTCTAACTCCAACCGCAGTCTCCGCATCCCCTTCCAAGGGTGGAACATGCAAAAACACAACATCCCTCCTCCCCTTCCTCCTCTGCATCTCCCTTAACCCAACATAATACATGAACCCACAAACATACGTCCCCACATCATCGCTCAACCTAACATCAACCCCAACTCCTTTCCCACCTCCTTTTCCTTTCCCCTTCCCCCTCCCCGTAACGCCAATTTCCTGACAATACCCCCTCCACCCCTCCACAACCCCTTCCAACTCGACCCCTGACACTAATACATCCTCACCATTCTTCCCAAACCACGTCCGGTTCTCAGATCGCGTGACAACTTTCCTTTCGATATCCGGAAACTCGTGATACCCGTCCCTCCCCGCACTTCTCTCGACCGCGAAGTAATCCCGCTCCACCGCCAGCCCCATATGAATCACGATATCAGGATCGTGCTGGTCTAGTAATGCTGGGATTTGGGTGTAGATTTTGTGGTATGCGGCGGGGATTGGGGACGGGGGTGTTATGATTTGGATTGGTGTCGGGGTGTGCAGGGTCGGGGGGAGAGAGGAGGTTATTTGGGCGGAGGGGTTTGTTTGGATATTTAGGAAGGGCTGTGGGGGAAGTTTAGTTAGTGAGTTTGTGAAATAAAGATTGGGGAGTTGGGGCAAAGGAGGGTTTTACGTACGCCGAAGCCCGTTACTAAGACTTTGGTGGGGGTTTCGGGGGCCGACATTGTTCTTTCTCTTTCTTGACTCTTGATTTGCTTTTTGTGGAATATGGTGGCTAAAAAATTTTTTCCGTGTGTGTGATTCGTCGCGGATCATGTACTTTGAAGCTTTCTGTTGGGGTTGCTGATTTGCTGTTTATATATCAGTGATCCTTTCGCGTAGTTCTGACTCATTTCGCAAGGCTGTGCATCTCTATACTACGCCCGACCGCACGCCTAATCTTACATCCTCACCATTTTTGACGGTAGAATGGGTGATTCTCCTCACGATACACTGTGCATGTCAAGTTCTCTGACTTCAGTTTTGATCGAAACTGGAACCATGAATTAATTGACAGTAGCGTGTCAAATCATTTAATTGAAAGTAGGAAGATGCGCCTCATACAAGCGACTCAATATTGGGAACTGGTACTATTCCTTTCATCTAATTCTAGTCTACATACAAACGTCAGTTTGTTGCTATATAATTAATTTGCGCTTTGAAGGTAGGTCTGCAGACGGTCAAAAATGCATAAGTCAACCTTGCTAATCATACATCACATTGCTCTGGACGCTAATGTCTCAGTCTATCATATCATTGCGGTCGAATTATAGCATCGCTTTTGGCTTCCACCGAATATATGGATGTTCGTCTGCGCTTGTTGACACCATATGATCAATATCGCTCGTGTTGAGAAGCCCTGGGTGTGCTTGGCTGATATCCGTGATACCGCACAGTCGCATCGAAGTCTCTAGCTCGTCTTTGAGGACTGTTTTGATGTTAGAAAAGTCTTCATTCAAAATATCCAGAATGAATTTGACATTAGCTTACTTTGTGTAAGATGTTCAACTCCCTCTTTACCGTACGTGAGGGAGTACAGATAAGGTCGTCCCACACCAACAGCAGTTGCTCCGAGTGCGATTGCTTTGAGAATGTCAGAGCCGCGCTCAAAGCCCCCGTCAATGTATATGTGAAGTTTATCAAAGACGTCAGGGCAGATTCGATGGAGCTCAAGCAAGACTAGGATACTGGGTTGAGCACTGATCAAATTAGTATGGGCCTCGTTTCAAACCTGATAGATATCGCGACTTACCCATCGAGAGATCGACCGCCATGATTGCTGAGGAAGATACCGTCCGCTCCGAAGCGAGCAGCCATCATCGCGTCAGCAGCGCTCTGTACACCCTTCAGGACGACAGGCAGGCCAGACACTTTCTTGATCCAGGAAATATCTTCCCAGATCAAACTCTTCTCAACATACGCCGCCATCAGACGACCCATCCCACCACCTTTTTTGTCATTGCTTGCCACAGCACCGGAGATGGCGCTCGCGACGTTTTCAGCTGCAATCCTCTCATCCGCTTCGCGTTTACCAGGGACTGGAGCATCAACAGTGACGAAGATGCCCTTGATTCCTAGAGCAGCAGCTTTGCGCAAAAGTTCCTCGGTCTTCCCTCGATCCGAGTTCACGTATAACTGCAGCCAGAATGTTTGGTCGGCATTGCCGGCTTTGACGATGGACGAGAGAGGATAACTGGCATTGCTACTTATGCAATGCACGATGCCCTCATCTCCAGCTCCCCTTGCTAGAGCCAATTCACCGTCCGGGTGCGCCATTCTTGCCATTGCAGCGGGAGATATGAAGAACGGTGTCGAGGACTCGCATCCCAGCACTTTTCGCTTGATGGAAACGGTCTTAACGTCGCGCAAGACACGCGGTCGGAACATGATGCGTCTTATGATTGACTTATTCATTCCATAAGTGACTAGATCGGTAGCTGCACTGGAGTAGAATGCCCATGCTTTAGGAGTTAACGTGTGGCGCGCGACCTCCTGGAAATCGGCGGCTGATATGAGGGAATGGAGATGTGGCTTCTCATAAGGAAGGAGACTTTGCGATGGAGTCTGGACTGCTTCGGCTTTAATTGGGGTCTGGATCTGAGGTTGGAGTGAATTTTCGGCGGCTGAAGCTTCTTCGATCGTGGCCTTGGGCGGAACGTCGCTAGAAGGAAGAATGTCGCCTATAAATTTGTCGTGTGCCAGAGCTTCTTCCAACATACCCGGAGCGTGAAGCTCGTTGTAGATTTGAGTAGCATCTCGGCCTGCATACTTGAGAATGGCTATACCATGTCAGTGAAGTTTCGCATAACCAAGGATGGAATTAACTTCAGACACTTACCCTCTGCACCTCCGGGATGGGAAGGGAGAAAGTCTGTCACATTCCATACTTGATTGCTGATGACGACCCAACAACTGTCAGGACTGTTGTGTGTCTTGACGTCTTCAAGGGAGAGAGATGAACTGGTTGCCATTGCGTTTCTGAGAGATGTATTGAATCACTGAATTTGGAAAATGATGTGTGAACAATGCTGCTACATGAAGCGATGAAATTGGCAATATTTGCGGAGCTATACCGAGTTGCCGACAAAGAGGAAGATGCTTGCACGTCGGCCAATTCCCGCCATGCAGCAGCAGCTCCGATAAAACTAGGCATTGGAATGCAATTACCCCAGACTGTATTGCAATTACCATGCTCGGTCAGTAGATTTGGTATGCTACCGGTGTTCTCAGCGGCTCGGACTTCTCACCGGTTGCTTGGCCTATTCAACGTGGGGAGAAGGGACTGCGTTTTGGCAATCATCAGCCACAAGTTTGCGAGACTATCAATTGGCCGGCTTCTCTTACTATAGGCCAGTGTCTAGCATAACGCAAGGATCGTAGATATTGCAATATCAGAATGAAATACGCAATTCTTTCTGCAGAACAACCTCAATGTAAACAAGTACAGCTGACCAAGCAGCTCATAAAGCGCCATCGGGACAAGTGGAGTGTGAATAGAACATCGCAGTCATGACAAATCGCAAGATATTGAATAGCTTCATGGCGATAGTTGTACCAATACGAAAATAGGATTCACTCGCATCTATCAGCTATCTACCCAATCAACATCGAAACGACAGAACTTGATTCGTTGCCTCCAGAAAGTGAATGCCACGTTCACAATGTCTTTGTCTCCCCTGTCGATCCAGATACTAGGATAGCTCAGCTCTCGATTCTCTTTCGTTCGCGAGTTGTTCGTCATGCAGAATCCATCTCCCTCTTGCAATAGTTTATTCTTCCATGTTTTCCCTCCGTCGCTACTCAACCCTACCATCATCATTCTTCTTGGAACTCCCCATATGGCGTTTTTGCTGGTTGATCCAGTCTGATTCATTCGCTTATCATCTGCAGGTGTGATATCGTCGTACAGGCCTTCGCGTTTGGCTTGTCCCTGTTGGAATTGAGAGTCATTATAGATCATAATGAGGCGGCCGTCGGAGAGCACCTCAAAGCAGATGCCAGAGTTGGGATTCGGCAGCGAAGTAGGCTTGGGCTCCGTCCAATCTATGCAGTTGGCAGACGTCGACGTGTATATGTTGTCTGCCCAGCGGGAGCGGTAGAATGCGATGTAGGAGCCGTCGCGGAGTGGCTTGATGTTCATGTGCACCGCTCCAATTGAATCGGGAACTTCTTTCTCATGCCAGGTTTTTCCACCATCTTTCGTATATTTGATCACGGAGACATCGTCCGAGCCCACCCATCGGAAACCTGGAGGGTTGCGGCAGTACCATGCAGGAAGTACCCAAGTGCCATCGTTCAGAATCACAATTGGTTGTCTGATGAAGAGCCCTTCATCATCAAATAGGTTTTGCGACACGCCCCATGTTTGTCCGTCGTCGGTTGACACTCGATATCGTACAATGGCTTTGTCTTGGTTTCCCGCTGGTTGCGCGGTATACATGATCCACAAATGTTTGGTTTCGGGGTTCAGAAACAATACCGGGTTCTGTTCACTACGGTCTGGGTCGTCTGAGATCTTTTGTGGTGTCGACCATTCTCGGGATTCTTTGTTCAGTCGCGATAGGTGAATGCAAATATCAGAAAGACCTTCTTGAGATCCACCGAACCATGCGCACAACAGATCGCCATTTGGAAGCTGGAGTAGATTTGAGGCGTGCACTTGCACTGTCGATGCGGGGATATAGTTTGAGCCGAAGAGGGGTCTGTCCGATTTGAATTCCAACTCGTTGTGGAAGTCCGCCATGGTGCATGAGATACAATGAATCTTCTTGTTCTCACAAAGTCTGATATTGGTATAAGCCTCTTAAGCCGAGCTCCCTTGCTATTTAAGCAATGCTAGGCTGGCGCCACCGCCGACTCTCGGTGGTTACCGAGGATCCGCCAGAGCCTACCGATTTTGGGACCAGATGAGGGCCGATTGCCCCTGTAGGTCGGAGTTTTACGCATCTGACCCCGGATTTCTCCCCGGGATTTTTTGGTGGGAATCAGACAAGAGATTGCGGGGAAACAATGCGGAGAAACCAAGGTAGGCAACCCTACAAGTCTGCATCTGGCTGGGCGTACTACTACAGTGCGGTATAAAGACGGTGTGCAAGAACTTGAGATAAGCTCTTCTTCACAAGTTTCCAACAGCTGCTTTCGTGGCTCAAGGACATCATCTTGTTCATATTGCCACTACACCTTCCCCCCTTAGTGTCTTTTCGTCTCATTTTCACTTCATCATGGGTGGCGGCACTAGCATTTGGGCTTCACCTGAAGCAAGAAGCGACCCAAAAGAGATTTTCAATGGCCGACTAGCATTTCTGGCAGTAACCCTTGCTATGGCTGGTTGCGCGTACGGTTTTGATCAAGGAAACATCGGAGGTGTCTTAACGCTACCTACGTTCAAGCATGCTTTCGGACTTGACACCCTGAGCCAAGAAGCTGCCGACGAGAGAAAGGGAAACATTGCTTCGCTGAGTAAGTGCTTGACATGATAATTGGAGGATTGCCTCGTACTGATGCTTGACAGTGGCCGCTGGTGGAGCAGTAGGTGCTTTGCTGTCTGCGCCTTGCGCCGACTTTTTGGGCCGAAAATGGTCCATGATGCTTTATGGCCTACTTTATCTCTTGGGATGTGCATTCCAGGAAGTCCCTCACCTTGCCCTCTTCTACGCTGGAAGATTCATTGCCGGCATGGCAATTGGTTGCATGTCGGCGGGCGCACCACAGTTTCTTGCTGAAAACTCGCCCAAGTCAATTCGAGGCTCTATGACTTGTCTTTACAACTTGATGATCATCACTGCGCTCTCGCTGGCATTCTGGACAAACTATGGTGTCAGCAAATGGAAAAATGTCAACAAATCCGACAACATGCAATGGATGTTGGCCCTGGGTATCCAGTTGATTCCCGGAGGCTTTGTAAGTGACTTCTTGTTCCTTTTGAAATCAACATCAGCTAACATACAACAGATGGTAGCCATGTTGCCGTTTGTCTACGAAACACCGAGAGCCTTGATAGCCCGCGGTCAACGTGAACAAGGCCTTATCAACCTCGTCAAACTCCGTAAACTTCCGGAGTCACACCCATACGTTCAACAAGAATACATGGAAACATGCACTCAAGTGGATCTGGAACAGGAAGCAGCGGCTGGCAGAAACTACTGGCTTGTCATCAAGGATGTAGCGCTCGTTGCTTCCAACAGACGCCGCTTTTTTCTCGCCATTATGCTGTTCATCTTCCACAAATTTACCGGTACTGATTCGCTGAACTATTTTGCCCCAGAAATTTTCCAGATGATTGGAGTCCAGGGCGGTTCGCAAGCGCTTTTCACCACTGGAATTTATGGAGTAGTGAAGCTAGCCACCACGCTCATCTACGTCATTTTTATCGTCGATCGTGTTGGCCGCAGACTCCCTCTTATCATTGGCGCGTGCCTTCAAGCTACTGCCATGCTTTACATTGCCCTCTACGTCAGGTTTGGAAAGCCAGACCAAGGTGGTGGAACTGAAGTCGGCGGTATTTTCGGCATCGTCTGGATCTACATCTACGCCTTTGGCTGGTCATTCGGCCACAGCGTCGCGTGCTACGTAGTGGCTGCGGAGATCTTCCCTTCTCGTATCCGTTCTTTCTGCATGAGCTGGTGTTTCTTCGTCAACTGGATTGTCGACTTTGGAATCACGAAAGCTACGCCGTTGATGATGACGCATATGGGCTGGGGTACATTCTTACTGTATGCTGTTTTGACATACATTGGGGCTGTTTTTGTTTTCTTCTGTATGCCTGAGATGAAGGGAAGGTCGATCGAGTCGATGGATGACCTGTTTCAGTACTCGATCTGGACCATGTGGAAGAGAGCATACCCGAAGAAAGACGAGTTGGTTCGTCATGATGTTGGCGATATTGTTCATGCCGATGAGAAAGACCAGGGTGTGACACGGATCGAGAAAGTGTAGCTTATATTTGAAGAGAATAACGATTATCATGTATTTACTTATTGCACATATCGATATACGAAGTACCGTAGAATTATGCATTTACTGGGCGCACTATTGTTTTGGGTCGTATAAGAAAGTAGCAAGATTAGGTACGAGTCTGTAGAGTAAAGAAACTACTGAATGTTTGTAGAGCCTGCGAGTACTAAGCAGCTACAATTTATTGGTCTATAGAGATCCCCTTATCTATAGATAGATTATACCTATCTAGGCTGTAAAATCTGTCGCCGAGAAGCTTACGGTGAAAATAACTCGGTACATAATCTTACATGCTTCCCAACTAATTACGTTCCGACTCCCACGCCATAAATAAATAATAAATGTAAAACAGAACTCCCCAGTACTCCAGTAAACAGGACGAATTTCGTCTTGTTGAACCCAGAATGCCTCACGCCAATGCATCTAATGCAGTTTCCCATATAAAAGCCCTTTGCAAACGCATTAATGCATGTATACCCTATAAAAGCAGTGGAGACAAGAACCCCTCTATGCGATGATACCGATCAGGGCCGCCGTAAAAGAGAAGAGTAAGAGCCTCAAACAAGGTGCTAATCGACTCTGCGCGAAGCTTCTTGTAGTACTAGTGGCAGTTGCTTGTCCAATATTCTGGGTCTTCCCTGCAGTTGCATCGCCACCCGTGGACACTTGAGCTCCACTTCCCCGTGTGGTAGTGGCAGGAAATAGTATTTCAGTTATGCTCTTCCCTGCGCTGCCATACACGAGTTTCGTGGCTCCGGGGGCTAGGCTGATCGTAGTTCCATTTTGAGTGATAGCTCCTCCAGGGGTCAGGACCTGTCCGCCTATCATAAATGTGGTTCCTATTCCAGTCATGGCGGTATAAGTCTGAGTGCCAATGGTGAGTATTGGTGGATTGGTGGGAGCTGGTTGGGACTTGGAGGGGGTTGTCAATGAGGTGGTCACGCCGTTTACAACGAGTGCCGTAGCCATAGGTGCGAGTGAGATGGTGGTACCTTCCATGATGATGCTTCCACCAGGCGTCAACACTTGGTTTCCAATTTTGTATAGCGTTTCGGGCCGAGAGACAGCACTGTATACACCAGAAACAATGGTAATGGCCTGTGAATGGGAGATAGTGGTGGTAACGCCATCAACAGCCAGTGTCGTAGCATCTGGAGAGAGCGATATAACAGCCCCAGAAACAGTAACGAGACCACCAGGGGTGAGAGGAATGCCGTGGATGTCATATATTATCTTTTCATTCAGAACGGGCTCGAGAACACGCTGGCCGACAGTCAAAGGTGGGGCAGTGCTGGGTGCCGCGTTGGCCGGGAACGTTGATGTTATACCATTGATCACCACAACAGATCCAGAATCCCCCAAAGAGATGGTTGTGCCAGCGACAGTTACATCGTGCCCCGGTGCTAGAGTCTGCCCACCAATTACGAATACAGGCTTAGCAGCTTGGCCATCTTGCTTCTCAGGATTCGAGTTCTGGGCGACAATGGAACTGATAGCTGTTATGGTAGAGCCAGCAACAATAATCTCCTGCCGAGCTGTAGGGGACGCAGGCATGAAGGTGGGAAGTGCCTGCGTCTGATCACCAATTACCACAAAAGACGCCGATGGTGCCAAACTGACCATAGTACCTCTGAAGCCAACCGCAGTACCACCAGGTTCCAAAATCTGGCCAGGGCCCAGGTAATATTGTGTGGCAGCATTTGCTGTGTATACCGACGATCCTATGGTGAGCAACGGAATGGCAGCAGTATGCGCTTGAGCGTTGACGCCAGGAAACAGAACGCTGGGAAGAGCAGATGTTTTGTCTCTTATAATAAGGGCGGTTGCTGAAGGAGCCAACGAGATTGGATTCCCACCAAGTGTCAGGGATGGCGCGCCAGGTAAGAGGGTCTGTCCAGCAATAACTATTTCAGAGGATGGATTTAACATGATTGGATTACCCAAAATGTTGCCCACACTGATGGTAGAAGAACCGGGGTTGGCCATCAGCGGTAGTCTAGACGTGATATCTCCAATGGCCAAGGCTGTTGCTGAGGGTAACAAGGATATTGCAGTTCCATCGACGCTCATGATGGAACCGGGACTCAAGGTGTTTGTTCCAATGATGACAACTGACGACGGCGCCACTATCACCGGGCTTTTTCCGATCAAACCGACAGTATGCGGCGTGGGTTGGAGACCACCCACGAAGCTATCGCCAGCCAATCGATCTGTAGCCGAGACAGTAGCAGGGACGGGGTTTTGAGCTCCTGGTGAAGATGCATGTGCTTCTGATGCGGATTGCGGATCTGGAAGATGGGTGGATGGCTCTCCCCCCGCTCCTCTCCCAATCCCCCCGGAACTGGGGAAATCCCAACTGACAGTGAACGGTACACCCTTGGATGTAGCTTGGATATTGACTGGAGAGTCAGATTCAAATCCCGAGGCCGAAGACTCGAGGTGAACGAGAAGTGGTAGGAAGCGAGGGACATTGACATAACTGATATCTATGACGATCAGAACCGTCACGGTTGCATAAATAACACCTGGTTTACACGAAGTCTGGGCGATATCCTGCATGAAAGCGCTCGGAACGATGCCTTGCGCCGACGCAGAACTCTCCACGCCATCAACAGCATAATCAAATGCAGAAGGCTGGCTGAGTTTCACCGTGGAAGTAAACATAGCCCCATCGACAGTAGAAACCACCTCGTACGAGGCTAAGCGAACGAAAGGGGTGGCTGAAGTGATGGCAAGGGTGGAGTTTGCGATAGAAGCGATGGACACTGATGCAGGGAGCTGGTGCGCAGGATCGTGAGTATAAAGCGGCCAGTCTTTTTGCGGGATAATGTTGCCAGATGGTAGAGGCGCTGGTGTATTACGAGTAACGATGGAGGAGACGGCAGCAGTGGGAGTGACAGGATAGGGATCGAAAAAGGTCCAGTACATTTCCCATTCAGAATCCCAAGTCGAGGTTTCAGTGAGGGCACGCTGGCCCGAGATGGTTGCCGCTGCATCAAAGGTAGCGTTGTTAGGAATCATGGTCAAGTAGCCCCCGGGGTTCACAAAACCTGGAGCCTTTGTCGTCATGGTACCGATGACAAGCTCGTAGGTTGCAGCAAACCACCAATAAACATTCGCACTCGGTATATTGACCGTACACGAAACATTGTGATGAGTAATGCTTGTCGCATTGCTGCTGCTGAGCGTAGCATTGTCGGGTGATTGCAACGAGCTACTCGGAATGATATTCGTAGGATATTGCAGTTGACTGGAGCGAGTGATGGATATAGGGGCGGTAATAGACGGAGGGGTGGTGGTGTTGACGTAGTATGGGGCTTGGGATGAAAGTCAGAACACGTGACATGGGTATGATTCCACTTCCATGGAGGATGAGTGAGAACGTACCGGACCCAGCAATCTGGGACGCCATGGCGGAAGCGGGTAAACCAAGCACCAGAAACAACATCAGAAGGGCGCCATGATACATGTCTCGCTGTCGATGGTACCGATGGTGCAGATGTTCTGTTCCCAAGCACTAGCCCGTATCTTGGTATGCACCTGACAAATGCAGGTGGAGACGAGAATTGTCGATGAGCATGGAGACAGCAGCTGAACGAAAGCAAACGAAGAGATGCGCGGTGAAGAGCAGACGGTAGAATACAAATGCAATATGGGCTAGCAAGCGGGTCGGGGCGGGTGAGGGGGGAGGGAAGGGTGGCTGGTTGGAAGACGAAGCGATCACAAACTACTCAGTCTAGCTTAGTGATGGTCGGGACGATGGAGGGTTAGAAGTGCTGCAAGGTGGAAGCTACACAACAAGAGTGCAGCATCTCACCGAACAAACCGGTTTGGAGGTTATTGGGGTTGACGGTGTTCCGGGATCATGCATGCACAGTAGTACAAAGAACATGTTCAAGTCGAGTTGGATGAGCATAGTCAAGGGGAATTGTTTGAAATGTTCCTGTGCACATGAATCAATCAATCAATCAATCGACCAGTCAATCAATGGACAGAATGTGTCATATCTGTCATGTTGGTGATGGGTCGTGTTTGGATTCGGTCCATGGTGTTCTGTGTCACGCCAGGCAGGAGGCATAGCACGGGTAGTGTAGCATCCGGTGGAAAGCTGTGCTGACTGATGATGGAACGACATGATAGCAATGATGGAGTTAGTTGGATGAGTTGGACAGACTGATGGACGGCGTGGATAGAATAGGCTGAGCGAGGGAGGAAATTAGCCAGGCGCCAAGTCAAGGGACCATTCCGGCAATATGGGCAGTCCGTTCCAAGGGGCCAATGGAGCCTTGATCCGCTGGCTCCCTTGCTGTTTGCCATGCGCTGCTCTCGCTGCCAGGCCATGCCATGCCATGCCATGCATTCAACTTCCTTTTCTCTTTTGCTTTGAATGTTTCCACCGGTTTGCTGCGTGAGCGACCAAGTGTGTGTGTGCAGTACGTGTCGTCTGCCTCGGGACAAGTCGATGGCTTGCAACGGTGACGCCTCCGCTTCCCCGGCATTGGCAACCAAGTCTCTTCTTCACTCTCCAACAGCGGTAGCTCTCATCTGGTTGAAACACCGACGCTGGCGGTGGCGAATCGAGCAGCGCCCAAAAGTACCTTCACCAGCTGCGACGGTGTAAATCTGCTCCATGTGGGCGGGTGCTTTGATATATTATATGGCGGGAAAAGTGCCGGGTGAATGTCTGGATGCGTATACCTACACACGTACAGCTAGACCCGACGGACGCCATCCCGTTCATTCGCCTTCCCCGCCATCGCCATCTGGAGGGAACTGAAGGGCCGGGGGCGGTTGGCAATCCTCCATTCAATCCTTCCTTCAGCCAGCCGTCCGACTCGCATGCTATCGAATTTCAAACTCAGCTACTCGTGTCATGGCTACTTTTTGCCTACTCGAGCACCCCTACCTGTACCGTTTATCGCCAACAACGCCATGACTCGTCAGCATTAACGGGCAGCGCATCATCTCAATTAAGATAACCCATCAACTATACCGCTTACTTGCTTGCTTGCCTTGCCTTGCCTTGCTTGCTTGCTGGTCCTGCCAACGGCCATGCCGAGTCGAGTCTCTTAGAAGCTCGGCTGAGAAGTCGACAACCCCCCCGGTCGCAATTTGGCTCAACACCACCACCCCCCTCTGCAGCCTACCTTTCCGCGCCTCTCTTTCTTTCTTCCCTTCCTCCCTCGGTCGCATTCTCTCCCCTCTACCCTCTACCCTCGCCGTCTGCTTCTCGTCTGGTGTCTGGTGCCACCGACATGTCGAAGAGTGAGGTCGCGCTCTGCTCTCGAGGCTGAGTGGCTTGCTTGCTTGCCCGCCCCCTACCGGTAGTCATCCCGCCGCCGCCATGAATCGCTTTCGTCCCCACCGTCCCTCCTTCTCTTCGCCAACACACCACCACCTGCAACTGTCGCTGTTCCTCCTCGTCCTCGCTGCCTTATTCCGACCCTGTCTTTCTGCAAAAGTAAAGCTCCCAGAGCCCGTCCAGGTCCATCCGGATCAGGGTTTCGCCGGCATCGACGGGAAATGGTCCACGATAAGCGTGCGCGCCGGCAGCTCCGAGCACGTCTCCAATGTCCTGGTCTCCACCGCCAGCCAACAGACGTGGCTCGTCCATGTCCTGGCATGCCGCAAGAATGAAACCGATTCCGCCGGCCGTACTGTCGAAAAGGAAGATGAGGCTTGCAACCTCAGTCGTGGCTACACCTTCAACAAAAGCGAGTCCACGACCTGGGTTAACAATGGTACTTATCCTCCGGTTTCTGACCTAGGAAAGAATACACGCATTCTAATATTGGCTGCAGATTTCTATCAGCTGTGGATAGGGAAAACCATAGGAATCACGGCCAATGGAGAATATGGATGGGATAGCATTGGATTAGGCAACAAAGGAGAGGAAACTGTCACTCTCAAAAACACCACTATCGGCGCCCTCGTGTCTCCCAACTTCTGGTCAGTAACAAGCCAATTTTACGAATGAGTGTGTACACAGGAGCTGACTGCATTCAAAACTAGGCTTGGACATTTCGGTGTCAATCCGAAACCTACCAACTTCTCCACTTTCGCTGATCCTAGCCCGGCGTACATGTCGATGCTTTTCGAGCAAAAACAAATCCCGAGTCTATCTTTTGGCTACACCGCCGGTGCCTCGTACTGTATGTTGTCTACTGCTCGAAGCCGTCTGCACGCGATGCTAACCTTGGTGAAAGATGACAAGCCGTTTTATTCGAGCTTGACTCTCGGCGGCGTCGATTCATCACGTTTCATACGGAACGATCTAACCTTTGGGTTTGCTGCTGATAACGAACGAGACCTTGTGGTCGGTGTGGTAGGCATCAAAGCAAGAGGCTCCACCAAATCCGACATCGATCTTATGCCAAGCGAATCATTCTCCATGTACATTGATTCGACCTTTGCCGAGCTTTGGCTACCGCTCGAAGTATGCAACGCATTCGAGAAGGCTTTTGGGCTCAAATACGACAATGCTACTAGCCTGTACCTGGTCGATGATCTCATGCATGAGGCGCTGAAGGCGGAAAATGCCTCGGTAACCTTCACTTTCGGGCAAGATTATGCCACCAACACTACGATTGATATCACATTGCCTTACAAGGCATTTGACCTGCAAGCTTCTCCACCCTACAGGAACGTGCAAACACCGACCAACTATTTCCCGATCAGACGAGGCACCAAAGAAGACCAATGGATCCTCGGAAGGACTTTCTTACAGGAGGCGTATCTTCAAGTGGACTGGGAACGGTACAACTTCTCTGTGTCTGCTATCAACACATCGTATAATAATCCACCGGAAATTGTTCCATACTATTCGGCTCAGTACGGAACCGCCTGGCATGCACAACCGAAGTCCAAACTTCAAACCAAGGAGATTGTTGGCATAGCTGTCGGTGCAGTGGTGGGTGTTCTGGTGGTTGTATGTGGTGGGCTTGGGTGGGTTTGGCGCAGACGACAAAAGGCGCAGCGAGAAAAGATCGAGGCCGCGTATGCCGCTCAAGCCGTGGCAGCGGATAGGAAGGATTCAAACGAAAATTCCGACTACAGGTCGTCGCCAAGCAAAGACGCCAAGACGATGGTTTTCCAAAAGGCCGAGTTGCCAGCTGATTCGGAATACAGAGAAGGCGGGCTCAGCCCACTTGGGAGCCCAGGACTGCCAAGTCCGCTAGTTGAGGCGGGGAATACGGAACGCCAAGTTTTTGAAATGATGGGAGATGTGCCGCCGTCCTCAGAAGCCGGTGGACGTCAGCTCTCGGAGAAGGAATCGATGATTGTGCGGGAAGCTAGGATCAATGGGACGGATCCGAATGGGCTTCCAGAAGTCTCTCCCACCACAGGAGACAGAAGACAGACGCCTGTCTCGTCGTCCGAGGTGACCATGGTGGGTCGTAGGACACCGGTTTCGCCGTTGACGCCTCGAGAACCACCCGAAGGCTCGAGTTTGGAGGGCAGCGACACATTTTTCCAGCCCCCGAAACCCCGGACGCCGCGTGATGGGAGATTCTTGGAGGCCGAGGATTCGCTGCACTCGCCGCTCTCGCCCATATCTCCGATGGAAGGGTCGGACCCATCGCGACGGCGGTTTTCTTACGAGGCATGAAGACACGACTAGGCACGTTTATCCATTTGCAGTGCGAAACGGCAAAGAAGAAGAAGAAATCCGCAAAGCTCGCCCGCGCTGTTCCATCAGACGTACACGTGCACACAGCAGTGTGTGCTTCACACTGAGATGTAACACGAAGAAGATATCCGACATGATTTTGTGCACAGTTAGACATTCTGGGGCAGAGCGGGTAGGTTGAGTGAGTGACGGAGTTGATGATAGCATTACTGGAAGTTCTGGCGTTTGCAAGGAGGGCAAGATAGCGGGCGGGCATTGATTTTTATTTATTCTGATTTTGGTCCATGTTTTGATCCGGGGCATTTCGAGATACACACTGCATTTCCGGAGTAATGAGCAACAGAGAAGCAGACGGAAGCACGGGAGGCGGCGAGATGGGTTGGATACACCATGGCGGTGGCGAAGGCAGCTGAAGAGTGTGGGGGGGAACAGGCCAATAGATATCATTCACATCAAGAATGGAGCATGTACAGACTGAGCTGAAAAGCGGCACGGATGGGCGAGGCTTTGCAGATCAAGAATGAATCGACTCGAAGGGATGCGGCGTACGTCAGTTGAAGTCGCGGCGTGTAGGGGGACCCTGAGCCAGGGCGGGCGGACTGGCAGGCGGTGAAAATGGTGGGAACGGCCTTCAGCCCTGCTTCGTGAGTGGCCCTACCCCGCCAATGGCGCTGGAATGCCACCCAACTGCACCGCCTTTTTCCTGTAGCCCGCTGGGTACCTGGATAGTCGCCCTTGCACGCGTACATATCTATGTACCTAGGTATACATTGACCTGACCTGACTTGAACATGTGTACATGTACCTGTACATGAGCCCTTGGATAGATACGTATTATCCCAAGTGTCCGTCTACCTGCCTATAATATTGTATTGTACCTGTCTGCAATCTCGGTTCGCATCAACAGCCGCCGTGCGCGCTGGACCCCGCAATCGTCCATCCACCCACCCACCAACAGTCCATCCACTCTTCGCCCCGTCGCGCGCCTACATACCACTAGGAGCCTTGCTCTCACTCCCTGCCTGTCTGCCTGCTTGCCTGTTTCGCTCCCTCCTCCCTTTTTTTCACAATTCTTCCCATCCTTTCTTTCTCCTTCTCTCTCTCTCTCTCTCTCTCTCTCTCTTCCTCACCTCACCTCACCTCAACCCACCACTCCCCTTTCTTCCTTCCCCTCCCCCGCCGACGACTCCCTTTTTCAGCCGCCCGACTTTCAGCCCCAAGCTGCCACCATGTCCGACCTAGCCGGCCGCAAGGTCTTCAAGGTCTTCAATCAGGAGTTCGTCGTCGATGAGCGCTACAATGTCACAAAGGAGCTGGGCCAGGGTGCCTACGGTATCGTCTGGTGAGGCTGTCTGCTCAGCCCGAGAGAGAGCCCCGCAGTCCACTGACCGTGCCCTTGCAGCGCTGCCACCAACAACCAGACCAACGAGGGCGTAGCCATCAAGAAGGTCACCAATGTCTTCAGCAAGAAGATCCTTGCGAAGCGTGCCTTGCGCGAGATCAAGCTGCTCCAGCACTTCAGAGGCACGTCTCCCGGCCCCCACCTTCTTCAAATCACCGCATCTACTGACATCGGACAGGCCACCGCAACGTATAATTCCTCCCGTCCGCTTCCCCTCCCTTCGCCGTCGTGCTAAGAATTCCCCTCAGATAACATGTTTGTACGACATGGACATTCCTCGTCCCGAGAACTTCAACGAGTGCTATCTCTACGAGGGTACGAATCCTGCAGCGCAAACCCATGATGCTGACGCCAGACCGCTGATGCTGTGCCAGAACTCATGGAGTGCGATTTGGCTGCCATCATTCGATCCGGCCAGCCGCTCACCGATGCGCATTTCCAGTCTTTCATCTACCAGATCCTTTGTGGCCTAAAGTTCATACATTCCGCAAACGTCCTTCACCGCGATCTCAAGCCCGGCAACCTGCTTGTCAATGCCGACTGCGAGCTCAAGATTTGCGATTTCGGTCTAGCCAGGGGCTTCTCCATGGACCCCGAGGAGAATGCGGGATACATGACGGAATATGTGGCTACGCGCTGGTACAGAGCACCGGAAATCATGTTGAGCTTCCAAAGTTACACCAAAGCCAGTACGTCGTTTTTGTCACTGGGCACATTTCTTTGTACCTTGCTTGCACACGTCTAGTCCCGTCCAATTCACCAGTCACATCACCTACGGTGAAGTCGCTAACCCTGTATAGTCGACGTGTGGTCCGTTGGTTGTATCCTCGCTGAATTGTTGGGCGGGAAACCCTTCTTCAAGGGCCGCGATTATGTCGACCAACTGAACCAGATCTTGCACTACCTCGGCACCCCCAGCGAGGAAACGCTCTCGCGTATTGGCTCACCCCGTGCCCAAGAATACGTGCGAAACCTGCCTTACATGCAGAAGGTCTCGTTTCAGTCGCTCTTCCGTCAAGCCAACCCCGATGCCCTCGATTTGCTTGATCGCATGCTTGCATTCGACCCATCGCAACGCATCTCAGTCGAAGAGGCGCTCGAGCACAGGTACCTACACATTTGGCATGACGCTTCGGACGAACCTTCGTGCCCTACCACCTTCGATTTCCACTTCGAGGTTGTAGAGGACATTGGCGAGATGAAGAAGATGATTCTGCAGGAAGTCAACCGATTCCGCCAATCTGTACGAGTCCAGCCTGGTGCACAAGGGGCGGGGCAACAACAGCAACAGAATCAGGCTGTGCCGATACCAAACAACTACGATCGCAACGGGTATGAAGAACCAAGACCGCAAGAGCCGGGAATGCAGGGAGGATGGCAGGGCAACGATTTGGAGAGGGATCTGCAGGGTCTAGATGCTCGGATGCGGTAGAAACACTTCGAGCAAAAGGCCTTTATGCTGGGGGGAATGGTGTGAGAGACGTCAAGCCGTTGCATGGGGGTTGGCGGCATCGTAATCCGTTTTTGATCGCCTGGCATAGTATGGGTAGACTGAGTTCTTTTACAAATAGTTTCTCTCTTTTTAGCTTCTCAGCAGAATTCTGGATTCATGATAGCAGGCTCTGTTCCTGTTCTATGGTTTCCCATGGTTGCCAGACTTCAAATCCACACGCACACGTGTGATGCATTCATCTAGGCTGATGATCCTGTGGATACTGTCTTAATCGATAGTTTTCCCCTGTGTTCATCGCAAACTGAGGAGCCAAGGAGGATTGATGAGATCATTTCGAGGACCCCACCTACAGTCATGTGAGAGCCACGTGACCACGCGATCTCGCGCCAAATAGAACATTTGAACATCAGCCTCATCCGCATAAATAGGCGACAACGCGATAACGCGCAACCCAACAGGAAATACTACGTGTGAATGCTATACGTGACCCGTGAAATACTACTGTGTCCATCGACCGGTGTAGATTTGACACAATAGTAATGCCTTTCAATACCCCATCGCCACATCGCTTCCTGGCCGCCCGTGCGCCGCCACCAGCCAAATCCGAAAGGAAATCGAAAGCGACTCCACAGTCCGGTCTAAGACATGTCACTGTTCCGACGACGACAGGGACGGAAGGAACGAGTAAAACGGGTACGCCTATTCGAAAACGCTTTGTTATCGGCAAAGCTTCAAGTTCATCCTTGTCGGCGGAACGACCGAACGTGTCTACCATTAGTTCTAGAACTGGACCGAGAGGAACCTTGGGACATGATGGTGGGAGGAGAGACGGTGCTAGGCACGAAGAGCTAGGACTGGGCCTGGTGGAAACGCCGCGACCGCGTCAAGTGAGACCGTTGAAGTTGGCTAGGACTGAAAGCATCGAGGACCTTTCGCCTTCTTCTTCCCCAACATCTCGGTTTCCGCAACCGATGGAAACCGTGGAAGATGATGAGAATGACGATTCGCTATTCACGCGGATAGCCGGATACGAAGAACAGAGTGTACGATCTCACCTCCCGGCGAAAGACGTGGACATGCTAGCGGACTTCGCAAGAGAAGACAATGGCCAAACCACCACCCGAGAAAAACCAGAAAGCGAAGCCCCAGAATCTGAAGAAATGCTCTTCGAATCCGAACAACCACCTTCGAAAAAACCAAAACTCCATCGCTCAGTACGATCGTCCCCGACTCCGCAACCGCAACCGCGACCGCAACCACACACCTTGCGACAAACCCCAGCGCCGAAAAACCCATCTACCCGCTTCAAACCCTACACGATAACTCCAAGAACCAATAACCTTGCTCCAAACCCCTCAACGATGACAATAGCGACTCCTAGTGTTCCAATCACGAGCACAAGACCGCACTTCATCCTTCCACCATCCTCACCATCTTCGCCCTCCCGCTCGCGCTCCTCAACATCCGCTGCAAACCCACCCCCGGAAATCTTCTCTCCGCATCGCAAAAAAGGACGATATGTCCCAGGTGGACTAGCCACGTGTCTGCAGAGCTGGATCGTGGAAACCGCAGAGCCATTGTTTTACAACCAACTCCCCCGCGGTGCCGACGAGCGTAGCGCTAGAGTATCTTCTGCCAGTACAAAACACGTCAGGATCCTGCGGATTCTCGCACGCGGCGATGAAGATGGTGATGATAGTCGAGATACTGATAATAGCATGGCCGGGGAAGAAGGAGAAGAGGGACGCCGAGAGCGCGAACAGGTGTGGGCTAGGAATGGGGGTGTTTTGTTTGTTCTGGGGGCCGTGGTAGAAGAGGAGCATCGTGATAGTACTAGTGCAGCAACTGCAGCTATGAAGAACAAGGGTGGTAGTGGCAATGGTACTGAGCAAGTCATCAGAATCATACTCTCCGGACAAGGAGGGGCTCGGGCAAGATCAGGTGTCGCACTTTGGAAAGGTTGTGTACTCAATTTGAAGCCTCCGCTTTGGGATGTCGAGGTCGGCGGTGAGACGTGGAGGGTTTGTGTTGAGTGGGGTGTTTCTTCGTAGCGGAAGAAGACGGAAGTATACTTTACTGGTGTAGGGGCGCGGCGACGACTCGCGTCTTAAGTGGGAACAACTTTTTCGATTGATACCCCTAGTGCTGAGTAATTTTCTTTCAACAATTTCTACGTTTATTCATTTAGAGAATGGGAGATCAGATTTAGGGGTGGCAGCTACTAATCCAAAATCCAATGTATATGAGATTTTCAAGAGTTCAAAGGGGCGTTTAACATGAATGAGGAATTGTCGTGTGCGGCGAGCATTATGCGATTTCTTACCCCGCACACATACGTCAAATTGGTTAGTTGGGAGTCCTGTGTAGACTTACTTCTACTTGACATGAAGGCGTACAATGTTACGGTGAACTGAAGTGATTATTTGGCGCAGAAGATTGCCGTATATTTTCTGACTACTCTTGTGAATTGATCTGCTTTACAGCATAAAAGACAGTATCAAGTATTGAAACAAATACAAAGGGATGAGCGGCCGTGATTTCCCTTGTTCCAGGCCTTTTCCTAAACATGAAGAGATGTTGAGTGTGGAATAGGAGCGGCACCTAAACCGTCACCACATGTTCTAGATGAAGAACCTTTGATTAGTTTCTGCGGTGAGCAATCTCTTTGAGATAGATGTGAAAATGGAATAACTTCAAGTGCTGATGTAGGTATGATGTTGGATTGTATCATAGCCTGTAGCAGGCGTATTGTGAGGCCCAACATCCTCGTAAGTGGTCTGGGCAACTGAACGCGATCTTTTTCACAATTCCACAGAGATCTCACGATTTCTTCCCGCTAGCTTAGATCTGATCTGAAAGGCCATTATATCCTCAAAATGTTCATCATGGATCATATCTCGGAGCTCCTCTCGTTGAAGGTTGGTGCACTCCATCAGTTGGCGGGTGATAGACGCCAAGTCCTCTGTCGAATCCGGATCTGGTGTGAGCCTTTCCGAGCGGCAAGTATTGTCGTCAGGGGAGTCTGGTAAGTAGCTGCTCTCGAGGCTCTGGTTTGAAGACTGGCTGTTGGCCTCTCGAGGTGGTTCTGTGACTTCATCAGCATACCCAAGACCGGGCCATGGGTCTTCTCGACTTACCCGAGCCGCCATCAACGCCATCAATCGGGTCTCGATGTCCTTTGTTGGCTCCACTGCTTTGTACAATATCTTCTCTAACTTCCACCCGGATGCTTCCGGCGTCTTTCATGTGCTTGAAGATCTCTTGCACGAGAGCACGTCTGAGTGATATCGACTGGCAGTAGGTGTACCCATGACCGAGGAAGTCGGGCCATTTATACCGGGACAAAGCCACGTAGTCATTCAAACCTTTGTACCAAAGTTTTTAGAGCTTGAATATACGCGAGAATCCTGGTAAACGTACAGTCGTTGATGCACATTTGAGCATCGTCTTCAGTGCCAAAGGACCGGGGTAGGGTTTCGTCATCCATCAGCCGAATGAGGGCAGGAACGAGATGAGAATACCACAAAGCTACCGGAGAGGTAATTAGCTAAGCCTGGATTGAGGAGATACAAACTCACTTAGTCCTATTTTGTCACGTCCGACAGCCATGTTGATCGAAAGATCTCAGAATTGGGGGAAAAGAGTAGGCTGGACGCGTGAGTTGATGGCACCTGGTGATGGTATGATAGCGCTTTGTGAGGATGAAGGCTGGATGGGTGAACAGCCGCGTGTCCCTGTCAAAGCTAAACATGAGAGGAAAGGAAAGAATGGTGATTACTAAGTTCAAGTGCGATGCTTCGTCGTTCCTTCCCTCAGTGCGTCCGCAGAACCAGGCAGTGACATCATCGCCATCGACAAGAATGGCCCGCAGCAGCAAAATATTCATTCAGAGACAGTCATCACTATCTACAATCATGTGAATTGTGCGCACCATTCAATATGTTTGAATGTTGGCTTCGAGAAGGTGGTGCAATGCAGTACCGGTTTTCGTTCAATGGAAGGTCAGCATTGGCCAATGCCTTGTTCGATTCCTCACATTCGGGTCATTCGCGTCCACACAACAAAACGTTGACGAAAATTATACCACGCAAATCAGTATGAACACCTACACCTACTTCCTCGCATGCGTATATCTGCAGCAGCCACAAATGACTCCGGGCCAGTCGACCTCAATAGCACCTCTAGTTCAACGCGTATTTACCAGCTGCTCAGACTGACCTCACGATGGGCTCGTCTCATAGCTCCGCGGGCCAAATGGCAGCATCATTCAAAACACCACCCTTCGCACCGCCGAATCGTTTCCATGGCCGCCGTCATCTGCAAAGGTACTGCATCTGTCCGCACTGTTCGTACAACTACAGGGCAGGTCGAAGAGGATGCGATGCGTGCGGCAATCGATGGAAACAAAAATTTGGCGAGCGATTGGCTGTCCCAGAACAACCTCATCATGTGCGTCAAGTCCGATCCATTGATGGCGGGGAATTGAATCAGATCATGCAACTTGGGTTGCCCGAGGAAGCGAAACGAGATCTTCTTGGATCCTGTGTCGGGAAATACGAGCCATCTAGGAAACCTGTTGATGACGATGGCAACGACGAAGAGGTTTCAACCGCCAGCGTCGATGTCTTGGGGAACCATGCCGGGGCGCACAACCCTAGTATAATACTCACGTCCGTAGATGATGCCAAGCCTACCATGGACAGTTGCACATGGGGGGCGCTTGAAATGGGTAAGTTCTTCCTAATACAGCGCGCCATGTGGCGGTTCTGAGAGTTCAGGAATTTGCTATGTCAAATTGGTCTCACTTTTACTGATCTTCTCCCCGCAGACTCCAACACAAAAGCTGCTCAAGCTGTGAACATGGTACGCAAGCAGTCTGTTCACAAACCAAGACACGTCGCCGATTGCATGTGTGGCCGTTGTAGGAATGCGGTGACCATGAACACGTACTTCCAGTGGATGATGGGGATCGATAACGTCGAACAAGATCGGGGGTCATCAAACAGGGCAGTCATCACTGGAGAAGAGAAACAGACGGAAGTGGACTCATCGTCTGGAGATAGCAGCGGAATTGCCGTTGTAAAAGTCGAGATCAGTCGTCCGTCAACGGTGCGGATATTTCTGGAAGATTTATCCATTCCTGGAGAGCCCGCTCTTCTCTTTCCCACCCACGACACAGTTAGTCCACGGCAGGGGACTGACGACCTGCGTGACGTATATTTGACCCAGGGCAGTGAACTCCAAGACTAGGATCGGACACCACTGTCTGGACAAGAGAAGGGGTCGTGCATGATTCCAAGGCGCAATGGAGTGGAACAAAGACCACCCGCTGGTTGGAAGTCGTCCAACAGTGCAAAAGCGAGAAGTCAGGGCAATGCAGATCTTAGGGCTGCTTCCACGTGAAAAAGTACTAGAGACACCAGCCAGGTTGTTCGAGGCACGTCTGACTGTGTAGAAATACATGAATTTGATTACTCGGACCTCAGCTGATGACATGTCTGGACAGCGTTAAAGGCTTATTGCCAAACGACGTAGCCAACGAGCAGATTTGGAACAAGGGGGCATATGCAACGGCTATCCCTTTCCCCGCGAAAGTAGGCCATGCATGATTTGCTGTTGGAAGCAGGATTGCCGAATAACAATCACGGGCGTGTTCAAACGAGATATCAAGGCGGCAGACATGTTGAGGCTGGACCGCACGTGCTCGCAGAGATTCGTGGGCGGGGAAATTGTGTGCCGCCAGAAGCGAAGGGATCCCCTACTACAGAGAGGCAAAGGGGCTCCGGGTAGACGACGCAGGCAAGATTGGAAGCAAGCCGAGCCAGTGGGATGGGACCATGTATGCGGATTGCAGGTGGTTCGGCGCGCGGGGAGAGGTCGGGGGGCATCCCACGCCAACAGAGTGAGGCGTCGTCAGGCATTGAGAGTGGGAACACGTTGGACGAGAGCATTCGTCGGTCGGTAGCCCTTGTTCAGATGTGCATGGGCTTAATTAAACTCCATTTTGTTCTCGAAGCTCGATAGCCGCGACGAGTGTTTCGGCGCCGAGAGCCTCGGGAGCAATCGAACCAGACATCAAGAGCAGTGGGCAATGTGCAGCTGAATGGGGCGAGGCCACGGCTGGATATCAAAGTCGTTGAACAAAAGAAAAAAAAAAGTTGGAAGAGTGGAGTGGATTGAGCAAAACCATGATGGACTGGCCTGTCGCGTGGGACGGGCCGGCGACGAGGGAAAGACAACCGAAGCGGTGATCCCTGTCGGCTTCACACCACGTCACCAAATTGTCCAACATTTGGGAGCAACCTTCTCAACCATGGCACCATCGTGTTTCTGCGTTGGCTGCCCTGCATCACCTTCGGCCTACCGGCCATCGCAAAAGGGGGTGCATTCATTCGTTCCATCAATGGATACTTACACAGGCGCATTCAACCAGTTGGTAGGTAGCACGGTAGTACCATGACTCTTGGAGGAGTGCACAAGCGGAACACCTAACCCATTGGGTATGCTACAACAAGCTTTGGGCATCACTTATCGATGGAAAGAAAAAAAAAAAGCTGTGCGATAGCAGGAAATGCCTGGTTCCAATTGTCTGCGGTTGCAGGCATGGACTCGGTCACAGAAGACCAAAAGGGCCGACCAAAAGGGATCCATCAGGTCAGCCAGCTCGCTCAGCAGTCGCTGTAGTCAGCGCCCGTATTGCTGTTATTTTACAGACATGTCGGTATTGCATGCAGTGCAGTGCAGTCAGTCAGTCCGTCAGTCAATCGAGGTGGGACCTGGCCCACCAATGCGCTCCAGGGCTGCACGGCAGAAGCCTCTCCTGGCAAACCATGTGTGCTCGCCTCGACGTGGCTCCAATAGCCTCAGCCCAAGCATTGCCCGTCCAACTTTCTCCCCACGGGAGGACACGGGGGTTCCCAAAGAGACCCTTCCGATCCATCTCGACACATTCGCCTCCCAACATGCCCAAAATTATCTGCCACGCCCTGACGACCCCCTACCATCCCAGTCTCGTGACGCCGTGTGCTGCACTTCTCCTCATGTCCATGTCATAGCCCAAAACTCCCCCCTACATACCCACCATCATCATTGAGCCACGAATGCCTCACCTCCGATCCCACCCAATGTCTGCTTCCCTCGTGCGCTCCACCACTGCCATACACCGCACCCCTTCTTGCTTTTTGTCGCCATTGTGTGTTTCCTCCCATCATATACATGCGCCATGGCTCCGAAGCGCCCTACAAGAAGATAGTTGGTAGCACGAGTTGATCATATCCTCGCTCGCCCACATAGCCTGCCTCCCCAATCACGCATTCAAACATGCGACAGTTTTCCAATGTCTCTTATTCCCCCTGGCGGGATCCATACAGTGGTCCCTTGAACCAAGACAAACCCTTCTATGCCTCACCCACTGCTTTCCAACAGCCCGCCTATCGTCGTATAGTCGCTCCTCCAGCACCCATCTTCTACCACCCGGGTATCGAACAGGTTATTGATGATAGTGATGTTGATGACGACGAATCGGGTTCAGGTATGTCAAAACTGTCACGACACAGCACATCGTGACTCAACCACATGAACAGAACCCTCGGGGGTCCCAATCGATAACCCGCCTGTAGAGGCCCCCGAGCCTCCTGCTTTGGCACAAAACACTGAAACACCAGAACCTCCCGCCCAACCGGAACTCGAAGCTGCTCCCCCCACAAACTCAGCTGAGGCTACTCCCGAGAGTGTCGAACCTCCACCTGTAGCCGCCACAGAGCCCGAAAACAGTGAAGCTCCAAGCTCTGAAGCAGATAACGGAGCTGTTGCTGCTGCCCAAGTGCAAGATCAGCCGCCCGGAGAAGATGGCGGTGGCGATGATGTAAAGGACGAAGTGGCCACACCTCCACCACCAGATCCAGTGGTGGAGGAAGTGCAGGGCAATGTCGACGCAAAGCCAGAAGAGCCTCCTGAGGAGAGCAAGCCAGTGACTGACGAGCCTGCTGCTGCCAGTGAAGATAGCAAACCCGACGCCGAACCTCCAGCTAGTAATGAGACACAAAGCCAAGAAGAGCCAGCCCCAACACCTGCTCTTGATGAGCCCAGTCCTGATGTGCCTGCCCCTGAACCCGCCACTGAGGTTGAGAAGAGTGGTGAGTGCGAGCCGGTAGCTCAGGAAACCCCGAAATCCCCCACCGAAAAGTCGGTCCACTTTTCCCCTGACGTGAAAGACCCAGACGCCGTGAGCATTGGTAGCAACAAGAAGGCCGATAAAAAGAAATCCAGGATCCTCGGTAAAGGTAAGCCAAACGCCTTTATACGTATCAAGGACCCTCTCCCCCCACCAGCACCAGCCCCGCCACCAAAGGAAGAAAAGAAACCTGCCAAGGAAGAGAAGAAGAAGGTAGTTCGAGAAAGCAAAAAGAAAGAGAAGCTGCCTGGCATCTTGAAAGAAGACAAACACGTTGCAGAAAGCGAGAATCAGGATGCGACACCGCCCTCGCCCACGCTATCCAAGAAGAAGCTTAGTAAAGCAGAGGAACGGAGACGGAAGCATGACGAAAAGGACAAAAAGTCAAAAGGTAAGAAGAACAAGAAGGGCCGATCGTCATCGCATAGCGAGGAAGCCTCCGACTCTGGAAAGGCGCCACCAGAGCCCCAGCCCGCCGAAGACGGGGTGGGTGAACAGAGTGAAGAGACCAAAGAAAGCCCACCAGATGCCGAGGCAGCCCCCGAGCAGCCAGCCGAGCCAGCTGAGAATGACGAACAAAATGAATCGACGCAAGACAGTCCGCAACTTGACAATAAACCGAAGGAGAACGAACCAGTAGCAGACTCGACTGGTCAAGAAGCGTCTGGAGCTGAAGAGACATCTCCCAATACCGAAGAGTCAACAAATAGCGATGAACCTCAAGCAGTCGAGGATGCTCCGGCCGCTGAGGAGTCTACGCCACCTGTCGAGGCCGCAGATATCGATAACCCTGAACCCAGCGAGGCAGCCACTCCTGCTGACGAGACCTCGGCCGTGGATGACTCATCAAAAACAGTCGAAGAGCCTGAAAAGAGTGGCGAGGAAGACAACGCTAAGGAAGAGCCGGATGCTGTCGAGGAAGAAGCAAGTAAGAGCCTACCGGCAGAAGGTTCCCCTGTCAGCGAAACGCCTGAAATCATGGATGAGTCTCCACTGGTCGAAGAATCTGTAACTGCAGCAGATAATACGGAAGAAAAGGAGGATCCTGCCGAGAAGAACGAAAACGAAAGCTCGCCAACCACCGAAGAAGAGGATCTCGCTGTAGCCGCGCCTGAGAGCGTTGACGAAAGTTCAGAGCAGGCTAGTGTCGACGATGAAAAAGCTGCTGCCGATGATGGTGGCGACAGTGAAGAGTCTCCTGCTCAGAATGAATCCTCAGCTGAAGAGACTGCTGTCGAAACTCAGGAAACCACCGACGAGGGGGCTCAAGATGCTCCTGACGATCGTCCCATCGCTACGGAACCTACTGAAGATACGGAAGATGCAGCTGCGGCACCCGAAAAGGCGAAGCCCGTGGACGAAGATCAGAAACCAGACGATTCGGTCCCAGAATTGGACAGCGAGGATTCAAGCACAAAAGCAGGCGAAGAGACCATCACTGCAGCAGAGGACGGAGATGCCGAGAACAAAGAAGAGGACGGAGACACCGAGAACACAGAAGAGCCAGATGGAAAAGATCAAAAGGCAGAGCAGGATGTGGTGTCAGAAGACAAGCTTATCGTCGAGAGCGTAGAGATTCCTGAGGAAGAAGGCTCTGGGGAAGGTAGCCCCGATAAGGCGGATGAAGCTGGGGAGACAGAGGCCATTGAAAGCGCTTCAGAGAAAGAGGGGGCAGAAGAAGAGACTCCAATTTCTGAAGACAGCAGTTTGGATAAGGAGTCGGATGCTGCTGGTAGCGGTGACGTACCTGTCGAAAACACCGAGGACGATGCTGCTGAGGACGCAGCGCAAGATAATGCGTCCGATCATGGCGATAGCCCGGCAGATAATGAAGATTCGGCACCTGCGGAGAATCACGAAGAGCAAGTGAACCATGAGAGCCAGGAGCATCAAAGCGACGGCATGGCAGAACAGGACAATGATGATAGCCCACAAGAAGAAAAAGAAGGAGAAGCTAAACCGGAGCAAGAAGCCAGCACAGAATCCTCAGCATCTAGCGATCCTAGCGCTAGCACGGAAATCATGCACGATGAGGAGACAAATGCAGAGGGTAGAGATGCATCATCTAGTGCGGAAGCTGAACCTGCAGAGGAAGACATGAGCATCACTCATCCGTCAGACGTTGCCCAGGCGGAACCAGCTGAAATTGTCGACACTACCGCTTCACCATCTTCAGATACAGCTGAGTCACCTCGAACGGAGCCCGCTAACGAGGTCTCACTGGAAGAATCACCTAATCTCGACGAAGACGAACGAGATGAAGAAGAAGAAGAAGAAGAAGAAGAAGAAGAAGGCAAAGAATCGGCAAATGGGGAAACAGCACCAAGTGATGCCGATGACGTGGTGACCCAGTCACATGAAGAAGGTAACTCCATCCTACGATCTAGCTTACCAAACAGTGTAGATATTGCTAACGCCGATGTTCATAGACTCGGCTCCAATTGCACCTGTTTCTAACGCTCAGGAAGAACCGGCATCAACTCCTGAGGACTCTTCAGTGCAGGCTGGCGAGGTCGATGAACAAAACGATGGTCTCGTCGACTCAACGCCACAAGAAGACGACGTCAAAATGAACGAAGCTATTCCTGATGAAGACGAGAAAGCAGAAGACAGTCAAAATGCGACGCCGGTAGATCAAGACACAGTAACTGATGCTATAGACGTCCCGGTATCAGACACTCAGTCAGACGTGCAGCAGCCCCTCGAAGAAGAAGAAACACCTCCTTTGCAGCCCGCATCCAGCGACGGCGAGCCAGACGCCCCGGTATCTGTTCTCGATGACGAGCAAAGCAAAGACCCTGAATCCGACCCGACCGGCGTTGACGATGCTGAGCCAGACGCGGACGAATCCGTGCAGCAGGAGAACCAGGATGATTCTGATGTTGCTCCTCCCCAAACCACTGAAGCAAAAGACGAGGAAAGTCAAGACGTCAAGGTTGAGGAAGAGACGCCATCAACAGATGCAACTTCTGAAGATGCAACCGCCGGTATGTCTTATTTCATTCTTGTTTCGATCATGTTTTGCAATTGTCAAGAGTTTTATCATTTTTCTACATTGCCTATGCGCGACGACAACCACTCCCATGTACACTCCTCTTCCGAGCAGGATATTGCATGTCGCAAGTCACTCCTCCCCAGAAGCAAGGAACACAAGAAATCGCCCCCGCGTCTTTCCCCCTTAGGGTCGGTGCTGCTTACTCATACGTGTGAGCTGTCATGTCACGTTCATTTATGCATGCAGGCCTGTATGCACGCTGAGTTTGCATTCAATGTGATTACCCGAATAAGCGAAGTGTGGGTGTTCGCTGTACTGTCCCGTGTATCGGGCAAGAGGCATGCACCAATGCCCATAGCACGCAATATCTCTCGACCGATCGCATTGCAAACACCCGATCCTATCCGCCTTCTTACTTGACTGTATTTGTCGCTGTTGTCACTTTGCTTTACCCATTTTATTTTGTTTTATTTACACGTCATATACACCCTGCACCCAATCATCTTCTTTTATTTTGTATTACCTCACTTCGGAGCGGCTTCGCTGCCATAGGTTGGAGTAAATACTGTCCGTCTTGACTGACTCACTTTGTTTGGTTCATCCAGAAACTTCCACCATCACCGCCACCTCCGACGACGAACCTGCACAGTCACCAAAGGAAGATCCACCACTCGCGTCCAACAATACAGAAGTATTGACCACGGAAGCCAACATAGCTGATGCACCCCCTCAAGAAGAAGATGATATTCCCTCTACCCCAGCAGATGATGACAGTACTGAAGTTGAGGCTGTGACTGAGGCATTGTCGTTGTCAGGCGGAGAAGACAAGGTCCAAGAGAACATCCAAATCCGAGAAGCCTCCCCGGACGATAACAGCATCGAACAGAAGCCAGAAGAAACGCTCGAGGAAGCATCAGACATGCCGCTATCGAAATCACCCGAGTCTTCGGTCATCGACGAGCAACCAGATGCCGTGGTGCCACACAGCGAAGATATCACCGAAGACCCGGCCCAGGAAGAAGAAGAAGAAGAAGAAGAGGTCAACGACAGCCATGAAAACGAGGGCAGCGAAGAAGGTGCGACAGCTGAACCTGAAGCGGAGCCAGAAGAAGACGCTGTTAAGGACAGCGAAGGTCCAGAATCCGAGGAACCAAGATCGGACGTAGATACAGTCATAGCGCCACGTGATTCAGGTCTCGCAGAGGATGACACTGAAGCGGCAATAACTGGCGAACCTGAATCAACTGAGACATCTAACGACGCTGAAGAAGCCGCGACTCCTCAGCCTGAAGAAACCGTCCAAGATGCTAGCAAAGATAGTCCTGAAACTTCGGAAGAGTCTCATCAGAACGAGGAAGTAACTACTGTCGAGACGGAAGGAAGCGAAATGCCTGCCGAAGAAAGGGCTGCGTCCAATGATGCCGAGGACATTCCGGAACAGCTTGCCAGCGCAGATGAACCAGAGGAGCCCGCCGATGCGTCTGGGCCGATTGATGAAGCCCAGGCAGATAACCCCGAACAGAAAGATGATGGAGAGAACGAACCGGAGAAACCAGAAGATGACCAAGATGGTGGTGTCGAAGCTGCTGATGATACCCCCACGGCACAAGATGAGACTCCAGGACCACCGATTGAAAGTCAAGATCAAACAAGCGAGGAGCCTCCTTCAGAACCTGCAGAAGAGCCAAAAGAAGCCGGAGATCAAAGCAACGAGAAACCGACCTCTGGTCCAGATTTAGACGAGATCCAACCGGCCACGCCTACGCCAGAGGAGGAAGATGTCAATGCAAAGGAAACCGAGCCGCAGGTAGAACCAGAGCCTGAAGGTCATCCCGAGGCAAACAACGCCGATGTAGACGAACAGCCAGAGCAAATTTCTGAGACTGTAGATCACGAACCCGATCCTGAGCCTCAGGTCGAAGAGCCGCCACCTGGAGAGGAGCCCCAAGTTGATGGTGAAGTTGAAACTCCCATGGACGCTCTGGGCGAAGATCAATCCCCAGTTGCAATCAAGGAACCAGAAGAAGTCAGCCAGGAACCAGCTATCGAATTCGCTCCAGAAGAGCCTGACGCTTCTACAAGTCCTACAGGTACTACCGAAGAAGTCGCAATTGACACAGAACCTCAAGCTGAGCCGAAGAATTTGACCGAGGCGCCTGAAGATACCAGTGAAGAGCCAGCCATCGCTGATAGTGGTGATGGAACCAGTTCCACGGAGGTTGTTGTCGGAGCTTTTCCTGAAGACGCTGTCGCGAACGATGCCACCGAAGAAATTACCGCGGATGCCTCTGCCGAGACCCAGCCTCCAATCGTTGAAGAAACACCAGTTGAGCCCTCAGCCGAGCCACCGAGTGAGCCACCAGTTGAACCACCAGTTGAACAAGCAGTTGAACAACCAGTTGAGCCACCAGTAGTTGAGAAAGATCAGCCAGTTGAAGCAACAGATGATAAGCCTATCGAAGACTCTTTGCCAGGGGATGCGGAACCCGCCATCGACGATATCCCGCCATCTGACCAACCTCCCGAGCAAGAAAAGACACTGGAGCCGCTCGAAATCCAGCCGGTAATGGCTGCAGCACCATCGACACCGCCTAACGAGTCGGCAGTGGTGGATGAGCCCGCAGTTGCTCCCTCCCCAAGAGAATCGCATCGGCGCCGCCACTCTCATGCTCACCGCGATAGCAGGCATCACTCCCATCGTGAGAGAGATGAAAGACACGACTCTCACCGTGAGTCAAATCGGCGCCGGGAAAGCAACGCCAGCACCAAAGAGAGGCCTACCTTCAACACCATGGCGATGTTTGCAGCCGCGAAACTGGCCGGTGCGGCTAAAAACAAGCGGCGGGATAGTATGACTGACAAGGAGCCTAGAAGAGGCAAAGAGAGAGTTCGTGAAATGGACAAAGAACACAGCAGTAGCAGTAGCAAAGAAAGGTCGCGCCACGAGCACAGGTCTCATCGACACCGCGAACGCGGGGAGGGCAGGGAGGGCAAACGCCACACGCTTGAAGAATTGGAAGCAGATGCTGAGCGCCGGAGACGTCACGAAGCTCGACGGGCTGAGAAGGAAAGACTAGCACATGAAGAAGCTGTTAGACTCGAGGAAGAAGCAGAACTCCAACGCCAGAAGCGACGCGAGGAACGTCGTGCTCGTAAGCTAGAAGAAGAACGAGCACTAGCAGAAGCCGAAAATCGAAGATTAGCCAAAGAGGAGGAGGCAAAGCGTCTCAGGCATGAGAAGCGACGACTAAGACATGAAGCTGAGAAAGAGTCGAGACGTAAAGCGGAGCAAGCTGAACGCGACCGGATGGAGTTTGAGGAAGAAGCACGGCGACTTCGACGCCAACGCAAAGCAGACGAAGAGCAAGAAAGAATCAATGCAGCACGAGCCAAAGAAGCGGAAATGCAAGAGGCAGAACCACGCGATGCTGCTCGCCGAGCCGCAGAGGAAGAATCGGAGGGTGTAGCCGCTGCCAGTCCTACACCGCCTCGCGAACCCACCCGCCGACACACTGGAGAACGACGCCGCGAAGCCCCGCCAGCCCGAAGAAACAGCCTGATGGGTGGCTTCTCTCTTTTCGGTCGCTCAAAGACAGACCCAGTCGTACCCAGCTCCAGATCAACGAAACCTTCCACCCGCGTACGCGCAGACGTACCGAACAGCCAGCCCTCGTCTAACGGTAGCCGCGACGGAGCAGAGCGACCGCCTCACCGCAGTCGCAAATCTTCGCATTCACATCACCACCGACGTTTCAACTCGGCAGAAGAAGAGGCAGAGCATCGCGCGAGAAAAGAGCGTCGCAGGGCTAAAGAACGCGAGCTGGAGATGTCGGGCGCGCTCCCCGTCGACGATGACGCCGTTGCTCCTCCTCCACCCCCAGAACCCGTGGAACAGGACCAACCTCCCGCCCAACCAGAGTTTGAAGAGGGTAGACGTTCACCACTAATCGACGAGGCCGCGGCCACTTTAGGCGTTGGGTCCGTATCGTCTGCGGAGCGCGAACGGAGAGATCGGAGGAGGAGTCGTAGGGTTTCTGTCATGGAGCCCGATCGACCCAAAAGCCGGCGCATTTCCGTTACCGAACGGGATAGACCGACTAGTAAAAGAACGGAGAGCGATCGACCGCGGACACGTGGAAATGGTGGCGGTGGTGGTGAAGAAAGGGTTCGGTCGAGGCGGACAGAGAGCGGCAGAAGCAGTGGGAAGAAGAAGGATGACAGTGGTGGGCTCAAAGGACTTTTCGGCGGCTTGAAGAGGATCGTGGGATGATTGATGGAAACGTTTAACGAAAACAGGACGGGTATACGTTTTAAGCTTTTTTTTTTCTTGCTTTCTTCGGGTTCTGAGTAAGTGAAGGGAGTCAGTTTTGCCTTTGCTCTGGGTTATATTACATGGACGTTGGAGACCTTCTTCATTGAAATCAAGTACACGACGTGGGGGTGTTTTGTGTTCAGTTGTTTTGCATATCCTTCTCTTCCCTATTTACCTTTCCCCTTTTTTTTTTCTACAGGCTTTGGCCATGATATACATGGTTTTCATGTTCCCTTTTTTTCTTCTCTATGCATAATTGTTTTTTGTTTTGTTTTTCTCTGTCCTCTTCACGATTTATGAACATGGGGATGATGAAGGGGAAGCTTGTATCTAGATGTAACCTGTTTGTGTATCTATTATTACAGAATCTTATTGAACATCTGAGTTTGCACTTTAGCATGCATTTGCGTGTATACATGTGCATGTGCGACAGCAAGCAAACTTGGTTAACCAAACAGCTTTTTAATTTTATTTGTCTTTACCCTTCTATTTACTTGTTGGAACAGAGCTTAGGAATGCTTAGCGTCTTTTGAGTGTACCGTGATTTAGACTGCTGAATTAAGCGCATTTGACGTAGTGACGTATACAACGTTCTAACAATCTAGTAGAGATGTATAGATTAGTAATATTAAAGTTAGAAACTATAGTACGCTTATTACTTTTTAATATAAAAAAAAAAGCTATAGTAAAGTTTTTACAAAGCTTTTTACTTTTATTAACTTTTACTATAGTATTTACTTTAATACTTACACTGCGTAATAAACTTTTTGAAATTAATACTAATACGCTTAGCGCTAAGCTTAGAAGATTTAATAATAACTTAAAAATAAAGCTAAGTAAGATAATTTATAACGCTTTTAAAAAATATAAAAATAACAAAGATAAGCAATTTTTTATATTATTTTTAATAAAAGCTTTATTTAAGGCATATAGCTATGCAAATGCTACAAAAGTAAGTAAGTTATTATTTACTTACTTATAAAATTTACTTAACTTATACTAACTATTACTTTATAAGACTTTTAAACTAGTATAAAGTAGAAAAAAAAAAGATCTTTAACTTTATAAAGAAAGATAAAAGCCTTAAAACGTTATTAAAAGAAGAAGAAGATTTTATAAGCTTTTAGACGCAGCAGGGACAGCTTCTAATAAACTTTATTAGGATGCTGTACTAAAGCAGTAGAGAAAGAGCAGTGACTGCTAAATCTGGGAGCGCGGTTTATAAAGAAGAACAAGTGATTCGCCAGAAGCACGCTCGATGGCTCCTCTGCGTGGCGCTTAGAGAAGAAGATGGTAAGAGGGGTGTTTGTGTTGTGGCTTGGAGAGGAATGCAGCCTGGGGATTCGCAAGGGGCTGTGTATTTGATTGGTGATGGAGTGATCTGGAGTGGAATAATAGGTTTTTAGGACTGCGCAGGGCTGCGATAAATGATTTTCTGTTTGCGCCGGTAATGGCGGGAGTGGTCAACTGAAAGTATATAAAAGAGTCGGGGGTTCCTGTTTGAAGGTGTTGTTGTTCGTCGCACCCACTACTACTCGCCCGTGTCAGTACTATACCGTTACACAACTACTCAACAGCTGCCCCTTTGCAGACATCTACAACTACGTCAACCTCTACTTTCGTACTTTTCACACAAACCAAACAAGCACTCCTGCTACTCGACAACTCAGGACCCAAAACATGGCCTACAGCATGAGCGCCAAGGACGGGGTCGAGTTCGTGGAGAAGCTGACGGGATGGAGCTTCAACAACAAAGCAATAGCCTTCGAGGCGCTAGTCATGGATCCAGGGATGGCTCGATTCCAAATGGACACGAGCGACGTGCAGTTTGTGAATAAGAACGAGAGGCTGTCGCTGGTGGGGACAGGGCTGGTGGAAAGCGTGCTGGTGGCGAAGTGGTATTCGCAGCTGTGGTCCAAGGAGACGTGGGACACAATCAAGAATGACCTGACGTCCATCAACGCGCTGGCGGAGCGTGGGTTTCAGTACGCAGTGGACGGCGCTGTGGTGAGGAATGTGGGGCAGGCGCATGAGAAGGTGTCGAAGAGGTGCATGGCGATGACGGTGAAGGCGATTATCGGGGCGGTGTATGTGGATGGAGGGGATGCGAGGGTGGTCATGGAGCGGTTAGGCTTCTTCGATTACGCCATGCTGAAGGCATGAGTGTGGGTAACAGACAGGTTGGGCGTTGTGATGTGGTGCCAGGGATTGTCTATTGTTTTTTTTTTTTCTTCCGAGACGGTTCTTTTGGTCATTTCGTCTTTCCTTGGTGTATGTAGTAGTGTAGTAGGAGGGGTGTGTTGTCTAGGCAGTGGTCTGATGGTGTAGATGATTGACTGGCAGTGACGTGAGTGATGGGAATGTTTGCTGCCCTACGGCGGACACGTGGGCGCAGCGGCGGGGATAGGGCTGGATGTCAGAATTGGATGGCGTACGATGGGCACAGGAAAGCCTGATGGCGGACCGTGTGGAGAAATCTCTGTCGGGCTCCATCTGCCATATCTCGCGAACTGACGGGCCAGTCCATGATGTGGATCGATTTGGCGGTCGGGGCTAGCGGTGCGGCCTTGGATGTTGGATACATGGCTTTGAAGCCTCACGGAAAAGGCGACGGGCGTATCGATAATGATGCTGTCTTTTATTGGCTGGCCAAACGTATCGCCATATCGCCGACAGCAGGCATCTCCGGCCCAAGCCACCCGAGTATGACGAAATCCGAGAGCGCCCCAGCCACACCCGCCGTGTAGCCGCCCGTCTGTCTGTCTGTCTGCCTGCCTGTCTTTGCGACGCGCTGCAAGGGCAACAACCACAACAACACATGAGAGATGGAAAATAATTTTTTTTTCTAGTATTTTGGACAATGCCCACATTACCGCCTGGTGTTGCTGGAACGACGGCAGTCAATCGAGCTACTGCAAGGTACGGTCGGGCCCTGGCCTGAACGAGCGAGCGGGAGATCCGGGGAACAGGGGTCGCTGATTGGCCCATTAATGCGTGGCTGCACACTCTCCCAACCTCTCTCCCTCTCTCTGTACAAACAACGACTGCCGCCCCGCTGTTGGAGCTAGTCCACGACCACGACAACAACAACAACTACTGCTCCCAACTGCATGCTACTGCGAACTGGCGTTCCATTTATTTATCCCTTCTTCTTGACTGCCTATAACTACGGCTTGCTGCATGCACCTCGCCACCGCTGTTGTTGCTGCTGCTGCCCCAATGCACTCTGCCTCTGCCTCTGTTTCATGCACCCTGTCGCTCTTTAGCTATTGATTTCTTCCTTCACCTACCCGTCTCTACGCTCTCTGGATACCTACCTCTCTCGACTATCGCTACTACTCCGATACCCTCCCGTTACCGCCCTGCCCATCTTACGTACCGACCCACCGCACCAGCTGCGCATACGCGTCTTACACCACTACCACCATTCCTTGTCCCACTGCCGCTCCTCTCCTTCATCTTCTACCGCTCCCTCGCGTCTCCGTGCAATAACTTGCCCCGCCCACCCGTCCATATCTGATTGATTGTACACTCGACACAACCCACCACCACCATCATGGCTGCCAAAGTCGCAAGAGGCGGCCTCGGAGCAGCCCCTCACACCGCCGGCATCTTCTCCGACATGACGGTTGACGGCCCCATCATTGGCACCTTGGTCGCCATCATGGACCGCGCCAAGAATCTCCCCAATCGCCGTTCAATGGGAAAGCAGGATCCCTATTGTGCTGCGAGGCTGGGCAAGGAGGCCAAGAAGACAAACACGGACCGTCGCGGAGGTCAAACCCCAAGATGGTATGCTCTCCCTCCCGCCATCTTCGTTCCCAGCACTAATCGTACCCCAGGGACCAGGAATTGCGCTTCACCGTCCACGACTCCCCCGACTACCACCAGCTCAAAGTCTCCGTCTTTAACGATGACAAGAAAACTGAGCTGATTGGCGAGACCTTTGTCAATCTCGAGGCCATCATCACCCCGGGCGGCGGCCAGAGCGATACCTGGCACGGCCTCAACTGCAAGGGCAAATACGCCGGAGAGATCCGCCTGGAGCTCACCTTCTATGATACCCGTCCCAAGGAAGAGAAACCAGTTGTCGAGAAGAAGAGGGACAGCGCCAGATCCGATGCACAGAGAGCCGGCTTGAGCGGCCCCCGAGAGAGCACACCTGTCAAGCGGAGGCCTCTACCTTCCGATCCTACCGCTGCTTCACCTTCACCGCAAAGCACACCCGAGCCTCGTGGTCTACAAGGGGTTCAGTCAGGGCCTCGCAGTTACGGGACGTCTAGACACCAGCGAGAGAGTTCGACACCCCAGCGACGACCGGTTCCAGACGCTTCACCTCAAGTCAGCACCTCGCCTAACCCCCAAACCCCACAAACCCAGCAGTATACCCCTCGTCCTGTCGAGCAGGATGTGTACACGCCTCCGAAGCCTCACTCATCCAGCACCAACCTTCCCCAGTACAATGCCGACAATTTCGACATGTCATATACGGCTCCCAAGCCATACGAGACGCCTCAAGTTGATCCGCACTCTCACCTTCGAGACGCTGGGAATCGGGCCATGTCACAGGACAACTTTAGATCTTCTCCGGCGCACCACCACAGCAATCTCCCTGCTGATCTACCACACTCTCACTCGGCTCCGAGTGTGCCTACTTACGAGCCTGAGCATAGGCAATATGATGACCACAGAGGTCGCCGGTCCCCTCAACCAAACAGCTACTCGCAGAATCCGTACCAAGACCCCTCGTATCAGGTTGAGCCATTACGGCTGAGTAGGAATAGCCGAAGTTTCGAGCAGATGACTTCCCAAGACGGATACCAAATACCCGAGGCATACGCGGATCCACGCGATCCATACAACACACATGCCTCCCATGGTCGCAGAGCAAGCGCCATGCAGCCTACAGTAGAGGATGAAGATGATGTTCCACCTCCTCCTCCCGTTCACAGAAAAGGAGCAAGCACCATCCCTCAGCCCCACCAGGGATCTCCTCGAGACTACCGCGATGAGGACTCGTTGCAGTACACCCATGACGGCACACTCCAACAGTACGGGTCACATGACTACGGTCATCACTCCCAGGATCGCCGATACACCCATCCTCGCCCGGATAGCCGGCCAGCGTCTCGGGACGCCATGGTGCCTTCTCCTTTGCGGAACGAGACCATCGCGTTACCGGCCAGCCTCGTCGCCGGGGTAGATGCATCTCGTCAAAGCAGAGACCCCATGTCTCATAAAATGTCCCCTTCGTACGAAACCGCCGTCTCCCGCTCGCGACAGCATTCCGAATCGAGTGCTCATATGCCTCCACAGTACGACCAGGGCTCTTACCCGCACCCGTTGAAACAGCAACAGTCAGCCGATCCCCTCCACGCGTTGCAGCATTACCAACACCCTCCCCCAGAGGAGCCACGTCGCAGATCCCCCGATCACGTTCATCCCATTATCAAACCACGTGCGGTGAGTCCTGCGGTGAGTCCCGTGCATACGCGCAGCCCGGTGGATGACCGCGCATCTCGAATGCCAAACCGGAGCATGCCAACACGCAAGTCGGTCTCGCCTCGACCACCACCTGTCGAGGAACCCGAACAGCGACGGCTGTCTGAAGTACCTTTTGCACCAGACAGTTTCGATGTTTTCAATCCGTCCATGGCCTCCAAGTCCGACCCTGAAAGGCCAGGGAGCAGCATGGAAATGAACGACAAGGGCCAGATAGTCACCTTCAGTGGTCGCGTCATTGATGCGTCCGATCATCTTCCAGTTGACAGCTGGGCTCCTGAGCCGGAGCGCAAAGGTCCCGAGAAAGACCGCGCTTCGCGTACACGTCCGGTCCTGAGCGGGGCTCGTGATCTCGAGGCTGCCAAGGACCGTGAAGAGAGATATAGACGGGAACGCGCCGAGCGGGAGAGAATTCGTAATGCCACCAATGCAGCGTTTGGAGACACTGGCAGTCCCAGCAACGCCCTCGTCACTTCGCGTCACGACTTCAGCAACCACAATTCCCCCATCAACGCAGGGGCCATGGTGCTCGCGGACCGGAACTCCACATCTCCCACCTCAGGCCGCAACAGGTTGCAAAAGAGGAATCCGCGCCCCATGTCAACGTCGACATACGATTCCCCTTCGCACAGCCAAATGTACTCATCTTCGCCCGGTATACCCATGCCCAACACCAACGTGCTCCGCGAGCGTGAAAACGTGGGTGGATACGGAAGCAGCTCAAGCTACGGACGCGATTCGCGTCACTCGATCGCTGCGCCGCCCATCCCTGCCAAAATTCCCATTGAGCGCGGCGCAGAGGATATGATGGCCCTCAGCCTGGAACTCCAGAGCATCGATATTGGGCCAGGTAGCGGAAGCGCAGGGCGCAGGCCCAGGCGGTACTAGAGCGACCGCTGCAGTTCAGTTCGAAATCAACCATTATGAAGATAATTATGTAACTTGAGTAAGTTCCGCGCTCTCTCTCCTTTCCCCGAAGCCAAGGGAGGGGCTTTCTTCGTTTTTCTTTTGTAATTTTATACATCCCAAGGTTTTCATGTGTCATTGATGGAAGGAATGGGTGGGTGACTGGTAGTTAGGATACGGTATAGGATTGGATGGAAGAGTTTATTGCCAGGTCTTGTTACTTTTCTTGTTTTTCTCCCCTTCTTCTTCTTCTACTACAACAAATATGGTATGATATGAGGGTAGGTCTAGTCTGGCCAAGGTACGAGACGCTTTAACAACGTGTGTAAGTTGAGGGGGGATTAGTCATTTCTGCTTGCTGTTAGCAGCCGCAGCCGCGTTAGAACAGCCTTCGGGCACGTATCATCCAGATATATATGTCGTAGAACAGCTGAATGAATGTTTCTGTTCTATTTTACAATCTTGTTAATGATTTTTGCGTTTTGGATAGTTGACGTGCGTATCTTGCATATGTGGATTTACTCTACATTATTTCTACTTTCGCCTTTCGTGACCTACGGAGGGTAGAGGCAGTACAAACTGTACTATGTCGCAATCGCCTGGCCAAGGATTTGTTATTCTTGTGGCCTTACTTGGATTTCGTCGACTGTCGGAATCACATGCAATGCCCCAGACTGAATCTGTCGGAGTAAGATTAGCAATGGAACACGTCCCGTATAAAATCAAGTACTCAATTGAAAGTAGTCATATACAGGTAGCATAGTAGTTCTATTTTGAAACGGCTTGGTACACTGTACACCGTGAGTGGAACTATGAATTGGTTCATCGAAGGAGAGATGAACGCAGATTTTGGAAGACTAACAGCGGCATATCACAGTATACTTCACTGCAAAGCGTTGGCGGGCACTTCCTAGTATTTTTTAAGAGGAAAATTTGAACATTTGTATGCAAAATCAGAGTAATAACCAGTCACTGGTGTCAATGAAATCCCTAAAGGGGAAATTGTACTCACCACCGTCGAACTTTAGTCGCACCCTCCCCCAAGAGCATGACTGCGGATGCAAACCAACTCTGCAACGAATCACCGTCTAGAAACTTCAGCTTACAGCTAAGGAATACTATGGATATTAAATTCCCCCATGTACGAAGAGGTGGTTGGAAGGATGCTGTGTCGCAATATCCCGATCCACACATATCGCAATCGTCATGTTTACGTCAAAAACCTTGGGGCCCACCGAAACCCCTCCTCCTCCCACCAAGCAACGTCATTCTACTAAGAAAAAAGGGAAAAAGGCTCCATAGAAAAGCTTTATTATAAAGATCTTTCTCTCTCTCCTAGCTTTTTGACTGAAACATAAACACACTCGATACCCTATTTGCCCACTTCAATTCCACCCGTATTCACTCCAACACAAGATTTCTTACTCGAAACCACCTACTACCGTATATACCATATCAATAAGGGAAAGAAGGAAAACAAGTCCAACATGTCCGCCGAATACAAGAACCAAGACCCCCTCGATATCGCCAAACAAGCCGAGCGCGACCTCAACTCGCAGGCCGCGAAGCAAGGCCACCAGCTGGCAGACAAAGCTACAGGTGCTCACGGGGCTTCTGATTCCAGTGTGTTTTCTTTTCCATCTTCTCATGGTCTCCCCCCTCTCCTCGCACTCGCCTATACACCGTTGCCCCCTCTCATTCTCTCTCTTCCTCTCTCTATGTGTGTGTATGTGTACAATTCGAATGCGATAGACTGACACGGGACCCCGCACAGCCAAGGAATCAGGTGTCGATGAGTCCGTAGAGAAAAAATTCCCAGGCGCCAGCGTGACATACGGCTCAGCAGCGTCCGGAGCAGGCGATAACCGCGACATTCCCGAGAGCGAGGGCGGTGGTATCAACCCCGTGACTGGACAGTATGTTCCCCCGTCCCTCCCATCCTTCCATCGAGTCGTTTTGATACTCTCCCTTCCCACCTACTCCGTCTCTACACTACACTTAGTCGCAGAGAGAGAACAATCATAGCTGACAGGAGTTGTGTTAGATTATACAAAGCCCGCGACTTCGAAGGCGTAGGTGGCCCAGAAGACAAGGCGAAGATCTTAGAAAGGGACCAAGGCGGCCGCGATGATGTGAGGAGCAATATTCGGCAATAGGATGTTTTCTATTAGCAATCTTGAAACGTACAATAACAGAGGAGAGAAATGGCAGTGTCTAGTTGTTGCCTGGGTAATGCAGTGATCAATGATTCACAATGAGTATACGCATATAACCACTCTAACTGACAAGAGGAGTTTGCAAAAAATAAATATCCGTTAAACATTAATTTTGATACCATATATTACGCGAGATTCGCTTTAACAGGTTCTTCTTCACACTAGTAACCCTCTAATTTACTATGAACTCTCTTCTCTACAACCTCCAGAAACGACTTAATGGTGATCTATATTCTTCAGTTGCAGCACCTGATTGTAATTCTTATGATTATTGTTTAGGCTATATATTCGAGTTCTAACTTAAACTCCTTGGTCTCCTGCCGCGCACTACTAATTAATGGTTTCACTTACGTCCCAGTCAACAGTTGATGCCCCAGGTCTTGATCTAGCCGTTGAAGCTAGGTACTGGTACCTGGCTTGGAGGACTTTCCCCGAGTGTGATACATCGTCCAGAATTCGACCGGAGGGTCGACTTGATTGATTATATCTCGCCTGGTATACCACCACGTTAAGGCAGCCCATACATAGGAGTGAGCATTTCGTTGTTTCTGATCCGTAGTTATCACATGCATGATTTGTAATGGATCGTATACCTCGTTTTTTTTCGCATCGACCGCGAAAGTCGTGGCTGCGCTGCCGAGAACCAAGTGAAATATCTCGTGGTACAAAGTAAACGCCCGGTCGCCTATCTCCCTGATGCTGTGAAGACCGTCGAAGTCGTTCGCCTTCTGCTTAATGCGAAACTGTTCGTAGGAGATTGGGTCCACCGTCATGCTACCGAGCTTATCGCTGTAGAGGAAACTGAGGGGACAGAGAGTGATCGTGCGCGGCTGGCCTGGTGCGTAGGCTTCAAATGTTTGGGCATTGCCCAACTTGAGTCCATCGTTGCAATAGCCCCTTCTGCCGTCCTCCAGGGGATACACTGGATTGAGAACGTATGTACGAGGTAGGTAAACGTCGGACCAGTACTGTGAACAATGAAGAAGTAAGCTAGAGAGCCAACAATTAGGCCCTTGACGATTTTGAAAGTTGGAAATCTTTCCCAAAAATCGCAGCAGCCGAGTATGTTGGAGGAGGGGGGCACATCGTCAAAATCACCTACCGGCAAAAGAGGAACTTCAGAACTTTCCCTGATCGATTTTAGATTTGCATCACTGGAGATTTTTCGACGCACTCCAGTTTTCTCATCCGGAGGAAATTCATTGCCGTTGGTGTCCTGAAGCACATCCTCCCAATCTTTGTCCACGAGCCACGTGTCATCGCAGAACAAGTACGGCTTCGATTGTGGAGGATCCGTGACGCCCTCAGCGAGAAACTTCAAGACCTTATTGTACTTGTCTATGATCGTTGTACTGGTAGTCAGCAAAGTCGGGCTTCTGCAACGCCTCGAGTTCCATATACTTGGTGTACGCTTCATGAAGGGAATTGTGACAAGAATGGCAACAGAACACACAGAGACTGCGAACAATGATTCAACATACCATAAATTTCTTTGGCCTGGGTCGTGGTTTCTGGTTTTAGAAATGCCCGGAAAACCCTATTAGCATACTCGTTCTTGTAGAAGTTTGAGACGCCTTCCACGGCAGCTCGAGTGAGGGTTTCCGCCTCATCCAACTTTCTCTGGAGTTCTCCCCTGCCGACGTAGGCACATCCGCCATTTTTGTTCCCGGCCAAGTCCACCTTGAAGAGAGTGTCGACAGGCAAAGCGGCTCCAGAGACTATGGCATTGTAGCCAGCGCCGAGGAACAGGGCTAGCGGAATGTTTTTGGATGCGAGCATATTTTCCAATCGAATTACCGACTATGAATATACCGTGAGAATGTGATGGTGGTTTCGAGAGCTCAACAAGGGATGGCGCGGTGGGACAGTATATGAACGAGAATGCGGAAGCAATGGTCATTATTCAGTCTTCTGGTTGGTGGGTAGCTGGCAAGGAATATGCGAAGGGGCCATTTCATTGCAGCAAAGATGATTAGGGCATACCAAAAATGAGGTTCCTAAAATGTCATGCTGGGGTTTTCAATAGGTGCGCCGTGCGAAAAAAAAAACTCCAAAGAGGAAAATACTCTGTAAATACCAGTGGATTGAGAGGGATGACTTGCTATAGATTGCTCTAGATCAATTGCCAAGCGTTTGCTAGTGTTGAAGCGTACAACGTGCCGGTTCATCGTTTATCTTGCATGAGTACTTGAGTTCCTCACGGAGAGCAGCCCGTGATAGGTATACTTGGCATCCGGAGAGACTAGTTCCGTGAGGGTCAAGGGTTAGGTAGATAGCGGGATCTATCTCGTTTAAGAATACGAGTGAGCATCCGATGAAGAGTTAGATCTAGGCCCATAAACATCCAATGATAGATTCTCGTATCGAGGAAGCGGTATTAAGATGAGCGGGACAACTCTACGGTTTTTCAGTAAATACATACTTCGAAGGGCTCTATAGAGCACCATAACAATTTCTCTTCAATTCCCAATCAGATCATTGTTCGTAAGGCGCAGACCGACACCTATCAATCACTGAATCATGTGGGCAAGTCGCATCGTCTTGGCTCTCGTGGTCGGAGTGCAACAGGCTGTCGCCTTTGCAGTATACGCGCACTTCATGGTATGTTCAATGCTTCTGTCCCTTGAAGTTATGTAGTTTTGATGTATTGACCAAAGACAAAATATTTTAGGTTTCAAATACTAAAGACTACAACTCTGCGGATTGGCTTAACGAGATCGACCTTGCACAAAGGGCAGGCATTGATGGCTTTGCCTTGTATGTACCCGGGCCATCAATTGGCGAAGACGAGTATCAAGCTAATCACGTCCGCCTTTGCTTAGAAATATCGCCAAGAATGAAGACACAAACAAAAAGCTAGACGAGATATTCACGGCAGCAGCTTCGCGCAACTTCCAGCTATTCTTCTCCTTCGACTACGCCGGGAATGGTGCATGGGACAAAGAGGCCGTCAAGAGTCTCATCAATCAGTACAAGGGGTGGAGCAACAACGGACAGAGCATCTACGTCAAACACAACTCGAAACCGCTGGTGTCTACCTTTGAAGGGCCCTCCTCTGCTAATGATTGGCATGAGATCAAGACCCAGACGGGGTGTTTCTTTGTCCCTGACTGGTCCTCAGAGGGCGCGAAGAAGGCGACCGGTTTGGGCAATGGGGTGGCAGATGGGCTCTTCAGTTGGGCGGCATGGCCCGCTGGGCCCAATGACATGAATACATATGGAGATGCCTCGTACATGCAGTTCCTGAAGCAGGCCAACAGACCGAGTTACATGATGCCCGTGTCACCTTGGTTCTACACCAACCTGCCGGGCTTCCTCAAGAACTGGCTGTGGCGTGGCGACCGTCTCTGGTTCGATCGCTGGGTCCAAGTCCTCTACCTGGCCCGCATTCAAAAGGACTTCCCTCCCCCACTCTGGGCCCAGATCATCAGCTGGAATGATTTTGGCGAAGCCCATTATATAGGTCCTATCCTCAACAAAGCGACCTACGCTCTCAATGCAGACGAGGGCAAGGCACCCTTCAACTATGCCAACAACGTGCCCCATGGTGGCTGGCGCCTGTTTCTTCCGTTTCTCATCCAACTGGCCAAGACGGGGCAGGCCACTGTTGGAACTCAGGGTGTCCAGATATGGCATCGCAACTCAGAGCTTGCCGCCTGCGGGTTTGCGGAGACAGTGGGCAATACGGCAACGCAGATGCAGTTGGAGTACTCGCCAACCCAGCTACTGGCTGATAAGGTCTTTTACTCGGCTCTTTTAGAGAAAGAAGCCACCGTGACTGTCACTGTTGGCGGCGTTGCCATCGGTGGAGGGTGGTCCGATAAGCCAGGCGGAGGAGCTGGCATCTACCACGGCAGCTCCAGTTTCAAGGGACGTACCGGCGAGGTCGTTGTCACCGTCGCAGGTATTGCGACGGTCAAGGGAGTTGTACCCATTGGCGGATGTACAGCTGGTTCGCAAAACTTCAATCCATATGTAAACAATGCGAACGGGCCTGCCTCTAGCACCGTGGTGAATATCAATAACCAAGTATGCGTGGATGGTTTTGGTGTTGGGGGATTCGTTGCCATTTGCAAATATGCTTGTACCAAAGGATACTGTCCCGTCACAGGTAATGTCTTTGCTGAGATATTTGTCTTTTCAAAACACGAACATAAAGCTGATTATTATCATCAGCCTGCACCTGCACGAGGATTGGACCGCAGCCCGCCCTGCCAACGCCACTCTTCAAGAACGGTTACCCATCCAACGGAGATCGAGACTTTGAGGGGCTTTGTAGCTTTGCGGTGAATTATGGATACCTTGGAACTGAGGTACTGAATGCCAACCCCTCTTCTGGCCCTCTCTCCCCCCCATCGCTACGACTACTTTACTAACTCTTTTCCTTTCCAGTGTAGCACCAAACCGCCAGCATCGTGGTTTGTACCAGCGCTGTCCCCTTTCTTGTAAGCTTTGTTTCTGCATCCTTATTCTGTGCCAAAGGCATTTCGTATTCCCAAGGGCTACCTCGCTAACGGTCAATCAGTCCAGATACATCTACCGCCGGGGTCGGTCTTACCGTCAAGTTCGATAGCATGTGCAAATTCAGTTGCAAGTACGGCTGGTGTCCCATGCTTCTATGCAGACCCACGTCTACCGGCGTCATAAACTCCAACATCCCCGGCACAGGTATCGGAGGCGACCTCCGGGACGATTTACCATTGACCGATCTTCTCCTCTGTCGCTTTACTATGATATACGGCCAAGCCAATGCAGAGGTTTGTTTCAAAGCGAAGACACCAACAACGACGAAACCACAATTACCAATTCCGACGAGCATCCCGACAAGTGGCCCGACTCTCTATGTGGATCCTGAAATCTACGGTCTGCCCGCTGGCGGTGTATCTACGATCCAGTGCTCAGTTCCTTGTACCATTGTTTTGCCGGACACGACGTTACCAACCCCCACTACTATCGCCATCCCCCCATACACGACAACCCTCGAAGTTGGATGGTTCGAACCTAGTACCTACGATATAGGTGATAATAAAGTCACCATCACTGTGTATAAGAAGGCGATCGAGACAACTACCATCAAAATCCCTCCCATAACCACAACGGTGATTGAAGTCTGGAATGTGGTTATTGACAGCGACGACGTCGGTAGATCATTTTATCCCAAGTCCAGTTTATACATACCTCCGGTGACCATCACGCACGTGCCAGACAGCAACCAAGTGACTAAGACTATACCCCCAAGGACTCGCATTGTCACTCCTCCACCCTACCCATGGCCTGAGGTGTCGGAAGACAGGGATGAGGAAGATCAGCACGACGACACCAAGCATCGTGTCAAAGATATCTCTCTCATACACAAAGTTGGCCCCCATAAGCCTGTATGTAGAATTGGCTGCGGTCATCATTGTTTGCTCTTCTGTGATCGCCCTTGTTTATTCAACTGCAAAAAGAGCGATAAAAACTGGGGTAAGTTTATCTCTGTTTTTGTCTTCCGTTCTCACCAATTTCTCCAACCAAACGAAAGCCCAGAATAGCCCCTACTCGTGCAGTCTATATAAAAAAGACCAAAGAGAACTAACACGGATCAACCAAGACGATCTTGATCCAATCGATCCCGCCAGCCCGCCTCCTCTTCCCCCAGGAGGTCCACCAACATCCAGTCCACCCCCGCCAGGCGTCACACCAGCCTCCTATGAAGCCGACCCAAGAATGGAAAATGACCACATTTACGAATTCGACGCCAAAAAATGGGGCGACGCTGGCTACGCTATGATGCAGAGCATGATCAACGAGGGCATCTTCGGGATGCCAGCTCCCTCACAGCCCGCACAGCCACCAGCCAGCAACTACTTCATAACTATCTCGCGCCGGGAATGGCAAGTCGCCACTGAGTGGCGGTTTGTCTGGGACATTCACAACACAGCTATGAACTCGGCTGCTGACATCTGCGACGGGAAAAGCGAGCACTCTGAGCCCTTTTATCCTACGCCTGGCGGTTCAAATAATCCTGGCGATATCAAGGGGATAAAGATTGGAGCAACGCAGAGTTGCGAGTACAAAGCTAATACTGTAAACAATGATGATCCAGGCACATTCAATTGCCCGGGCTTCGCGAAGCCAGTGAGCTGTACTTGGTTGTCTCGGGAAATGCCCTGTTCTGATAGAACGTCTTATGTGGCTCAGTGCCAGTACTACTCAAGCAATCCGCTTAAACGACGCTGGTCCAACATTAGAGGATAAGTAGGTAGAATATAATGCTATATTCTACAACCTTGTTAGGTGTAGCTATAGGCAATAAAAAATAGTTTACACTACAAGTAGATAGTAAAAAAATTTAATTTAATAGTAATACTTTAAATAAATAAGTAAATAATTTTAACTTTTTTTTAATAACTTTTTTTTCTAAGTTAAAGTTTAGGTAATTCTACACACAGTAATAAGTAATAATAGTAAATAAAATAAAATAATAAGTAATAACTAAAAGGTTTATTCTTTTAGTTATTACTTATTATAGGCGGGATAGTGTTGTTAAGATTACAACACAGACACCTTAGGTGTTAGAAACAAGCTTCTTATAATACTAAGGTAAATTACCTTTACTTACTGTAAGTGTCTTAGAAGTTACAGAGCTACGCTGTATTAGCTATTACGTAATAAAGAACTACGTAATATAATTAGTAATTAGCTTAATTAGTAGTACTAATTAGACTAATTAAGGTAATTAACTATCCTAACTACATGTATATAATTAGTAGGCAAGAAGCCCTTATAGCTTCTTGTATTTACTTTAAGTTACAACTTACTTCTTAAAAATATAATCTAGTTATTACTTTATACTTTTACCTTTGTTACTTTAGTATTACCTGCTAGTTATTTATAAAACTTAACTAGAGATCTTTAAGACTTTAATATTATAAATACTCTTAAGATGTCTAGCTTTAGTACTACTAGCTAGTCTACTCTTACTTTTAATATAGATAACAACACCTTTGTTAGCGTTAAAGCTAGACAGCCTAACTTCTACTATAGAGAACGTGTTAAGCTAAAGGAATAGATTCTATAACTTAAACTACTTTTTAAGTTTAATAAGAAAATTAAAAACACTAACAAAGCTACCTACGCAGCTACCTTTATGCAAGGCAATGCCTATAAATAAATTACACCTTAGCTTACTAAATATCTAAACAATAATAGCAACAGCAACAACAATAAGAATAAGAATAATAAAAACATAACCCTATTTAAAAACTAGAGAACGTTTAAAACTAAACTTTATTAAGTCTTTAAAGTATTAAACAAGAAAAACAAGGCAGTGCATAAAATTTAACATATTAAATAGCTTAAGTCTACTACTAACTATACTGCGCAATTTTAGCACTACGCAGTTTAAACTAACTAAAATAATAACGCGCTTATAGCACTCTACTGCTAAAGACTTAAACTTAAAGTTAAAAAAAAACTTATAAAATCTAAAGTTATACTTAACTTAATAGAAAAACTCTACAAGGAAACTATCTATATTAACAATAACTTATTTAAGCTTGCTAAAGAAATAAAAAAGATCTATAGTTATAAGTCTGCTTATAAAAAAATATAAAAAGCTATTTACTATTTTTTTTAAGAAAGAGGCTGCAGCGTTCTTGTTTAACCTAAAGTTAAATATACTAAAGAAATAGACTAGACACGTAACGTTAACGCAACGTTTCTATCTAAAGTTAAAAAAAATAATAAAAGAAAGAAGTATAATAAGAAGAGCAAGGACCCTAAAAGAATTACCTACTATAAATATAGTAAAACTAGCTATATAGCTAGAAACTGTTAATTAAAGAATAAGGTTACACAATTTATTAACGTAATAACTAAGTCTTTATACTCTAAAGAGGATAAAGGCAAATTAAAATAAAAAATTCTAGAACCTACGCTAGGTAAAAAATAACTTATAGTAAATAACTTAAATTTAGAAAGTAGTTCTAAGCATTACAAAGATGCACTACTACCTAAAAAACGCTAAGTAAAAAGAAACGCCTAACAAGCTGCTGCAAAAAGCAGAAATAATTAATAAAAAAAGTAACAACTACGTCTAATATAATAGTTCTAAGCAGAAAATCTTATATTAAGGACCTATACACTTCTAGAAGCTAAACAAATATATATTATAAAAAATCTATAGAGATTTAGATTAGACTTAGAAGAGGAATACTTATCTTTTAAGAAACCTAATAGCCTAAAAGGATCTATTAAATACAATAATAACAAACTTGCTAAACAAATAAAAGAACTAAATCTACTAAACAAAATAGCAGATAATAATTAGAAAAAGAACTAACTTAAAAAAAAAGTCTTAGACTTATAAAAAGACAACTATATATAATATGTCTTAAAACACTAGCAAGATTATTAGAAATATAAGAAAAATAGTAAGAAAACTAAAAAGCCTAAACTGCTATCTATGCGTTAACCTATGTATAATATTAACTTATAAAACTAAAATTATAAATAGTTACACTTTAGCGCTTGCATGTATAATCTTTACTAGATATACTAATTAAATAAAGATGCTTTTTACTATTTAAAAAATAATCTGCACAAAATCTATAAATATAATTAAATAAAGTGCTATAATAACTTTTGTTCTATCTACCTGTTTAACAAAAAACTTAGTTTTAAATTTCTAGGCAAAACACTAAAATAAACAGTAAATATATAAATTACAATAAACTAATAATATATTAAAAACAATATATAGTAAACCTGCTTATGCAATAACTATAAACGCTACTATAATGCTAAGTGTGCTAATAAATTTAAACTAGTTTATTTTTTTTAGAAACACGCCTAGCACTAGAAATACATATAGAACTATATGTTTAACAAATATAAAGAAACTAGTTAAGCTATTAGTTAAGCTTAACAAACACTATTTTAAGGCACTATTTAATACTAGCTCTTTAGTTAATCTTATGTTAAGCTATATAGTTATAAAAGCTAGACTTTCTATATAAGGCAAGCACAACTAGTATAGTATTAAAGTAGTTACTAGAAAGCGCTTACTTAATAAAGCGTAGATACACAGGAAAACTAACTTAATATTTATAAAAATTAGTAGACACTAAAAAAAGATTATTTTAAACATTTTAAAAATAGCTACTTTTAATGTTATATTAAGACTCTTTTAGTTATAAAAGCATAATTTAGTAATAGATTAGTTTAAAAAGACACTTTTATTTATAAACTATAAATATATACATAGTTTAAAGCCTACGCACTACGCGCTGTAAGTAGTAGATAAGAAAAGTATTAACGCAATAACGCTATGTTAGAATTAGAAGAAAGCTCTTAATTTAGCCTCTTACTTCCTCTGCTGCAAGCGCTAGCAATAAAAGAAATAGAGTTGCTAGCGCCTGCAGATAACTATATTTACAACTTAGTATATAACTGCTTGCTAGCAAGCAACAAGCCTAACTTTATACTAGCTCCTTAGCAATATTATGCTTACTAATAAGCATGCTTGCTAGTAAGCGCGCTTGCTAGCAAGCACTAAACAACCTTATATATATAATTAGTAGATAAGAAGCCTTTATAGCTTCTTGTATTTACTTTAAGTTATAACCTACTTTTTAAAAATACAATCTAGTTATTACTTTATACTTTTACCTTTGTTACTTTAGTGTTACCTGCTAGTTATCTATAAAACTTAATTAAAGATCTCTAAAACTTTAACATTATAAATACCCTTAAGATGTCTAGCTTTAGTACTACTAACTAGCCTACTTTTACTTTTAATATAGATAACAACACTCTTATTAGCATTAAGACTAAATAACCTAACACCTACTATAGAGAACGTGTTAAGCTTAAGAAATAAATCCTACAACTTAAGTTGCTTTTTAAGTTTAATAAAAAGATTAAAAATAATAATAAAGCTACCTACGCTGCAACTTTTATATAAAGTAATACTTATAAATAAATTGCGCCTTAGCTTACTAAATATCTAGATAATAATATTAAGAATAATAAAAACACTACTTTGTTTAAGAACTAGAAAGTGTTTAAGACTAAGCTCCACTAAGTCTTTAGAATATCTAATAAGAAAAATAAAGCAGTGCGTAAAATTTAACGCATTAAATAGCTTAAGTTTGCTACTAACTATACTGCAAAGTTTTAATACTACATAGTATAAACTAACTAAAATAATAACGCACTTATAGCACTATATTGCTAAAGACTTAAACCTAAGGTTAAAGAAAAACTTATAAAGTCTAGTGTAGTTATAAATACACTAGAACAACTTTATAAGAAAACTATTTATATTAACAATAACCTGTTTAAGCTTATTAAAGAAATAAAAAAAATCTACAGTTATAAGTTTGCCTATAAAAAGATATAAAAAGCTATTTGCTATTTTCTCTAAGAAAGAGGCTGCAGCGTCTCTGTTTAACTTAGAGTTAGATATACTAAAGAAATAGACTAGACACATAATATTAATGCAACGTTTCTATTTAAGGCTAAAAATAATAATAAAAGAAAGAAGTATAATAAAAAGAGCAAAAACTTAAAAGGAATTACCTGCTATAGATATAGTAAAACTAGCTATATAGCTAAAAACTGTTAATTAAAAAACAAGGTTACACAATTTGTTAACGTAATAACTAAGTCTTTATACTTTAGAAAAAATAAAGGCAAATTAGAATAGAAAATCCTAGAACCTACGCTAGGTAAAGGACAACTTATAGTAGATAACCTAGATTTAAAAAGTAGTTCTAAGCATTATAAAGATGCACTACTACTTAAAAAACATTAAGTAGAATAGAACGCCTAAAAAGCTGCTACAAAAAGTAGGAATAATTAATAAAAAAAGCAACAACTACGTCTAACACAACAGTTTTAGGCTAAAAATTTTATATTAAGAACCTACGTACCTCTAGAAGCTAAACAGATGTACATTACAAAAAATCTACAAGAATTTAAATTAGACTTAGAGGAGAAATTCCTGTCTCTAAAAAAACTAAATAGCCTAAAAGGATCTATTAAATACAATAATAACAAACTTGCTAAATAAATTAAAAAACTAGATCTGCTAAATAAAATAGCAGGTAATAATTAGAAAAAAAACTAACCTAAAAAAAAAGTCTTAGACTTATAAAGAGACAACTACGTACAACATGTCTTAGAATATTAGTAGAATTGTTAGAAGTATAAGGAGGATAGCAAGAAAATTAAAAAACCTAAACTACTATTTATGCGTTAACTTATGTATAACGTTAACTTATAAAACTAAAATTATAAATAACTACACTTTAGCGCTTGCATGTATAACTTTTACTAGACACATAAGTTAAATAAAAATACTTTTTACTATCTAAAGAATAATCTGCATAAAATTTATAGATATAATTAGATAAAGTGCTATAATAACTTTTGTTCTATCTACCTATAGAGACAGGCAAATCTCTCTGGCTCGACTTGTTCTGGTTACGGTTGCTGACCTGAGCTGCTGCTGCTTTAACCTGAGCAAAGACTGAGTTCTCCTGAGCAGGCACCTGAGATTCCTGAGCGCGCATGAATAACCAATCTTATTTTAGATTTGCACTGCCCCAAAGAGGCAGGGGAGCAGTTTAGGACTCAGACACTCGGCTACACTTGCATCTACGTTTTGACTAACATTGTTGATTTCTACGGTAATGATCGCAGCCACACTTACTAGCCACAGCCATGACTAATCCTACTCTTTGGTCTCCAATAGTGAACCCTCAACGGTCAGCAACCATCCAAGCGCTGAGAGACTGCCATCCTCCAGTCAACCCCCAAGTCCATTCTACGTTCCACTGCACAATGATACTCTTCAACATCCGCACCACTTGTAACGTGCGTATCATTCGCAATACTCGCAACGCTGCCGCTCAACTGTAGCTGCATTGCGTAACAGCGGACATCTGGCCAGCACTCCGTCCGCCTTCGTCGATTGTGAGCCCCTCCTTGATGGTGTGACGAGACAATATTATGGAGAGTTGGACAACATCGCTTCGCGTTATACGAGGTCGGTCGCTTGCAGGCTATTCTGTTGTACAATATTGAGACGCGATGGATGGGGGTTGTGAACTAATAGAAGAAGCGGGGCGTCATCGTAACACTGGAGGTTCGGTGTACAAGTTACGCAAAGTCAATCAGAGCAGAAACTCTGTGCGACTGCAATAACTCTGTGCAACGTTTTCAACAGCGTAAATGGGTGAAGGCTGCCACTAGCTCCGCGGCTCATGAACAATGAACGCTACGAACCCACTCAAACCTCGACTTACTTACGACTCCACAATGGCCAGTGACAGCAGCGTCTCTTCGACACCTTCCTCGACCCCATCCTACCTGCCGAACATGAGTGTCAGTCGTTCTGGCAACCGCGCGACATCGTCTTCGTCCTTACACGATCACCGAAAACAAACGGATAGAGCAGCTGTGATGCAAGCGCTTGCAAATCCAGCGGTTGCGGAATGGATGGAAAGAGTGGCCTGGGCTTGTAAAGTGAAACGGAACAAAAACAAGAGATGTTGGTACGCAAGTCGAGTTTGCAACAAGGACTCACTGACCCTAATACGGTGGCGATGGCAGAAAATGCCGGCTTCATATCGAGGGCCCGCCGAACGGTTCGTCAACCGAACCATGACACTCTGAACGGAACCAAGGAGGGGAATATATGCTGGCTGTACACATCTCAGACTTACTGATTCGGACGATATCGTGAGCTTGAGCTCAGGCTTTCGCATACCAAGAGAGACGAAGCAGCGCTGGAAGCCTTCAGCGTTCTGTACAAGTTCATCACGTAGACGTAGACGAATATTATGAGTTGGAGCCATATCATGGGTTTCAGAAGTTCAAAAGTGACCGTGGAGACTGGATGAGTTTGGAAGGGCTATTGAGTATGACTTTGCCGTGATATGTTAGAGCTCAGTAACGGCAACGATCTGGGGCGGATCCCACTGCGAGAGCTAAATCAGGAAGCCATGTCACGTACGCAGACCGTCCCAAAAACATCCTCATCGCCTCCAGGGCAAGGCCTATGTCGGTGCGGGTCGGCCGTCCTTCTTGCTAGCATCACCAAGGTGCTCGTCTCTCCAGTTTTATGCATTGCAAAATCGCCTTCCACTAACCTCACATGCTAGCCATACCGCGCCACACTGGGCTGTGCAATTGCCACCCTCAACTGAACCGTCGCGGCGACTGAAATATGGCCGCTTTTTATATTAGATAAAGTAGGTAGAAGAGAGCAGAGAAAGCTGGATCATGACAGAGTCTATAGACTATAGGAGAAAGGTCTCTTCAGTTTGTTATTTTTTCAAACAAGGGGTGAGGGAGTGCCCGGGGTCCTAGATCGGAAGCACCAAGATTTTGTAAAACGGCTGCAAATCGCTAAGTGTAGTACTCTCACCACGCATCGATTCTGCTATAAAAGAGGAGAGCCTTTGCCTCTGCCACGATAATTATCAGTGTTAACTCGGCTAGAACTATAGTCCCATTTTGCTGCAATGGCCCTGCTTACACCCTTCGCATGGATCGCTCCTGTGTGGCCCATCACTCTGCCCTGAGAAGGGAGGGCGTTCCACCTGGACTCCAGACCACTTTTTGAGACGATATGCCACTCTTTCTGTGTATGAATAATCCAGTTGTGGTTCACTCGTCATCCTGCAACGTTTGCAGGATTGGTAATATACTCTTACATTGTATCGCTCGTTGGAATATCTTCGTATAGTGATGGCTATTTGCTTGCTTTTCCAGACAGCTAAGCATGCTGTATTGCTGCAAGTAAACTGACCCATGATATTCGTGTCGTAATCGTCTATGCAGCTATTGTCGTCGTCCTTCTCGTAGAAGCTAAAGAAGAGGTTGTCTTCGTAAAGGAGGTCGGACACGTCATTGTGGAGTGAAGGGTACATCGACCATTTTTTAGTTGACTTCGGTTTCATGGTTGACTTTCGTTTCGTGGTCGGCTTTTGTTTTTGAGGAGGCATTGCGAGATCGATTGGATGTTCGAAGGACTGAGCATGAATAGCGGCGTTCTGGTAGTGCTGTGCCCGAGCCCTGTCGTTGCTGAATTGGCGATCACATGTTGTACAGTCGAACTTGTGCGCAGATGAGTCTCGTTTATGTTGCTGCAGAGCCTCGTCGCTGCTGAAATCTCGATCGCAGGGTACGCAACGAGAGTTCATAGTGTCAATATTGTTGTTAGTACTCCTTAATTTGCAGAGGTCCGATGGGTATATCAAGTTCAGCATGAAGGCGGTGGGTCCACGTATCACTCATTCCGAACTGATGCCCCACAGCAATGCTGTGTAACAATTGATAAGGTCGCTCCTTCACCTGATAGGTGCCATGGCTCAACCTGGCAAGCAATTATGAGCTCAATAGCGGTGTATCTATAGGTGGCTGCACAAAGTTTGCCAAGTTGCCTTGTTCGGAAGACTTTGAAATCCATCGAACACAGCAAAGGTTCTTCGTACAAGGGTACATGCAGGGGTCACGTCGTACGGTATGACTTCTTCAGCCTTCAACAGCCAGTCAACACATGATACGTGTGTGTTCGGGTTACCTCGCATTGTACTGTCTTTTCTCTCTACACTCCCACGTCTCGCATCCATTGATTCTGGAGTCAATTCATTATTTTGCAAATCCATCTCAGAGTGAGTGCGCACAGATGGCGACAAAATTCGAGAAGTAGGTTTCATATCTTACGTCCATCTGGTTGAGCTGAAACATAGCAGTCTCATTCAATCACATCAATTCACCTTCTTTGTTGGTCATGAGGGAAAACCAATAACCGTGCATGCAGCCGCGATCGCTGCTACTAGCCAACAGCTGGATGCACTCATTAATGGAGGAATGAGAGAATCCGAAACGCAGTGTGCGAAGATTGAAGATGTTGAAGTAGACGACTTCATCCGGTTCTGCGAGTACGCCTATCGCGGGGACTACACGGTACCTCCGTGGGAAGAACTTCCGCCAGAACCAATTCATCCATCTGAGGATAAACAGCACGATGGATTCAGTTTTGAGTGGAATGGGCTTGCTACCCCCCCCATCGAAGAAGGATAAGAAGAAGAAAGTCAAGACTGCGCGAGTGAATCCTGATATATGGGATGAGCCCGTCCAAAAGGCAGAACCTTCTGCCGAGCCGGCACACCCCCCAGAAGATGAAAATCGACACACATCGAGAGCTCAATTACGGAGTCAATTCAATGACCGAGACTACCTAAGCAAAGAAAACCCCAAAACTCTGATTCTGCAGTATTTCCAACCCAAATCCAACAATGACGTAGATCAGAATTTCACCCCGGTCTTCCTCGCCCACGCCCGGCTTTACTGCTTTGCGCGTCTACGTTTAATAGCGCCACTCAAAGCGCTGACCCTTGATAAATTGCACAAAACGCTTATGGACTTCAAGTTGTACACAAAGCGTATCGGGGACATCATTAAACTCGCGAGGTATGCATATTCGAACCCAGATCTGCCGGAGAGAGCCGAGGATGGCACTATAGACGACCTGAAAACCTTAGTGGTTGAATATATCGTCTGTGAGATTGACACAGTTGGAAAGTGTGATGAATTCGTCAAGTATATGGAGGAAGGTGGGGAATTTGTGGGAGACTTTTGGAGAATGACAAGAGACTATATCGCTTAGTGAGCTTATCGAATGTATTCCAATACCTACGGTAGCTTCAATGTGAATTGTACAGGCTGCCATTCTGTGCAAGCTATTACATTACGAGACAGTTCCATGTACATTATGAGCGTGCCGTTGCAGATGCATCTTGTTATCCAATTTCACACAACATAAGTCAAACACTGCCCCCTCGCCCCTTTTGATCTTTACTAAGTGCCTTTGCTTGCAATGCTTACTCAAGTCTCCTGAAGTATGAAACGAGTATATGCGTTTTTCGATAGGTGAATTCTCGTTCCCCAAGCACATAAAACATATCGTTGGTCTTTTGTCCTTGTATACGGATACCTTCGCTGCTTCTAAAGCTGTCACAAGCGCTGAATGAATGTGAGAAGGCGCTGGGGAAAGAGCACCCTGACACGCTGACCAGCGTGAGCATTCTGGCGGGGGTGCTGCAAGACCAGGGAAAGTACGAGGCGGCCGAGGCGATGAATCGGCGAGCACTGGAAGGAAGAGATTTGGACCATCAACTCTCCCTCGAGCAGCTGTTGCAGGGACAAGCAACTGACCATCTAAGTCATGAACCAAGGCATGAATCAAGATACGAAGTTCAAGACGACAGACCTATTACCCGACCCTGGCTCCCTAGAGAGTGCTCTACTCAGACCAGGACCACTCCCAAAAGAGCGCTGGTGGCGAAAGTTCAAGAAGAAAGTACAAAGGGCATAAGGTAGCACTAATTATATACTATCTTAGCTTATAGTATAGTGTACTTCAGACCTCATGATAAAAGACAAGGAGACAATGTAATAAGTATGTATTATAGTGGTAAGTCACGGCGCTGAAGTGGCATAGCGACAACAGTTGCCAACGTCATCAGGAAGATGGCCGACTCGTTCCTGCCCTGATCTTGTTTAAAGGCAACGGAGTTGTTTTGGGGACAGATGGTACTCCATGGTCGACCTACCTAAGACTTGGTGAGAGACTATGTTAAGCCAGGGTTGACTGCCTATTAGCAGAATACCGCTGATCAATAACAGGCTAAGACTAGTGGTATTTTAGGCAGTAGGAAGGGCCCTTATATTTATGTTGAATCCAGCGCGGGTCTTAATTGTACAGTTCGAGCACAATTCAGGGTACGGAGATATTTTAGCGGCGTAAGTTCGCGGGACTGGTCCCGATAGCTTACAGGGGCTGTTTCCTATGTGCTGCATAGCTTCTCCTCAAAATCAGGCAGCAGTGACCATTCGTGATATTGTATCGCGTCTTCCATTTCTTCGCATTCAGCTTCTTCTGTGTCTTCAGTGCAACAGCGGTCTTTAAAGGAATGAGCACCAGGGCCATCCGGTTGACCAATGCTTCGTTGTCAGGTGGGTAAATCCTGGATGTCCCGAAGTCCACGGGCTCCTTATGTGCCCAAATACGCACTTTCGTTGTGTGGGCTCCCCTTAGTTGTTTCCAAATGGCCACGTGCCGGGTCTTTGTCATGTTGTTGGATTATTGCTTTGCGTTGTTATTGCTGCTCGAGGGCGAGTCACGAGACCAACCTTGGAGCGATAGGATTTTCTTATCTATCTAATACTTTTCAACACCAGTGGATCGGGCGCTCTGCTTATGTTCTATATCTCCCACTCCAACTTCTCGATTGACCTTTCGAACATATCAGTCCGCAATCGGACACGGTCCGCCCGCTCGCATAGCATACGGAATGCTTTCCAGTCTTTATCCGGCTCTGTTGGCTCGGTCATTCCAAAATCACCAAAGTCAAAGCCCGTTTCGTATAAAACAGCATACTTGACATTTTCAAAAACAACGTCTTCGAAACGGCCGTCGCCACAAAGGGTATCAATGCTACCGGCGCATTCCAAGTCAATCGCAGTGATATTCTTAATGACTAGCAAAGATAGAAGCTCAATGTGACTAGACACTTGACTGATGCACCTCAGTAAGGAATCCGTCTTGATATCACGACCGCTCATTCCAACTGTGAATGAGCGTAGTCTAGGCGGAAAATCTGAAGAGCTGGTCCAAGTCCACACGTCAGCGTTTACGTAGCGTGTTGAGTCTAGGATGATGTGTAGTGAAGTGAGACTGTCAGAGCTGAGTCGAAATCTAACACTAGATATCAAGCGATAGCTTAGAGCGAAGGTTATATGTGTGAGGCTTGGGAACGATGCGGTCTCACTACCCTCACAAGGTGCCGCTTCGCGTGACATTTCTTGGAAAGATGGTACCAGTATAATAAAACTCTGGAGTGTTTTGCGGAGATTCGTGACATCCATAGCTTCCATTAAGTACTATCGCACATCTTAGCGTTTTGTAGTCATCTGTGAATAAAGCAAATGCTAATCTGTGAGGAACCTAAACGCAAAGTACTTACGTGCATAGGATCCGCAAGCTTTTGTGTCACTACCTTCCAGATTTTTTCTTTGGATGCCCATATCATACCATCCCTGTAGCTCTCGTTGTTGTCGTATGTCAGGCATTCAAAGATATTGGGTGCTTCCAGAACAGCCCTGAGGCAACGAAGCCACGGTGTTTTGCGTAAAACTAGCACTAGCGCTTGTCTAAGGTGCGTCATGGTCCAATTTTGTCTTGACATCATAAGGTCTCGAAGTTCTCTTTCGCTTATGTTCTGCTTCAAGGAAAGCTTGGAGGTATTGAATGTTAGACAAGTGATGCGTTTGCCTACATGTGGCAGCGCGACAAGCTCCGATAATCGTGATAGACTACGCTCTTCGCAGTTTGTTGGGATATCTTCAACAATCTTCGCAAAAGCCGTTGATGCCCCAGCGTTGAGGGAACGGCTAGTCAAGCGAAAGTGATAAATATCAATGCGTTCACTCTTGGAGGAAACCGGGGCCTTCATGACTTCCGTATTGTCGAAACCTGGAATGAACCAAGAGCATATCATTTCTCCAAGCTCAATCGGCAGGGTTTCCATTGTAAGTATCAGGGTGGAGAAAGCCTGCTAAGTCTCGCGACTTGTGTGTGTGTGTGTGTGTGTGTAGAGGAGAAACAGGTGGACGTCTGTGCACCTGACGAGCTAGATTTCTTGGCGACCCACCAGTCTTCAGGGCATATGATCTAAGCGAGCGAATCAACAGCGGAGAAAACGGATTGAGGCTTGAAGTATCTGCAGAACCGCACGGCAAGCTTACTGATGTAGCTCCTTTCCAGGCGCGCGACACTATATCTCTAGTATTTAGGAAGCAGAGCTTAACGCCGGCTTTTCAACACTGCCCTGGCCTTGCTCCTGTCTTGCAATTTAGCCCATCTCCTCCCTAATCTAAGCCTAGCTAATGTGTCGTGCCGTCTTATTATACCGTAAACCTGTATCTTTCTCGTCGAACAACGCAGGCCGCTTCCGTTTAGGTACATAGACACAAAATCCAAGGAGCTCATGCCACTATCGACTCAAAGCCGAGTATTCGGCTCTTCTAGTTTCTATAGCCCCTGAGGCCTTTTCGAATCTTCTAGCATACATTATTCCCGCGATCTATGTCGTATGGCTTGCCTGACCGTCTACTTTCCTCTCGTAGTGATGAGTCAAGGCACAGAAGTGGCGCGACGTCAACAGTTGCCACCACCAGCTTGGAGGATGGCTGGCCCGTTCTTGCCCTAACCTTGCGTTGATGGTAGCATTTCACTGTTTGGGGAAGCAGCTTTGGACAGTCGCTTACGAAGAGAGCTCACGCTTACACGTAAGGATAGTGGTTGTTGTTGATACAAGGTGTGGTAAAAGCTTCTGCAGGTTCTCCAGTATGCGATAGACTCATACCAAGGAGCCACATCAGGATTCCTTGTCAGACCCACAGCAGAAGCCCAAAGACGGTCCTGGTGCGGATGAAGTGGGTTAAATAGGCGTCAAGTATCGCCACTCCCTGCTGAGCCGAATTACGGGAGCTAAAATAGGCCCATAGGGCTAAATAGCCAACCATGAGAATATTGCACTTCATAGTGCTCGATGGTTCGCAACAAAATACTGTTGAAGGCAACCTAAGAGATCGCGCTGCAGTTAAACACAACTGCTAGCAATCAGACAGTTAGGCCTTCAGAAGTCGAACTTAAGAATCAGTGAAGAATCAAACTGTTTGAGGCGTGAAGGATCTCCATTGCAAGAGCGACAGTCTCAAATCACGACCCAAAATATGCAAATATATGAAGAAGAGCAACGCGTAGTACTGGCGCATTTCACTACAAATTCTGATATGGAATGCTACCAATGCGATTTCACCCACCGCCCGTTTCAACGTCGCGAAGCCCCAAAAGCACATCCCACCACTTGCGGAAGTCCCCATCGACCCAATCTCTCAGGACCTTTAAGCTCTTCACCAGCCGATATGCCTGCACCGTATTCGCTGTGTTTCCCAAAGGAACCGAATGGAAGATCTGAATATTCGACACTGGCTTGCAAATGTCCAAATTCGATGGGCGCAGAGCGTTTGAGGGCGTGACCCGGGCGAAGAAGAGCGACCACACTTCGGATTGGATGTCGATGAGTGGAAATACAATCTGTGAGAGGAAATCAGAGGGATCTGGAACCATCACAACGGTGGGAGACGGGATCGCTTCCTGCGCTTGTGACTGCTCCGCTCGCGGCATCCGGCCGCCTCTCCCTCGGCTTTTCCATCGACCTCGTGTGATCATCTCTGATTCCAATCGGCCAGACCATGCCTCTGCTGCTGGCTTCTGCACCACGACTGAAGCAAACTGCCTCACGAGTGCCTCGATCCGTGCCACCTGAGCCGCAACCCACACGCCCAATTGTACCTTCGCCTCTTCCACGGTCCGGCTCTCGGTCTTAGTCTCGATCGATACAGCAATAGGTCGAGCGCGCAGACCCTCGTAGCCCACGTGATTGATGGAATCAGTCGACATGCCGACAAGGGATGATATAATGTCGCGTGTGGGACTGGAGGGTTCGAGGTGAATGGCGTAATCTATGATCTTGCCAGTTGTGAGGTTGTTCGAATGTGTAGGGCGATATTCCGGAGTGATTCTAGCTGCAGTTCTGGACGGTGTGACTCTGGTTAACGAAGCTCTTTGAATGTCTCAAACCGTAGAAGGTCGGAAGAGTACTTACACGCTTCGGAACCCAACCCTCGTCTCATCATTTCCCAACGCCAGCTCCAGCACCTTGGTGTGCACGCGATTGTTCCACTCGGTCTCATGGTCGCGGTTCACCGAACACCGGTGCGACAGCGAAATGATGTCTTGTATGGTCCGCAGCTCCCACAGAAGCTCGTCCGCTGGCCTTTCATCCGATGTGTCGAACTGGTGCTGCCTCACCTTGCCCATATCCGCCTCCGCCAGTCGTTGTTTGAGTCTCACAGGCACCACAGGTCCATCGCTTACATCCTCCAGCTTCTCCAAGAGCGCAAGCCCATTTTCACCGAGCTGCTCCCGTTTCGAAGCGGTCGTGTTACCTAAGTGTGTGTATATTACTCCGTTTCCAACGTTCCATAAAGAAGTAATTTTCTTGGGGCTGGCCGAGCGGTTGGAAGATTGCGATTGCGTGTGCGATCGTGTAGGTGAACGGGCCTGGAAGTCGTCGTCGTCATCTGCGATGGGCTCTTTGGAAAGAGCCTCTCGATATGAAAGATCAGGAATAGGATATGCGCTGTGTGCGAAGCTGTCAGGGCGAGGCGTCGCATCCTCGATATCGTCGGGCGAATACGCGTCGTCGGGAAATTGCCGTTGATTTTTTGACGGCGAGGGAGTGCGCATGCGCTTCTTCTCAATTCTCCTGTTAGGCCGCGACGCATTGCTCTTGGGAGAAGGCATGGCCATGTTCTGATCGTTTGCCGCAATCTCCCCCAGCACAACACGGCATGTCTTTCGCGAGCGCGGGCTCTTGCGAGTGTCGGGCTGCTGTCGCTTGCAAGTGCGCAAGGAAGAGGGATATGATTGAGTGCGGGCACGAGGTTCAAGTTCGCGGATCCACGCAGCAACTGAGATGGGATGCATTGAGGGTAGGGAGCAGTGGAGAGGGGCAGGATGGCTTGACGTAGAGTCGATGTTGTTTTGGTGGTCCGGGCTTTGATTGACTCGGCGGGGCAACCGTCGATCGGTGGCTCCACTCTGCATGCGAAGCGCCGACCCTCCGACTCTCAACCAAAACCACCGCCACCATAACCATAACCATAACCACAACCATATGCTGAAAACAAGTTTCGCCTCCAGGGCAAGGTCAGGGCAGGAGCGGGTCGGCCATCGTTTTAGTGGCAGTGGCCATATCTCACCTCAGCCGACACCTGCATGATCCACGCTACATCGCCCTCAAGTACTCTCTGTGTACCACCATTTGCCTCGCATTTACCCCCCACATTACAAGAGGGGTATAACTTTTCTGATAGTACGATTATTGCGATTGCCGCACTTGAATCGGATGGAAGAGTTCCCGCTGCTTTCAACGCCTTTTGAATGTTTCCCTCTTACGGTAGTATTCCATTGCACTTGGATGGAATGGACCGCTCCGCCGAAAGTACTGTGACAGGGTACGCAAAGTGGTGTCTATAGTCAGAGCACAGTCAGGTCTATCAGATATCACAACTTCTCGCTCATAGCGCTAAATCTATTTTGATGTAATCTCACGCCATTCTTCTTCTATCTTCTCCTAGCGTCCGTCGTTGCACAATAGGTCAAGATGTGAGTTACTGATAGCGAAACCTAGGACTAACGGCATACATCCCAAAGAGATCTTCGTCAAATGTAACAGGATTCTCCTCGTCGTAACTAGTCACGAAGGGATTGCCAAACATTGCATCAGCCTGAGAAACATCTGGGAGTAATGCTCCTCCGGCATCTGTCGGCCCCACCATCCATGAGCTGTTCTGGGGCTGTACTGCCGGAACTCCGAACATCGATGCGTAGCCAGGCTGGTTTACATAGAAATCACTAGCATACATCCCCTGTTCTCCCAATGCTTGGGCCTGTTCTGTAGGCGGGACTGAGTCTTCCTGTCCGTGGGGGCCGACTGCAGGTTGCTGGTTCAAATGGAACGCAGCTGGATGCCTAGTTTGAGCGGTGTCCTCCCGTAAAAGTTCGGATATATCTACGTTGAACTTTGATGCTAGCCTTTGCAATACTGCAAAGGCCATGTCGTAGGCTCGTTTTGCTGTGTCGTTGTCATTTGACATCGTTCTCAACCAATCAAGTAGCTTCTTGATGGGCGTCGAGATCTGCCTGCTTCCGTGGGTGAAATGAACAGCACCATAAGACATCTCCAGCAGCAACACTACGAGAGCTTGCATAAGATTATGTACTATAGACCACCATGGCCCGGATTTGTACAGGTAGGTCACATCGACTTCTCCCGGTAAAAGGCCTGCCACTGCCACTGCAGCATCGACGCAGATCTGGGCAGAGTGCTTGTTGAAGTGGTCTGAAGACTTCGACTGGTTTGGCATGCGTTTATCCAGCCTACACAGACAAGGCCGAGTGATCAGGATTTTGGTTCCCATATACTGCATTTGCAGCACTAACCTTTCCCGTTGGAGGCTGGTACTAGAGCTGGGCTGGGAAAAGTTGAGACTGGATGGTAGAGAGGATAACCATGCTTCCAGTTGTTCACATAAGTCGGTTATTGCCTGCTGCGCCTGTTTCCAGGACTTTGCGACTACCTTGGCCGAGTACAGTTCAGCCATAGCGTCCTGGGTAATCAGGCCAATCTGTACATTGGCCTTCAAGAATGAGCCTACATTGGAAGGCTCGCCGGTTGCCGAAGCTGCGCGAGAAGTGTCATACCAAGACCTGGGCCCTCCGTATCGCTCGTGGATCTGATTAGTCAAGTCTTCGTCTAATAACTGCTCCGTCGTCAACGGTAGTGGCAATGGCACCGAGCAATATTCTTTGATTACGAAGCTTGGCCGGCCGACTATAGTACTGATGGTTCTGTCGATGGAGTATAGGCTCCACCACATCCTCAACAGTATTTCTTTTTCGGACATGGTAACCGTTTTGTCCTCGTTTCGTACGTGCAGTCCAAGCGCATGTGCATAACGGAGAGAGGAGCCTACAATAACCCAGGCCCTTCACAAATTAGCAATGTTAGGCACAGGGAGGGAGAGACTCCACCTATTTACATGCCCAATGCAGAGGAAGTAAAACGCAACAAGAGCTGTGATTTGGATCTGCATTAGATCTGGATGAGCAACCAAAGAATATCCATCTAGACCCAATACATACGCGCGAGACCAGTAAATATGGTGGTCCCGACCATTTGTTTGCACGTCTGCATATGTTAGCTGCGAGTACCTTGCCCCGATAGCAAAAACGAGGTTTAGTATTGTAAGCCATTCATGCGATACAGTAGAAGGTATTCCCCGCAATACGGAGGTGTAATGTTGCTCAAATTGACGTTTGAAAACTATCTCCGAAAGTACGGGAAACGAATCTTGAACCGTAGCGAAGTATCCGTCCAGAAGCCTCTGCGCCGTTTCACGAGGTGGCAGTTCGAATGGGTTGACCGTGCGGTTGACCTCTGTATCATTGCCATCTAGATAGAAAGTCGACGCAATAGTTTGCGCTCGAACGCTTGAGTCTTGCCGTTGGCGCTGTACCCACACCTCCGTGCGCTGGACAGCAGCTTCTGTGTTATCTCCAGGAGGCCCGTAGGGACCTTCTAGATGAGACGCGGCATCATCAGGACGCTCGGTGTCTTGTTGCAAACGCCTCAGCCATCGCACCTCCGAGCTCTTTCCGACAAATCCAGTTGCTCGGCTCGTTTCTGTTTGCAGGACGTCCTCTTCCAAAATGTCCATATCTCCATTAGAGCCCACTTCAGCAGATGTACTGGCTTCGTTTTGGGTATCATCGTGGGAGGAGTGCGAGAGGTTCAATGACGAAGCGGCCTCCGAAACATCGTCTACGACCTTGCATTTGTCAGACTATATCATGCGGGAGAGTTTAGGAAGTTAAAAATTGTAGCGTACTTGCGCCAGCAGGTCGCTTATCAGCTGTCTATCGCGCTCTGTAACACGGCCTTTCAAATACTCCAGCATTGCAATCATACACTGATTCTGCTCGGTGGATCTATCGGCAATTAGTCCTAGTGCAACGCTAAATCACTCTAAAGATGTAGCAGACATTTTGAGACGATCTCTGCGACCCTGCGTGTAAAAGCAAACCTGACCGGTTGCTAAACAGTTCTGGCATCGTGGCTGCGCTCCATTGCATCTTATTTTGCGAGTTCGACAGCCTGTGCATGCTATGGAAGCCCTGGGTGTCCTGCTGGATCTGCGCTGACCAGGCGTTTTGTCGTCGTCTGGCCGTCTCGCAAGCCGTGGGATCGCAATCTTGGATGGAGGGTCCAGCCGTAGAGGCTGAGAAGCTGGGAATGACATTTAGACTGAAAGGTGGCAGAGATACACCTAGATAGTTGTGGAGGGTGAATGGGGAGAGTGCAGCAGAGGAAGGAAGAGCACAGTTGTGAGCTAGTCTCTGCGCTATTGCCAAAGCGGCGGAGGGTTGTGCGGAGTGATGTGTCTGACCTAGGTTAACAACACAGCACGATTGAAATTCTTCCTCCCACAATTTAAGCTGCTTTAATATTGCGTGTTTGTTTAACAGTCGCAGCAAGGAATACAGGACCAAACAGCTTCGACATCGCTCTTGCCATTATGACAGCTTATTGTGCCACACGGAAGCAGCAGTTCGCAGGACATACACTCAAAGCCCGTATGTGTCGGCTTGCAGGGAAAGTGATTGGTAGAAATAGCGCCCCACTCGGGGCGTTGTGCCAGTTCACAGGAACTACTGGCTTTCCATGCTGTTTGATCACTTTGTCTCTCCTGCGCCTGGGTTCATCTATCGGAGTTGCAATGTATTTGCTTGGGATATCCGGCAAATTGTGGTTTCTGCTTCGGAGTGCATTGGAAATCACGCGAGCATATGAGGAGCTGACAGGATATCATTCAATGTGGCACCTTTTGCTCTAGTGCTCGACCCTCTGAATTCTCTGGCGGAGGCGGTCAATCTCGTGGATCATAATACGAATGGCGAAAGCATACTGTGAAAAGTACAGTCGACTCCATGTTAGGCCGACACCAATCGAACCTTGGAGTATTCAGGGCGTGATTTTTGGGTCATAGCCCAGCTGGTAATCATACGTGGAAGAGGATATTTTAGGCTGCTCTGCACGTTAAGCACGGTGTAGACATAGGCATGTAGTGCAGCGAGTAGAATAGATAGCTGACATAACGACCTCAATACAGATCATAGAAAAAAACACAAAGAAGCAATAGGTAGAGGGGTTGTTGTACTGTAGATTTATGCGCGACGCATTGCCGTGGAGCACTTGGCTTATGTCATTTCAAAATGATGTCATTCATCTCGATGATCGCCAAGTTGCTCTTCGCCATAAGTTGCTCTACAAGCTTTGCGAAGAAAACACAATATGCTCTATATTCTCCGTAAACTTGAATTTATATTAAAACAATCTGAATTTGCTATGCGCCTTACTCCTGACATCTTGGCGGACAGAAAAAAAACTTCCCTTGCCAGAAGACGAAGTCATCGCACCCTTGAACGCACCGATGCACTGCAGACAGCCTAGATTTTCACGAACAGACTCTGAAGATTACAACAACGGAATGAGTAGATCTATTAGAATCATCGGCTGGCAGTTCAATCGGGCACTTAGTAAGAATGACGGAATTTAACTCTGGCATAGAATACGACTACATCCACCTCTTTGTGTTTTTTGATATGGCAATCCTTTCTAACGTTACTATCCGTGGATTGCGTGTTACATCAAAATTGTGAATGCATAGTCAGGACCGATATCATTCTTCAGTAAGTGATGTAGTTCCGTCCTTTTACACAATGCGCAGTTTACAGTGTTACATCAGGTACAAACACGCGTAGATGCTAGTTAGCAGCTCATCTCTGCGGCACTGGGTGCGGAAAGACATGGATCTGGCGGACAATGCGCGGCAAACACCTCAGCCCAGAGGTATATTACGTGCCTTGTTCGTGGTTGGGCTTGCTGGGATCGTGAAATAACACGCTTTATCGAATAGTTGTCACATGCAAACACGCCCCTTTGACAGTACCGTAAACCGCACCTCATCAAGCTAAATGCAAACCTCAACGTACTAATATCTCGTCCAGTTCTGTAACAAGTCACTCTGTAAAGTTTCATACGAACGAAACGGCACTTCAGCCATGAACCAGTTACGCTACTGCTAGTATGTTTGCACTCGCTCTCATACATAATCGACGCTAGCAAACAGAAGCGGGTGAAGAGTTTGCGTAATATCTACTGTGCGAAGGCACGGCTATCACGACTATGCTCCTACTTCACAACGGCCGTATGTCTTATTCCACACTCACCCGCGGCGCCACAACGCGCTGAAGGGCCGGATTAGGGAGTGTCTTGCCGCTAAATTGGTTGTCTACGCTATAGTTTATAATACACTGTGGTTGATGGATTCGGGTATCTCGGGCAGCCTATGCTCTGAAGGACAGCTGCGGGAGCTGTGTCGGGTAAGCATCGATGATGTGTATTCTCGACTATTCCAACTGCCCTACAACCATGACTTTGCCTTTCTAGTGGATACTTTGTATTCACGGCTATCAAGAATGGGAGCAGTGCTTCTCAAAAATAATGTCGGCGACTTTCGTGGCCGACACCTGCCAAAGTTCCGTCATCCAGCCCGTTCCAGCCCAGTGTGTTCCCAGTATCCCTTGGCAAAAGCCCTGGTCTCGCTCGAAACTGGCCGTGTTGCTGCGCTCCACCTTCTCTCCTTTAGCTATAGTTGTCTTTTTCCCGCTGTCTAACTAGAAGTGGTCTCGCCTCACATTTTGTCATCGCGCTTCGCCTCCACCGTTCCTGAGCTGATATGTCCTTCACGGCCTCTCCAGCCACGGATCCGAAACGCCCGCTCAGGAGGCTCCTTGCGCGCCCGAGCAACGAACCACCACCGAGTACGCTCCAACCATACGACACAGGGATAACTTCAAGGATTTCAAGGGCCTGCTCGGCATGTCAAGTACACAAAGTGAGATGCAACGGTGGTCAGCCGCGATGCCGAAACTGTCTGGCCAAGCATCGGCAGTGCATCTACAAGCCAAGTCGCAGAAATCACCTGAAAACGTGAGTTCTTTCCTCGTCCCAACAGTATGATCATGCTCATCGTCAACAGGGTCATCGAGTACAACCAAGAGATGGTTGTGCTCCTGAAAGAGCTTGCAGACAGTGTCACAGAGGAGAAGAAACAACAGATAGAGGACTTGATAAGACGAGTACGTTACTGCTCTTACGATTCGTTCCTTGATGCATAGCCATTGTTGACAAAAAGAAGGTCGTAGATGATGTGTCCGAGGCAGCATCGTCGTTGAGAAAGCGGGACTCCCCCGATCTACAAGGAAGAGATGGAGAGGATATGGTTTCCGCTGATGTCGGCTCTAGCGAGGAGTTGGACATTGTAGATGAGAACTTGCTTCGAGACAAGGATTCCCGAGCTGCTGGATTCGTTGGCAAAAGCTCGGAGATGCAATGGATTCGACGCTTGAGACAAGACGCAGAGCATCATAGAGCCATCCCCTTGAGAGGGTCCGGTCCCTATGGGCCTCCTGGCACTGATACAGAATCTTCGTCACGTCGCCTTGAAGCCCTACGACAGCGCCAACGCTCAAATTCGAATACTCGCGTACCACTTAGTTCCTCGACCTTCTATGTAGACGACCAGGGCTTAGAAGTCGACTATACCGTGCACCCTTTCGAGTTGCCACCGATGCATGTCGCTCAAGGTCTGATCAAAGGCTATATGGACACCGTGCAGGATTCTTTCCCAATACTATCGAGGAGCAGTTTCATGGAAACCGTCCACGAGCTATACGCTTCCGTGGAGCATGGTGCATTCCATTCCGTACCGGACAAATGGTTGGCAGTGCTGAACCTAGTGTTTGCAATCGGAGCGCAGTATTCGTATCTGGTGGAAGAATCCTGGCACATACGTGGCTTCAATCATCTCACCTACGTTTCTCGCGCGCACATCTTAGGCCTGAGCACGCCCGATTTGGTCTCACATCCGGACCTTATGCAAGTACAGATTACGGCACTACTTGCTCTCTACTTCCTAACGACGGGTCGCGCCAACAGGTAAGGTCGCTTCTCATAGTTCAACGTAATGAACTGATCCCTGATTGTACAGAGCGTGGGTCTACATCGGCATCTCTGTCCGATATGCTCATGCGCTAGGGCTACACGTTCGTAACGAAGATCGAGGCACCACAGTATCACAGAAAGAGAATTTGGTAAGGATCTGGTGGGGTCTCTACACTCTTGAAGGAAATCTAAGCACCACTGTGGGCCGTCCAAGTTTCGTGATCGAGGACTTTTGCTCCGCGCCTTTGCCGCTACCATTGGCTATGGAACGCATGTCTGATGAGACATTGGTCTCCTCGATGTATGCACAATATCAAGGGTGCACTATTCACCAATCACCTACGGTAGCTACTTCGGAGCCTTCAAATGCAGGCTCTTACTTGAAGAGCAGAGCCCGGATGGGCGCGATCACGCAACAAGTCGTGACAGGCTTGTACTCTGCCAGAGCAATTGAAATGTCGTGGAAACAAATGCAGCAGAAGATTTCCGGTCTACACGAACAGCTCGAAACGTGGCTCGCCTCACTCCCATCCGGCCTTGATTTCACACAACCGACCGCATACACTACTTTTCAACGCGAGCGCCTAGTTCTCAATGTGCATTACATCGAAACGAAAATTCTGATCACTCGTCCTTGCATGTGCAGACTGGACGACCGTATTAAGAACCAGACAGAGGCTTCCGACAGATTCAACAAGGACACAGCCAAGATCTGCGTCCGCGCAGCAGAGGCGATGGCGGACCTTTTACCAGCCAGTGTTGACGTGACATACCTTTATCGAACCGGTCCCTGCTATAATTATTGCTGCTACCCACTGTCCGCTCTCACGCACTTCTTGCCTCCCTGCAGCAGTATCGGTGATGCTACAACGTACGAAAACAGCAGTAAGTTCATCACCGCAGTTCATGTCTTTCGGCTGTAGCTGTACATTCCCTGCAGGCGGCATATATTCTTAGCGACACCCACTATGGCCCTGGTTATACTCATCAACGCGTCGGTATGCTTTCAAGTACTTGTGGCCAACTGCATCAAACGCCTAAATCAGCTTTAGTTCTGGCTTTCGATCATCCCCGTGCGACCACTGCGACAAAATCATATCTTCGTTACAAGACTAGAGGGTCCCTCAAACCACTAGCGACTGGAGAATAGTACGACAAGCGCATACCTAAAACAGTCACCATGACTGAAACTTGGTTTTTATCGAGCATCTATTCAACGGACTTGTTCGCCCTCTAAAGAATCGGCACCAACTTGGCATCACTTCACCGGCGTACCACAGTACTGACAGCATTCTCCCGGTACCACCTATACAGTGTCGCTTTTCCAAGCAGGCAGGACAGTGGCGGCTAGGGACCTATACATGCCGGTTATCACTAGTGCTAGAGATTAAAGAAAAGAAAATGAAACGTCCGGACCGGCGAGATCATCACGACCGCTGTGGCCGTTTCAACCAGAACTTTCATCGTGGTAGTAGGGATCTGGAGGTCTATGACAGGTATTGTTCGCATGTCAACTGAAAGTGACAGATGCCGACATGGAAAAGGATAAGCAATAGCACAGTGACTCCAACGTTGGGACAAGTGCAACTCCATACTCGCTATCGCTACCTCTTCGGCCTGACTATCAAGCCATGGCAGTAGCTCTGCAAGGTTCTTGATATCTGTACGTGGTGCATCCTGCAGCAGTAGCATTCATGCTGATCCAAGCGCTCTAGATATATCCTAGGATTTGCAGGCTTGATGTGTCCGCTGCCGCCCGTAACTGCACCTATCGCCTCGCTGGTGAGCGCATACCATTCGTGTCCGGGTGAATGCAAAGGCATGAAAACAGAAACGCAGTTTCTTCCATCAGGCATTCTCCTGCGACGCATCAATCGAGCAGACAGAACCAGCGCGGCCTGCACTATCGACCAACAGCAGTGTGCCTCGATCCTTGCGATGCCAAACGCTGTGGGACTGTGGCCTGGCTCGATCTTCCTAGTTTCGATCGTTATTTCAATTGCTTGCACGCATGCATGGGAGTTGTTCCCATCGGCTTCACTTGCCGACATCCTTGTCGGTCGGGATGTGGCAACTCTGCTCGTACAGTCGGCACGCAGTTTACCTGTTTCCACCGTGATCTGCCCCCCACGGTCCATGGCTACAATCAATCGGATGCCTCCGATCTCAATTTCTTTTTTCTGTCACTTAACCTAGCTATCGGTTGGCAAAGGGTGCCTGATGCGCCTTCTGACATCACAGTGTAGCGACCTCAAGGAGATCGCCCATGCGTGGTAGTTGCGTACATCGTTTTTTGCGCTAACTTCCGCGAAACGGCCGAATGCTAATTATCTCGAGCTTTCTATCCCGAAACTTCACATTTCGCGTCGCGGGCATTCACTAAGGCAAGACATGGACGACACAAATAACAGTAATCGGCGAATAGATACGCCGCCGCCGACATACGATAGTTTCACCTACGCGAGGGATATAGATCTTACCCCCGTGGCTCATTCTTTCAACGACGATGGCATTTACGCGTTCCAGACAGGCTTCACAGCACTGAATACTCCAAATTCTGGACTGGAAACCCGCAGCCCCGAAACCGTCACTCCTTTACAACTCAGCTTCGAAATACCCTTCTCTAGCCCAAGCTTCTCGACTGAGACGGCCGTGCACTCAGCGTCCTCATCAACATTCGACTCAATTCTCGCCTCTAGCATCGACCCATCTTCCACCAAGCGTCGACGTCACAGCACATGGACCGCCGGCAGGGAAAACCCCTCATCCTCCTCCATCGCAAAAACAACAGGTAGGCGGCAAAAATCCGAAAATGCTGAGCCCGGCTCAGCGCGAGCTATCTACCTCGAAAAGAACAGAAAAGCGGCTAGCAAATGCAGGGGCAAGCAACGAATACAGCAGCAAGAGCTCGTCGACACGGCACGGGAAATGGGGAGCAAGAACAAGCAGCTCAAACGAAAAGTAGAGTCTCTCAAGAGCGACATGCGGAATCTAATGATGATTGCTGGTCAACATTCGAATTGTCCGGACAGGAGGTTGAAGATATATGTCCAGCGTGAGGCGGATCGATTGATTTTTCGCAAGACCACCTCTGCAAAAACTTTGGCAACGGATACCGAAGCTATTGCATTCAAGAACAGCCACGATATTCACCCGAGTAGTCAAGAAACTTCTCATACTTCTTGATGGGCTATCACTATTTTTTACAGATTTCACTGAATTGGGGGGCGGGGGGGGGGGGAGGGGTTTCCTGATGCGAGGTCATGTTTGGCGAATCATGAAGTGGGAGTCTTTTGAATAGTGTTTAAACGGCCAGCTTGCCGAGGCTCACGATTTTGGAAGTCGGACATACGCAATGAGAAGAACGCATCTGTTGTGGTTGAGTTTGTGGTCGTTTTCGCGTCTTCGTAGCTTAGGTATCGCTACTTTGCTTTAATAGGGTCGGTCATCCATGAAACCGGCTTATAGGGTGAAAAGTAGCGAGGCAATTATATTAGAGATGCTTCCCTTCATTGGTCGATGAACACTGTGAGTAGTATGTCTGGATCGTTCCAATCCTCTGCACTCTCTCTAGTCCATTTTTCATAAGAAGCGGACTTCCCTGCTTGTCGATATTGCTCTACAAGCCAATCTCCAACGCCCCAGAGAGTTACCAAGCAAGCACCCTCATCGGACTCGACTTCTCCGCAAACATGGAAGCACTTGATCTTAATTTGTTGCATGATCGGGGCCGTCAAAAGTGTCTCTAGTCGAAAATAGAGGGCAGCCTCAGCTGCCGGCTTTGACGTAAGGATGCCGGGTCTGTTTGGGTCAGACACAAGAAGCCCATCGCAATCAATCCTCAGCGTAAATTTTCCCTGCGCCGGCGATCGATCGATAGCAAGAGCTCTGTTCTGCATTATGAAAGATGTTTCCCTAAATTCAGTCAGTACTGCTGATGCCATAGCTTTGAATATTTGCTTTTGTAGTGATATCCTCGCTTACAAGAACAAAGGTAGATGGGAGGCCTGGGTATGGCTGCAGGCGGCTGTGTGCTGCGCAGAAGAATGGTGATAGCAGCGATATTATCAGTAGGCAGTGAGAGTATGGTATTGAAAATTTCATTTGAATGCGAAATAAATGATTTGAAGAGATCGCAGGCTTAAGCTAAGTACGTCGAGAATAGGGTGATATGACAGCAGGTCGGCTTGAATGACCGAGCTTGTGTTGTCAGCCCACACATCTACCCAGAGCTAATCTTGTTCAAGACGATGATATCTCATTGCTATGTCACTTACACGCAGTAATCGAATCGAGCTTTAAGTTTTTAACAGCGGGCCTGTGACTAAGGCCAATGTTCAGGCTCGAGTTTATACTCTGCACTTTCAACACACGCTAGACTGCCTGTATCCTACACTATCGTGGCGAATCTCCGATAGTGGTAATATGTACGGCCAAGAATTAGATTGTATGCGTCTTCCCTAGGATGAAATCGCCGACAACAGCTAATGCCAAATGCAGCATCCCGCTGCCTGCAATGGAGCGAGAGGACGAGACCTTGTGGTTATATCAGATAGTTTCATTGTGCGCTAGATCATCAGATGAACGCTACAAAACACACGATTTGACACGAAAGATGCCAAAAAAAATACTGTTACACAAAACATATATTTGTAATGCGTACAGAGTTGAATGTAACCCCAGAGCTCAACGTATTCAGAATAATTTGCCCAACTGCAAACGGTAGAATCAATCCATACCCTCATTTTCTCTATGGCCAACTAGAGTCTTCCGGAGCATGGATTGCTTCATGTTCCGCGATCATGTCCAGCTGATCAAAGCTGGTTACAAACAAGCTTCCATAAATTTCCGACCCTTGTGAAGGCTCTAAGAGCAACCTTGGATCCAGGCAAAAGTCATCAACAACGAACTGCTGCCGCTCTCCAGCATCGCCAAGGTGAGAGTTCGCGAAACTGTTGGTGTTGCTACCATGTCCAGGTTGCTGCCAATCGTCATACGCCTGGACTCCGACGCTATATGGGCTTTCCCGCACTTGGAAAGTGTAGCCAATAAAACCCCCTCTTTCATCTTCAAATAAGTCGACAATACTATGCATAGTTTGGGAAGCGCTTTTGACAAAGTCGACAACAACTCGAAAAGCTTCCTTCGCTACGGCGTTGTTGTGCCGCATAGAGCGCAGCCATGTAATCAGCTTTCTGGCCGACTGCAGGAGCTGAGGGCTGGTCGGTGTAATTTGTGCTCCACTGTAGGATAGTTCAAGCAGGAGAACCGTAATCGCCTGCATGATATTGTGCACTATACACCACCATGGGCCGATCTGGTATATCCACGACGGGTTGGGTTCGTCGGGTAGCAACAAACTTAGGTTCTGAGCGGCCTGGATGCACGTTTCGGCCATCTTTTGGTTGAAGCTGGCCGACCGGATACTTTGGTGCTGGATTCGCCGTTCAAGTCGACACAGACAAGGCCTAGTTACGAGAATTTGGGCGCTGAACAGAGAGAAAGCGAGTAAAACCCTCTCTCGCTGCAACTCAATACTCTGCGTCCAGGCAGTGTTCACAGTGAGGAGTTCCAGGACAAGACCGTCCGGAAAAGCGGCTTTTTCCCATTCCTCCAGCTGCTCCATAAGTCCTGCGATGGCCTTCTGCGTCTGTTCCCAGGACTTTTTCGATGCTCTTGGAGAATATAAGAGCTCTAGTGCTTTTTGTATGATGAGACGCTGTCTTATGCCAATTTCGAAGAGAGGAAGATCCATATAGGACTCAGAATCACCTTTGCTGAGTGGGTCTGCTGGAAATGGGACCTCTGAGGTACGTTGCGCTTGCGGCAGAAGAACAGTGCAATCCTCCGCAGCTATCACACATGGCCTACCAGTTGTAGCACTGACAAGCGACTCAATCGAATGGAGTCCCCACCACGTTCTCATCAACATATCCTTCTTACCAGCCGAAGCAGATTCGTCTGTATTCCTGAGGTGAAGACCGACGGCAAGAGCGGATCGGAGAGAGAGACCGATCATGACCCAGGCCCTACATGAGCATTGTCAGCTCGACAGTCTCAAATCGTAACAGTAGTTGTCTTGTACCTATTGATGTGGCCGATGACCAAGTAGAATAGCGAAAGCATGCCAGTAGCCTGCAGGAGTCAGAAATCGGGAGAGCATGAGGACCAGCTTTGTACTGACCCGAATTAGTGCTATGTCAGGGGCTGAGATAGCCACCAGTGTATTGTTCAATTCAAGCAACCGCAAGGCTCTAGTCATATAGACGAGATGGTCGCGATCATCGGTTTGCCAACTTGCACCAATCAGATGAGAAAACTGGGCTCCGATTGCGAACATTAGATTTAGGATGGCCCTCCATCTGATAGGAGGCTGCAAGGGACGGTGCTGTTTGATAGAATCGATGTATGCTTTAAAGTCTTCTTCGAAATCATGGGGGAGTATTGGGAAAGAGGCATGGATGGTTGTTATGTAGCATTCGAATAGTCTCTCAGCTGCTTCTGTCGGAGGTAGTTCGAACTCATCCACGACAATGTCGATACCAAGGTTATCGCGGTCGAGATAAAAGGTCGAGTCTGTAACAAAACGAGCATTACCCTGCTGCGGTGCCTCTTGAGGGTCGTTCCATGCGTTCAACCCTGGTGAAAAGGTGGGCAATCTGTTAGGGAGCCCCATGCCACTCCCGGGCTGTATGTGGTGCTTCAGGCTTCGCAGCCACTGGACTTCGGAGTTCTGTCCCACAAATCCTGTTGCTTGCGAATCAAGATTTCGGAACATATCCTCATCTATCACGTCCACGTCTTTGTTTGAACCGATCGATCCGGACGCGAGTGCTTCCCCGCCTGCACTTTCATCATCTGATCCAGTGTCGATTGATTGTGCCTCTAGAATGTCAAAACGGGCGCCCTCGCTGATCTTCAGAAGCGTCAATAATCGTTACGCAGATGTGAACCGTTATGCATGTATCGACGTGCGTGGGAAATACGCACCAAATCAAGAAGCTCATCGATCCTCTCTCGGTCTCCATCACTAGCTCGGAGCGAGACGTCTCCCAAAAGTGCAATGAGCTGGCGGTTCTGGCCTGTGGTGCTGCTAACTGTCAGTCGTGCGCTGCACAAGGAACAGGAGAGTTAGTACTCTTTCAGCCGGTCTCTTCGAGTGTCGGTATAAACACATTCCACGCCACCATTTCCACATCGCCGGCAGCATGGACGCTCACCGGGGCATCGGACCTTGCGTGTCCGGCAACGGATACATGCCCTCAGAATACGATCTGCCTTGTTTTGAGAAGCGTTTCGCCTGGAGGAAATTGGATCCTGCAATCTTTCAATCGCAACCTTGGAGTTTGGCCTGGCGGCTTCCATAACTGAGTGGAGGATAAGACTGCAGCTTGCATTCGCGGCGCTACTCCAGCTTGCTGTAAAGTCCCTTGCTGCTGAGCGCGTGCACACTACGCAGTGAAATATTAGAAGTTTGACGAAGTTACCAGCTACTTTGCGTCTAGGATAATACAACTAAGGAGGTCTGGCGAGGCTTAACCAAACGTATTGTGGGATTGCCCCACTAAAGCTAAAAATGGCAGATCATGACGTAAGAAGAAGCCCTGTTACAAGATTGATGCCTGAGGTACTATTGGCGAAGCGCGCCTCCTTCTCTCGGTTTGGCTGAGTCGCCAGCATTCAAAAAAGCCGTGTCGCAAGGCAGATGCCTGAAATAAATCGACAGTATGGCTCGGCCCACATAGCCGATGTAAGCACGCTAGCCAGCCGTTTGTCAGAAAGGCACTGTGGACGAATTGGACCGCTGAACAGCTCGCATCGGGACCTGGAGAGAAGTTCTCGACCCTACTCTATTAAGCAACGTTGTGCGCATCGCAATGTTGTAAGTGGGTTTGCGTTCAGAATAGATCCGATGTTGTGTAAAAGTTATCGCGTCGCACATGTTGCAAAGCATAACTAGACGGTGCAAGCTGGGCTCTGGCATCGCAGTTTCACCCGCTATCTTGCGGTGAATTCTGACAGCGTGGCAGAGTCCAAGCAGTTCGATGTCTGACAGTGGTACGTCGCACGGATCCGAGTCAAATCTAGCAGCCAGCTGTCTAACATGAGCGTGGGAGGGGCTGTTCGCTGAGGCCATCGGATTGGCGCATGTGTGCACGAGACGTGAGCCGTGGGGGTAGGACGCAATATAAATAAGTAGACTGCATATCGGCTGTACGAGCAGAGTTGCCACATTTCGATTGACAGGGATGTCGGCAAGTAAGGCCGATGGGAACAAGCCCTGTGCGTAGCGTTGGCATCGCAAAGACCAGAGCGCGCTGCTGTTGGTTGCCAGTGCAGGTCGCGCTAATTCTGCCTACTCGATTGATGCGTCGCAGGAGAATGTATGATAGCAGTAATTGCGTCACTGTCCTCCTGCCTTTTCGTTCACCCGAGCACGATTGGTATACGCTCATCAACGAGGCGATAGGTGCAGCTACGGGAGCAGCGGACATGTCCAGCCTGCAAATCTTAGGATATATCTAGAGCGCTTGGTCAGCATAGATGCCGCTGCTATAGTATGCACCACATACGGATATCAAGAACCTTGCAGAGTTATTACCATTGCGTGATAGTAAAGCTGAAAAGGTAGCGATAGCGCGTATGAAACTGCGTTTGTTCCAATGTCCGAGCCACTGCGCTATTGCTGGTTTTTTCACACGCCAGCATCCGTCCCTTTCAGTTGATATGCGACCAATATTTGTCGTAGACCTCCAGGTCGCTATTACGAAGATGATGGCTTTGGTCGAAATGCCCGAAAAGATCATGGTGATCTCGCCGGTCCGGACGTTCCCACTTCTCTGTACTATCGCACTAGCACTAATCGGCATGCATAGGTACCTGGCTGCCGTTGTTCTACCTGTTTGGGAAAAGGCGACACTGTATGGGTGATACCGGGAGAATGCTGTCAGTACTGTGGTACGCCGGTGAATTGATGCCAAATTGGTGTCGATTCTTGGGAGAGCGAGCAAGTTCCTTGAACAGACGCTCGATAAAATAAGGTTTCAGTCATGGTGACTGTTTTAGGTATGCGCTCGTCGTACTTGTAACGAAGATATGGTGTTGTCGGTATAGTCGTGTAAAGATGATCGAAAGCCAGAAGGCTAATTTAGGCATTTAATACAGTTGGTCACAAGTACCTGAAAGCATATCAACGCGTTGATGAGAAAAACGAAGGCGCTGATGGGTGTCGCTAAGGATATATGCCACCTGTGGTGAACGTACAACTACAACCGAAATGTATGAAGTGCGGTGAAGAACTTACTACTGTTATCATATGTTGCAGCACCACCGATACTGTTGCATGGAGGCAAGCATCAAGTGAGAGCAGACAGAAGGTAGCAGGAATAGTTATAGATACTTGAAGAGTGACTCCGGCCAATAAGCTGTGAGCTGGAGATGGGACATTGGGCCGCAGAGCTAACCAATACGCAGCGGACACTTATCCCTATCAGGTATAGCGGTCGGCGCTGTCGTCAACTTCATCTGGGAATAAGCTTCTGCGCCGGAACTGCTGCAATGCAGGGTCAGTCTTAGTGTTCGGAGAATTGGCCCTAGTGCCGACGACCAGTTCTTTACTTGCACTGCGACAACGTCTATCAACACATCTAGGGAACAGGACACAGGACAAATGCAGCATACTGCAATCTAGGATCGTCGAGAATGCAAGATATTCAGTTTTGGCCAACGAAAGCGATGTGCGTGGTTGAAAGATCTACTGGTGTACCTTGTAGGCCGCTGTTGATGTATCTTATGGGATTGACACTTGATGTTCTAAACGACTTTGGGACTGTAGTTGATTTTCAGTAATCTGTCTACGCCTAGCTTGCTCCTCTACCCATGGCGATTGCATGACACATCTAACTTTAAGATGGAGACGTATGAACAGTATCCTCGGCAAGGAAAAAGGGACTCAGCTCCTCATACTGAGCCATGATCGGGTCGCCTAGCTGTGGGCTGGTTTGAAATGAATTGGGATAATCTGTCTCACTGCCACCCGCACCCTGGCAACATCTCTTCAAAACAAGTAGATGCTACTGGATATGTGAACATAGACATGTAATTTGCTTGGGCTCCGCCAAATGCAGTGGTTTAACTGTCTCGTGCTCCCGATAGCAAATTAAAATCAATTGGGAAGAGATGTTCTCCGTGGTACTCTCCCGGTTTTGCTTGCGCATCATGATCGTGCGCTGCAGGATCCTCGGAGTGGTCGATGTCCTCACCCAAAAGGTCGGAAATATTCGCATTGATGCTGGGTGCCAGCTTTCGCAGTATCTCAGAAGCCAGAGCATGGTCACGGTCTACCATTCCATTATTTACTTTCATTCCACTCAACTAATGAATAAGTATCTTGCTGCGTGATAAGATCTCGTCTCCGCTGCAAGAAACGTGAACCATACTAAAAGACGCCTCGAGTAGTAAGACGGTGAGTGCTTGCATGAGGTTGTGAACCAGAGACCACTAGGGATTGGTTTGATAAAGGTATGCTACGTCAACACTGGCTGGTAAAAGATCCGCCATCGCCTATGCTGCGCGGACGTAGATCCTGGCTGCGTCCTTGTTAAATCTGTCTGAAGCTTCTGTCTGGTTCTCAATACGGTGATTAACCAAGGAACGATAAAGGGGAGTGTGATAAAAGTCGTACTTGGGAGCTACTAATAGATCGCTATTTGGACAATTAATATTGTAAAGCTATTTGACGGTGAAGGACATGTTTCGAGCTTCTTCTATATCTCAACGAACATAAGGGTATGATGATTAAAATTGTATAAGTCTTAAAAAGACTGTTTGTCCGAGATTCGCACCCTCACTCATCAATATCATCCAGTCCATCAGAACAGATGTAGTCATCCCAAAGCGCATATTCGGGGATTGAGCCACATGATAGTAGATCTCCAGTTGACACGCACTCAAGTACGCCTTGGTCCTGCACGGTGACTCGGGGCAGGCTCGGAGGGATCGAAACGCCGAGAATGTCGCTTATACGCTGTGCAATGTATTCGTTGATAGCCTGAAGCCCGCAACCGGCGTGTCGCAGGACTTCTACCCTAAGCTCCATCATTTCTTTTCGCAAAAGCATGACGTCGTGCTTGAGCACCTTGTTATTGATTGCCAACTTGTTCACACATCTGATAGCATCGACTCCCTCTCAAACCAGCCCACAGCTAGGCGACCCGATCATGGCTCAGTATGAGGAGCTGAGTCCCTTTTTTTTGCTGAGGATATTGTTCGTATGCTTCCGTTTTGAGCTCAGATTTAGCATGCGTTTGCCACGGATAGAGGAAGAAATTGAGCTCAGATGTCTTACGGAGAATTGACTACAGTTCGAAAGCTGTACATTGAGTATCAAGTGTCAAACTACGAGATTATTGGCCTATGGCCGGCCTAAAATATATACTGGTAGCTCGTTCGACTATGCACGGCGCTTTCGTTGATATAAACTGATTATCTTGCATTTTGGACCATATTCAATTACAGTATGCTGCATTTACCCTGTAACCTGTTTCGTAGATGAGTTAATGGGCGTTGTCGTAGTGCAAAGGACAGGTCGTCTGAACTAGATCCAGTCCCCCGAGACACCAAGACTGGATCTGCGCTATAAAAATTCCTGCGCGGAAGATTATTTCCGGAGCTTTGATACCAGTTAGCGAGAAGAGAGGCTAATACAACACTACCCACCATACCTAGCGTGGCTAAGTGTCCACTACGTGTTGGTTAGCTCTTCGGTCCAAATTCCCATCCCATTACTCACAGCTGATTGGCCGAAGCTTCTCTTTAGACGGTTATAACTATTCCTGCTATCCCCCGTCCACTCTTGGTCAACTTTTTACCTCTCTGCATCAGCATGAGTGATATTTTAATTGTAAATTTTTCTTGGTTAGCAGGAAATGTTTCCTACAGCACTTTTTCTGTTTTGGACCGTCCAGCGCAGACGCTGTATCCTGGCAATTTGCGCATCCAGAATGCTTCGGTACAACTATTCATCCACCTGGATCGAGATATCAGCCGTCCACAGAAGTAATATTACCTTAAAAGGCAACTCTCTGGCATAGTTGAATTCTACGGAAATTGTTTCCATCTAGTCAGAGCATCTTTATCTGGATAGAGATGCTAAGGCGCGGTTTTCGCATCACCACCCTGCATCTCCCGCGGCGGACTATAGTATCTGAAAAGTTCCTGGGGATATTGTTATTCAATCTTGTCCGCGTGACAACGCTCTTAAGTACTCTGGGTGTACTACTGTTCGCCTCGTAGACCTGCCGAGCAAAACACAAGTACACAGAATCTGCTTAATGGGATAGTGTAGGCTGCACTCCTGCATTGCGCCATTGTTCTCTATTTTGCCCCAGATTCTAACTCGTGCATAATAGAGTATTGCGGATGCTTGAATAACACGAACAGCTGACGTTGCAAGCGATGGAAATATCTTTGTACCAAAATGCACCATCAAACATCGTGTGAATGAAAGGACGTTACATAACGAGTAAGTTTACTCCATGGCGCCAAGAGGCTCCGCTCTTGCGTTTTTTCGGAAGCAGAATACGATTGGTTAACCTGTACTCTCCCCGTCTGACATTCTCAGCAACTCAGCACTGCCGTCTGGTATAATGGGATCGTAATAATAATATCGCTTTCTTCCTTTCTCTCCAGATAGTCCCGGCGCTTCCCACGTAGAAATGCCATCCAAGTAACTCTCGAAGGTCGAAGCTAAGCGTTTTCCGCCTCCACCAGGTAGATCGACCACAAAAGAAGGTAGCATAAATCCAGAGAAGATCCCGCGAATATGCTTTTCTATCTTTAACATCGTTCCAAGAGGTGTCCGGAGATCTTCAACACCGCGTACAAGATCACATTGATACACATAGTACTGCCTCGGATCAGCTCAGGGAAAATACTACATTTGCAAGTATTTGAATTTTCGTTAAGTGAGGTGTTGTGAAGAAGTTGGGGAGCACATGGCATGGCAACGAAGAGTTACTTACAGGCTGGATATTTATTTCAGATAGCGATCTGATCAGGTTTCCCATAGTCTCAACATCATCGTTGACGCCTCTGAGCAATACAGACTGGTTTCGGACGATCACACCGTTCGCAAAAAGATGGTTTGCTGCACTTCGCGTAATCCATGTTATCTCGTTCGGATGATTTATGTGCGTATGCAGGCACACTTGCTTGCCTATCCGCCGACCCTGGTTTGAAAGGTCAATTAGTGTGCTCGCCCAAGGGTCGGTTTGATCCAGAATACGGCCGGGGGCCACGGCTAGACCTTTTGAAGCGAAACGAAAACGTAGAATGTGTGGGATCCCAAGAAGACTATGCGTCTTTAGCAGTTACAATCCACGAGATAGGTATCAACTTACCGCTCACCAATCTCGCGGAGATCCTCGGCCGACAGGTAATACGCGTCGCCGTCCGAAATGATAATGTCCCGTAAAGAGTGGTCTTTCTCAATATGTTGAAAAACCGTCTCCCAGCGCTTCCTAGACGGTTTTTGAGGCGACTTAGATACGGTTTCCGTAGGCGCACCCACTGCGTACGATCGTGTACAGAATCGACAGTAAACTGGGCAGATTGATGTCGCTAGAAATAGCGCTCGGCCAGGGTATCTATGCACCAGGCCTGGGACAGCTGCCTTTGTCAGCGTTAGGACTTATGGTCAGCAAGAAAGACTCTCACGCGAGTCAGCTTCTTCGTCGAGCGAATCCAGTGTTAGTGACTTGTGGTCTTCGAGTATGCTGCTTTTCAGAGGGAGAAACTGGCGTCGAATGGGATCGTCGAGGGGGGCTGCCCAGTTGATCCGAGAAAGTATATGGGGCGTGAGTCTAACAGCCATGGGTGCAAGCTCTAATCCAGAATTAGCATCTTCAATGAAATCATGCTTCGTCCGGATATGCTGCAATTGGGGGTTGTCTGATGATGCCAGTGCATCCGGCAGCACGTCGATGAGAAATTTGGTGAGTTTGGCATGATTAACAGTATTTCGAAGCTGCACGAAAGTTAAGCGAGTCCAGGAAACCTCAGTATGCTGAGTAGTTACCACGGAAATGATTTGTACAAACCTGGAACCTGTAGCTAACAAACTCCTCGCATTCCACATTCTTCCACGCAGGAATAATGTTCCAGTACCTCTCTTTTTCTTTCTCTGTTTGTGCGCTGTACGTATACTGTTGAGCCCTGTAAAATGTTGAGCATAGCCGTGAAGAGCTTCGACTGTGATGTACTGCATTGAACGCGGCTGAGTTGAGCATGTCTGAACGTTGGGCTACATGCCAAAGTTTGCCTCTGTAGTGGGAGAAGCTTGGTGAATAACTAAATGAAACCATGTTCCAACTGTGGTGTTGATACTTACGGCAAATATAGGCCCTTCAGTTCCGAGACACCCTCATGGTTACATGCAACTAGGTAATGGAACTGTTATCAGATTTTGCCCAGGCGAGTCTGTAATCAAGGGAGCATTTCCCGCTTGCGCAGCAGGCAGGCTTTCACAATATAATGCAGGGGCTGACATGTGGAAACAGGTTCCCAGGTTCTAACCATCTCGCATAACTGAAGGTAAATGTTTAATCCTGTCGATCTGTAGATGCAGATCTAGCGGCGCGTTTTGATCAGTCTACCAAATTCCTCCATTGCGTTCTAGTGCCATACCAAACAGTATCCATGGGTGAACGATCATGATACATTGCAGTAGATCCATAATCTGCAGTCAGCGTGCTATACGAATAGCTGTTGATGGTGTTAGTGAACATATGATTTGTTGGTAAGTGCAATGTCGATCACATTTCCAGCCGAGTCACTGAAGCCTTGGATTAACTATCAACTGCCTACCGGGGGGTTGCCTGACGGTTTGCTTACAGGCCAACCCTGGCCTGCAAAGCGATTCGCATCGTGAGGCGGGGAAGATGCGCCGGCCCTTCGCTTATTTAGTGACCTCACATGCGTTCACATATGACGGGGATCACGATGCTGTATTTCTTTTTGAATCGGACACTTGGCATAACATAATATTCAACGCTGGATGTGATACGATGCCAAACAGGTGAACGCAGCGCTAACATACATTACATATCAGCGCAAACAGATGAGAGGCCGCTCACAGGAGCTGCCCTTGTGCAGTTGCAAACATGTGTTTCCCCCAAACCAGGCAGTGTACAGGCTAATATGACCGCTCATGTATAGTATCTTATAAAAAAAGAGATGCAGGTGCTGGAATGATGAATCAAAGTTTTTCTCATATAGCAAGAGGACTACTCAAGTGTAGGATCCGCACGTATAGGTGCGTGAATTATCCAACAATCCTATCTGACCAAGAAACAAGTCCCCCTTCCTCAGTCATGAGCCTCTCCATATCTTCACCAGCAAGTCTTATGAGCACCTCATATTGGGCCTCCTTACCGCATGGGCCGGTTTCTCTGCGCCTTGGCATGATGATTATACCGCCGTCGCTTGGGCTGTATGTCCGGCGAATATACTCAGGCGATTTGGACGTTGTACCCGGGATATCCCACTCACACTCAGCACCGAAGTGCATCCACGAGGTTATGTACAAGTCAGGGCCGCGATTGAATTGGAGCGAGATTTCAGTGTCGATAATCCGATCGATAGACTGGAAGTATGCAAAATGACGCTGAGCCCAAGCGTTCGTTGCGTTCGAGATTGCGCCATTGATTGCTTGAATGGCGGGGGCGATAGTTGCGCTGGTCACACTGCGCGCTTAGATGTCAGCAAGAGACACAAGGGACACATTGTGGTCTGCGAACACTGAAAGGCTCGCTGAAGGTCTCGATAGTGATGATAAAAGGCGCTCTCACCATGATTCGGTATTGAACCTAGCAATGGAGGCTGTCGCCCTGGTCATAAGAGCCATGTTTCCCATATACGACGGCGGTAGCTGAGGTTTCACTCGCTCGCGCAAATTGACTGCGATGCCAATGCTCGTATTTGTATGACCATGCTGAATCAGGCGTTGATGTCGTGCACGAGTAACGTGGATCCACACCAAAGCAGCGAGGACATTGCATTGGGTCATAGGCGTGACTGTCTTGACGTGCTTTCTTAATTCACCCCGCATCGCTCGGATGCGTTCTGCAGAAAGAGCAAAGATCCTTGCAGTGCACGGCGCTCCATCAGGGAGTGTCTTTGTATAGTTCGAAGCGTCATAGAGATCCACTCCAGATACTTTTCCAAATGTCGGAATGTTACTGTCTATCTGTGATCGTAAGGCTGATTCGTCGATAGAATTCTCCAAAGCTATACCTAGACATTAGTAGCGCACCAGAGTGATGAATGCAGGAGATACATGCAAGGTGGAAGTACCCCGGGTCGCTGGCAGTACACATTGGAGGCAAAGCGCTTCCAGAAATTGTGCATACCCACACCGTCGCATACGCTGTGATGAGAGTAGATGCTCAAGACAAGTCCGCCGGAGATGAAGAAGGCTTCGACCGCAAGGACTGGGACAGCATGTTTGCAATCCATTATGCCCTCAGCGTTTCGTAGGACACCCGGATGACCACGCAGTACATTGGGGCAAAACATCTTGCCCGTAAAGGCGTTTTGAGGCATACCATCTCGCTTCAGCTGTTGGTAGGTGCGGGGGTATTCTTTCGAAGGCAGAATGATGCTAGATGAAAAGAGATTCGTCGTTGTCACGTCCGGTACGACGTGCCCGTACGTTACTGATAACTTTCCTGATTGAGGATTGGCTGGCTGGACGGTGCCAGCGAGGAATGGAAACGTTTCCAATGCAAGCTGGAGCCCTGCTTTGATTGCACTAGTCGCGCTGCCAATCTGACCTTGGTTAGGGAAGGGAAAGATCTTCAGTACTGGGGTGTAGCATCGCACGGCAAACTGGTCGAGGACAGAAAGGTGGAGCGTCTCGACTGCCATGGATATGGTTATTCGGGCTGTGTACGAGGTATGGAGATAATTGCTCTAATATCGAGTATGCATGCACGCAAATCCAACAGGGTTTGAGAGGTAGCTAGTATTTTGTAGTGTTGTTGAGGCTGTATAGCGGACGTTCATAGATCCCTAGGGCGCAGACTTATTTGTATTCTGACAATCAGGAGTCACGTCTAGCCATTACCTGTTTGAATAAGCAAATACCTGAAACACAAGGGAAAAATAGCTTCTCTTTTGCTTTTCCGAAACTTCACAGACGAAAACGATGCTTCGCTGGTCAAATACTGGTACAACCTAGATCCTGGCCGGAGAGACTCATGATCGAAGCAAGCCACTCGCCATATGTCCCACTGATCATGCCTAAAGGCTAGGGAATACCTTACAAATACAATAAGGACATTTTGTTCGTGTTATTCGAGCCTCCGAGGTCAAGGAACGGCGAGACCATACATGGTTGGCCGGAGCCAGGATTCGCTGCCTGGTACAAAATTCAGTAGTTGGCTATCTGAAGCTAGTGTCCGTGGGAGTATTGGTGCAGGAGAGGATAGATAGCAAGGGTAGCGTCCGGAGTGACCATGGTTTAGGGACAAAGGATAGCTGCGCATCTTCTCGAGGTCTAGACACGAGAACATTCGTCTGGTGGCGTACTTCTATGTGCGAGCTTCGATCCTGTCACCAGAGACTGAGGGATGACTGCATACAAGTTAGCGCAAAAAACGATGTACGCAACTACCACGCATGGGCGATCTCCTTGAGGTCGCTACACTGTGATGTCAGAAGGCGCATCAGGCACCCTTTGCCAACCGATAGCTAGGTTAAGTGACAGAAAAAAGAAATTGAGATCGGAGGCATCCGATTGATTGTAGCCATGGACCGTGGGGGGCAGATCACGGTGGAAACAGGTAAACTGCGTGCCGACTGTACGAGCAGAGTTGCCACATCCCGACCGACAAGGATGTCGGCAAGTGAAGCCGATGGGAACAACTCCCATGCATGCGTGCAAGCAATTGAAATAACGATCGAAACTAGGAAGATCGAGCCAGGCCACAGTCCCACAGCGTTTGGCATCGCAAGGATCGAGGCACACTGCTGTTGGTCGATAGTGCAGGCCGCGCTGGTTCTGTCTGCTCGATTGATGCGTCGCAGGAGAATGCCTGATGGAAGAAACTGCGTTTCTGTTTTCATGCCTTTGCATTCACCCGGACACGAATGGTATGCGCTCACCAGCGAGGCGATAGGTGCAGTTACGGGCGGCAGCGGACACATCAAGCCTGCAAATCCTAGGATATATCTAGAGCGCTTGGATCAGCATGAATGCTACTGCTGCAGGATGCACCACGTACAGATATCAAGAACCTTGCAGAGCTACTGCCATGGCTTGATAGTCAGGCCGAAGAGGTAGCGATAGCGAGTATGGAGTTGCACTTGTCCCAACGTTGGAGTCACTGTGCTATTGCTTATCCTTTTCCATGTCGGCATCTGTCACTTTCAGTTGACATGCGAACAATACCTGTCATAGACCTCCAGATCCCTACTACCACGATGAAAGTTCTGGTTGAAACGGCCACAGCGGTCGTGATGATCTCGCCGGTCCGGACGTTTCATTTTCTTTTCTTTAATCTCTAGCACTAGTGATAACCGGCATGTATAGGTCCCTAGCCGCCACTGTCCTGCCTGCTTGGAAAAGCGACACTGTATAGGTGGTACCGGGAGAATGCTGTCAGTACTGTGGTACGCCGGTGAAGTGATGCCAAGTTGGTGCCGATTCTTTAGAGGGCGAACAAGTCCGTTGAATAGATGCTCGATAAAAACCAAGTTTCAGTCATGGTGACTGTTTTAGGTATGCGCTTGTCGTACTATTCTCCAGTCGCTAGTGGTTTGAGGGACCCTCTAGTCTTGTAACGAAGATATGATTTTGTCGCAGTGGTCGCACGGGGATGATCGAAAGCCAGAACTAAAGCTGATTTAGGCGTTTGATGCAGTTGGCCACAAGTACTTGAAAGCATACCGACGCGTTGATGAGTATAACCAGGGCCATAGTGGGTGTCGCTAAGAATATATGCCGCCTGCAGGGAATGTACAGCTACAGCCGAAAGACATGAACTGCGGTGATGAACTTACTGCTGTTTTCGTACGTTGTAGCATCACCGATACTGCTGCAGGGAGGCAAGAAGTGCGTGAGAGCGGACAGTGGGTAGCAGCAATAATTATAGCAGGGACCGGTTCGATAAAGGTATGTCACGTCAACACTGGCTGGTAAAAGGTCCGCCATCGCCTCTGCTGCGCGGACGCAGATCTTGGCTGTGTCCTTGTTGAATCTGTCGGAAGCCTCTGTCTGGTTCTTAATACGGTCGTCCAGTCTGCACATGCAAGGACGAGTGATCAGAATTTTCGTTTCGATGTAATGCACATTGAGAACTAGGCGCTCGCGTTGAAAAGTAGTGTATGCGGTCGGTTGTGTGAAATCAAGGCCGGATGGGAGTGAGGCGAGCCACGTTTCGAGCTGTTCGTGTAGACCGGAAATCTTCTGCTGCATTTGTTTCCACGACATTTCAATTGCTCTGGCAGAGTACAAGCCTGTCACGACTTGTTGCGTGATCGCGCCCATCCGGGCTCTGCTCTTCAAGTAAGAGCCTGCATTTGAAGGCTCCGAAGTAGCTACCGTAGGTGATTGGTGAATAGTGCACCCTTGATATTGTGCATACATCGAGGAGACCAATGTCTCATCAGACATGCGTTCCATAGCCAATGGTAGCGGCAAAGGCGCGGAGCAAAAGTCCTCGATCACGAAACTTGGACGGCCCACAGTGGTGCTTAGATTTCCTTCAAGAGTGTAGAGACCCCACCAGATCCTTACCAAATTCTCTTTCTGTGATACTGTGGTGCCTCGATCTTCGTTACGAACGTGTAGCCCTAGCGCATGAGCATATCGGACAGAGATGCCGATGTAGACCCACGCTCTGTACAATCAGGGATCAGTTCATTACGTTGAACTATGAGAAGCGACCTTACCTGTTGGCGCGACCCGTCGTTAGGAAGTAGAGAGCAAGTAGTGCCGTAATCTGTACTTGCATAAGGTCCGGATGTGAGACCAAATCGGGCGTGCTCAGGCCTAAGATGTGCGCGCGAGAAACGTAGGTGAGATGATTGAAGCCACGTATGTGCCAGGATTCTTCCACCAGATACGAATACTGCGCTCCGATTGCAAACACTAGGTTCAGCACTGCCAACCATTTGTCCGGTACGGAATGGAATGCACCATGCTCCACGGAAGCGTATAGCTCGTGGACGGTTTCCATGAAACTGCTCCTCGATAGTATTGGGAAAGAATCCTGCACGGTGTCCATATAGCCTTTGATCAGACCTTGAGCGACATGCATCGGTGGCAACTCGAAAGGGTGCACGGTATAGTCGACTTCTAAGCCCTGGTCGTCTACATAGAAGGTCGAGGAACTAAGTGGTACGCGAGTATTCGAATTTGAGCGTTGGCGCTGTCGTAGGGCTTCAAGGCGACGTGACGAAGATTCTGTATCAGTGCCAGGAGGCCCATAGGGACCGGACCCTCTCAAGGGGATGGCTCTATGATGCTCTGCGTCTTGTCTCAAGCGTCGAATCCATTGCATCTCCGAGCTTTTGCCAACGAATCCAGCAGCTCGGGAATCCTTGTCTCGAAGCAAGTTCTCATCTACAATGTCCAACTCCTCGCTAGAGCCGACATCAGCGGAAACCATATCCTCTCCATCTCTTCCTTGTAGATCGGGGGAGTCCCGCTTTCTCAACGACGATGCTGCCTCGGACACATCATCTACGACCTTCTTTTTGTCAACAATGGCTATGCATCAAGGAACGAATCGTAAGAGCAGTAACGTACTCGTCTTATCAAGTCCTCTATCTGTTGTTTCTTCTCCTCTGTGACACTGTCTGCAAGCTCTTTCAGGAGCACAACCATCTCTTGGTTGTACTCGATGACCCTGTTGACGATGAGCATGATCATACTGTTGGGACGAGGAAAGAACTCACGTTTTCAGGTGATTTCTGCGACTTGGCTTGTAGATGCACTGCCGATGCTTGGCCAGACAGTTTCGGCATCGCGGCTGACCACCGTTGCATCTCACTTTGTGTACTTGACATGCCGAGCAGGCCCTTGAAATCCTTGAAGTTATCCCTGTGTCGTATGGTTGGAGCGTACTCGGTGGTGGTTCGTTGCTCGGGCGCGCAAGGAGCCTCCTGAGCGGGCGTTTCGGATCCGTGGCTGGAGAGGCCGTGAAGGACATATCAGCTCAGGAACGGTGGAGGCGAAGCGCGATGACAAAATGTGAGGCGAGACCACTTCTAGTTAGACAGCGGGAAAAAGACAACTATAGCTAAAGGAGAGAAGGTGGAGCGCAGCAACACGGCCAGTTTCGAGCGAGACCAGGGCTTTTGCCAAGGGATACTGGGAACACACTGGGCTGGAACGGGCTGGATGACGGAACTTTGGCAGGTGTCGGCCACGAAAGTCGCCGACATTATTTTTGAGAAGCACTGCTCCCATTCTTGATAGCCGTGAATACAAAGTATCCACTAGAAAGGCAAAGTCATGGTTGTAGGGCAGTTGGAATAGTCGAGAATACACATCATCGATGCTTACCCGACACAGCTCCCGCAGCTGTCCTTCAGAGCATAGGCTGCCCGAGATACCCGAATCCATCAACCACAGTGTATTATAAACTATAGCGTAGACAACCAATTTAGCGGCAAGACACTCCCTAATCCGGCCCTTCAGCGCGTTGTGGCGCCGCGGGTGAGTGTGGAATAAGACATACGGCCGTTGTGAAGTAGGAGCATAGTCGTGATAGCCGTGCCTTCGCACAGTAGATATTACGCAAACTCTTCACCCGCTTCTGTTTGCTAGCGTCGATTATGTATGAGAGCGAGTGCAAACATACTAGCAGTAGCGTAACTGGTTCATGGCTGAAGTGCCGTTTCGTTCGTATGAAACTTTACAGAGTGACTTGTTACAGAACTGGACGAGATATTAGTACGTTGAGGTTTGCATTTAGCTTGATGAGGTGCGGTTTACGGTACTGTCAAAGGGGCGTGTTTGCATGTGACAACTATTCGATAAAGCGTGTTATTTCACGATCCCAGCAAGCCCAACCACGAACAAGGCACGTAATATACCTCTGGGCTGAGGTGTTTGCCGCGCATTGTCCGCCAGATCCATGTCTTTCCGCACCCAGTGCCGCAGAGATGAGCTGCTAACTAGCATCTACGCGTGTTTGTACCTGATGTAACACTGTAAACTGCGCATTGTGTAAAAGGACGGAACTACATCACTTACTGAAGAATGATATCGGTCCTGACTATGCATTCACAATTTTGATGTAACACGCAATCCACGGATAGTAACGTTAGAAAGGATTGCCATATCAAAAAACACAAAGAGGTGGATGTAGTCGTATTCTATGCCAGAGTTAAATTCCGTCATTCTTACTAAGTGCCCGATTGAACTGCCAGCCGATGATTCTAATAGATCTACTCATTCCGTTGTTGTAATCTTCAGAGTCTGTTCGTGAAAATCTAGGCTGTCTGCAGTGCATCGGTGCGTTCAAGGGTGCGATGACTTCGTCTTCTGGCAAGGGAAGTTTTTTTTCTGTCCGCCAAGATGTCAGGAGTAAGGCGCATAGCAAATTCAGATTGTTTTAATATAAATTCAAGTTTACGGAGAATATAGAGCATATTGTGTTTTCTTCGCAAAGCTTGTAGAGCAACTTATGGCGAAGAGCAACTTGGCGATCATCGAGATGAATGACATCATTTTGAAATGACATAAGCCAAGTGCTCCACGGCAATGCGTCGCGCATAAATCTACAGTACAACAACCCCTCTACCTATTGCTTCTTTGTGTTTTTTTCTATGATCTGTATTGAGGTCGTTATGTCAGCTATCTATTCTACTCGCTGCACTACATGCCTATGTCTACACCGTGCTTAACGTGCAGAGCAGCCTAAAATATCCTCTTCCACGTATGATTACCAGCTGGGCTATGACCCAAAAATCACGCCCTGAATACTCCAAGGTTCGATTGGTGTCGGCCTAACATGGAGTCGACTGTACTTTTCACAGTATGCTTTCGCCATTCGTATTATGATCCACGAGATTGACCGCCTCCGCCAGAGAATTCAGAGGGTCGAGCACTAGAGCAAAAGGTGCCACATTGAATGATATCCTGTCAGCTCCTCATATGCTCGCGTGATTTCCAATGCACTCCGAAGCAGAAACCACAATTTGCCGGATATCCCAAGCAAATACATTGCAACTCCGATAGATGAACCCAGGCGCAGGAGAGACAAAGTGATCAAACAGCATGGAAAGCCAGTAGTTCCTGTGAACTGGCACAACGCCCCGAGTGGGGCGCTATTTCTACCAATCACTTTCCCTGCAAGCCGACACATACGGGCTTTGAGTGTATGTCCTGCGAACTGCTGCTTCCGTGTGGCACAATAAGCTGTCATAATGGCAAGAGCGATGTCGAAGCTGTTTGGTCCTGTATTCCTTGCTGCGACTGTTAAACAAACACGCAATATTAAAGCAGCTTAAATTGTGGGAGGAAGAATTTCAATCGTGCTGTGTTGTTAACCTAGGTCAGACACATCACTCCGCACAACCCTCCGCCGCTTTGGCAATAGCGCAGAGACTAGCTCACAACTGTGCTCTTCCTTCCTCTGCTGCACTCTCCCCATTCACCCTCCACAACTATCTAGGTGTATCTCTGCCACCTTTCAGTCTAAATGTCATTCCCAGCTTCTCAGCCTCTACGGCTGGACCCTCCATCCAAGATTGCGATCCCACGGCTTGCGAGACGGCCAGACGACGACAAAACGCCTGGTCAGCGCAGATCCAGCAGGACACCCAGGGCTTCCATAGCATGCACAGGCTGTCGAACTCGCAAAATAAGATGCAATGGAGCGCAGCCACGATGCCAGAACTGTTTAGCAACCGGTCAGGTTTGCTTTTACACGCAGGGTCGCAGAGATCGTCTCAAAATGTCTGCTACATCTTTAGAGTGATTTAGCGTTGCACTAGGACTAATTGCCGATAGATCCACCGAGCAGAATCAGTGTATGATTGCAATGCTGGAGTATTTGAAAGGCCGTGTTACAGAGCGCGATAGACAGCTGATAAGCGACCTGCTGGCGCAAGTACGCTACAATTTTTAACTTCCTAAACTCTCCCGCATGATATAGTCTGACAAATGCAAGGTCGTAGACGATGTTTCGGAGGCCGCTTCGTCATTGAACCTCTCGCACTCCTCCCACGATGATACCCAAAACGAAGCCAGTACATCTGCTGAAGTGGGCTCTAATGGAGATATGGACATTTTGGAAGAGGACGTCCTGCAAACAGAAACGAGCCGAGCAACTGGATTTGTCGGAAAGAGCTCGGAGGTGCGATGGCTGAGGCGTTTGCAACAAGACACCGAGCGTCCTGATGATGCCGCGTCTCATCTAGAAGGTCCCTACGGGCCTCCTGGAGATAACACAGAAGCTGCTGTCCAGCGCACGGAGGTGTGGGTACAGCGCCAACGGCAAGACTCAAGCGTTCGAGCGCAAACTATTGCGTCGACTTTCTATCTAGATGGCAATGATACAGAGGTCAACCGCACGGTCAACCCATTCGAACTGCCACCTCGTGAAACGGCGCAGAGGCTTCTGGACGGATACTTCGCTACGGTTCAAGATTCGTTTCCCGTACTTTCGGAGATAGTTTTCAAACGTCAATTTGAGCAACATTACACCTCCGTATTGCGGGGAATACCTTCTACTGTATCGCATGAATGGCTTACAATACTAAACCTCGTTTTTGCTATCGGGGCAAGGTACTCGCAGCTAACATATGCAGACGTGCAAACAAATGGTCGGGACCACCATATTTACTGGTCTCGCGCGTATGTATTGGGTCTAGATGGATATTCTTTGGTTGCTCATCCAGATCTAATGCAGATCCAAATCACAGCTCTTGTTGCGTTTTACTTCCTCTGCATTGGGCATGTAAATAGGTGGAGTCTCTCCCTCCCTGTGCCTAACATTGCTAATTTGTGAAGGGCCTGGGTTATTGTAGGCTCCTCTCTCCGTTATGCACATGCGCTTGGACTGCACGTACGAAACGAGGACAAAACGGTTACCATGTCCGAAAAAGAAATACTGTTGAGGATGTGGTGGAGCCTATACTCCATCGACAGAACCATCAGTACTATAGTCGGCCGGCCAAGCTTCGTAATCAAAGAATATTGCTCGGTGCCATTGCCACTACCGTTGACGACGGAGCAGTTATTAGACGAAGACTTGACTAATCAGATCCACGAGCGATACGGAGGGCCCAGGTCTTGGTATGACACTTCTCGCGCAGCTTCGGCAACCGGCGAGCCTTCCAATGTAGGCTCATTCTTGAAGGCCAATGTACAGATTGGCCTGATTACCCAGGACGCTATGGCTGAACTGTACTCGGCCAAGGTAGTCGCAAAGTCCTGGAAACAGGCGCAGCAGGCAATAACCGACTTATGTGAACAACTGGAAGCATGGTTATCCTCTCTACCATCCAGTCTCAACTTTTCCCAGCCCAGCTCTAGTACCAGCCTCCAACGGGAAAGGTTAGTGCTGCAAATGCAGTATATGGGAACCAAAATCCTGATCACTCGGCCTTGTCTGTGTAGGCTGGATAAACGCATGCCAAACCAGTCGAAGTCTTCAGACCACTTCAACAAGCACTCTGCCCAGATCTGCGTCGATGCTGCAGTGGCAGTGGCAGGCCTTTTACCGGGAGAAGTCGATGTGACCTACCTGTACAAATCCGGGCCATGGTGGTCTATAGTACATAATCTTATGCAAGCTCTCGTAGTGTTGCTGCTGGAGATGTCTTATGGTGCTGTTCATTTCACCCACGGAAGCAGGCAGATCTCGACGCCCATCAAGAAGCTACTTGATTGGTTGAGAACGATGTCAAATGACAACGACACAGCAAAACGAGCCTACGACATGGCCTTTGCAGTATTGCAAAGGCTAGCATCAAAGTTCAACGTAGATATATCCGAACTTTTACGGGAGGACACCGCTCAAACTAGGCATCCAGCTGCGTTCCATTTGAACCAGCAACCTGCAGTCGGCCCCCACGGACAGGAAGACTCAGTCCCGCCTACAGAACAGGCCCAAGCATTGGGAGAACAGGGGATGTATGCTAGTGATTTCTATGTAAACCAGCCTGGCTACGCATCGATGTTCGGAGTTCCGGCAGTACAGCCCCAGAACAGCTCATGGATGGTGGGGCCGACAGATGCCGGAGGAGCATTACTCCCAGATGTTTCTCAGGCTGATGCAATGTTTGGCAATCCCTTCGTGACTAGTTACGACGAGGAGAATCCTGTTACATTTGACGAAGATCTCTTTGGGATGTATGCCGTTAGTCCTAGGTTTCGCTATCAGTAACTCACATCTTGACCTATTGTGCAACGACGGACGCTAGGAGAAGATAGAAGAAGAATGGCGTGAGATTACATCAAAATAGATTTAGCGCTATGAGCGAGAAGTTGTGATATCTGATAGACCTGACTGTGCTCTGACTATAGACACCACTTTGCGTACCCTGTCACAGTACTTTCGGCGGAGCGGTCCATTCCATCCAAGTGCAATGGAATACTACCGTAAGAGGGAAACATTCAAAAGGCGTTGAAAGCAGCGGGAACTCTTCCATCCGATTCAAGTGCGGCAATCGCAATAATCGTACTATCAGAAAAGTTATACCCCTCTTGTAATGTGGGGGGTAAATGCGAGGCAAATGGTGGTACACAGAGAGTACTTGAGGGCGATGTAGCGTGGATCATGCAGGTGTCGGCTGAGGTGAGATATGGCCACTGCCACTAAAACGATGGCCGACCCGCTCCTGCCCTGACCTTGTCCTGAAGGCGTTATCAATGTGGAAGAAAAAATGCGATTAATATACAGTCCTAAGTGGCATTGTTTGTGTTAGGCATTTTGACCTATCGTATATCCTCGTGACAGATTTCAGCCTTCTCAGGTCAGATACGTGTAAAAGGTAAAAGGTATGTGTGTATTGATGTCTCTTTCTGCGCCTCCTGGGGGGCTTATATATCTAGTCCTGAGGGGTAGTTTCTAGGATGGCTGGACCTGATATGTTGGATGGTTCCGATCTGATTTATATTCACCTAGCTGGAACGTACTCCTACTCGGGTAGTTCACTTGACACCTAGATACAATGCCATTTCAACCTCTGTACTCGCCAAAGAACCCTTTTCACAATCAAGGCTTCACCTACCCCCCAACCCTTCACTGTTGCTTCACTGAAGGCCTCTCGCTAGTATGCTGTCAACCGCTGACTCAGAATGAATCTTCATAGTTGGGGTCCTGCGCTTCCATGCGTCTTGCCACCTTCCTCTCCTGCTCCATGTATTGTGCTTCGTCACTCGAAGCGATCTCTTCCGGAGGTGTGTCTGGACGTTTCCTCTTCCTGATACCCGGAGCAACCAAATGCTTGCTAAGTGATCTGTCTTGTTGCACCTTGTTCTCTGCTGCAGCAAGAAATTGGCAGAGCTGTTGACCAGACACATTTATTTCTCGATTTTGGTCTCCCAGCTCCTCTTGCACTAATTCTTCATGCGCAAAATCGCTGAGGTGAAGCTGCAGTCCTGGATGATCGGTATTGTTCCCTTGATCGCCGCGAAAGGTCTGGTGTTGATGTCAGAATATCAATGGCGCCATAGTTATAGTCGCAGCCCACCTCATCCGCGACCTCATCTACTACTCGAAGCTCATTTCCGATTACTTGGGCTCGCCACACTGACAGCGTTGCCTCACGCGACCCTTTCTTGCCGTACTCAATGTCCAGACCGACAACAACCTGCACACTAGCATCTGAGTCTAGGAGGTAGCTTTCTGCCAAGCGGTACAGCCTCTTCCTTTTCTGCGAGTACGCAATTTCGATGATAACACCCGGATATTTCGCATCGTCATGCCAGAAAGAGGCGTCTGGTTCATACTTCGACTTTCTGCTAGGTAGACCTTCTTCTGCAGGGAGTTTTATCTCGGTTGATCGAGCAGGTCGCACTTTCTGCGCAAAGCGAGCTTCCGGACCCGATCCACTACGTACTACTTTCAACTGGCTCCGAATCGCGTCCTCGACTCCGTCAACGAACAGCTCATGTACGCTAGTCGGCATACGAACGACAAGGAAATCTTTTTCTGCGTTATAATCATGCCTTCAAAGATCTCCTGATTAGCTACGGCACTCACAATACTTAGTCTCCAGTGCAGACTTACCGTATTTTGTCTTTCACGTATCCCCACAGGTCTTCGTCTTTCTGAAGCAGACGTTGTATCTCATCATATTCCCCTTTTACAAGCCAGAATTCTGTCCAAGGACCTCGTTCAATGTGTCTCCCCGCTCGTATCTCTCTAAAGAGCGAGATTACTCGATGGGCGTGCGCAAACTGCTTCTCGTCGGTCGGCGGCGGAGTTAAAGGCTGTTCTGCGAAGCTCGTAGGCGGTGTTGTATCCTGGTACTGTGTCGCAGAAGCTTTCAATCTAGACATAGTTGTGCGTTGCACCGCATTTCAAAGTTGCACGATGGTTGCCGCGAAGACAGGTCGCGGTTTAGACGCGATGCGCATCGGTTGACCCAACGTCTTGGGGCTGCCAAGGCCTCTGACGTGACTAATCTACGCTAAGCCAAAGACTGCTCGCCCCCGCAAAAGCTCGGATCTTGGCTTTTGCGAACCCATTTTTCGTCCCCGTTGTATGATTCATTTTCGGACCCTGCCAGTGGCCCACAAGCACCAGAAGGGTTGGCATCAAGCCATGCTTAGTAGGGCTAGTTTCGCTCCCAAACGGTACCTAATCTGGCTTCCTTGTATCCCATTCGAGCTATCCCATTTAAACTCATGACATGGCACCTATCCGATTTTTTAGGCATACACTCTACTGCGATCCTATCTCATATGTTAGTCGGCGGAAAAGCTTACACTCTCAAATTGCTTAAGTATCACCCGCATTGTTCAGCGATTTTATGCTCCTAGCGAAACTGAAGTGGTGAATGCTCAAAACGTGGTCTGGTGAGCGCATGGAGAGCTGGAGTTTCGCTGTGAATACCCATTAAATCTTATCTTCACAATGTTGTCTAGTCCATCTTTCGAACAGAGACAAAAAGACATTTGAGCCGTTGAGCCAGACAGATACAAATGCTTTGCCAAACAATATCTGCAGCTGGGCTTATGTATCAGTTTCCAGACGGAATCCAGGTGATTTCTGCAAAGACCTATTGTTTGAACCCCACCACCACCAGGAAATCTATATAAGCGAGCATTTGCAAAAGTATCAATTATATTAGTTGCAAATAAGTACTAGAATAATCAACGCTTCATACTACGGAATCCTCGCCTCCGGTACAAAGGTCATGGCCGGAGCGGGTCGGCCATCCTCCCTGCTAGCGGTGGCAACTCGAAGTACCATCTCACATAGGCTGCACCTCACAATGATTTCTAAGCAAACCATGGTACTTTGACTATGCTGTTTTTGTGCTGCGTCTGGCCTGCCGCTTTAGAGACAATCTGCTTGCCACACCTATTTCTTGCTAGATATTATTCTGCCCGTTGATTTCCATGGCCTCTAACTGCCATGTTGCAAGAGCTTCGCGAGACGATATAGTAAAGGGATGTCGAGGACCCAAGACTACTGCTCGTAGCCCGCAGCAGCCCAGCTTAGCGCCGTGCAATGGAATAGACATTTAGCATACTGTTGGAAAACGATCTGTAATGCTTGGCAACGTTTTCTATTCCTTCCGTGCTACTCCTGCTAACTAATCGCATCACCAATCTCCAAGTTCTCGATTTGCCACCTACTCAACGTTGTAGAGGAAGACAAAGTATGGGGATGGTCAACGCCCATGATCCGAATTCGGAGCTTTACACATTCTTCCATTAATTTGAGAGCCTCTGTATGTCGGCCTAGGCTCTTCCAAGTGTAGGCAAGGTTGTTCATGCTCCGCAACGTGGAAGGGTGCTCCGCGCCCAGCACCCTCTTCCTTATCTCCAATACGTGCACCTCCAGCTCTTCAGCCTCCTTCCACCGGCCTTGATCACTGTACGTCGACGCCAGGTTTTTCATGCTGGTCAGCGTGGAAGGATGCTCCTCCCCAAGCACCCTCTTACTCGTCTCCAGATCTTGTACCCTTAGCTTCTCTGCCTCTTTCCACCGGCCTTGCTTGTTGTACGTCGTCGCCAAGCTTGCCATGATAGCTAGTGTATTCGGATGCTCCTCCCCAAGTACTTCTTTGCTAGCCTCCATCACCTGAACAAACAGTTCTTCAGCCTCCTTCCATCGCCCTTGGTTCCTGTATGTCGATCCAAGATACCTCATGCTACTCAGCGTGTCGGGATGTTCCGCGCCCAGCTCTCTCCTGCGAATCTTCACCACCTGCTCAAAAGCCTTTTCCGCTTCCACATCCCTTCCATCACTGCGCGCGCACTTCCCGAACTTCCAGAGCAGCTTTGTCTTCTCACTTTCTACCTCCTCCGACCCTGATCCTGACCCTAACCCTAAGGCATAGCGTACGTGCGGCAGATACATCCTCCACACGGCCCTGTTCGAGTGGTCGTCGTCCGGAAACACCTCCTCCAGTCGTTCTACGGCTTTGCCCGCCCACTCTCCAAGACGCCCCTCCGTCCGTAGCCAGTTCCTTGTCGCCAGATGTACGAGCCGGTGGAGGTCCAGCAGCTGGCCTGTCTTGTGCTTGCTGACGAAAGAGTAGGCGCTCAGCATCCCGACTGCATCAACCGCCTTCTTGGCCGACTGCGCTGGCGGCAGCAGCGACTGCGGGATGTCCTTCGCGTCGACGCATGCCATGAACGACAGGTACTCTGCCGCCAGCGGATCGCGCGTCCGGATCTGCTCGAAGGAGATGAGCCATGTCGTTGCGATCGGGTTCTTGATGTCTTCGTATCGCCCTTCGTCCTCAAATTCCTCGCTTAGGAGCTCGATTTGGTTTTGCTCTGTGTCGTCAAGAAGGGCGACATACTCTGAGAGGCTAATCTGATTCTCGTTGATATATGCGGCTGCTTGGACGATGGCAAGTGGGAGACGCGTGAGCTTCAGGAGCAAATCCGCTGTAGCTTGCTCGTCCTCTAACAGGTCCTGGTCGATCAAAGATTTCTCAAGCAGGCCCTTCGCCGTGGCATCGTCCATCTCGCTAACCGAGACCACATTCTTTCCGGCTAGCTTCGTCGCCGCCTTTCGACTCCGCGTCGTGAACAGGATCGATCCGTGCTTGCTCTTGGGCAGGGAGTCGAGTCGGCGGCCTAAGTCAGCTGGCTTGCTTACTTTCTCCGTCCACAGGTCGATGTCGTCGGCGTTATCGAATACGATCAGCCACCTCCCAGAGCTCTCTTCGCTCAACCTGCGCTGCACGAGCCTCTGCACGTCTGCCTTCTCCTGCTCGACATTCGGGATCTTCAGTTGCCGGCCAATCTCCACATATGCCTCCAGCATGCTCTCGACGTTCGTCACCGGTATCCAGAACACTGCACAATGCGAGTGCTCCTCCCGCCACCGATGGGCAGACTCGAGCGCGATCTGCGTCTTCCCCACTCCTCCGAGACCAACAATGGCCACGCGCTCGCAGCGACTGTCGTTTGCAAGCAAATCATTGATCTGTGCAAGTTCCGAAGCCCGCCCGACAAATTGTGGGTTTCTCTGAAAAGGCATAATCCACGGTGCTTCTGCTCGTGGTGCTACTATATTTTTAGCTTCACGATCTAGAGAATAAAGAGTAACATACTAGTGTGAAGCGCTATTGTGCGTCGCACATTATATTCCTATATAACGTCAATGTGATTCTCGTGAAAGGTCATATCACCCTTACATTAATTAGATATGAAAGATTAGTCGCTGCCATACCTATCGAGCATTAGATATTTATTGTATCTACACAAAGCTTGGGATGTACACACTCTGCTTGAGTCTCAAGTTGCCAACGCAATCCCGCATCCTAAAATACCGGTCTTTGTGGGTGATATAGGCTTCTGTAAGGGCCTCGATCCGCCCTCTCATGTTGTATTCCTCAAGCCCGATGCTTTGTAGCCCTTGCTCAACATTAAAGCGGAAATACCGCTTTTCATCAAATTTTCCTGCCCACCTGTCTATAAATTTTCTCTCCGTATTCTCAGTCTCCTTAGCGATCTCCACCACGGTCTGGCTAAGGACATCAATTGTCTTATCTTCGAATGCCTTATTGCCCGGGTTCCCTGTCCCAATAGAGATAAAGCATTTGACAAGAGGTTTTAACTCTCCAGTCTCCGGGCACCAGATGTTCCCCGCCTCTCCTTCTACTTGGTCTACCGGATTGTTTGCACCTAGCTGGCCGTCGGTAAATGAGCGATGTCCGATACTAACTGATTCGAAGAATGTAGTAGTGGCCGACGTCGCGAGAGCGGCTTGACAGATGGTAGATGGAATGTTTGACTCGTGAGGTAGGCTGTAACTCCGAAGACGGATAATGTTACATGTATCGCGATCGACCGTACACACAAAGCTGGGAGTTATCAGCACTCAGGGTTTCGAATCTCCAGGGCACCTACGTTTTACACCCGCGCTCAATCCCATCGTTGAATAGGGCGGTCTCGGGCGCACCGCCTCGCGTTACCACCTTTCGAATCGCGGTCTCCAGCCTCGCGGAATCGAATTGCGGCTTAACTTCGCCCTCAATTTTGACTGGAATGGGGGTTAGTTTCTCGCCGAAGACGGCTGCGGCGAGCTCGCTGTATGCATCGATGCATTCATCGACGTCCATTTCGAGACGTCCGAGCATGACCGCAATCAGCCTATTGTAACGATGCGTCAGTCACACCTACCAAGGAGCAGGTCTACCTACCCGCCGGTATTGGTACCGCCGATGAGGTCGAACACTTCGCATGGTCTCATTGGAGGGAGCTCCTCTAGCCCGCGCTCCAGTCGATCCTTCTTTAGCGCGTAGTTGAGTCGGTCCATGATGCTCTTCAAGATGTAGAGCGTCGAGAGCCCGCGCACGCCGCCGCCATCGAGGGACAGCAGGCAGAGGCCGGTGGTGTCGAGCGGATTTGGGTCTCCACCGTACTTGGTCGAGGTCGCTGTTGCTTGCTCCATGTCTTAACTTGTGGTTGCAGTTGCGCTTGCGCTTGCGCCTGCTTGTGGATGTGAAGGAAGAAGATTGAGAGGTTTCCTGCCAGCCTCGTGCACGCTGCCGCGCCGCCTGAGAGCGACCAGGCTGAAGGTCGGCACCTCTCAGGAAGGAGAAGGGCAGTTGCGCATGCATGGGGAGAGCGGCGTGTCCGTAGCATGGGCTGGAGCTGAGAACGGATGGAGGTGGGGTGCTGGCCAGTCGCAGCCGGCACGCTCGACAGGGTCAAGCGCTGGGGGTGAAGCTCGCGGGCCAGCCTAATACCAATGGCATAACGTGTTCTCTTCCACGGTGATCATATTAGATTTGCAAAACAAGGATATCAGTGCTGTAAACACGTTTATGCGTTTATCTTGTAGCTTGTAGTAGTCGGCAGTATGAAGAACGCCGAATGCTTTGGACGGAAACTAAGCGCCGACCCGCCCCGCTGAACCCCACAGCGCTTGACCCTGTCGAGCGTGCCGGCTGCGACTGGCCAGCACCCCACCTCCATCCGTTCTCAGCTCCAGCCCATGCTACGGACACGCCGCTCTCCCCATGCATGCTGCAACTGCCTTTCTCTTTCCTGAGAGGTGCCAGCCCTCAGCCTGGCCGCCCTCAGGTCGCGCGGCCGCGTGCATAAGGCTGGCAGCAAACCTCTCCCTCTCCCTCTCCCTCTCCGTCTACGTCTACGTCTACGTCTACGTCTACAAGCAACTGCAACTGCAACTGCAACTGCAACTGTAAGTTATAGCATGGAACAAGCAACATCTACCTCGACAAGACACGGTGGAGAGCCAAACCCGCTCGACACTACTGGCCTCTGCTTGCTGTCTCTCGATGGCGGCGGTGTGCGCGGGCTCTCAACGCTCTACATCTTGAAGAGTATCATGGACCGACTGAACCGTGAGCTAAAGAAGGATCCTCCACTAAAGCCATGTGAGATGTTTGACCTCATCGGGGGGACCAGCACCGGCGGGTGAGTAGACAGACATGCTACTTATCGAGTGGGACTGACATGGCTACGACAGGCTGATTGCCATCATGCTTGGCCGGCTCGAGATGAGCGTCGATGAATGCATCGACGCATACAGCGAGCTCGCTGCAGACGTCTTCAGCGAGAAGCTGCACCGCCTTCCAACCACGATCAAGGGGGAAGTTCAGCCGCGATTCGACTCGGCGAGGCTGGAGAGCGCCATTCGAAAGGTGGTAGCCAAAGGCGGTGCGTCTGAGACCGCCCTATTCAACGACGGAACGGAGCGCGGGTGCAGAACGTGAGCAATGTTCGACTCGTGCTAAGAGCCTAGTTTCTAACAGCAGCAGCTTCGTGTGCTCGATCGACCGCGACACAAAGGACATGGTCCGTCTCCGGAGCTACATCCTCCCTGATGAACCGGCCATCCGTGCGACCGTGTGCGAGGCTGCCCTTGCGACGTCTGCCGCCACCACCTTCTTTGACCCAGTCAGCATCGGAAGCCGCACCTTTGCCGACGGCGGCTTCGGTGCGAACAATCCGGTGGACGAGGTAGAAGGGGAGGCGGCTAACATCTGGTGCTCGGAAACGGGAGACTTGAAGCCGCTGGTCAAGTGCTTCATCTCCATCGGGACGGGTAACCCGGGCAAGAAGCCATTCGAGGACGGCTTGCTCAAGTTTCTAAGCGAGACGGTGGTGCAGATCGCGACGGAGACGGAGGCGACAGAGAGGAAGTTTATCGCAAGGTGGGCCAAGCACTTCGACGAGAAGCGGTATTTCCGTTTCAATGTCGAGCAGGGACTGCAGAACATCGGGCTGGAGGAGTACAAAAAGAAGGGCGCGATCGAAGCGGCTTCGGAGGGGTATCTCACGCACATGGCACAGAAGTTCCGGGTGCGTGACTGCATCCAGAACATGAAACTTAAGCAGAGTGTGTACATTGAAAACTTTGCGTAGTTACTATAGAGCGCTGATGCTTTGTAGATAAATCAGCTGTCAACCTTCCCTATATAATTAATGTAAGGACAACACGGCTTCACGTGAGAATTCCGTTCACAATGTATAGGAATACAACGAGCTACGCATCATAGAGCTCCGCATCATAGAGCTCCGCACTTGTATGCTGTTACTTCTATTTGTTTTCGGTTTCTAGGATGCGAATCTAATAATACAGCAGTGCCACAAGCAGAAGCACCGTGGATTGTGCCCTTTGAGGAAAACACACAGTTCGTGGGGCGGGCTTCGGAACTTGCACAGATCAATGATTTGCTTGCAAACGACAGTCGCTGCGAGCGCGTGGCCATTGTTGGTCTCGGAGGAGTGGGGAAGACGCAGATCGCGCTCGAGTCTGCCCATCGGTGGCGGGAGGAGCACTCGCATTGTGCAGTGTTCTGGATACCGGTGACGAACGTCGAGAGCATGCTGGAGGCATATGTGGAGATTGGCCGGCAACTGAAGATCCCGAATGTCGAGCAGGAGAAGGCAGACGTGCAGAGGCTCGTGCAGCGCAGGTTGAGCGAAGAGAGCTCTGGGAGGTGGCTGATCGTATTCGATAACGCCGACGACATCGACCTGTGGACGGAGAAAGTAAGCACGTCGGCTGGCTCCGACCGTCGGATCAACTACCTGCCCAAGAGTAAGCGCGGATCGATCCTGTTCACGACCCGAAGTCGAAAGGCGGCGAGGGAGCTGGCTGGCACGAACGTGGTCTTGGTCAACGAGATGGACGACGACACAGCAAAGGCCCTCCTTGGGAAATACCTGACCGACCAGAAGCTGTTGAAGGACGAGCAGGCTACGGAAGACTTGCTCGTCAAGCTTACGCGTCTCCCACTTGCCATCGCCCAAGCAGCCGCATACATTGACGCGAATGGCATCAGCTTATCGACATATGCCGCTCTTCTCGACGATACGGAGCTAAACAAAGTCGAGCTCCTAAGTGAAGACTTCGAGGACAGAGGGCGATACGAAGACATCAAGAACCCGATTGCAACGACCTGGCTCATTTCGTTCGAGAAGATACGGACGCGCAATCCGCTGGCGGCAGAGTATCTGTCGTTCATGGCGTGCGTCGATGCAAAAGACATCCCGCAGTCGCTGCTTCCGCCAGCGCAATCGGCCAAGAAAGCGGTTGATGCGATCGGGATGCTGAGCGCCTACTCTTTCGTCAGCAAGCACAAGACAGGCCAGCTGCTGGACCTCCACCGGCTCGTACATTTGGCAACCAGGAACTGGCTACGAAAGGAGGAATGTCTCGAGAAGTGGGCAGCTAAAGCTCTGGAACGACTAGAGGAGCTATTCCCAGACCACAACCATACGAACCGGAGCTTATGGAGGATGTACCTACCGCATGCACGATATGCTCTTGGAATAGGGTCAAAGAGCATAAAAATCGAGAAGACAAAGCTGCTCTATAAATTTGGAAAATGTTCCTACGATGATGGGAGATATTTTGATGCAGAGGAGGCGTTTGTAAAGGTGGCGCAAGTTCGAAAGAGTGCTCTTGTTGCAAAGCGCCTTTCTAGGTCGCAAATTAAAACATCTTTAGCACTCACATACAGGAAGCAAGGCAGGTTGAACGAGGCCGAAGCGCTTTTTAAGGAAATAATGGAGGCTTGCAAGAAGAAGCGAGGACCAGACCATACTGACACGTTGATCAGCATGGGTAACCTGGCGTCGACATACACGAAGCAAGGCAATTTGGGCAAAGCTGGGGAGCTTGGGGTGCAAATAATGGAGACTTTTGAGAAGAAGTTCGGTCCCAACCACCTTCGCACGCTGACCAGCATGGCCAACCTGGCTGTGACGTACGGAAACCAGGAGCGGTGGAAGAAGGCCGAAGAGCTACATGCAAAGGCACTCGAAATACAATCGAGGGTGCTTGGGGAGGAGCATCCAGACACGCTGACCAGCATGAACGACCTGGCGTTGACGTACAAGAAGCAAAGGCGGTGGAAGGAGGCCGAAGAGCTGGAGGTGCAAGTGATGGAGACGAGAAAGAGGGTGCTTGGAGAGCAGCATCCCGACACGCTGACCTGCATGAACAATCTCGCATTCACGTTTAAAAGTCAAGGCTCTACAAGCAGAGCAATTTCCCTAATGGAGAATTGCTGCAAGCTTCGGGCAGTAGTTCTGGGTCCTCAACATCCCTCTACTATATCGTCTTGCAAAACCCTCACATCATGGCAGATAGAGGCTATGGAACTCAGCAAGCAGAATGACACCTAACAGGATAGAGGTCTGGCAGGTAGACGTGCCTTAAAAGCGGCATGACATAGTACCAAAACAGCATGGGTAGAGTGCAGCAGCTCGCTTACGAATCATCTTGGACGTGCAGCCTATGTGAACTGGTACTTCGAGTTGCCACCACTAGCAGGGAGGATGGCCGACCCGCTCCGGCCATGACCTTGCCCCGATGGCAACAAGGACGTGGTTGCGGATACAAGGTATGGTTAGAGCATCTACAGACGCCTGAATATGCGCGATTACATTAGCAAGCTCGACGGCTATGGATGGTGGTTGCTGAGTCAACAAGCACGTCTGGCTTCCCTTCCCCAGTTCTCTTTTGCAATGACAACATGTGGCAATGTCTGCGTCCCGGGCCTCTGTGACTCAATCATCATATTTCGATGTATGATACTTATGTGTATGGCTAAATCAATCGTAGGCTTGCGCCTTGTGATTCCTTCGTGTAGCTACAGTATTCTGTTGAGTTTGCATAAAAAACATGAATCTGTAGGTAGCGCGGTATCTTGCTAGGCTTAAGTATCCAGACTCCCGTATCGCGAACTCAGAAGTTATGAAGACCGAGTCATATCACGTGAACTTTATATCAAGCGCCCATCCATCCATTGCTTATGATTCAATCTCTTCCTTTTTCCTTTTCACTTGACTATTTCGACCCACCCTATAACCAATGGTAAGACTCTAAGGCAGATTCGTGCTCTCTATAGACTTTTCTAGCTTCGATGTTTCTCAATATCATGATCTCCACCTAGAAAATGCCATCGAAGACTCCAGCAAACTCCACGTGAGTTTTCGTGGAAGAAAGCGTTTCGTATCCGCGCTTCGACGAGAAAAGACAGTGAACCGGAAACTCAATCTTGAGATAAGCATTCCCCCAAAAAGAAATGTTAAACTCAAAATTGGGCCCAGAAGCATCGCAAGATGCGGAAACCGTCTGTGGGTATGGCGAAGCCAAAAGAGGAAGTATGATGGGTTCGGTGGTAAACGAACAATCCCCAAAGTCAAGGTGGAGACGTGATTTCCCGAGGATAGTATAAACTCGCAGATGTCCACCTGGTGCCCGTTTGTATTGCTCCCAGTTCCTTTCGACTTCATTCATTTGCCAGAATTCGGTAGAGGATAGCATCCAGAGTCCACCTGTTGGAGAGAGAAACTCATCACAACCGATGGGAACACATTTCTTTTGAGAGCATGACTCTAAAAGGGATGTGTAAGCTTGATTGACCAAGATCTCATGCTTCGCCTGCGAGATAAATGCGCTTTTTTGAATGGAAATTCGAGTGTCAATGACATGCGTTTCCAAGCCCATCGTGACGAAATAGTACTTCATTATCACTTCATGACGGTTCCAGATCTCCTTTTTGTCTTGGCTTAGGATGGCCGATGCAGAAGTGCCGCGATCCTGATAACGGGTTTCATATTCGATTGTTGCAGCCTCGCCTTTCTTCTCGCATGATTCAGCTTCAACCTTGCCTTGTACAACGCAGAATATGAGATCGGAAGGCTGTGTATCATTGCTTTGTACGGCCTGATCGGGACTGTTGTCGGCAGGAAAGTCAGACGGTAGGTCAAGTCCTTCATCCTTCAGCAACTCTTCCAGCGTTACGCTCTTCTTTCCCCATTTCCTTGCCATTTTCGCTTTCGAACCTGCCTCAATATCTTCTCTCAAGAGATATAAAGGTTGGAGTTTCTTGTAAATAGGAACTAGCTTCTGTTTCACTGTCTTAACGCCTTCGGTATCGCCCGACGCCTTGCATGTATTCCGTGCATCTGTCAAGGCATCTCGCTCCTTTCTGATACTACGAAGCTGAAGCTGGAGATAAAGCCTGGCTTGCGCATTAAGCCTAACCTCGACGTCAGGACTGCTCGCAGCATTGTACCACGTCGCCAATGCCCTAGCTCGAGCCTGCTCGTTGCGTATTTTTTGTGAAAAGAGCTCTTCGTCTGTCAGTTCGGGCTTCGGTTCTTTTTTCTTATTGCCCATACTTCTGTGGTTCCGGTGCGTAGAAAAAAAGAGAGGGGTGAGCTCTTCTCAAGCGGGGTGGTGGGCAACGAGTGGAGGAGGCCGAGTTTAATTCCCTTACAGCTCTCTCCTGGATTGAATCTAACTCATTACAGCCAGATCGTTTTCAAACCGTATGATACATTAGCTGCGCTTAAGGCCTGGCGTCTGCTGTACTAGAAAAGTCAAGTTACTATATTTACACTATAACGTGTTGCTTATGCTCAACGTACAATTCCTCACGCGATCTAATCTCTCAGATGCTGAGTTTCTGCGACACTTTTATTGCACTGTCGTCGGAACCGGCCCCGTTCTCCTACTCAGACATGTTCGATGCAATATGCGATTGCAAGATTCAAGGTGATCAGGAATGCGGACTAATAGTTTTTTTTTGGGAAAATAACGGCCGCATTAATCTTATTCATACAGAGTGTAACCCTGATACGATCGCCGATTAATCTAATCGTTCTCATGATCATGCGAGGTGACACCTGCAAGCTAACATTTGCCCCACCCATTCACAATGAGGATTTCGTTTATGATTCACAACTTGTCAATGAATTATTGGTTGATGGGATGCATCATGACGAGACGCAAAACACGATAACAATCTCAAAGCGGCGTAGTTCTGCAAGGCTACGTCACGTCAGATGGATCTCCGCATTCCCCAAGGATCCATTCTGGCAAGTGGGACCTAGAAAATGGCAAGATTGTTCAGGCTCGTGAAGGTGTTGGGATGGTTACTTCCCAGCTTTGCCCTGCTTGTTTCAAGTACTTGAAACTCCAGCTTTCCAGCCTCCTCCTACCGCCTTTACTCTTTGTGTATTAATGCTAATTCGGGAGTGGGCAACTGTGCAGTCACGCCACAGCCAGGAACATCGGCTTAGTTTACTCGTGCCCGCGGGTCTTGATTTGAACTTCCCGAACTGACGGCGCGGTAGTCTATAAATACCCGACGGCTGGACGCTAGCCAATCATCGCTTTTCTGCTGGCACCGACGGTCATGGAATGTTAACTGTGCCAGCCAACGAGCGCTTATTGGCCAGACTCCATACTCGACCTCGGCGGCGCGTCCCGCCCCAATTCAGCTATGGCACCCGATGCCATGTCACTCCATGATTTTCGCAATATTAGACAAAAGACGCGATCGTTCCTAAACAGTATTAACAGAATCATCTCGGACTTGGAGAAGCCCGCTATTTCAACACGGGCCCACTGCGGGAGCTAAATCCAGGAGCTATGGCACATATGCAGATCAGCCATGAAATGCTATTCATCCCCAAAACATCCTCATCGCCTCCAGGACAAGGTCAGGGCAGAAGCGGGTCGGCCATGCTCTCAGCTGGTGATGGCAATTGCTGACGTGCGCCAACCTACTGCAGTGACTCATGAGTACAATACATGCTTACTGCATGTTACTGGTATTTTGTAACGTATATATTGCACGCGGTAGACTGCAAAACCTCCTACTTCTCCCTACAGCTTGGCGAAACAAAACCACCCTGTATAAGCGAGATACCTATCCCGCTGAGTGTCTCTTGTACCGTACAAGGGATACTGCGCTCAACTGTACCTAGCATAGTCTTGATTATGTCCTTTGAAAAACAATATACACATTCCCTGCAACTGCTATCTCATAGCTAAGACAGAGTATGGAAATTGGCTACCGTAATTCTACCGTCCTTATGAAGCTAGGGAGGACTCATTGTCAGAGCCTAGGTCCAAAGCCTCGATACGCCAGCTACTGAGGGCATCCTCCGAGTCCCTCGTGTAAGGGTCATTAGGACCTAGGACTTGTTTTCGTTTCTCCACGCATTCCTGTATCAGCCTCGTAGCCTTTTCCACTTCGCCTCTGTTCTTCAAAGTAAATGCAAGGTTATGCATGCTGGTCAGCGTGGATGGATGGTCGGCTCCAAGCTTGCTCTTGCGAGTCTCCATCACTTGCACAAACAGTGACTCCGCCTCTTCCCATCTCCCCTGCTTCCTGTACATCAACGCCAGGATGTCCATGCAAGTTAGCGTGGATGGATGGTCGGCTCCAAGCTTGCTCTTGCGAGTCTCCATCACTTGCACCAACAGCGACTCTGCCTCGTCCCATCTCCCCTGCTTCAAGTACGTCGACGCCAGGTTGTCCATGCTGGCCAGCGTGTCAAGATGGTCGGCTCCAAGCTTGCTCTTGCGAGTCTCCATCACTTGCACCTCCAGCGACTCCGCCTCTTCCCATCTCTCTTGATCACTGTACGTCCATGCCAGGTTGTCCATGCTGGCCAGCGTGTCAGGATGGTCGGCTCCAAGCTTGCTCTTGCGAGTCTCCATCACTTGCACAAATAGCGACTCCGCCTCTTCCCATCTCCCCTGCTTCCTGTACGTCAATGCCAGGTTGTCCATGCTGATCAGCGTGGATGGATGGTCGGCTCCGAGCTTGCTCTTGCGAGTCTCCATCACTTGCACCTCCAGCAACTCCGCCTTGTCCCATTTCCCTTGATTCCTGTACGTCGACGCCAGGTTGTCCATGCTAGCCAGCGTGTCAAGATGGCCGGCTCCAAGCTTGCTCTTGCTCATCTCCATCACTTGCACAAACAGCGACTCTGCCTCCTCCCATCTCTCTTGATCACTATACGTCCATGCCAGGTTGTCCATGCTAGTCAGCGTGTCAGGATGGTCAGCTCCAAGCTTGCTCTTGCTCATCTCCATCACTTGCACAAACAGCGACTCCGCCTCTTCCCATCTCTCTTGATCACTGTACGTCCATGCCAGGTTGTCCATGCTGGCCAGCGTGTCAGGATGGTCGGCTCCAAGCTTACTCTTGCTCATCTCCATCACTTGCACAAACAGCGACTCCGCCTCTTCCCATCTCTCTTGATCACTGTACGTCCATGCCAGGTTGTCCATGCTGGTCAGCGTGCCAAGATGGTCGGCTCCAAGCTTGCTCTTGCGAGTCTCCATCACTTGCACAAATAGCGACTCCGCCTCTTCCCATCTCCCCTGCTTCCTGTACGTCAATGCCAGGTTGTCCATGCTGATCAGCGTGGATGGATGGTCGGCTCCGAGCTTGCTCTTGCGAGTCTCCATCACTTGCACCTCCAGCAACTCCGCCTTGTCCCATTTCCCTTGATTCCTGTACGTCGACGCCAGGTTGTCCATGCTAGCCAGCGTGTCAAGATGGCCGGCTCCAAGCTTGCTCTTGCTCATCTCCATCACTTGCACAAACAGCGACTCTGCCTCCTCCCATCTCTCTTGATCACTATACGTCCATGCCAGGTTGTCCATGCTGGTCAGCGTGTCAGGATGGTCAGCTCCAAGCTTGCTCTTGCTCATCTCCATCACTTGCACAAACAGCGACTCCGCCTCTTCCCATCTCTCTTGATCACTGTACGTCCATGCCAGGTTGTCCATGCTGGCCAGCGTGTCAGGATGGTCGGCTCCAAGCTTACTCTTGCTCATCTCCATCACTTGCACAAACAGCGACTCCGCCTCTTCCCATCTCTCTTGATCACTGTACGTCCATGCCAGGTTGTCCATGCTGGTCAGCGTGCCAAGATGGTCGGCTCCAAGCTTGCTCTTGCGAGTCTCCATCACTTGCACAAATAGCGACTCCGCCTCTTCCCATCTCCCCTGCTTCCTGTACGTCAATGCCAGGTTGTCCATGCTGATCAGCGTGGATGGATGGTCGGCTCCGAGCTTGCTCTTGCGAGTCTCCATCACTTGCACCTCCAGCAACTCCGCCTTGTCCCATTTCCCTTGATTCCTGTACGTCGACGCCAGGTTGTCCATGCAAGTTAGCGTGGATGGATGGTCGGCTCCAAGCTTGCTCTTGCGAGTCTCCATCACTTGCACCTCCAGCGACTCCGCCTCGTCCCATCTCCCCTGATCACTGTACGTAGCCGCCAGATTGCCTATGATGGTCAATGTGTGAGGATGGCCAGCTCCAAGTTTGCTCTTGGTAGTCTCCATCACTTGCACAAACAGTGACTCCGCCTCTTCCCATCTCCCTTGATCATAATACGTTAACGCCAGGTTGTTCATGCTGAACAGCGTGGATGGATGGTCGGCTCCGAGCTTGCTCTTGCTCGTCTCCATTACTTGCACGTCCAGCGACTCCGCCTCCTCCCATCTCCTCTGATTGCGATACGTCAACGCCAGCTTGGCCATGCTGACCAGCGTGTCAGGATGGTCAGCTCCGAGTTTGCTCTTGCGAGTCTCCATCACTTTCACCAGCAGTAACTCCGCCTCGTCCCATCTCCCCTGTCTCCTATATGTTGACGCGAGGTTGACCATGCTGGTCAGCAAGTCAGGATGGTCGGCTTCGAGTTTGCTCTTTCGAGTCTCCATCACTTGCAAATACAGCGACTCTGCCTCTTCCCACCTACCACTCCATTTATACACATTGCCTAATAATGATATACTCCACAGCGTATCTTCGTGTTCCGTGCCGAGCAGTTTCTTTCTCGTCTTCAGTGCCGCAACCGACATCTCCTCCGCCTCTGCCCCGTTTCCTATCTGCTGTGCGTACCACGCCGCTCGGTACAGGATTGTGGCCCACATCCCTAACGACTCTTGGCTTTTTGGCTTCTGCGCAGCCGCTGATTTTGCATGCGGGAAAAGGGCCTGGCACGCTGTCCAGTTCTCGTAGTCTCCCGTCGGAAGCGCTGAGCAGAGGTTTTGAATGAACTGATGCTTCCATCTCTCCCGCAGGCCGTGCGCCTCCAGCCACTTCCGGGTGGCAAGCTGAACCAGCCTGTGCATCTCGAAACCCGATCTGTTCGCTGTGGCGTCAATAAAGGAATAATCTCGAAGAGTGGAAATATCGTCCTCAAACTCATCATCCTCATCCCCATCCTCATCCTCACTTGCCTCGCAATCTGTGCTGCTGTCACTTTTATTGTCCTCATCGCCGTCATCGCTGTCGTCATCAGAATCGAAATCAACGTCCTCGGTCTCGCTGCCAGGCTTCTCCGGAGCGCCGCCCTGCCCTTCTCGACTCCGCAGTAGCGCTTCTGGAATTCCCTGCCTATCGAAAAAGCTCATCAGCGACAGCAGGTCGGCTGCCGATGGCCGGACGTGCCGGATATGATCAAACGAGATCTGCCACGTCACGGTGATGGAGTTCTTCGCATCGCGGTCTCGACGGAGCTGTCCCTTCTCGAAGTCGAGAAGGCTCGTCCGTTTGCGATCGCTCTCTTGAAACTTTTCCAGGTACTGGCGCACAGAGCAGCGCGGCGCGCGGTGAGCGATGTAGGACGTGGCTTGCACCATGGCCAGCGGCATAAACTCGAGCGCAGCTGCGAGCTCGCCTACCGCGTCGCTCTTCTCGATCCCTTCCAGCTTCTTCTCCAGCAACGCCGCCGCGTCCGCCTCGCCCATGGGCTCGACTGCGATCATATCTCGCCGCTCGACCAGCTCCAGCGCTGCGCTTCTGCTTCGCGTCGTTACAAGGACGGCCCCATTCTGGCACTGCGGGAGATACGCCTTGAGTGGCTGCGAGCCGTCGCCGCTCCAACCTCTGTCGTCGCAGGGCTCGGAGAGGAAGCCAGCATCATCGACATTGTCGAGTATAAGCACCCAGCTCCTTCTCTCGTCGCGCAGCCAGTCGTGCACCAGCTGGAAGATATTGGCCTTTGGGTTCTTTCGCCCAGGGATCTTGACAAAGTCGGCAATATCTCGGTAGCTCGTCTCGAACCGCGCCGCGTTGCTCGCGTGCACCCAAAACACCCACGTGCTGGGCGAGTGCTCTCGCCTGCGGTGTGCGTACTCGATGGCGAGTTGCGATTTGCTGCCGACAGTTAGGTGCGCCGGTGTTGCGAGCGTCCGCACTTACCCTACGCCGCCTAGCCCGACCAGCGCGGTCCTCGACCCTGGAACCGCGCATTTCCGATCGAGCTGCTCGAGCGTCGTTCCCGGCTCGATGAAGTCGGGGTCGCGACCGAAGGGCATGACGGCCGATGGGTTGGGTGGAGGCGTCTCTGGACGTTCTGGTACCGTTGTTAGCGCTGGCTCGGACCCTGCCGCGGGCGGCTTACCAGGGGGAAGATGGAACGTGGTGCTGACGGGGCCGTGGATGGTGTGAGCCTGGAAGCCGCGGTTCCCATCGCCAAACGATGCGGAGGCCATGACGCTTTTGCAGAGAAGTGTGAAGAGCAGGCGGAGTGTTTGTAATGGTGTTCGGCAGTACCGCTGCGCCTCAGCCTGCCCTGCCCTGCTGCCTCGCGGAGCTGGCTGGCCGAGGCACAAGGCTGAAGGCGCGAGGCTGGAGGCGCGAGGCTGGAGGCGCAAGGTTGGGGGCCGCCAAGCACGAGCCTGGTCGCGGTCGCTCACTCTGTGATTGCTTCGATCAAAAGCCAATGGAACCGTACTGATCGAAACTACAGTGTCATGAACCAAGACAAAGTCGTTCGATTAGGTATGTATGGCACTTCGGATACAGCCGTGAGTACTGTGCTAACCTACCCAGATATCTCGGCTGCCCAGCCGTGCCACGGCCATGAGAAGACGTGGAACGAAGTGCTACTAGTAAGGGAAGCTTTACCTACACGTGTGCACGACTTACAACTCAACAGGAACTCCATTCCGCTCCAGTTCAGATCATGTAGGTTGTGGCTGGAGTAGACTGGTCTGTATTCTAAGAAAGGCTTAGATTCGGCTCAGTCAAATCGTTCTTGGAGACACCGCCAGAGGTTCAGGCGAAGCTCAAACAGAAGTTGGAAATTCCTGGCCTGTTTCTCGACAGAATGAGTCTCCAATCGAACGGCTTTTCCGGGTATGAAGTCTCGCTTGGTCAGAATGAGAGAGTAGAGTCTTACAGTGGGTTTTGACTTTCAAGTGACGAATTATTAACAATGGCTCACGTGTGCCTAGCGTTATGGTCTCGCTTCACCGTCAAGCAGACGTACGACACCTTGAAGCCAAAAAGGACGTTCACGCCACACGTCTCAAACCACCAGTCGGGTACAGACGGTAGGGACGCTGAGATCATCGTTCATGGGCCACAGAGTGCACGATACGGATGGGAGTGGTACGAGATGGGGTTCATTGCGTGCTGGAACCCGTCGGGACTGGTCACCCTCGTGTGCTTTGATGTGCCCGAAAGGATGCAATCCAATTTCCAGTCTTTGTTCGATGCCAATACCGTCGATACTTCCTCCCCTCACGCCGTCTTTTCGCTCGTCTCGGATGCGCTGCTTCGCGTATACGATGACTCTGTGTGGTCGCTCAGAAACCACATCAGCCAATGGGAAGCTGTGAGTTGCTCTTTTCTACTTAGTTTTGGAAATTGACAGAAATCTAACCTGCAGCAGAGACGAGCCCAAGAGACCGACTACTTTCTTTTGCACGAGATCGCAAGACATGGGGTGCATGTCAGCGAAACGTTACGTGTGGCTATACAATCTCTCGACGCAATAATGCAACACCACGAGAAGTTCCGCATGAACGTCAGCCTTTCCCATGGAAAAAACCAACACAGTTGCTGGGATAAGGTCGAGAGTCGATTAGCGTTCCAGCTCAGGTTTCTGCAGGGACTGCTTGAACGGTCCGAGGCAAACAATGCCCGGATTCAGAATGAAATCACTCTCGTAAGTCTGGTGTGAGAAACAGAAGGTAAATTGATAGGCTTACAGCATCAGGCATTCAATACAGCAGCACAGGCGGACAGTAAGATTCAGGTGCGCATAGGAGAGGAAGCGAAGAGCGAGGCGTCGGCGATGAAAGCGATTGCCGTGGTTACCATGGCTTTTTTGCCGGCCACCTTCGTCTCCGTGAGTCACCCATCGAAACCTGAGAGATGCATGTTTTGGTAACAGGACCTGTTGAGCAGACTCTGTTTGGGATGAACTTTTTTTCGTTCCAGCCTGCCGAGGTAGCCCCTAAGCCTTCTTTTCTTGTGTCTCGCCATTTCTGGATATATTGGGCCTTCGCTATCCCGATGACAGCTGCAACACTCGTGTTGTGGTTCTGGTGGAGTCGCCTGGTTAAGCATTTAGGTTTGTCAAGGTCGGGATTCTAAAAACAAGTCCAGCGTGTAAATTTAGTATCTTCCTGGGAGCTTTACACACTAGGCATTACATAAACAATCTGATCAAAACATTAAACATCCTTAATCAGGGCCTCACTTACGTGGGTGGATGAAACTTTTGACCTAGTGCACATACAGTCATAAGCTGCGGAAGGTCCTAGCTCGCGGATAAGCATACGATAGGGCGGTGGCTGAGCTAGCGCTTGGAGGGTAATAATGGGGCGGAGCCCTACTGCATAGGCTAGCTGCCGCTCTTTACATGTTCGAGTGCCAACATTTAATCATCCGCACCAGCCATGCAAACCTCTTTGATACCATTGATCCTTCGCTAGTTTCCGCTTGAAAACTGTGGCCCAATTCTGTCTCTCGAACAATGGATCCTTTACAATACGACGTCGGCTGGATAGCGCCACTTCCACTAGAGCTTACGGCAGCCAGGCACATGCTCGATGTCGAGCACAAAGAAGTGACTGACAACGAGTATCGATATATCGCAGGCGAGATCGGAAACCGCAACGTCGTCATCGGGCTCCAGTCCAAGATGGGCACTAGCGCTGCAGCGGATCTGGCTGCCCGAATGCGTCGCGCCTGTCCAAACATCAAGTTCTTTCTTGTGGTTGGGATTGGTGGCGGAGTACCGAGCTACGGTCCAGCAGGCGACGTGAACATAATGGTTCTTGGGGATGTGGTAGTCTCCTCCCCTAGAGGCAACCACGGCGGTGTGTTCACGTACGACACCGGCGCATGGGTCGAAGATGGCCAGCTGAGCAACACGGGACATCTCAACGGCCCGCCGCCAGAGCTCAGCACAGCTGTCGGCAGCTTGCGGTCACGATACGATGGAGGTCAGAAAACAAAGATCCCGCAGTATCTCGCTCAGATGCGAAGCAAGCTAAGTCAAGGAGTCCGTGCCAAGTTTGAAGACCAAGGCGCCGACAGCGATCGACTATATGAGAGCTACTTTCCTCATCCTCAAGATGAGCTGAATGAGCTTTGCGCTACATGCTGCGATAGCAGCTTCAGCAAGCAGCGAACAAAGCGCGGCGAGGGTGCAGTCAGAGCTGTCGACACCCCCAAAGTTCACTATGGCAATATCGCCTCGAGCAACCAACTTCAACTATCTGCCACCATGCGGGATAAAACTGCAGAAGAACACCAGGCGATCTGCTTCGAGATGGAGGGGGCCGGCGTTATACAAAACCATCCCTGTCTAGTGATCCGAGGCATTTGTGACTACTCCGACTCACACAAGAACAAGAATTGGCAGTCCTTTGCAGCGGCTACCGCAGCCGCATACGCAAAGGAGCTACTGGTTTCAATGGCGCCAGCCGCTGTATCAGGGAAAACAGAGCCTTCCAGACCCCTCTCGGCACAGAACGATGAAAAGGTGCAAAGTATTACCTTTGGGGCCAACAATAAGGGTTTTCAGAGCGGCAATGTCTACGGAGGTGTTAGCGGTCTTCGTTTTGGAGGGTGATGACGGAAGTCGTCTGTGTGATCTGCTAGTAATGAATCCATTCCAGTGTACATACAAGCTGCGCTTAAGGAAGTTAATAAAGTTACAGTGGCTTGTTCTATTGTAGTGTAGCCTTTCTTCTAATTTCATATTATTCTTCCCTCGAGTACGGCTCAAGCTTGATAAGCAGCGCTGGAGCCGACCATCCATCCACGCTGACCAGCATGCATAACCTTGCATTTACTTTGAAGAACAGAGGCGAAGTGGAAAAGGCTACGAGGCTGATACAGGAATGCGTGGAGAAACGAAAACAAGTCCTAGGTCCTAATGACCCTTACACGAGGGACTCGGAGGATGCCCTCAGTAGCTGGCGTATCGAGGCTTTGGACCTAGGCTCTGACAATGAGTCCTCCCTAGCTTCATAAGGACGGTAGAATTACGGTAGCCAATTTCCATACTCTGTCTTAGCTATGAGATAGCAGTTGCAGGGAATGTGTATATTGTTTTTCAAAGGACATAATCAAGACTATGCTAGGTACAGTTGAGCGCAGTATCCCTTGTACGGTACAAGAGACACTCAGCGGGATAGGTATCTCGCTTATACAGGGTGGTTTTGTTTCGCCAAGCTGTAGGGAGAAGTAGGAGGTTTTGCAGTCTACCGCGTGCAATATATACGTTACAAAATACCAGTAACATGCAGTAAGCATGTATTGTACTCATGAGTCACTGCAGTAGGTTGGCGCACGTCAGCAATTGCCACCACCAGCTGAGAGCATGGCCGACCCGCTTCTGCCCTGACCTTGTCCAGCGGCGCACATGTTTTTGTGTGGATGTGAAGAGATGAGTATGGTCATTCCCAGCATAGCCCCAGCTGGGGACCTCCACGCACAACCTAACTGGGCATGCTTGTGAGCCGTAACAAGCTATACTTACCGAATCAAGCATGCTTAATATTTGGCCACAATATAACCTTGAGCTATGCATGGCTGGCAATGGGGACCCATTTTGGATCTCCCATCATACCACATCTAGTCCCCGTAGTGCAACAGGTTCCGAGGCTAGGTTCCGAATTTTATCCTCCTTAGATCTAATCAGATCGCGGCCTTTAACCTCTTGGCAACGCCTGCTTTGCCTTGCAGGAGCAACAACGGCAACCTCATCGTCTTTTTCATATACAACGGAAAATTGACCGCTTGCTGGAATTTTGAGGTGACGAATTCTGCATGCATTTTCAGAGAGTTAAGTTGGTCGACTGGAGGTATAATCAAGACTGAGCGGGAATCGTAAGGCTGCCGGGCTATGACAAGAGACGCAGCTGTTGCTGCACCTCTTCAAATCTGACCTCAGCCTTACCCCGCCCCACGAGCACAGCCTACGTATCGTCGCGCGCAGGCCTTCTTGTCTTCGCTCTCCACTTTCGATGCACACATGAATATATGCTACCAAACTATCGCTCATTGCAATGGAACCACTACGCTGCAAGAGCGCAGATGACGACCAACGTTTCCGGTACCAGCCACTTGCCAAACCCGGTTCTTCCATCCGGCTCATTGAAGTAGACCCCGAACTCTCATCCGACGGCAAACCTCAGATCCAATTGTTTGAATCAGCGCTCTCAGAGGAGTACACATGTCTCTCATACACTTGGGGGCAAGAGAACGATGGGGGAGGTCCCTTCCCCATCCTTATCAACGGCAAGACGTTCCCCATACGCCGCAATCTAAAGATCTTTTTACATATTGCAATGAGAAAATATCCGAAACAAAGAATCTGGATTGATGCAATTTGCATCGATCAAGGTAATAATGCCGAAAAATCAGATCAAGTATCCAGAATGGGAGAGATCTACAGCCTGGCCGTAAGGGTTTATGCATGGCTAGGGGAAGCAAGTCGCGAGACCGACCTCGTCTTTGCAGTTCTGCAACAGTTTAGGGATCGTAAAAGAGAAGAGGCATGCCCGACCTCTTTCGATGCTGCCGAACAACTATCTATCTATCAGCAACTATTTCGCGATATCTATCAGGAAGAAGCTGGCAGTTTACCTGATCAGTGTGAGTGGCACGATAAAACATTACACAAAGAATTCAACTGGCTAAGACCCTTATATGAACGGTGTTACTGGCAACGTGTCTGGATTGTTCAAGAGCTCGTCCTGGCAAAAACGGTGATTGTCCACTGTGGCGACAAATCTATTGATTTCGACGACATATATGGGCTTAGCCCTGACTGGGGCTCATTCGAACAGGAGTTTGATATGACGGGCTATAATACAGTGAAACAGCATACGAAAGGGTGGAGAACCATCAGAACCATCCATGGGCATCGCTCAAGAAGAAAAATAGTGGAATGGAAGATGGATGGAGAGGCTCTCTATTCGATGAACATCAAAATGTCAGAGAAGGGCGATGTTGCGGTGTTGGATGAAGTGATTAGGATATACGCCAAGCACCACGAATGCAGTTGCCTCAAAGACAAAATCTACGGCTTCCGTGAGCTGATTTCTCGGTGGAAAGAAGAGCTTGTGGTGGATTACAAGAAGTCTGATCTAGAAGTTTTCTTGGATGTTGCGAGGCTTGGTTTATTTGACTCTAAACAATACGGAGGGCAGTACATAGCATGTTGCTTATGGGAAGCGATGAAACTGGGCAATAGCGAAGACTTCAGCGACTGCATACGGCAACATCTGCCTGAGCTTGATGTGTAGGACGAATGAATCTAGTTTTACCATCGACCATTCTTATATATGGAGCCTAGGACTTTAGACTATCGTCACAATATTTCTTTGCGTGGATGCAGGAAAACTTCGCCCATCTATTAGTGCGACGATGTCGCTGTCCTTAGTCACAGCTGGAGGGATAATGGATGTTTCTACACGCTTCTTCTCGAAGTAGAAAAATAGGTTTTTCCTGCGAGAGGCGATGCTCTATTTTTTGAATTTAAGTGAGAAGACGGATACTTGGCTTGCAGAGAGTTGTCATTACAAGCATCTGCCAAGTCGGTTGGATGTAAGCCATGCTGCAGTTTCGGGCCATATTTAACCGCGGAGAACTTGGTAACGACCCACTGGGACCTAAGCACGAACCCTGATTCCTTCGAATAGCTCTGCACTTCCTTTCTTGCCAATGCAGCACGTGCCCATCCACGCGTATTCAAATGAATTAGCTGCGGCTATAGAGCATCCCTATCTGACATTCTTACATCGCGAATTGTTCGTTGAATGCGGGTAAGGAAATTCATATCTCAGAACTCCAATTGCTCTGCCTCAAATGAAACATTATTCATTCGGGCTTCAAACCATTCAAAAACCAAGGTGCAAATGTCTCCTCAATCCACCTCAAAATGACCCTCAACGCCTCCAAGATAGTATAACACCCGATAATATCAGCCGTAGTGCCAATATCTACAGCATCAATTAGATGAATCTCATCCCCCAAGTCACTAGCAAAGTACAACTTCCAGCGGGCGTCGGTGACCAAGAGGAGAGGGAGCGCCATGGTCACGGGATCCTGCATGAGCTGACGCAGACGGTTGAAGTAGGCCATCGCCCAGAGGGAGAGCTGTACTTCGCCGTTCTCACCGCCACCATCGGGGGACTTCGTCTCAATGCTAAGAACGACAGGTTCGTAGCAGAGGGGGGAGTAATCAGGTGGGTTGATGGTGCGCTGAAGCTTAGGGGGAGAAGCAGCGAGGCGATTGATGACGTGGGCCGTTGGAATAAGTGGAGGACCGAGCGTGACGGCGAAGTCGATCATCTTACCCTTTAGAAGCTCCCCGTATTCGTTGCCCGGCACAAGTCCTCTCACGACCCGCGCAGTTGTGATATTATAGTATGAAAAGCCAGCGCGGCCAAGCGCAGCTTGCTTCAGCATCGGTCCATGTACGAGCTCATTCCAGCCCGGTTCGTGTAGATGCTTTGTTTTGCACACTAAAGTCTCATTTCGAATCTCTCGCATGGCTTTGAATTCATCCTTCAACTGTTCGTGGGTTTTGTCATGCGATGTCTTTGCTACGTAGTCCTCTAGGTCTTCAAGGTCGCCATGAGAATCCTTTTCTATTTCAGCCTGGCAAATTATCAGCTCAAAGACTCTGGGAGTGTATTCAGGAATTGCACCTCGATACCCAGCGGAATGACGCCTTTCGACCGTCGAGCCAGCGCTTGAACCGTCTTGTAGAGTACCCGTACGTCTTGCGGGACGTCTGTGCTGAATGTCGCTGATTTGGAGACTACAGGCTTCCTTGCGATTTGAAGATCAACCATGCGTCGAGTTGGACTACGCGATCGTTTGGAAGTGGTCGATTCGTAGGCCGACTGAGCCTCTACATTCTCAGCATCCTCATCTACTTGCTCCTCGGATGCACTCGGTGTTAAGACCGGCGCCGGCCTTGTATGCAAATTTGGCGCTGGCAGCGATGGAGGTGCTGCACGCTTCCGAAGAGTCTGCCGTGGTGTTGCATTGGGGTCCACGACATGCTGCGTTGCAAGCAAATCATGCTCTGCTAACGCCTCTGTCTTTGTAGTCCGTACCCCAGCCTGTCTACTTGACTTTCTTGTTGGCGACCGTGAGCTCTGTGACATTTCGCGACCTAGTACGTGGAGAGCTCGCTGTCGCTTCTGGTTCGCAGATTCAATCTCGGAGAGCGCAGCACGTCGTCGTTTCGGTGGAGCGAGTGATGAGTGTATAAAGGAGGGTGGGGGAACGAGGTGAGCAGCAGGTACAGGCTGTCTGCGTGGTGTCTGCAGATACTCGGCGGGGATTGCTGGGTTGGGCGGCGGCTCTAAGTCACCGCCCGCAGCGCGGACGTTAGCCAGCCATGCGTCTGCACAGTTCATGGCCTTGATAAGGGAGGAAGAGGGGAATGGCGGTTGTCGATGTGTAGGGAGAAACGTGCAAGTCTCATTATTGACGAAGACAAAAGAGTCGTTGCAACACGCGTGCATTGCTCTAGCGGTCGGTTGCCGGGGCATGCTACGTGCCAAGCTTCTGTCGGGCACTTACCTAAGGTCTAACCCGGTACGCGCGACATGGTCAGAGCGCTTGGTAACACGCTTTTTAGTTCCCGTCGTGGAGCCCTGCTACACCCACCCAGAATTATTAACATGGCATTTTCACATTTTTCAATAACAACTCGCAACATCGCCTCCGGCGCAAGGTCAGGGCAGGAGCGGGTCGGCCATCGTTTTAGTGGCGGTGGCAATATCTCACCTCAGCCGACACCTGCATGATCCACGCTACATCGCCCTCAAGTACTCTCTGTGTACCACCATTTGCCTCGCATTTGCCCCCCACATTACAAGAGGGGTATAACTTTTCTGATAGTACGATTATTGCGATTGCCGCACTTGAATTGGATGGAAGAGTTCCCGCTGCTTCCAACGCCTTTTGAGTGTTTCCCTCTTACGGTAGTACTCCATTGCACTTGGATGGAATGGACCGCTCCGCCGAAAGTATTGTGACAGGGTACGTAAAGTGGTGTCTATAGCCAGAGTACATTTAGGTCTATCAGATATCACAGCTTCTCGCTCATAGCGCTAAATCTGTTTTGATGTAATCTCACGCCATTCTTCTTCTATCCTCTCCTAGCCGTCCGTCGTTGCACAATAGGTCAAGATGTGAGTTGCTAATAGCGAAACCTAGAACTAACGGCATACATCCCAAAGAGATCTTCGCCAGATGTAACAGGATTCTCCTCGTCGTAACTAGTCACGAAGGGATTGCCAAATATTGCATCAGCCTGAGAAACATCTGGGAGTAATGCTCCTCCGGCATCTGTCGACCCCACCATCCATGAGCTGTTCTGGGGCTGTACTGCCGGAACTCCGAACATCGATGCGTAGCCAGGCTGGTTTACATAGAAATCACTCGCATACATCCCCTGTTCTCCCAATACTTGGGCCTGTTCTGTAGGCGGGACTGAGTCTTCCTGCCCGTGGGGGCCGACTGCAGGTTGCTGGTTCAAATGGAATGCAGCTGGATGCCTAGTTTGAGCGGTGTCCTCCCGTAAAAGTTCGGATATATCTACGTTGAACTTTGATGCTAGCTTTTGCAATACTGCAAAAGCCATGTTATAGGCTCGCTCTGCTGTGTCGTTGCAATTTGACATCTTTCTCAACCAATCAAGCAGCTTCTTGATGGGCGTCAAGATCTGCCTGCCTTCGGGAGGGAAATGGGCGGCACCGTAAGACATCTCCAGCAACAACACTACGAGAGCTTGCATGAGATTATGGACTATAGACCACCATGGCCCGGATTTGTACAGGTAGGTCGCATCGACTTCTCCCGGTAGAAGGCCTGCCACTGCCACTGCAGCATCGACGCAGATCTGGGCGGCGTGCTTGTTGAAGTGGTCTGAAGACTTCGACTGGTTTGGCATGCGCCTGTCCAGCCTACACAGACAAGGCCGAGTGATGAGGATTTTGGTTCCCATATACTGCATTTGCAGCATTAACCTTTCCCGTTGGAGGCTGGTACTAGAGCTGGGCTGGGAAAAGTTAAGACCGGATGGTAGAGAGGCTAACCATGCTTCCAGCTGTTCACATAAGCCGGTAATTGTTTGCTGCGCCTGTTTCCAGGACGTTGCGACGACCTTGGCCGAGTACAGTTCAGCCATAGCGTCCTGGGTAATCAAGCCAATCTGTACATTAGCCTTCAAAAACGAGCCTGCATTTGAAGGTTCGCCAGTCGCCGGAGCTGCCCGAGAAGTGTCATACCGAAACCCGGCTCTTCTGTACCGCTCATGGAACTGATGTGACAAGGCCTCGTCTAGCAACTGCTCCGCCGTCAACGGTAGTGGCAATGGCACCGAGCAATAATCTTTCATTACGAAGCTTGGCCGGCCGACTATAGTACTGATGATTCTGTCGATGGAGTATAGGCTCCACCACATCCGCAACAGCATTTCTTTTTCGGAAATGGTAACGATTCTGTCCTCGTTTCGTACGTGTAGTCCAAGTGCGTGTGCATAACGGAGAGAGAAGCCTATAACAACCCAAGCCCTTCATAGATCAGCATTGGTAGGCACAGGGAGGGAGAGAGACTCCACCTATTCACATGCCCAATGCAGAAGAAGTAAAACGCAACAAGACCTGTGATTTGGATCCGCATTAGATCTGGATGAGCAACCAAAAAAGATCCATCTAGACCGAATACGTACGCGCGAGACCAGTAAATATGGTGGTCCCGACCGTCTGTTTGCACGTCTGCACCTGTTAGCTGCGAGTACCTTGCCCCGATAGCAAAAACGAGGTTTAGTATTGTAAGCCATTCATGCGATACAGTAGAAGGTATTCCCCGCAATACGGAGGTGTAATGTTGCTCAAATTGACGTTTGAAAACTATCTCCGAAAGTACGGGAAACGAATCTTGAACCGTAGCGAAGTATCCGTCCAGAAGCCTCTGCGCCGTTTCACGAGGTGGCAGTTCGAATGGGTTGACCGTGCGGTTGACCTCTGTATCATTGCCATCTAGATAGAAAGTCGACGCAATAGTTTGCGCTCGAACGCTTGAGTCTTGCCGTTGGCGCTGTACCCACACCTCCGTGCGCTGGACAGCAGCTTCTGTGTTATCTCCAGGAGGCCCGTAGGGACCTTCTAGATGAGACGCGGCATCATCAGGACGCTCGGTGTCTTGTTGCAAACGCCTCAGCCATCGCACCTCCGAGCTCTTTCCGACAAATCCAGTTGCTCGGCTCGTTTCTGTTTGCAGGACGTCCTCTTCCAAAATGTCCATATCTCCATTAGAGCCCACTTCAGCAGATGTACTGGCTTCGTTTTGGGTATCATCGTGGGAGGAGTGCGAGAGGTTCAATGACGAAGCGGCCTCCGAAACATCGTCTACGACCTTGCATTTGTCAGACTATATCATGCGGGAGAGTTTAGGAAGTTAAAAATTGTAGCGTACTTGCGCCAGCAGGTCGCTTATCAGCTGTCTATCGCGCTCTGTAACACGGCCTTTCAAATACTCCAGCATTGCAATCATACACTGATTCTGCTCGGTGGATCTATCGGCAATTAGTCCTAGTGCAACGCTAAATCACTCTAAAGATGTAGCAGACATTTTGAGACGATCTCTGCGACCCTGCGTGTAAAAGCAAACCTGACCGGTTGCTAAACAGTTCTGGCATCGTGGCTGCGCTCCATTGCATCTTATTTTGCGAGTTCGACAGCCTGTGCATGCTATGGAAGCCCTGGGTGTCCTGCTGGATCTGCGCTGACCAGGCGTTTTGTCGTCGTCTGGCCGTCTCGCAAGCCGTGGGATCGCAATCTTGGATGGAGGGTCCAGCCGTAGAGGCTGAGAAGCTGGGAATGACATTTAGACTGAAAGGTGGCAGAGATACACCTAGATAGTTGTGGAGGGTGAATGGGGAGAGTGCAGCAGAGGAAGGAAGAGCACAGTTGTGAGCTAGTCTCTGCGCTATTGCCAAAGCGGCGGAGGGTTGTGCGGAGTGATGTGTCTGACCTAGGTTAACAACACAGCACGATTGAAATTCTTCCTCCCACAATTTAAGCTGCTTTAATATTGCGTGTTTGTTTAACAGTCGCAGTAAGAAATACAGGACCAAACAGCTTCGACATCGCTCTTGCCATAATGACAGCTTATTGTGCCCCACGGAAGCAGGAGTCCGCAGGACATACACTCAAAGCCCAGTGTGTCGGCTTGCAGGGGAAGTGATTGGTAGAAATAGCGCCTCACTCTGAGTGTTATGCCAGTTTACCGGTACTACTGGCTTACCATGTTGTTTGATCACTTTGCCTCTCCTGCGCCTGGGTCCATCTATCGGAGTCGCAATGTATTTCTTTGGGATGCCCAGCAAATTGTGATTTTTACTTCGGAGAACATTGGAAATCACGCGAGCACATGAGGAGCTGACAGGAAATCGTTCAATGTGGCATCCTTTTGCTCTAGTGCTCGACCCTCTGGATTCTCTGGCGGAGGTGGTCAATCTCGCGGATCATAACACGGATGGCAAAAGCATACTGTGCAAGGTACAGTCGACTTAGTGCTAGGCCGACGCCAGTCGAACCTTGGAGTGTTCAAGGCGTCATTTTTGGGCCACAGCCCAGCTGGCAATCATACGTGGAAGAAGGCATGTTAGGCTGCTCTACACGTTAGGCACAGTGTAGACACAGGCATGTAGTAAAGCGAGTAGACTAGAAGGCTGACATGACGACCTCAATACAGATATACATTGTAGAAAAATACATAAAGAAGTAATAGGTAGTTAGGAGCAGAGGGGGCTGGCTATATTGTAGGCTTATGCGTGACGCATTGCCGTGGAGCACTTGGCTTATGTCATTTCAAAATGATGTCATTCATCTCGATGATCGCGGAGTCGCTCTTCGCCACAACTTGTCCTGTTAGCTTTGCGAAGTAAACACAACATGCTCTATATTCTTTGTAAGCTTGAAAAGACGTTAAAGCAATCTGGTTTTACTATGCGCCTTGCTCCTGACATCTTGGGCGGTCGAAAAAATACTTTCCTTGCCAGAAGACGAAGTCATCGCACCCTTGAACACATCGATGCACTGCAGAAAGTCTAGGTTTCGACGAACAGACTCTGAGGATTAGAAGAATGAAATTGGTAGATCTATTAGGATAACCAGCTAGCAGTTCAGCTTGCTTCCATGCTCCCCTCTGGCCAACAGTCTGGAATCCTGAATGAACGCATCTGAGTGTTCGGACACTTAGTAAGAATGATGTGAATTCAACTCTGGCATAGAATACGACTACATCCACCTCTTTGTGTTTCTTGATAGGGCAACCCCTTCTATTATTCATGGGATGCGTGTTACATCACAGTTGCGAACGCATAGTCACAACCGATATCATTCTTCAGTAAGTGATGTAATTCCGTCCTTTTGCACAATATGCAGTTTACAGTGTTACATCAGGTACAAAACATGCGTAAACGTTAGTTAGCAGCCACTCTCCACCGCTTTGAATACAAAAAGGCGTGGCTTTAGTTGACACCGTGCGGCGAGCACCCTAGCTCAGCGGTATGTTATGTGCCTTGTTCGTTGTTGGGCTTGCTGGGGTCGTGAAATAATACGCCTTACCAACTGGTTGTCCCATACAAACACTCCCCTTTGGCAGCACAGTAAACCACACCTTATCAAGCTAAATTCAACCCTCCACGTACTAATAGTCGTCCAGTTCTGTAACAAGTCATTCCGTGAAGTCTCATACGAACAAAATGGCACTTCAGACACGAACTAGTCACGCTGCTAATAAGCGTATTTGCACTCGCTCTCATACATAACCGACGTTAGCAAACGGAAACGGGTGAAAAATTTGCGCAATACCCGGTATGCAAAGGCACGACTATCACGGTTATTCTGCTACTTCACAATGGTCGGATATCCTATACAGTACGCGTTCGCAGTGCGACAGCGTGTTGGACGGCCGGGTTAGGGAGGGCCTCGCCACCAGGTCGGTTGTCTATGATATAGCTTACAGTACACTGCGGGTAATGAAGGTGCGCATCTTGGTCAGCCTATGCTTTGAGAGGCTGCTGCGGGAGCTGTGTTGGGTAAGTAACGATGATGTGTATTCTCGACTACTCCAATCACCCTACAAACCATGACTTTGCCTTTTTAGTGAAGACTTTGTACTCATGGCTATCAAGAACGAGAGCAGTGCTCTTCGGAAAAAAAGTCGACAACTCTCGTGGCCGATACCTGCCAAAGTTCCGTCATCCATCCCATTCGAGCCCAGTGTCTTCCCAGTATCCCTTGGCGGAAGTCCGGGTCTAGCTCGGGACTGGCTGTGTAGTTTTGTTCCACATTCTCCTCTAATTACGAGTGTTATTCTCCCACTGTCAAAATAGAAGTGGTCTCGCCTCAAACGTTGCCATCGCGCTTCTCTTCCACCATCCCTGAGTTGGCATGTCCTTCAAGGCCTCTCAAACCACGGATTCGAACCGCCCGCTCAGGAGACTCCTCGCGCGCCCGAGCGACAAACCACCACCCAGCGCGCTCCAACCATACGACACAGAGACAACTTCAAGAATTCCAAGGGCCTGCTCTGCATGCCAAGCACATAAAGTGAGATGCAACGGTGGTCAACCGCAATGCCGAAACTGTCTGCTCAAGCACCGACAGTGTATCTATAAGCCGAGTCGCAAGAATCACCTGAAAACGTCAGTTTTTTCCTCTTCCCAACAGCAAGATCAGGTTGATGGTCAATAGGGTCATCGAATACAACCAAGAAATGACTGTGCTCCTGAAAGAACTCGCAGATAATGTCACAGAGGAGAAGAAACAACAGATAGATGACTTGACAAGACGAGTACGTTACCGCTTCCACGATCCGTGCCTCGATGCATAGCCGTTGTTGACAAAGAGAAGGCCGTAGATGGTGCATCCGAGGCAGCATCGTCGTTGAGAAAGCATGATCCCCCTGGTCTGCAAGGAAGAGATGGGGAGGACAAGGTTTCCGCTGATATCGGCTCTAGCGAGGAGCTGGATATTGTAGACGAGGACTTGCTTCGAGACGAGGATTCCCGAGCTGCTGGATTCGTTGGCAAAAGCTCGGAGCTCCAATGGCTTCGACGCCTGAGACAAGACGTAGAGCATCATGAAGCCGTTCCCTCGAGAGGATCTGGTCCCTATGGGCCCCCTGGCGCTGATACAGAAGCTTCTTCACGGCGCCTCGAAGCCCTACGACAGCGTCAACGCTCAGATTCGAATACCCACGTACCGCTTAGTTCCTCAACCTTCTATTTAGACGACCAGGGCGTAGGGGTCGATTATGCCGTACACCCTTTCGAGTTGCCACCGATGGATGTCGCCCAGAATCTGATCGAAGGCTATATGGACACCGTGCAGGATTCTTTTCCGATACTTTCGCGGAGCCGTTTCATGGCGACTTTCCACGAGGTATACGCCTCTATGGAGCATGGAGCACCGCATCTAGTGCCGGACAAATGGTTGGCAGTGTTGAATCTAGTGTTTGCAATCGGAGCGCAGTATTCGCATCTGGTGGAAGAATCCTGGCACCTGCATGGCTTTGATCATATCAGCTGCGTTTCTCGCGCGCACATTTTAGGCTTGAGCACGCCTGATCTGATCTCACACCAGGACCTTATGCAGGTGCAGATTACGGCACTGCTTGCCCTCTACTTCCTGATAACGGGTCGCGTCAACAGGTGAGCTCGCCTCTCTAACTCACTGTAGTGAGCTGGTCCCTGATTTTACAGAGCGTGGGTCGTCATCGGCATCTCTGTCCGATATGCTCATGCGTTAGGACTACACGTTCGCAATGAAGATCGAAGCACCACCATATCGCAGAAAGAAAATTTGGTAAGGATCTGGTGGGCTCTCTACACGCTTGAAGGGACTTTGAGCACCATTGTCGGTCGTCCAAGTTCCGCGATCGAGGACTCTTGCTCAGCGCCTTTGCCGCTACCAGTTGCGGTGGAACGCATGTCTGACGACACGTTGATCTCCCAGATATATGCACAATATCAAGGGTGGACCATTCACCAGGCACCAACAGTAGCCACTCCAGAGCCTTCAAATGCAGGTTCTTACTTGAAGTGCAGAGCCCAGGTCGGTGCAATAACGCAGCAAGCCGTGGCAGACTTGTACTCTGCTAGAGCAATCGAAATGTCGTGGAAAAAAATGCAGCAAAAGATTTCCGGTCTACGCGACCAACTCGAAAGATGGCTGGCCTCGCTCCCATCTGGCTTTGATTTCACACAACCGAAAGCACACGCTACTTTTCAACACGAGCGCCTGGTCCTCAACATGCAATACATCGAAACGAAAATTCTGATCACGCGCCCTTGCCTGTGCAGACTGGACGACCGTATCAAGAACCAGACAGAGGCTTCCGACAGATTCAACAAAGACACAGCAAAGATCTGCGTCCGCGCAGCAGAGGCAATGGCGGACCTTTTACCAGCCAATATTGACGTGCCATACCTTTATCGAACCGGTCCCTGGTGGTCTTTAGTTCACAACCTCATGCAAGCACTCACCGTCTTACTACTCGAGGCGTCTTTTGGTATGGTCCACGTTTCTTGCAGCGACGACGAGATCTTATCACGTATCAAGATACTTGTTCGTTGGTTGAGCGCAATGAAAGTAAATAACGGAATGGCTGATCGTGGCTATTCTTTGGCTTCTGAAATATTGCGAAAGCTGGCACCCCGCATCAATGCGAACGCTTCCCATCTTCTGGGCGAGGACATCAACCACACTGGGGATCCTGCAGCGTACTATACTGAGGCACAAACATCGTTTGGGGGGCACCATCGAGAACATCCATTCCTGGCTGATTTTAACTTGCAATCGGGGGCAGCAAGCAATCAACCGACTGCATTGGGCGGACCTCAAGCAGATTACATGTCCATGTTCACATATCCAGTAGCATCTACTTGTTATGAAGAGATATTGCCAGGGTGCGCGGGTGGCAGCGAGACAGATCATCTTAATGCATTTCAAAACGGACCACAGCTGGGCGATCCGATCATGGCTCAGTATGAGGAGCTGAGTTCCTTCTTCCCTGCTGGGGATACTGCTCGTACGTCTCCATCTTGAAGTTAGATGTGTCATGCACTCGCCACGGGTAAAGGATCGAGCCAGGCGTAGATAGATTACTGAAGATTGACTACAGTCCCAAAGTCGTATGGAGCATCAAGTGTCAATCCCATGAGAATCATCATCAGCGGCCTACAAAGTATACCGGTAGATCTTTTGATCACGCACATCGCTTTCGCTTACAGAAACCGAATATCTTGCATTTTTACGATTTTGAGTTATAGAATGCTGCATTTGGCCTGTACCCTGGTCCCTAGATGAGTTGATAGGTGTGGTCGTAGTGCAAGTAAAGGACCGGTCGCCGGCATTAGAGTTAATGCCCCGAGACACTAAGACTAACCCTGCATTGCAGCGGTTCCGGCGCGGAAGCTTATTTCAAGATGAAGTTGACGGTAACACTAACTGCTATACTAAATAGGGATAAGCGTACACTACGCATTGGTTAGCTCTTCGGTCCAAAGTCCCACCCCATAACTCACAGCTGATTGGCTGTGGCTACTCTCTAGACGGCTATAACTATTCTTGCTGTCCCCTGCCCTCTCTTGAACATTTTTTGCCTCCATGCAGCAGTATCAATACTGCTACGACGTGCGAAATCAATACTAACTACCTTTTTAACTGTACTTCATCATCTTCAGCTGCACCTGCACCTGCACCTGCACCTTCACCACAGGCGGCATACATTCTCAGCGACACTCATCAGGGCCCTGGTTATTCTCAACGCGTCGATATGCTTCCTAGTACTTGTAGCCGACTCTATGGAACGCCTACTTTAGCCCTGATTTTGGCTTTCGATCATCCCCACACAAATCATAGCGACAAGATCATATCTTCGTTACAAGCTCAGAAGGACCTTCAAACCACTAGCTATGGGAGACGCTTAGTACGACAAGCGCATACCTAAATCCAGTTACCATGACCGAAACATCCTTGCTTTGGGGTATTTCTTCAAAGTATTTGCTCGCGCTCTAATGGATCGACACCAGCTTGGCATCAGTTCACCGGCGTACCATAGCACTGACAGCATTCTCCTGGAACTACCCATGCAGTGTCGCCCTTTACCAAGCAGGCAGGACATCGGCGGCCGGGGACTTATGCATGCCGGTCAACGCGAGCGCCATAGATCGTAGAGAAAGAAAAGGAACATACGGGCCGGCGAGGTCGCTATGATTTCTGCATTCGTTCCAACTAGAACCAGAACCTTCATATCGGCTGCAGGAATTTGGAGATATATAACAAATATTGGTCGCCTGTCAACTGAAAGAGATAGATGCCAGCATAGCGCAGCGGCTCCAACGTTGAGACAAGCGCAACCTCATACCTGCTGTCGCTACCTCTTCGACCTTACTATCACGCCATGACAACAGCTCCGCAAGGTTCTTGATATCCATACGTGGTGCATCCTGAAGCAGTGGCATTCATACTGACCAAGCGCTTTAGATGTATTTTAGCGTTTGCAGGGCTTGATCTATACGCTACCGCCCATAATGGCACCTATCGATCGCCTCGCTGGTAAGCGCATACTATTCGTTCCCGGGTGAATGCAAAAGCATGAAAGCAGAGATGCAGTTGCTTCCATCAGGCGTTCTCAAGAGGGGGAGGACTGCAACGCATCGATCGGACAGACAGCCAGCGCGGCCTGCACTATCAACCAACAGCAATGCGCCCCGATCTTTGCGACGCTAACATTGTAGCATTGTGACCTGACTTGATCTCTCCAGTTTCGGTCGTTATTTCAATCACTTGTATGCATGCATGGGGGTTGTTCCTATCGGCCTCACTTGCCGACATCCTTGTCGATCGAGATATCGCAACTCTGCTCGTACAGTCGATACGCAGTCTGCGTTTTTCCACTGCGTCCTGCCCCCCACGACCCATGTCTACAATCAATCGGATGCCTCGGATCTCGATTTCCTTTTTATGGCACGTAACCTAGCTATCGGTTGGTAAAGGGTGCCTGATGCGCCTTCTGGCAACCGCAGCGCGTAACGACCTCAATGAGATCGCCCATGCACGCTAGCTGGGGCAAATCGTTTTTTGCGCTAACTTGTATGCAGTCATCTCTAGTCTCTGGTAACAGAATCAAAGCTCGCACATAGAAGTACGCCACCAGACAAGTGCTGTCGTGTCTAGACCTCGAGAAAATGCGCAGCCGTCCGTCATCCCTACACCATGGTCACTCCGGACGCAGCCCTTACTATCTACCCTCTCCTGCGCCCTGTTCCCAATGAAGTTTGTATCAGGCAGCGAATCCTGGCTCCGACCAATTGTGTGTGGTCTTGTCGTTCCTTGCCTTCGGAGACTCGACGAACACGAACAAGATGTCCTTATCATATTTGCAAGGTAGCCCCTAGTCTTTGAGCATGATCAGTGGGACGTATGACCAGTAGCTTCCTTCTATCATGAGTCTCTCCGGCAAGGATCCACGTTGTACCGGTATTTGACCATCGGAGCATCATTTTCGTCTCGAAGAAGTTTCCGAGAAGCAAAAGAGAAGCTACATCTTGTGGTTTGTACTCCAGATATTTGCTTATTCAAAAAGCAATGGCTAGACGTAACTCCTGATTGTTAGAATACAAATAAGTCTGCGCTCTCAGGATACCCATGAACGTCCGCTCTGCAGCCTCAACCAAATTACAAAATACTACCTATTTCTCATACCCCCTTGGATTCTCGTACACGCGTACTCAATACTAGAGCTTATACTCCCATACCTTATACACACCCGTTATAGCCATACCTATGGCTGTCGAGACGCTCCACCTTTCCATCCTCGACCAGTGTGCCGTGCGATGCTACACTCCAATACTGAAGATCTTTCCCTTCCCGAAAAAAGACCAAATTGGCAGCGCGACTAGTGCAATCCAAGCAGGGCTCCAGCTTACATTGGAAACGTTTCCATTCCTCGCTGGCACTGTTCAGCCAGCCAATTCTGAATCAGGAAAACTATCGGTAACGTACGAGCGTGTTGTACCAGATGTAATAACGGCGAATCTCTTTTCAGCTAGCAGCATTCTGCCTCCCAAAGAATGCTTCCACACGTACAAACAGCTGAAGCGAGATGGTATGCCTCAGAGCTTCTTCACAGGCGAGATGTTTTGCCCTAATGCATTGCGCAACCACCCTGGTGTCCTACGAAACGCTGAGGGTATAATGGATTGCAAACATGCTGTCCCAGTCCTTGCGGTCGAAGTCTTCTTCATCGCCGGCGGACTTGTCCTGAGCATGTATTCTCATCACAGCGTGTGCGACGGTGTGGGTATGCACAATTTCTGGAAGCATTTTGCCGCAAATGTGTACTGCCAGCGGTCTGGGAGACTTCCACCTTGCAAGTGTCTCTTGCATCCCCCACTTTGTGCGCTATTAACGTCTGAGTATAGCTTTGGAGAGTTTCATTGACGAATCAACCTTACGATTACAGATAGACAGTAATATTCCGACGTTTGGAAAAGCACCTAGAGTAGGTGTCTACGGTCCTTGCAACTATACACCAACACTCCCTGACACTGCGCCATGCACTGCCAGGATCTTTGCCCTCTCTGCAGAACGTATCCGGGCGATGCGGGATGAATTGGGCAGGCTCGTCAAGACAGTCACGCCTATAACCCAATGCAATATCCTGGCTGCTTTGGTGTGGATACACGTTACTCGTGCACGACATAAACGCCTGGTCCAGCATGGTCATACAGATACGAGAATTGGCATTGCAGTCAATTTGCGCGAACGAGTAAAACCTCAGCTACAGCCTTCGTACATGGGAAACATGGCTCTTATGGCTAGGGCAACAGCTTCCATCGCAAGGTTCAATGCCGAATCATGGTGAGAGCGCCTTTTATCATCATTATGGTGACCTTCATCGAGCTTTTTAGTGTTCGCAGACCAGAACGTGTCCCTTGTGTCTCTTGCTGACATATTAGCGCAGTGTGACTAGCGCAACTATCGTCCCCGCTATTCAAGCCATCAATGGCGCAATCTCGAACGCAACGAACGCATGGGCACAGCGTCATTTTGCATACTTCCAGTCTATCGATCGGATTATCGACACTGAAATCTCGCTCCAGTTCAATCGCGGCCCTGACCTATACATAACCTCGTGGATGCATTTCGGCGCTGAGTATGAGTGGGATATCCCGGGTACGACGTCCAAATCGCCTGAGTACATTCGTCGAACGCACAGCCCAAGCGACGGCGGTGTAATCATCATGCCGAGACGCATAGAAGTCGATACGTGCGGTAGGGAAGCCCCGTATGAGGTGCTTATAAGACTTGCTAGTGAGGATATGGGTGGGCTCGTGAACAAGGAAGGTGGCCTTGCTTCTTGGTCAGAAAGGGTTATTGGATAGTGGCTTGCGCACCTACACTTGCGAACTCTCCCACTTGAAGGTCTCCCATATTCTCTTAAGACTTATGTATTATACAATTTCAGCCCTTGCGTCTATTTATTTCCATAAGATACCACTTGCCTATATGGGCGGCTGTATTCGACCGTACACTGCCTGGCATTGCGTAAGTACATGTTAAGAACGGCACAGAGCAGCCATTTGTGAGCGGTCTCTCTGCCGTTTGGATGCTCCTATATGCTAGGTATGCGGCTGCTGCATTTTTCTACTCTGTACCGCACCACAGCCATCGTTTGATATTATACTATGGTAAGTGTTTCACATAAAAAGAAACAGGACATTGTGATCCCCATAATATGCGAACGCATGTGAGGCCACTAAACAAGCGAAGGATCGGCGCATCTTCCCTACCTTGCGATGCGAACCACTTTGCAGACCAGTATTAGCCTGTAAGCAAACCATCACCAGCCAACCCCCCGGTAGGCAGTCTTTGTATGCACGGCGAATCGACCACTATGATCAGAGGAGAAGTTGACGCTGCATACTTTCTATATGCATAGCTGCGATAACACATTGATACACTTCAGTCTCTTCTTGTTGGCAATATCGATCGCGCAGGGTGGAAGTTGATAGTTGATACAAGGCTTCAGTGACTCGACTGGGAATGTTTTTGATCGGAATTGCACTTACCAAAAAATCGTCCATTCACTACCACCATCATCAGCCATTCATAAGTCATCAAAAATACCACGCTGGCTGCGGATTATGAATTTACTACAATGTATTATGATCGTTTACCTTTGGACACTGTTTGGTATAGCGCTAGAACGTAAGATAAAACGCTCCACTAGATCTGCATGTACAGAAGGACAGGGTCGAACTTTTACTTTTAGTCATGCAAGATAGCTAGGACCTGGGAACCCGGTTCCACCTGTCAACCCCTACATTATACCGTGAAAAGTCTACCTGCTGTGCAAGCGCGGCATGCTCCCTTGAGTACAGACTGGTCTTGGCACAACCTGATAGCAGCTCCATTATCTAGTTGCATATACTCAGGAAGATTTCTGGGCATAAAAGGGGCTATGTTTGACGTAAGTATCAATACCACAGTTAAAATATAGTTTCATGTAGTCGTCCATCAAGCTTCTTTCACTACATACGCAAACTTTTGCATGTAGCTCAACGTTCAGACATGATCAGCTCAGCCGCATGCAATGCAGTGTATCGCGGTCGGAGCTTTTCAAGACCATTTTCAACTTTCTACGGGGCTCAAAAGTATACGTACAGCACACAAACAGAAAACCAGCGATATTGGACCAGTATTCCTGCGTGGAAAGATGTGGAATGCAAAGAGTTTGTTAGCTACAGGTTCCAGGTTTGTTCAGGTCATCTGTTTAGTGATTAATTAGGGCGCTGGGAATTTTTAGACTTGCTTGCTTACTTTCCGTGCAGCTTCGACACACTGTCAATCACGCCAAACTCAACAAGTTTCTCAGCGACGCTCTTCCGGATACACTAGCACCATCAGACAATCCCCAATTGCAGCATATCCAGACGAAGCAGGATTTCATTGAAGATGCTACTTCTGGATTAGAGGCTGCTCCCATGGCTGTTAGACTCACGCCCCATATACTCTCTCGTATCAACTGGGCAGCCCCCCTTGACGATCCCATTCGACGCCAGTTTCTCCCTCTTAGAAGCAGCATACTTGAAGACCACAAGTCACTAACACTGGATTCTCTCGACGAAGAAGCTGACTCGCGTGAGTCTTTCTTGCTGCCTATAAGTCCTAACGCTGACAAAGACAGCTGTCCCAGGCCTGGTGCATAGATACCCTGGCCGAGCGCTATTTCTAGCGACATCAATCTGCCCAGTCTACTGTCGGTTCTGTACACGGTCGTACGCAGTGGGCGCGCCTACGGAAACCGTATTTAAGTCCCCTCAAAAACCGTCTAGGAAGCGCTGGGAGAGGGTTTTTCAGCATATCGAGAAAGATCACTCTTTACGGGACATTATCATTTCGGGCGGCGACGCGTATTACCTGTCGGCAGAGGATCTCCACGAGATTGGTGAGCGGTAAGTTGATACCTATCTCGTGGATTGTAAACTGCTAAAGATGCATAGTCTTCTTGGGATCCCACACATTCTACGTTTTCGCTTCGCTTCAAAAGGTCTAGCCGTGGCCCCCGGCCGTATTCTGGATCAAACCGACCCTTGGGCTAGCACACTAATTGACCTTTCAAACCAGGGTCGACGGATAGGCAAGCAAGTGTGCCTGCATACGCACATAAATCATCCGAACGAGATAACATGGATTACGCGAAGTGCAGCAAATCATCTGTTTGCGAACGGTGTGATCGTCCGAAACCAGTCTGTGTTGCTCAAGGGCGTCAACGATGATGTTGAAACGATGGGGAACCTGATCAGATCGCTGTCTGAAATAAACATCCAGCCTGTAAGTAACTCTTCGTTGCCATGCTGCATGCTCCCCAATACTTGCAAATGGAATATTTTTCTACATATAGTTTAAGCTGATCCAACGCAGTACTATGTGTATCAATGTGATCTTGTACGTGGTATTGAAGATCTCCGGACACCTCTTGGGACGATGTTAAAGATAGAAAAGCATATTCGCGGGACCTTCTCTGGATTTATGCTACCTTCTTTTGTGGTCGATCTACCCGGTGGGGGCGGAAAGCGCTTAGCTTCGACCTTCGAGAGTTACTTGGATGGAATTTCTACGTGGGAAGCACCGGGATTGCCTGGAGAGAAAGGAAGAAAGCGATATCTTTATTACGATCCCATTATACCGGGTGGCATTGATGAGTTTCCGAGAATATCAGACGGGGAGAGTACAGGTTAACCAATCGTATTCTCCTTCCGAAGAAACGATGTGATAGTACATTTTAGTACAAAGATATTTCCATCGATTGCAACGTTAGCTGTTCATGTTATTCAAACATTCGCAATACTTCTCTTTGAACGAGTTAGAATCGTTTTCGACTACGAAACCTGGGGGAAAACAGAGAACGATGGCGCAATGCGGGGTGGTGATGCGAAAACCGCACCTTAGCATCTCTATCCACATTAAAATGTTCTGACTGGGTGAGAATATTTTCCGCTGAATCCGACTATGCCAGAGAGTTGCCTCTTGAGCTAATATTACTTCCGTGAACAGCTGAGATCTCGATCCAAATGGATGAATAGTTGCACCGAAGCATGCTGGATGCGCAAATTGCCAATGCACAGCGTTTGCCGTAGCTGGACGGTTATGAAGATCCCAAAACAGAAAAAGTACTACGGGAAACGTTTCTTGCCAGCTAAGGATAGTTTACAATCCACACCAGTAATTCGAGCATTTCCATCCTAATAATATGCTGCTTATCTAAACTGTGAGAGAAAGTAATGCATTACGCAGGGAGGATTGGAAAGAAGAGCGGGTTGGCCATACTGACGGACACTAGTGGCGACGTATCAGCGACTACATTACAACGCACCAAAAGCCAGCTTTAACATCTACCCATCACAAAATTTTATAGTTGCATAAAAAAAGTGCGTTGACCTAGCTGCTATTAGCTATCTAAAGCTACAAAGCAGATGCCAGCTTTCTTTATTTCCCAACGAGTACGTGAGCTTACAAAAGCTGTGCACGTGTGTTTATCATCTGCATCCTACTCCTTAACAGCCTGGAGGAAGTAGCCAGTACATAAGCGCTGCTAACTGTTCGCCAATCGCGCCTGCGAATCCTAAAATCGTCCACTTGATATCCTCCCGTTTCATCTAGATTCCACAAGGGCAGACACTGAAATGCCTTGCTCCGTCATTGGTCTATGAACACTGTGAGGAGTATATCTGGATCATTCCAATCCTTTTCACTATCTCTCGTCCATTTTTTGTAATAAACATACTTTCCTGCTTGCCGGTATTGATCTACGAACCAATCGCCAATGCCCCAGGGAGTCGCCAAACAAGCGCACTCATCGAACTCAACTTTTCCGCAAACATGGAAGCACTTGAGCTTGATTTGTTGAATCATCGGAACCGTCAAGAGCGTCTCTAGTCGAAAATAGAGAGCAGCCTCAGCGGCTGGCTTTGACTTGAACATGCTGGGACTGTTCGGGTCAGGCATCAAAAGTCCATCGCAATCGATGCTCAATGTGAAGTTTCCCTTTGCCGGGATTTGGACATCTGCAAGGACTCTGGTCTGCATTTCAAAGAATGTATTCCTGGGTTCTAGTTAGTGCTGCTGAAATGATAGCTTTGAATATTTGCCTTTGTGGTTGTAGTTTATAAGCACTAAGTTGGCTGGAAGGCTTGAGTATGGCTACACGCGCTGGTGATCTGTGAAAAAGCGAAGACAGCAACACTACTATATATGAACAGCAAAGGGATAGCGTAGGCTGTCTGATCTTAGTGCGACAGCATGGCCTAAGGAGATCACCGGCTTAGGCTGAGTGCGGGGGTATTTTTTCAAAGACAGAACGCCGCTAGATGGAAAAAGAGGCTCGCCGTTGTCCCATCTGATATGACATGCTTGTACGTTACTGATAGCTTTCTCGATTCAGGATTGGCTGGCTGAACGGTGCCAATGTAAGCTGAAGCCCTGCTTTGATTGCACTAGTCGCGCTGCCAATATGGTTTTTGTTCGGGAAGGGAAAGATCTTCAGTACTAGGGTGGAGCGTCTCGACAGTCATGGATATGGTTATGCGGGGTGTGCACGAGGTGAGAGGGGGCTAGATTTAATAATGAGTATGCATGCAAATTCAACAGAGTATCCGAGATAGGGTGCAATTGATGTAGCGTCGTTGAGGTTGTCTAGCGGATGTTCATAGTCTTCCTAAGGGCGCGGGTTTAATCGTATTTCTTTTGCTTCTCTGAAACTTCATAGAGACGAAAACGATGCTTCGCTGGTCAAATACCGGTACATCCTAGATCCTGGCTGGAGAGACTCATGATCGAAGCAAGCCATTCGTCATACGTCCCATTGATCATGCCCAAAGGCTAGGGGCTACCGTGCGAACATGATAAGAACATTTTGTTCGTGTTCTTCTCGGGTCTCCGAGGGCAGGGAACGGCGAGACCATACATAGTTGGCCGGAGCTAGGATTCGTTGCCTGACACAAACTTCACTAGTTGGCTATCTGAAGCTAGTATCCGTGGGAGCATAGTGCAGGAGAGGACAGATAGCAAGGACGTCCGGAGTGACCATGGTTTGGGGACGAAGGACAGCTGCGCATCTTCTCGAGGTCTAGACACGAGAACACTCGTCTGGTGGCGTACATCTATGTACAAGCTTCAACTATGTCCAGAGACTGAGAGATGACTGCATACAAGTTAGCGCAAAAAACGATGTACGCAGCTTCCGCGCATGGGCGATCTCCTTGAGGTCGCTACGCCATGATGCCATGATGCCATGATGCCAGAAGGCGCAGAGCGTCCTATCTCAACCCATAGCTAGGTTGCGCGCTAAAAAAAATGGTCAAAATTGGAAGCCCATGATTGCTCGCAGTTGTGGGTTGTGGGAGCATGACGCGGAGGAAAGAAGTAGACAGCGTATCAACTGTATGAGCAAAGTTGCCACATCTCGATCGACAGGGGTGTTGTGAGAGTCGGCAAGCGAAGCCAATGGGAACAGCTCCCATGCATGCGTGCAAACGATCGAAACTGGAGAGGTCAAGTCAGGCCACAATACTACAGTGTTGGCGTCGCAAGGATCGGGGCATACTGCTGTTGGTCGATAGTGCAGGCTGCGCTGGCTCTGTCTGCCCGATCGGGGCGTTGCAGGAGAATGCCTGATGCAAGCAACTGCATCTCTGCTTTCATGCCTCTGTATTCACCCGGACACGAATGGTATGCGCTCGCCAGCGAGGCGATAGGTGCAATTACGGGCGGCAGCGGACACATCAAGCCTGCAAACTCTAGGGTATATTTAGAGCGCTTCATCAGCATGAATGCCACTGCTGCAGGATGTATCACGTACAGATATCAGGAACCTTGCAGACCTATTGCCATGGCATGATAGCAAGGCCGAAGAAGTAGCGATAGCGAGTATGAGGTTGCGCTTGCCCCAACGTCGGAGTCACTGCGCTATTGCCGATCCTTTCACAAGTTGGCACCTGTCTCTTTCGGTTGATATGCGACCAATATCTATCGTAGACCTCCAGATCCCTGCTGCCGAGATGAAGGTTCTGGTTGAATTGGCCACAAAGATCATGATCTCGCCGACCTGTGTGCTTCTTTTTCCTCTCTGCAGCCCATAGAACTGTTGTTAACTAGCATCTATAGGTCCCCGGACGCCGTTGCCCTGCCTGCTTGGAAAAGGGCTACACTGTGTGGGTGGTTCCAGGAGAATTATGTCAGTGCTGCGATAAGGCGGTGAACTGACACTGCGTCCAAATGGCTGCTATGATGACATGTTACATTCGCCATATTCCCACAATCGGGCTACCTTCAAGGTCAAGATCAGATGGGATACGTATACATGACTAGGGTACATGAGGTAAGAGCTTAAACTAGACTTGGAATATCTCGAGCTCCCGCCAGCATCTGTCAGCCTGCTGTGAGGTAAGCAAGCGTATGTACAAGAACTCGGTCTGATGTACTATACAGACATGCACTACCTGGAATATTCAGCCATCAACCACACCAGTTGCAATTTGACTCTGTGATCACAATGGTAGCCTGCCTCCCAGAACTTTTTTAGAAAGTGTAGATCCGATCGGCCTGATTCACCGAGCAACACCGACTAGGGCTTGTTGCAGGCTTCGCTTGATTGCACATGATGTACGCCACTTTTCCCGGAATCCTCCCGATCCAAGTCGAGTATAATCCAGACCACTGAATCTTGCATGACGAGAACAGGAAGCATGTTTTCTTCTTTAAACTAGCGAAGAAACAATGCAAGCCATAGCTATGCGGCCTGCTCTCGACTCACGTTACCGGGAAGATAGCTCTAGTCGCGTATTGGTATAAGATCATTGCGCTACTCTTCTTAGTAACTGTAAGAAGAACATTATCAGCTTCGTTACATCTTGCTTAACCTTGAAATCACGTCGCGTACACAAACGCGCCGATCAAATGACTATGACTCAAAGCCCCTTCCAAGCTCGTGTTAGGCAGCTGGCTGCTAGGTTTGACTCTAATCCGTGCAAACCGATATTATCAGACACCGAACTGCTTGAGCTCTGCCACTCCATCCAAATTCACGATAAAATAGCAGTTGAAACTGCGAGGTCAGAACCCAGGTTATACCATCTGGTTGTACTATGTAACATGTGCGACTCGATAACTTTTACACAAAATCGGATCTACTTCGAGCGCGGTTCCGCTTATTTCAGCTGCCCTGCATCTCGCGGCTTGCCTGGAGAAAATCAAACATTGGCTGAAGTCGGAGCAAAAGATATTGCAGAGCGTGCAGTAGTTTGTGGAAGCTAGCTACATGGCCACACGGAAGGAATTGGGTGCGCTCCTTGGACAATACCTTCTGGCGGGTGGTTGGAGAAAGTGCACCATGCGCTTACAACAAAAATTCATGGGGGAAGCGACATAGCCTTGCCACCTCTGTCATAAGCCATGCCTGTCAGATTGCGCTGTGTTGCCATTGGCCATCTATTTGATCAGCCCCGCCGCAATTGCCCAGGCGTCATCCCAGACGTGGAGTAGCTGGCATCTTTCCTCAAGCAGACATCACAACAAACTGTAGTTGCGCCGCAGATTCAAGCCACAATCTCACTTTCTCTCAATCATGGAATCTGCTGGGCCAAACCCCAAGGTTGCGATCCAGAGATTGCGAAACCCAATTACTTCGAGGCGGAGCGTTTTCCAGGGCAAGAAAGATCGCAGTCTGAGGGCATGTATCCGTTGTCGGTCTCGCAAGTTCCGGAGTACCGGTGAGCGTCTATGCTGCCGGAGGTGTGAAGCAGGTGGCACGGAATGCGTTTATACGGATGCACGGAGACTCGGAGAGGCCGATTGGCTAGCTTCAACCGGAAGGTGGCCGAAACGTGCGTCCAGGCCGCTCATGACCTAAGTTTATTGCTACCCTATGAACCCAATCCGTCGTAGATATACTAGATCGGCCCATGGCGGTACATTGTGCACAATATCATGCAGGCAATTATGGTTCTCCTGCTTGAGATATCCTACAATAGAGCGCAGGCTACTAACAGCTCTCAATTCTGTGGTCGGTTAGCAGGCTGGTCACATGGCTGCGCTCTATGCGACAAAACAACGCCGTAGCGAAAGAGGCTTTTCGAGTTGTCGCCGACTTTGTCAAGAGCGCTCCACACGTTTCCAATGGTATTGTCGACTTGTTTGAAGACGAAAGGGGAAATTTTGTTCGCTACACTTTTCATGCGCTGGAAAATCCGTACAGTGTCGGAGACCAGGTGTATGCCGATTAGCAACAGCCGGGATATGGTAACAACGCCAACACCATCACGAACGCTGATTCTCAAGGCTTTGAAGAGCAGCAGTTCATCGTTGATGATTTTCGCTTGGATCCAATTTTCTACTCAGGATCGTTACAAGGATCTGCAGTGTACGGAAGCCTGTTTGCAACTTGCTTTGATCAACTGAACACGATAGCGGAATATGAAGCAGCCCATGGTCTAGAAAAATTTGACTGGTTGTAGAAAAGATGGGGAGATTGATTAATTACATCGCTTGCAGTTAGGTAGATGCTTCTGAATACGTCGAGCCCTAGGGTTCTAGTTATCTCTGTACACCGCACAGTTACCGATTTCTACGTGTAACAATGTTCGTGGCTTCTGTCATGTCACATTGTATATTATGTAGCGTCCATCTGGATCTAGCTTTCCAGCGCACAGTGCAGCTATCTGATGTAACCACGAAGTCTCGCTCCGTTACAGGCAATATGATGCTTCACAGTCAGTGTTACTCAATGTCAGCAATCGCATCTCCATGCGAATTAAATTCTTTTCGTTCTCAGCCAAGGCTTAATATGAGAATGTCGTATCATGGTGGTGGTGTGAGCCCCAAGTAGACGTTATCGTCTTAATCTACTCTAGCTCTCAACGGACGTGGAGCTGACAACACGAACTCGGTCATTCGAACCGACCTATAAGTAGTTCCTTGAATCAAGTAAAAAACAAGATTAACCCTTCGTACTTCAGTGTCCCGGCTTTCGCTAGCCGAGCTGCTACTATACGAACTTACTCTCGAACTACTTAGCCTAAGCTCGCAATCTCAGGCTGCCCAAACCATTCCCCTGCTGTTTTTAGATAACAGTGCTACTGTCTACATTCTTTTTTTTTCTTCCGCAGATCACCAGCGCTTGTAGCCATACCCAGGCCTTTCAATCACTTTTATCCTTATAAACGGGAAAAGCACTACAAAGGCAAATATTCGAAGCTACCATTTCAGCAGCACTAACTAGAGCCTAGAAATCTCTCCTTCATAATGCAGAACTTAGTTCTTCCAAACGACCAATCCCTGGCGAAGGGAAGCTTCACGCTCAGCATTGATTGCCATGGATTTCTAATGCCTGATCCGAATAGGCCAGGCATAGTCAAGCCAAAGCTAGCGCCTGAGGCTGCTCTCTATCTCCGACTAGAGACACTCTTGACGAGTCCGACCATCCGACAAGTCAAAGTCAAGTGTTTCCATGTTTGCAGAGAAGTTGAGTTCGATGAGTGCGCTTGCTTGGTAACTCCAGGGAGCATTGGAGACTGGTTCGTAGACCAATATCGACAAGCAGGAAAGTCTGCTCATTACGACGAATGGACGGAAGAGAGTGTGGGCTACAGGATATATCCAGACATCCTACTCACAGTATTCATCGACCAATGATGAAGGGAGGAATCTCAGCATACCATTGTGGGATAGCGATGAGATATGAGGGTATCAAGCGGAAGAGTAGGAGGCTGACAAGTGCAATCGGCAATGTATTTGTAAAACTCATGTACGAGCTGCTTGCTCGAGTTTGTCTAGGAGCAGAATATAAATAACGATCTCACCAACACAGCTTTTTCAAGTGCCGTTGTTAGTCAGGAAAAAGAGAAGCCGGCATCGGCTCTTTGACTTTAGATAGCTAATACCAGCCAGATCAGCTGCCTGTGTTTATATATCTATATAAGTTCGTATTAATCAGCTCGTAAAGCTGGATTTTGGGTGATTATTACAATCTAGTTATTTAAAGATATCAATCCAAGGAATCAGGCACAGAAAGATACGTAAAGGATACTTGAGGCAGTGGTAGCGTGATTTGACCTGTCAGCACGTCGGTGGTACATACACTGGCATGTCGCCACCGGTGACCGTCAGCATGGCCGACCCGCACCGGCCCTGACCTTGCCCTGGAGGCGATATTCCAGGGCTTCATGAAGAATTGAAGGACGATTCGTGACAAAGAGAGAGGAGAGTGGTTGTTGGTACAAGGTGTGGTAAGAGCTTGTACAGGCTCTCCGATATGCGCTGGATTTGTACTAGGGAGCCACATTAGGACTCATTGCCAGGCCCACAGCGGGCGCCAAAGGACGGTTCGTGGGGATCAAAATAAGCTCCTAGGACAACGGCTGTTTCGTTGCGCAATTAGACCTGAGCGGGCTTGCCCCACCAACACTGCTAGCTCCGCGGTGGTTTATGCTGCAAACCACCGATTTCCTTCCGTCGCTATTTGTTCTCACCGCACTCTCAGATATGCGACAGACTAGTATGCGTGAAAAATGGACAAATCATTATCACTATTTGCATTTGTATCTCAGCGCCTGCGCTATGTGGAACCACACATTTACGCCCGCACGGTAGTGGGCAGCTGCAGCCGCGCCGTAAAACAGTCAACAAGGCTGAGCAGCAACAGGCTGGTTTGCTGGCTACCAGAGAGCAAAAACCCCAGCCTCCCACACCCATGAGCCTAGCTCTGTAATGGTCTTCTCTCTTTTCTTTCTGTTCCTCGCGCGAATATCGCGACAACTACCTCGCAACGAGTGCACGGTGGGATGGGTAGGCGCCCTCCCAGTCGAGTTTGCAGCGGCACAGGAGATGCTCGACGAAGAGCACGCCAACCTGCAGCACCAGTCCGGAGACAACGACGAGAACACGTACGCCGTGGGATCGATAGGTGGCCATAACGTCGCCATCGTGTGCCTGCCAGCCGGTCGCATTGACAACAACCCAGCTTCGGCGGTGGCGATGCAGATGCGGGCAACATTCAAGGGGATCCGCTTTCGACTCGGGGACGTGGTTATCAGCCAGCCGGACAAGACCTTCAGCGGGGTGGTGCAGTACGACTTTGGCAAGACGACACCGAACGAGTTTGGGCGGACGAGGGCACTGAATGCTCCACCGCAGACGCTGCTCGTCACGGTAGCTAAAACGCAGGCGAACGAGCTGCGTGGCACGAGCAAGTTACGAGAGTAGATTGCTAGGCTAGATCATATTTCCGAGTTCCAGCGCAGCGAGGCGGGCCCTGATATTCTCTTCGAAGCCACATACGACCATGCGAGAGGGCAGACATGCGATGCGTGTCTTACAGAAAGGCAGGAGACGAGACCGCTGCGCAGTAACAAAAAGGAGGTGATGGTGCACTACAGGACGATCTCGTCCGGGAACCAGATGATGAAGAGCGCTGCGCAAAGGGACAAGGTCAGCGCGGACCTCGGCGGGGTACTCTGCTTCGAGATGGAGGCAGCGGGTCTGATGAACAGCTTCCCGTGCCTGGTAGTCCGCGGCATCTGCGACTCATACAAGAACATCAAGCAACTGTTGGAAAATCAAGGGTTCGGCAACGTCCTTGATGAAACTGGGATTCGCCTCGGACGTAGCTTAATTTCTCTCTAAGAGCCAAACACAAACACGAAGTCAAGGAAAATACGCATGCCCTAGTTGTAATCCGCCATTCGAGCATACCTTCGGGGCGCTCATTCTATTGCATCCATTGTGGCAATAGCCGTTCTAATTGAAAATTCTATGCACGAGTTTGAGTAACTCATTCTGCATAGCCTAGGGAACACAATGTTCACACATATCTCAACAACTTTGATTTGTCTTGTTACCCTACTCCTCCTTGATGAATGTAGTGAGCCTATGTCAAAGTCTTTCCGTTGGTTCGCGGTGGGTATTAAAGGCTATTCTCACAAAGTTGGAACAGCCATTGACACTCTTGTTGGCTTTATTATGCTTGGAACTTTATTGCCTTTCATAATTCGAAGCTTATTCATAGTTTTCAGAATGATAGTGGGGTTTTGATATGAAACGGAGCATGTGTTGGTAGAACTGATTGGTTGAAAATGACGATACAACCTACGTTGGTTGCATGGTTGGCTTGAAGGCAGGGGACGGCGCAGTGCCTGCCTAAAAAGAAAGGTGCAAACCCCATTGCCTGTCTTCTTCGTCTTTTTTTTTAGTTTTTTTAAGCTGCTCTTGGAGGCGAACTCAGTGAAACTCATACATTACTTTGAACTCAGCTAGAGATCACTTGAAAGAAAGGGTGCCTTGTATTTGATCGATGCAGGCGTTTTTTCCACTCACACATGGCTCAATCTACGACTTCATTTCGGATAATTATCAACAAGGTTTTGTTCGTCACTTTTATTATCATCCAAATTCACGAAATTGCATCGCAAAGGATTTGAAGGCGCAGTTCCTGAGCTTCCCCTTAAATGAAACACGGGATGGTCATGCTGCGGCGGTGCAAAGGCTGGCGCCAAAGTCACGACATGAAATTCCAGAGTCATTGGCCCACAGCAGACCAAAAGTCTTTTGAGGCATCTATCGTTCTATTTTTCGGTCATGCAGGCAGAATTCGTGGTATACTTGGTGTGACAATAAAGCTTGTTCAATACTGTCTACAAAGATGCATGAGAAACAGAGCCCGCACACCATGAATCGTAACTTTATGATGTCGCTACTGTTATCTGTTGACCCAACAAAGGCGACACCTGCAACCGCAACAAATGGATTTCATGCCACCCGCCATTCAGTGTGTTCCACCATCAATCCTTGGTACAACTCTTTTGTATTTCTACCGTACAGGAATCATTGCTCTTTATCTGTGCACTTGATAAATTGCGCCTGACAAAGATTCGCTGTGTCTCCCATTGCTCTTCGAAGCTGATGCTCGCGCCGCTGACAGCGATGGACAAGATGAAGGCAGAGGAGTTGGAATACCTGATTCATCATATCGTTTTACCTCCGAAGCTGCCTCAAAAAGATGACTGGAGCGTTTCCAACGAGCGAGCCTTGCTTAACCACACAGTACGGGCTTTTCACGATTTCCGCGACACGCTGGCAGTTGAGAACGCAGAGGCCGCGCAACAGATTGCGTTTGTGGTTGACACTATCGGTGGGTACTATATCTCGACATCGGATTTCTGTAAACCATAGCTGATTTGGTTGTAACTACAGAGAATCTGATCCAGTGTTCTAGCAATGCATGTATTTCAGAAACAGGGCTAGCTGAATCCCTTCAACGTCTGGCTGCTGGCCACCTCTCGGGCACCATACCTTTGCGAGTAAAGGAGCAGAATGCCGGCATAATCATTAGTCGCTCCGATACCGACATTCTCTTCGAAGTTTTTGAGCTATCGCCTCTGAATGCAACGGTTATGTCCACACCAGGTCGTCTTGTCCGCCTGTTTCCAACATACGCTTCTAAAATTCCTGCTGTCAAATTTCAGGAAGACGGACTTGTCGAATCCTTGGCCCATGCCGTTGCGGAGATGTGCACCCATAAGGTCCCGGCATTTCAGCCAAAGGCCAATAAAGGTGGGAAGAAACATAGTGAAATTCGCGATACGACGCACCCTGCCTTAGTGACCGAATATCTTATCAACGTCCTTTCCGCCATCGGACAGCCAGCTGCTACCAGTGGCATCACCAAGAACACACGCGAGGACATCTTGTGGTCTGAAACTCTTCATCCTTGGAGACGATCTTCCTTGTGGCTCTTGGTACGCGTTGCAATGCAAATTCAGCTTTCTCGTCATTCCGGTAACACACCTGCAGCTCTTGACCTATTCAAGGCAGGCATGGTCTATGTGCTATCAAACCTTCTGGACGCCGCCATAAGTCATCATGGATCTGTGGGCATGGACTTACTGTATACCATATCCGTAAAACTCGACCGTCGCCTTCGGAAGTTAAAAGCCTCGCAAACTGGACCCGCTTATTCGCTATGTGCAAAATCTGCTTTGTCAAGCCTTTCCACCGCGAATCGCTTCATGAAGAGTAACTGGGAGCGTATCATGCGCGATCAGGACGGAAATATTGGCATAGCTGGCATAGCAACCCTGGAGGTGAAAGACGACCTAGACTTGAATATTCCGGAGCTGGACCAAATTATCTGCCAGATTAATGCCCGATCACGGCAATCTGTTACCTCCAAGTTTCTTCCTGACTTCTTCTTCCCGGAATTTCCAGCAACCGAGCTTCCAGCACTTTCGAACACCTCCGAAGAGGCCTCATTTTTCCAGCTGGCTGCAATGGAGAAGTGGGTTCTGGGGTTTCTCTCTTCTTGGCTCGATCGACACATTGGAGCGGAGGATTCTTGCGAACGCTTAGGCTGTCTTATCGAGACTTACCATGAGAAAGCACGCATTATTTATTCCAACATACCTCGGAACTTCTCTATCATGTACCTCACCATTATGGAATTGTGGGTGGCCTGTGATAAGTGCGCATGCCACCGTTACAAACTACTGCTCGATTACAACCCGGAAGTTGATGTTGAGCCACTCTGCTCCCTTTCCCTTCCTTTTAGGAGTCAAATGAAGCGGCTGGTTGAGATTGAGAAGTATGTTGGGACTCGTTGTAAGGACTCCATGTTGAGTGCACCGTCCCTTTTCCGCGATTTCGGCCACCCCACATCATTCGGCGTCAGATATTACGATGGCTCACCGGAACATCAATCGCTCAAGGAATCCATCGAACAAGAAGCTGAAGGTAAGCGCGAGCAAAAGCGAGCTGAGTTGGCCCAAAAAAAGCAACAATACAGACAACTCATGGCGGATTCGGGCCAACTTAGCTGCACCTATGTCGACGCGCGCAATCGTTACGGCGACGTTTATCAAAAACATGCATCGTATTGTCGGAAATGCTCCTTAAAGACACAAGCCGAAAACCTTTCCATTAGCATACACGAATGGCCGCTCCCTTCTAACTTAACCGAAGCCAAGGCTGCCGTCTTTGAGTTGCAGATCCCTCGTGAGTTTGCCCGCTGGCGAGACACAACAAGGTATCTCATGATATCCGTTCTGGAATCTACCAAACACATTAAGCCAGAGCGCATGCCTGCATACACGCTTGAGAACCAAGACTGTCTACGGAGCCGTCAGCGAATTGCGCCCAAACAGCGCTTAGTGACAGTGTCCAAGGTAAAGCCCCTCAACAGGAGTCATTATAAAACCAAAGGGGCCATGATCTACGTCGACAACGAGGATGTTTGTGTACCCAATGCCATGCGTTGCATATACTATGATAGTAGCAGCGGATCTTTCCCTCGCGTGCTCGAGCCCACCGATCAAGTCAAGCAAAACTGTTCATATCAACTTCCAGTTCGTTCCAAAAACCTTGAACACTATCTCCTCGCCGGATCTAGTATGGGTGAAGTGTCACCTAATTCTGTCATCAGCTCTCTTTCGGATTGCCCGCACCACATCGCTCAGTCAGAGTACAAAGCCTTTGGTGCGCTCCCTATTGGACATTATATTCAATATCTAAACATATTGACACAACTGGCCGTGCCCACGGTTGACTTTGCAAAGGTTGAGACACAGTGTCTAATCTTGCAGACCATTCACCGGGCTGGTCCACCATTAAACGACGCTGGCATTGAGCGGGTTACTCATCAGATACTTACAGACGAGAATTTCTGCGAGGCCACTTTGAGCGAGCTAGAGGCCATCTTACCTACGATTGCAAAAAACTGGGAGTCTTGGAGAGGGCTGGCAACAATGGTTCAGCTTGCAATCCGAACGTTCGAACTTACTCCCGCAGCAATGGTGCAAGACCGGTGCTTGGCCTGGCTTGGAGACGCCCGCGAAGTAGCTTTAAACTGGCTCAAAAATCTCCAAAGCAAATCTCGATCTTCTACCGACCACAAACAGCGTCTTGAACTGATGTCTCGGGCCACAGAAGTCGCACTTCTCTGCACCAGTACCTTTGACGTTGATGAGAACCACCTGGATCGCATCCTTTCGTTGCCCCGTGAAGCTTCTGCCTTGATCCAGAGTTCGATTGTGGTACAGGAGAATCAAGAAAATGTAACATCTGAGCACAGACACTTACTTCGTGCAATGATGCAAGCTTGGAAGTCCTTACATTTTCGCATCTTACCGGTGCTACTGGACGGGATTCTTCACCGCAATCTTCAAGAAGGCCTAAATGAAGCATTGAAACTATCCTGGTCCGGGTTCGAACCAGGCCGCTGGAAAAGGTTTCATGATGCCCATCTTCAATGGATATATCTCGACTGTGGTGAACGCATGATTCAGTTCAATCTTCTTACAGCGGAACTTCTTGTCGACGGCATACCATTAGCTCGACTACCAAGAGAGTACACCTCGCATCCTATATACCTGGAGCTTTTCCAACAATCCTCCATCGAGGTTATGCCATCCAAAGAGCCTGGCATGTGCTTTTCTTCCAAGTTTGATCATCATGGCCACGCACTCAGTTTTGGAATGCATCACAGTCAGATGCTCGTGGTCGCAGCCCAGGACAAGAAGAAGTACGACTTGGTACCGTCTGATGTCTTTGTAGGAGTTCTTCCTTCAGCATTTATTACCGGTTTTTTCCATTGGTATGATCATAGCAAAGATGTAGTGGAGTTCTGCCCACGAGAAAAGCCCTGGGACTTCACCACCGAATCGTGGCGTTTGAAGAAGGTGCAATTAATGTGGCAGCTCGTTAAAGAATCATCGTCACTTGTCAATCCAGCCAGTAAAGTGGGTCGCACGCTGTCTGCCATTTTTTCTCCTTTGGAAGATGAGCTGCACATCCACGCTACCTTTCTCGAACCTTCCTCCATGAATATTGCTCTGCCTAGACTCCAACTTGATTTCAGATTTGACCTTGGCCACTCATTCATTCACTCTAGTCAGTATCGAGGCATGGTGATTGATCCTAATCAGCAATTCGGAACATTAGTGGGCCTCCAGAACAAGCTCGTTCTAAAGCAAATCTCCGGCTTTGACAATCGAATGGTTCTGATCCCTGAAGGATCAGTTTCTTTCATCAAATCTCCTGACCATGTGATGGTTTTTATCGACGCCAACACTGCTTCAAAAGCACATTCCTATCAGATAGATGAAACCCTTGGTCGCCTAGAAGACAACGGAAGTCTACAGAGCAAATTGTTCCTCTGCTATCTGCACTCCCTCACCTCATATTTCCTCCCAGACGATCTCACCGGCCATACGGGAACGGAAGCTGCGCTTCTCATCTTGAGATCAGCAGCTGTTGTATCCTTTGACGTTCTCACAAAACATAACATCAGTGTCCTGGAGCTGATAGCAAGTTTGACTCCAAAACGAGAATACTATCCGGACCATCTGAGAGTCATGCAACAAGTGTTTTGGGACAGCCGTCTGTCCTTCATGTCGCAACATTCTGAGCTTTTCCTAGAGGTGGAAAATATTTTCAAGATTTGTCGAGATGGGCAGTCGCTACGTTCGAAAGATGTCTTCGTTCAACCCCCTGATTTAGAATCCGGCGACGTCAAGCTACTGAGGAGGCATATGATTTCATCATCTATGTTCCGAGTTGATGGCTTTGGAGGCGAACACTTCACCCGCAGTCTTGATGTTGTCTATCGCGATCGGAAAAATCACTCATCTAACGAAGGTCATTTGTCTTTTATCGCTTCAACCTTAGTATTGCGCGAGCAACCGTTCCTTCATTCGAGCATTGATACCCAAAGGCTGCAACAATCTCTTCGAAACTGTCATCTCAAGGACAGTCAGATCCTAGGCCCAGGCAAAGCAATCGCCCCGACTATATTGAGATACTCCGCAAAATGGCTCCACAAGCCCTCTGATTGGCTGCCGGAACTCTGGTGTCGACTCCATGCATCCTTACCAGTTGAAGGAAAATTCAACAAATACAACATCATGATGTGGCTCTCGAGCGCTGCTTTTTCAGAGACCGCTGACATGGATGTCATCCAAGCGTTGGCTTCATTCTACAGGTCTCCCCTGATGAGCTCTGTCGCTATCCCCAACATCGAGAAATATAATCTTAGCAAGGGAGATAGTGCTACACGGAACGTATTGTATAATTGTATATCGGTACACAAGCGTCAGTTTGACGGATCCCCGGAATCCATGCTTCCAAAAAATGATACAGAGAGCAACAAGAAACATCTAAAAAGGAGAATGAATAGGTTCGAACAAGCCCAACACGGTGCGATAGATGATTTTGTATCCGCTCTTCTGAACCAGTGGCCGTCCGAACAGCCATCAAAGCCAACTACGCAGGGTGCTGAAACCTACATCCACACGAGCAGAGCTATGGAAAGTGCCAGGAAGGAGTTCAAATTCTGGTTTGACAATCGATGTTTCTACCAGTACCTCGAATCTACAATTCGCACCCTTCAGCTTAACCGTGTTATCCAAATCGAGAACCAACCGAATCTAGCCGCCGAGCCTGAGCAAATTAACGGGATAGATCTGAATCTTAGGAGCTTCCCTATTAGTAAAATCTTTGCTCTGCCACCACCGGTTGTCGGATCGAGTTTGGTCAATGGCGATGGTCGCAAGTGGCCAGCCTCGCCAACCGAGCCTAGCGTGCTGACAGAAGAGAGCACTCTTTCCGAGAGTCATCAGTCTAAGAAGCGATTGGCCGCACTCTGCCATCAGCTCGATTTGCAGGCTAAATCCAGCCAAGAGAAGCAGTATGTATCGGATTTGCGCAGAAGTTGCGATTCTCTCTCCGAAAACGAGGTACAGGCCAATTTTCGCACAGACCTGCTCGCAAGTTTGCAGTCCTATGCATATGACTGTCAGAAATACTTCAACGAAGCAAACAAGTTACTTGAAGACCTGGTAGATTCAACCAACGATGTTGGTCATAGTCGTCAGCGTCCCCGCATTTGTCCAATCTTTTGGTTGCAGCGACTGAACAAGAGGAAGTTTGATCAACTCTCCTCATCCTGGAAGCTTGTCATTGTTCAGTATGGCCTCGCAGTCACTCAAATACAGCGCGCTCGACGATTACTTGCTCTTGTCGACTACCCGAGAGAGTTCGCTGAGGAACTTCGAAACCGAGGCCATATCAACTGGAATCCAGCTGAATTCCCAGAAACTTTGCTGCTCGAGGCTGAGAGTGGAATTTTGGTCCGACCAGTTCAAGAAGGCATTGCACAACAAATGCGGCAACCGCCCAATGGAGAAAACGCAGTGATGCAGTTGAACATGGGTGAAGGGAAATCAACTGTGATCGTACCAATAGTTGCAGCTGCTTTAGCCGATGGCCATACGTGAGTTTCTCTCGTGGAGTTTATATTGAATTATGCTCATATTATCTTTAGTCTTATGAGAGTTGTTGTCGCAAAACCACAGTCGAAGCAGATGCTGGAGATGCTTATTTCGAAACTCGGCGGACTGCTGGATCGACGCATCTACCACATGCCTTTTTCGAGAGCCTTGCGGCCATCTCCAGCTGAAGCCAAAGCATTTGGCAAAATATATCGCGATTGTATGGAGCAGCGTGGTGTATTACTTGTACAGCCCGAGCATATTTTGTCGTTCAAACTGATGTGCATAGAATCACTCATTACTGGAAACGAAGCTTTGGGACGGTCTTTACTCAGTACACAGCAATTTTTCGATACACAGTCCCGCGACATTGTTGACGAGAGTGACGAGAATTTCAGCGTCAAGTTCGAGCTAGTCTACACCATGGGCGCTCAAAAGCCCATCGAACTGAGCCCAGAGAGATGGAACCTAGTACACAATGTGCTTTCGCTATTACCCCAATACTCAAAGCAGATCAAGGCCTTACAGCCTTCTTCGATAGAAGTTGATGACCGCTGGGAAGGAAGATACCCTCGTATTCGAATCCTAGGTAGCGATGCTGAAGCTAGGCTGCTCGATCTAGTTGCAACGCACATTTGCAAGCTTGGGTCTCCCGTCTTGGCTATTAACCGACTATCTGAGAGCGAACAAGACGCTATACTTCGGTACATTCGACATGCAAAGCCTTCGCCTGACGATATTGAGAGAGTGAAAACTGGAAAATCATGGGCTGTGATACAGGACACCCTCATGCTTCTGCGAGGTCTAATCGCAGGCGGTGTACTACGATTTGTTCTGCGCCTGAAGAGGTGGCGGGTAAACTACGGTCTCGATTGCAATCGCTTGCCCAGAACAAAACTAGCCGTACCGTACCGTTCAAAAGACAGCCCATCCCCTCGGTCAGAGTTCAGTCACCCGGAGGTTATCGTCGCGCTCACTTCTCTTACATATTACTATGGTGGATTGAGCGACGAAGAACTCTTCGACACCTTCTCTCATTTGTTAAAGTCGGATCAGAAAGATGCCGAATACAGCGACTGGGTACGTGATCTCAAAGCTATGCCGAAAGCCTTCCGCCTTCTTTCTGGTGTCAATATCAAAGATCGCCAACAATGCAAAAATGAAGTCTTTCCTTTGCTACGTTTCTCCAAGGGAGCTATCGACTATTTCTTGTCTTATACTGTCTTTCCAAAAGAGATGAAAGAGTTTCCCGAAAAGCTCTCGGCTTCCGGGTGGGATATGGCAGCAGTTAAGCCAAAACCAACCACAGGATTCAGTGGTACCAACGATTCCCGTCACGTTCTACCCTTGACTATGAAACACCTTGATCTCCGTGAGCAGAAACACACAAACGCTCTTGTGTTAGCGTACCTTCTGCAAGATGAGAACTCTTTGGTTCTTCTGCCACCTCAGTCGGGTTCAAAAACTTCTACTGCGGAAACCTTACTTGGAATTGTGAACGGAATGGACGCAAACACTAGAGTAATTCTCGATGTCGGCGCCCAGATCCTCGAGCTGAATAACTTGGAAGTTGCAGAGACTTGGCTATCGATGAGCAATCCGGAGACCAGTCGAGCGGTGGTCTTTTTCGACCATAATGAAGAGCTTTCGGTCCTGGATCGCAGTGGTCGAGTTGAGTCCCTCCAAGCCTCTGCATTTGCGAAGCATCTTGAGGATTGTCTCATCTATCTAGACGAATCTCATACCAGAGGAACAAACTTGAAGCTACCCAAAAATTACCGTGCAGCAGTTACATTGGGTGCGAGCCTTACCAAAGATCGACTGGTTCAGGCGTGCATGAGGCTGCGAAAACTCGGAAAGGGTCAATCAGTGGTTTTCTGCATTTCTGAAGAGATCAAGGGCAAGATTATAGAGCGCACATCCAAAGCAGCAGGCGAAATTCAAGTTTCCGATGTTTTGATGTGGGCAATAACTGAGACATGGAGCGATTTACGTCGGAGCATGCCTCTCTGGGCCACTCAAGGCTGGAGATATGAAGAACACAAGAATGTGCTCAATGGTGTCCAAACAACGGCGGATCAAGCAAAACAGTTTCTCGAAGAAGAGGCACAGACTGTCGAACATCGGTACCGGCCGCGCATAAACATCAGTGCCAACGAAGCTTTCAAAGACTGGGATATCTCCGGTCCCAACATCAAGAAGATTATCCAGCGGTGTCAGGACTTTGATACGCTCAACTTCAATGCTGCATCTCTCCAGGAAGAGCAAGAGCGAGAGCTTGCCCCAGAGATTGAGGAAGAGCGCCAGCTAGAGCGACCACAGCCGATGAGCCCGGAGAAACACGAAATTCATCGACATCTCTCACTCTTGGTCAAGACAGGACATCTTATCGACGAATTTACGGCTTGTTCACCTGCTTTCCAGGCTCTCCGACAAGCAAGTCCAGCAAAGTATTTTGATGTTAAGCAACTTCCTACCGATCTACTAGTCACTCATGACTTTATCCGCACCGTGAAGCGTCCCGGGGGTAACCCATCTACATTATTCAACGTTGACTCTTACTTGAGACCAGTGCAATGGATTCTTTCATTCCCGAAGGAGAAGGCTCCGTATATCTCTAAACACCAACTCATGATCATCAGCCCATTCGAAGCCGACCAACTGTTCCCCTTGATTCGGATTTCTAGTTATGTCACCTTGCATCTGTATGCGCCTCGCTCAAACCAGTTCTTCAGACCTCTAGACGATTTGAACTTGTTCAAAATTGGGAATGGAGCATTTGACGTGAGTGCAGTCGACCGAAGCCTGATTGTGCAGTTGAACCTGTTCGCTGGACAACTTTACTTCAATTCCTATGATGAATATACAGAGATGTGTGACTATCTCGGGTTGGCATGGGCTACTGCAAAAGAAGGACAAGAAGTACAGACGGATGGCTTCATCAGGGGCTCACAGGGAAAGTGGGGATTGAAGGATAGCGCGGTGAGATTCTTCAGGGAGTTGATGAAGCTTCGGCGTGAGGGTGAGGGCATTGACAAGACGCAAGTCGGCAAACTACTCAACGGTGTGATGTTTACGGAAGATGAATTCTTGGAGGATGAGGAGTCTGGCGGCTAGGAAGAGTAATCAGTTTGTACAGTAGCATAGTAGTTGACATAGATAAGAGAGTCATGAGAAGATCTTGCTAGGAGAATTTATGTGGGTACCATATTTGAATTTTGTAGAATTACACACATATAAACACTGAGGTAATGTAAAGTGAACCCTGAGTCAACGGTAGCCAGCTTTGTCTCAATACCTGGCTGGAGACTGAAAGATGTATGGAGAGAAGATGTAGGACACGGGAAATTGATTAATTCGTAGATGACAGGAGTACATTTTCCCACACGATGGTTATCAAAGCCAAACTCAGCTGAGTTCTGGCTGCTTGGAGTCTTCTAAGTATCAGTTTCCTTCTTACTCTTGTTGGGGAAGAGCGAGGCAGACCCGTGGAGAGGGGTGTCGAGGGCGGACTGAGAGAAGGTATGAATCGGGGTATTGGCGATTGAGAGTGAAAGATGGCTGGAACGCGATGAGCTGACCGCACGACGCAGACCATGCCAACACGGAAATTCTCCGGAGCTAGAGTCATCACCATCAGCAAAAATGATTAACCGATCCACCGATCAGGGTGGCGACCTTATATGAATTTGCGCAGAAAAGACGGCAACCGCGAGAATCCAATTTTTGGAATCAGCGCAAATTATAGCACGCAAACGGTCACTCGAGACGCCAGTTGAACAGCAAGCACCCAGACCCAGCGACCATGTTCTTTAAATCTAACCCACTAGATATATCACATTGAATGACTGTACCATTCACCGTTTGAACAGGTAGACGGTTTCCTTTTAAGCATTTTAGCGAGGTAAAGGAAATACCACTCTATAAGTTAGTCGCGTTCTCTCTCTGGAGGGTTGTGTTAGCGTTTGCAGACTTCTAACGTGACCAAGATCCTACCATAAGTATAATTTTACGATCTTTTCTGTTTTTGGTTCACTCAAGATCCCCTTTGATAGAGACCGGTAATAATGTTGACAGCAACTATTCTCGCTTCTTCCTGGTAGCTCTTTTGATATGTCTTTCCAGTTCAGTCCTTTCTCTCTAAGAAGTTCCGTGAGCCTTGCGTCTTTTTCCGGTCGCCATTTGTCTCCCCGCATCGGCACATAATGCGTGGGCGTTGTTTGTTCTTGAGGGGTCAACAACGGCATTTATATTAAGTTTTGTTGAAGCATATACAAAGTTGCAGGTTTAAGCTCCTTAGGAAAGAATATAGACTGAGAAATGGAACAGATAAGGATCAGAATTAACATGCCTCTTGGCCAGTTAGTGTAACAACTAACAGACGGATGCGTCAGGGATCCGTTTCTGCTCCCTCATGTTCCCAGATTTGGAACCCCTAAAACATAAGCAGAGCCCTCACTGTCATTGGCTAGACTGGGGGCCCGTTTTGAAACTCTCTCATGACGTGATGTCATGTTGCCTAGCCACGCAGACGGGTAACATTCCTCCCTGAGTTCCACTTAGCTGACGTCATGATTCTCTACACAGATACGGCCAAGCAGATAATCTCGTGGTAAGAGAGTACTATTTCGCTGTGTATGTAGAAGCACGTCGGGTTAAAGTTAAAGTACCCGGTACTTGTTCCGGGTGTTGTTCCATTTCAATTAGATGCACGTTAGGTCAAAGTCCAAGAGGTCAATAGCGCACGTCTTTAGATTTTTGGAAGTTAATGCAACAGTGATGTAGATCTAGGAGTGACTAGTGTTGGTGCAATCAGTATAATGATAAACGAAAAAGCTTTTTACCGTAAACGGCGTGCCTTGGTTGGCACGTAATCACAATCCTCACCCTCCCCATCTTTCATGGCAACTGAAATACTCAGATGTTCTTCCTCCGCTTCTTGTAGCCGCCTTAAAGCCCTTCCCAACTTGCGCACGAGTTCGCTGTCTCTCTTCCTAGTGAGCTGTCTCATTGCCTTCCTTTCCACTCCATGCTTTTCCCATAAATGGCAAAGCCTACGGCCATCATGCTTACGATAGTTCTTGTTCCACAATTCATAGCCCCACGTCTTAAACATTTTCTCGTGGATTCGATACAACGTCTGGGCAAGCCGCCGGCCAGGCTTCGCACGGATTTGTTCCCATTGCTCCCACATGTTCTCCCATGCCGCTGTAAGGCTCGCTGCGCTCCTTGTCTTATACTCTTTAGACGCCCAATTTACCATCTCTGGTGACTGTGGTGTTGACCGCTTTCGCTGCGCCCGACGTCGGGGGCTCTGACCGGAATCGTCATCGTCCAAGCCAATTTCGTCGTCAGAACTGTCGATAACAATGGCTTGACCGCTATTGTCATCAACGATGATGAATTCAGCAGGCTCATCGGCTTCATAGATCGAAATAGGCTGGTCTGGTTCATCTATTAGTGATATTACTGCCAGAAGGAGGCCGGCGATGTACCCGAGCTTTCCTGCGTCACACTTTGCCTGCCACGGCTTGCTTCTCGGTAGTGTGAAGCAGTGTATGGTATTGTAGAAGCCATTCCCGCCTCCACACGGCACTCGGTTGAATCCGCAGACGCAATAACGTCATCAAAACTGTCAATGGATTTGTCGACTCCGATTGGCGTGCTATCGGCGCGGGGACCGACGCCAAGCATAATCACCTGGATGACGGTTTCTACGACGTTCTCATCGCCTTCCGGCTCTGCCGCGGATATGAATCGGCGGGGGGATTTTGGAAGCTGCACAAGTTCCTCTGTTGTCTGCTGAATGTCCTCTATCGATTCAGGCTCCTGCTCGGAGGTTAAGATTATGGCAGCTTCTGCTAGACTCGGTTCAGACACCGCAGGTGCTACGGTCGCTTGATCGGCTTTTGTACGGCTTGCTTCCGACCCTGTGGGCTCTGGAGCTGGAATCATAGCTTGATCCTCATGTTCTTCCATTTGCAAAGCATTGGATACTGCAGTATGCTCTGGGAGATATAGTTCCATAGTCGAGCTAGCACTGTCATCGGCTTGTCTCACGTTGACAATCCCCAATGCACACAAGAAATCTGCTGCTTGTGTCTCCGCGGTACTATACTCAAAGAGTGTGCCCCCAAATCTTGAATCAACATTCCCTTCGGCATCTAAGAGAGAGTTCGGGCTCGGTATGTCCATAGTCTAGATATTCCTTCAGCATCAATAGAACACATTTGAACCAGCCTCATTGACGTACCTCGTCCATATTGTCTCTTGCTAACAGTATAGCGTCTTCTGAGCTGGGAACGTAGAAATCTCGATGGTGGACAAGATACAGCTGACAAAGCCAAAGAAAGGAGGATGTGTCGTGGTGTAGACTTCGATTTAGATGGGCTCATGGTGGTCTTATATACCTCACCCCTTGCCGCCCAGAACACTGGCCCAAGTCAACACGCTGGGATCCTCAGGCTACCTCCGTGGCGATTCGCACAGGCAGCAACCTGCATGATCTGGACGCATGAATAGTGACAAGTTCTACCTAGTCGACTGGCGGAGGTAACCCTATCACATGGCATGTCCTCGCCTCACCACCCTAACTGCGGCAGTTTCCTGTCTGAGAGATATACGAGCATTGATGGAAACGGTCTGAAGCCTTCAATCTACCTCCTTTGGGATGACTCCGCCCCTAGCTCGCTGTCTATGACACCAACGTCTTGAAATACGCTCCTGCATTCTCTGCGCCATTCAAGGCTTTCCGGATGTCTTAAAGCCTTAGGTAGGCTGACAGGGCCGGCTGCTGGTGTAGCTGTCCCGCTATGGATCGGAAACGGTATGAGGATGCAGTTGCGCTTCCGCTGATACAATCCCTTGACATCTGAGCCTCAATCTTAACGGCGTCAACAGACGCATGAATAAAGCGTGCATATCCCGATCGTCCAAGGCTCACGTTCATTGGAGCTCATTATTCGGAACGCCCCTAAGCCTGGCTGGTTGCTTCGCGGTTCGGCACTCCGCATGAACGCTGAGAGCGTAGTTAGGATTAGTGATGCTGTGGCGGACGAGTGTTGGTCTTCAATATCCGTGTGTTGCAGCACTAAGACGAGGCGTAAGGAGGAGTTATCCCATTTTTATTCAGCTCCCATTACTCTTGGCATATTTGGCGTGGATCACTTCGTACTTGGAGCGGGTAAGGGGTACGCATGCACGGGAGGTATAGAGTGCATCATGTATGCCTTGCACTCTCAGCCCCCGTAGCAGGGCAAGAATAAAGAAGGTACCTTTTACTTCGCTTCGTCCACTTCATTCACTTCGTCCACTTCATCCAGTTCGTCAGCAGCTTCAGTGCACCCCTATTCAGCCATGTCACAAAGTCCAACCGAATCAATTGCTACCATCGAGGATAGCACTCTCTATGATGAGATATGTAGGGTGGGAGCTTCCAAGGAAGAAACATGGAGGGATGAGCAAAGTCAGGTTAGTGACACTGCGTATTTCCACCAGGCGCTTACCTATAATCATGATAGCCAGCCGTAGCGTTGGCAGGTTCGCACGGCCGCGTGCCATTGCAGCCAGTCCCCATACCCCATAATGGGGAATATCTAGACCACTCTAATAAAAAGCGAGTTCGCTTCGAGGATTTAGACTCAGACTATGGGCGTTTCAGTGTCAAGAGAAAGGTTTCTAAAACAGTAAGTCTCTCTACAATGCTTGATAAAACGATTAGATCTCAAGCATAGGTAGGAATGCTTAGCTCCAAAATCGACCACAAAGAGGATGCAGGATCTCGAAGCAAGAGTTGCAGCGCTAGAAGAAGGAAAAGTGAAATTGATGAGAGCATTTCAAGAGTGGGCTACGATGGACGAGAAGGCCATTCAGGAGCGTGCGAAGAGGAATAAGAAATTGATCCAAGGTCTTACAGCGCTCATGGAAAGCTAGTGAAAACTCTAAAATAACGTAGAAAAATGCTATGCATAGTTTGTAGGTGATAGCAAGCGTAGGGACTTCGCGTGGTGTAGTGACTTTGAAATAAAACTTGGCACATACGCACCTTTAGCCATTATGCCAACTTTCTCTGACATAACTCTTCTATCTCACGTGTTTTGATTCGGCCAAACGACGTGAAGGTATTTTGAGAACTCTGTACAAGAGTTGGGGATGTTCTAACCCGTGAACGGATTCCCACGATTTGAGCCGCAGATGGATAGACTCCGGGAGTACAAAGCGTAGTCCTGTCTCGTGACGCAGTGCAGGACGGTATAAATTCGCTGTAGGGCCGCATGAGCTATCTAAGGAGTTATGAAATACTTGAATTGATATCATCTATAGCATCGCCTACTGTACTCTACTGAGAATAACATGTGTTATTGGACCTATTTTTCGCCTGGCTGGACCTGACGAGTTGTACGCTGATCGCTCACTGGCTCCATCTGACAGAGACATTCTTCCATTTCCTCCTTCGTTAACTTCGTACACTTCTCGCCATAAAGCGCAGATTTCGTATCCTTTCTCTTCGAGAATCTATCAATATCCGGATTGATTGACCCAAGCATCAATTTTGGGCCAAAGAAAGGCCCAGGACCGCAAGATAGTAGTCGCTCGATGTCTAGAGGCATATGGTCGATGATATCCATTCCGCCACTCTTCTCATCGTCCAGTTTTTGCCATTGATGCCCATGTTTTCCCCTGGCAGTACAGAGTGAGATAAGCTGCATCGTGTAACGATCCTGTCGAACGGTTTTCCCAGTCTCTTCCACTAGCTTCGTTAGGGGAGTACACGTCGTAGCCATGTAGTTCCGAATGTTGTTGAAAACACTGCTAGGTATTTCGTCAGGGAGAATATGAACTGCAACAGTTGGCACGGATCCTTCGGTGGCATCTAAACTGGTATAGGCGGCTCGGGCTTGGAGAAAAAATTGGGCCTGGAGTTTCGAGATGCCCTCCGCCTCAATATCCGGAGCTTTTCCAAAGATCTGCGTCTTGTTTACCAAGAATTTTTCGAGCTTCCATCCTCGGTTAAATCTAGACAAGGCTGCAACAAGCTCCGGCTCTATCTGACTCTTAGCATCCGCATCGTCTAATCCTCTGCTGTTTCGGATTCTCTCGATCACATCGTGGATCTCTTGTTCGCTTGATTTAAGTGTCTTTCTTCGTTGCTGGGACTGTTTGTCCCCACCCATGCTCGGAAGTGGAAGAATGTCGTCGGGGCGGTGCTCCCACATCCGGATCAGCTCTGATCTTGAGTCTATAGCCAGCATGTCCTTGCAAAATTGCTTTTCTCTCTCAGCATCAACATCAGATTCTCCCTCTGAGAGATAGTCCAAGCACTTGACCCAGACGGTCAACCCATGAATTGACGCATACAATTGAATGTATTCTAAGATCAAGTCTTGAGCTTTTTGTTGGCGCTTGTTCAAGAGATTGTTGTTGTTGACATAGACTGTGTATCGGTAGCCGCGTGATTTCTCGCCGTCAAGCTCCCATGGCCTTAAAATACAGCAGGATATGTTGTGTTCCATCGGATACGCTGGAGGTGATATGTGGGACGGTATGTAACTGGTCTTAGAGGAAGGGAAGTTTTCGTCGGACCTGACCCGGCTCGCAATAGCATCTCTGCCTTGTGCTTTAGAGTTGCAGCTGCCCATTGTAGTTTAAAGATGAGGTTGTTAAAAAATTGGGGTGATACAGGAATTTAGTGTTGATATTGTGTGCGTGATTGGTGCTGCAGAACTTAGGTCTGATATGAGGTACGAACAGGATGAAGAAAGTAGAAGAGCCAGAGGGCGATGGAGGGACATATATATCTAAGAGACATTCCGCATTGTCTTACGGAGGAGGAATCCAGGCAGAACGCAAGGCACCACGAGCTAATAATTGCCACCTTGTTGTCTCAGTTTTAGCCCGGCTCCATTAAGCTGAGCGGTTTTAACAGTGCTGCATAACAGCTTTTGCAAAAGCGTCCTAGTTCTGGACTGCCTTAGATCCACGGAACTTGTATGAATGACATATCCTTATCCCCGTGTAGCATTGCAGGGCTGGATCCTATTAATAGTGGGCATTGTTAAGTCCGAACTTTTATGGTTGCCTAGGTTTAAGCTTGTGTAGAGTTTGACACCGAGCCCACAGCCACCTGGCTGGCTGCTAAGGTGGCTTCACATGCCACAAGTTCATGCGAATCTATAAATTCTTGGGATCATACAAGCCACATACACCCTGGAGAATGTAAAATGGTGTTCGTTGGATATTTTTTCATTGATTCCCTCTTAATAATCGAAGTATAAACCGAAAACGGTCACAGTTTTGCATTATTTATATAATCGCTACCCTACATTCATCTTTTCGTCTTGTTGGAATTTTACTGAAAGGCAGACTTGTTGTATTTGTAGCCTAACTTGACCAGCTATAAAGCACTTCATTCTCTGCACCGTGAGGTTCGAAGAGGAAGAGAGTAATTGGATTATGTAAGGCAGTATCACGTAATGTTGCAACAAGAGTAAAAGGTAACAGTTTAGGCACTGGTACTGAGCTGACACTAGCTCTAAAGTATCTAATCAGGAACCACTATTTTTAGATATTACTTGTTCAAAGCCTACGAGTTTAGATAGTTATATGAATCTAAGACTGCTCTGCACCCCGCATTAGAATCTCTGCTCCGTTGAAAGTACCAATCGATATAGCTGCCATATATGAAATCGCATACAGCAGCGTGAATAAGGTCAATGATAATTTAGTATCGAATACACACTACTGAAGATATCAAAACTTTCAATGGACTCAAAAACCGAGAGCACGCTTTGAAAGACCCGAAAAAACTACTAATGTGCATCCCTTAGTCGCGAGGCTGCCGCTGTCGGAAGACCTTGTCTATTTTTGACCATGAGACTTTTAATGCATTTCGGTGGGCTGCAGAGAAATTACAGCCACTCAATACTGTGTCACTAGAATTCGGAGATATGCTGACCTTCAGAATCTCGGTGCAGGAAGTTCCGTTACGAGCAACACGAGGTCCCTAGCACCAGTGGCGATGCTGTGAGCTTTGAGCTTGATATGGGATTTGCATAAACAAAGCATAGGAAAAGCCACTAATAACAAAACTCTACTGGTATACCTGACTTCCTTGCTAGGGGTATTTCGGCACCTAACCCGCCAATGGTGCTGTGTCAATATCCTGGCGGGCATGATGTCAAATTTCCGCTTGCAGTTACGAGGTATATGTTCGCGCTCATGCAGCTTCCATTTTGAGCTAGAAACACACAGGATTGCCACTGGTGCTGTCTCGAGATCGTAGTCAGAAGGCTCAAGCGTGTTTTTCTGAGTTCGCTCTGGGATAGACTCCCAGTACTGGTGGTGGGTATATAAAAGGACACTCTGCTCCCTGGGTTGAGTCGGTATTCTTATCAGCGTCTCAATCATTGAATCCATAGGTAGAACAAACATTCACCGTGTCATTATCCCATATCTTCAACAAATTCTTTCAATCGCCTATCCTACCCCCTTCCTGTTGATTCGGCGTCAGCCCTCATCCAACCGAAGACTTGCCATCTCACAATTTAAATCAGGGTCCAGAAGCATGCCAACCCGAGAAGGGTATCAATCGACGCGTGGAGGAAAACACGTTCCTTGAGAGACCCCGTCATCAGTGTCCCTCGAGGAAGCGGCCAAGTGACACAGAAGCCTCATATGCGCCAAAGAAACGGATGATTGCCAATCAATATTTGAAGGGACTATTAACTGAGAAGACCTTTGAACTTGTGTTCCCATACACCAAGTCTCGAGCCACTTTACAAATGCAAGAGCAATCGGCGACAGTACAGCTTGACACGAGCAATCGCCAGGCTGATACCGGTTCTACGGCTGCAGACCAGACCAGCGTTGAGAGTGAACATGAACAGTTCATCGAAGGAACAATACAAGAGACTATCGAAGTCAGAAGAAGTAGAGGAATACTGCCGCAGAGATCGAAGATATCGCCATCTGCTGATTGGACTATCGAAGGCATGGTCAATTGGGCATCTCCAAGCTACAAGAGGGAATGTCAAGAAGCTATGCGCACTGAGTGGTTTAATGTCTTGGGCCAATGGGCTGCAGTGAAAGCCCTTGGGATTGTTGACGAAACCTTTGAAATCGCAGTTGTCGAGACATTGCGGGATATAACAACAGATGCGCTCATTGGCTCCAAGTTTGACGACCCTCTTGCACCAACCAATGTTCGAGCATTTCTGGATGCGCTCTGGGGGGATATTGTGCCAAAATTGCGGGGTACGGATTATTCTAGCAAATTCCAGGCGGCTTGGATAAAGTACTACGAAGCAGTAGCTGAGACAATAAGCCTCATCCAGGGTGATGGGTGTGATTATTATGACACCAATGATTACATTCGTCGTTCCCAAGGCCTCAGTGGCTGAGACAATATGCATGATTTGGGACAATGGGGATAATATCGAGAATATAATTATGTGCATCGTTATTAATCTTGACAATAGACTGATTATGATAGATTACTAGAAATTGTCCTTTGCCTTCAACATAAATCATATTTGTGTATGTACTCTATTGTAGCTAGAGAACTGGGCTACGTCCTTAGGACGGACTTAACTATTTGAGGCTACCTCTATACTTGACTGCGGTAGCCAAGACGTTGGGTCATTCGCTGTGAATCAACTCTATATGGCTATGCGGCATTTCTCACGGCTGAGTCCCCCGGGTAGCCAGTTTAGACCACACGTTCTATAATATCACTAAGTACAGACATAAACACTCCACGCTAATTCAGACCTTTCCAGATCAGTAGAAGCGAGCTGCCATTCTATGAGACTTAGTATAACTACTTATGTATCTGCTTTTCTGTTTGGCTGACGAAGACTAATGAATAACACACTCTGGCTACCGACCACATTGCCAGAACGAGATAGTGAAGTAGATGTGTGTAGGGATCATGATTCTTCGCAGATGTGTCGTGCAGGGGTAAAATGGACCATGTACGTATATATACTGCCACGATAGCTAGCGATGCAGCTGATGCCCGCTATACCCGAAGGAAGTAGCTGTACAGTAGATGGACATGATCATAACTTTTGGATTAGTAGGCGTGCTACAAGATGTTGGAAGTTCTATGTACCTTAGGCGAGAGTAAAGATATGGGGTCCTTCACGTTTATCTAGCTTCTGCGTCACCTTACCTGTTGTATTCAGCTGCCAACAATGGCTGCCGAAGTTCTTGTGCGCTTTGTTCATGCTCTTCATCGGGTCGGGGAAAGTATGAGGATGCGAAGGCGATGAAATTCCTATTTTGTTTACTTGTAATAAGGTGTAACCGAGACTCAGTTACAAGACACAAGTAGGCAGCGCAGTGAATAAGTATCATACTGGTAAATCACTGCGAGGAAATAGTACAGGATCAGCTATTGCCACCACCACCTAAGAAGATGACTGTTCTGCACTGACCCTGCACTGGAGGTGATGGCTTGTAGAAATTACTAAAGGAGAATTTTGTGATATTGCGTTTTTACCTGCGCCATAAAGAAAAGAAGCATCATGTTTTACGTATAATCCAATGATTCATATGCTCCTTGAAAAGCCGACTAAATTCTCTAGACGATAAGTACATGCAAGATGATCGATAAATGCAGCAAGAATATATTCTCTTCCTATCTTTCAACACTCCAGGTCATTTCAGCCAACACAGTATCGCGATTGAGTCTCCTGATGTTCTTGGGCCTTGACATGGTCCAGGGGGGACAGTCCGGGTCCCATACTCGCATATGCCTAATGCCAACTTGCTCGAGATCTTCAAAATGGTACACAATCCTCATCCATTCCCAACTTGTTAAAGAATCGCATCTGATTTGCAATGTAGCCAATCTGAGTGTAGGAAAAAGCTCTTCGACCAGTTGGCGAGTTTTCAGGACCGGCACTGGGTCTTTTGGTCTCTTCTCCTGGATATCGTAGTTTCGAAAAGTTTTTGTGATCTCTCTATCGCAGTAGGTTCCAGAGATATGTATAAATTCGGGTCGATATAAGCCTTGAGTCTGTAGATAGGCAATGTTATGAGGTATTTCCTGGATGTTGATAGATACACGGGCGTATCGAAACAAGATTTTCCTCATTTCGGATTTGATTGTACGGCAGGTATCCATAAGTGCGAAAGCGCTAATCTTCCAAGGTCCAGAGGTATGATCAAGCTTTTCAATGCTCATAGTATGGTTGCATGCCTTTCCTAGTCTTACGCATGATAAATTATCTCGATCAAATGACAAACATGGCTTCCATCGAAAGCCTTGCGTACGTTTGTTGTGCCAGACGTGAAGAAGAACCGAGTCCAAGACAAATTCGTATATTAGCAGTCTGATTTCCAGCGGGAGTGATAAGAATAGAAACGGAAAGGGTTCCATAGAGGCAGCAATGAAGAGTGGTAACTTGGTCTCAAAAATGAGGAGGTAGTATCTGAAGAACGTATGTTGTTTGGAGGCTTCAGGTTAAATAAAGTGGGAGAATGTGTTCTCTTTGTAGGGTTCTCAAGGGCTTAAATATTCTGAATTTGCATGAACATTGATTTTCAGCTGCCGGGGCGGCTGCTAAGAAAAGAGTCCGGCACCCAAGGCACACAGTAAGAACCTTGCCAGACCGGGGCTATTGGTACTATCAAGTATGCATGATTTATTCGTAAAAAGCTGCTGCGCACAGCAGTAGGATGCACGGAACGCAATTAGCTTTTTGTCTGCGCTCTGGGATAAGGTGTCAACGATAAACCTGCTGATCTTGCTGGTAAACATATTTCCGCGTCTGTTCCCTCTGCTGTCCCATTCATTCTTAAAAAGGTGAACCGCTCGATACCCTACAGCACAGCCAAGGTCTTAGACAAAGCCAGCGGCGCGTGCCTGTAGACGTTGGAGTATCGTTCTCTGCGAACTTAAAAATAATATACCTAGTATCTATGTAATTTATACTGTAGCATTAATGTACTAAACCACCTTGTTCTACTCTCTTGAATCTTTCTCGTTAGAGCTTCTGTTTACTGTGTAATATATATTTTTGTAAGGTTTCTAGGTGTTACCGTTTACCCATCTCTTATCTCGTTGAATTACATCTATGCTAGATCTAACCTACGGCCATTTTCCTTCTCTTTGTACGAGCTCTCGAATTCGGGTACGATAGAATGCAGTCATAGAGCGCTGCCTGTTCTGTCATTTCTTGAACAGTTTGGCTAAACTTCCAAAAGTCTCCCCAAACACCCTCTCTTCCTGGAAGCTTCTTTTCCACCGTTTTCCAGCACCTACCAAGGGTAAACACATTTGTGGGACTGACTCCTTTTCTATTTGAAATACGTCCCATAACCGTTTTGAACCGCGTAAGAGCCTTTCCAAATTCCGAATCAGCACTTGCAACCTCTCTTAACTGTTTTAGCGTTTTCCATATGGTCTGTGTTGTGTTCCAAGTGCGGCAAAATTCGTCAAACGTCTGCTGCCGGTACTCTGCATTTCCCCACATGACCATGCCATCAAGGTTTTTTCTCGATTTTCTACGGGGGCTCGATCTGATGTAAGAATAATCTGATGCTTCTTCTTGAGTCGGCTGTGGCGTCGAAAATTCGGGAGCGATCTCAGGTGAATCGAGAATGATAGGGTCAGAAGGTACCGAGCCAGGTCGGGTTTGTTGTGGTACAGGCTTTTTCCGCGCTGCACGGTTTCTCACTTCCCTGGCCTTGACGCCTCTCCTCACCGATTCAAGAACTTTTTCGGAATCAAAATTGTGTGTGTTGAAATTGTTGAAAAAGTCTTTTATAGCGTTCAATTCTTGAGCCATTTCACGCCCTTTTCCTGGAGCTTTGTCGGGATGGGAGTAGCGGATGGCACTAATATATGCCTTTCGAAGTTCTTTGAGAATTTCTTGTACTGAAAGTTTGCGTAGTTCGTCGGGTTCAATATTGAGGTGGTCGAACATATCCATGATGAAATTCTCACTGACCGAAGAGAAGAGTAGAGAAGTGAGCGAGGTACATTGTAACGCGAGGATGGACTCTACTGTTATATCTCTGAAATAATGGCATTTGATCCTCAGATGCTTTAGGTGCCAAGCTGCATAAAACGGTATTTACGCTTCTAAGACAGTGGCAGGATCGACCCTGTCCACCCATCACATGTACCTCAACTTCCTATCGCCGAAAGTGAGCCTATGCATAGGACTCATGGTTCTGGGATGGAACCGTCTGCGGCATGGACGATCTAGAGTTGCGGACGTTCATGCAGTTGAATCCTTCCACCAAAATTACAGCTACGCGCAAGGCGTCCTCGCTGTTCTTCGGTCTATCTGACCCAAATCTGAGGGCAAAGTGGATTCATCTGTCTGCCTTGGTGGCTATACGGCTGAAGCATCCCAGAAGAGCTAGAAATCGCTGTTTAGCGTCTCTTCAGCGCTTGAGTTTCTCACCAAACCGGCGCTATCATCATTGATTTGCTGGAAGGAGAGACACCCACCTTTTTATCATGGATTCTCTCCTCTCTTGGCAGCAGCCGTGCCACAGAGGGCACTGTCTGACATCGTATGACTTTTCTCGCCATGAGATACACCTCGCCGTCTCTAGAGGAGAGATTGGCTAGACCGTGGCTTCGGAGCATGAACAAGTTGTTGGAATCAGCTAATAGCGTTACATGCTATCAAGTTGTGATGTACACTGCCACAAGTTGATCAAATTATAGCATTGACGTTGCTTATGCGTACGTGCTAAACACCGCGGATCGGGTAAACGGATCTTGCTGGCTTTCAAATTGAAACTGCTGACGGAGGAGTATAACGCTATTCTATCTGGGCGACAGTACCACTGCCACACCGTGATGTATGGGGCATCTTTGGCGGCCTAGATCTGTTTTATATAATGGTCCCTATATTCTCCTGCGGTTGTTGCTTCAAAAACATCTACTATCCTTTCCTACACTCCCGACTCTGCTTCTTACAAGTTCGCTTTGCCATCTATCGCCATGGGTACTAGAGGCTTTATTGTATTCAGAGTGAAGGGAAAAGAAGTCGCATTCTATAACCATTACGACTCTTACCCAACCGGCCTTGGCAACGAAATTATCAAGTTTATACGATCTCTTGATGAGGGGGATCTAGAAAGAATGGCCAATAATATCGAAAACTTAGAAATGTAAGAGTCAACTCCTTTACTATAATATATTTCTCACATTTACACTTCTTAGTTTCGACCCCGAAGAAAAGGCGCCGAAAGATCTTCAAGACCGTTATTCTACGGCCGGATTCTCCAAGACCTACGAGTTCGGCGCTACAATTTCTACTGGAAACCTGGCTAACTGGACCTGTCTTCTTTATTTGCTTCGAGAGGGAAAAATCTTGAGAAAAATTCTAGACAACACGGTCGAGCATATGCCGAACAATCTACACACGGACTATTCGGAGTGGGAATACCATTTGGATTTTCAAGGTCGAACTATGACAACGTACCACTATAATGAAAAAATTCATTCCGCTCGATTTGAGGACTTGAATGAGACATACGCCGAAAGACTAGAAAACGAGGAAATGGAAGAGAGTGATGGAGAAGATGATGATGAGGACATGGAAGAGAGTGATGGAGAAGAAGAGGACGAGGACATGGAAGAGTAATGGAGAGCAAAATGATGAAGACATGTCCGCAGATATTAACAGTGTTAATTAACGACAAAGATTGTTCATCCTAAGAGCATTATTAGACCAACAAAGGGGTTACAAAAGAAGCCTGCTATGTAGTAACAATGTGTGTTTCCCATTGACTGATTATAGAACTGCACTTCCTAAACATAGTCCATTACTAACCCATCGTCTATACACCTAGCATGAAAGCATCCTCAGTAAGCTCCCTATTGTCGGACAGATCTCGGCCTATCAGATTGGCAGATTGCTTCTGTTGATTGAGGATGGTTGGGGCGGAAGCTGCCGGGCAGCCCACACCACGTGTACCGTTGAAACTCTGTAAGACGATCAGAGACGTTGTGGCATGATCGAGTCTATCTTTGTTTGATTGAGCAAGAGGGTCAATGTTGAACGTGACTGGTGTTCCCAGAAAATTCCCTAAAGCGACGGCAGAATTCACTTTCTCTACAAATTCCTGGCGGTCGGGTGGACAAAAGCATGGAATCAAGACATTGTTAGCGCCAGCACAGCTGCCACTTCCATTAGGGTCTTGACCAGCTACTAAGCCAAAGGCTGGAATCAAGCTCGGATCGATGGACACGGGAGGAATCACAGCAGCGGAGATGATGGTCGCGGGAAGAATGAGAATCGTAGAAAAGCGCATTTTGATCATTGTAATATAGCAATAAAGAATGTTCCGACCGTTTATTTATATAAATATATGTTGCAAGAGGATTAAATTGGGACAACGTCGTTGGCATATCGTGTGCTTACGCCGTTATATGCCCTATTTTGGTACCTATGGGGGCTGTTTTAGCACCTTGCCGTACTTTACAAGTCGCTCCCAGTAGAAGAGACTTGGGCGGCTAGTTATTGCATTAATGCAACTTCTCTCTTTAGTCAGACTTTGTTAATTCTGTTTAGCGAACTGAGCCCAGGTACCAATACTAGTACTACGTTGTAGTGTTGACTTTAAGGGTCCAAAACTAACTCCACGTAGGCTGATAACTCATAGAACTGCCAGAAATGATGTGCAATGTTTCTAAAATTAATTAAAAGATACTTCAACTCAATTTTTCTTACAAATTTGCAATCTTGTGCGGTGTTTGCACTCTAGATGTATGTATATTATTGTAAATTATTTTAGCTCATCAAGTTCGGGGCTTAACTCAGGAATAACCTTTCTACGTTTGTATTCTCCTTCCTGCGCATTAGATGCCGCTTTGGGTCGGCCAGCTGCTAATACTGCTTGCGGTTCAATTTGCAATTCAGGAACATCTGCAGATCCAATGTAATCACTTTCTGATCCCGGAACCAGACATATAGTGTTTGTACCGTCTGCTGTAACGTCCTCAAAACATGTGCGAGGATCTAACTTACGGAAATTTCTATCGTATATCGTCATGCCGTCAAATTTTCTCATGTACTTTATCGCTAGCCGTTCTACCTCATTGATCTCACTCCTCTCACGGGGATCGACTAAGATGCTGCGTTCTATTCGCCAAGCCTTTTTTTCATAGATCTGAAAGGTAATAGTGACCTTCTGGGCGTCTATATCTCGATTGGAATGTTGCTCAGTGGAGTTAGGGATATCTTTTTCTTGATAGTTGACGTGATTAGTATTATATCGGGGGTTTTTTTTGGTAGGCCTTCTTACCTGGTTCAGTATCAGTTATAGGTTTCGCGGCTCCCCTTAGATCAAGTTGGGTGACCCGTTTACTTTCTCGTTCCCTCCGTGTCGTACCTATACCTCTAGGGGGCTTATTCTTCTTTTTTACTCGGTTATTTCCACCTGGATTTTTTGCGCTAGAAGTAGTAACTCTCTCTGGCTGCATATCTTCAACATGTTTCTGAGCTTTACTCATGTTTGAGTTTCGACTGTCATTTCTTTCGGATTGTTCTTTCTCTGTTTGACTTCGTCTCTTTTGCTCGGCCTGTTTCTGTTTCTCCAACTCCTCAGCCTGTCTCTGCCTCTCCAGTTCCTCAGCCTGCCTCTTTTCTTCAGCTTGCCTCTTTTCTTCAGCTTGCCTCTTTTCTTCAGCCTGTCTCTTTTCTTCAGCCTGTCTCTTTTCTTCAGCCTGTCTCTGCCTCTCCACTTCCTCGGCTTGTTTTTGTTCCCGTATTCCTTCAGCATGCCTTCGAGCGTTTTCCTCCTCCGCTTGTGTTTGCTCTTCATCTATAGGCTCTATGTCTTCGCCCAAATCAATTTCGATGTCGTCCTCGAATAGGTCTTGCTCCATTTGTATTCGCCCTTCCTCTCCAACGTGCTGCTGATATTCTCGTTCTGTCGTCTTCTTTTGCATCTCTATATGCCTTTCTTGAACTATCTGAGCAAGTAAAGCTTCTTCGGTTTGCCTTTTCTCCACTAGTTGAGCAATCAAGAGTTCTTCAGTTTCCCTTTCCTTGACTAGTTGAGCAAGCCTAGCTTCCTCAGACTGCCTTTGAACAGCTATTTGAGCAAGTCTAAATTCCTTGGCTTCCCATTGGGTGGTCAATTGAGCAAGTTCGACTTCCTTGGTCTGCCTTTGCTCAGCTAGTTGAGCAAGCCGATTTTCCTCAACCGACCTTTTTTCCATCAGCCGGGACAGGTCTCTCTCAGCTAGCCCCTGGCTTTCATTTTCCTGTTCTGCCAGCTTCGTACGCTGTTGTTCAAACACTAGTGGTACTTCTCCATCAGTTCCAATCTCATGCATATCCGATTCAGGAGCTCGTGTCTGCTCTGAAGTGGTGCTACAATTAGTAGTAGCAAGAGATCTACCAAAAAATGCAAAGTACACAGACCGTCGGATAAAGAAAGATCCTATCTCGAGGAATTCTTGCTCATTAGTGCGATGAAGCTTATCTAAAAACAGAGAAAGTCTGTCTTGTTTGTGATCCTTGGGCTCCGGAATTCCACATCGTCTGGGAGGTCTATCGTGAGATTCAACCTCAAGAATCTCCTTCGTCTCCTTCTCCGTTAGTATCTTAGCCGTAGAAAAAAAACCGATCATTTTCTGTATATGGTTTTCGAATGCGCTGGCATCATATTTGAAGTGTTCTGGTCTCCGCGCCTCTACTAGAGCTTTGTGAGCGATGTGTCTATCGGTAGACTCCCGAACGAAGTTCAGGATAAGTGTGGACTTGAATCCTAGTCGGTAGGCATGAGTGGCGATCTCACATAACGTTGCTTTATCAGGTTTCCAGTCCAATTTCCCTCCGGAGTAGCGCATAGCCATGATCCAAAGTTGCCGGAGTGTGGAATCTTCTCCTTCTGATGAGTCTCCTTGCCTTAGAACAAATTTAGACTCGGATTTCTGAACCACGTATTGGCCGTCTCTCTGGTTCCCATCTCTAAACGCTCGAAGAAGGGCAGTGGATACGGAATCTCTCGGGGATAAGTCTATAAGCGACTTAATGCACTTTACAGGACCCTGCAAATAGTTGATATCCTCGAAATAGCTGTAAAAAGATGGAATCAGCCGATCCACGGAGATTGACAGTAGCCTTTCCCATATGGCTTCGCCCTCTTGATCATTAAAAGCGCCGAAGATCTTGCGACTGCGCAGTTGACCATATAAATGTTCTCTATCTGTATTGCATGCTCCCGGTGCAGTAAGCTCAACAGCTTCCACAGTGGTTCTATCTAGCTTCTCCCTCTCTTGAGCGTCCGGAAGGATTTTAGTCCAAACTTCCTCAATATAATTGAGATAGCGAAGGGCTTCCTATTGAAAAAGTGAGCGCTTATGATTGCATCTAATTATTAGTCAGATGGTTTGAGATTGTCGTCCATACCTCATAGCATTTTGTGGCAAACGTTTTGTGTGATGTGCTTAGTCGCATGCCCCATTTCAATGCTGGAATGTTTAGCTGAAGGTCAAATGCATTCCTAAAATCTTTGTGGCGGAGAATCTGTTTGAGATTTTTTGCTTTGTGTTCGGATATCGCATACAAACGAGCCCACCACCGGTTCTCAAAGTAAAGATCCTGTGATATTTGGTATTGTCGAATTTTGCAGTAGATTTCTCCGTCATCTGGTTGCTTTTCAAAGGAGTACTCTTCGACAAGGGCAATTTTTAGGTCATTATCGAGGTCTGAATCATTGTAAGTACCTATGTATTAGCGGGCAATAGTCTTACTTGTGAGGTAAAAGTCCACAGTCCAGCGACTGTTGGGGTTGATGCGTGCAGCCGCTTTGATTCGGTGCTGCCCATGGAGACATTCCAGTTGGAAGCCTGTGGGGAAATCTAGCTCTGGGCAGTTACGGGTATCCAATAACCGCTCGGCAGAAATTCCCGAAGCGGCAAGAGCCTCCTCGAGCTGATGCTGATCAATGACTGCGGGAATGCGATTTCTGAACTGCCAGATATCTTGCTCATTTTCAGACTCCAATAGCTTTGTAAGTTTCTTGGTATGCTTGACGTCTACCTCCCTTGACTTCTCATTATTACGTGGAAATCGCAATAGAGCGATTTTTACTTGAGCGGAGCCTTTACGCTTCAAGAGTCTTTCTGCTGCAATCTTTTGCTCTCGTTCGATGAACTGTATCCGACTCATGTTGAGAAGTCGCCCGAAAGGTGAGAGTAATTGTAGCGACGGCAATGGTTTTATGAGTTTTGGTGTGTCACGGTGCAGATTTAGCTACCATGGTCAGTGCGCGATACTCCCGGGGTAACAATTATGGGTCCTGGCTATATATTTCGTCTATTTCGTTGGGGATTTATACAGAGAATATAAATCCAGATTTGTAGTTCATATGTGACTGACTGAAAATCTGATTCTTTATTACACTTTACCCAAAATGAGTGACACAAGAAACAAGCGTCACACCCGGATCGACTTCAATATGCTTGGCGGGCTCGAAAACCAAGCTGCGGACGCCAAGCACGATAGAATAAAAGGCTCTGCAAGAGAAAAGACGAAAAGAGAACATCACAAAAGCACAACCAGACCAGGCTTACGAGATTTCACCCTGGTTGAGGCCGCTAAAGCTGGGGTTAGGGCTCACGAATATATCAGAAAAAAAGATGAGTCTCCTTGGGAAGACTTTGAGAAGTGTTGGGATCTTCGGCTCGGTGTTAACAACTGGATCACTGTGGCCGAACGTAGAGCAAGCCAATCTAGTATCGTTGCGGTGAAAAGTCGATCGAACGACCCACTATCCAAACTTGTCCTAGTCAAAAAGTTCGAAGGACATAGTGTGCAGGAGAATTTGCACAAGTTTCAGCAACTACAGCACTCTAACATTGTATCTACTCTGGAGATTCTCAATTTCAATGGGGCTTCCTACGTTGTTCTCGAATATATGGCCTACTCTATCTCTTACGTAGCTGGAAATCCCCGTCTCGATGAAATTCGGTTGGCTGCAATACTCGGACAGGTATCACGCAATAGAAACACTTTAAATAAAGTCACTGACTGTAACAGATACTTGCTGGGCTTACGTACCTCACGGAAGAGGGCTTCGCACATAGCTCACTTGATTGCTCCAGTATCCTCATTCATCCATATGGAGACGTGAAAATTGGTTGGTAGAGTATGTACCTTTTCTATATTTTGAATCTAACGAACAAAGCAGCAAGCCTAGAGGATTGTTTTACACATACAACTAAGGAAGCTCTACAGTATGTTAAACCACTGGGCTCCATTATCACGGAATTGATGAACGGTTACGTCAAAGAAGGGGCTATTGGTGTTGATGACCTGCATCGTTGGCCACCTGGTTCAAACGCCGTTACCTTCCTTTCGGAAACCACTTCTGTGGTTTCCATTTTTGAATTGACAAAAGTATGTTATCAAACTAATATTTTTATTATGTTCTGATGTTTTCTAGCATCCGCTGCTCCAGCTCCCGTGGCGGAAGGATATGCTTGTAGGGGTGGTCTCTTTCGCCACTGTCGGAACGCGAATAGGGTACAGGTATCCGCCAAGCTAGATCTTTAGCTCAGTCATTCCTTACTACGTGAACGCGCTTTGAGACTAGACCGATTGTTTGCCTATTTAATGCAATGTTAGTTTGAAGTTCTGATTCTTGGCGTATTACGGGCACAGTTTTGGAACCCGCTGTGTACCCACTTATGGACCCCTCACTTATTAGAGTCTGACAATGTTCTATTTTTAATAGTTACTCGCTTCCTGTATGTTATTCACTTAAGTTCACTCATCATACAAAGAACGCCTATGTGCACATCCTTCTCAGCAAGTATCGTGCCGCCATGGAAATCATACAGATATATGCTATTTCTGTTGGTAGTTTCTTTCTTTTCCTTTTGCTTATCAGCCCCCGTTCCTATGTCAAGCTATTGATAACAGCCGTCTCGCTGCCAACCTATAGGCACCTCATTTACCCGCGGATCATCCGCCGTTATCGATACGTGGGCCCATGGAGTCGAGCCTCGGTTCTTTTGCAGTTGTGTTACATCCTCGTGAACACGTTCTGTATCAGTTTTAACGTTCCAAATGTCTTCACAGCCGGATCGCGAGCCGCACATCTGTCCTTGATCAATATGGTCCCCAATTTCGCCGGTCCTCATCTAAGCTTTCTCGCAGATATCCTAGGGGTCCCTTTGAGCACTTACCAATCGATTCACCGCTCTAGTGGAATCATGTCGAGTTTACTTTTACTTTTCCATATAATTACCATACCAGGAAGCCAGAAACAATTTCCCCTGCAGCTCACAGAAAACCTTTGGGGTCTTGTTGTAAGTCACTGACCAGCTCCAATTCCTAAATATGTTAGCAATCGCTCACGATGCTAAATAGGGCGCATCTTCTCTACTTCTGCTCTCATTACTCTCCATTCCTGTTCTTCGGAGATATTCATACGAGATATTCATCCGCACCCACCAAGTTTTGGCAATTTTTTCGGTATATTCCGTTCGGCGACACCTAGAGCAGAAACCACTTGTTTTACAGATTTACGTTTACATCTATATAGCCACATTCTTTGCAGCACTTCTTCTTCAAGGGTTCTTTATACGCCGATGCCAGGCTCGCATAGCTCGTTTTGAAGATACCATCAAGGTCGAATTAGCTCTGTCTCGGCCACTGAAAGTCAAAGCAGGGCAATACATCAATCTGTGGATTCCATCAACAAGCTTCTGGTCTATCTTCCAAAGCCACCCCTTCACCGTCGCATCTTGGTCCAATGGGGATCAGGAAGTCTTGGAACTTTTCATTGAGCCTCGCGGAGGTATGACTAAGAAATTACTACAAGGCCTTACGCCGAATTCTGATAACTTATATCCTGGCATTGATGGATCGCTTCCCCGCCTAGCCCTCTTCAGCGGACCACATGGAGTGAGTGCACCTGTTGGTGATTATGAAACGGTTCTACTGGTAGCAAGCGGCTCGGGTATAGTAGCGCAGCTACCGTACTTGAAGCAGCTAATATATGGGCATAACGCTCACAAGTCTCGTACTCGACGTGTGCATCTGATATGGCAACTAGAAAGCATAGGTATGATTGAAGTCCTAAGCGACTGAACTGCAGCTTACTATACTAAGGAACTGGTATCGCGGTACAATCGATGATTAATCAGATATTAGAGAACGACACGTTTCGTGTAAGTCATGTACTTTTGAAGCTACCAAAAATAAGCTAATACAAAGAAGATCCTCAGCATCTCCATGTACATTAAATCGGGAGGTACACAGTTGGTAACCGTAGTCAGAAAAGACAGTACAGCACCTCGCCGTACGAAACTTGTGAATGGAGATACACAGCTCGAAACAATACTGGAAGAAGAAGAGGTGACGGTTCCCAGCAAGCTGGTCAATGTGAAAGATGGGTCTGCTGATCTCAAGACGATTCTCCAAGAAGAAAGAGAGGGGAAGTATATAAATAGATCACCGGGGGAGGTAGGCGAGGGAAGCGATATTCTAATTACTGGTGAGATTTCCCGCATAGTTTCTCTGCTACCAAGCTAATTGTTTTTAGTGTCGGGAGCCGACGAATTGCGAGATGAACTTCGGGATCTTGTGCTCCCCTATATATATGACCGGGTAAAGCTTATTGAACTGGAATATCAACCAGCGTAATCAGAAATGTAGCAGAAATGGTTATCTCCAACGTCGATGGCTTTGGAGATATTCTTTCATATACTGTCCTTACTATTTATAGAAGAATTACAGTCACATTAATCTTTCAAGCGAAATCATTGATCCTATAATTCTGGTTTGCAAACAAAACCGATGAACCTTGCACAGGTTGCTAACTACCTCTCATAACATTCAATTCATTCACTGAAGGAATTTGTCCTGAAGCTTGAGGATTATTCAAATTTTCAATCAACAAGGAAAATTCAGGACGAGGTTTTGTCGATTCTCAAAGGCACACCGAAATTCCGAACTATGCAATTTGAGGAGGAGTTTGAAGACACGGAAGTCATATATTTGGCTACTTCTAGATGGGAGAGTTTGCTACCAGAGGGTTTGAATTTACACAGTGACTGCGAAGTAGGGGAAGAGTTCTAGGGTGTCGATAAGAATTTAGGAATTGAGTTTGGGATTTTACAAGACTTAGAAAAGTACCTTTCGATTTTACAATAATGATCCAGGTTTTTATAATAACATGTGTTGGTATAGTTTCCCTCTAAAATCAAAGTAGCTTATGAATGCTAGAAGGCTAGCATAATACAGCCATAGTATTAACATGCACATCGCATCTCACTGTGATTTTCAGCAACTTTAGTACGGCAATAGTCCTCAAATAATGTTCCCCAACGAAAGCTCCTCGAAGATCATTCCCCAGTGAATGTTCCCGGGAGCCATCTAATTTTAGCACTGAAAAGTGCTCCTCGACGAATGTGCCCTAGCGAAAGTTCCCCAACGAATGTTCCCCGACGAATATTCCCGGGAGCCATCTAATTTTAGCACTAAACAATGTTCCCCGAAGAACGTTCCCCAACGAAAGCTCCTCGAAGATCATTCCCCAGTGAATGTTCCCGGGAGCCATCTAATTTTAGCACTGAAAAGTGCTCCTCGACGAATGTTCCCTAAAGAAGGCTCCCCAACGAATGTTTCCCGAAGAAAGTTCCTCGAAGAACGTTCCCCGACGAATGTTCCCGGGAGAAATCTAATCTTACAGTAGATTTAGGCTCAGTATACATTCTTCTCAGAGATATAGGCTTGCGTCACATATCCTATATTTGTTCGATGAGTTTACAAAATTTACTTAATAATCCCTACCCTTCCCTAGGAAGCCGTTCAAATCCGCCCCAATTTCTATATAATCGTTAAGCTCCTCTAGCTCCTCCTCTAGCAACTCACCTATACGCTTGTAGATGTTAGCGAGCTTCTGCACACAAACTACCTTCCTCTGCTTCTTCTGAACCTTCCTGTAGTGCTCTAGAACTTTTGGGCATGACTGGGGATGTATTAGCCCTTTTGCATTAGACTCAATCGTCCAATAACTGAGGCAATATGAAGTATTTGATCCTTTCAGAGTGCTTTCGCTAGGTTGTTGGGTTGGCTATCGCTCCGATTCTTAGTGTTTCCCTTTTGGCTCTTGATCACTAGTTCGAAGGCTGCAGCGCGCTTCTTCGGCACTATCATAACAACTGGAAAAAAATCCTTTTAGATATCCTTTCAATACCACACGTTCAGCAAATGGTCACCTCCCTCTCTTGCAGTCCAGGCAAGCTAGACCATCATTTCTTACTCGTCTGCGACTATACGCCAAAGCGGCTTCCGCGGTTCCCATAACAGGGTTCCTGAGTGCTAAGCCTTCCAAGCTCTATTTTTATCAAAGGGAACTTTTAGACCCCGGTAAAAATGGACGATCATGCTAGCCCCAATCAGTATCTTCGATCGAAGCCGCCTTCTGATTATACAGTTACCAGTATTAGTTTATTCTATGACTAGCATTAATATTCATTACAGCACTATTATTTCAGCAGTAACGTGCCCCATCGAAATACTCTTGCCCTGTAGTGATAATGGTCAGAATCAACAGGATGTACCTCCAGCAATTCTCTAAAGGGATATTCTAAGGACTTTGACACTCTTGGGAACAAATCTGGGTCAGTTAATAATAGTAGATATGTTTCATAGCACGCTACATAGATCTTTTTAGAACCTTGAGGGTCCCTAAATCGGACCCTTGAATAATCAGCTTAGTCATCAAAGACGCTCCAAGTCAGTTTGTGCCAAACAATAAACTGGAAAAAGCGGACTTTAAAATTAGGTTCATTAAATTGAAAAATAACATCAAGATGTGCACGAAGGTCATCGCCACTACAATGTATACTTGCGGGGTCTCCGTCGAGTCGGATATGGTTTTCCATGTTCGGGCCAGACCGAGCCTTGACACGAAGCCAAGAAACAGTATCCGGCATCAAAAAGATCCCTATTCAAATGCGGCCAGCAAGTTTGTAAGAATCCATAGATCACTCTGTATGCCTCCCACGGAATTCCCTTGAGCTATGCTAACGTAGGATTAAGGGTTATGGACTATATATATACGTAGGAGTGCCAAGGCAACCGATTTAACCGTTAGATTCTGGAACGGTTCCAGCTTAGGATATGAAAGAAAAAGCCATCTAAATTATTTGCTATCCCTAAAAAGCTTAAAAGGTGACCCATCTCCTTTTCAGGCTGCTCGACCTGCCCTAAGGTCATCCCTATAAGGATGCAGGAAGTCTACATCTGTTATAAAGTTGATAAGATCGAATCCATCTTTGCTAGCAGAGGCATAACCATGGAAATCAACCGCTGCAGAGCCCTTAGAGTCGTATAGCCTTAGCCTACTGACACCATCATCGACATGCCGTAGAACAACCTCCCATGCAGTTTTTGAGCATGTTTCTCTCGCTGGTGGCATTCCGAACAATAATACGACACGGAATAATAGGAGTTGCGAAGAGATTCGGCTGAAAAAGGCTTCTTCTTCCTCATACAAGTTGATCTGCCGGCGCCTGAAGTCTGAATGCACGGAATCACTACTGATCTTGGTCCAATCCCAAGAGACTTGATTTTCTTTCTCGCTGATTTTTGTGTATTTCTCCCAACCGGGCGACGGAGCATCTGATAGTACATCAGGATTTTTCGTTACAATCAGATGCAGATCGTTTTTACGTACCGTCTGGGAGAAGATCCCATTTTTTGCGAATTTCTTCACTCTGCTCTTCAAATGTATCCACAAATTCTCCACCATCAAATTCCAGATCCGCATGCGAGTATATGCACCTGTCTACTGCAGGGATAGATCTGTGGCACTCAACCATACTTCCACATCGCCCCAAATAACTCTCATCCTCGAAGGTAGTTTTCCGCTTCTTCCCAGCACAGTCTGAGGGTGACGTAACCCCTAAGACTGGTGGTGATTGAGATGATTTAGTATTATGCATAGCCACTGACGGGAGGGCCAACTGCATCCACAAAATGGTCAGTGATGGGTCTCAACGAGCATAGTGTTCACCGTACCTGGATGCAAGCATTGATAGTGGGTACTTCAATCCCACTGCGGCCTTCGATCATATTGAAGTAATGTTTTGAATTTCAATAAGATTTCGACGGAGAAACGGGGAGATAAAATGGAAGAGGATGGATGGGAAGAAATTCCAAGGGGAGGCGTCTCTTTTATATTATTTCAGCTCCAAGGATGTAAGATCTCAAGGCAGATTTATGGATGGAGTGATCTAATAACTACCAAGAGATAATTTTGTCTTTCTGACATGCGTATTCCTTCATCATTCTGACAAGACCAGTCCCCTGTCAATATCAGATGCTACAGAGACATTAGTCTCAGCCTTTACCTGGCAAACGACTTGTATATTTCACGCAGTCCTTTAGATGATACGACCAGGCTTCATGTGGCAGTTGATGCCATCTATCACCGTGAAAACATGGTATGTTCGTCAAACACAACATTCTGAAGGTGCTTTAATGCCACGCAGAGCTACTAAGAGCGCTTGAACTAGATAATATTAGATAGTAGTTGGAGCTTGGAATACATCGGTGGTGGCGGCTTACAGTGAGAACTGAATGAATTCTAATGGAGATTTAGGACTTCTTAGCATTGCCTTCGGTATGAGGACGCCTTGCAAAAGGCTAGGACTGCTGACGTTCAGAGGCTTAGCTGGTATTCATGAGCTGTTTCACTAACTCAATCCATGTATGCACTGATCTATGACAAGAGAAATTGCAAGGCAGACTGCAGGATGCTTTCTCCGGCTTGACAGCTGATATTTACTCAAAGCCGATTATTAGCAATCCCATCCCTTCATATGGCACAGTGACATCCATGTGAAGAAACTGATCATTGAATGGTCAAGCAAAGACCAGGTTATTTCTATCTTGGAATCAATGTCCAAGATTAATGCCAGGACCTGAAGTCCGAGAGATCATTCGGAGGCGGCAAGGGTGCCATGGGTCCGGCTATATGCAAGGTCTTCTGAATCACCCTTCTTTTTTATATAAAAGCATCTCTCTTTTTTGAATGAAAGCTGAACTACAATTTGAACCAGCATCGTTCAGCTTCATTCTCTTATAGTTCATTTTCAGTTGTAACTGAGAGAGTTGAAAGAGAACTGAGTTATATCTAAGCGAGGGATGGGTTCATCACGGAAAAGTTTTTGACTACTTAAATACCTCGATTGGTGCGACAGGTGACACAGTCTAAAGAAAAACAGAAAATCATACAGCACAAGCGAAAGGAGAGATCTCTAGTTAGTCAAAATAGAAGGAGAAAGGAAACATCGAATCTATTCTTGCACGCTAGATAGCGAGGATTACGCTTGCAAAAGAAATAGTGTAACTTAAGTACTGTAGCCCTGCTAAAATATATTCAGCCAAAAAAATTCACGTCAATAATTAATTGACTAGATTTAACATTAAGCTCCCAAAATCCTCATGAAGTAGACAAGAATATCTAATAATCAGGCTGTGTGGCATATCCTCTTCCCATTCGCCTCAGTTTAAATGATAATCGGGGTGATCCCGGCCAAAATCGTCATAATAACAGCGCAGCTCAGCCCTCCAATACAAAGACCTTCAATGCTGCCCTTTCCCACTTCAACCCAAGATGGAAGTTCTGCAGTCTTCTTTTGTAGAAGAACTAGAACTACAGTAGGTATGAAAAGGACGACACAACAAAGAAGGCCTAGTCCCGCTACCACTCTCAACCCAATGACAAGTTTTCCAATAATGCTTGTGATACTGAATAGGCTGCTGACGATTGCACAGAGTAGTAGAAGAGCAATGACCACCAGTATTACTAATCCTGCCACCAAGGCATTCTGGATGTAAGAGCCCGTAATCTTTGTCAACGTACGCCCTAGGGGTTGGAGCTTCTCCTCAAATTTTTGCTGGATTTCTTGCAACTTATCTTCAAGAGGTTTTTTAAGAGAATCAGGGAGGGCACTATCTGGTAAGATTTGGGAAATATCTGGCACTAGATCCGATAGGTTTAGCGGTAGTGTTTTACAGCTTGCGTTGTATTTATAGCCGACGCAGAATTCCCTTGTACCTAGTGAGCAATTTCGAGGAACATGTTTTTCAATTTCATCTATAGGTGCTTCAACGATACCCGGAAGGCTAGTCTCAACCGCGCCTTTGACACTGTTGACCTTACTCTTGATATCCTGGAGAATATCTCGATTGTGAATTGTGCGAGTTTCTAGAAGCGGAATATCCGGAAGAATGTCGCTGGCATTGAACTGTCTTTTCATTAGCCATTTTACTAACATCAAGGGGAAATAAAGACTAACAGCGAGAGTTAGAACCCCGTTTTTAGCGTAACTTTTATCCAGGATCCGCCCTACTAGACTGATAGAAGCTGCAGCGAAGAGCAAAGTTACTAGCAATACAGCTGTTCGTAGCATTTTCGAAGTTAAGTTTTTGTAACAAAAAAGAATGACTTCAAGCATAATTTATATTGGGTAGTGCCCAAAACTGGTTCCATTTCTCGCTTGCTCACATCAAAGGGTACCAGTTTAGGTATCGAGATGAGCCCTAAACTGACTCCTAAGTTTCTAATTAAGCAACACTAATTTTAGACACCACTAGCCTCATGGAAGGGACCTAAAGCAAATATATAGATCTAAATCTACTAATATTAATCATGGTTTTACTGCTCTCAGCTGCTGCCAAGAAGATTAAAACGTTAACGTGTGACAATGGTTTTTGTTAAAGAGTATGTTATGATCTCGTCACGTATCTCAGACTGACTCAGCAATAGACGGGGAACGTTCTCTACTAGAAACAACGCAACAAGCTATAAATCTTCGCGATCTCTCGGTCATGGAGCAATTGTCAGTATCACTGCTGGTGTTATTGTGTTCGTTGGAGCTTTTCTTATCCTGTGCCTTTACCAGCGGAAGAAGAATCGTAAGGAAGATCGCCCAGCGCGTGTAAGAGGGCTCGAAATTCGGCATGTAACACCTGTTTAATTTACGTGACCGTTACTTTAATTAGTCCGATCATCATGCTTACGTGCATTTCTCTATCGCTAAGCACGGAAATTGTCTCTGAAACGCGCTTTGGTGCTGAACCTTAATTGCTTCCCATCTTCGAGTAATTCAATTGAATTAATATGATTAGTTAGCTGAGTAGTGTACTGTACAAGCCTGGAAAAAGTGGGTGCGAGGGAGCGGCTATGAGATATATCAAAGTAATAAAACAATAGGATGAAAATTTCAGCCTCTATTATAGTAACTATATTAACTACGCATGTATAATTGTAATGAACTAGTCTATATGAAGATACTGCAGCCAAAAAAGAAAGGGGAAAGCACAAGAATCGGGACTATATATCTCTCTACGAGAGAGCAATGGCCATTGGTCCAGCCAGGGCCGCAGTGGCAAGATCATTCACATCGTCTGGCTGCTGAACGGTTACCACCGCAAATGCCACTCCGTTAAAACCTTGGGGTACATCTGTGGTTCCTCTTCCCTTTGTTATAATATTTAGTGGTGTATAAACTGGCTTTTGAAGCTGGTTAACCCATCCGATACATAATGGCTTCCCAGCTTCGGTGACGAATGGCATTTGGGTAGGATCCCACATGAACTCCTTCGTACCCTTGCTTTCAGTGCCATTACTGTATAATGCGCCGGAATGCTGAGAGACGGCTAATCTCGGAAGTATCGGTATGGGAAGCTCGACTGAACAAGAACCAGGCTGAATAAATGACAATCCAAGATTGTACGCCCAGATAGGGCTTATACCGGTATCAAATGGCGCTGGATTTGGTACTGCGCCGCGGACATGCCGAAGAAACGCATCGTGCCGTGATTCAACCGTCAGTATGGATGATACTGGCTTCACAAGCGAAGGATCCGTAATTGCTAGGCGCTCATTAAGTCCAATCGTTGCGCCAATACCAACAGACGTAATGATATGGGCGAGATCGAAGAATTCTTTACTAGTAGTAACTGGAAAAGAGTAATTGCAGGGTAGAACCAGAGTTTCGTTGTAAAGTTGTAGAATGTTCTCGATACTGGAAGCATGGACTTCTTCTTGCTACACATGTGTTATGACATTGAACAAGAGACGAGCCAGCTATACTTACAGCTGCAATCTTGCTAACAATTTCCATGGTATCATTGCGCAGCTCACTGGTGCCCCATTCGGTGAGATTTTTTAAGCCCGCGTTGAAGAAAGCGACTTGCACGTTTTTGAGAAAGTGCGCGAATTGAAGCCCATTCTTAGCATTGGCAGAGATGTCTGCCGGCAAAATACTGTTCGGTTGGCCACCGCCAGCCGTCGCAACGCTTTGGGAGCAATGAGAAGCTGCGGCAGCTACTCCTCCCATCGCGATGGAGTATGCATAGAGAAGAACTGCGAAATCCTTAAAGAAGTACATAGCTGCAGTGAGTTGATTGTAGAACTCAGGCTTCAAATGCATTATTATACTTTTAAGTGATGGGGAGATGTCTGTCCCAATTATGACCCGCGGGTCCTATTTTGGACCCTCGCTATTTATAGTGATCAAGGGCTACATTTAGTCTCTGTTGGACTGTCGCTTGCATAAGCGGTGAACCTGCAAGCAAAAGATCGACGGGTATGCTGACATAAGCACCCACCGTAAACACATTCGTCCATTTAACACCACGAACAAATAAATCTTCTTGTGGACTGGTAAATTTGTGGAGACTCTATCTACTATGACCCGGGCACAAATACAACGCATTCAGCGAATAATAATCTAAAACAATCATTCCTTGTCAAGGTGAGAGGACTGGATAGTACAGTGCATGGAGTATTGGGATTGAACTAAGGTTTTGGTAAAGTTGTCGGCCGGTCCATCTAAATTTCTAAGCACATACCACCTTCCATAGCTTGTATGGTGACGCCATGAAACTGAGGGAAGAGCTTTCCTAACTATGCACGGTCGACGACCACAGGTCGCCGTGCTGCCACTATGAAGGCTGTCCACATTCCAGACAGTAAGCGCCATATGCTGTGACATTCCTTCACACTACCTTTTCCCGCTAGTTCCTGAAGCTTCTCAATAGACGTTTTAACTAGGTCGTCAAAATCGTCAAGCAACGTTACATTGTCTTTCTTGCAGAGATATTGAACGTTCCCACGCCGGTGGTATCCTTCAGGACAGCAGACGATCAGTTTCCCAGACTGAGAATAGCGACCCAGTTCCATGAGTGAAACGGGGCTGATAGTGTTGGGATGAAAGTAAAGAATGATGAGATCACTCTTGTCGAGATTCGTCATTTCCCAATCCATTTGATGAAGGAGATTTTTGTCCTTGATGTCTTGTTTCCAATCAGGGTCCCAATGAATTCGGCGGGGATTGAACGCAGCCACAGGAAGAAATGCGAGTTTATCGGCAAATGCGGTTTGCCAATCGGGTGCTTTTCCCATCTCTATGCTACCCCCAAGAAAAATTCGTACGCGTTTGTCGATCTTAACATTGTCGAGAGGGCCACAGTGAATGAATTCTGGGTTTTTATGTGGCTTCTCTGCCATGTATGAAGAGAGGGGCTCCCCTTGGCCAGTTTCTGGGAACTTCATGTTAAAAAATTGATGGGAATGATAGGTTGAAATGGGTTTGTTGGGAGTGGTAGCAGCAGATAGATGACCATATTAGAACTTGGGCATGAAATGCTATATATACTTCGATGTGTGCTGATCAGAACCGTCAACGTGTCTATGTGGCGGAGTGTAAATTTGCATAATCAATCCACCGACTCACCGAATTATTCTTGGTTTAGGCGCCTTATCGAGTTTCACACTAAAATATTGCATCGCCACTGTGACTCAAATTGTAGGATTTCATGCAATTGGCATATCTCTGGTTTCCTCCTCAGACAAGCTGAGTAACTCGTATCATTGCTCCGACAACAAATCCGAGCTAGATGTTGCCGTGTCCTCCAAAAAGAATCGGCCCAGGGTCCAAAAACACGACATGAATTCCTTGAAAGGTTCCTGATTAAGCTCCATCCAGTCATGGCCCCGTTCCTCGGCCCCGATTTTTCTGCTCCCATACACAGAACATACACCGTCTTACTCTTCGCTCATTTCAAGTTCAGTTGAAAGACTACTGCAGCGTTCGAAAAGGTGTAGGAGAAACAGCCAAGGTTACCTCGATCTATTGATTACAAGTCATGTTAGGCAGCTCATCTGTTCAGAATTCATGCGTTAGCCTAAGACGAGGCAGACATCCGGAACTTTTGAGCAAGGCATCGGATAAGCACACCTACGCCTTGGCCCTAAGTCACTGTTCACTATCAGCTGCTTTAGTCTGAACACGCGTGCATGACGCGGAGATAAACAGTTTCTTATGGTGTACAGCTGGTGTGGTGCGTACGGAATAATTCACTTTCTATCAATGGTATGATGCTAGCTGACATTTCATTTATTCTGCAGCCTATTGCCACACGACAGTAATACCCAGGCTTATAAATACTGGCCTTCCCACTCATACACGGTCTTTCATCTGCTTCACTAGTGACTCCAAGCATACTGAAAATTCCATTACCAACCCAACCCAGTCTGATAACATGGATTCCACCCATCTTTGTCCGTACTGCCTTGCTTATAAAAATCATCTTTACGAACATTCCGGCGCCACCCACAATGGAAATTCTGAATCCATCTTTGTGAGAATGAAACATCTCTGGACGCACATTGAGCATGAGCCTAAGATAACTGGTGCTCAATGTCAGAAGGTATGATTCAGATTCGTCGTTTCTATTGAAACTAACCCATAGTAGGATGATAGAAGCAGAAAATTATACAACACCGCTCACAGCAAAGCGGGTGTTACTCGCCAAAGATATGAGACAGCCACACACAATCTTATCCTCTATCAGTCTGATGAGATACACAATCTTAAAACGAAGGTCATAGAACATGAGCAATCTCTCGATAGTCTCCGATGGAACTTGGCTTCTGCTATCAAGCGTATCTCTGAGCTTGAAAATAAGACTTTTGGAGCATAGAATATTGTAGACATTGCGCGGATGTAGAAAAATTGTGAACAAATTTTCGGCAAACGTCTGGAACGACCACTAGATAAATTCCATCATTCAATTCAATTTCTAAAATATTAAAAATTGCCCTCATTATAAGATCTAAGTTGACCCCTCACATTCCAAGCAAATCTCTTCAGAGTCTTCGAACCACCGTTCCAGTACCGGGTATCCTCCCTCGGGCACAAAATGTGCAATGAGAAACCATTCATCTGAGTTTCTCGATTTCGTTAACCAAATAAATGGTGGCTCTAGCACTTTGATTCCCAGCTCTGAGTTCTTCCAGAATGAATAGGCCGAATAAAAAGTGCCTTTCCCGGAAATTAGCGCTTCTCTCTTTGCAAGCATAATCTCCGGGCACAATATTATGTCAGAAATGTTTAAAACTATCCCGCTGTCAAAGATGATTTCATCAGTACCCTCTGCGTGTGTATGAGACTTTAAGGAGCTGAAGAAAAGATCTTTTGAATACACCACATCGCCAGATCTATCCCCTGAGAGGAGTGTCACGTATATAGGAGGTGAATGTTGAAAGTCGTTCGATTTTTGCGTCGCAATTGTACAAAGTTTGGCCCCAAAGAGGACAGGATTCAATTGAAGTTCCCTATCCACCTCGTCAAGCCACCCGTAATTCGAGAAAATAGCGTCTCAAACTACTTTGTGGCGGTCCTGATCGAACGAAAGACATGTGCTGAACGCTTCCTTATCTCTGACCGACATAGGTGAAAGGCTTTCAGATTCAGAATATGTTAAGAATGGTAACACATTTTGGCTATGAGTTGGTCTTCAGTCGTGGTAATAAATAGCTTTGGAAGGGTCTAAAAATGGAAACTCTTTGAACAGTATTGATTATCGGGGAACTTCGCAGTCTTGAAAGGGATTTTTGTGTGCAAAGGCTAAACCGACCCCTTCTATCAGTAGATATTCTATTTATATTCACCAGGGCTGTAATTATTACTGCATTCTACAGCAGAAGAGAAGATTAGATAATGTAAGCATTTTTCTAGTATTCGAATCCACTGTACTTAATGGGATCACATTTGGCACCTGGTGATTCCAAATCTGCGGCCTAACATCACACCCGTGTTCGCAGCGGTAGACTAGTGATTTTAAAAAGTTGCCCTGCTAAATTTTGGGCAATGTCGAGGCCCCTTTTTGTGCTCTTTGATCACATTTATATAATAAATGCTGATCGTGCCTATTACTGCTCTGCAAAGACTTCTCAGAACCCCTATGCAAAACTCTGCAAGGTTTCACTCAATATTCATGGCAAGCAAATCTTTGAACAACGACGAATTGGACGAACATTGGAGCTGGTATGAGGAGTGGTGTGGTGATGATGATGAAATCCCCGAGCTGGATGATGAAGACTACGAAACGATATGCAATATTATCGAAGAGCTCTTCCAGCATATCCGCCATCAACAAAAATTAATCGCTAGTTTTAAGAGTGAGGTAATGAAGTCTCTGGGTGAAATCAGAGAGGATGTTGATGGATTTAAGAGTCGTAAGAGGAAGAGTCAAGGCAGCGAGCCAATGAGAACGAAGAGAGCCAAGGGGGCGTGATTCTCGCACATAAACCTCGTTGGAATGAATCACCCCCGCGTCAATATTCTCTAGCAGTATGGCTATGATTCAGAGGGTCTGGCGGGATTTAAAAGAACGTGTACAGAATTGATAGTGTCAATAATTCCAAGATTCAATCCTGGCCAGAAATTTTCCCTCGCAGTGCCATGGCGACGATTTTGCTCCAAGCGATCATGTGACTTACGTTAACGTGTTAACTTGGTACTTTGCAGCGAACACCCTTTGTCGCATTTTCCAGATTCTTGAAGTATCAAGTGTAAAATGCTAATATTATTACTGCACACGAAGGGGGAAGACCGACATAAAATTGATTGAAAGTTGAATTACAATAAGTCTTGATAGATAACTACGAAAAGGGATGTATATTGGAATAGAATTCGGAGTAACCAGTCGCTTCTCTTCACTTTCTTTTTTGCCGCTTTGATTCGCCGTTTTTACTTTCAGCCTCTTCCTCACGGGACCTCTTAAGTCGCTCAGTCCCGATAGCAGACTTGGTCTTTCTTACTTTCTTTGGCCTTTCAGCCTCATCATCGCCATCATCGCCGTGTGATCTCTTTTGGAAGCCACCAAAATCGAGAAATTCACCCTTTAGCCGCTTGAGATTCTTCGTTTCGCTCTCGATATCTTCACTGGCTTTCCTTTTCTTTATGAATGCACTGACTTCTTTCTTGATACTGTCCATGGGGATATCAAGCTCACTCAAAATGTCGGCTTGATCCGAAATAAGAGTCTTTTGATAATAAACATACTTCAATAAGGCTCCAACGAAATGAATAAGCCATTCGTAGTCAGTGGTGCTCAAACTGTTTCTATCAGCTCGATGCTGATAGTAATCGAGCGCTTTCTTGATATCGTTCAGCTCTGCTGATTCCAGAGGAGGGGTCATCTTTGGCGATTCTACTTTTCACACCAACATAGAGAAGCTTTCACTATTTATGTTTCGTCTTGGAAAGGACCAAAAGCCGGGTCAGGTGGTGGGACAAAATTGGGACGTGTCGATGGGCCTAAATTTGGACCTTCGGTGAGGACAGTTGCAATCCATCCTGGCTTTATTATTAGGTATCTTCCATCCGCGATCTGTTCTACGCATAAACTCAAACAAATATGGTTGTCGAGGAGTCACTTGGCGAGTTACCGAAGTTTTTTCAGTACAGACGAAATTTGCTATTCCACGCTATCTCGCAACAGAGCGAACATCATCTTTGAGTTTGCAAGACCAGCAAATATGCTGTTGACAAGAATCCCTCGGCAGGGGTAAGCGAAGGATCGGGTGTCATTGGGACTGTGTCAACTGCGAGCGGGCCAGGTTCGGAGTAACATTAGTGCATTAGCTTGGGTGTTGTAAACCTACTTCACTACATGAGATAAGTAACTGTGCAGTTCGCTATTGTTCATTCTGTAATTGAATCCGCATTTGTTCTTTATAAATCTGAGTTCCAGATAAGCCTCAAGACAAAAAGCAGAAGAATGCTAATGAAGTCTCGCTGATTGAGCAATAGAGACTACTCAAGTACGTGTTCCCCTTGGGGAATCCTGACTATTGAGCTCGAATGCTCCTTGTGAATTATTGTAGTCTCTCTCAAGTAGATGGAATATGGCCTCCCACCCATTGATTCCTTTGATAATCCATTTGATGATGATGGGAAAAGCGATACTAAAGTTGGAAAGTATCTGAGCAAATGTACAAACCTGGTAAATGTGAGATTATATAAAGTGAATAGAGGTACATACGTACGAGAAAAATCCCATCGCGGGTACCAGTTTCAGGCTTGGACAAAAGAACAGAGCGTAGGATGATAGCTGTTCCACATAACTCACTCAGTACGACTGCCATGTTGATGATGAAAAAAACCATCAATATAACCTTGTAATTTTGATTGTTTCTCCCTGAATTGCGGTGTTGACGTAGAGATCGGTAAGATAATCTTACAACTGTGAGTGGTCCTATGCTGAGGGTAAACAAGATTACTGATTCGTATATAAGTAGCATTTCCGTATTAATATCCCAGATGAGGAATCCAGAAGGGTCCCTCGTGAAAGGGTTGCCAAGATACCGGACACTATCCCGTGCAGTCAAGATAATGGCAGCTATATATGGAAGATACGTAATAGTACGGTCCATAAACAAGCCCTGGAGGTGGCGCACAAACTATACAAGCTATGATTAGCTGTTTGACTGATATAAGTAGCGGCCCTTACATTCATGCTTGTAAGAAGTTGGAGCGTGAATGTGATCGAAAGATCTATCCATTTGAAATGGCTGATGGAAGCGATTGCAATAGCGATTGCCGTTATGTCGTTTATAAATAGAAAAACTTGGGCGAGGTCGAAAGCAGCAGCCACAAATCTTTCTTTAGATGTGGCTGTTCTGGAAGTTCCATTCGTCTCAACGACGCTGTGCGGCATTGCATCTCGATATAGAAGCTTGGTACTTGAAACTAAGCCTATCGAAAAACAAACAATATAAGCGATAAGAATAGCACTAGGCATTGTAAAAAGAGGAGGGTCGAAATGAGAAGCTATAGATGATCTGAATAGCTGCGGACTGAGTGGTATTTGTATGCCATTTATTTCGGACTTAATGCAATCTCAGAGGTTCTAGGACTCTATCTGATTTGCTCTATTGTCAGGCAACGATAGAAGGACCGCATAAATTAGGCCTTCTAGATGTCTCAGCGCGATGAACGTGAAATTCATTGATAGCGCTCTAGCACAGTTGGAAGCAGCAGCTGTGAGTAGGAATGTCCTGGATCACCCTCAAATCAGAGCCATAGAAGCCCCATGAGCCATTGAATACGCCTGGCAGGACACCTTACTCGGGGATAAGAAAGCTCATTGCCCGATCCATAAAACAGAGGATCAATAATAGAAACGTAATGCTCATGCAAACATATGATCCTCGTCACGATCCATTGTTTCTGACCAGTGAAGTGGTGTCGGAAACCTCAACGACGAATGACATTCAATTTCTTGTGGTCACTGTGCCGACTGACCCCTATCTTTGCCCCTAATAAGGCGTACTCGATGCTGAAGGTGAGTCGAGACCAAGAACTGAATGAACTACGCACTTCAGCTTGATTGCTTTGATACCTGCCAATATCTCACATGAGAACAACCCCATGAACATGTCTTAAGATATCATTGAGGCGTAACTACTAGTGATACCTCGCTATTATCGTAAAAGATGAATTTTCCACCAACTGAGAACTAGTAGATCATGAGACTCTGTCTTCGTAGTCGTGTCAAAATGAGGTTGTGAAATATGGTACTGCACAGAACCTCCTGCTAGCTTCAATATCGATACGTTTAAGGCCTATTTCATGGTATCGAATTTAGTAAGATAAGTTCCAAGTCTTTGAATATCGGGATGAGTCTCTGAGACACCCCCTTGACTTTACTTAAATCCATGTAACTAACCTTGTTTTCGGATCATATGGATAGATCCTCCCTGGTTTGCATGAAAAAGCCTTGTGTTTGTGGTGGCGGTATTGCCATGCGTTATTCATGTGGTCAAGAATGAACTTGTATGTCATCTTTGGTGCAGAAGTCTGCCTTGAGCGTTTTCCGGCAAGGATTTCAAATCGATATATAAAGGACCCTTATAATCTCTCAAAAACCTCTCATGATCTATTTGATTCCCTAAACCCCATCACGCTTTTCATTGGTTTTTAAACGATGAAGACCTCCGGAATTGCTACAGTGGATTCTCGACTCATGGTGAGAGAGCCATTGTAAAAATACGATACTCTTACTGAAATTGTATAGAACCTATCGCAAGATTCGAATGGAGCGCTTGGAGCCGCAACACCGGCAATTAATTTTGCTTTATGATTCAATCAGGTTCTCACACTATCAATCAGCATGCACATTCAACAGCGGAGAACATCGATGATCCAAGTCACGGGAAGACAGATATGGGCGAGAAAAGTACGGAATGTCATATTGCAAAAGAGACATTTAGGCCAGATGGCACGCTTGGTTAGTTGATTCCGAAACCCCTCTCAACCTAGCTCATGGCTCGACATAATAGACAAATTAGTTGTTTTGGTCACTTCACTTGGCTCCAGAATCAGTAAACTCGAACACTCCATCGACTACATCATGAGTCACCTGGGGAACTTAGATGATCAGGTAAGTGACCTGAGCATAGCCTGCGACGAAAATAAGGAGGATGCTCGAAGAGGTAAAAGCGATACTCGTTTAATGGAAGAACACAATGAGTCTGAATCGGGAAGAGTTCAATATTTTAAGCAAAATGTGACGAGGCCCGAAAAGAGAGCACGAAAAGATTGAGACATCCTCGGTTACTATGAAGGTTATAGCTGTCTTTAATGAAATCCGAAAGACTAGATTGTTCTATATGTTTCTGAAAACTTCGGTGATAGTGAAGGCTGCTTTGGCCGAGTATGATGTGATGCCTGACCTCATTTATTAGACGGATCAATCTCAAAAACACAAAGGCATTTGTGAGTTTCTTTAAAAGTTTCCATCTTTTCTATTACAGCGACTGCCCTCCAGTGACTGCAGCTTGAAATGCATCTGCGCCCTCCTCCAACATTTTCTTCTTACTCTCAAGATGAGCCCGCAACTGCCTAATCTCAAACGGTTCGGAGGCGATGCTTTGAATTTTCTCTTCTGTATACCCAGCAATTGATCTAGGAGATAAGATCTCTGCAAGGGGCGCGAGAAGTTGTCGCTCGATGGCCTGTTTTGTTATCACATCGACATAATACTTCCGTTCGTCCTACAGAAGGTCAAAATCTATTATGCAAGGTGACGATAGAAATGAGAATCTACCTTGTAGAATGCATCGTGTGCATCTAGAGCCTGCTCAGCAGCAAACGTATCCATATCGTGTTGGATCGTGCGCAGGAGCGCGGACTTTAGCGCCGCCGGATCAATATATTCCTTTTCTACAAAGCCTGGTCCTGCTACGAACGTCTTCTCCGAGACTTCAACCATTGAATCTTCCGCATTCTCCATCAGGCATCTTGTCAGCCGCTCCTGATGGAGCTTTTGAATGTTGTCAGTGAAGTAATGGTTGTACGTTATCGGATGCCGTGACTTGTCTGCTAGAACCCGCTCTAGTTCTGTGATAGCTTCCGAATGCGCATGTTTCAGAAAAGGTAATACGGTAAGTATTGAGAGCTTTTCTGTAGTATCAGGTGTCCCTATACTGCTGAGAACCGCAAGTACAAACCTTTTACAGGCACTTGCAACACCGTCGATGTGCTTGCGAGCAAGAGACTCCCAATTAGTCGATTGCTCCTGGAATAAATGCCCTATAATCATAGGATTGAATACTCCGGGTAGCTCGCGTCCCCGTATTCTCTATTGTATTTGGTTCACCCATTTGATTGCTTGTTGCCGTCTCATCTTTATTGGCTTTTGGGTCGTCTTACGGATTCTCTTCCTCGCAGTCACCCAAGGTTCATCATGGTTGATATCATCCTCGTGAATCTCTTCATATTCCTTCTCAATCTCGAATGTATGGCCATTGAGCCGTATCTTGTCCGCAAAAACAATGTTCAAATGTTGCACTACTGCGCGCAGTCTGACAAAATTCTGTTGCGCATCAACAGGAGCGTCGACATCGATGCTTCCGAAAAAGGGAGCTTCGTAGATTCCGTCGCAACCCATTCGAATTATGTTGGACGCTGATGTTGCAAGCTCGGCGAGAAAGATTCGTTGGTCGGCAAGACTATCCCGGCACTTTCCCAAGGTTTCTAGCTCGGCCAGTGTCTTTGATAACATGGAATTCAATTCATCCTCGAGATCAGGCAAGGCCTTTCGCAAGTGATCAAATAAGAGTACGCTGAGACGCTCACGGAGGTGGTGTACACCCATCATACTCCGAGGAAGGGACGTATAATTTCCTGCCTTGAAGAAAGCCTGCTCTTCAAGGTTTCTTTGATCAAAGGAAATACTGTGTTGGTCATCCGCACGATTTTTAAGTAGATGCCATCCAATTTCGAAGAATATGTCTTTGTTACTTGCTAAGTCGAGCCATGTCGACTCGTTTTCCGATCCAGGCCGAAGGAAGTCCGGTTTTGTAATGATGCCCAAAGTTCGAGCTCCCTTTGTGTCGAACTCACGGCACATCTTTAGGATGATCTGATTCGCGTAGTCGTTTTTCGCAGAGACGACTGCGAGCATGATGGTACGTTGTTTCGATATGTAGTCTTTGACAAGCGACTTTATCAGCTCGACGTCTTCCTCAGACTGTGATTTGTTGGACGCATGAATGAGGCCAGGAAGATCAATCAACGTACTGCCCAAATTAGCCAGATGCAACGCCACAACATGATCAGTGAAAAGCATGTACATACAGCTGCGGTCGATTCGGTCCACATATCTCGATACATAGAACGTCTTTCGAGAACGCTTTGGATGGTCCAAGCCCCATTGCTTCTGTGGCTTCGTCTATGAGCGAAGGCAGCTCACCGAAATCTTGAATAGTCCTAGAGAAGCTACGCAGACGATCCATCTCGTGGTCTTGACGTGTCTCATCCGGGTTGATCTTGCACGAAATGGATTCCTCTATATCGCGTCGAAGACTGATCTCTGTAGCAAACCGAGTGCACAGGTTTTCCTTCCGAGGGAATGGAATCTCAGTGATGGCTTCCAAGACAGAGCTCTTCCCTGATGATTGGTCGCCACAAACGACGATCTGTGGCAACTGCAACAGTGTACTCAATCCCGCTCTTCGAAGTCGGTCAACGAGATCCATGAGTTCACGCTGCTCGGAGCTTTGCAGAGCCTCCAGAGAGGTCGTCGTCGTCATCGTCGTCGGAATCTCGTTTTGGTGTATGTCTGACATCATGAAGTCACCCATTCGGCTTTTCGCTGCGCGGAGAAAGTCTACTTCAATATAAAGATGAAAATGCTTCCTGTTCAAAATATAAATCATGTAGTCTGCCGTAACACGAAGGTAAATGAGCAAATATTCATATAACGATAATATATATAAGAGTCTTACTATGTATTGAGTTTCTATTTCAGAAGTATCCTTTCGTTGTCTTTGGTATTAAACAGCAAAAACGTAAAATCCTAGAGTTTTAAAGCTACCAAGTGTACATCTTCAGAATCATAAATTCCTTGGCCAATCATTGTTACCAATCTGACCACGCGCTGGCTTCTCCATATCTCTACCTAGTCATTTTTTAAGTTTCCCAAGCGCACCTGCGGACACTGTCTGTACATACGTCTGAGCTGATGCGTGTTGAAGTTCCAAAGATAGTTTGCGGAACCTATATGTTCTTTCGGGGCAAAGGGGGAGGGGTTGACGGTATCTATCTACCACTGTTAGAGATATTTTCGCGATAACGCTCGTCAATATATCTCTGTAACTGATAGCATTGCCTGGTAGACATGTTCAAGTTTTGTGTATCAATACCCGAATCGCATCTAACAGATCCCAGGTTGTTTTAACTATTCAATAGCAGTTATTTCATCTGATGGACCGAATGGCGTGCGATCTTCTATTCTTTTTTGAATCAGAAATCGTATCAATGAAGTGTTGAACCAATTTCCATGATCGAAATTGTTTGAAGTCTCGAACTGCTTTCCGTAGCTCCTACATAAATTTGCAGATGTCAATTGATCATAATGTGTCGTGCTATTTAGGCGCCATATGAACCCCACACTATCCTCGCAACCACAGGAAATGGTTCTATGGAATGTGAACTAGTAGCGCTAATGCAATTACTCCCATAAAAGATGGTCAGATGCCAAAAATGGACATTTATCTGTGTTCAGATTTGGACACTGCGCAGCCCACAGTGATACTTGTCATCACGGCATCCAAGTGATGAGAAGCTTCCCACAAGTTGAATGTTGTGGGAAATATGGGATTGGAGCGATAAGCAACCCTCAATAAACCTTATGCAGGAAAGTTTTCACAATCCGTGCGATGGACTTTTCCTTATCTCTTACTCAGCCTGCATCGAAACACTAGATTTCTTGGGTTATCGTCGGTTCAAGCTCAGCACTGCTTGATAAGAATTCGGGTGGTGTTTGTTTAGTCAACGACGCGCTTCCAGCGGTTCTATACACTTGGAACGACTCTTCAACCGTAATTGCAAACCTTCGCCACCAAAATTGATTAAGGTCAGCCATCATCAGCGCGATTATATAGCTCCTTCATCCCACAAACCATAATATTTTTCATCATCAGTTTCGAACTCAAATTTTCAAGAGCAAATTATGACGTGTTAATGATTGTAGTTAGAAAAGAATCGCTGACCAAAAAAAATGAACTTCCATATTGACTGCAAAAATGATTATCTTCTTCACCCTAATTTCAAAGAAGATCTAGCGTCCAAGTCCTCCCATCGCCTCCCGAAAGATATCCATACCAGTTTCAATCATGACCTTACGACTCTCAAGATACTCACGTTGCTGTGTAATCTCATGCGACTCAGCAGCAATGAATTCAATTTGCTTGTCCGTCAGTTTAGTAACCACCAAGGGGGAAAGAATGATCTCCGGCAGAGGGGAGACCAAGTGGCGCTCCACGGCAGCTTTGCATACCACATTGATGAAGTATTTGATCTCATTTTTGTAGTAGGCGCGCTGATTGTCGAGAGCCTCTTGCGAGGAAAATTTGTCCATGTTCTTTTCGAGGGCATCTTCAAAACATTTCTCCATCTTGTCAGGGTTTAAGAGGGTGACTGGGCCTCCGTTTGTTTGGCGATACTCTGTTTCTGATTCATGTCTAGCTCTCTTCCCTATCGATCGATGTTTTTCTTGGCGCATCTTCTGGATTGTCGTGGTGTAGTAATGATTGTACGTCATGGGATCACGCGGCTTGTCTTCTACGATCTTCCGCAGCTCATTCTTGCATTCCTCGAGCGCATTCTTCAAAGCAGCATCGACACTGATACCTCCAATCTGGCCATGGAATTCAGAAGGGGCAGTATGCTGAAGAAAAGCATAAACGAACTGCTTACATTTCTTAGCAACAGTGGCAATGTGCTCTGAAGCAATCTGCTGCCAAGGCTGAGACTGCTCCCAAAACAACTGACTGATCAACATTGAGTTGACATAACCCGGCAGTTCAGTCCCACGGGAGCGTTCTAGAACTCTCTGCACCCAAATGATAGCCTCATTACGAGTGAACAGCTTTGGCTGGGGGAGAAACGTACGTGTGGGTAGACTCTCCAGGTCGTCCGGTTCACTCTGAGCTTTGTCGTCATTGTCCACGTCTGAGTCATCATCTTCAGAGCTAGATTCGATAGTGTATTTGTGCCCCCGTAGATGCATGTTGTCTGAAACATAACGTTCAGGTGTTGAATCACTGCGCGGAAGCGTCGAATGTTCTCAGCTGAATCTACAGCAGTATCGATAGAAACGGAACCAAAAAAGTCGTGCTCGTAGGAGCCCTTGATAGCAGACTTGATTATATCGTGGGTGTGCATACTGATCTTCATAAGCATCATTCGTTGCTCATAAGCTGTACTGCGTTTTTCGCCCAGCTTCTGGATATTGTCCAGAGTACTTTGGTATTTCGTCGCCATCTCGTCCTGCAGATGGGGAAGTTCTTTGATAAGATGGCTCAGCAACAATTTGCTAAGTAGCTCGTGCAGTGAGCTGATACCAACACTTCCGCGCGTGGGAGTTCGTTGTATTGACCTATGCTGAAGAATAGCGATTCGGATTCGTTTCGCTGATTGAAGCTAAAAGCCATTTGCTCATCTGAACGATTTTTCAACATGTGCCATCCGAGCTTGAAGTGGATGTTTTTATTCTGTGCAAGCTCTATCCAATCAGCTTCGTAACTATGCCTAGCGTTCGCTCGCGCCTGCTATCGATGTTTTTGCAATGATCAAGTATAATTTGATTGGCGAACTAGAGTCGTTAGAGCGTATCTGAGGAAGCAAGGCATACTTACATCGTTCTTTGCGGAGACAACGGCGAGGATGATGGTGCGTGGATTCTTCATGTAATCTTCAGCGTACTAGACAATATGTTGGCTGATAATAGGTAGAAGACGCTTAATGAATACGTACAGCTGAGGTCGATCCGGTCCGCAAATCTCAACAGAAAGTACATCTCGAGAGAAGGCGTGAGAGTTGATTTCGCCAACACGGCCAAGCCCCATAACTTGAGTGGCTTCTTCGATGATATCCGGAAGCTCAAGGAAGTTGGTAATTGACTTATGAAATGATCTCAATTTCGTAACCTCGTGCTTCGGGCGATTCTTGTCCGGATTTATCGTGATTGATATGGTTGAGGAGGGTGAGCGACGCAAGATGATTTCTGTAGCGAAACGCGTACACAGGTTCTCCTTACGCGGAAACGGAATCTCAGTGATAGCCTCAAGAATAGAGCTCTTGCCACTCGACTGATCACCGCAAACAACGAGCTGAGGAAGGCCAACAATGCCGTTCAAACCGGTGCGCCGAAGCTTGTCTACGATGTCCATAATCTTGCGTTGATCTGTCGATTGAAGAGCCTTTAGCGAGCTGGTGGTGATTGCATCGGGATCGATAGAAACTGGCGCAATAGGAGTATCACTATCATCGTAGTCGGAGTTATTTGGGGTGTTGATTGACATGTTGATTGAAATGCTCGTAGGTATGGTTGTGGTTGCAGGAGCAGTAGTTTTCGATGAAGGCTAAGTGTAGCGTGTATTGCTTAGTTTAATGGCGGCACTGTAGATAAAAGTACTCGGATCTGCTCATTTACCTTTTATCTCACCGCCAACATAAATTTACTTACTATAGCTGCAAACTTTATCGGCCAAACTCGCATCTACATTGCTTTTACGCCCTGCGTGTCCGCCGCTAATTGGATGGATGGAACCTCATTTCCGGACAAGTTACGTATTCTCAACAGCTAAAATTCATTTGAACTCAAAAATCTGATCTTTGTTTTCCAAAACTTGAGACTTTCGATTCGATCCAGGAACTGTTTATATACTGGGGACCGGCCCACTGAATCGACATTCTAACAAAATGTACCCTATTCCAACCCCAAAAACGCCTTTGAAAATTCTAATCAACTAGTTCCTATCTATTTGGAAGTCTTATTCATTGCGTCGAGCTTCTTGTCCATTTTCATAAACATCTGTTCAAACTTTGACATTCGCTCTTCGATACCGTCAAGTCGCTCCAATCCTTCGTCAGATAGATAGCTGGCACTGGAGGAGGTAGAGCGGCTTCTTCCTCGCTCTGGGCTTCCAAAGCTTCTTCCCCTTCTTGGGCTCTGTGTCCTCCATGGTGCATCTTCGCTTCGGAGGTTTCTTGCCTTGGCTGGATGCTTTGGGGGAACCTTGGCTTGGTTCGGGCGTTTCGCCCTTTTCTCCCAAGGTATCTCAAGCTGCTTGTCAATGAATACATCTTCAATCATCCTATCTGCTTTGCTTTTCCAAATCGCTCTGCAGCCTGAACGGTTGACGAACTTCGAGCTGCCATCCTCATATTCAATCCACACGGCACAAACTGGAAATCGATTCGCACTTGTACTTTCTTTGTAGGCCACTCCTTTCATTTGCACAAATCCCTTTCTGTCCTTTGGAGAGTAGTTGTTCTTTTTGCTACGTATATCGACACGTTCAGCTTCTGGTAGGTCCTGTAGGTAGCCTTTGGAAGCTTGTTCTCCGATATCTGCTGCATCTTCAAAGGCTATGGGATTTTCTTGCCCTTTTTTCTCAACAAGAAACGAGCATCGCGTCATAACAGGATTTCCAAGTACGTCTTCAGTCTCCGTTGGCGCCATTGCTAGTATTCTCTCACCCTTTTCAGTCAAACCTGGTCTCCACTCTGCAGCTGTTTTTGACGACGCGTTCGCCTCATTAGTTTTCGCAGCTGCAGGCTCTTTATTTGGAATGGGTGTTGCTGGCTCGTTCGTGGGCGTGGGTTTCGCTGGCTCGTTCGTGGGGGCAGGTTTCTCTGTGTTCTTCTTGGGGGTAGGTTTTGCGGCCTCCGCTTCTTCTGATAGGACCACTTCAGGATGGACTCTCCAGTCTAGGTACTTACGCTTTTTGATAAACTCGTCCAACTTTTGGTTGATTTCATCAACCTTCTGCTTAGCTTCAACATCATCAGGATTCTTTTTGATCTTGCGAATGAACGGTAAAGCTTCTGAGTAGTATTCTGCCAGACCTCGATAGTCGATTGTCCATTGGTCAATTGGCTCTACTCCGTCAATTCCGTTCATCTCTTTGATTCGGTTGTTGATTGCCTCCAACTGTTTCGATGCAGTCTTTGATTTAGGTTTCTTCTGAAGGTGAGCAATATGCGCCGTTGCCTCTTGATACATCTTCACAGTTTTGGGGGTTATGGCCGGAACTTCGTACTCAGCTTCCATTTCGTCCGTGTCACTATCGCTGTCACCATCACTGCCAGCGCCATCCCATTCTTTGACCTCTTTTATCCAATCTTCCTTACAATTCAATGCCTCGGCTGCCTTGATGACTCCTAAATCATAAGTTAGAAGTGAACAGTGCTCATGGAAGGCTGTATACATACTTTCAAAAGCCTGTTGGGCTTCTTTATGCTTATTGTAATCGGGATGAGTATCAGTACCAAGTTTCCAAGTCGCCCTTTCAATGGCTGCCCTCTCTTTGTATGGGGTCTCGTAACTTTCACTAATTCCAAGAACCTCACGGTGGTCGTCCTTTCCGCACTTCAATATGCGTTGGATCACATCTTCATCACTAGGCGAAGTGCTTCCCGCATCTGTGTTATCTTTATTTTCGATATCTGCAGACTTTTGCTCTTGCTCCCTCCTCCTCCTGTCTGCCTCGGTCCGCGCATTCTCCGGTTCTGGGGTGGCTTCTGGGGTCAGCATTGGCCCATTACGCGTTGCGTTTCCTAGTCCCTTTTTCGGCCCCTCTGGAATTGAACTATCGTTGGTTTCTGCATCATGATTGTTATTTGAAGCTGTAACGGCGCTCATTGGGAAATTTTGGATTTTATTTTGCTGTTCTGAAGATTTAGTGTAGCTTGCGTGTCCTTCTTATATATTGAATACAGTAGGACCAGACCGTAGGAATTCTCCAAGGCCTTGTATTAGCCTCTTCAGCTGCTTTGGATTCTAAAAATAGATGTGGGTAGTTTTGGCGGTAGTTTTGGCGATAGTTTTATTTATAGTAACTCTTATTTCAGATGTTCACGTTTGGTTCTATAATAGCCCAGTCCCATAGACGTAAATGGAATAGTGCGATATTGATGTTGTGTGTACGCTATTTTGGGCTGCGCCCTTTTCAAGAACCTACTCAAGACCCTAACGCTGGCGAAGAGTACATGAATGTCAAAAAGAATACAAAACCATAACTAGAATAACTTAGATGTCGCAAACTTCTTTATAGAAATTCCAGTTAAAGGCAACACTTGATATTATCGTCTTTCCATAATGTGCTTATTCACGATTGTCCTGATACTGGCAGTCCTCAAATCGGTCTCAGCCATTAATCTGACGCATGTGAATAGGACTTCGACGACCGGACTAAATACCTTATTTCAATTTCCTACCTGGGCAAATGATTCACCTTTGCCAGTAGAAGTTACCGTTGGAATTGAGATTGGAGGCCTGGCGGGATCCGCTATCATTACACTCACCAATCCTTCTGTTGATGCTTCAAGTAGGGTTGAGAATCCGTCCAATTTCTCATCGAAAACTGTGCACCGTGGACCCTACGAGACCACCAATTTGACATCATGTGCTGCAAACCATAGTCATAATGGAACTGCAGCATCTACTGGGTTTGGAATACCCGTCGGGACCATGACTTCTGTTGGTTACACCAACGAAACTACAGGTCCATCAGACAAGCCGTTCGCAACGCCGACACCAACAGCTTTCAGCCTTCTCACTAGTGGAGCTATGCTAAAAAAAGACGAGGTAAACGTAATATTGCCTCTTTTGGTTGCTTCAACGTACTTTTTCTAACTGCCAGAAGGCGTTTGAAAGTAGGTCCCATTATTAGTTAGAAATGTCATTGTTAGTTATTTTTCACAAACCGCGGTTACCATGTAAGACCTACTTCATAGATAGAATGCCAAATTTGACTAAGTTACTGTTTATTTACTTAGCGTATATATGTTTCTAATGATACTTCATCACCATCAATTTGAGATCCAAGTCAAGTGCGCAGTCGGTTTTATTGCCTTGCAAAGAATGTTATCATCTGGTGAGGACTAAGGGCTTTGGACCAAAAAGCAAAATAAGGGAAATAAGAAAGCAAGAGAGATTAGATTTAATTATAGACGAATATATTCCCACCGCTCATATTCAGCTTCATTCTCTGAAAGCTCATTCGAAGTCATATGCGACCACTGTTTCTGGAGATGGAGCTGCAGATCTTTTAAACATGGTTTGCTTGCAATCTGCTGGCCTGTACAATCTGACTGCGGTTGCCTTTTTTTCGGCGTTGTCTAGATTAGATTGCTCAAGGTTTTCTGCAGAAGAATTGCCAATGCTGCACTTCTTCGGTCGTGTTACAAAAAGACAGAATATACAACACATTATTGCATACGATTTTTCGAGACATTGATGTTTGATAGGTGTCCTTGAGCGCAAGGATCTTTATAAATCGTCGTACACGGAGCCCTAAATAACGCAGGGTAAGATGCTTCTATAAATAATTAGGGGACTTGATTAGTCCCCTTACCAGATTTCTACTGCAGTCTTCATGGATAAATCCTAGGGATAGAAGTGGGTAAATTTTTCCAAGGTTCCTAATCTGCGACCTTGGCATTCATCTTTAATAATATGACCATTTACCTGAGAATGAATAGCCTGTATCATCGTTCATAACCTCTCCCAGAATAATACATGAATGGACAATGGATACTACATACAATCATGAGTCACGGTACGCATGCGATAATCTAACCTTAGAGGAACTTTCTATTGGCTCTTTGACAGAGTGGGTGAAGGAATTTCAGAGGAGGGATGACCTCGAGACTCTTAAACGACTTACAGAAGAGAATTATTCCTTGCAACAACTTATTTTGTGCTACCATGAACACTCGTGTCTCATGTTAGATATCATAAAAACAATCTATGAAGGAACATTAGCTATGCGAAATGTATTGAGGGAATGCCTGGAAGAAGAGAAATCTGTCGAACAATCTTGGCTCACATTCAAAGAAGCGGAGTCGGGATGGCATGGACATAGGTCCGGGAGGTGGATATGAAATACCAGAACTAGAAAAGACTTTCAGTCTAAAAATGATCTCTTTCTTTGTACGATTTGTCTCTAATGGTTCCAAGTAAGAAGTAAAGCTACTAGCAACGCAGATGTAACAGCCTTCTCTATCAAATACTAGAGATCAGCTGTTTCCACCAACGCCATGCGGCAAAGTCAACGTGAAAAATTCGTAACCAACACTATGTCTTTTGAGACTTGGGTCCATGGAGCTCTGTTGCAAGAGTCTCCGCCTTTTGCTTGAATTCCACAGTCCATTCTTGAAATTCTTTCATATAGACTTGAATCTCAGCAAACCATCTACGTGATCATGAGAAATAATTTAGACCCTAGCGAACCAAACACACATACCTCATGCTTTTCTCGATTGAACGCATCCTCTCTTCTAGTTTCTCCATCCTGATTTCCAGGGCTAAGCATTTTGGATCTTGCTTGTCGCGCTCTGACTGCTCTTCAGTATGCTGTGCTTGTATGGCACCTTCAGCTACCAGATGCTGTTCCTCAAAGATTGGCTGTATATCGTTGGCTGCCAAAGTAGACAAATCATCGTAGGTCAGAGTTTCTGTTTGCAATGGGTCATCTAAGGTAGTCGGATAACCAAATGAGTTGTGGTCTTGTGGCCAGGCGAGGTCTGGCATAAAGTTCGGATTGTACGTAGAGTCGGAGAGTGATTGAGAATCTTGATCGGATGGAAAGCATTGGAGAAAGCGTTCTATGTCGCAAGATAGATCATTTTCAGAGGAAGAAACCTGCGTTTGATCGGGGAGGTTTATTTCTTGAGGCGTATTCGGTAGTAGAATATTCCAGGAATTCTGAGGCGACATGGTGAATTTGAGTTCCTCGTTGTGCAAACATGATAGCCTTAAGTAGCAATGCGGGTATCATAGTGACAAAAAAAGAAAATTTTAAGCGCTTGAAACAGCGATACTAAGCGCTAAAGTATCTATTACCAGACATACGCCATAAGATCGTCCTCCTGGCACTAACTAGTTCTCGGAACATCGATGTTTCGAATCTCATCCCATAAGTACTACTAAGCCTTCGTTGTCCGATCGCAGCTTTGACTACCCCTTAAAAAAAGGCCACACTCTCCTCTTCAGGACCATATATCCGCAAAGATCGGAGTCTTTCTGCCACCAAACTTGCCGCGATTCTCTCCTCCAACGATCTTATTCCCTTGTTTTGTTCCTTGTTGAACCATGTGCGTACTGCAGTCGTGGCCCAGCTGAATTCTTCATCTCTAGGAAATGCACCTTCAGCATTTATTATAAAAAGCTGAAGTCTCCTATGCACTTCTTTGTGTGCAATAAGTTTTCGCAAACAGCTTCGGTCTTTATGAAGCTTTTTTGTAATAGAGCTATGAAAATGGAACTGATCAGCTTTAGACATGATGAATGATTGGGTACCGACTTTTCAGTGATGTTTTGGATCTTCTTCTCTAGCAGGTCTCGTAGTTCATAATGTAGCTGTATGGAACACTGAGATAGAACCCTAAATTGGGCCATGAATGGGATCGAGCCATAACTAGAACTGGATTTGACCCCGTCTGGCTTAGAAATGACCTTATTTCGAGGCAGAAAGGGTAACGAACCCCATGATTTGGTGTTCAGATACTTTCATCGTGGCGAGGTTTTCCATGTGGTAGAATTTGGGACCTTGCATCTGACAGGGGTAAGATGGTCGCATGACATCTTACGCCGCAATGCTGCATCGCCCATCATAAAAGGGACGCTTAGGATAACGTTATGCTAAATGCTGATAGCCATCGGGCTTTTTTGATGTATCAAGGGAGGGGTTTCCGACCCAATCTATGAATAGAAAAACCTGAAAAGGTCCCATTTCGAGATCAGAGATTTCAATGTTTAAAGATACTGATTCCATCCAGTATCTTCCAATATTCATTTTCGACGAAATATATTTTTACTGCCTCATTGGTCGATAAGCAGTCTTCTATCATCATGACTTCTCAATCAACGATTTCCAGTGTAGAGCAACAAGGCGCGTTATCGGTAAGAGCGTTGAATCGAATTTTCTACTTTTTCTAACTCCTCTAGATGCTGTACATGGATGGAAGAGATCCCACTAAGCCTCGTAGTGATGAGCGTGTCTTTACAGACCGTCAACTAGCTTCTATCGATCACAGACTCTATGAAGCCGGTGGAATCGTAGAAGTCTGCCGCAGAGATCTTCACGAATATCAGGCCTTGCTCGCCCCAATGCATAGAAAATGCATGTCCATGGAGTACGCATTTCACGAGCAAAAGCAACGCGCTATTCAGATCTCACAGGCTTATCAAGCCCTCGGCGTCGAGCATGAAAAAGCTCGAAATGACCTGATCGAGATGGCCAACAAACATCGGATGCTACAGAAAGACTTGGACAGCGCACAGACAACTGTCATTGCACAACAGTCAGTAGCTCACGAATGCGAGCAATGCCTTACTAACAAGGCGTCGGTCGAGTCCAATATTGGCGAAATGGAAACAAAGAACGAGCATCTCAAGGATAGAATCGCAGAACTGGAGAATGAGAAAAAGGATATGCAGAATGCGCTCGTAACTGCTACTGATTTAATTCTCCAATCTGAGCGAAAGGTTTCTGAAATTGAGAGAGGAAATCATACAGTGAAGCCTGAAGAGACGGAATCATCATCTATTGACGTAGCCGTGGGCGGGGGCAAGAGGAAAGTGAATGGCGATGAACATGAAGAGATATCAAAGCAACACAACCCTTCTAAGAAGAGCCGTCATAGGAAGAATGTTGGATGAATGGCGCATGAGCGTCTGCTTTCTGCATATTATGCTTCTCGTCTGCGTTATTCCCTTTGTTTGTAGAACCGCGTACTGTAACTCAAACTTGAATCTAGAACACTCCTTTGAAATCCCTGCCTGGTCCAAATTTCTAAGTCCTGACATTAAAGGACTAGATTTAAGGTCTTTTCATCATTTTGCAGCTCCACACATAACGTCATTAGATTCATTCGTGAAATGCTTGGGAAAAAAATGTAGCTGATTCTGAATCCAGAAGGCTATATTTGGGATCTCTGCTCTCTTCGACTTCGGCTATGGTCCCTAAATTGACCCTCAACAATACCAAATCTTACATCCAGTAAGTATAAGTAGTGCCAAAATACTCTGATTTGAATAACTAGCGAAGTCAAACAATCTGCCAACGCTCACAACATGTTCAGATATAAACGAACCAAAATTCTCCCAGAAAGACCTTCTGCTGAGCACTCTTTAGGTGATACTATAGCTATCCATAAGAATGAATCACCCATATCGTCGAAAGATTTTAATAGCAAGAAGGGAGAGCTTAAACAGATGGCCGTACCAAATTTACGCCAATTAATTGACCAGAAGACGTGAGAAAATGATCAGTTAAGGCAAGAACTCGAAAAAGAAAGGGACAGGTATCGTGCAAGTCATCGCTCGAGAACATACATCGCAGCAGAAGCAAGTCAATTGATCAAATCACTTCAGCAGGTTCTCGTGAACTTCCAAGAGCTACAGAGAGAGATCGAAGGCGAACAGACGTTCAATCAGTAGGGGACAATATTCTTTCTGGAAACTGAGAGTTGACTTTCTATCCAGTACTTCTAGCTATCCTTCGAATCTAGAATTTCTGAATTGCTATAGGGTATTTTAGAGTTTGTAATATAATATTCCCCTCTCTTTTACGAGTATACTCCAGCAGCGTCTATAAAGTGACTTCATTCATTAATTTACTTTACATTACATTGGTACTGTAGCTTGCGTTCTCTGCTCGTGCAATCCATTGGGACGTTGATTTCTCGTAGTCAGTCACGTAAAGTGCTCATGGCAATCAACAACATTGCTTTGATACATCAATTAGGATATGAACAGTATAATCACTCGCACCTATGTAGGGACACAATGAACTGGTAAGAAGCACCTCACTACCGCCCACAGAAAATCTCCTCTATAGATAGAGCCGCTCCATCTCCACTCATCATTGTTGTTGTGATGCTGTCGAATTGCTTTATTACTCCGCCCGTCAAAGTAACCACGCAGCGGGTGAATTCCAGTGGAAAGAACTGGTTCAATCGTAGGGCAGCCTCCGTCCCTGTGAAGCCATCCTCGTCGGCAATGTCTGAGACGATGAATGAGCTAGCGGAAGTCGGCATATCCCCTAGTTTCCCTCCTAGAATAGGACCTTATATGGGTTAGCTTAGAAGATACGGTTTATGAAATGCGTACTTGGTGAGATTTTGGCTGGCTTTCGAGATTCAGCATCGGTGCAATTAGCAAAAAGTGGTAATGAGACCTCAACAATAGGTCTACCTGGCCCTTGACCAGCATTGAGTAGAACCGTCGGTAGCCCATCTCTGGTGCAATTGTATTTTTCGGATCCAATGAAGCCAGATGCCGTGTGCGCGATAGACAGAGCGAACAGCTGGATAAATTTCATCATTGATCAATGTATCCTGGAAATGTGTCGCTTCGCCGCAATATGAAGTAATCGAAGTTGCAAATCGATAGTCAATGTTGCAACCATAGGAACTGACTACTATTTCTAGACGTATTCCGACAGGAAGACAGTTTTGGCACCCTCTTTTCCAAGTTCAACATGGTGGCTACTGCTCACTTGGTGTTCGTCAACGGTGAACGAGAAGTGCCGTTACCAAATGTACTCCGTTCTGGGCCTTGCATGACGTCTTGCGCACCCCAACCCTAAACCTGCTCTGTGTTAGCGCAATGGCACAGTTTAGATCACACATGCGTACATCGAGGGACATCGGAGTGCGATAGCTTACACCGATAATGGTCTACATCAGCGCTAAACTGAAAACTAATGGGAAGGACTCCAAGCCAAATGAAGAGAGTTGAAGATCCTTGTTCATAGGCGACGTGCTTGAGAGGCACGCCACTCTCAAAATATCTTTTTCCGACCCTTGGAAAAGCGATACCAGCTTGATATACGGGTATGCGCCGCAGGCTCGACAGAACTCAGCTCATGCCCTACAAACCGAGCACAAAGATATGGCAGAGCAGTCGAAGCGAGACCGAAATAAACAGTTAAAAAAACGGTTGGATGGATTAGAAAACAAGGTTTACCAATATGGAGAGCTGGGCGTTGACATTGCACTGATTATTGGTTATCGAGAGAAAGAGGGTGGATATTCTTATACAACTTCAGAGGAGTTTCTGCAGAGAATTCCAGAACTAGTAAGTATTCATTATCTGCTGCTTCTACCCTTCTAACGCCAAACAAATAGAGATCACATCCCAAATGTGTAAACCGACTTCCCGAAGATATAAAAAGGATGGATGCGCAGTCTGGTTCAAACACGACGCGCCAAATCAAGAAGAGACGACTCAGGAGAGCCAAGAAAACCAATGAGACGGAACAATCATCATCAAACCCACTACTAGGCCCAAAAAATGCGAAAGACAATGTACATGAAGAAACGTCTTTCTTCCCGGACCCACCCACCCTTGATTTGCCTATAAATCCGAAGGGGGGTTTTCGAGAAGTTTATCTTGGAGAAATGCCAAAATAGAAACTCTGAGAGTTGTTGAGGGTTCGATGTACCAGTGGGACGATGCACTGAATCCATTTTTACTCGTTCTGCAGTTTCTCTTGCTAAAGCGGAAGTTGCTTGGTGCTTCATAGCGGGCCATAGGTCTGTCAAGAGGCACAGTGATCTGCTCAACCGTAACCTCCTGCGGCAATTCAAGTCCTGCCATTATGTTCGCGCGGAAACAGGAATTGGATTCTAGTTGGTTAATACCGATTTTGTATTAAAGCGAGTTAGAGGGTAGTTATCCAACAGATTTAGAGTAGGGTGATGGTCGGGTTTCTGTTGCCAAGTATTACCATCCACTGCTTGCGCACAGACCATCGCGGGGTAGTCTTTTGAGAGCTCCAGACCATTTCTAGTTTCCAATTTCAACAAGGTCTTCACCTCCTTAGTAATCCTGCCGAACTTGTATTACGTCCGGCCCACCCCGTAAACATTTTGTGGCGGCATAATAAAGAATCGTTTATGGGGACTCTACTGTAGTAACAACGGGCGAACTAGGGCTGTATAACAACCCTGCAAGCGATGGCGACGTGAAAAGACAATCCTAAAGACCTATCTACAGAACTAAGTACAGTAAGTATAATGAAACTGATTGGATTCTCGCGGGCGTGACAAGAATCGGTCGGCTGTGGTGAATTCTTTCCTGGAGAATACAGATACAATAAGGCGCGGCTTATGTCAACATATGTAAGAGATCAATTGCTGAATGTAGGTTTTGTGGAATAGTTTACAGGAGGAGGAGATTCTTCCTGTATCGTCGATAACTCTCTCACAGGACGACCCTGTAGATACGATATGAATGGAATATCACCCAATAGCTCGATCGGGACGTTCAAAGGTGCATCTGTGCCGACTTCCACTGCTTGAGATGAAGTGCGGTGCGCCTCTGGGCCCTGGCAAGTATGATAGTGATTATGGACCTCAATGATAACTTTTTTGAACTTGCTCTTCTGTTCGTTCCATTTTGCGCATTTTGAGCAAACAAGGGCCTCAGTATCCTGACTCTCGCGGTAACGGCGAGATCGAGGTCTACTGCACAAAACACATTCGTTAATCTTCTCTCGACGGTGGAACGAGTATCGTGGAAGATCCGGCATGATTCGTCTTCAGCTGAGCTTTTTCAGGAGTATTCTGATAAGTATTATTTAGATCGACTTTGACGTGTATTGATCATTCAGACAAAGCGTAAAATCATGAGCTATCAAAAATAGGATGAGAATGCTGATGGAAAACATGGGCGGCTATCGAAGAGAGAATGTTGATTTAACGTTAAATGAGGAAGGGCGCATTGGTCAATTGGGGCCTTGATTTGGCACCTATAAAAGACACTGTTGTGATCCGCGTTTTGCCAACATAGTCATGGTCAGCGCCAAAGAGTCCCAATTTAAGAAAACCCTATTTCGACCCCAACAAAGTCCTTATTTGGCCACAACGCAGGTTTTGTATAAAGATAAAAGATTTCGCTATCTGAATGGCAGTATCATTAATCATGAAGCGTTGTGATCATACACATTGGCTCAGCGTTTTCGCACAAGGGAGCGAAACCGCCCTCTTACAATCAGACAGGCTCCAAAAACTTGTCAAACATATACCTCGTCCTCATGTACAGTATCCAAGTCTGGTTATACTGATTGGTAGTGTAGAGAAATCAATCGCTCTTAGAGCATTGTTTAGATTGAAAAGGATCCGGGAATTCACGACTAAGCCAAAACCAGGCGAGGTGCATCTCCACCTCGATCCTTCCAGTATCTTCAATGATCATCCGATGCTCATAGCAGATGCCGGGGTACCCGATCACACTTTGGACGAAAGAATTCCGAAAACTGAAAGTTGTCACGAAACTAAGCGGCGCCCTCTTCAGCGATTGGGTAGCGCTGCAGCAGTTGATATATATACTCATCTACTGTTCCCCTTTACAAATGTACTATGCTTCTTTTCTGCTGATATTGGTGGCCTTAGACAGATCGCGCGTCTTTTAGCCAAGTGGCTAGAGAAAAACTCCTCATCAGTGCCCCCACGGAGGTCGTTTCCGAATATACTGATAGTCATCGATACAATAACCCCAAGAGAAAATATGGAGGAAACATCTCTAGAAGTCTTTCTGGAAATGCTCAGAGAGGAATCAGAAACAGATTTATTGAAGGGAATCCCAGCAATTGACATAGTGGGTCTTTTCCCCAAGGGCACAATGTCTACCGATGCTCGATATCGGCGTATCAAAGAACGTATTATGGAGAGATCCAATCAGGTGCGGAAAGAAAGGGAAATAGCACGAATGCTGCTTTCAGCAACACATTTTGCTGCTTTCTTCCAATCCGCCAGTGTGCATTTTTCGGAATCGCTTCACCAACCGTTTGACTTTTTCAGGGCGTCAAGGTCCCACAACCCCATAGCACCAGACTTAGATAAGCACCTTTCAAACTTGCTCAAGCATATCACATCGCCTAATGAGCTGACGGAGTTTGCAGCTCCAGCTATTGCTTCATCTCTCTTTCTGGACAGCTATCCTCCTGAAGCGCACGGTAAGTATTAGTCCAAGCCAAAATCCACGTATCCTAACCTTAATTAAGTCTTCGAGCCCAAGGCTGTATTCAATGCTCTCTACAGAGAACATTTATGTAAGTTGAGTGAAAATACAATTCCAGCACTCAAGCAGTCTATAGGTAGCATCCTACGACCCAGTTTCATTAAAACAGTGGGCAACAATCTCTCCCGTTATTTCCAACAATATATGTCCGACCGATCCAAATCCACCGCCGAAATTCACAAAAACAATCTGGCATGCTTCCGAGAGAGATGGCGAGAAATCAAGAGCAGCAATACATGTTTAAGCTGCCTCCGTAGAAGGCCACAATATTGTCTACCATGCGGACACTGCATTTGTGAAAACTGCGTTGTGATCTTTGGAGACCGCTGTGAAGAAGACCCTTGGATTTTCAGGATTCATCATTGCTTCCTTTGCATACAGGAAATTCCAAATAAGATATCAGTTAGGATACTCCCACCGACAGCAGGAGCAGGCGTCCTCTGCATCGATGGAGGAGGAACGCGCGGTATCATACCCCTTGCGGTGATGAAGCTAATCCAAGACCGCCTTGGTTCAATTCCACTTCAACGATGTGTCAAGATGAGTTTTGGCGTCAGTGTTGGTGAGTTGCATGGTATGAGATGTACAATATTTAAACTTACTATGCTAAGGTGTTATCATTGCTGTTGACCACTTCCTTCTTGGACGGCCTTTGGAAGAATCAATCAAGACGTTCTCGGAGATGACGAAGCGTGTTTTCAAACGAAGAGTCTCTTCTTCCATCCCATTGGTTTCCCGTGCAGTGGAAATTATCCTTTCTTATATAACTGACGGCCTATATCCCGCTAAAAATATTGACGGCGCTCTGAAAGATTGGGCCACTGATCAAAACATCCTCGATTGCTCGTATGCTACGTCAACGGGAACAAAAATAGGTTTGCCAGTGGCCACGGTTAGTAAATATCCGTCATACCGATTTTTCACGAACTACAATGGGGTCGGTGAACGCGATGATGATCAGGGTAAGTCCAAAAAACAATTGTTAGATTCTTCTAAAATCACTCCAGAAAATGCCGTCATCAAACCCAAGGACGGCTTTGGGAATGTTCCACTCTGGGAAATGTAAGATCGGATGAAACGATTTGTTTACGAATCATTAACTGAATTCTAGTGCACGTTCCGCGTCAGCCGCACCCGGGTATGTTCTCGTTCCCTTGTTCCATCCCATTCAGCTGATAACCGTTATACTCGCAGTTTTTTTCCACCAAAACATATCAATGGGGTTGGAACATTTCAAGACGTGGGGCCTCTTGAGAATGACCCTATACTTTGGGCACTTTCAGAGGTTTCGGCTATGTATCCGCACCTGAAAGAGCCAGACTTCGTCATATCCCTAGGCACTGGCGAACCAAGGAAAGAAAATTACGAAGTACTCACAGAAGATTGTCGCAATACCCAGAAAAATGGAATGTTTACACGAATTCGTGATCTTATCCTGGAAAAGATGCGCGAAAAAACCGTGAGGCGAGCCTATAAAACAATTGGGCTGGCAGCGCAGATCCTCCCTAAGATTCACCGCCTTAGTGTTGACTTCGAAGCCATCGAACCGAGACTTGACGATGCTAGGAGTATACCCGAGTTGATATCAAAGGTTGAAACAGACAAACGGTTGTCTGCGAACCTTGATCAAGTATCTCATTGTTTGATTGCTTCCCTATTTTATTTTGAATTGGAGACAATCCCTGAGAAGTATGATGACAAATTTAGCATTACAGGTCAGATTCTGTGCTCGATACGATACAACGACCCTGCATATGAGGATCTTCTTGGTAAGTTGTCAAGCGGCTCTGTTAGGTTTTGGGTGAACGAGTGGCCTGTGCCAGTGTCCATTAATGATTCCTCTTGTTTTGGGCGAGACCAAAACTTCCGTCTACCAATTCGCTTAGAGACGGTTGACAGATTCACGGTGTCTCTAAAGCAAGACAACGAAAGCGCTTATAATATTAGCGGATCACCCTTCTCCGTTCAAGGATTGGTAGCTGCACAAGGGCTAGATGCTCCTTTTGGAAGAGCAGATCATGGTAAGAGGAAGCGGTCGTGGTCATGCAAGAGTCAGTTGCCGGCAAGAAAGCGGCAGCGAACTTAGTTATAGGACTCTAGTAGGAACGGAGTTTTTATGGATTTCTTTGTGAAAATCATGTTTGCACTGCATCTCGAACTCGTGTCTGTCTGCGCTCTTTTCGATTGAGTGTGTCAATTATTTCCACGGCTTCGTCTTCATTGGTGATGTGGTACAGGTCGAGGAAGACCATGCTGTATTTCTTGAGGCGAAATTGGCATTTACAGTAAATAAGTACCTCGAGCGAAGATGACCTGCGAAAATACGGAGCACGTGTGAAGAAGACTAGTTAGTGCATTTGATACCACGTGATCATAGAAGGACGCGGGGCAACCAAGCAGGTTTAGGGTTGACGCGTCTCGCGTAAAGTGGACACAAACTTTTGTCGCGTGGCTGTAGAATTGTCTGTACGAAAGCGCTGGCCAATCAGCACTCGTTTGCCGGCACAGATGACGAACAGTCAGTCATTTGTGCCAGCAAACGAGTACTGATTGGCCAGCGCTTACGCCAAGGCTTAGCGCTGCTCCAAGTACATTAAGGCCCTGCGCCCATAAACCATTAAATGCAGCACTATGTCCCGCTTCCAAGAAATCATACAGAACGCCAAATTGTTACGCTCTCGTCTTGATAAACTAGTCTCCAAACTAGAGACCGCCGATACTTTACAGCTTGCTACGTCTCAGCTTCCTACGAGTATACGACAGAAGCCCCGGCGCAATACAGTCCAAAATCATCACGAAAATCAAGACGAATTCTGCGCAACCCTTTCAAGCCTCGAACTCGAAGTGGAGAGCATTGCAACCGAAGTAAAGAAGTTAAGGAGCAGCCTGGAGCCAGACAGAGATGAGCCCTCAACACGAGCATTACAAGAAAACGGTTTGGTCGCCCGTAAGGCAACACAAGCGACACCAGCTCGGAGCGCAACTCAACGTAATGCCACATCTATGCAGAAGGCGTCTGCCTCGCTCACCACCAAGGTAAACGCTGTTATAAGAGAACCAAAAAACGAGGAAGAATTGAAGACTACGGCTATTCCACCACTATCTGGAGATCACAAAGCCCCTGCAGCGAAACAGCCGGCAATAACAACAGCAATGGCCAAAGAGGATGCCAAGGCCTTGCGATTCACATGTGAAGCTGCTGATCTAGAAGATAACATGGTCTACACTATCGAGAAAGCAATGAAGGCTCTAGGAAGAGGGAAAGTGGACGAGCATGGCTATTTGATCCTAAGTGTAAAGTCGATGCCCGTAGTAGACTGGAACGAAGTATCGCTACACCCCGCAAAGCCACAGGAAGGTGAGATTCTGGGGTTCCGATACGACGGGGGGACTAAAGACGTTACAAATTCGTTTTGTGTGCAGCCAAAGGGGGGCTTTGTCTTTCCAGACTTCTCCGTGCCCGAGCCGCACTCATACCACGACAATCCCGAGAGAGATTTCCAGGATACGATCGATAGTCCTCCCTCAGGCCAATTAGGTTACTACGTTGGCACTCCGATTCACTCTTTGGAGTGTACACGTCTTGTACATCCTGGGCTCAAGTTAGCAAAGCGAGGCGAAGGCAATCTCCCTGGCATCAACACACCCTATTGGTACATCAGCACTTGCCACGGGACGCCTGCTAATTTGCACATTGAAGATGGCAGGACAGGGTCCGTCAACTTACTACTCGTAGGCGCCCCGAAAGATTGGCTGCTTATCCATCCGGGTAGTAAGTCCAACTTGGAATCGTGCCTCCGGAAGGAATTCCCAAAGCACAAGTCCTGTGCTCAGTTTGCTCGTCATCTCGATATTTTACTTTCCCCGAAATGGCTACGCGAGAGGGACATTGAATACTCTATTGTCAGACAACATCCCGGCGAGATGATAGTCACATTAAATGACACGTATCACCAGGTCAAGAATTGTGGGAAAAATTTTGCGGTGGCCATTAACTTTGAATTCGAACTAGGGCCAAGCATGCCAAAAGACTACCAGTGGTGTACAAAGTCCTGCGGTCTGGATGTATTGACCGAAAAGGACTTTCAGATCCCATCGAGTAATGTGAAAGCTTCACAACTACCAACCAAGCACTCTACTCTGGACCACCGACCAAAAGCGGCAACTACCATGGAGATATCGGACGATATGGCAAGCGAGGCAGCAAGCGATGATGGGGTCGCGCCTATTACGTACTTGCCCCTAGCAGACCCGAATCCTGTAAAGGATATCAACAAACTGATTGCCTTTTCCATAAAAAAAAGGGTTCGTCCTAGTCTTTTAGGCTGTGCAACCGTCGAGGAGACGGAGAAGACGCTTCGAATGTTTCTCCCAGGTCAATGGATGAGTAGTACCATCTTGCGCGTGCTTTTACAGATTTGTTGTAGCACCCGGTTCAGTGTTGTTGAATCTCTCAAGCTTGAATTAAGCACGCCATCACCAGACTCGTTCAAGCACCTGGAGTACGAAGATGGGCTTGTCTTTCCCTTTCACGTCAACTGCTCCAACCAGGCTTCGCCTGAAGCTAAGAAGAACCATTGGGTCCTTGGCATCTTCAATCGACATACCATGGAGTTTGTTTCCTTCGGCGTGGACAAAGTTTTGGCAGCGAAATGGGCATTAGCCCTGGAAAAGAGTATGAAAGATGGTCCCCACACAGGATGCAAGGTTCAGGATAAAGCTAAGCCAGTACGTTTGTTTATGTGTAACGCTCCCTGAGCTAATCGAAGCAGTTTCCCACCAATCCTGATAACGCATCTTGCGCTCTTGTGTGCTGCCTGGCGCTGGAGAAGTACTTAGGGCTCTACCCGTCCAAGTCGGAACCCCCCAGTCTCCGCAGTTACTATATGCGGAAATTGCTCAGCGCTGTTGTCTTCACGAATCACAACAACGACCTTACTGGCGAGTCTTCCAAAGCCCTGGTACGGTGTAATCCAGGCTTGTTGTCAGATGGATTGTGCTATGAGGCAGCACACTCGTCAGCTACAATCAGTGAAAAAGATGCCTTAGCACAAGACCTCAAAAGTATCCCTCAAGATGAACGAGCTTCCATCGAGAACGCGCTAGAAGACGAAGAGTGTCAATTGTCGCTCGAGAACAGGGCGCGAATCGTTCAGATGATTATGGAATGCTCCAACCGTGCCCTTGGATATATCCACTCGCTCACTCAACCGGTAGACCCGGTTCATGGTTTGGCTGTTTCTGACAAAGAAGACGTTTGTAAGACCATGGAGTATCTTCTGGAGAAACTTGACCAAAATAAGGACGTGTTGTGTTTGCCAATAGCGGAGCTGCGGTCAATCTATATGCACATCGCCAAAACATTCGCAAAGGCAGTGGAGCAGGAGCGGCGAGTGATGGAGAAGGACCGAATAATGCAGAGGCGGGCGCCGGACGGGCACAAACGAAAGGGACAGACGCCTGAAACCAGAGTTTTGAACCGGTTTAGCGGAGCTGAATCGACTGAGGTATCGAGGCGGTTAAAGGATCGTCTAAGGGCGTGTATCAATACCGGCAACAATTTGGACTTCCTTTGCTCCAAATTAGGCCTACCGATACTACTTACGTTTCCTGCGGCCACAGTGGATCCCAGCGAACTTTACCTACCCTTTGGGTCGGCAAGGGAGCGGTTTGCAAGCCTTGGGAAACGCATCACCTCTGACACGTACGTACTACTGCCTTGATATCTTATTGTGCCCTAACCATATACAGGTACCATGACTTGAAAAGTGGGGGTCACGAGGCAAATTATTTTATAAAGCACTTTGCCGCTCTTCAGCCGAAACTCATGCACGCCACTGCACTCGACTATCGAGTTCCTGTGCACCATGCACAGTCAATTAACAGCAAAGTGCACAATCAGATCCAAGTCATTTACAAGGCCACCAAGAGGTCTCGTGAAGGGCCCACTGTGACGAGAAAGAGAAAGAAACTTAGGGCTTGACTAAGGATGGCTAAGGTGGCATTACGCAAATATTTGAAGGCTAAGGTACATGATACATTGGATTCCCGCCTCGAACACTGGATAAATTGTTTCTCTAACATTGCAGGTGTGAGGGAGGTTTACAGAGTTCGAACAAATGCGCATATACGGTTTTGGTGACGCTGAAGCTGGTCATGAGTCCCAGTAATATCGAAGCCATGATTCTTGCCTGGAACCTCCTCACCGCAGATGTATTCTTTCCCATACTGCATCTCGATAAATCTTCTCACCTCACGCGTGTCTTCAAGTTTACAATTGCGGTCTTCCGTTCCGTGAACATAGTCGAACTGCGGGCAGTAGCTTGGGGGAGACCCCAGCTCCATTAGCCCATACCCAAGCATGAAACACCTCTGATCTTGATCCAGCTCCAGATTGAGGGCGGACAATCCGGCTTCCCCAATTCTCTCCTTTATCTTACTTGGGGGAATATAGATGTACCCGTTTTCCTCTTGTAAGGGTGTGACTGTATTGGACCAAGCTCGGACATAATCAAGAGTGCTCGGGCCGTTCCAGAGTAGCTGCCAGAGAGACACAAGAATTCTCTTGCCATCTCTGATGGTCGCATAGGTTACGCATGCCGTGAGGGGTAAGCTGCACATGTGATCTGGTGGTATTCTACCACGTACCTTCTCCCCGGAACCACGCCTGGAGGCAGCCTCTTTCACCTGATCCAGAGCAATCCCCTCAAGCTCTTTCTCTGTTGACTTTACATTGCAGTATTCGTTGTCGGCTTTGCGCTTGTACTGACCCCACATTGCATAATATGTTGGCATTAAGCCGATTCTCACTTTGACGTCCTCCAACTCATCCCACTTTACCCAACAGATAAACGCCATGTGGCCGCCTGCGCTTACGCCGCTGCAAAGGATGTCTTGTTGTGAGAAACGTGATTTTATATTGGGGAGCTTCTGCAAGAGATATCTGTCGATTGAGCCGTTGCTGAGGAAGTATCCGAGATTGGGTATGTCTTCTTCGATCTCCTTACTGTCGCTTTCTGGCATGAGACGATACTGCGGCCAGATAACTACCAATCGTTGATCAATGATACCGTGTAGGTGCTCTTGGTACCATTGTTTATACTCCGCGTTTCCGGTAAGCTATGAAATTGTTAGATGCCGCATCGTGAAGAGACAGATATAGTAACGTACCATGCCACCTCCATGCCAGAAGACGTGGACATTGTACAATGTCTTGACCTGACCGGCTGCGATCTCTTCGGGTACGTAAACAACGAGCTCCAATTCTGCGGTTTCAATCTGGACCTTTGTAAACTGTCGGAACAATTCGTGCTGGGTTTTCGTTGGTTCCGGACTATATTTGAAGCCTGGCTTAAGGTTGAGTGCGTTGAACGCTGACATGATGAGAGTCAAACGGATAAAGGATGGGAGAGTAAATGGGTGCCAGGAGGGGGGTTGCGAGGCATGACTCCGGGCACTGTATTATACGCACGGGGGAGTCTACTTAGGTGGCTCTAGCCTCTACCCCTCTCTCAGATGTTCCGTACAGGATCGTATGGACGACCGCTTGCAGAAAAAGCAATACTTGATGTTACGACTCACGCAGATTAGTCTGCGTCCCGTGCTGGCACGGGTGATGCAGATTGGCCGAAACCACAGTTGAATTAAGTTGGCTAGCGATCTGGCTACCTGCATCCTCCTACATCGGCCCGGATCGACTTCTAGATTGTACTACTTACACCAATAAGCACAAAATAGAACTAAAAGGGCTGGAAAATATATGCGGATAGCATTCATAAGATCTCCCAAAGTTATCCAGTCGAGGATGTCATCCACGTGATTGTGAGGAGTTTCGCCGTAACTTTTTCCTTCTTCTTTGGGATCCATCAGAGGATAGCAAAGCACTATCGTATGCTTAGTGAGGGTGTATCGGTAGTTACATCGGAAACAAGACTGGAACGTAGGATTACCTCTAGTACACTTATGGTGTCAACTAGTCTTGGATTTTTACAGTGGTCTTCCAACACCAGTCCAATCAAGATGGATATAATGGAGTTCAGCCACAACACACTTTTACCATAGTACGTAACACATGGCACTCCGCTGAAAAGGTAACTCTCCACGACTGGATCGTGGGTCTCGGAGAAGAGACAGAGGGTCATCCGTGAAAGAGCGTTCGAAGGAAGACTAGTCGAATCCTGCATACATTTTCCTTTGCCAGTCACTGATCTGCTTTGTACTCAAGATTTCTTATACTTCAAAATATTCGCCCTCCGACTCAACAAAGGCGTTTTTCAACTCACTCGATTCCAAGTCCTCCAATTTCCAATATCCACTGAATAGCTTAGGTTGCTCAACAACCACTTGAAGATAAGGCTCCTGCTTTTCCTCCTGCACAATGTAGAGCACCCATGTATTTGTTTCCCTTCGAAATTCAAAACTCATCAGACGCCCGGAGACTGTGTAGTCTGGAGAGGATGCCGTGATCGACTTGCGAATGATTTGAATCAAGAGATGTTGATAGTATACATGAAGGTTTTGATGACTTTTGTCGAACTCAGCAGTCATTTTTTTGCCAACTTCGATGATTTCTTTGCAGTACTTGTGTAGAGTGTTCTCGATCGCCTCCCCTGACCTCTTCTCTCCCCTCCATAATCTCCATGAAGCAAGACCTACTGCGAGGCCAGGCGTACGCAGAGCATACATATCTCCCTTCCCAATTAACCATTTCCAGATCACTGAACCAAGTATAATTTCTCCATTTTCTGAACGGATCTCGAGGTCCTTTTCGCATGAAGATTCAGGCAATTGATCGAATTGATGTAGAAGTGGCAGTGGGGCGAAAGGCGGCGGCGGCGGTGGTGATGGTGGTGATGGTGATGATAGTGGTGTAGACATGATGAAGTCTTGGAGAACATATGAGCTGAATGAAACACCGAAAGAAAAGGATGGTCAGGGTCTTTTATATATGAGAAGCCGATTAGAGAAGTCAAGCCAAACTTCCCGCACACTCGTCCTTCATATAGTTACATTGAAAGGCGTCTGACATGCCTTAATGATATAATGGCTACTGCATACTTGCATGAGTCAGAGTACAGGCTTCTCACTTCCAGATCGCCGGACAGTACTCTGTTGTATGATTTGATGCTTTCCGGCAGCCTTGCCTAGGAAATGGGTCACTAGTGCCAAATGATAAAACTGATATGCAAGAGTGGCAGACATACTCACTCAACAAAATGCTGAAGTATGCATGCTGCATAGGGGCGTTCATATGCATGAGCACCGCTGGCTGTCACATCATTTCCAATTTCGACAGCGCAGCTGAAGCATACAACTCGGTCATATGACCAAGTCAAGAAACTTGGTAAAAAGGCTAGCTAGCTTTTAAGAGCGTAGATTACACTTTAGACGCCCAAGATACGCCCTCCAGTCATTGCCGAAAGTTACAATGTCATCAAGTGGAGCTCTTCGTGTCATTCAAGGGACTGAAAACGACAAAACCCAATCTGACCGATGGGATCGTATTATTGAGCAATCGAAAAGAAATGCGAATGGTCTAGATGAAATCACTGAACAGCTTGAATCGGACCCCACAATCTTGGAAAAATTGAAGAAAATGGGCCAAAGTATTGAGAATTTTGGTAAGCCTCCTATGTACAAGACCACTTTGAAATGATTGCTCATAGCCTGTCTTTTAGAAGAGAAGCTATTCCAGCTTCGGACGGCTACAGACTCGACCTCTGCCTCCAATTCCCAAGCGCGAAATTATCGTCGTCGCAAAACTATCTCCACCTGTTCTCTCGAGGAGAACAAGAGGATGAGACTCCACTAACAAAGCCTTCGTTTTGAAAAGGCGGGTTGTTGGACTTCGGAGAGGGAAGAAGTCTTGAAGTCTTCGGAACTGATGATAAATTCTGCATCCTGTAACTCTTCTCCACGTAGAGGCTCCCATAATAAGAACTGGCGAACTATGCCCACAAGTTTAGTGTGCGATTTGGAATGAGAATCACAAAACATTTCAAGCTCCTCCCGAATACATTCTTCGAGCTGAATCCAAATATGATGTTCGCAACAATCGAGTCCCACTTCGAAAAGGGAAACAAGAGGATCAATCCACGTTGTGAGTCGAAATCTCCACGTAAAGTGTTCTTTGGACGGCACCCGTACCTCTATCAGGTTCCTCAGCATTGACGCCGCTGCCATAAGCAACGTAAAGCGTGTCTCGAGATTGAAAGACTGAAACTGTTGAAGTAGCTTGCAAAACCATCTCAATGATTTGTCGCACGTTGCGTATTCCGAGCAGGCAATGGCTGGGTATCGGTAAACAGGTATGAGGAACTTTACGCTGTCCTCTTGCGACACATCATCGATTTTGATTGGTACATTGCATGCAGAGCTATATAGGTCAGTATGTTCAGGGCAAGCAGTGGGTCACTTACACTTCGCTGTAGAGCTCGAGAATCTGATGGCACGATATATCGGAAAGCAAACGTTGAAGGACAGGAGGAACGAACTTGTGTGAATCAGTTTCAAGCTAACAATCGTGAATTTGAATACGTACAGAAACTTTGGGCTTTTTCATCCCCAAACAGTAGATTAGATCAGCCCAATTCCTTCCCTTTAGGGTTTTCGCCCCCGTGCCGAGTTGAGTCCAGTGTTCGATCTGTAAAATCTCCATCAACACCTCGACATTCTCATTTGGCGTAAACGAGGGGTCAGGCTCGAGAATTGCCTGACGAGAGACTCTAGATAATACAAAAAGATGACTTAGCAAAGCTAAGTCTTGGTTCTGATGGCGAGAATGGTCTTTTGAAAGCACTCGCTCGCGGAAGATCTTAGTATCATCCGGCAGGATGTTACATTCGCGGAGCTTCTGGCATTCAGGCTCGCAAACACTGTACAGGAATCGAACCCAATGGAAAAATAGTTCTCGGGCAGCTGATTTTGAGGACTGAAGTCGTTAGATTGATTTTCGTCGATCCCAGAATGATAGTCTCACCTCGAAATCTTTCTGCAGGCCCTCGAGACGTTGCTGCCGAAGGGTAATGTTGGTCATAGTGGACATGATTTTCATCACATTGCCTCAGGCATCACAAGATATAAGTATGAGATAACCCCGCCCACCTTCGTCATAGTTTGCATTCGTATAAGTGAAGTCCGTGCGGAATATATTGACGCAAGATGCAAGATATCGAATCAGCTCACGGTTCATGCATCAAAACCATGTTGATCTTGCCGTTAGTGTTCATACAGCCAACGTATACGTACAAGCTGAGCGCCACTCTATCCCTCGGCGAGGAAGCATGCGATGTGCGGGATGCGGGAATTTGCCGCAATTTCCATTCCTGGTGGCGAAACTGCATGGAAGAGGGGACAGCTTGCGTACCGCCCACAGGAGAACAAGGGTGACAACCTGGTCATAAGCAAAAAAATCAAGGCGAAGTGGGGATGAATCTTCATAGTAGGAACGCCGCCAGATCCTTCGAATGTCGAAATCAGGGAGGGTGGAATTGGGCTTCAATCAAACTTTACGTGATTCAGGTCGTTGCATGATCCCTCCCTTTCCGATGACGGCAGAGCAAGAAAATTTACAGGTCAGCTGGATCCGAAATGGCTAGTTTAAAATAAAATAGATGACGTACTCCCCCATTTCCTTGCACCTAGATGGTAGGAATACAAAGAAGGCATTTCATGTGCAACAAATGCAGAACAATTCCGCGGTCGGTGCCCCAAGTAAACAAAGCCCAGCAGGCTAAAGAAGGAAGGAGGTACCATTTGCTTCCTGATACAATGCCACCCATACAGAATTGAACATCGCCACAACCACCATTATAGATACAAATGCCTAGAAAATCTCCGATTCGACTTGAGTAGATCGCTAGATATCTCTCCTACTTCTCTTCCTTCGGTCTAACTTTTGATTTGTCGATGAATCTCCTTAGACCGCTCATGTTCCTGTTCTTCCTCGCGAATAATATAGCTAGGAATGTGTGCAGCAATAGTGGAGAGCATTAGCAGAGCCGTGTCTCGAGCAAACTCCCAACTGCTGTTCAGCATCAAAAACACCCAATAGGCGGGAGGAGCAAGTAGCAGCCAACGACTCTGCTTATTCTGTGCTACTACTATGTTGGTCAACATAGTAGCAACCGTGACAACGGCTTGTACGTCGCGTGAGTGACCAGATGTATCCGAATTACTCAATTCTACAGAGTCAATCTATGTTTGTAGGTGTTATTTTCGGACTTACCAGGAAGCCTATAGGACCACCATCCCGTAGTAGGGCCAATGAAAATCACCACAACTAGCACAACCTTTCCTTTGCGTCCGCCGAACAACAACAGCATAGCGCATACAAAGCTGAGAGCGAAAGTGAACAATAAATGGTTGTACATGTTGACGACAAATAGGCTCGGCGGAGGAAGACTAATAGAAGTAGAAATTTAATGACGAAGTATTTTTGAGTGAATAGAAGAGTACACTCTAGGTAGGCGGCGGAGTACTTCTTATACCCGCGGGATAGGCCCACACTGGGCTGGATTCTTCGCCTCTTATCAGGCAGCCATACATTTCTAATTCACTTGCTATCCGAGACCGGTACAGAAGCAAGTCCTTCCCATCTAGTAAAACTTGAGAGCTTACATCCTTTGCCGTCACATTAGGAACTATACAGTATATATGCCTCCAAAAGAGAGCTTCCGTCCACTTTGCGTCTAATGTAATGGAAAGAAATACAGATTGATTGTATGATGAGTGCGGCACAATTGAGCCTATCTAATGCCAATTATACGTGAAGGGATCCCAACTCAGCTGTCATAGAATCGGGTTGAATAGCGGAACTTGCAATAACACAACGCAAAATCGTGATTTCAGCAGCATTTCGACGTTGGTCCAAATCCAGCTTCGCGAGATAGCCCGAGAGATATTCAACAATAATCTTGTGGAGATGATGCCAGAAAATCTTCTCACAACACATGGGCGCTACGGGGATGCGAAGCATACGTGTCACTAAGGCTGGCCACCTTACACGCTCGAACAAAGATCGATGATAGCCATGCTTGATGCACAAGCAGCTTCCATCCGGTAGGGGTTTCGACGCATTGCTTTGTAGAGCATTCAAAAAAGACAGCGCCGGTATAAGAGCCGTGGCAAGGTTTTCTTCACGCGGCTGAGAACCGAACAAATCATGCTCGACGAGACACAGATATTGATAGTACCACAATGAATTATATAAAGACAATGCGTACTCGTGAAATAGAAGGCCTGGGTAGCGATACATGGGGATGACCCCTGCGAATTCGTCTCTCAAGGACTCCATCAGGTGTGGTGGTTCGACGCGTTTGAGGTGCTGGAGACATACATTGCTAGAACCGTCAGTTTTGATCTCGACTGTAGCATAGAAACGTACATCTCTTTGAAAAGGTTCTCAACATCTTGACAACGCAGAAAGGCGAGCCTAGAGGCAAGCGAAGAACTCATTAACGATGGTAAGTGAGGAATGCCGTCCAGATTGCATCCCAGATAGGAAAGTACAAGCGGAAACTGGCCACTCAAATGCTTCACTGGGGATGACGCCGATGATGAGCTTGGTTTGATGGGCCAAACTCGCTCGCAGGCCAGCTGCATGAGATTGATCATATGCTCGTTCACCGTGGACTCAGAAGAGAGTTCCATGCCTTTCACTCCTTCTAACCCTTCCACCCCAGCTAGGGTGAATATTCGTCCTAGGATAGCGAGACCTGAATCACTTATCTTGGCTGCGTTGTCGGGAAGGGCTTTTTCAACTTTCTTAGGAGTATTCAGTGCATCCTCATTCTCTATTGCATATCTGGATATCACTCCTAGATAAGTGGCCGCCCGGGATCTCGCTGCCTCTTCACTGCGCTTGATAGCTGTTAGCTTGATGTTTACAAGGGCGAGGAGAATAATTACCTTAAAAACTTCAAGTAGAAGCTTACGCAGAGTAAGTTCCATGGTGAATTGCACGGTAGAAAGATACTGATAGTAGTTCTCGACAATGATGAGGGCAAAGTAGGCACAACAGACTGCCGTGGAGGAGTATTTGACTAGAGGTAGAGGAAAGCTTGGGGATGATTTTGTCATGTACTGCATTGGAATACGGTTAGGTGCAGTTATTCTATATGTATGCAGATGTGTGGCTTGCACGTGGCTTATTCTCTCTGCACCGTGCCTTATTAAGGACCCATAGCTACATTAGGCTTGACAAAGAAGCCTCTCAATTCAAGAAGCGAAAGTTTTAAGGGATTGTGAAATTCTCGTACAGTATAGATTGAGAAGATTATGAAGACTTGAACTGCCGTAATATCTACAAGCGAGAGGTTCGAATCAACTGGGAACGACCACAGAGAGCCAAGTCAATCGGTTCCATTCCACAGAAAAGTACCACATCAATGCCAAGAGCTTGCGGATTCGCCGACAAGGCTTCTACGACTTTAATGAGATTTCGCCCCAGTTTGGCCTCCAAATCAGGAAGTTCTCGGACCTGAGTCCAAGGGAAACCTTCAAATTTGTTGCGTACCAGTACTGTGACAACGATGTTGTTCTCCACCACCCCGATTTGAGTGATTCGATCAATCTGCATTGAAGTCACAGTCAGCTCAGTTGAAATGAAACAATAAGATTCATACACTTTGAGCATCCACGAAAGTGCCATGTAGCGGCGTAGATGGGGGCGTCGGAGGCACCTGAATGGCCATAATCTAAACTCAATCAATCAGCGATATTCAAAACCAGCCGCTTCTGGTTAACTTTACAATGTGCAAGCGATTGTGAAATGGGGCTTACGAGTGATGACTTGTTCGATCTACGCGACCAATTAAACAAAATGGATCAGGCAACAAGGCAACAAGGCAACAAGGCAACAAGGCAACAAGGCAACAAGGCAACAAAGTAGGTGTGAACGCAACTCGTCGTGTTACAAGGCTGCGGGCCATTTTATGTACTTTGTATACGAAAGCAGGATCATTATCCCTTTTCTTGCAGGATTCGTCCGAAAGCAATCACAACATAAATATTGCAATAACGCGAAAGCATACGATTATCCCATTGGAGAAAAAGCGCAGTTGGATCACGAAACGAGAACGATCATGTACCATAAGAAACGAGGGATTAAATTGAAAACTACCAATCTATCTACTCATCGACTCTTCACAAAGAAGCCTGGAAAATAGCCCGTCACCCATCCAAAAATCTGAAAGAACAACCCATGGTTTCTGAAGTCTTGAACCTCTTTTGTCATAATCTCTACAATTTCATTGTGAGATTCCGTATGTTCGAATTCTGTCTTCATGAACTCAGCCAAGGTAATGAATTTTTCAATGTACTCCTCCACTCCTCGTTCTGGAAAAACACCCCTCTTCCACTGTGTCATACCGACTTTCAACCTAAACTCCTTGTCCCACTGTGCCACATAGTAGAACTTCAGAAGAACCGCTTTGGGAGCATTCCGAATGGGAAAGACGATTCGATTTCGAAGGGATGCTTCGTTGCCCTCTAAAAGAATCTCCTCGCCCGTCGTGAGTTCCTTCCATAATCCTTCGAGGTCTCCATAAAGGTCTTTCTGAATCAACTCCACCGCAGGTTGAGCGCCATCCATCCCTCGAAATGTGTGCCATGGCATGTCTTCATAGTCGACATATCCCGAAACGCTGGGGCATCCTACTTTGCAACGAACTTTCAGATCTGCTCCTATCCGTTTAATAGACTGAACAGTGATGATTCTCTCCTGAAAAGGGGATTAGACCTTGCGGAATCGGTTACTGGAATTGCATACCGGGGCGGATTTTTCAGGCTGCATTGTAGAAAGGCTGCCAACAAAGTTGATCAAGGCTAAAGGCAACCGGTCAACAGCCGGTCAAGCAGGAAGGCAACTGTCGGATCGTTGGCGGTGTAACAATAGACTGTGAAGATGACCCAGCCTGGTGGGAAAGAGCTGCACATATAATCTACTCACTTCCTTCGAGACTATCAATTTCTCAAAATCATATGATTTGTGACTCTACTCGCCTGAAATCCCAGTTAAGTCCTGTCAAAGAGATACTACTTTTTGGCGAAGCATCACTCCATTACTGCGCGCCAAGCAGCTCATGCTCATCTGAAAGAGCTTGTGCTGCAAGCGAATAGGTTACGAGCATCGATGAAAGCTTGTTAGTTAGCTTGTATATGCACAGTCGATTCGGATGATTGTGAAAGGATCTGGGTAAGCCTATCGGTTCCGTGCTGCCGCTTAATGGGCTTGACTCAGTACTACAAGTGTGCTGTTCGACTGAAACTTCACCAGAAGCCTCTTCGGAATTCTCAGCTAGTAGGGCAGAAGGCAAAAAAATTGGTGGCGATAAGGCGGATTCACGTTGGCGGACTGTCTTTTGCAGCCCAGTCTTGTATGATCAGTCCTGAGATATATTTATCGACGCCTCCTCAATAAAAGTTCACCGTACTTATAGCGATCACGCACATTGGTTGTTGTTCTCATGTGTACACTGTGGCTTGTTTGATACGTGGTGCGCCAATCATGACGCTGGTAAAGTGAGACTTTGATGTGGTATTTTGGGCTGCGCTATTCCGCTTTTGCTACGTCCAGGACGTAGCAAAAGCGGAATAGCGCAACCCACAATCCTACTATCCCAAAATGGCATTGCTCCTCCGCTTATGTTCTCTAATGGCATTTGCAACTCAGACAGCTTTGGCTCAAGACGTAGCGTTCTGACGCGATGAACTAGACCTAGATCGAGAACGACGCCTTGCCTGTAGAATGAGCACAAATTCATGGCCATCCAAAAGTTCACCCAAAGGCCAGTCCATCGACTCCCGTACCCATTCCAATGCTTCGAGTGGCTCCCCATGGTCAACGAAGAATCCGCTATCAACACTAGACACAAGACCACTGGTATCTTCGACATCAAAAAGGCTACCTCGTAGTTTTGCATCCATAACATAACCGACGGGCGATGCCTTCATTATTGATTCTGCGTTGTCTTTCATGAACTCGAGTGAGGCAGTGTCGATTGGCCCTGGTAGAGGTAAGTAACCAGATAAAAAGACAGCGGTGTGCGCTCACTCTTGTATGCTCTTGAAGCAGCCAGACAAGCAGCTGGGTGGGAGCTCATAACACCGTAGACGTCATCTCCATCTAGTTTGATCTCGTCGAGGAGTCCAGCAGCAAGCCCACGTTCACGGAAGTCGCGGTGGACCACTAACTGAGTGATCCAGCAAATAGTTCTGCCACCGACAGACCATCGACAGGCAAAAGCATTACCAGCAAGGTGACCGTTGACAGTAACTCTAACGTATGAAGAGATTTCTCTGGGAAGATATTCATCCCGAAGTCTTTGTCTGCTTAGCCGAACGGGACGACCTAATCGATATGGTTAATTTAATAGCACAACTCGTGATACTGAAGGCTCACCTGCTTTCGCAAACTTTCCCATCTGCTCTGCGGCATGCTCGCCCCAAACACCGTAATTCTCGGAGAAGAGCTTGGCGGCTTCATCAAGCATCTCGTCCGTGACATCGTCACTCTTGAATCCTTCATAAACCTTCTTGTCCATGTCTAGAGGACTTCTTCGCCTGCGAGTACTTGGTGTTGGTACGAATGTCCGAATTTGAGGCTCGAGGGAAAATGAGACTGATTTTGGTGCACAAGTCATCGGGGGGTATCAGGCTAAATATACCAACGGTGGCTGAAGCGTGGTTTCGGAGGTCCGCATTTATCGGGTTTTGCAGGATTCAAAGCGCGGGGTGGAGGTGACTCCGAGCTTTACCCGATAGCAGATGATTAGTGTGGTATGGCCTGACTTGATTTTCATTGGATTATCTACAACTCTCGCCTGGGCAACTTCCAACCAGCAAGTAACTCAATCTGATATTGCACATCGGCGAATAAGAATGTACCAACCCCAGGCATCAAAAATTGCGGAGGTTTTGTTTGACATATCCCCGCTGCGTAGTCGAACGCAGCTTTGGCCCCTTCTGAATCCCTGCCCTGGAGACGCACGACGCAAATGAAAAGGTGAATGAGAGCGACTGTAAAAACTTCTTCCTCAAGCGGGTTATATCTTCTGCCAAGGCTCAGGGCATCTTTCCAGCGAGCTTCCCCCTCAGAAAGGGGAGAAACACGCGCAAGAGCGATGAGTGCCCGTACGTGTCCTAGCCGGTCAATGATATCAGGATCAATCAGCTTTTCATAAATGTCGGAGACTTCCTTTAATAGCTGCTCCGCTGCCGTAAATTGGCTTCGCCTAATCTCAATCTCAGACAAAGAAAGAAGTAGCCTGCGATATCCTTTTGAATGCGGCGCGTGATGTCTCGTATTCTTGATCTCCGGCGTAACCAGCTTTTCAGCTTTATCGAGCAGGTCCCCGAGTGATTGTGAATAAATCTCACGCCGTTCCAGAAAATCTACCTCTATGTAGGAATCTACGAGGTGAGCTAGGGCCAAGTGTCTTTTGGATTCGCGAAGTGGATCCCTTTGGAGACATCGCTCAAAAAACAAACATGCGGTTTGAAAATGCCCTTGTCCTCTCGAAATTCTGCCGGCGGAATGGATCTGGTTCCATACGACGTCAAGCTGATCCTCTGTACCGTTGGACTCAGTGGGTATCCACATCTTTGATTCCTTGTCAGCTGATAGGAAGTCAAAGTTGTAGGCATAGTTGGTCGCTTGAGAAAGATGTAGAAGTCCAAGAATGGAATGGGATTGCAGTCGTGTGGATAGATCTGCTCGATTCAAAAATTCCTGGAGGAGCTGGGTTGAGCCAGCTATATCTCCTTTGAGACGCAAAATTACACTGCGTTGGTAGATAGCTTCGGCGTGTAAATATGTGCTATCCATCTTCTCAAGCAATCGATCCACCAGTGAGAGAATTAGACGTCGTCGGGCTAAGGGCCCAAACTTCGATGCTGATAGTAAAGTTTCGATGACTTCGTCGTTTGCTGGAATTTCTGAACCAGTCTCAGCATAGGAGCGGAGCAAGTCTCCCAAAACTGTCAACAACTTTTCCTTTTCTGAGACTGTCCTTTTTGTTGATGAGTAAATGGTTTCCAGATGACGGGTTGGTAACTTACAGAGTTGTTGGGTTACGGGGAAATATATAGCAAAACAACCAAAGAGCTTGTTCGATCCAATATGATCTTTGTTGGCCGCATATATATTCAGTGGGTGTTGAAGCACAAATGTAAACCTCCATGTTGCTACAATTCTCCACCCCAATAGCTGCAAGTGATACCAGATGCTCCAGAGTTTGCCACAATCTACCAGAGTCCAAGAATAGGTCCTTTAGATGGGGACCAAATTGGGAGTTTTGGGGGTTGGTCTCATACTCTCTACCATATTCATTCCACCTCTTCTGGGGAGAGACGGCTTGTTCTAGCACGAATCTGGGGATGGATCCAATGGTACAGATAAGTGAGAGGAGTGTCTTCTCCGCGCACACGATCATACTTCGATTCATGTTCTCTTCGTAATCGGCCCCGTTTCGAGTAACACCTAATCGTTGATTTAACAACTGACTAAAAATACCAACAAAAGCTAACTTACCTGCAATGAAGGAGTTGTGCGTCAAGTTCTCGAATTCCCGAGACACTTGGTAAGCTGGAGCAATTTTGGCGGGATGAACTTTATAAATCCCCACCAGTGATGTCGGCAGGTCCGACAAGTCATATCCCAGCGCACGATATACTTCTGTAAGTCTAGAATGACCATTAGCCTATTTTCTGTGGATTTGATCAAACCTCATACGTGGATTGATTTGTAGAATTAACCGAGTCAAGAAGAAGAGTAATGAGTCCCGGAATGCTGTAGCTGGGAGTCAAGCAGTCATTGTAGCTGTGTTCTACAAAAGTCTTTGCCGAGAGGTGTTCAAGAATAGATCTGGAAGTTTCATCGCCTCGAATCCGAACTAGATCAGATATGGATATAGCGTCTGCAATTTCAAAAGTTAATTAATGTTTGAAAGTCCGATATCCATAGCATACTTAAAAAGAATATTTCGGTGGCCCGATAAAGCGTCCAGCCTCTGCGGACGAGCTCAATAATCAGTTGATGTATCCATGGAACGGTATCTAGAAGCGATTTCCGATCGTTTTCCCTAATTTGGGTGATAGTCTGAACGAGCTCGTCGATTGCTTTGCCAGAGACACCTTTCTGCCGGAGTATTTCGCAATATGATAGGAGTATAAGCACATGAAAATACGCAAATGACCTCTGGAGATGCACATTCTCGAGCGATGACTTTGTGAGAATAGCCAATCTTTTCCCTACCGTGATGAGTTCACCACCCGAATCTCCGAGCTCTTTGCAGTATTCCCTCTTGGATGCAACGCATGCACTCCGAGAGAATCTTTGGATAACATCTTCGTACTCTTTCACTGTATTGAGTCCCAGTTCCGACTGTCTCGCACGCCACCTGTTCCCTTGGGGTACGTTTTGAACAAATCGATCTAGTGCCAAGATTTTCCGCGACTTTTTTACTCGCTTTTTCTTTGGTGGTCCTGAAAGTGGTCCGACTGGTGACTCTGAGTTAGATTGGAGCAACGATCCTGTGCCGGGCGCACGTGAAAGCAGTCGTGACTCCGTAGCCTCGGTCCACGACTGTAGCATCGGTGTCGAACTGTTTATCAGAGCACTTTGCGTGGATCCTTCAGGTTGTGCAGTTTTTCGTTTCCTTAGGTTGGCCGTTGGTGCGACGACTCGTCCGTCAGACAAGTCTTGCAGAGGGATGTTGAAATCATTGCAATGCTCGCAGTGTTGTCGCATCCTGCTAAACAATTCTGAGTGAACCAACACGAAGCCCTTCTGCATCGCCATGATGGGAGAGATTACGGTCACACTTCTGTGAGCTGCTCAACTGACGTTGAGAAACTGCGATTTACGCTATTCCGCTTTCGATCCGACCTGGTCGGATCGAAAGCGGAATAGCGTAAATCAGCCAAGATCGAACAGACAATCCTCCGCCACTCATAGGAATTTAAAAAATGCGTCTTACCTAACGTGCAAATGTCCAACACGCACTGTTACTTTGCTTTCCTCTAAATCATGAATCTACAATAGGATTACATCTGCCAACGTAACAGATGAGAATATTATGCTATGGTCGAAAATAATTGAACAGAGCAAAGGGCGGATTGTCCGAAGCGGGGGTTGGCTGACAATGGCAGATTGGTCACGGTCAGCCGGCTACATTGCTCCTTTTCGAAATCGATTGGCAGGCCCATCAAGCCTTATCCAACACGAATGCGGGCGCGCATGCGCACCAATTCGAGATCCCTTATTGCCGACAAGGATATCCTTCTATAGCGGTTGTTATGAGCATGAACTAGCAAACCACCATACGTTAGATACAAAAGATATTTAGTTGGACATGATAGTCATGAAAATCACACACATGCGGCCAGGCACCTCCGTGAGCTGCACCTGCGCTGTTAATGTGTGCTGACGCAAATGTGATTGCGTAGAATATAAAGCTGAGGCGAGTTCGGGTCACTGGGGCTGTATAAGGTTTTTTGTGCTTCATTAAGACCACGGCCATAGCCTCGTATTGCCAAATGTGTTCCTACAGTGACCGTGTTAGTTCCTGTGGCCACTACAGGCGAACTTGTACAGCACCTTGCAGCACCGCAAAAAGAAATAAACAAGTCTGCACATCTGGAAATACAATAAGTGCATCAACTACCGGATCGCTTTGTTACCTTTATGGCTGTGATCAACAACCAAACCTCAAACGCGAAGGACCTGGTAAGAGACAGGCTCATAAGATATAATTTAGCTAACTTTGACTATAGGGGCAAGGATAAATGGCGGTTTTCATTCAAGCGACGTTGATTTTGACTGATGAAGTATATGGTAAGCCAAATAGACCATTATGGAGCGTCTATGTACTGAACCAACCCTAGGACCACATCATCCAACTCAGATCGTTTCTCTGGATGTTCCTCAGTCATGCCGCGTATTATTCCTGCTACGAGCCTAGCCTTCCTCTCGTCATGTTCAAGTGGGATCATCAATGAAAGTAGCCTCCCAAATGCCCATATGTCACCGCGTACACGGGAATCCCAAGGCAGATAAGTCGGGTCTAGATGTTCTTGGAACTCTGGGGGCATCCATTCGCGTGTAGTAGCCAGGCCACTGACGTCAATGATCTTAGCGTCATGGTCAGAGCTAATCACAATATTCGACGACTTTAAATCCATGTGTGCGATCATCTTTTTATGCATGTGCTGCAGTCCACGGGCGATCTGGAGTGTCCATATCCTGCGAAATATACCTTTGTCTAATGTCTGATTTAAAGGCCCGGCGTTATGGTATTCGAGAAGAAATCCTCGGAGAACAGGGTTTTGAACCTCTGATCTGCCCGTATGATATGGATTATTTGATGCGACAGCAGAAATGAGTCGAGCAACTTCTTGGCATTGGTGAAGAGATTGCAGGTTTGAAAATTCCTGCTTGATGATCTCGCTGTCCTTAGGCTCATACAGCGGCCTTTTAATTGACTTGAAAATGTACTGCTGGTTCGTAGCTGTGACCTCAACTAGTGATATCGCTGGAGCAATTTCCATGACATGTCGAAGGTCCGAGAGGTTTACCGATGGACACGGATTGGAAGGGATCGGTGGATAGAATATTCTTGACGAATCTTCCGTGGTCTGATAGTAGAATCGAGCGGAGAACCGGCCAAATCCATTGTTGGATGGCAACTCAGTATCATCAAATGGAAGCATGAGTTTTCGCGGCTCATCGTGGGCATTGAACGGTGTGAAGACGACTTCGGTAACGGTATCGTCGATAAGTGGAAGATGTCCGAATTGTACGTGTTGAGCGAGGTCTCGCAGCTGACGGCCGCGGGTTTTCCGGTTCATCTGCTCGTCCTGAAAAATCGATGGATCACCTTCGCGTATTATTGTTCCTTTGAAAGTAAATCTTATATGCCATCTATAGCTGTCGGAACGGTAGAGCAAATTCTGAGATCGAATGTGGGGTTCTGGATCACCGCGGCATTTGAAATCTTCCTGTTCGTGGTAATCCGTTGGATCGGCTTCGATCGCCATGTTATAAAGCAATAAAAAGGTCGCTGTTGAGGTCGCGTCAAATACTCAGATCGGCGAGACGAAGTATTTTGATTCGATGATACTTTTAGGTAAACGGGTGGGTTGGAGGGACGTAGCTTGAAGGAAGATTTCTGGGACGCTGGGCGAAGCTGGATAAACTCTTGTATGTTGCTTACCTAAGCGATTACCAGCTTACTGATCCAACACGTTATTCCTGCACGCTTACTGCCCCTTTAATTCGTGAGTGAGACAACGGATATAGGAGAGGGATCCCATACAGTGCTGTGCAGCTAAGGCTGGGGTATTGACGACTACTACAGTACAGTATTACGTCGATGCAGAACCAGAAGTGGGGCAGGCGGTAACGAAAACTTATCGGGACTAGCGCGTTTCACTTCCTTGGCGACTCCCTTTGCTGCCTGCAGACTCGCATCCTGGCGCCTACGCTAATCAGTCCTCCACTTCAAACTCGGCGGCAACATATAAGCGCTTCGATCTCGCGATTCCAGTCAGCATGGCCAGTTATTCATTTCTTCCAGCCGCTCACAAGAGTCGGCGTATGCCGGGCCAAAGAGAGAAGGGTATGTCGTAGCTCTTGCCATACCACGCAGCTATTCTGACGTTCGCAGCTCAGGTTACCAGCAAGGCCACGAGACGTAGTGATCGCATACGAGCAGCGACTGAGGAGAGCTCCAAGCCTCAGATGAATACTGACCCTCAAGTTCTATACTCACTAGATCCGGAGGTATGCTGGCACTCGCTTTCGTCATCTTGAATAATCTAACATGGCAAAGCATTTCTCGAATCCCAAACAAACCCACGCACAAGCCCTCGATACAAAGAAGCGAAGTCGTGACTCTGAGGAGCATACATCAACCGAACGAACACAGAAGCGTTTACGAACCCAAAACCCCCCTCCCACGAAGGAAGCTGGAAGAAAACGGCATCGAGAAGACGAAGTCTGTCCCTCCCCTGTCTCGTCTGGGCCGTCACCTCAACGACTGCGAACATCTGCGACCCCTACTCAGAAGACGATTAAAGAGGCTCGGATTGAGTACTGGAGAGATAAAGGCACCTGGCCAACAGAACAACAAGAGACAACAATGCATCGTTTTCGAGAACTTGTTGATGGTGCGCGTGCGAGAAAACGATCGCTGAGCCGTAAACGCTCAAATGCCAGCCTGAATTCGGAAACGTCCCAGACACACACCTCAAGCAACCAACAACCTCGAGATCAAAAGAGTGCCCCATATAGGCATGCACTGTTTGAGGAGCAGCTGAAGGAATGTGGAAGCTTCATGGATGAGGACGAAGAAGGCGTGACTGCTGAAAGCGAAGAGCTTTGCCGAATGCTCCTCGGAGGGATACAATCACCACCTGCCCATACCCTTTTCTCCGACGGCAATCTGTTCAAGAAGACATGCAAAAGAATCAGAGACGAAAATGAGACCAAGGTGGTTCGCGATATTGCACCCCTCATTGTTCCTTCGGCAGAGATTCTAGCCGATAGGGGAGCTACGCACCTAGAGATTCTCCGAGAGACTGTCAACGCATGTTGGGTTATTTCTACTACATTTATGAAACCCCCAGGTTCGCGTCCTGGTCCCCGTCCCCAGCCAGATTTTGGTCTTGGGTTCAAGAGAGATGCCTTTAGTCGAGAACAGCTCCAGAAGCTACAGCCTTTCCTTGGTGACCTAATCAAGGATTCTACTCTTATTGCGGCCACGTATAACATGTACCTTCCGTTCTTCTCTGCCGAAGTCAAATGTGGAGCAGCTGCACTTGACATTGCAGATCGACAAAACGCTCACACCCAGTCCGTCATTTTACGCGGTTTGTACACACTCTTCCGCTTAGTTGGCCGAGAGAAGGAGCTACATCGAGAAATCAATGGCTTTTCAATATCTCACAGTGATGTCGACGTAAGAATTTGGGGCCATTACGCCGTGATTGATGGGGACGATGTCAAGTATTATCGCCATCCAATCCGCAAGTTTGACTTCACGGAGCTCAACGGGAAAGAGAAGTGGACGGCATACACTTTCGTCAGGAACATCTACGATTTGTGGGTTACAAAGCACTTTAGAAGAATCTGCAGTATTATTGACATGCTACCGGCGGATTTGAACTTCGACGTCTCCGAGCAAGGCCTGGGATCGGCCACTACACATTCAGGATTATCTCAACGGTTTGAGAGCTACGAACTCGACGATGAACAAGCGGTACCGGAAAGCCACGCAAGCCCCCACGCAAGCGTCCAGCCAATCACCCCCGATACGACAATCGGGACTGAGTCTCCCAAGCACAAGCATAAGAAGAGAACGCACTCACGTTGAGCATCGCTATATCTCTCACTTATCAAGTCGTTATTTTCAGCGAGTGGATAAGGAACAAGAGCGATACTGCCAGGCTTATCTCGCTACTACAAAACGGTGCACCTGCACAATTTCCCAGTGGTAATGAGGTGTTGAGATTGGAAAGGATGGCAGCCCATGCGAGCTATTGCAGAATCGATCGAATACGCCTCACTAATTCATATTACTTTGCTCTTTTTCCCCTGTGCCTCTTCGATGCTCCTTGTTGAGTAAGAGAGTTGTCCAAGGTACTGGCAGGAGTATCCACTAGATTATCATCATCCTCTGCTTCGTCCCCCGATCCTGCAAAAGACCCTCACAGATGGTGTGATCCTAAGTCTTGTAATAGGCCAGAGTCTTGAAGTGGTGGGGCATCAAAGTTAAGTCCGGAAGGTAGGTCGTGAGGCAGCGTACGAGATGTAGGAAGAGCCTGCAAAGCTAATATAAGGTCAAGGAGGGAGTTTCTCAGCCATACTAATGCCAGCGGTCTCTCGCGAGTTCACTCTGTGATATACCTTCATCATTGGCGTTGTACAGTCCGTCGATAGCCAGAACTCTACTGATAGGATCGAAAGAGGTGCGAAAGGCATCTAATCTTGATCTGTCTGCCATGGTGAAGAAGTGCGAACAAGACACCTAGGTAGATGATGAACAAGGTGAAATAGAATGTAGCCGAATAAGCAGCGGCTGAAATCCATAGAGATAGAATATCAAACAGAAAGCCAGGAATGCAACGAAATGCTAGGCGCGTGGCGGCAGACGATGCCAAGACGGCATTTCTTCGGAAATGGGCGACAAACACTAGACACGACCGCACACGGTCCGCGCATGACCGCACGCAAACAAGTGTCCAGCAAATCTCAAGATGACTAGAGAGAAATGGGCATCAAAATGATTGTCTGCTCGCAATACCCAGATAACACGTCTTGAGCAGAACCAAAGAAGGCTCCTCTAAGCAATTAAAGAATAATCATCCAATGTATGGAGGTTGTAACGTCAGAATCGAAGCTAGCGCCTTTAATGGCGGGTCTTGGAAGTATGCGAGAGAGAACTGCACAGCGTTCCTGGAGCATATCATATCTTCTTGAACCAAATTTTGACATTTTTTTCTTCATGCTTGGCTCACAAAGAGATTTTCGTTGCATGCCTTCGTTGCATTGTCATTCATTCACTAACGGTTATCCAGATGTCTCGCGACACCTTGATGCATTCACTTACGATCCCAAAGTCAGGTATATACTTCATGGATATCTCAATGATAAGAAAAAAAACTCGACTTCCATTCTATACAGCCCAGGGTGCCGTAGAAGCACGAACATAGTACTCTATCTAACAATTTCTAGTCATCAACAACCACCTATAGTATACTGTCATCAAAGATAGTCGTCTCACAATTTACGCCTTTTTGTTTCTCGTTCTTTTGGGATAATCGTTTTCTCGATCACCTTCAGTCGTTTATTCCAACACCAGTGTAGAGCGTCGTAGCAGTTTAAGCAATTCTCTTCCACCTTGGCAAACCCCTGTAGACACCCCACTCGAATATTCTGGTGATGATCGACCGATAGTAGAATCTCTTTGCTTCCAAAAGATCCTTCTGGTACCTCTGGGCTCAAATGGTGATAAGCCCATAGTATACGCAGCTGATTCCCTGGGTAGATACCCTCCACTCTTGCTATCGGTGGCCGATCTTTATTGTCTTCGCCTACACATCTCACAAATACGTAGTCTCCAACCTTTAATTCTTTACCATCATCTAGTCATGTAAGTATGAGCGTGATGAGTCTAGATGGCGGTACTTACGAATGATGGGTACGACCGACTTTCGACTCCTGTTAACTTTCGCAGAGCGAGCTTGGGGTTTGGGTCTAGCATTTTGTGAAAAAATGGTTTCACGGCGTGCTGACGTTGAGATAGGATATCGCTTGCGTTTTTGATCTTGGAGAAATCGCTGAGATAGGTCTTTTGTGCTATGTGACGATGCTGTACTATTGAAGGGAGCACATTGAGTTTGTTCTGTCTCAGACACACGGCTTTCGAAGTTCAATTTGCCATTTATTCTAGCATCTTTGACGCTATTGAAGGCATCTTTAAGGTGTCAGAGGGGTTTCAGCGACAATATAAGATGGTGAAAGACTTACCTTGACTGGCTGATGGAGGTAAGATTCTTTCTCCTACGTTCAACGCATTTCCCAGAACAGGGATGACAGGAAATATGATAGGTATACACTTGTCTTCTGTGTCTGATTGGATTCCAGAGGCTGGTGAATTTTGCTGATGCTCATTATCTCGGATACTTCCTAATTCACCTCTGTTTCCGTCCTCAGTTGCTACTTCAGTTGGGCTTCCTGGATAAATAGCGCTGGTAGTGACCTCCTTTGAGATTTCATCGGTAGCTCCGTCTTTAGCTTGGCTCTGACGTAAATTTGTATAGGTCAAAGCCAGTTTTTCAGCATTTATATTGACCTTATCTCGGAAGCGGTCGATGGATCCACTAGAGATATTGCGAATGCATTTACTGGGTGATCGATTACTTTCATGTATCTTTTCTGCTATCCTCTTGTGCGGGAGGAGATAGTTGTATGTTTGCTTCTCTGATCGCTGTCTAAAACTGGAAGAAGTCGCTTTGCCTCCAGCTTGAGCATGCATGGCCTCTCGTTTGGTATCGTTCATAACTTCGTTCTGTCGAAATTGTTGATTGGTTTCAACCTGGGAATTTAGATCTTCGATACTGTGGATAATCTTGGTGGAAGGTTCAGCAGGAGGAGGTCTGGCGTTTGTCCAGACACTGCCAGGTATTACACCATCAACAATGCTCTTGTTGTCATCTCGAACAATAGACCTTTTGAGGAATTCTTCGTCATCTAAAATGTCGTAAGTATTCCGACTACACACAGAATATAGCGTGGGAATGGTCTCACATTCAGCATCACTCTTTTCGCTGCTGGCTATATCCGCCAACCTGCTCTTGTAGTCTCCGGTTGGCATTCGCGGGGTTGTTGCAGATAGAGAACTGAGTTTCGTATCCTCTTCAACCATTTCTTGGGCTATGCCAACTTGACTCTCTGATGAAGGTTCCCGATCTGTGTAGCTCACTCTCCCCTGGCTACCTCTATGATTGAGATGGCTTCTACTTGATTTTGAGGAGCCTTTTAACAGTGTTAGAAATGATTTTCAAAGAGATGATATTATATCTATCTATCCGGTACATACCAATGTCTATTTTCATGCGCTTCTTAGTCTTTTGTACTGCTGGTTTATTGATACCAAAGGCACGTGCTAGATTGTTCTTCTGAGCAAGTCCACTCTCTGTTTGCCTTGGGGTATACAATTTGCTCCGACTTGTATGGTGTGAAGATTGACCCAGATTCTGGAGACGTCTGGTATTGCTAACAGGTTTGTCTTTCGCATGGTGATCGCCGGTGCAAGGCTCCTCGTATTCGTCATCGCTCGTAAGGTCGACCACTTTTGTCTGTTTGCGAGGATATGTATTTTCATTTCGATTGCCGTGGGACAAGGCGGTCCAACTGCTCTCACTCGGTTTCTTGATAGCATTGTGGTTGCTGTTCGGAAGAGTATGTTTTTTGTCTTTCGATCCACTGACGGCTGCATCCTGCGGCTTAGATGAGAAGGAGGCAAACATGTTGATAATGATATGGTCAAAGTAAATAAGAAGAGGCAATCGAAACTGTATCAGTAAGTAGTCAAGAAAAATCAAGGATATAAGGGGGAACGTTGGCCGTTTTATAGGCTGTCATCTGATCTTTCCTAAGTCCGCCTTTTTCGCATAATCCGAACTTCCAGCCCCTGAATTCACGAATTACTTCTGTCAAAGCTCGACCTTTTGCATTGGCTGAGTGAAGTGCATGAATATGGCTGAGACATTGCAAAATCTGAGTGTCCTTGGATTGGTTCTAGGAATTGCGGCGCCCAGCACACTCAAGTTGATAGCAAGGGTACAAAGTCCTCATCTTGGAGCAGTACCCCCTGTACCACTCCTCTATGCTTTGACCTCTCTAGTTGACCCTGACGCTGTATAGACTATGCATTCCTAGTATATTTGTCAGTGTCATTTCAGGTGCCCAGACCAGTGAATCATTTGTGCTGAAGGCATGGATATTCAGGAGCGCAGATCTGCTCAAAATTGTTGAATTGGACTGGGAATCCTTGCCATGGAAATTATGAACAAAGACCGCAATAAGGCCAGTCATTCCAGTGCTCATACGCCATGAATGCGTATCCAAGGGTAGGAGAGGCTCCGACAAACCCACTGACGCTCAATAAGATTGCCTATGCACTGACAAGGTCAGAAGAGTACCTGAAAATGCAGCATTTATCCGATTCTAGCCGGGAGGAGGGGTTAGTGGTGAGAATAAGGCAAATGTTGATTGGATATGTTGCACATCGAAGGGTTTCGCCATCATTATTTCGATTAGACTGTACGTCACTCTAGCATGGATTTAATGCCGCGAATGCTTACTATAGAAGTAGCCGACAATGAGCTGAAGACTACGCCCACCAGTTATCATTGGCAATGAGATTTACTCCCTTGGATTCTGCCTTCCTTTCTTATGCATACTCAAATAAGGCCCGGGCTTGAACTCACTCCAGTTTAGTGACTGGATGAACACCCTCGAATAAGACCTCCTTGACCAATGTATGACTCCCCAAGGCGCAGATAAGGCGTTTTTTGAGGATAGACAAAGATACGCCCATGCCAGATATTATGGGGGGATATCGCAAGGTAGAATGGAAGATTTTGATGCACCCACTTAATATGACGTATTCTATAAAATAGGTCCAACAAAATCAAGCATACAAACTAAGCTCCTAACAAGAGCCCTTCTTGTAGTGCTTGTAGCTCTATTACGGCGGATTTCAACCCCTGGGATTGGCCATCTAACACTCTTTTTAAGCGCATAGCAATAGAATCATTCTTTTCATATGCTTCTTGTAATCTCTCGTTCACCTCTTTCAGACGCGCCAGTTCGCTTTCTGCGTGCCGTCGGCATTCTAGTTCAGCCGATAACTGAGTTCTCATTTCCTCCAGTGATTGACTCAATACGGCGTTCTTATCTTGTAATTGATCGATGAGAGTGCTAAAGCTAATCTCTTTTTGGCCAACAGTTGCTACCACGGCACCTTCCATCATACCAAAGGAGTTGGCGGAATTTCTTTGTTTAGCTGGAATGGCCTCAAACGTCCTCCCAACACCATTACTTAGATCCTTATATGCACTGATAGAGTGGTCGCTTATGTTCTTTGAAAACAGGTGCTTTTTCTCAGGGAGAAACCTCCAAGTGTACGGATCGTCGGGGCTGGGAAGGAGGCGAACCTGAGCTGGATCTATAACAATACCGAGCTTACTTTCTAGGACTGATTAGCTTCTCTCAAATAAGAGGACGATTTCATTACGTATATGCGTTGATAGTTCTTTGCGGCATCTTGTCCTCCACTCCCGTCGTTCCATATTGCTTGCGCGCACTGGAGCCATCGATCAACGAAGAACGTGAATTTCTATAGAGAGGTCTCACGCGATCCCTCCACCTTAAATCTGTGTCGTGCCCCTTTTACTATTCAGGGCACCGAAATGGCCTCTTGCTATTGCTACGGTGATTTAAAACGGTTGGTTGTGACCATATGTGAGATGCTTATATATAGAGTGGACCAGTTTTGGTCACCAATAAGCGGTGTACATTGAAAACCTTACGGTTTGACGTGCTTCCCTGGATCGGGTCACACTCGCCGTCGGGAGAAGCTTTGCAAACCGAACCTCCGGCATGCTTTCCTTGCGAGCTGACGACGCTGCAACTGTGGGGCATTCATTCTATAGCTATATCTTCCTTACTAAACGAGTCTCCGATGGAAATTAACGTGCATGAAAGGGTGTAGCAATAGAAGAAAGAAAGAACTTAAAGACATCTTAACGAGCTAGGAAAGACGTGCAGCCGCAGGATGCTGCAACTCTAGAATTAAGACATATTGTAATTGTTAAAATGTTTCTGCTGGGAGTTCCATTGAAGCCTTCCATCGTGGCGGGACGGCCTCGCGTATTTAGTATACACCGTTCTGTATTAGCGCCCTCAATGTAATTTTACATCTCCACGTACTAAAGTCGACGCTAGCTTGACTCTGACTGACCCCCCAAAAATATCCGTGGTGCATATAGTAGCCAGGGTGGTATCATCATCACGTGCTCTAATCCTCTTGCTTACTTCGCTTCTTTCATCAGCTTTTGTCACTTCGCACTTGCCGTGGAAATGCATTTCTACTTCCCGCGCAACATGAATGGAGATTAACAGGATAGATGCGATAAGACGACTGATTTAACCACGCGTGAAGTGACTAGCTGCCGTTGGTACGGTTATGGGGCAGTTAGTAATCGAGCATGTTGAGGTTAACATGTCTAAAAATCGGTTACTCAGACAGAAATAGGGATGAGTGTTCATGATAAAGAGTGAGCATTGCTCCGAAAGGGAATTGAAGCAAAGGCCAACAAAAATCATCATTTCAACACGACCAATATAAATCCACAAATCACGCCTCATTGAATCTCATACCCTCGTTAAGGAATGAGGTCCTCCACGATGACAATACATATAACTCTCTTTGCATTGTTTACCTGCTCGTTTAGTGGATTCTGCCGTGTGCACGGAGTCGACAAGACACTGCATAGCGACTTACTGACAAGGCTAAGCTCTGCGTCAATTCGCATATAAAAACCCGACCTCTAACCAAGTTGCTCAAGCTTCTTCTTATCTGCGTTCACGTCTTGATAACATTTTATCTCTTCCAACAACGCAACACGACACTTGCGTACGCAGCTCAACATGGTCACCAAAACTCGGGTTAGGACTGTCCGCACGAGAAACATTACGTCTGTGCAGAAAAGGAAAACTCGATCTTACCGAAAACCAATTCAGCCAGTAAGTATTATGTACGCTAGTAGTTGATGTGTTGACCTGCTAACAAATCCTAAAGTTTAGTTGCATGCCTAGAGAGATGCACCAGGCAATCCTCTCTTATCTGGACCCAGAAGATTTGAGTCGCTGTCTTACCGTCGACAAAGAATTTTCGAACGTCTCAAAAGATTTAATGAACACAGAGCATGTTTGGAATATAGAACAAAAGAACGTGAAGGACGTACTTATGGACTGCGAGGGGTTTTTGGCCGCGCCCATGAGAATGGAGAATCCGCGAATCCTTCGAATCCGTCACCTTAACATCAAAATCCCCGTACACTCTCAATGGTATTTGTGGAAAGGATGGCCGACATACAAGGAACGCATGCCTATTGCCCTCGATAAGTTCATCCGAATTGCGCAACGTTTCAACAGTCTACAAAATTTAGACATCACGCTGTTTTTGAAACGCGAGTCTGATTGGTCTTGGGCGAAAGAACAGGACGTCCTTGAAGTTTTGGAGATGTTGGAGCGAGTTAAGGATCCAGAATGGAAGCTCAAGCTAAGCGTCAATGTTCCAGAGGGAACTAGTAGTTTTGGAAAGGTGGCGGAATGGGCGCGCACTGTACAGGGATGGAAAGATGTCTCTTATCATTTTTTCGCCGAGGACGGCGAGGATAGTGAGGATAGTGAGGATAGTGAGGATAGTGAGGATAGTGAGGATAGTGAGGATAGTGAGGATAGTGAGGATAGTGAGGATAGTGAGGATGGCGAGGATGGCGAGGATGGCGAGGATGGATGGTGAGGATGGTTATGGGGATGGTTATGGGGATGGAGATTCTTAGTATAGATCTCCTTAAAAGATACTTTTGTGAAGAACGTATACATAACATGTTGGACTGTTCTAGTATATCTAGTCATCCTCATAATAGATCTCACACTATCCCCCTCGGCATCAGATTCCGAATTAGATGTGTCCGTGGTGAGCTTAGTTTCCAGCAATAGTATTCTCATGCAGTCCATATTGAACTGACTAGATATTAATGGCTCAGCATCAGTTGGGGGGAAATGTGGGAGCTCGAAGATGGTCGCCAAAGACAGCCCCAGCGTTGACAGATAGCTTTTCAAGCTTTCACAACTGCATAATAGATGGTACAATTGGTGATCTGGGTAACCTCGGGAGCTATAATTATTTCAAACGTTTGGTTGTGACCATAGGTGAGATGCCTATATATAGAGTGGGACCAGTTTTGGTCACCACTAAGCGGTATACATTGAAAACCGTACGCTTATACTGATTCGTCTAAAACACCAGGGACTGTAAATTGACCACGTAGCGGTTTCTATGGCTGAGTCGATCCAATAACACAGAATTTTTTAGGAATTATCAAAAATATCGGCCTGCGCGATTCTAAATCGTCCAGAGGTCAAAGTATCCTAAGCCTGTTTTAGAAAATAGGTACAATACACTAACCAGGAATGCAATCGCTTTAGCGGAGGTTGTACTGATTAGTAAGGCACCAGAGAATCCGCACTCTACAGCTGCTGTATAACTTGCCAGATTCTTGATTACTATAATATCCGGACGTAAAGAAAAACCATCGATTCTAAGATATTATGTTTCATTTTCGTCCCAACACCGTTTATTATTGGCTGAGATACGTTGCTTGTTCCCTCTTCTGACCTCTTTTTCTCTGGCCTTCTTCCACCTGTCTTTCGGAACTCTGTCAGCGACATCTACCTTTTGCACATTCTTGCGCTTCCGACCTCGTTGTCATTTGCCTTTAGCCTTTCTAACAGCTTATTTCTAATCGTGCTTCTCCTAAGTCTCTTTAAAGTCTTCAGAGCTCATAAACCCTGCTGTACCCTATAACCACAGGCTTCGTAAAATTTGGAATTTACACTGTCATACCATTTGGCTCCACTGGAAGTCGCCATTCTTTTATATCAATAATCTGCATTTGTTTCATCCGAGACCATCCGCTTTCGTCTTTGAAGATGATGAATGGAGCCGATTCTGAGAACGAATACTATGTGAGTAGGGGTAATCGTCTTAGGAGCGCTTGTTAAAAAGAACTCCCTAACAACACATTGCGTAGGTAGAAGTTAAGAAGAAGCTTATTTTTGTCACTATACCACACCCGCGACGTCGCACTGCATTAAGTGACGAGAGTAATAACAGCCAAGATAAGTCCTCTAGAAAGAAGCCGACCAACGACCTAGAAGCCTACGAAAACGTACTAGTATCAAAAGCTTCTATCGAACTAGCAGACGAATATCAGGTGCAAGCTGAAGTACGCGATCAAAACAATTATAATATGCTCTTTAATGGTGACTTTACGGGTTACGGACTTCAAGAGGTTATCGAAAACCAGCTCTCAGCCATTAACTCTTGCATGATCAAGAGACCTAAACCGAAAGTCATTGAGCTCTGGATTCGACTTAGCGCCTTTGCGCACTGGGCCACGGATCGCGACCTGACCCATTGGATGATGATAGATGATTCACGACGCTGGAGTGACACAGTGGCTATGATTGGATATGCTACGATTTCAACGTTGAATACGCTAGATCGTGCGGGGCTCCTACAGAAGGACTCACCGATCAAGGATCTAGGCTTTGTCCTGGCGCTTCTAGGTGATTTTTCAACCAAGTGCTTTGACGTGGCTGGCGGAATACCGTGGATTTCTAAACGGTGCGAAGTCTGCTGGCCGTGGAAGATCGTACATTATGCAAAGATGAACGGCATCCCAATCCACGGCGTTCGCGACATAGAGGAAAAGTTTGTCAAGAAATATGATGACGAGATTCTAGTAAAGTGGTGGAACAGAAAACCTTGCGTCGACCGCTGGGGTTGGTCTACTAAGGCAAGTTCAGTGCTAGAGAAGACCTCACAGAGAAAGTTTGTTCTAATAGACTCTATAGTGGCGACACATGCTGCGAAATCATGGAAATGATGGCCTATCAATCTTGCGGAGGACGCGTAGACTTGGTGGTGAGATGTTCAACGTCACGCGCATGGATGAAGAAGAGAAACATGTATGAGTTACTGTGCTGGCTCCCAGGTTCAATAGACAATGTACTCTATTCTGATATTTATTACTCATATGTTCGACTATTGATGAACAGATACTGGTGCCGAACCGATTAGCTGAATAAAGCAGTTCAAGATAGAGGAACATAAGCTTTTCCAGGATTATCCAATCATAGTGGCTCAATGGAAGCGGATCGAAAACAACGTAGTAATCGAACTTTACTTTGTGGTGCAGGATCAAAAGATCACACCGCCTACAATTCTTACAGACCGCCGGACTGACGATAAGGAGCCTTCGCGCAATTCAGTCAACTACATATCCACGGAGAGAGTTCCGGATGACACCAGGCGATGCTGATTCAACCGACGATACTCATCACCTTTTCTCATTTCTCCGGTTTGCGTAGCACATTTGCTTGATAGGGCCACGTGTTCCTCAATCATTATGTACTCGTTTCAGCCTGTGCCGTGAGGTGCCCATTGACCCACTATAGATATTAGATCGTTATCTGGCATTCCTTTTCTCACGATGCTTTTGGGTTTACTAGAGGAACTCTATCTATATGAGCCTATCATCATGACCGGCCAATGCGTGCCCTCATATCAATCATACTAAAATAACAGGTGACATATTCATAGGAGCAGAAGATCGCCCACATAAAAATGAATACATATATATTATATTAACCCCTTCAGCGTACTAACTCTATATTGTAATCTCGAAATATTCTTTCAATAAATCGAAAACCTCCACTGCAATCATTATGACCAGATCAAAGAGGCTAGAGCTTAAGGCTGTTGGTGACCTCGACAATGAGCGGCGCCTCCGAATACTCGGAATTATCGATAAACTCCGCGAACTTGGAGTGGGCGAAAACGTGTCTTTACCTCAGGTTCGTAGTTCCTATCCCTATTTAGATTCTGATCTTGACTTTGAGTAAGCTTGTAGTCGTCGGTGACCAATCTAGTGGAAAATCTTCGCTTTTAGAAGGGCTTACGGGGCTTTCATTTCCCATCGCTAGTGATTTGTGCACCCGTTTTGCAACGCAAATTGTTCTACGTCGTGCGCCTCAAGCTGAAGCAGCTGTGAAAATCTCGATCATTCCTGGTCCAGATGCACAGGGAGACGAAGAGACTCTGGATCGTTTGCTCAGCTTCGAACAAACTTTGCCTGTCGACGGTTTTGATAGTGGGAGACTTCTAGATGTGTTCGACGAGGTAACATTCTTTCTGTAGGTTTTTTTGACAAGATGATACTGATGCAAAGAGGCTGCCACATGCATGGGTCTCCCAGGCCCAAGCACCAAGAAAATAGAGGATCTTCAGAAACGATTCTCCGACGACATCCTCAGGATTGAGTTATCTGGGCCAGAGCATCACCACCTCAGCGTTGTCGATGTCCCCGGTCTCTTTCATAGTAGGTACACTTATGCATAACAATATAGAGTAAAACTAACGGCCAAGACCCTACCAAGTACCAGACAGAAGAAGATCGAGCAATTATTCGAAAACTCATCGAAAACTACATTACGGACAAAAGGACCATAATTTTGTCAGTAATCGTCATTGAGAACCTCGGATGTTATCTAACGTCTAATTCAGGGCTGTCATGGACGCGCGCAACAATCTTGCTAATCAAGAAGTGTAAGGCTACTCATTGGGGGAGTATTAGTATACTAACAAACCCTAGGTTTTCCATGGCCCGTGCAGCTGATCCTGAAGGCAAACGTACCGTTGGTATCATCACGAAATGCGATGCATTGCAGCCCGGAGATGAACATAGCGTACGTTGCAGACGATTGCAAATTATTACATCGACTAACATGGAACAGGTACTTCGAATCGCCAAGAACGAAGTTGAGAAGCTCACTCACGGTTGGTTCGCCGTCAAAAATCGCTCAACTCAAGAGATTGCAGATGGTGTGACAATTGAACAACGGCATGTTCGCGAAAAGACTTTTTTCGCTACTGAGAGCCCATGGACGGAATTGAAAAAGGAAAGGACTGGTATACATGCGCTTAAGACCTTCCTTGGGGGTCTTCTGTATGATCATATCCGAAATGAGTTCCCAGAAGTAGTCAACGACATTGAGCAGCTCGCAACCAGCACCCAGAAGGAACTAGAATTGCTTGGACCGTCGCGCCAAACTGCCGCGGATCAGAGACGATTTCTGGCGCGCCTTGCCATTGCATACCAACAAGATGTCGCAAACGCTTTAAGTGGCAACTATGATCCGGAACTTAGTGGCGATAGTGCGATGAAGCTTCGCATGCACATAAGCAGGCTAAGTGAAAGGTTTGCTAAGTACATGGCCCACAAAGGACATGCGAAGATATTCCAGGACGTTGAGGGTGGAATTGACCAAGAATTCTCCCGCTCCGGTGACGACGGGGGCGATATCATGCAATGGATTCGAGAGCTCTACCGCGAATCCCGAGGCGCAGAACTACCTGGAACAGTCAACCCAAGGGTACTTGAGAATATGTTTCGTCAGCAGTCTAGTCCATGGAAACAAATTGCAACAACGTACATCGCTAAGGTTTACTCTGTCATTCAGCAATACAACGAGGTTGTGTTCAAACAGTTGGTTCCGGACGACGATCTGAGGCACAAGTTGAGGATAAAGCTAGCAAAGGGGGATAAAGAGGCTGTCGAAGAAGCAAATAAGCAGCTACTCAGAATCCTGACCGACGAACGAGGGGGCATTCTTCAAACCGTCAATCACTATTTTGCTGAAAACCTCTCAGCTATACGGGAGGAGCGAGTGCTTGCAAGACTTCGAGCAGCAGGGCTTCAAGATGGTGGTTATTTTGAAACATCATACTTGATGTCAAAGGTTCACCTCGGTAATGAAGAGCAGGCTGTTAACGACATCCATGATATTCTCAAGGCGTACTACAAAGTAGCCATGAAGCGTTTCACGGATAACGTTGTGCTTCAAGTCACTGAACGGCATCTGCTAGGCTCAAACGGGCCAGTGAGATCTTTGACATCAGAAATGGTGGGAGATCTCCAAGATGGCGAATTGACGGACATCGCGGGCGAGAATTTTTCCACCTCGAGCACTAGGAATGATCTGAAGATCAAGCTCGATCGATTCCACAAAGCGTTGGATATTGCACGTCAAGCGGTGATCTAGTAAAAATCACATCGTGGCGAGAGAAGAGTGGTGGGGTTGGTTGGTTGGGCAGACGATTCAACATCGTTCCATGCATGCTTCTAGAGGGCTAGAGGTGTATAGAATATCCGCCTCGTGCGAAGATTGCACATTCATTGATATTGATTCCAATACAAAATTGTAGAAGGCGTGATGCTGTCTCCAGAGAATCTTAGTTGTAGACTTGCATTTTGAAGCACTTTTGAGCATTACCCATACTAGAGAGTAATTGAGTTTGTCACTGGATCTGAAGCACGCTTCGTCGTTAAGACGCGTTAGTCCATTATTGCGATTGTCTGCAACTAATCTTGAACAACTAGTCATCTCTTGCGACTTCAACAACCCAACACAGACAGCAAGCATCGTAGTGCTAGTTCACCCAATCCACGGTACATATACCAGCTGGATTACCCGACGCGATACACCCAGCAGGTATGTCATGAACAACAACAGACTGGGGCCGAACGATAGCGCTATGGCCAATCCGTACTCCAGCCTCGATAATGCAGCCACTACCGACATAGGCATTGTCGCCAATACAGATTTCTTGAGCCACTTTGATGCCGCTTACTCTTTTTAAAGTGTTCGTGTGGGCAGGCATCTTTAAAGTCGACACAGTAACCCCAGCCCCAATCTCAGCATTTCTTCCGATGGTGATTTTTCCGGAATCGAGCAATCGGCAGTCGGGTCCGATGACAGTATTGTCACCAAATGAGAGATTGTAGCCATATTTGCAATAGAAAGGCGTGGCAACATACAAACCGCTTCCAACATAGCCGCCAGACTTCGTAATCCCATTCGTTGCATCGATAGCGTTATCCAAACCACCCATAGCTTGTGCACACTGCATGCGTTCATCAATCAGCTGGGAACAGAAAGGCATAAAGGGCGACTTATTCAACATCTTCTGCTTCTCTGTCTTTTGAATACTTGGCGCTATTACGGCACGAGCTAGCGGCAATACTTGTGCAGTGTTCGGCGTTGTTAATGGTGTATTTTGATGTCGCTGACGTTGCTTTGCTGCTTGGTGGTACGGTGGAGTCACTTTCGTGATAGAATCGGCTTCGATCTGGCTCCTGCTAGGGCTAGGTTCAGGATTTAGTATATACAGGATATCGCAGTGGTCAGGAGTCCTCTTAACAGCCACGCTGTTCACAGTAAAATCGCTCCCGGATGTTGGTGTAGCGGTCCTGTGTAGTTTTTCTGTTGGGTTTAGGTAGGTAGGTTGCGCTTCTTGACCGTTACGTTGCCATAGTTGATGAATATCAGCGGCCATTTGTTTATAAGGGTCTTGGTGTTCTGCTGAAGGCGCGGTCTGCTGCTGAGAAAGCTCCAGGGTCTGTACTACTCGGTATGTAGTAGTTGGCGGATTGCTACAACTTTTGGATGTCTTTTGACTGATTTGGTTGGAGTCAGGTGCCACCCCACGGTCGGAATAAGAAGTGTTAGGGTTGTTGTTTGACTGGTGTTGTTTGCCTTCTGGAAAGGGCTTGGCAGTGAAATCACTGAAGCTTGCAGCCAAAGGTAGTGAGGGTGAAGGCCTCTTCTCAACCTCCTGAGGACGTGCCGGAGTGCTTGTGGACTGATCGAATCGATAGCCTGCATCGGGCGAAGTCAACACTTGCGCCGTGCGAAGCTCGCGCTCTCCCAAAAGATCTTTTAGCGATTGTACTGGGTTGTTCTGTTGTTGGCTGTGTTTACCAACTATTCCAGATGCAAGTACTTCAGCTTCGGCTTCTTCCGTACCTCCTTCTTTTCGCTTTTTTGCGTCAGACGCTGGTGCTGATAAGTATGACACACGGTCATGAGACTTGTCATACAATCCTTTTGCCACTACCGACTTCGAGCTCGCAGGTAGTGAAGATGAAATGGGTCCCTTCTCTCCTACTACGTGAATCTGGATCTCTGGGGGTTGTTGTTCAACTGAAAGAAGTGTATGCGGACTATATCGCATCAAGGGCGCGTCTAATCTCAAATCCTGCACGTACAATCAGCTACAGGCATAAACATTACACAAATAGTGATATAGTACCTCTCTGTTCAGTGCTAGGAAGATTTGGCATAGCTAGATCCTCATGGACTGAGTCTAATGCCTCCTGTCTATCACCTTGAGTTTGGCTATGGGTACGCGCCCTTACAGAACTCGGCTGAGTCATGCTGGCCTTCCATTCTGACTCCAAGGCCGGAGTAACAAAACTGTGCGGTTCCCACGTTGGTTGGTAAGGAGTTCCTGTTACTGGATCGATGCCGTCCCATTCAACTAGATAGTGCGTATCATTATCCCTTAAGATCCTCGAGGCTGGCCAATAGGTGCGTTGTGTTTTTCGACGTCGCTTTTTTGTAGTAGAACGATTCCAGGTGCTCTTTCGCATCTTTGTCGTCGGCCTTGAAGCCATTAGCAGGCAGGACATTCGACAACGCTAGGAAATGATAGAGCTTTTTTAGAGTCCCGTCCTATCGCAACTTTGCTGAAGTCCTATCAAAATAGGGCCTGATTGTCAATGTGTAAGGGATTCGCATCGGATTGTGGAAGCATTAAAGGTGGGCTTGTGAAGGATGATGTTGTGTTTATTAATTCTACGACGAGAACATGGCAGCGCATGCGGCGTAGCACCGCAAGCGCTTGAAGCAAAACACATCAAACCTGGATTAGTACCAGGGATGGAGCTTATGTCCGCCTTCATCGTCGTGCACATTCTTCTGCGGGATGCCGGCAACAAGTGATGTGGATAGGCTGTTGAATTACAAATTTCTGCCATTAACAACTGCTCGCTCTTGTCCGCTAACCCGTGTATCATGCTGCGGAGCTGGGTCTTGGGGTTGCTCTGTGGGGCTGAAACCGGTAAGCGCCTGCGCCTGCACTGCTTTGGCAGGGGCGATCTCTTGGCCATGCGACTTCTTCGAGGAGATACTCATCCCGCCATATACTATTCGGCGTAGTGCCCTCGAACCATCCACGCAACTAAGGGCTCTGAGCTACGCGCGGTTCAAGAGATGATTTGATGAGGTAGTTACGGTAACGGCTGACTTAACAACAAGTTTCCGCATGCGCCGAGCCTGCTGACGTAATCGGGCAATAACGAAACAGCCATGACCGCCCTGGAGCCTGTTCTGATCCCCACGAACCGTTTTTGGCTCCCGCCTTCAAGGCATCATGAGGCAGATCACGACCAATGCTCCACAGCGGGAGCGCACGCAATTAACAATCAAATGGACGGGGTGGAAGTATGCAAGGACATCATATATCCTTCAAGCCTTTTGGGCCGACTATCTAACAGTGAACATTGCTATGGAAAGTCATATGACGATTCCGATGCCGAGTCTGGTGGAGGCAGGGACTTTCTGGCTTTCTCGACATACAACCCCCCAAAAATCGTGAAAAGCACTCTTGTAAAGACGGCGCTTCCCTCAACCTCATCTAAAAACTGTTTCTGTACAAGTAGAGTTTCGTTGCGTTCGAGTGCAGCGACAATCTTCCCTCTGAGATATTGCAAGAGCCACTCATCTTCGTATGAATGATGCTGGTAGGCGTGCCTGCAGGCAGCTAAAGTCTTGAATACAGACATATTCTTGTCCAACTCCTCTATCACTTTCACAGCCTGCTCAGCCAGGCCGTCAAGACCGTACAGCTTAGCGGCACTGTAGGCGAGCACACTCCTCTTGTATTCCACTTCGGCGTCTTTCGGAATTCCCGGGGTGTTCAGTGTTTGGTATAAGTCAGTGTACAGGTAATGCACAACAGTGTGCCCGGTATCCTCATCCAAGTCTTTGAGCTCCAAGACCTGTTTGCAACCCCCCCATCCAGGATCGACTTTCCACTTTGGCGACTTGGGAATGCATTTGTCGTGGATGCTGTACTCTTTCGATCCGAACTTTAGGGATACGATCGACGATGTGTATGGCCTGTCACGTCAGCTCTTTGTGAACAACGCGATCTCGGGGCTCTTACGATGACACTTGGGCATCAAAAATCTCTGATTGACAGGAAGGAATCTTGGAAACCCTTCTTCTACTCATAGTGTAGAGAAGTGACGATTGTTATAGAAGTGTTGAAAGAGACTAGCATTGAATGTTTTTCAAATGCTTGAATTGCTGCCACGTAGAACTAGCTAGTGGATGTACTGATGTTTAAATGCAGCCTTCTGACATGCGATGTACGGATCAATAAACTCTATCTGTAATCTTGGTTACACATTCCGTGGCATGGCTGGAACTTTCTTTGAAGTCATCGTACAGTAGGTTTTTGCCGACTTTGCTATGGCGCGAAAACCCCCTAGATAGACGTCTGAGCTCGCTGGACACCACGCCTCGTAGAAAGCCAAAATAGTAAGAGAGCAACACAGTAAGTAGTTCGCCTCTGAGGCGACAGGTTAGAAGTATTACAAAAATGATATCGGTGACATGTAACTTAGATCACCGCGGCTAGTGGCAAAAGTGGCCGACCCGCATCATCCCTGACCTTATGCCGAAGGTAAGATATCTACGATGTTGCACCTTCTCCTAAAAAATAAAAAAGAGCCTTACTGGAATTTTCGGGTGGAGCTCAGCCAGGGTCTCAAAGAACAACAAATAGATCAGAACTACACAGCGGGAACCAAAAGTGAGTCGGATAGGTTGTCACAAGCGTGATTGCCGTGTCGACCCCGAATCATGTGATAACGCGCCAATCGTTGAGTCGCTGCGAAAACGAATCACGGGACGAAGCGTGCACCAACTACTATTTCATTAACGACGATACATTAATAGAGTAGCTTGAGACCGTAGCAAACTTGTTAATTCGTGACTAGACACCGCGCGAGGAAGCTGCCGTCCTCTTACGTCCGACGATGACTTGAAGCCGCGCCCAGCTCCCCTGAAAAGGACATGAAATACCGCCCCACATGACTGGTTATGGATCTAAACTAAATGCAGTCGCAACGCTTGTGTAAAAGACACGAACGTTGTAATTACACAGTGCGGAGGCTGAAAAGTATCGCCCTCGCAGTGGAATATGGAAGGAATTTTGGTGACTAGGGCACATGTTTATTGACTCTAAAAGCGCATGATGCCGCCGACATCGGCACAACAAGCGACAACCTAAGAATCTTTCAAACAGAAGTGAAGGCCATGGCGAACAGAAACGCACCCGTACACCAAGATTTTTATAAAAATATGAATCAAACATGCTATAAACATCTAATTTTCAATCCTTTTTGATGAGATGTCCTTGTCGCCTAAGCTACCTATCCACCGGCTTGTTGTCATCTGGATGGTCTTCGGCGTCTCTATCCTCCTTCCAGCAATTCATCCAGTACTTTAGCCTTTGGGAAGGTCCGGGCTTGGCTGGGTTGTCTTTATGGAAGTTGTATAGCTTGTGTGGGCTATTCTTAAAGTTGGCTGCGTTATACCACTTCTGATCATCATCGTAACCAACCCATTTCACGCGGTATTTGAGCTTTCTCCAAAGGATACGGGCCTCCAGAATTTTCTCAACCTCATATTCTTCTTCTTCTTCTTCTTCATTTTGTTCATCCTTATGGGCGGAAAGAGCCGGGTCCAACTGAACGCGCATCACCGAAGCGCACTCAGGCCGAAGCCCAAGCCAAGACTCCTCGTGAAAGTTTATACTCTGGAAATTGTCATTTCGCTCATTGACATCAACTTCTCCAGATTCCGAAATCGTAACATCATCTGTCTGTGTGTCAGATCTTGCGGGTGATTGCTCTCTAATTAGCCAATCTCACCGATAAACTCCCAATCCTCATCATTAGCTCCATCACTAAAGGCATCTTCGCTATCTGAACCATTCTTCGATTCGCCACACCAAGAAGACGGTGGCGTATCATCTTCGATAACGTTTTGATCTGATATGATTTCCGGGGTTGGTGAGAAGCCTGAGTTGGTAGAAGACGGGGCTTTGGCTGGAGTAGAATGAGAAGACCTCTTCGTTTGGTTCCGAAACGTATTACTTTCATCAACAAATCCATATTCCAGATCTTCCTTCTTCCATCTGGACAGCCGCCTTCTGCTAACGCGTTTTCGTTTGGCTGGTCCAGCTCTTCCTTCGCCTACTGACCTGGCCCTTTTGAGATTACTCCGGAAACCGACGCAGTGAACGTCTTCAAGGTGGAACTGAAGCTCCTGCAATGCCATAAATGACTCGCCACAATGGAGCTTGTGTAGAGGACACAATAGGGACTTGGAATCTTCGGAATGTTGATTGTGGATATGGTCTTTCCATTCAGCTGTCTCGAGAAACTGCTGCATTCGTATTTCAGGGGGTAGGGACTCATTGCCCAAACAGTCGGGACAGAACCCTGGAGCAGCAAGTGTTCCTCCGTAGGTCAGTGGGTTGCACTGCGTGGGAATAGTTTCAGGCTTGTTCAAATGGGCTTGGCAATGGACATTCCATCCCTCTTGGTCAACGAACCATATGCTGCAGAGGAAGCAAAACTCGACCAACTCGTGGTCTTTCTTGAGCCACTTCCGATGGCAACTGTATATGTGTCTCCAACGTGTAGCAGCTGATTGACTATTGAAAATTCTCTGGTTAGATGCCACTCTATGAATGATAGGTGAGGTTGCGTACCTGTCGGTCTTTCGTAGACAATGACATTTGTCCAACTCGAGACCTGGCCGAAATGCTACTTCCTCTTCTTGCAAGTAGAGCTCGACCAGATCTTGGAGGACAGCCTTGCCTGCATCGCTACGTATAGTGGCCACGATAAACATGCTGGACGCCAGACGGTCGCGCACCGGCATGAGCTTGCGCGCTCGTTCAAATATGGTTCTGTGACGGCCGGTGCATTCTTTCTTATAGGCGTCGACTTTGCTCGCCAGTCGAGCAGGCTGTTCTTCCCGACACTTGCGAAGCGCTTCCGAAATAAGTTTTCGCTTCCGGGCTTGCAGCTCTTTGCGTTCATTCTTTGATAGTGCATTGTCTGAAAATTTCTCAAGATTTGCTTCGACGTCCTTAAACTCGGCGCTCTGCTCAAGCTCGTGCCGCTTTTCCGCTGGCAGCGACTGCCACAACTCCGGATTTCGAGTGATATGTAAGGAACGGAAAAGATCCGTAATATCTGTTCGATGATTTTTGTCGTGGAAGAAGGTTGCCTGACCATCCACTCCGGCGTTGTTGGCTGCGTAGTGATCACGATACACAGATGGGTCACGCTGTCCACCCTGTTTCATCCTTGTATCCTGCGAATAATTTCTGTCTAAACACAGCATGAGTTTGTTATATGGAGTGCTGTAGAACATTATACGTACCGGTAAGGATCAGACCCTCTGCTCTGAAATCATGCACCGTTGGGGGTTCGTTGTAGCCGGCACGAAAGCCCCATTCTCGAAGATACCGGCCGAATGCACTTGCAGTCTCCATCTTCCCATCACTTCCTTCAAAGAATGGAAGTTCTAGGACGCTTGGGTTCCAGTGGAGATGAACCATCTGCTCATCTTCTGGAGGCTCTAATGCTAGAATCTCGTCTATCGACTTATAGTCTCTGAATGCATTTCTTGCGATGCACATAGCGACTATCACAAGCATTGGGTTACAAAACAGCGGGCGAGTCTCAGCGCCTTCGTGCAACGCGTGCTCGGGTCTATTCCAGTTAGCATCAGGCGTGTACGCAGTAAGGATTGCTTTACCTCTTGTCTGGAGTGAATGTCATGCACTTCGCGTCGCGCTCAAGCTGTACAGCAAATTCTGTATTGCCGCACTTATTGCGAAAGACAGCAAAGATTGTGCCCTAATCCTTCATTGTTAGTTCAGGCAAGCTAACCCATGATGAACTCACCTTGAAACGCAAGCCCCTCCCAGATCCAATGCGACACGTAGATTCTATGTATTCGCCAATTCTCGAAGTGCTGAAAACAATAGCCGAAGTTAAAGCCCATAACTCGGGTCTACGCCGCGGCTTTGGAAGCACGAACCAATCGTTCTTCCACCACAGCGTTCCTAGGTGAAGAAAATGTATCTGTGAGCCGTATCGCCGCAGTCTCTTTCGTAATGGCAATTCAAGGATATTGTACAACTCGTACTTGATGAACTGTCCTGTGTAATTAGCAATAATGCTATAAAACGCCTGGCTAGCTGCAGTAGACTCACGTTTGAGGTGGATAGCGTTACGATTGGACTTATCACTTTTACCAGCTCCTTCTTCCCCTCTTCAGTCTTATCCTCATTTTCCTGTTCCTCTTCCATCCTAGCTCGCCTCCAACCGGCGGTGAAGTCTTTGTAGTACTGGACTACGGTCCCCAAGCCTGGCTTTACACTGCCATATCCACCCTCAATTCCAAGCGCAACAGACATAATGTAGTCTTTGGATGTCTCAATAATGTTTGGGCTCACTCCCGGATTCTGTTTCTCATATCTAGTGTTCAAAGTGCATGTTAGAGAGGCATTCTAGGTTGAGAGATACCATCGTAGACTCACTGATCCCATAACGCCAATGCACGCGCGTAATTTTGTTTTGTCTTTGGCTGAAGTTCTTTAAGAACCTGCTTTCCATTAACAACGTCCTTCTTCTTCTCTATCGCCACGTTGTTATTGGCACGCTCAAAAAAGGCCTCTGGTGAAATCTTCCGCGGCATTTTAACGGTGCGCAAAGCTGAGATAGTAAAGATAGAATAAATTAGAGCACAAATTTCAGAAACCGACGTTGCTACTGCCAAGAAAATGACAGTGTTGCGATTATGGCTGAGGTAGTCAGGTAGTCTCAACCCAGCGGCAATATCACACCTTTATAGAAAAAAAGGGATAGCACAAGCCACCTTGCTGATGAAAGACGACTCTGGCATTTTGGGAGAACAGGAAGACAAGGGGGCATAACGAGGGGCCTATTTCGTCCCCAACCCTTGGGGACAATTTTGTCCCCCCTTCCGAAACGCGCCCCAACGCTCAAATCTACCTCTAAGCCTCCTTCTCGTCTAGACTTGACCAAATTATGGGAGTACGGTCAAGTTATAAATGAGTACGATTGGCTGCAGTGGAGCGCAGGCCAACACGACTGAGCAGTGGGTGAGCTGCCTGAGGAGCGGGTGAGCCGAGGGTGATTAGGACCTGAGCAAAGCAGCGCTGCTTACTAGCCACGGCAGGAAAGAGAGTGCTGGAGAAATTTGACTGACTACCTATTTAATAAGAGACTTAGTTCTAACTTTTTAGGCAAGACACTAAAGTAAATAGTAAATATGTAGATTGCAGTAAACTAATAATGTATTAGAAATAATATATAGTAAACCTACTTATGTAATAATTATAAACGCTACTACAACACTAAGTATGCTAACAGATTTAAACTAGTTTATTCTTTTTTAGAGACACGCCTAGCACTAGGAATATATATAGAACTGTATGTTTAACAAACTTAGAAAAACTAGTTAAGCTATTAGTTAAGCTTAACAGACACTATTTTAGAGCACTACTTAATACTAGCTTTTTAGTTAATTTTATGTTAAGCCACGTAGTTAAGAAAGCAAGACTTTTTACCTAAAAAAAACATAAGCAGTACAGTATTTAAGCAGTTACTAGAAAGCGCTTACCTAATAAAACTTAAGTTAATAAGAAAACTAACTTAACGTTTATAGAAATTAGTAAACACTAGAAAGAGATTATTTTAGATATTTTAAAGATAGCTACCTTTAACATTGTATTAGAACTCCTTTAGTTATAAAAGCATAATCTAGTAATAGATTAGTTTAAAGAAACACTTTTGTTTGCAAACTATAAATATGCACGTAGTTTAAAGCCTATATACTACGCGCTATAAGTAGTAGATAAAAAGAGCGTTAACGCAACAACGCTATTGCTTAAAACACGCCTAAAAAAAGTAGTTAACTTCTTAAACACTAGTAGAGTACTAGGTTATAAAAAGAAAGTTAAGAAGACTAGCACAACTTTTAAAGTTTCTGTATAATATTAGAAGTATAAAGTACTATTTAAGAACTTAAAACCTAAGCTTAAATTACTTAAGCATTAGCTTTAAGATTGCAAAATAATTCTTAAAAATAAATTAAAACTGCTAGTTAACTTATTGCGCCTAAAATCTAAATTAGTGCTAGCAGCTATATAAGAATACATTAAAGAAAGACTAGCTAAACAATATATTTAACTATTAGAATTGCTAGTAGCACACGAAACCCTCTTTGTAAAGAAAAAAAATAGAAAACTACAAATATATATAGACTTCTATAAGACTAACAATAATATAGTAAAAAATAGGTATCTACTACTTAATATTAAAGAATTATAACATTAACTTGCAAAGGCTAAGATTTTTACAGCTTTAGACCTTAGAAATAGGTACTATCTAGTATAAATAAAGAAAGGTAAAGAATAGAAAACTACATTTTGCACTTGTTATAAACATTACAAATATATAGTTATACTTTTTAGACTTACTAACGCACTAGCAACGTTTTAGGCACTTATAAATAATATTTTTAGAAATTAACTAGATATTACTGTTATAGCGTATTTAGATAACATTCTAGTATTTTTAGAAAATAAGCATAAACACTAGAAACATGTATATTAGGTACTTTAAAAGTTGCAAAAAGCAAACTTATAAGTATAACTTAAGAAATATAAGTTTTATGCAAAACAAGTTAAATTCTTAGAATTTATTATTTAAAAAGGAGAAATTAAGTAAGACCTAGAGAAAGTTAAAGTTATTAAAGAATAGCTTACGCTAAAAAATACTAAAGAAGTATAATTATTTATAAGATTCTGCAACTTTAACTAAAGATTTATATAAAACTTTTTTAAAATCTTAATTCTACTTATATAACTTATAAGGAAGAAAGAAACCTTCTACTAAAACAAAGAAGAAGACAATATATTTTAGAAACTTTAGAAAGCATGCGCTTCTGCTCTAGTACTAATTATATTCTAGTTAGAAAAACTAATAAAAATAAAGACTAATACTTTAGATCTTGCATTAGGAGCATGCATTATATAAAAAAAAATAGAAAATAGCACCTTATTGCCTACTACTTAAGAAAGTTTACATTAATAGAAAAACGCTATAATGTCTATAACAAAGAATTAATAGCAATTATTAATTTAATTTAACACTAAAGGATCTACTGCAAAAGCTGTTCTAAACTATTAATTTTTATAGACTATAAGAACTTTGTTACTTTTACAACTATAAAGGACCTAAATTAATAATAGGTTTAATAGGCTAAGAAACTAGGACAGTACTAGTTTAAAATTATACATACTTTAGAAAAAGATAACAGAAGAGCTAACGCTTTTAGCTAATAAACAGACATTGCAGGCAAAAAAACAGAAGTATAATAAGTAATACTTAAAACAAACTAAGATAGAATAATAGGACTAGGCCACTTTTAGAAAGTTAATATTACTATATAAATTACTAATAATATACTAGAAGAATAGCAAGAACGCATTATACGCTAACACTACAACAACCTACTATATAGATATCTAGGAATTAAATAAACTATAGAACACATATAAAGAAACTACAACTTTATAAATATAAAAGAAAAAGTTACATAGTATATTTAAGCTTATAATAAGTATAAAAAGAATAAACACAATACGCACGCAAAGTATAAAAAAATATAACTAATTTTAGTGCCTACAGCACTATAGAAGGATATTACTATAGACTTTATAATAAAATTCTTTATATTACAGAACTTTATTACAAAAGTATAGTATGCCGTGCTATGGCTCTTTTTCCAACTTATAAGCTATTAATAGGTTTAATTACTTACTTACCTTAAATACCCTCTAAGAACTGTCTCCTTACAGGTCTGTAGCAATAAATAGGCTAAGCAAGCTAACAACTCTTGTTACTGTGCTACGCAGATAGAAAGCAAAGACTATAACTAGTATTATAATAGATCTTAAATATAAGATAGTTTTTTTTATACTATATATCTTTAACATCTTTTTATGCTAGGTGCTTCTCCTCTTTATATACTATATAAGAAGCAGCTATCCTAAGTTGCCCTGTACTCTTATTACTTTAGCTTATTAAACTAAGACTAAAGAGAGCTCTTCCTTTATCTTAATACCTAGCTTCTTCCTTGTACATAGGAAAAGCAATAGCAATAGCTAGGTAGGTGCCTGTAAGCACGTACAACTATTAATTAGTACACTTAAGCACTTAGTCTATCTAATAGCAACTAAGTGCCCGCTAAGCAACAAAGAAAATTTTTATAATAAGTGTCCTGCTACAGCACAATAGTATAACTTAATACTTATAATTATAGATAGATTTACTAAGTACGCACTTATAATTCTATTTTATAAAAACTACTCTGCTAAGCAGTTAGAATATATTATTCTAGATAAGTTAGTATAAAACTATAAAATACTAAAGATAATTATTAGCAATAGAGACAAGCTCTTTATATTTAATTACTAGACAACACTAATAGCAATAATTAAAACAAAACAGAAGCTATTAACAGCTTACTATTTAGAAATAAATAGATAAATAGAACGTACAAATTAGACTATAATTACATACCTACAGCTATACAGCAACTAGAACTAAAACAACTAGATTTTTTTACTACTTATAGCACAGTTAGTATACAATAATAAGTTATTAAAAATAATAAGTAAAACACTCTACTTTATAAACTATAAAAGACATCTAAATCTCTTTAAAAGAACATTTTTAATAATAAAAACACAAAAAGCGTTAGAAAACGCAAAACAGTATAAAGAAATATATAAAAAACTAAAAGAAAATATGCGCAAAGCACAGCAACAATTAATTTTATTTATTAATAAAAAAAGAAAAATAGCACCTTAGCTAAAAAGGGGGAATAAAGTATATTTGCAAATAAAAAATCTTTAGATAAAATAACTAAGTAAGAAGTTAAATTATGTTAAATTTAAACTATTTTTAATTAATGCTGTTATTAGCTTAGTTAACTACTAACTCTAACTTTTAGAAGATGCAAAGATATACCTAGTGTTTTACATATTACTATTAGAACTAGCAGACTCTAAAACGCCCCTATAAAATACATTCTACTATAAAACAGAAGAAGATAATAAATATAAAGTTAAGAAAATACTGCGCCATTAATTAGTTAATAATTAAGAAGAATACTTAGTTAAATAAAAGGAATACCCACACTTAGAAAATAGCTAGAAACTTAAAACCTATCTTAGAAACTGCTGCTAGAAGTTGCAACAGTATAAGTTAAAACAAACTTAAAAGCCTTTTAAAAATTATTAAGTAGACCTTTAAAAGCACTCTACGTACTAGGAGCTAAGGCAAGGCTAGAACTATTAGTAGAAGAGTTTATAGACAATAGCTTCTATGCCTCTAACTTTTTAAGGCTCTTTTTTTTTATAGTAATAGCCTTTTCTGCGTAATAATTAAGAAGATTTATTTACTACTATAATTGCTCTTTACGCGCCTACGCAATATAAAGGTCTTTTATAGCTTTTTTTTGCGCACGCATAGCTGCTTTCTACTTTTTTTATATTTTTTTTATTTATGTAATAAGCTTTTCTTTTTTAGAGGCTAACTTTTTAAACTTAAACTTAGTAACCTGCATATTGTAATGCTAGCTGCAATAAACGCATTTGCTGCATTTTCTAAAATACACATAGACTTTATAGACTTAGCTATGTTTTTTATATATTAAATATTTTTTAACTATAACTTTACTAAAGAATTCTATAAATTTAAATAAATAGTAACAACGTTTAGTACTAGAAGGTTGTAGGAGTTTAGGCATAGTAGGAAACTAGACTAAGAAAAGAGTAAAGCCTCGCGTTATTAAATAAGCCTTAGAGATAAGACTAGGCTAAAAGAGGAGAGATAATGTTAAAATTACAACACAGACACCTTAGGTGTTAGAAACAAGCTTCTTATAATACTAAGGTAAATTACCCTTACTTACTGTAAGTGTCTTAGAAGTTACAGAGCTACGCTGTATTAGCTATTACGTAATAAAGAACTACGTAATATAATTAGTAATTAGCTTAATTAGTAGTACTAATTAGACTAATTAAGGTAATTAACTATCCTAACTACATGTATATAATTAGTAGGCAAGAAGCCTTTATAGCTTTTTATATTTACTCTAAGTTATAACTTACTTCTTAGAAATATAATCTAGTTGTTACT